ATAAAAAAATTAAATCCATGTAAGTACGTCACCTCATTTCACTCAGTAGGAATCTATTTCCACCCATCCAGGAAATCCTCTCGTGTAAGTAAACAATATCATCCCCAACGCCGCCGGAAGTTGTTGATAACATTGACATCAAGAGATGGTCATCATCAAAGTCTGGCTGGAGACGTGCGTAAGTCGACGAGCGGCTTATGTACGACGAGAGATATCTACTTGTCCTCTCTCTGGAATTATTGCATTCGATGTTGATACTGATGCTGATCGTGGCGGATAAAAAGAAAGTTATAATACGGACGACGTTACAAGTTATTCGAGGCAGCAGGAGCAGCATTGTGTTCTTTTTGGAGAAAGCCAAGCCAAGTTCCCAACAACCGGGTGAAATGGAGTGAACTGGCGTATATGCACGTGTGGCGGTGGTGGTGGTGCATGGTCGTCGTGTGTGTGCAGACGTACAAAAGGGAAACAAAGAAGTAATAGCTTTCTCTTTTTCTGCCTCTTTCTCTCTCGTTGGAGATGATATGCTTGCCTGGCTACGGGAAGAAGCTTCTCTAAAAAAACAACTTTTCCTATCATACATATCGTATCGCTTAAGAGCTCCGTATTTTCGCCATTCATCTTGTGTGAACTTGGATTAATGTCGCAGGTTGTATTGTGTGTGGTGGTGGTGGGAATAGTTCATGCACTTGTTTAAACACACAAAGATAGAGTGTTGGGTACGGTTTTCCCTCCATAAACCACGAACCACCCACCCGGAGAGCAAGACTGCGGGCAGGGCCTCGTTTTCGTCGTGGTAATGACGAAAAATCATCATTAATTGCTTTTGTTTCATAAAGTCATCCTTGAATCATAATTCTGAATCGGGAGAGAGAAAAGGGAAACCTTTCTCCCGATGCAGAAGTGTGAACGGATTTGTTGGATTACAAAGAAAAGTATATAAAAAGCCTGCCTGGCAGTTCGTGCTGACGGTGTGCATGGCGGTATTTGTGGGTGGACACACATCACGAGAGAATAAGAGGCACGTGTACTTATCTTGTCCTCCGTGCCCATTCTTCAGTGCAGTGAACTAAACCCAAGTAGGTGGTGGTGATGGTAGTGGAGGGATCTTGGTCTTCTTGAGTGTCTCCTTCCTCCATCGACGGGAGGGTTTTCCTGTCAATCGAGGATTTTTATGAGACAATTTCTTGTCTATTGTTACACTTCTTCTTTTTGCTCATTATTTCATCTCCATTCTCTTCCCGGCTTTATTTTCTTCCTTGTTTTCGAGTTGTGGTTGTGGTCGTCATTCTGGAAAAAAAGTCGGTCACTTTCTCTCTCTGAAAATCTGAAGTAAATATTTCCGGGTGAATATCTTTTTTTATATATTTCCTATCCGTTGGCGACATATCCCTCCAGAATTTCGTATTATCTTTATTGATGCAATCCTCGCATGCGAAAGGAATCACTCACTGTCAGATAGGATTAGACAGAAGTGAAGGATGACTTCATCAATGTCATGAAAACTTGAGATTATGTATCCAACTTGTAATTGCGGGGTTTTATCACTGCCCAGCCTGCGCGAATAATGGGGAGAAATTCGGCGAATAAATTGTACAACTTCCGCCACACCCGGATGGGTGAAATCAATCATGCCCACCACCCACCCCGTCATAATTTGTCCCCTTGTCCGAGAAGTGGTCCAGGAAATGGACAATCGCGTAAAAACATGATTATTATTTATACGCAGAAACGCAATAATATGTAATAATGATAAGTAGTTATTATTAAGAAGCGATTAAATCTCGCCTGATTGGAAACCGGGGCCGTCTGATTGGAGGATTGATTTATTACTTGGGAAAGGTGACGATGGGCAGTGGCCGCGGAAGGGTGAGGGGACAGAGGGACAATGTCCCCACGGTTGTTCGATGTCCTCATCATTTCCCCATCTTATACAAACCCCTCCTTCTCATATTCTACAATTTTAATGTCCCCACATGTCCCCACGGCTTCTGCGGCCACTGACGATGTCACACGTACCAGTATCACCACAAAATTGGTATAATATTGCATTTTCCATGTAAAAATCAGATCCGTGTATGTGAAAGCAATCGTAATCACGCCGGAGGACATTTGTTGCATTACATGATTTCAAGGGGACATTGCGCAAACAACTTTTTTTTACATAACTGCTGCTCCTGCATAACTAAACAAGACGTGGGAACAAATTGATATATATGCAAATTTAGGTCCGATAGTAGTACTATGTAGCAGTTCGATTCATGTGTGCACATGCATAACCACTTTTACACACACAAGTCAACTGCATGAATGTATGTAAACTAAGCATGAATGTTCGACCTTGATACCCAACGGCCTTACCCGATTCTTTGAACATGATCGGTTTTTCTGTTCTTTTAGCAAGTCAAGAAAACTTTATTTCGCAAAATTTATAACATTTTAGCAAACTTTTCGCTAAAGCTTTATCCACCAGCACATCTTTAGCAACTGCTGTAGGCAGGAAATATTGCGTAATTTATTGTACTCCTTCTGGCTCAATAATCTACCCTGGCTCACAAGTATTATTTACTCAATCCTTTGCTTGTCATGCCATCCGCAGTACGGCTGCTGCTTCTGCCGATGTCAACAACTGCCTCCCATATTTTTCACGGGGTATGGATTTCTAAGGAGGAATACCTCACTAGTTGCCACCCACAGATCTCGATTCCCTTTGGATATGTTGGAGCACCCCATGAGTGAACAACAACCCCCAAGTGGTTTGATGCCATGGCCACATTTGCGCCCGCCACACCCACTTAAAGGCGTCAAAAACACGAAAATCGCCATCTTCAAACGCTCGCCAAAAATTCAAATTTGGCCACAATTTCAAAATTTTGCACCAGTACACTCCCAGATAGCTGTTTTATAATATCCGACACCAAAATATATTTTTCAAATTTTTTGAATATTTTCGAAAATTTCCTGACTAGGGGTCTTCGAAAAAATGTAAATTTAAATAAACTAATTCTTTAAAAAAACTTAGGTGAGGCTTGCTTAAAAGGAGAAAACAAGCGGTTATCATCGTGTATTAGAATAATGTGCTAAATCAATTTTCATCTCATGATTTATAATTTTCGGTAAACAGAACAGCAAAGTATATGCGTTTGGGACCATTTGCCTCGCCGTGGGCCCTTTTGTGAATTAAAATAATTTTAAAATTTATTAGTGTTCAGAGAATTTGTTACACACATGCGGTAAATACGTCTTATGGAACAATACATAACTTCTTGGTTAATTTTGTTATCCATAATCGATTTCTGATCATATTTACCAAGCGTATAGGTTAATTTCTAATATACAATATTACATGCAACAGCAGAACATGAATTTTTAAAATGTAGACCTATTCTAGAAATATATTCAAACATTGCTAAATCACAAATTAACAAAGTTTAATTATAGCAAAATTTTAACATTTATGTAGGATGGCATATTTGTATTCAATTAATCACAGCCCACGGCGAGGCAAATGGTCCCAAACGCATATACTTTGCTGTTCTGTTTACCGAAAATTATAAATCATGAGATGAAAATTGATTTAGCACATTATTCTAATACACGATGATAACCGCTTGTTTTCTCCTTTTAAGCAAGCCTCACCTAAGTTTTTTTAAAGAATTAGTTTATTTTTTGTTTTTATGTCTCTTTAAGTTGTCCCCAATAATAGATACCAAATTAAATCCCCATAAGTCCCGATGCGTGGCATACTAAATAATCCCCCAGTGGGTTTGGATGCGTGGCATACCAAATTAAATTCCCCCGTCGCCCGTGAACTCATAGTCAAGTATATACAGTCTGTTAGAAATCCCTAATACAATTCTATTGCTACTGCTTACAATTAGTATTAAAATTATGCGGGTATGACTTTACTACCGGTATAGTAATCAACCTATTACCGCACAGTATTACTCATCAATACCACTTTCGTAGTCATTTCTGAATACCGCATGGATTTTATCCTGCATTTCTGAAAGTGCATACATACAGATCTTACATGCTTCCATTGTGCTTGTTGCTAATAGAAACGTGGATTCATTATAATTGATGAGGAACCATTATAATTAACGTGTGTAACTGGTTGCAGATACCACCAAGAAAAGTTTTTCATTTTTTATCTGATTTTGCTCGGGATTGCTTTAAATGACGCGTTATAGATTTCTGCACATGAAAATCAGGGTCTCCCACTTTCATTGCATGGTAAAAGTGAATTTGCCAGTCGTTTGAAAGTTTAAAATCGATTTTAAATGCGTTAAAATAATATTGTCATCTCCCTCGAATTGACGGGCATAATCTGCTCAGCAAGGTCTACACGAATGCCTTTTACACCATTTTGATACGATTAGCCGTTTTGCCACAAACTTGAGCGGAATATTTGGAGGGGGGGTCTGTTTGCATACTAAGGCTTCGCCGTAACCATGCACTTTTTCATGTGGTCATGGTTACTATGCCTCACCTAAGAAAAAGTTGAGTTTGATATTGGATATGATAACACAACTATCTGGGAGTATAATGGTGCAATATTTTCAAAATCCTATAGAAATTCGATTTTTGGCGAGGGTTTTATTGAGTGAAAACAGGGCTTTTTTCGTATTTTTGACGCCTTTAAGTGGGTGTGGCGAGCGCAAATGTGGCCATGGCATCAAACCACTTGGGGGTTGTTGTTCAGTCATGGGGTGCTCCAACATATCCAAAGGGCATCAAGATCTGTGGGTGGCAACTAGTGAGGTTCCCCTCCTAAGAGGAAAACATTTCAAACGACACTCGTGGAGAGTTAATCCCTCCTTTGCAACATTTTATGTCGTCATCTTCCATATAGCTCATCCTCCTTTGGACTAGTAATTATTCTCAACTTTAAGCATAACACTTGGAAAATGGTCGCCTCATTTCGTGGCGTGGCCTCCGTTTGCATAATGATACTTCATAAACTAATAAAAAAACTATCATCTTGTTGAAAATAAAGGTTGATGTCTTCCGGGAACAATGGTTTATTGCAAGAAATATCGTTGTGGCATTGTTTAACATGGCTGTAATAACATAATATGGGCGGCAAGATTTAAAAGTCTTACATACATTCCGCTATTTAAATGAGAATTTTCACTTCAGGGGAAATCCGTTCTGGTTGAATCTTTCGAGCAATTGTTCCACTAGTTTGGCTTCCAAGGGGAGCAGAGGGGACCGACAAGGTCCTCCGTACAGTTGACCTGTAGCATCCATGGAAGCCTTCAACCCCGGCAGGCCCATTATTTTCGTCACCTTCATATTTCAGTCACAGTTAATAAACCTTCCGAATTTCATATTTACATATTTATTTTTAGCGAAAGGAAGTTGAACAAATAAGCTTGAAGAGAGAGAGTAACAATCCGTGGTTCAGTGAGTCTGCACAATGAATACATAAAGTAAACAGCGAGGCACTTTTTATCACGAAAAAACGCACCATTTCATGACAGGCATTTGAATTGTGATGATTTATTAGCAATTTACAGCTAAGTAAAATCCTTTCATTGCGGATGTTTATGCCATATTTATGCCTGCTTCTACTGCATTTCACTCCAAAAAGGTATTAAACATCCCGCAGTGCATCTTCTCCAACGGAGAAATAATAATAACTCTTCAAATGTGAAAAGATGACTCGACTCTCTCCCGGTGAGGTTGTTACGTAAGATATATTTTTAACCACCACTACTAAAATTGGAGGCTGCTCCTCCACTAATAACACGTCGTCAAGTAGTCGTATTTGTACATTAAGTGTGTGTCCTCCTCTACAAAAATAATCTACGACTAAATTGGAGGGGAGGCGCAAAATTGGGCAAAATATTCAAACAAGCAAGACGACGAGGAAAGAATTTTTATTACGAAAAAAGTAATATGCCCGCAATAATGAATGCACAACGCTCACCAGCAGATTAGGAACGATGAGCTTCCCTTGGAGTGAAACAGCGTCAGGTAGTTTTCCTTGGCGAAAAAGGCTGTAAAGTTCGCACACTTGAGAACCCAGGACATTTGCGAGAGCGCAGATCCCTCCGACGCAGCCTGGAGCATGGCGTGGGCACAAAAGAAGAAATTGAGCCATTAAATGATGTAAAAAGTGGGTAAATATGGTAATAATTTGAAATTTATGGGCATCACTAATACTACTTTGTACACATTGGATTGTTTGATCAATATAAATGTATGTGAAATAATGTGACAATCGTCTCAAATCGTAAACACACTGATTTGGAGGGTGTATACGTAACCGCAATAATAATAATAGTGGTGATTATCGTCGTCATTTGCTCACCCATGAGAAGAGCCGGGAGAAGAAAGCCTGCCGAGCCGGCGAGCACTTGGAAATCCGCGTCCCTTGTTTCATGGACGATTTGGGCAATTTTCGTAATCTACAATAATGGCGGAGGAACAGGACAAAGTTTAAAAAATTGAAGGCTGCAGCCACAAATATCTCCGAGGGGAAAGGCATGATTGGGTTTGTGCATTTGTAGTTAGTTCGTTGGTTAAGAGGAGAGAGAGAGAGAGAAGGAGTGCAAAATGCAATTTTGCAGCTTTTACCAGGAGCGAGCCTAAGGAGGTGAAAAGGACGAGGTTTCGAGGAATTAATCAGAAAAGGGATTTATTGACCACCACGGTCTCTCGAGTGTAAAGCCATGTTCAGAGTTCAAACAGTGGAAGAGGACATGTACAATTTCGTCATAGCAGACTTACATCACCGCCGCTGTCCTTCATCCCAATGCAGTTGGGATGTTTGGCCAAGGCAGAGGGCACCTCGGCACCCAAGTCGATGGCCGTATTTCCTGGGACTGAGTAGAGGATGATGGGCAGCTTCGACTTATCGGCCACCTCCTCAAAGTACTTCCGCAGACTGAGGCTCTGTCAAACAGTATTAACCGCTTAGACTACGTAGGAAAAGGAGATACATCATCGTGGGATCTTGTGCTTAATGTGGTGGAACTTTGCATCATCATCATCATCGCCACTACACCCAGACCACCCCAACCCCACATGCATACCAAGGCATACCGAGAGGGAGGGAGGGAGGGAGGGAGAGAGAGACCACGAATTCTAATAGTTGACTCAACCGGATTGTCGCCACCCATGCAAAACTAAACGGGTGGATACAAAACATTGATCAACATTCGTATAGGCGACGAGGAGGAGGTGAGGAAAAGGGTATATGTAGCGACCTACGTATTCAGTGTTTCGTATTTTCTACGTTTCTTGTACTGCAAAGCAAGAAACGCAAGAAATATAAGGTGCAAGAAACTGGGAGAAAGTGCACGAAATATGCGTCATTTAACTGTACTATGAACTATAGTGCCGGAAGTAGTTTCCTGCACCTTGATTTTCTTGCAGATCAAAATATTTACCTGCAAGAAACCACTTTCTCCCTGTCATTTCTTGCACGTGGCTACTTTCACCCGAAACACTGCCCCCATTAAGTTTTCCTGTATATCTGATCATAATAATAACGATGAGAACAATGCTATCTCAGATTATTACGACTTTCTCCACACAATGCACTTTGACTCACTCGTTGCTTTATACTAAATTCGTCCAGAGAGAAAGTCGGCTTTGGCAGGAGCATGTACCACCCTTGCGGTTCGAGGTGTGGGATGATGATGATGATGCCCTTCGTCGTGTATCTCGTACAATGCGATACTTCATCTATAGCGACTAACCACCTTATTTTCACCATGAATATAACATGTCGTTGTCCTTCATGCGTGGCAAGTGCATGCAAAATAGTTAACCATCTAAATTCTAAGAATCATTATTACAAAGTCGGGAATACATTCTGCTTGTAATTTGCATTAGACTCTTTCTCCATCTTTATTTATTCTCCTCACACACACAAAGCCTGCATATTAAATACATAATAATTCCTGCCTTGAATTCACTCCGAGATATTCAAGCATGCAGCCTTGTCATCAAAGCGTTCTTTGACTTTCCAAGTTAAAATATCAGCAAGAATGACTGCGAATGCACCCCTATCACGATAAGTGCTAGACGGATGGACGGACCGAGTGAAGGACATTGTTCAATTCTGTGTACATACATAGATAATCAGGCAAATTGTTGCCGAGATAATGATAGCAGGGTTGCCACCAATTTCTAATTTATCTTCTTTCCGTTGCTATGAAATCTAAATTATATAAACCCCGCCCTCCCCTGTTAATGTCCCCACACCTTCCGCGGCCACTGAGCACCACAACCATACATCGCAGTATGGAGGAAGAAGAATCCATGTAATTCAAGACTATTAAAACTAACAGCTTCCCTCCCGGTTGGGTGGTTGGTTGGGTGTGCTTCCTTCCTTTCCTTCTAATCCTCTTGTACTGACGGAGAGAGGCAAATGAATGAGGCAGTGACATGAGGATGAGTTGGTTGGTCGTGCATAATGGATACGTACTTATATATACGGACACGTCGCTATCTATCTGTCCGTCCAGACGGCTGGCTAAATTCCGACGGACTTTCACCAACCACCAACCAACCTGAGATTGTAAAAGTAGAACCTACGTGAGATTGAGATTCCAAGAAGACTAAACATATCACTCACTCCTCTTTTCCACCTTTCACCACAATTCCATGCACTCAGTTAGTTCATCACCCTGAATTGTCCCAAATCACAGCAACAACTCGCATGTGACCTTTAAGAATTGCATTCATCTGTGTAATTGACGTGAACAGGGTCTCTCTTATTTGCGGAGAAAACCGAGACGAGGACGATTAGACGACTCACTTCTCATTTAGACCAACCACTCAAAGGACTTCTCATTGCACAACAACAATATTTTATTCAGCTCATCTTATTAGGCTGGGAATTGCGAAGGTGTAACATCACATGGATCACCAACCAACCGGTGTGTCCTCCTCGTCGCCTTAATTTTCACATAAACGAACAACTCGTAATGAAACGACGCTATGAAATGGACCAGTGAATGAATATTACATCTGCTTCACTGCGGTTCCAACCACAACCAACTTTGTCAAGTAATGAGGCGCAAGCAGGGAAAGTTTGACACCCAGCCGGCCAGATAAATTTAGACGGATAGATCTGTAAACTGACTGGCTGGCTTTCGTAATGTATGTACAATTTCCTGGTTTGGTTAACTAACGAGGATTTTTATCCGGACTGAGAATACCGAAACTTTCACCTTCACATCTCGGCTTTTTAGCTCCGTACTTTTAGCTTTTAATCAACCTGGTTAGTGGGGTTTTTAGTTGCGGGACGAAATTTCGCTTCATTATTATCCTAACATGTACACACATAGCTGCCTCCTTTATTGCGGGCTTGTGCAGAATAATGGTTCCCTGCCAATAGTGCCAATGACGACGCCACGACGTTGATGATGGCGGCGGTGGTAATAAGACATCTCTCGAGCCGTTATATAGACATGGGAAATGCTCACATGCATACAATTCAGCCACCCACCCGCCATCTCATCTTCTTCTGCCTTGTTTAAGAAATAATGTAATTTTCTCCCCTAATTTGGACAAAGGTCAACGACGGCACATTTTGATTAGTCTTCAAGAGACCACCACTTGCAAGAAGCACCAACCAAACCAAACCACCGCCTTGTTTCCGTGATGCAGTAAAAATAAAACTTTATCCGTAAAACATTTCCTATTATGGCGATATAATGGCGGTGTTGGGATTAGTCCAATTTGGGAGGAGATCTCTCGTACAAGATCAAACACATGTACTCATCCACCCACTCAATTATCTTTGCTGGAATAATAATGCAAGACCTGTGAGACCACCAGAAAGAAGCAGACTGATGGAATCTCACCCTGTATTTACATTTACATGCGGTTATATTTCCATTTTTCACTAATTAATGATTCAATGGTATTAAAGTGTTTTGAGCCTCTAAAAACTAATATTCATGCTTTTAATAACCCTCTGTTCTCAAGTTGATAACCACAAAACTTGAGATAGAGGACATTTCATTATTCTAAAAAAAGAGTAATTATTCATTCAGTCAGGAAGTAAAAAAAGAAAAAAAGTTAATTTTTTTTTTTATACCAACCGTCATTTGGCCCTTGAAGAAGGCCGGAGTTATTATCAGCCCGGCATCCGCACTTCCTTCGTCCGCTGCTGCGTTACATAATTCAATCGTTTGGGCAGCCGCTGAAAAGAAAATTGGTGTCGTTAAAAATGTCGGAATTCATTTCATGAGTGCGACGCAAATAGTGCCAAGTTTCAAAGCAGAGAAGTCGTAACTTGATGGGAGCAATTATCTGGATCTGTGTATGTAACCGTCACTTAATATAAATACTTTACTTACTGTTCATTCCTAATCCAGCGATCAGTTTGGATTTCGGAAGAGCCATTTTACGAACGTTTCTCAGCAGTTCGAGCTTTTCCTTCCGCTCGAGAGCAATTGCTTCGCCGTTTGATCCCATTACGACGTAACCTGTAAAACGGGGAAGATGTGAGTTAGTCTAATGACGAGTTCGCAAAATATTGGCAAAAATTTGTTTAATTTGCCTATCTCCCCGACTGGTGTTTTCTTTGCAAAAAAATGATGTGTAAGTTTCAAAACAACATGCGAACACATGATGAATGCCCCCATTAAGAACACCCATTGTTTCGAGTGTTTAACTACATAATTATATAATTCTTGTCGTCTCTTGTTTCATAATAATTATGAAATTTCCCCCACCGCCTCCAGCCAAGCCAACCAAGTATTCCAACAACATGATCTCGACCATGTTGACTTTGACTTTGAGAAATGCTCCGAAAATAATACGCCCCGCACCCTCCCATCCAACGTTCTTGTAAAGCAATGTCAACTTTTAGCAACGTAATAATCTCAAAAGTTTGCAAACACCACCACCACTATTTTCTATGCTGTGTGTACGGACACAGTGGCCGCGGGACAATGTCCCCACAGATATTCTATGTTCCCATCATCTCCCCATCTTATATAAACCCGGCCCTCCCCTATCCAACAATGTTAATGTCCCCACAGCTTCCGCGGCCACTGTACGACACACACACATAAATATGCACCCACATCTTTGTCGAGATTATGCATCAATTATTTAATTAGTTTAGAGTCAAATGCTTGTTTTTCATGAAGAGGAGGCAGACAAGATTTCCGACCTTGTGCCCCTGCCCCACAACGCCACGCCACGCACTCTCATAAATATACATCCGACTAATCATCACTTAACTATAACCATTCTCGGAATCAATGTAGAAAAGAAATTGAGAAACTTTGTTCCACTTTGCTTTGTGCCTCTGCCTCCTCAACTGTCACGCCGTATTTCATCAGGCAGGAGGCAACCCGGAGGAAAAGTTTTCCTCATTATGCAGCAAGCATATATCCTCGCAAATTTTCTACTTTCTTAATTAGTGAAAACTCGTCAAAAGTTTGGTCGAGATTTTGACTCTGTTCTTTCCTCGAATATTAAATTATGGTCAAAATTAAATACAATTTGCAACAAAGTGTCTCAGAAAATAATTAGTGAGTAAGTTGTTTAGGAGGAGGGAGGGGTATCAATTTCCCCAGTCTGATCATCACCACAGCCTTGATTGTCTGCCTTTCTCGGGTTTCTCCTCGCCGTTGAAATTGCCGTTTTAGAGGAGAAATCCTAATCCGTCGACATGCTGTACGTACATGTGTGCATGCATCCTGGGAGGAGTGAAGAAGTGGAGAGAATCAGCAAAGCAAAATGACATGAACAGTTAAACATGGGGCAATAAAAGAGGGAACCATTTCATTCACGGGGTTTATGACGCAAATAAGGTATCCAGGAAGGACAAAGGAGGAAAGTAAAGGAAAGGAGCCAAAAAAACCCGACCCACCGAATTATAACAAGGCGATGGTGGGTGGTGATAAGTGCAGATTTGGGTAGAACTAATTTGAATTTGTTAAGGGGGAAGTAAGAAGGTCAGTGTTTTTACGTTTTTAAGAACGAGTACGTTTTAGCGTTCAAATTTTAGTAGAATAAGTGTCCTCAAAGATTTAAAAATGGATATTTTACAAAATTAGAATTTTGGCAGTATTTCCGATTTAGGGAAAATGAGGTAAGCCTAAAACAAATTTTTGTTAAGTATATTTTTTTATTCCTCTTGAGAACCATCTTAGAGAAACGAATTTTGTGCATAAAATTCTTAAATTTAGAGATTTCCGGAATTTGAAAAGTCACAACATTTCCCAAATCTGTGCTTTTAACTGGAAAAAATTAGAAAACTCATTACAATTCTAGACGTATAAATATACGTCACCAATTTATTTCTGACCCCGTAAAAAATAAAAATTCCCCCACCCAAAATCCTCTCCTATCACCTCACACCTTCACACCCTAAACTCAACCAGAATCAACCCACGAACCAACCATTCAAGCTGAAAAGTGGAATGGATCTACATGCATACGAATGGAGAGAGTGCGAGACAGAAGTGAAAGCAGTTTTTAACCAAGCAGTGCATCTCTCTCACTCACTTTCTCTCTTCCTCTCTCTCGCCTGTCTATAAGTCGTCGAAAGAATATAGGCATGTATGCTGCGCTTTGTTAGGATTTCGAATTTAAGGTGGTGGATGCAATCCTCTCTCTCTTTCTCTTGGATACCCGCAAACAAATGAGTGTTTTGTTTGTTTATTCCATTTCCACAGAATCTCTCCGACTTTAATCTCCTCCAAGAACCATATGCACACATGCAACCTTCCAGAATTGTTTGCTCACTTTTGTTTCTCGCAAGAAGATTTCATTCTTCTGCACGTTGCATTTACTTGGTTGAAAACCAGCCTTTTTGCTTTGGTTCGTGGTACTGACCTAACTCCACAAGTAAATAAGCAATCCTTCTCTTGCTTTCTATTTAATAACAAAACCCCATCAACACGATGCATATCGTTGTTTATATTTTGCTAGCAGACCATGTTTTGAATGCCATATGTCACCCGAGGCATGCGGTCCACCATAAATTTTGAGACTCACCTGCAAAAGGTATTTTGTTCCAGTGGGTAAAATTTCTCTCGAGCTGGACATAGTTTACGTCTCCTTTCGCATCAAAAGGAGTCGGGATGGGTGGATACACACCGGAAATATCGAGCAGGTGAGACGACGTACTGTAGTATTTCATGCCACGAAAAGGTGACCATTTCCCACGCGTGGTGCAGACGTCGGTGGCGATGATTCTTAACTTGTTCAGCGTGGCAGCAGTCATCCCACTCATTTTTTTCAGTTTCCTCCAAACTCAATTTTCTGTCTGGATCAAATTTCCAAGTTGGACGGAGAGAGAAAGGTGAGACGACGGGAGCGTCGGTCGGTGTACTTAACTTACTAGTTTTGAGTGAGTTTTGTACAATTGAATCAGCGCAATTTAGTGAATCAGTAAAAGTATATAAGGAATATAATGTAATTATTTACGTCACCCGGCTCATATGAGAGAGCCTCACTCAATAATAAGGCGACGGCGACAACAAAGTTTGACGGTTATGCAATCCCTCAGTCACCGACAACTATTATTAACCACGTTTCCCTTAATTAGTTGATAATTTTACACAGTATGTTTTGCTTAAGAGTTTGTTTTGGTTTAGGCGGCCAGAAGACGTTAAACAGGTCTGGTTTGTTGGGGTAATTATTATTATGTAGCTTGGCTGTTATGTATGAGAAAAGTTGTTCTGCAGTCGAGTACACAGTGCGTTTCTCGACCCGCAGCAAGCAACAGGATTTGTTTAGGTGACATTTCAGAGGCAGGAAACAATGACGCCTTTTGGCTGAATTCAATTCGTCTCCTTAAACGTAAAGGGCAATCGTAATAATATTTCGCAGCCAAAACTTTTGTCAACAACAGTGGCCGCGGAAGGGTGACGGGACGGAGGGACAATGTCCCCACGGTAATGTCCGCATCATCTGTCCATGTCCCTCCCATATCCTGCAATGTTAATGTCCCCACACCTTCCGCGGCCACTGGTCACCAAAATAATCGCACCCATGACCATGCCGTCTGGCTGAAAATTGTAAAACTGGGCTTCATTCTCTCTCTATTTCTCCATCTATACTGCGGTCACTGTGCACAACCGGATTTGCGAAATGTTGGGATTCGACACTGTGTATATGAATATATCGCCCGTGATGAAAATTTGATGCGAAAAAGGACCCACGATCGAGGTTTCTGCTGATTAGTGTCGAATATATTCCGACCCTCCTCATTCCATTTCATTCATAGCGTTTCTTCTGCGTAGTTGGTACATAGATTGCAGATATACTTGACCAAAATCTAGCATCACGTTCGTATCGAATTGGACAGAATTTCATGAAATTTTCAACAGCAGCACGAGAAACATTATCATCTCTGGCTGACACGTAAAGCGAGCGAGAGAGCGAGCTAGATAAAAACATGCACATGCTTATCGTTAGATACGTGCGTACTGGATGATGCGAGAATGCATGGTTTGATTCCTGGTGGAATGATCTATTAAGGTCGACATGTAGGCAGAAATGGAAACAAGACGCCGTAAGTATAGACATCAATCACGCAATACTTTATTTAATGATTCCTCGCCTTGTTTTTGGGTATCTGGTAAATAGTGGCACTCTGACATACCATGTATCACACACACCATAGTCTTCCTCCTCCTCCTCCTCCGCTATTTTATTCGAACTACAAATAACACACACTTTCGGCATGCTTTTACTAACAGTAAATTACTAAATAAACTAGACTATTCTTCTTCTCTTTTCATTAAAGCCAGTCCAACAACACAGGGATTCATATTATCATTATCATTATTTAAATGGAATAATTTACTAAATGTGACTGACATGAGTGTATGTAAATAGTTATCAAAAGCTTTTTTTCTCGTCGGGGTAATTACATAATTCCTCCGACAGGTAAGTATTTAAGTAGGTAATCAATCAGGTAATATTTAGGTTGGATCTCGAGCGAGGCGTGGACGTGGAAAAATAGAGGTTAACACAAGTTTATCAAGAAATAAAGGTAATCGTAGACTCCTCGAGGTCCGGATCTCCCGGACATTTGAACGTGAGCCGGAGAGGTTCCTCAAAGTTGAGTCCGAAAAGTACAGCTTTATGGCGATTGGCTTTGGGTATTTTTAAATAGGTTGATCCGTTCACGGCGATCTGTAAAGGGAAAAAAATCCAGTCTCAAATAAAAAAAGTGGTTTCTTTCTCTCGAGACTATTTGTATCAAAGTAATCCAAAGTATCGCTCAAGAGAGCCCACGGTGTGGGCGAGGAGAGATTTGCGAAGGGAAAATTGTATGCATATGTTTAAATCGGATGACGCTAACTGGGTGGCAAGGATTGTGTGTGTCTCCCGTCAAAAGAGAGGCGAGTGGAGGAGCTATCATCATGTGGTGCGGGTATACTTTGTCCCGAATTAGGTGTCCCTACGAGGAGGAGAGAAGGGATTTGCCTTTGCGGCGACTTGAACTGTTTGTAAATAAAAGTAAAAAAGTTTTCCAATTTTATTAAAACTAGCAGCAGCGAAACGAGACGGGGGGATGGATATGGATGTGCAGGAAGGAGAGAGGAAAGTAAACCGAGCCAGATTGATTGCGTGTTGCAAACGAATTAAAGTTCTTCTCAAGGTTTATATTTCTTATTCTGCTCTGGAGAGAAAGTGAGCTAGAGAAGAAGGACTACCTCATATCCACTGGAAGAAGCAGTTCCCTTATCGGTAGGCCCACCAGGTACCGTCCAACTCACGAGAAGCGCATCATCCCCGATTTTCCGAACCACGCGAAAGTCCACCCCACCAGGATGGCCAGGATGAGGGGAAGACTCATCTGTGTCAGTGGAGACACGATTATCTCCAACGCCACTCTCTTCAATTGTCCCGAAGGAGACACTCTCCAACAACTCCTGTGGAAAATGGGTCCATCAACCGTCATTAATTATTCATTAGACATTGGTCAGAATATAATGTTATATGCTTTCTCTCTCCAAGCAACACCACCTCCTCCTTCTTTCACTACTGGTTAGGTTAGTTCGTCCCAATCAGTGGCCGCGGAAGGGTGTGGGGACAGAGGACAATGTTCCCATGGTTGTTCGATGTCCCCATCTTATATAAACCCGGTCCCTCCCCCATCCTACAATATTAATGTCCCCACACCTTCCACGGCCACTGATCCCAATCTCGCCAACGACAAAATACATAAACCCCGTCGGTTGGCAAATAGAGAGGCACAGACACAGATGCTGTTACACACACTTCAAACTGCAACCATTATTTCGCCCAGAATTACAACTCAACAAGTGGTTCGTTCCCTTTGCCTATACGAACTTCTTCAAACCTGGAGTGCTCACTAACAGGGTCAAAGGAACATATACGTTCATACATACATACGTATCTATATCATTTCAGGAACATTCGGTGTGATGGGAGTAACGAACTCAAATCTTGATTCAATTATGTTCATGGTGCCAGAAATTCTAAAAATTTAGCGTCAAATTGAAACTTTGAGATTCTAATTCCTCCCGGGATGCAAAATACGAGAAGCAGTGTGACAGAAGGAGTCGGAGAGTAATTAATATATTCACCAAAACTCTTTGACGCTCGGATGCCAAGAAGGAGCGGAGCGTGTTGAAGGAAAAGTCTCGCAGGGAGGAAGAAAAAATCTCATTTTTCTTGTGTGATCTTTCCCCGAGAGAAAGGTGGTGATGATGATTCTGCTGCTGGTGTGGGGCAGGTGGCGGAGCCGAGTTTTTGGCAAATTCTTTCTCTAATTTCCTTATTTCCGTCAAAATCCCGTTGATAAAGTGTCCTTCAACATCTGTGGCACTTAGGTGAGCAATTCTACGGGCTAGTAATTGGATGAGCACGTTTTTCTCGGTGCAGCGATGTTTCCAGAGTCTCATCTCCGTCAGGTGGGATTCCTTCATCTCGCCTTGTTTGATGTTGAGACTCTCCTCCAATTTGGTGATTTGCAGGGTGAGACGAGCCATGGTTTTTTGGAGGCGTGCAATTAGTATTTCGTCCTTGTTACGGAAAGCGAAAAACAAAACAAATAAAAACAAATAAAAATGTCAATTGTGAGGTTAAGAGGGGACCGATATAGCATCTTCCTCTTATCCAGCAAACCACTTGGGCAGCAGTGACCGCGGAAGGGTGTGTGGGACAGAGGGACAATGTCCCCAAAGATATTCGATGTTCCCATCATCTTATATTAACCCCTCCCTCCCCTATTCTATAATCCTAATGTCCCCACAGCTTCCGCAGCCACTGTTGGCCAATGCAGATAAAAAAGAAAGTGGGGTCCGTAAGAAGCAGTGATTAATTCTATGCCCACCAAGCAACCATCTATCCATCCACGATTCTGTACTCGGAATAAGAAAACAAGAAAAATTGATACTTTTACTCAAGCCGTGAGCACACATCATCCCGTTCCATTTCATCCCAGCAGACAGCAAGGAGAGAGAAAGCAAAAAAACTGAAAGAAAGCAAGCATGGATGCGATTGCGAATTAATTCCAAATCTAAAATCGACCTCGGACTAGATCTCGCTTACCTCATCGACTATTGGCTGTTGCGCAACGACGACGTTCCCCTTGGGACTTTTGAAAAGATTCGAAGAATTTGCATCGTCCATCCTTCTCCTGCTGCCTGGGGTTGCCTGCACAAGTCAGTAAACGATCCGTTAGAGTGGTTCCCCTTTCAAATTTTATTGCCAACAACTATCCACAAAATTTGCACAACGTCCGCCTCAAAGCCGGTGTCGTGGTAATAAGTAAGTAAGCAAGTAAGTAAGTAATCAGTGGCCGCGGAAGCTTGAGGGGACTGGGGGACATTATCCCCCAAAAAATTCAGAAAAATCCCATCTTTTCCATGTTAATAAGCCTCTTCTCCTCCTCCTATCTCACAATGTTAATGTCCCCATATGTCCCCCCAATTTCCGCCGTCACTGTAAGTAATTCGGTGCGCCATGCAAAAGATTAATTCACAAGGGAACCAAGCACACGCACAACAACGAGAGCGCAACAATAACAAAAGCGAGTACTTTGTGGATTCGAGGTAGACACGAATTTCCGGTCTGTCCTGACCAGATATGCTTAATATAATTGATTACCGTGGGAATAATTAAAATTTCGTCGCTTTCACATCTTTTCATCCCAAATTCCAGCTCCATCTAAAACACACACATGGACAAGTAAACACAAACACAAACATAGAGCAATCAGGAGGAAAGGTTATAATAATTAAGAGCCGGTCTCAAAAGTCTCGTAAAATTGACCCGTCATCGTCCTCGTCCCATGAATGAATAGAACACGGGACGACGGGAGAACAAGAACAAACATAGGACAAGGAAAGCATGAAATCACACATGCATACAAAATAATCGCCACAGTTTGTTCTTGTCCTCGCCAACCAACACACAATAAATGTTAAAGCGGATTTAGTCAGAATGGCGAATTTTCTTTTATTATTAGTCATGAAAAGCAGCAAGCTTTGATCGGACGGGGTGGTCTAACCGAGGAGTGGAAATCTGCCACAGGAGACGATTGGAGGATTTGGATTAACGGTATTAGTGTATCTGCCACGTCCATTAGTTTCGAACCCACACTTTCACACTGGTGACATTTCTGTGAATTCGGGCAAGTAAATACCATTAGAATTTGATTATATTAATTAAGCGTATCATGCTCAGCTAGTAAATATCTATTATTATTTAGTCATAGTGCTGGACATTTGGGGTCGATATCCACCCACCCACCTTGATAAGCCCGACAGCTTCCTGCACCGCCCTCACCACGCCGGTCAGTCCGCCTTGGCAATTGTTGAAATCGGAGAGTTCATGAGGAACCCCGGGGTCAACGGAGGGCTGGTGCATTCGAAGATTTCGAAGTTGTCCTTCCAACTCGTCGATCAAACCGTCCTTCTGTTTCAACTCGGAGCTGAGGGCTGTAATCGTGTTGTCACTTTTATTCCCCTTGCTCACCGCCTCCTCCACAGTTTTCTGGGAAAATCATAAGTATATATCCGCTTATCTTCTATTATACGGTGTACACGTGCCGTTAATTTCGTAGGTAGATATTTATACCTCCAAGTAGGAAACTTCCTCTTTGAGCATGCCATTCGAACACTCGGTATCCATGTAGTTTTGGTACAGTTCTTGCAACTGGGTTTTTAGTTGGGTAATCTATTTTTAAAATAAAGTGGAAAAAAAGTTTGTATTTTGTTCTGCTTTCCTTTCCTTTTTACTTTCATTAATCGATCCGGGGTAAAAGTGCGAATAAATAGAAAAAAAGTGGGTACGAAAAAAGAGTGCAAATAAATTCTGAGAAGCCGACCTTTCCCTGTAACAAGTTCTCATTGCTCTCCATCTGCACCTCTTTCTCCTCCAGTTCGGACATTGTCTCCCTCAGTTTGGCAGCTACACATTGCATCTCGGTTTTGTACTTGGTCTCACTCACGATCCTGGTATCAACCTCGTCCTGCAGCTGACAGCATTTACTTCGAAGGAATTGAAGTTCTTGAAAATAAATCGGTTGGAATTAGGACTCAGTTATTTAGGAAATAATCAAGTGTGGGTATGTATGTATGTATGGATATGAAATGAGTGGAAGTATGAAAATTGTGTGCAGAATTTTGCATAATTAGCCTTTGCAAAAATATTTGCAGGAAAACGTTGTATCATTTTGCAGAAAATTTCTGTCAGGCATATTCTGAAGGTTTTTGCATAATTCGTTTTTGTAGTCATATTTGCAGGAAAAAGTTGCATCATTTTACATAAAATTTCTGTCAGGAATATTTTGAAGGTCAGTCTGTGCATAATTTTGCATAGATTACGCACATATTGCTCTGCGTATAATTTTTCTGCACGAAATTAGGCTAAATTTCTGCAGAATAATTTTCATTTGTGAAAACAGGGAAAGTTTCCATTCCCCCTCACTGGACAACTACATAAGTAGTGAAACTACAAGGGAAAATCCCTAACTACGTAATCCCGAAATAAATAAATCTACCATGAATAAGCTGCTGGACTTTCTCCTCGCCTTTGGTTTCCTTCCGCTTCATCACAGCCAACTGGGCTTGGAGACGTTCCTCGATCCGTTCACAGTCTTCCAACCGCTCTCGAAACTCCGCCTCGTTCCGCACACTTTCCTCGACTCTTTTTCGAAGTACGTCCATCTGCATGAGGTCCAGTCGGAGGCGTTCATTATCCTCTTGGGCAAGTTTGAGGTCACTCCAGGCCCTGTTGTCATCCTTGAGGAGGGACTGTAACCGGGCGTTCTCCTCGCTCAAGTGGGCAACCACGTTGCTCTCTGATTGTTCTGCATTCACCTTCATTTCTGCAACCAATCGATCAATTTCGCAAACAAGTTGTTGTTCTCTCCACTCAAATCGAGCCAAGTGGTCTTTCAAACTTGATTGAAGAAGGGGAATCAACTTAATCATCACATCTGGCTCCACATCTCGACCAAAAGAACCACCACCAACGCCAATGTCGACTGCTGCTTCAGAATCCGTCGCTTCCGCTTGGCTGACCGCTTTGGAAAACTGGTGCAGTGGTCCAATAAGTGGAATTTGGCGCTGCTGCTGTGGTTCGTATGAATTCTCCATCTCGGACATTCCACGGAAACAATCCTGCTGCTGCTGACCCAGTAATAAGTTTTTGCCAAAGTAGGCAACAAATTGCTCCAACTCGTTGGTTAAAGAGTTCCATTTCTCTCTCAGCTCTTTCGCGTCTTCCTCCCAGTGACGGCTTTCCTTCACTTGAGCCTCCTTCTCGCCCAACTTTTGCTCATACATTTCCATCAGATGGGTTCGTTCCGAGGCAAATCCGCTCCGAAGTCCATCAACGTTTTGTTCCAAGGCATTAATTTTTTCGTAGAGAGATTTCTCCACCGTGCTCCACTCGGTCTGCTTTCTAGCAACAAGTTGCTCCAGGAATAGGTCGAGTTCTGCTTGGTTTGTTTGCGTCTCCATGTGATTGCACTTGACACCACTTCCTCTTCCCGTCACCTCATTAGCATTCCCCTTCAACTTGGCGATCATTTCTTCCGCGTTGAAAATCCGTTCTTTCACACTTTTCCACTTCTTTTCGATGGGTTCTTCTTTGAGAGGGTTGGACAGCTTGTGCTTCCTCGGACTTTTTGACTTTACAAGGACATCTGTCAGAGATTCTTCTGGGGCACAAATGGAATAGACGGTTCTAATCCGATGGATGGGATTGGAGCAGTTGAGACGATCAAAGTAGTAGAAGATAAAATATTGGTAAAAGTAGACAAAGGAGATGACGGGCATGGCGTAGATTACGAATTGCACTTGATCCGCGGAACAGTCCTGGATTTCCATGCAGGACTCTTCGAGTTCGAAATTTTTCTGTTCGTAGCCTTGAATGAGGCCTTCTAAATGTAAAACTTTGGAGGAAGTGAGGGAATTTTGGTTTTGGAGTTTTAAAATTTGGAGTTGTAGGCTTTCCATGTTTTCTCGTTCTTCGTTCAGTTTTACTTGGAAGGCGACTTTCTTCTTTTTTAACTGGCGGACTTTCTCCTCCAATCTGAAATAGAAATAATGTTAGGCGAGAGCTTATGTATTTCATGTGCAATTTTTTTGCGAATATTTGCAAAATACGAGTTACATAAATACCTTTGGCAAAGGTATCTCGTGTCATTTTCTGCCTCCTCGATTTCCGCCCTCTCCTCCTCCAGCCGTTTATTATCCACGAGTAAAAGGTTAACTTTATCCTCTAAACTTCTCATGTAAGTAATGTCATTCATTTGAGAAAGTCGCTTTTCAAATTCTTGAATTCGCTGGCGACAATAACTCAAATCTGACGCGACGTTGAATTTACTCCTTTCCAAAGTGTCCAACCTCTTCTCCTGCCCTCGTGACTCGGCCCCTTCATTATAGCGGCGAAGGAGCTCCTCAATTTGAAATGTTAGGTTGGCTAATTCACGAGAAATGTGGTTCCGACCGGATCTCGGACTTGATAAGCCGTCATCTGAACCCTGTCCGTCAAAAATGCCACTTTCTTGCAAACTTAGACTTTCAGAACAGTCGCTACTGCAAGAACTTCGAGACTCGGTGGCTGCTGCGTGACGATTCTCCTCCTCCGGGGACTGGGGATAAAATATGTGAAAATGAGTAATTTTTCACGTCATAATTTATCGCGGAATGTCATAAACTTATTTTTAGCTTACTGGAGGAATGGCGTCGTCCATTGGTAACTCTGGACTTCCGATGGAGGGTGTCTTATCACCGGAGTGATCTCTTTCCCCCTCGTCAAGCAGGGCGCCGTTGTCGACATCGCTCTGCAATAATGACACGATTCGTGTTATTTCATGGCGTAATTTTTCCTACATTTTTCATCTCCGATCCTTTTAAAAATCCTCAAATACAGTAATTTGTATCGTATTTATGCCTAATTTCACTTTATTTCAAAACTACCGAGCCATAAACAACGACAAGAAAATGTTGCGTCATTTTCTTCGACTATAACTGGTTACATTTCAAAGATAGCGTAAAAACGTTACAATAGAAAATCAATTTCCCCTGTATCAAAAATCAATGTCAATGTTATTCCCTCTATAGTATTTTTTTTACTTCATTCCATAAAACGACGTGTCCTTCATAAATGTTTGAAACTATGTCGATAAAATTCTTTGTGGCATCATCGATCAAAGCGGTACAGAAATTGCACGAGGTGAGTGAGGATAAAAAATCTCATCGAAACGGGCTTCCAATATGAGACAGAGAGAGAGAGAAACAAACAAAAGAAGGACATGAAATATCCAACTGTTTACGAAATATACAGGATCTAAAAAACAAACCAACTTGTTTATTGTTCGACGAGGAGGAGGAGGACGACGGAGCTTCTTCAATTTCCAGCAGTCGAAACTCCAGCAGTTCGTTTTGATCTCGACATTCTCGCAATTCATCTCGCAGTTGTTGAATGATTGATTGGAGCAAGAAAATTTTATGGCCGTCCTGACTCTCGCATTCTTCTTCTTTCTTCCGCCGATCTGTAAACTCTTCCTCGAAACGTTTCCGCCTTGACCCGTGGTGATGCTGACTCCCCTCCAGCAACGCCTCCAAGGACGCCGCACTCCGACTCTTGCCCCTCGATAAGGACGAGAATTGCGGTGGAATTGGTGGCAAAGTGTCAGGAGTCGGCTCGTCGTGGTCGTTATCATCGTTCGTGGTTAAACTTTCCTCCTCACTGCTCGCCTCGGGCAGCGTTTCCAATCCCGAACCTCCACACTGTGAGAAAAATTAAGAAATTAGACTAAATATTTGGGGCACCATTAAAAAATTATAATAAAAGTGCGCATTATTTATTCATTACTCAACACTTGATCGAGCCCCAGTTACGTACAAAATTGGGACATATTTCTTGATGAAATAAGTCGAAGAGTAAATTTTTATGGTTCAACGAGCCAAATGCGTATTGTTTTGGAATCATCGTGATTGGTTTTCATTCCAATTTGAAGATTGCATATAATTTTATCTGCAACTCTTGCATTCCGTTGAGTCAGTCTGGCTCTTGTAATTAAGTTAATAATGCAACCACTAATAAAACCACGAGCAAGCAAACAGAAAGTTCAAATTATGCTGGGTCGGGTGAGACAATGTCGGTTTGATTAAAGCCAAATAATAACAAACAACAAGTAAGTAAGCTGTCTTTAAAATTGAGAATTTATTGGCTACCTAGTCTTACCTACCTGTATGCCTATACAACCTACGAATGCCTACGCGTATGTACATGTAGCTGAGCCGACCGCTTTTTTGTCTCATTGTACAAATAATGACTGAAGCCCTATTACTATTTATGTACCCATAGGTCATCACTATTTGTGGTTAGTTATGAAATGAAAATGAAGGTAAAAGAGAAACTTATATGCAATTTTTCATACAAAAAATGAACTGCATTTACAGCTTGTGTGTAAGATTAAAGAATGTAAAAGTATGTCATATTTCTCCGTAAAGTTGGATTAACGGGCAATTTGTGTCATTTTGTCGATGGACTTACAACATGAAACTTTTCCTTAACTGTTTCCTTATTACGAAATCTTTGCCTATGAAGTTTTCTTAATTTTTATGCATGTACGTACCTGAGAGTAGGCATAGTTGTTGTACTGACCCAGCAGAATGTTACTTGGGAGGGAGAAATACTGCTGCGGCTGTCGATTATCCAAAACGTCGTCGTCAGCGGACTCATTCATTTTGGACTTTGAGGCATAGTTCGGACTTAAAGGGCGGCTCTTCTGTCTGACGTGATAGGGCCGCGACGTGTTCCACCTGTTTCGTTGAACCTGCAATTAAACGGGTGGTGGTGGTGATTATTTATTATTTATTCGGCGAATTTTATGGTGGCAGTAACAGGTCGACTCATGCATCGTCAGACTTGACGCTATAAATAAATAGGAAGGAGACATAATAATAATCATACACATGATTTCTATCACAGCAGCAGATGGTTAACTTTAAACTGTCACGGTCATCTGTATGCAAATGCATATCCACACGTCTGCGGTTTGCCAATATGAACAATGCAGAAGGCTCACTCATTTGGAATAAAGTCCGCATATGTAAATAAGCATGTGCTTTTGTTTTACTTAAAATGGTTGTCACTAAAGAAGAAATGTGATGTGATGGGACTGTGACTATTTATCTCGGTCGGGATGAATTTTATTCACTACAGGTCTCACTCATGTGCATGTCATTTTACAATAATAACTGTGTACATAGCTCATTAGTGCATTAATAATAATAATAACGGAGCATCGAGCAGATAACAATGCACCGAAGGCTGGCCGTGATATTTTCAGATATTTACGTACACCGATGGAAGAAGACACGTCTCATTTGTCACTAAATGTTGAGGATAAGAGTCATGTCGACCTGTTTATCTATGTAGCTCGTCGCCATGAAAATTGACGACCCTAGATATTGACGATACTCCGAAGGACGGAAATTTTGCATGCATTGCATTCATGTGCAAGACTCCGAAGTAGGAAACTCGTAATTTATGATGTGAGCATATTCTCAAGGGAAAAAGCATCACATTGCGTATGCAAATTTTCAATTTTACGACACCTTTTCCACAGTAATTACTTGGGATGCATGCAACTTTGAGAAACGGACAACGGGTTGGTTGGGGTAATTGGTTCGTATTCTGTGAGAATATGGATGCCTCCTCCTCCTCCTCCTGTCAGGATTATAACAGCAGTTTTACGTTATCCGACGGAAGTTGATTATCATATTCATCAACCATGCCACCCGAGGAGTTGGGGAGAATGGTGGCGTAATTGTGAGTGTGGATGATTCGATACTCTTTTTTTTTCTTTCCCACGTTTCCTAGAATTCAATTGAATCGTAGTAACCAAACCAAACCACAGAATTTTTGAATATGACATTCTTTACCATTCCATTTTTTTTATGACTGATTCAAATACATATTTATTTATATAGGTCAAGTTCCTTGTGTAAGAGAACAGACCGGAAAAGAGAGATGCAGACGCGAGATAATACTTATTTGCCAATAATCTTGACAATCCGACGCTATTTATTTATTTGCAATGATAATTTTTGCACAATGAGACAACACAAGTCGTTCAATCTCAAGGGTGATTTTCTACTCGAGTTTTTTTAGGAATCGGTTATAGGCAAAATTTCACTAAATGATCGCCGTCGTGACGGTAATCAGATCTGTCATCGAAAACACTTATTATTTATGTAATCATTTGTGTAGGCTGACGGTGCTATTTAAATAATTGCAGCAACCACCATCGCACCCGAAAGGAGAGGAATGCAATATTATTATGGCCCAGTTTTCTTGAGAAACTGCTCCAACCAACGCGTTGGCAATTCCTTTATGCCGAATTTCATACATGTTTTGTGCTGCTGCTGGTGGGTTGGTAAATGGATGATCGACAAGCCCAAAAAAGTTTATCTATCGAACATTAAGATATTTCCAAATCAAATTCATTCATCGTCACATAACCTCAAACTACTTTCTAAACTTTTCCAAATCGTGCCTTCTCAATAAAACCGATATATGGAATGAGGACTGCTGCGAGCACAAAAGTATCCAAATAAGAGATCCGTCAAAACTTTTACACGAAATAAGTAGTAATAATAATCGTTGCCATTTTTGATGTTGATAAGTCCTCGCCCTTTTTTAACCTGATTGAAATTCTCTCTGTAATCAAGTAAATATTCTTTGATATCATTATTATTATTTTTATTGTGAGGATCATAAAGCAGTCATCCAGTTGAAAATAATGCTGATTTTGGTTAGAGCAAACAGGAGTTTATCCACTTGTCTACTACCTACACTTCACTTCACACTCTCACAAATCTTATTTCCACCAAAGCAAAGCACCATATAAAACTAGTCATAATTTTATGTATGTACATGCAATGCAGCACAGCTCCTGCTTGCAAACTAATCACTTGATGCTACAAAAAGGCGAAGATACACTTTCTTCATTGGCCTGCAAACAAATCAACGAGACCTGATTTTCTTGGCACCTCACTGCACTCAATTTGGACAATACGTTAAAATTATGAGCAACCACCTCTTACATATGCATTCATCCATCCATCCGCGTCCACGGTGTGTATGTAGATATGTACTTAACAACGGTATGTAATGGTCAATCGAAAAATATGTATATCTTTTTTGGGCAGAAATTGGTTCATTTTTTTGTAAATTTGTCTTCCATCAAGCTAATTTTTTCGTTGGGCATATAGATAATAGCAATTTACCTGCGGCGAGATTAACCCCACGTCATTATTTCTGTCTGCCTAATAATATTTCGTGTAGATTGAAAAATCTTGAGCATCCGTCAAAGTCAGCCTGATACAGATTAATTTGGCAGCAGGTCCGAAATAATTGGGACATGGATGGCTATGGCTACAAGAAGTGCGGATGAGAGAGAGAGAGAGGAGATAATGCATCGTCTACAGATAAGAGATAAGCTCCAGGTGCCAATGTCCAACTTAATGGGAAGAAAGTGCATCTCTCTCTCATTATTACTTACAACAAAAACAACAAGAGGCTACAAATCATACCGACGTCAAAGTCTGGCTTGCAATTAGTTAATTAACGAGGAGCGTCGTCGTCGTCGTCAACTCTTAATCCGTAATAATGCGGCATGTGGTACATACATACGACCGAAGACATACATAAGTAAGAATTTCATGCGAATTCGTGAGAGATTGATAGATCTGTAATAATAAATAGTAGCCAAGCAAGCCAGACGGTGACAAGAATATGTTTTTTTAAAAGTCGCCGTACACCAGACAGAAAAGGGATTCTTCTGCTGACCTTATAACTCTAGACGAGCGAATGGCCGAGAGTGGTCCACCGACCGACCGATTATTTGAAAGCATGCGTTATTTACTTACTCTCCTCTCCTCCTCTACTAATCCCACATAACAGGGTTTGCTACCAACAAGGAATTTAATTTCGTTTCTCAACAACACTACTGCTGCCACTGCTGCTTGCTGAATCAGAGAGATTGTTCAAGTACGAGAGTAAATAAACAATCCGAGGTTTTCTATTCTCTCCATTATTCCGAGGGTGCGCGTGGACCTTGTGTTCATCAAGGTTTAGACTTTAGCTTTAGGGTTTCCTTTTGAAATAAAAATTTAATCTTTTGTCCATCCGATCCACGCTACGGGTCAACACCGATCCACAACCACGACGACGACAAATAAGCAAAAAGGAAAAGTCGAGTTAACGTTTTATCGACACAATGCAAACTTCACTATACCGAGACCAAGGAGAAGATGATTATGATGATGACGACGACGTGAAGTGCCACACATCGTCCACATTAAATGGAGTGGACTCAATGTGTCGTACCAGAAATGTGTATGTGTGCACTTATTGTTATAATCCTTTGTGTAGCACCTGATCATCAGAGAACCATGTTTTGGTACATATGGTAAAAAGCGTCGTAAAATGATGTTCCTTCCTGCTGTGTGTGTAATAATTTAAAACAGTTTCTCTAACGAGACCTTATACATATATGCGAGACATCCACAATAATTTTGCTCTGCTTTCACCAACCAAACTGACAATATTTCTCAACAAGCCGTGGCATGAAATTTGAGCCGTGATCATTCATCTGTCACTTACTCGGAGCACATTGTCGTAATATTTCTCACAAATACGTACTTACATTCATTCATACAAAGCTATGCTATGCGTGACCAGAGGTATGAAAAATTCTGCATTGTTATCTTGGCATTGTTAATTTGTACCATATTGATTGCGAGGAACTGAAGCCATCGCTGACTGACTGAGTGACCGACGCATCATCATTTTTTGGTCAGTTTCTCTCCCATAAAGTAAAACACAGGCGTGAATAATGGGTGTAAAATATTGTTGTGAGTTCCGATTTGAAAAAAATGGAGGCTTGTTAATGGAACACGGGAAAAGAAATCAGTGCGTGTTTTTGAATGGCATTCGCACCCAAACAAACTTTGTCGACAATAAACAATATTTTGTTGAATATTTAACATCGAAATTTTTGGGGAAAAATAAATTGAATTTTTCCTATTAGGTCAAACCATTCAATTTTTTCGCCCCGACTTTTACAACACTTTCCGATTTCGCAAAAACAAGTCTCTCTTAAATTTTATTAGTGGTTAAAGTTATTTACTTATTTGATGCAATAGTAGTAGCCCAACAATCAAAAAAATTCACAGATTATTCATTATTTATCACACTGTTGCAAAAAAAGAGAGAGAGAAGAAAAAAAACTTTCGAAATCTCAAATCTCAGCCAAACTTGATACCCAATTGTGCATAAAATTATTATATATTGTATATTTTTTATGTCATGTATCTATCACTGAAGATTGGTGAAGCATAAATAAATAAATACGTAAATATGCACCTGCTCCTTCGCTGAGTGAGATAAACATAAAAAAATCATAATAAAATAATTCGTGTTTTGCATGATTTTGCTATTCAAACCTGAACAGTGTTGTTATACCTCTTTCTTCTTTTTATTCGGTAATACTCTCTGCAAATATTTTTTTACGCTGGCGTAATAACATTTTATTTAATGTGCACCGATACAATGGGAGGGGGGATGCACATTTTTATTTTTTGAAGTGTGCTATGGTACGAAGAATACATTCTAAATGGCTGAATAGAAAGCCTCCTTCTTTAGATATACACGGTATTTTGGTGACAATGAATTTTTTTCAATAAATCTAAACCTATTCATTTCAAATATTGATTGGGATCTTATTATTATTGCTTCGTCATGTCGATGCATGTGCCGGTTTTGTCAGAGGAAAAAAAATCCTGCTGATTTTTTTTCCCTATCGTTTCTTATTAGTTTCGAATTTTTCTTTTGATTCTCGCCCGAATATTTTTTATCACGTCATCGCCAACGCCATACTTTATTTATTAACTGTACTGATGTAAGTAATCGAATTAATAGAAGCCAAACTATTGATGCAGGCAGGTTCTTTTTTTAAGTGTTGATTGAGACCTGATGAATGTGAACGGATAAGAATCAGAAATCAAGATCCTCCTCCTCAGTCCTCCTGCCGCAATCTTGACTGACTTTCCATACAGTTTGTTCTCTTCTCGTCGATCACGAATGTTTGCTTAATCGAATGTCAAAAAGCTTAATTGCGATTTTATCACAGGTTCTCCATTCATTCGTAAATGTGGTTGGTTGGTTAGTGTTCGTTAAGTAGAAACTACTAAATTTGCGCCTGAAAAGGCAACACTTTACATTTATTTTTTTCTCCTCCTTGTAAAGCACTTTTACTCGAGAGGAAAGTTCAAATAAATGAAAAACACTTGTCGAAGTCTTTGGTTTCAAGGATTGCTTTGAAATTTGAACGTAAATAAATAAATAAACAAAACGAATCTCGAGAATGAAAAGAGGAAAAAAAATCCTGTCGCAACGGGCAGCCAAACCAAACCACAAGACAAAGTATTGGCTGGCGTACTAATAATGCCGGTTGTGTTGTTGTATTTGGTGTGGTCATGTCATGTACGAAATAGTGTGTGGAAAACTCTCTTTCTCGACGATTTAGGCCGATGAATGTGAAATTCTGACAATTTCCTTATTTGCATCGACACATGTGCATACATAGTTAATAAAATGTGTGTACAAATGTGCACAGCATGTCGGCTGGCCAAGTCGTCTTTCTAAAAGCCCTTCATACTCACTCTCTCAGTCACTCAGGCAGTCACTTATTCTCTTGATGAGGACGACGAGATGGTAAGGAGACTTGAGAAATTAAATTAGTAAGATTTGTTCCATTTCCCTTCAAGTGTAAAGAAATTAATATATTTGCATTCATAATTCTTGCCTCTTCTTCTCCTCCTCATCTCATCTCCATTTGTCATATATACATATAAGTAAAGGTCTTATATACTTATAAATTTCTCTCTCTCTCTCTCCACCTCTGGCCATGTAACTTTTTTGGACGAAAGACTAAAGAGTTAATAAGAGTGGAAGAAGAAGATAAATGAAAACATAAATAGCCATTATTCGAATGACAATTAGGCTGACTTAGTGGCCAGGTAGGTGCATAAATAAGTAGAGAGAGAGAGAGACTTGAGAATCAAAAGAAATAAAAAGTAGGGCATAATCAAAAGGAATACTTTTTTACTTCTTCTTCACACTGCATCATCACCTTCGAAATATTCCACCGTTTAATTCCTCATCAGCCTAAGAGAGGTAAAAAGATTATAAATATTCGGCATAGTCAAAAGTACAAGCAGTGAAGCGTGGTAGGAGTCCTACTAGTGAAAGATTACATTTTTATGGGCATGCATATTATAATAAGACGCATTATTTTGTGTTGTTGGATTGAGTAAAGGCCTGGTTTTTGATTCACACAGGTCCATCGTCGTTCTATTAAGAATCGTCCACGTCCACCTTTTGAATGATCCACATTCACCACAACAAATGCAGCAAATTTGTTTTATTACGGTCTCTCTCTCTCTCCGCATAATGTATGAATTAAGAATTAAGGAGAATGTGCATGTGGAGTAATAAGTAAAGGAACAGTGGCCGCGGAAGGACAGAGGCACAATGTCCCCACGGTTGTTCGATGTCGGCATCATCTCCCCATCTTATATAAAAACCCGGCCCTCCAATGTTAATGTCCTCACACCTTCCGCGGCCCCTGAGGAGTAAAGTGTACGTACGTGACGTGGTGAAACAGGGATGAGTTTCATCGACGATTTTGTTTTATGATGTCGAAAGCGAGAAGGATGGATGGATGGATGGATGGATGGTTAGGTTACTTATTCACTACTTAAGTTATCTATGATTACTTGCTCACTTATTACACAAACCACACACTGGGAGAGAAGGAGAGAGATGATAATGAAATGATCAAGAAAAGAGGCATGAAGAAGAGGAAATCTGGGGAAGAAACGAACCAGACTTTCTGACTTATTTATGAGTGACAATCAAGACGAAAAACTGGTATTATTATTGATTCTCCATATCCGACACCTTTTACTCACGACGATGTGAAATGAGAGACGTACATAAGTAACTTAACCCCGCATGCTAAACATGTTTACGAAATGGAACGTACGTCTGATGTAATAATACACCTGCGATGACGAAAAGAAACTTGTACTCTTTTCTAGTTCATCCCAGAACAGAATAATAGGGAGATGATGATGATCATGCTTAATTGGCTGATCACAGGGTAGTAACCTGACCGGTAGTAAATTATGTCATTACAAAGAATCACGCACATAATTACAATTTGCCCAAATTGTAACAACATAGAAATTAATTATTCAGTTTCATTTAGGATCAGTCATCCTACACCAATGCACACGCTTTTCATCGCGACCATATTGGGCAGACCTCACACGTATGAAGGCATAAAAGTCATTGTTGGAAAGTGTTCATTCCATAAATTGTGTTATATGCTAATTAATGGGACAATAAGGTGCCAACAAGAAATCCACATACTTTTCCGGTCTCCAATTAATCCCAATTTCGTATTTGGCAAGGTGGTGGTGGAATTTTCAAGACAAAAATCAACACGGTTTCATGACCAGATTGCCTTCTTGTTAAATCACACCACGATTGTTAATTATATCACACAATGTGTCACTCTCGTTTAAAGGAGAAGAAGTCAGTTCTTCTTTCATGCCTGGGATTCCATGGAATGTTGTTATCTATCCCTTACACAAAATCCTACATAATTCCAGACACACAATAAGTCCTCGTCCTGAAAGAAATTCACTTGATGAAATTCACAAAAAAACTTTGCAACTTTTAGTTCACAGAAACTTGAGAATGGTCCAAAACACACACACTCACAGTCACAATCTAGTAAGCGTCCGTACCACAATTGAGCCGCGTTGGTTGTCAAAGTCTTATTTGCTCGCTCCAGTACAACTTTTCGACAAGCAGCCACCGAGACAAGGAGACAAGAGGAACTGAGAAATGTATTCCTCGAGCACTAAATAAAGCTTATTTTATTATTTTATTCCCTCTCAACTTGCACTTGTCGAGGCTCGAGTATTGTTGCGGAGTTGTTGGTCATGACGCTTTGTTGCAGCCAGCAAGAGATTTTTCTGCCAGTGCCATTCTCCTTCTGCGATGCAAAAGCAATGAGGAGGAAGCATTGTTGGACATGGTTGATATGCAGCGTCTCACTCATCCCTTCTCACAGGGCTGCATCGTTGGTTCGTGCTTGTGAAATAAAATAATGCTGCTGCTGGTGCCTGCTCATAGTTAGATTTAACAAGTTAAGTTGGTAGTTGTGCTCGTTCTTACACCCTCCCTCCCTCTACAAACGACTCCTTCCTTGGCACTACTATGTACCAATGTGTGCAATAATGATAACAATAATGCTGGCATGGATTGTAGTTACTTTCACAAGTATGAAGAGTATGCCTGAGTAAGACTTGGACCACGACGACGACAAAAGCGACGACGACGACGACGACTAAGGGGACGACTAAGGCGACAACGACGACCAAGGCGACAACGACGACCAAGGCGACAACGACAACTAAGGCGACGATGACCACGTCAACAATGACAAGCATACATACGACGACGACTAAGGCCACGACGACGACGATGACTAAGGCGACAACGTCAAAAATGACAACAATGAACCATAAATGTGGCATGATAACCCCATCAAATCCCAGTTACTACACACCCCCACCAAACAATCCTCTCCGGCAGATATTAGTAAATATCTTCTAATCTGTTACTGGTTACGTGCTCATCCAAACAACTAATCCATAATGTGAGTCGTCTCTGATGACGACTTGGCCTTAATTAGAACCACAACTCACAGGTTCTCTCGGCACATTTTTTTTGTAAAAGCGGGCTAGAATTTTCCCCATTAAAGTTCGATATTCTCTCTCGTGGGATACTGTTATGTTAGATCTCCCATTGAAACATACCCGTTCGTAATTGCAATAATAATAATGATCGAAAACCGGCCTATCGTCCTTCGGATCTTGTTTCCCTGTCAGTCAGTAGTACGTGAGCAGGGTTGGATTGGTTTCGTTCTTTGGTGCATATTGTTGGTTGTTGATGATTTGGCTTAGTTGCTATTGCCCAGAGGTACATAAAACTAACTTGTGTGTGTCTTGTCTTCCCCTCCTTGTTTAAGTGGATTAGCAACAACAATGTGGACGTAATATGTGGTAATCCAATAATCATCTTGTTCCTCAGCAAAGGTGGAAAACTATGCAACAGGTGGAATGGAATTAAATGACAATTTGGGATACTTTACCCATCCTCGTGGCATCAGAAGATGAAAATGTTTCATGCAGAGAGAACAAACTTTATGCATGCAGAGTAGGTAGTGAGACAGGGCAAAAGCAATGAAGAAATTTCAGATTATATTATGCTGATGGCTAATATTCCTCCTACAAAAATTGTGAGGATTTAGGCAGAAAGATTAGCTTGGCAAGATGTATGTACAGGTTGGTGTTTCGAGGCGTTTAAAAACCGTGATCAATCAAGAGAACGCGTAAGTTGTAAGAACCCCATGGTCCACTTTTATCAGGCTTCATGATCATGGCCATTTGTAAAAATCAAATTAAATGGTCACGACAAATATCTGTAACCTCGAGTTAAGTTTGTCATTATGCTTGCTTGGCTGGGATTAAACAAAGGGGGACGATGTAACCAACTAACGACGGACGTGGACCTTCCGGTAATCTCAGCCATCCTCCTCCACCTCCTCAAAAACACCATGACGAGACGAAATAAATAATAAATAAATAAATACATAATGCATTAATGTATTTTCCTTTTCTTGCATTGCGAGTGAGTGATGTGATGAATGAAATAATTAACTTTTCAATTAACCGCACTTTTACACTCGAATGATAACATGACGACTTGTTTGTAAATTAAAACACGATTAATTAAAAAAATACCTAATGTGTTATTTTATTTTGGCCTGAAATAACTATATTATATTCATTTCATTCATCCACCAAGTAAGAAATTTCCCAACTTGTTTTACTGATTAGAAAATTAATGCTGCTGCAAGTACAACGAGAAGCTGAAGTAGTTTGCAAAGGGGAAAAAATCAGAAAATTTCAACCCAAAATGTATGCAACTCCTCCACCAAACCAACAAGTACTCCATCCAACGATGCCCATTAAGTTTTCATACTAATCTTTACAAATCAATGCATTTATTTTATTTTATTTTACTTCCACCTCTGAAAACAGTTGTTTTTACTGGCTCTGGTTGTTGTACAATTTGCAACAATATTACTCACCCATCCGTGCCAAATCTATCTTCGTCGTCGTACTTAAGAGTGGAGGCAGGCAGGCAGAGGCAGTAGGTATCTCAGCAATAATGATTTAACATACTTCCTCATCTTCCTTTTCAATCTTCTCTTTTTGTGTGAGCACCGTTTTACCAATAATACCGGTAAACGATATCTCGCCTTTATTCTTGGGAGGAACGAACTTATTTTTGAAAACAAACGCGCAAAACATTACAAGAAATCAGACCTAATAAACAAGCAACCGCCGACGCCACCGCCGTTGCGTTGCGCCTGTGGTGGAAGGATGCTTTGTCAGGTATTTTTTTTCAAACATACGCATTTCTTCATCCCCATTCACATCATCAACTTTCAATTCAACAGGTTCCGTTCAAAGTGCATTTGTCGACGAGGACAAAAAAAACATGCAAAAATTCAGTTCATCCCATTTCTCATGTCCATCACTTCACTTACAGAATTTCCTCGGCAAGAATGTGTTTGAGAAGATGAGGAAGAAGAAAAATGCATGCATGCAAATGCCACGAGTGAGTTTGAAAAAAAAATCATGATTTCGATTCAAGTTCAGTTTCAATAACTTTTTGTTTTGTTGATGATGATGCGAAAGAACCAATTTCGTGTATCTGCAGGCTCTTCTTCTTCTTCTTCTGTGTACCGTATCTGCACTTGATGATCAATTTGGAGTGGTCGCAAAAAATAAATTTACAATGATTGGTCTCCTATCCTAATTAATTTTTTGAGACGGTTAATTAACTCTCACTTGACTTAACGTAGGTATATGAACATAGTTATTTCGTGAATGGAAATAAATGAGAGTGAGGATGACGATATGTTTTGCGAAATGATGAGAAATGAAATTATGTACGAACCCGATATCGCACAGGGCCTCCGGATGAAGAAGAATCTGATCTTCCCGTAATAGCAATCTTCTCCTCCTCCTCAGTACCGTTCTTCAATACGCCAAAATTATTACCATCCTCCACATAATTGCGAGAAGATGATTCTAATAATTTCGTGGACAAGTTGGAAACCGAGGTTTCAAGTTGTGCAATAGATTGATCCCTCGCGTTGATTTCTTTCCGCTATTTTTATTCGGACAAAGAAACAAAAAAAATTGGTAAATAATTATAATTGTAACGTCATCATCATCATTTGCGAGCTACTGGATTGCCTACAACCCCGCAGCGCTTGTAACAAATAAAATTACGAATTACGTACCAATTTTGTCATCCGTCGCGTAAAGGCCTTTTTCAGTTTGGCCGTCGTCTCTCCAACGTGTGGACGTTGTTTTTGCCCGTCCCAAACCTGACGCGTCGTCGTCCACTGTTGCCTCCTTTCCGTAATAATTTTGCTGTTTTTGTCCTGCAATTTTATAATTACATTGAATCAAAACGGAACTCGGAAGGTAAACGTGATCCATTGTCAATTGTTTGGAAGGAATCAGCTCTTGTTTCCCTCTATATTTATGATTAGGCTAGATACTCATTATTTTTATCCGTGTGTATGTTGCCTGGCTGGCTTTTCTTCATTTTAGTTGACGATTATTCCTTTTTGGATTTTCATTAGTATTATTATTATGCATGCCGAAGAAGCGGACAAGCATATTACTACTTATTCCCACCCTCGGAGGAGAATTTGTGCATCAAAAAAGTTTGCAGATTGACTTGACAGGTATTGCTGCGGTTATGTGCACGTTTTTTAATGTCTTCTCCCTTCTCTGGTGAGAACTCGGAAAAGGATGATGACAATGATTTTTTTTTGCAAACACGTAATAACAATGGAAAAAGTTAACCATCATCAAGCAGCCAGCATACCACATCGCGGATCGTATCGGCATTGTCCTTTTTTAATTGTTCTCTTTTTACTATGAAGAATTTATAAACAATTATGAACTCTGCGACTTGCTTCATCATGCCAGGTAATGCACTTTTTAAAGGGTAAGGTTGTTCCCACACGTTAGTTTGTAATGAACGAAACGACGAATTAAATAATGCATGCATGCATGCAAGGCAAGTCATTAAGTAAACTGCGATATGGTAATCTACAAACAATTAAGCTTGATCGACTTGATTTTTTATTTTCAATGTTACTTTTATCTACATTCACATATTTAATTTTACTGGATTGTCAAGACTCTACATAATGCAACACGTCGTTCGTTATCCTTGCATCATGCACAAGCCATCAATTTGCTACTTCCTTTTGATAAGAGAGAGAACAAGACAAAAAAATGTGGACGGAAAGTTTTAATACGTGTGTATTGTATGTATGTACATAGATATCTATTTACTAACTAAGGAGAGTAGTGACAACAAACTATCTCATGTTAAGAAAAACTGTTTGATATCTACTAATCACCACACATTACATGCGTGATTAGTCAGGCAAACAATTAAGAGTTGACTATATTTTATGTTAAACCAATCCTCATAAATCACATAGTGGCGAAACTGATGAACTCGGTGGGGTAAAAAGTTCACAAGTTTCAGTGGGAATTTTGAATTTTTTGAAAAAAAACTGCAAAAAGTTTTTGGAGTTGTTTATGTTTTTAGTGGTTTCCAATGGGAAGAGTATGTGTGGTGGTGGCTTCCCACCACACATACTCTATGACGAGTTGAGACGAATCAGGAAAAATTGCAAAATGTTTATCTTGTAATTCGAAAACCGAGATTAAATGTGCACTCAAAAATGTGAGACTTGATGTATTACAACTATTGATAGTTGCGCAACAAGGGAGCATGCCCTTTAAGGAATTGATATGCTACTTTTATTTATATTAAATGACCAATATCAATTTCCATCAAAATTTTGTTTTCCTCGAGATTAATTGATTAATATAAATAAAAGTAGCATATCAATTCCTTAAAGGGCATGCTCCCTTGTTGCGCAACTATCAATAGTTGTAATACATCAAGTCTCACATTTTTGAGTGCACATTTAATCTCGGTTTTCGAATTACAAGATCAAAAACCTGTGCAGAAAATAATGCATGGGGTAACATACGGGAGAAATATTGAGCGAGAGACTGTATTGGCTGATAGAGCGGCCAGAGCAAACTATTACGCCCCGTTAATAAGAAAAACAATGCTGCCAAAGCATGTACACATTTCAATCTCAACAAAGGAAGGAAATGACAGAAAACTTTATTTTTGACCGGTTGACAACCAACAACGTCCACGGGGGCAGTGGCCGCGGAAGCTGGGGGGACATTAACAGGGGAGGGCTGGGTTTATATAAGATGGGGAGATGATGCCGACCGTGGGGACATTGTCGCCACCCTTCCGCGGCCACTGGGCAGGGGAAAAATAAAAACATAAAACGAGGTGTATATAGTCTACTTACTTGTTGAGACGTATAACTGAGCAACGTTGCTAATTGATTTTTTCTCTGCGTCCCCCAAACTAGTAAATGATCGGATCGGAAGTTGCTGGTCGTGTTGCGGCAATTGTTCTCTTGTGGTCGTCGTCCTCTGCAACAATTGGTAGAACTACTCATCTGTCTTTGCAGCAGGGCTTGATTGAGTTCCCACTGCAATCTAGGGAAAAGTGTGGGCAATAATTATACACATACTTGATTTCTAATAAGCAATTTTTATAAGACAACAATGAGGCAGAAACAATTATACGTCTGTATTAAATACGAGAATGAACAATAATATGTCACACGTATCCTTAGGATTTCGAAATGCACCCAAAATCCATCCATATTCTCACAAGTTCTAAGTTCTCATCTCGATTACAATACATGAACTCGTGAACTTTCTCTAATTGTCATTTATGTATTTGCGCGATTTTTTTAATTAACAATTAAACCTTAATGTTTTTGAGGTATAAAGTTCTCGAGGATTTTTAATCTTGCTTTCGTATTGCAACAACAAGTTCTCGTATTTCGTAAATAAAGAAATGAATGCATTTTTTGAGAATAATGTGAAATTGTCTCACTCTCTCATGCATCTCACTCACTCACTCGGTCGGTCGGTATCATGGTGTTAAATTCATTAGTGTCACTCTACATTTAAGTGAGTAGTACATATTTCATTGTTTTCTGAGAAATTGTCGCGTCTCGATTCTTTCCATTTATGGTGATTTCTCAAGTTTGTCTCATTTTTTGTACAAATTGTTATTTTAATCTCATCGTGTTACAGTTAAATAAAATCTAATGCGACTAATCTCTCGCCTTGTGCCCTGCACAAATACATATTTGTAACAAAACAAGTCATTTGCTTACCTGAGTTTCAGAAGCTGCACAGCGGTGTCCAACTTTTCCACGTTAATCTTCTCCCCATCTGGGCAGTGACAATGACAGGTTGGAATTTCTGCGACGCTCGAGGACGACGACAACAACGAGGCTTGCACCGCACTTAGCCGAGTTTGAAGTCGACTTTTTGTTAATTCTAATTGCTTCGTTTGATTCGCTAAAGATTGACATTTTGACCTTAAGAAATAGATCTCTCGTTCTGACATGGTCAAGTCAGGGGAGAGATTTGGCGCAATAATGACTCTTTTTTTTTACTGGGGTGGGTCGTCGGTCAGATTATTATGAAAAATATGTATCTAACTAAATTCGTTTCGTTCGTCGTGAATAATAAATAAATCTTTAGCCAACCCCCACCACCATCTTTAGGATCTCGCTCCTATGGGGAAATTACCATCCCAAATAAGCGAGACTATTATTATTTTCGTCGCATTTTCCATGCTAACAATTTTTTACGGGACTACCCGGTCCCACGTGAGATCCGCTCACTCCTCGTTATTCGTATGGACTAAAACCGATTAAAATGCTCGACAAGTAAATACTTTTGTATACTTGAGACGTTGTCTTTGACTTACTTGGGGCTGGTGCCAAACACTCTAAATTTAACTCTTTCTCGTTTCCGGACATGTGTATGCTCACCATTCAGTTGACATTATTATGTTAAGGTTGACATTCGTTCGATTCGGTTAGGTCGCAATTGAGCGAGTCGTAGCGTCGGTAAATAAGAAATTATATCGAGTGTGGGATTTCATGGGGGTTTGTTTGTAAGCAAATCATATAAAGTAAGTAAGTAGTAAAAGTTGGGCTTGTTATTTGTGGTTGGTGTGTAAGTAAAAAAAGGGTGAGGATTGAAATCTGGATACGCATGCAAGCCGTGATATATTTATGCACGTATCCACTCCGTTGTTGAATGACGACTGGATTAAAAGGTTAAAAATAAAGTATCAACACGACGACACGACACGAATATCGTGTGAGGAAGAATATGAATGAAAATGTGTATGCGCACATGTATTTATAAATATTTTGCCTAATTGCTCAACCAAGCTGTTAATTGTTTAGGTCAGAAAATGGAAGAATTTATGGTCATGTACATACATTTTTACCAAGTGGATTTTGTGGCTGACTGTGAGAAATAAATTCCTCCTGCAGAGTTGAGTTTTTTTTGGATAGATTTCGAAAAAAGATTTTAAAAGGGATGCTGAGATATTTATTATTCTTTTTCATCCCCGAGATCTTTAATTCTAAAGTTGTACCCTGAAAAGTACATACGTAGCTAAATACATACTTGGGAAGGAATTCATTCAACAAGTAACCTTGATCAAGGCTCCAGCCATACATAATGGAGATTGATTCTCACACATTTTTAAGACAAGCATCATCTCAAGAAGGCTATTAAAGGGTGAGGTGGACCCCTTTTATTGGAATGCCTTGTCCGTCTGTATCTATGATAACTTTTGAATTTCGACATGCGGTCGGTCGTCACCCAATTTTCGGAGATGAGTTAAGTTTGAATATGGTCGCTGGCAGGCACACCCCTCGTCGTTACGGAGGGTGTGGTCATGAAATTTAAATACTAATTTTGACGCTAGTTTTTAGTTTTTTTACCATCTATTTTTAAATAGCTGAAAAACTGAAAAAATAAATTTTTTACAGGTGTATGTTGGATCTTTTTAAATAGGATATATGCATTTAATATGAATGCATTTTTATCTTGACGTACAACTCGTGCTCTAAATAAAACATTATTGTCATAACTTCGAGTTTAATGCTCTCGTATCATGAGTTAAGTAAATTGTACAAGTTGTACGTCAACATTAAAATGAATTTGTATTTAATATTCATTTATTCGAATGCTAGGTTATCTACTTCCTCACTTGTTGTCATTGTACATTCACTGACTGACTGCTATGTATCTGCATACTTTCTCACTTCTTGTGCATGTGCAGTGACTGAGTTCCTCCATCTACTTCTTCACTTATTTGATTGATTGTTTTGTTAAATAAAACACCTTTCAGGCAGATATGTTCATAGAGTTACAAAGTAATTAATTCAAAAAACGGTTGTACCTTTCCCATAATACCTACAGACTTCATTCTGGCACCATTCGATGCGTAATTAGTTGCTAGAGGTGTGCTACGTCTGCAATATGGGTTTCGATGAGAAATATGACTTAATTAGCAGGGAATCGAATATTCCTTTAAAGTCGAGTTGCATAAGCGCTGCAATTTTTCTTATCGTAATTTTAAAAAAAAACTTGATTAAATTTGCTCTAACACAATTTTTACCTTGGTGGATGCGTTCACGACCCCCACACAAAATGGAAATGTAAAATTTTATGAAAATTTAAGACAACGGTTGAAATGAATAGATAAAATGATTGGGACAAGTTTTGAGGGGTTGGACCGCACCCCCTCTTGGGGGAAAAGAGAGATTTTGTACAAAATAGTCGGCAACGACGGATAGGTTTCACCCTTTCGTTACATCGGTTTATGTAATTATTTGTTTAATGAAGGAAGCCGAGGCACTTGCATTCCTTTTTCCGAAATGCTATGCCCAGGATGAAGCTTTGGTTAGGATGCAGTAGCTCGACACACATTGAATGAAATAATGCTCCAAATAAAAACATTACATAAGAGAAAAGAAGAAGTTGCTCTGTCTGTCTCACTCTGGTTTAAAATCTATTAAAGAAATGAACTGCATTGTCTTTATCTCTGACAAGATGACGAGGACGAAAGGACCGGCTTGTTGTTTTATGGGCTGCTTGCTGCTGCTGCTGCATCTTGACCATTTAATGTCCAACCGTCATTCTCTTACATCCAGTCCAGTCCAGTCCAGTAGTTCCTTCACGGTAAATATATATCCCGAGCTGATCCTGAGCAAGATGAATGTGTGCATCTCTGGAAGTAAAACCTGGCTGTATAGATAGATATGTATTTATGTATGGCCAGGGACAGGCCAGGGACAAGGTATTTTTTTCTGAAAATCATGGCAAGCACGTTGCAGCTATGCAGGCAGGCAGGTGTTTTTTTTTATAAATCTATCAACGAGGAATCTCATCCGAATGATCGACACGACGATAATAATGTCATCTCGAAGCTGTATCTGTTCTAAATTCTGCCACAATTTTTGATTGCTTGTTCCTCCAGCAAAAATCCGAGTGACTTGATTTCGTATGTATTTTTATTGGAAAATGTCAGAGAGAAAGGTGAGACGACGAAGGTATAAAACCCATTGCGAGAAATTTATCGAGACAAGGAGAAGACATGTCTCGCATCACATTTCTTCAAGATTCGAATCGTGTCGAACGGAAGCAAAGAACGAAACGTCTGCAGGCTGGCCGAGGGTTGTTTGCCCGTAGCCAAAGAAGAAAATTTAATGTTGCTTCTGGAGATTCGATGTTTGAATTTTGAAATACGAAGTGTCTGCTTACTCACGATCTACTCAAGGACTGAGACCATGTCATGTACATACATATGCACAAGAAGAATCTACATTTCTTCTTGGAGATTTTAAGGCCTCGTAATTTTTTATCCTCGTCCTCCTCCTCCTGCTAACAAGGCAGGCACCGTGTTTCTTATTCTTTCTTGTATCCAAATTCATTACGGAAGGAGTGAGTGAGACGGGGTTTTAAACCCTTTCATCAGTTACACCTCTAGGAACAAACGGCTGGATGGAGCCAATAATAATAGGTAGGTTGCGAGTTAGCGGGAGTTCACGTAAACGCTAACGTAAACGTAAAATTTGGCGTTAACGTTTACGTTTACGGGGTGCACGAATTTTGCGTGTGCGAATTAACGTGAACGTAAACTTGTGCGCTGAATTTGAACTTCATTTCAATGGTTTGTTTACATTCTTCGTGCAATATTTTGCTTATTGTAATTATTTAATTTATCTTATTATAAACTAGCTTGAAATGCCAGTGTTTTCAAAACAAATAGTAAATTTACTCTCTGAATTGACCGACTTCGAAATAGAGGACATTCTTCCTTCAAATAATTAAAATTAATCAATTAAAAGAATTAAAATTTTTTAATTAAACTCAATGATGAACGAGTTCTTTTTCCTTAACTTTCGCTTTTGCAAAATAAGTTTGAAACCTAAATGCGCCCTTAAACTTCGGGGCGCGATTGCTTGTCGGCGGAGACCCTTTGTGCATTACTCTAAGGATTGCATATCCCAACAGGTAAGGGGATCATATTTTATCAATCTAGAGCAAGTCAATTCACTAAATCAGTTAATTATTTCATTCACAGATACGTCGACTTGATGTAACTTTTTCCTCCTACTCATTGCAGTCACGGATTTTTCATCACGGCAGCCAAACTTCGGATAACTTTTGTGAAGCAATGCCAGATCTTGAGCATTATTTATATTTTCCATGAAATTGTGTATATAAGAAAATCTAGATGCCATGTACTAAGGCTTTATTTCTGTATTGTATAAACAATAAATTTACTTGTTTCTAATTAATTCAAATAATGCTTTTGTTATTTCAGCTCTTCATTTTGTGTAATATCATTCACTTTCCATACTTCCTATCCTCCATCGAAGCTTGACGTTGTTTTAATAAATAATACTATAATAAATTACATAATTACTAATTAATTTCTTAATTTGCAAACTGCTACAAAAGCAACAGAAGATTTATTTAGTTAGTTTAACTTAAAGCCTCGTCATTTTTTAATCCTTTCGTGAGAAATTATCAGTTTACTTTTTGTTTTAATGCTTCACAATTAGTTATATATCACTTCAATTAATTATAAGCATATATTTAATGCATTTATCAATAATTAACGCAAAAAATACATGCCTGTTGTTCATTTTTCTTAAATTTGCATGGTGAAAAAACTTTACGTAAATCGTGGGTGGTTACGTTAAACGAACGCTAAATGGGCTGATTTAACGTCCAAAATAACGTGAACGTAAAGAAAATTCACGTAAACCTTAAATGGGCGCCGCCGAACAGTGGCGGGAAGCAAAATTTTACGTTTACGTTAGCGTTTACGTGAACTTCCGCTAACTCGCAACCTACCTAATAATATGAGAAACCGACCAAACTCATCGGTCGGATTGACCAGGGCAGGACTACAATATGGTCATGTATGTAAGTATAATTCAGCCTTGAAATGCTCGTATATCACTTCCAACGTTTTTTTCAAACTCTCATCTCGTACTTTCATGTATGTGAGAGAAGAATGTCTTTGTTTAAGTCTTCTCTGCTCGAATAAAACACGTTGGATTATAAATAATCGCCAACATCCTGACTGACCAGACCACTACTTCCTCTCTACAGCAGATTGATGATCAAACAGAGATCATCTATTTAGAATCAATTTGCGCCTCTCTCCTGTCGACCAAAAGTGTGTGGATTGGATGGAATGGCAGCTCATCAAAATAAACCAGGTCTCTCTGCAGCATGACGATGATGATAATAATACAACGCTGCTGCTGCTGCCCACACGAGTCCGGGAGCCAGTGGGTCACCAATTCCCTGGCGAGTGTAAAATTGGAGAGATTCGAATTTGTCAAGTAGAAACAAAGGTTTGAGTTATGATGGGCATCTCGATGATCCTTTTTCAGACGATGGATTGGATCTGCTCAAATGGCATTACATTACGTACGTTACGTGCTCCTATCATTGTTCAATTACACGCCTCAAGCTGCACAATGAAGCGAGAAGTGACTGCCTGACTACGTAGGTACGTATTGTACTCTCTGGAAGGCTTCAAAGCTGCCTCGAGGGCTGAAGGAGGAAGCCTAAAGCAAACATGCTGCATTTCGACTGCCTGGGCACTTGAGTGACTTGGTCGTTTCTTCAAAGTAGTGAATAAATGGTGCTAACACAAAGGTAAAGAAAAAGAGGAAGAGTCTTCATGAGCTTGTACATATCGTGTATGTAGAGAAGCGTCGTCCTCATCATCGCCCCGGTAACAATGGGCATTGCTTTGCTGGCTGGCTATATATAAAACATTACCATCATCCCTTTCCTAAGGACTCCTTTTGAATCAGTAGTATATGAACCAACTGCTCCGGAACAAACAATGCCATGCCGTGTATGTACATGTATCTGGGGCTGGTTGGTGGAAGTCGTAGTGAGACTTGAAATATTTCTCTCACTTTCTATGAAAGGTTTCTTTATTTAAAAGAAGAAGAAGCAGCAGCAGCTCATTCCTTAAACATCAAAAAGTCCACTTTTCTCAGTTACAATTTAGCCTTCTGCCATTCCAGACGGACTGCATCTGGAATTCGAATTCTTATATTCGGCTCTTTTTTGTAAAACTTACGCATTCTACGCACACCAACCAGTCCTCCTCCTTCTTCGGCTCAAGATCAAGCACGTTATTCAATTCATCTCACTTCTTCTTTCACACACAAAGGAGGAAGGAAGGAAAGGTGTGCTTGAGTTGAGATGTGATTAGAAATGTTGTAGCGGACGTTATTATTTAAGCATTTGCACGTTAAGTTAATAGGTATTTGTGGGTGAAAAGTAAAGGAATTAGAATATAGACCAAGAAAACAATTATCATCGCCACAAAAAGAGGAGCTCAAAGAGAGGTTGGTAAAGCTGCTTCTGGTTTGTGCAAAGTGGTTACGTTAATACGAAGCAGGATATTTTATTAGCTTCTTGAGAACCAGAACTTTTTTCTAACGAGACAAACTCTATACAAATTCCGACCCAGCCATCTCTCTCGTCGGCTTTGATGATACATATTTCGTCGTCGTGGACGTCGTCGTTTCCTTCCTCTCCACTTTTCATTCACTCACATTGCTGCCTTCCTACGACACAATTATCGCTAATATTTTTGCAATATATAAATGTTGTGGCATTCCTTTAAAGGGGATTAATTTCCCTGTATGCTTATTAGTCCTGGTTGTGTGGGAAGAAGGCCAAATAAACTAAACTGGGTGCCTGTTTATTAGTGAATGTGTGCAATACGGAAAATAAATAGGTGTGGTGATACAGTAATTTGAATATATTTGCTCAATTGGTTGGTGTGAAGCTCAAATAATATCATCATCACCACTTGTTGAAATAATCTGCCTGCCTTAATAAATAAACAAACTGTACTCTGCACAATCGATAAAGACTTCAACAGAGGAGTAGTGGAGGTTATACTTATTAGAGTTGCATGACGGACGATGATTGCGAATTGGTTGGCAGTAATATTACATTAATTCAGTGAACGACGAACGAAAGGCAGCAAGAAAATCAATACTTTTGTTGTGCGAATCGATATTATTATTGTTGCTGAAAGTTGCTTGCCTTCTTCTTCTTCACATAACATAACATAACATAATCGGCGATTGGATTGGCAAAAGTTGGTAGTTGGCAAAAGTAGTGAAAAAACAAGAAGTGAATGAAACGAAACGGTCGTCGTTTATGTTGCTGAGGAATTTGCGGTTGGTTTTTATTAGAGTTTAGTATCTTCATCTTGTGTGAAAGTGCTTCTTGCCTGGCTGGCTGATCAACTGCTAAATTATTTACGAAAGAAGAGAAGATTCCTCCGGTCGTGGAGGAGAAGGGTATTAATTCTGAAATAATAATGTGATGGTGTTGGGAAAGATGGAAAAAAGTTCAAAAAGAGGACCCTTCTTCCTCCCAGTTGGTCTTGAGGAATAGTTGGAACATTTCAGGGTGAGTGTAATGAACGATACGTTTTGGAATTGTAAAAGTAAAAAATATCAGTAGAAGAGTAGAAGTTCTGATTTAGATGGCGAGAAGATAGGATAATTAGAGTGACATTTTACTGTTCAGATTGTTAATTGTTGGGAAACAATAGAGAGTGAGAGGATGAAGGTGAAGGTTGTTTCGTGATGCGTTTGATTTTTATAGACTGATTTGTACGGTACGCTTATTATAAAATCAGCCAAGGGTGACAAGCCCGTGGCGGAACTAAGTATCCATTTATTAGGTGACAATTAGATAGTGCGAGTAGTGTAATGGGAATACATGTGTGTAAATAAGTGGTAAATATAATCGGGCTCGAGGTGGGTATAATCGTTAGTTAGTTAGTGCAGGCACGTCAAGAATAACAATTTCTGTTGTGGACGCGTGTTGATTATCGATTATTCTTCTTCCACGACCAAATGTCAATTATCGAGTTGCATTCTAATTCCGATCTGTCAAAAGAAAGCTAGAGAGAGAGAATTAATAATTAGGAGGGATCGATTTATCCTGAAAAATACGGGTGTCATTTACATAATTAATGTCGCAGTGTCACATGGCGTGGCGTTTTATTGATGATGACATTGGAACCAATACTTTCGTTAATAAAAAGTTACGTTAACATTTGCAGAGATAGTCTTGGATTGGAGGACGATAAAAAATGACCTCCTCTGGATTTAAAGAAATGGCGAATCGTGGCCGGAAAAGTAATATTACACAATTCACAAAGGACATTCATCTAAGCTGTATGCCAGCTCGGGATAAGAAGTTGTCAGCTTCGGTGGACTCATTGGATACACATGACAGGTAAGTATGCACATTAACAGAAGAATACATTTCCTGCCCACCGCACAAACAATTTAAACTTTTGTCTTCATTTCCCAAACTAATTTTATGGTCGATTAATTTTTAGCAGTCGCAGACGAGATGGAGGAGGGTCACAAGATTCTGACTTTGAGTGGAGATCAACACCGGATGTTATGAGCTTTAAGCAAAGCATAAATTTCGAGTGTAGCAACGCCATCCCGATTAATTTTTCAGAGGCGTGGTCATACTTTCAAACTTGTGACCTTTCAACGTACAGGGTTAGTGGGCATTTTAGATGCATGTTAAACTATTTATTACTTAAATTAGCCACTGTACATGGTTGAATTTAATAAGTATAATAATATGTAATTCCTATTGTGTTCAACAGCAACAAAGAATAGAGGACAGAAGACCTTCGAATGGGAAATTGAGGTGTAAATTGCAAAATCTTGTGGTTGGAGCGATACCTCTCGTCTCTGCCCTGATACCGGAGAGAGATCTAATTTTCTCTATAACATCATGTAAGCATTTCATAGATTTACAAATTTAGATTTAAATTATTGAATGGATAACATCATTTATTTTAAAATACAATTTATTTTGTGCAGGTCCTATGATCAATGAGAGTAAGTTACGCCCATCGGAAAATATACTTACATATTTAAATTTATTTATACATACTCCACATCACATTCAGGTCTACATACATTCATTCTCTTTTGAACAGGCAGTGTCCATCGCAGAGTCCTTCAAAGTATCTATGTCTTTATGACCAAGAAACCTGCTTGTCCACGGTATGGAAATCATTGGGAGGAGATTGGATTTCAGGTTTGTAAAACTATTTGGCAACCATGTTTCATACGTAATTTGCTTATTTAAAAACATGATCGTTTCGATTTCCTCAGGGTCAAGATCCAGCAAGCGATTTGAGAGGGGTCGGAATGTTCGGAGCTTTACAAATGTTGTACCTTAGTTCATCTCAAGAGACGAAGGAGACCCTTGCCCCAGAAATATTTGAGCTTTCTCGACACCCAATCCACCAATTCCCTCTGGCCGTGCTGAGTCTGAACGTGACCAAGATGACGTTGGACGCCTTCCGGGATGGTCTGCTCAACAGGTTCTGTCACAAGGAGGGGAGTGCAATTTTCGTCGTGAACCAATTCTATTTGGCAATTATGTATCGAATTTATCGGAAATGGAAGGACAAGAGGATGACGATCCACGACTCTTGTTACTTACTGAAAGGTAAATAACTACTTACGGAAGAAAAGACAACATTTTTACATGTACTCACAACTTATTTTTGTGTGTGTTTAGCTGTTGAAAAGTGGTGCAGAACTCACCCAAAGAAAACATTTGAGCGACTTTACGAGTACATAAGTCAATTTGGAATAGTCGTTTCTCAGCATCAACGAAGAAAAGGGAAAAAGAAGAAAATTCAAGAGTCTCACGATGAGACCAACTTATCATGGCTCGACCTTACCAAACCATCGTTAGAAGTATTCATATGAAAATTATTGTACTCATAACCTAACAACCAGTACACAAGAACCTACCGAAGTCTAGCACGTCATCATCAAAATTTCTCGGTTTATTTATTTATATAGTGAGATGAAATATTTTAAATTAGATTTAAGCCAAGAATTTTCTCAATCCCGAGTGTTACATCATATATACAACCCAGATCTCAGTAATTTTGCTCACAATAATTAAACACGATCTAAATATCATGTAGTAAGCAGTAGTAACAAAGTTAAAAAAACACTTCACACGCCTCATCTTTTTTTTTCTTTTCGATATTTTGGATGAAATGTCCCCATATTTTTATTCAACTTGAAAAGGTATATTTAAGAATAATCATAATTTGCTCTTTAAAAAAGCAACATCATAATTAAATCCATGCTAGAGGAAAGTCGGAAAGTAGTAATTATTACAACCATTTTTAAATACATGAACGACACCAATCGAATGTCTGAAGTGTCAACCTTGTGATCAATTTGTGATAGAAAAATATTAGTGACTTTTGTCCACAATTATTTTATTGGCATATTTTGACTACTTAATATAATAATTGCACATGCTACCTGCGTTATGCAATCATATTTATAGGAATGGGTAACATAATTAGATCCCAGAGGCTTTTTTTAAAAAATGAAAATTATCCAATGTTCAAAACTATGTATAATCACATACAAAAACTTCTTGTTATATTTTTAGAGTTTACATGTTTAATTCAATTTATAATGGAATGGATGTACTTTCAAATTGGATTTCTCTTAATTTTATTGCCTTTCTTAAATTTTAATTTGTACCATTGTTCTTAGCTACTATTCAATTATTACATAATACACATTGATACATGAATGATTACGCTTATTCCCCTAATTGTTCCTAGACATTTAATAATGGTTATAAATTTATGTGAAAAACAAATAAACTTTTACGTTGCGAATTGAAAAAGAATTATGGTACAAACTTATTTTTTTGCAATTTTATTTCGTTTCATAAATATTTTGACCTGTAGTCCGGGTCGAATAATAATTGCTGGATGCTGAACTATGCATATTACAAATGAACTCCGAAATGACCTTTTTCGTGGCCATTTCTCGTGTCCCCGTCTAAAAATTCACCAAATATGCATGTTTCTGTATCAAATTCTTCACCCGAACCTTCAACCTTGCTTCTTCCATTGTGTTATTATGTGCGATATGATGTGCGATTGAATTCCGGACCTGAAAATCGAGAATCAATGCAATGCAGCCGAGAACGAATATGTCAGCCACGTTTCACTCAACTGGAACATTTCAATCTATGAGAATCTTCCTCCTGTTTTTTTTGGCATGCTTTCCTTCCTCCTTTCTTGTCCCGAGAACAAGATCCCGGCTCTCCATTGTGTCCTCTGCTCGCTTTCTCTCCAATTTTACATCGGCCAAGAGCTTTTTTCTGCTTGAAATTCTGTAAAGCAAAGATCATGGTAATGCAATATCCTTGAAATTACGGTATCATCCTCCTTCTGTTATCTCTCTTCCATGTTTTCATCATGACATAAAAAAATGTCATATATCATCTCTCTTCTTCAGTGGATAAAATTTTTAAGAAATGCAAGATCAAATCAATTTCCTGCCACGTATTTATAAAACAGAAGCATTTATTGCTTTTGGAGCCTTTTGGAGCCATAATTTATAAACATTTTCGTTTATACCATTGTTTTTAACCGTTGTTTGTTCACTCATTACATGAATGATATTGATTACATATGTAAGCTTCGTTTTCCTTATTGTTCTTAGACAATAGGCATTAAAGTAAATTTTTATAAACTTCACGTATGTGAAGAAGAAGTAAAAATAGAAATATGCAAACTTACACTCCCCTAACGAAACCCCAGCAATAGCATTGTTGCATTTCTATTGGTTAATTGTGACTAACTAAGCGTCACCCAGAAAGTTAAGTTAAACAACGAAGGTTAAGAAAGGACAAGCTTCGGGCTTCCACGGCTCATTCTGTTTCGGATATTTGCAGAAGAAAGGCAATCGCTCCCGATTATTTATTGAACACTCTCCAGAAGGTTCTTTGTTCGCAAAGCTATTTGGATAACATGGTAAAATCGCTTAGCAACATTATCACTTAGCCATTACATGTACTCTACTCTACTCATATTTCAATGATAACTGTTTAGTTTTCTATTTGTGACCTCAAATTGTTGGACATTATTTCTAAAAAATTCTATAACAGAGAACTAATTCTTGGTAATTAATTAATTAATAGGCCGAAGACAGCTCTAACGAAATGATTCTGGCGACAACGGAAAACATCACGAACCTCAAGGTAACTCGTGGAACCATACACTTCGTGACCAAAGTGGTGAAACCATGTCGTCGAATTTCAAACCGGCCGTTTCGGAATATTGGGGTTGTCGACCTACCGGAACATTCAAGGAGCCAGAGTGCTCGGGTAAATTGCTAATTATATCATAAATTTAAAGCATGAATTCATTTTAATTTGATTCCAGTTTCCCGACGATTCTGACAGCATGTTGTCGTCAGCCTCGTTCTCATTTGATGAACCGATTGAGGAGGAGGAGGAGGACGACGACGACGACGACGAGGAGGACGCGGAGATGAATGTCGTCATGAATGATGATGAAAGTACGGAAGTCATAGTGGTAAGTCCGTGCTAAAGACGAGCTAACTGAGTTGTTAAATCTGTCCGATTTACTGATCTTATTTTAACCAGATGTCAGAGGAAGAGGAAGGGGAAGGGGAGGAGGAGGGGCAAGAGGTGCAGCAACAGCAGAAAGAAGAATCAGTCGACGACGATGATGTCCCAGGACAGAGTAAGTACTTCATTTATTACCAGTGCCCCGCGGAAGTGTGGGGACAGAGGGACAATGTCCCCACCTCTCTTCTATCCTACAATATTAGTGTCCCCAGATGTCCCCACGGCCACTTTTTACTACCACCGCAACATTTACCCCCACTAAACTTTGGTAATGACCCAGTCTTTTATTTAATTCCAGCTCGTCAAAAGATGTCTCTCGTCTTCCGACTAGAAACCACTATCTCCACTCAGCAGGTCATGATCGCATTACCATTTTGTTCCTACCTTCTGAAAAGCTCCTCGTTTTAAAAAATTTTCACCCTCTTTTCTTACAGGGAAACGAGATAAGGGACACCTTACAAGGACTGAACACGGCTGCCGAACGACGCCAAGTCGATTGTCCTGCATCTCGAGTGCTCAATGAGGAGGTGTTAAGTATCTTTTACAATATGCTGACCGAATATTTGCCAACGGGGTATAACGCCTTGTATCTGCGTTGCTGCAATGCTGTTGAAGAAAATGATGCCGAGTCAGACGGCAATGATTCTGATAATGCTACTGATTCTGAAAATTCAAATGCTTGATTTTTCTTATTCTGACATTATGCATAACTCGGGGGAAGATTTATTTTGTTGTGAGTTGTGTCAAAATCAAATGGCTTATAAATATATCCAAAATTGTATCTAAAAATTGATCCAGGTTCTCACTTTATTCCAACTTTACAATTTATTTCTGGCATGTTTTTCAGCTTTACAATTTTCATAGGCATGCATAACCATTTGTCATGATGCATAAAACTTTAACAATAATTGTCATTTGCACATACGTAAATACATATGTAAACCGACGCGAAGTAAATCGTGAGAACGAGGCCATTATTTATTCACTGCATTTCTTTCTCTCTCATTTGTTCGAGCTGGAGGAATCCAGCCAGACGTTATTTGACACTCGGATACTGAAATTTGATAAAACAAGGCGTCTGCATGTGATGAATAAGTACTTCAAAGCATTTATTATGCCCATGATAAAACCCAACCATTCAATTTGCGTATCAACAATATTATTATTACTCTTAAGTAATAATTCCATGTACCTATGCAAATAAATACGTTCATGAATTTGGAGATATGCCAACCGAAAGAAAGAAACTTGCCGATAGATGATTGTCAACTACTCAAAAGTTTGAGATTGAATAAATAATTAAATCCACGCATTGAATGAAGAGGATAAAATCAGCTCGAAATATGCAACCAAATTAATAATTTTGTTCAGACTTTTCGTCTCAAAATAATGATTTTTCTCTTTAGTGGGCCAAAATAATGGGACATTTTTACCCTAAACTACTGGCATGATGGGGTTACTATTTACCAAACCATACCCAATTTCCGGGGGTGTGGTTACTTAATATTTGATACCACCAGGCATTCAACTATATAAAAAAATATCCATCCAGCAAAATCCTTCATGGATTTTCGTGGATTTTGTCCAGCAGCAGCAGCGCAGCGAAATAAAATGTTCACGTCTTTGAGACATTGTATTCACTCCGCTTGCAGAAAATCTCACCTTCTTTCGTGAACAAATCTCTACCTCGCCAATGCTGCTATCTTTCAGATCATTTTCGCATTTTACAACTTTTCGGTTTGCATCAGCCTCCTACCGGGTATCAGCGTCCGCCATCACAATTTTTTTGCAACGTGGGTGCAGGAGAAGAATTTAATTGTTCTTTGATAATTTTTTTTGTCCTATCCCTTCCTCGTCGTCGATAAGCCCTGACTTCGTCATACATTTCTAGGTGTTCCAGCAGCACAAGGTTAAAAATCTTGACAAACTGAACATGGTGAGAATTCATTTTTTGCTCCTTGAGTTTTTTTTACTTAGTAATTAATTAATATTAATTAATATCATGCTCTAGTCCAGTTTAAGGGTTCATTCATGGCAGTTTTAATTAGTGACTGTTGATTTGTTTTCTAATGAATGCTTGCATTGGTAGTGGGGGATGTATTTCTTTCTTAATTTCGTGGTATGATTTCAGGCTCAAGCTGGCACGAGCAGAGCTGGGAAGCGGAAGCTTGACGAGGACGACCAGCACATTATCAAGGTGAAGGTGTGGACGAAGGGGTTCGAAGAGCTAAAGGCCATGAATGGTCAAGTCGTTGAAGTTGACTGTCGGGAAAATTGGTACAGGGAATTTCGAAAACTTTTCAACATTACATTAGATCCGAGACTATACTGCGTTCGGGGGGGTCGCATGGAAGATGAAATACGGAGTGTTACCCAGACGGTAACTAGACTGCAATTTTCAAATTGTTTGCAACTATTGTGTTAATTTACATACGTTGTATTCCTTTTAGATCTCAAAATGGAGAAATACATACAAAAATGGGCGACAAACAAACGCGATTCATGTAATTAACCACCCTTACTTACGGAGGACACCTACACCACCACGAGTATTTCAACCAGGTGAAATATTTCGTAGGATGCCTACGATAGATTACATGGGGCCCGTTGATAGTGCGCCACCCCATCAGCCAGCAATTGTCGAGGTCAATAAGAAACAAACTTGTCATCTTTAGTTGTCATTATTATTCTTGTAATGTATTATGAGCTATTATTTCAATGCGTACTATAATGAGCTGCTAATTTGAATGCAGGCCAGTGTAGCTCCTCCCACGCATGAACCGATTCCTCCGCCTGTAGAAAACGTTATCCAAATAGACTCGTCTTCCGATGACGACTCACCGGACGCGCCAGACAAGTTGGATGAGTCAGAATTGCTTGACGCGTCTGACGTGTCAGACTTGTCCGGGTACATGGACTGGTTGGAAGAACAAATTGCGGATGAACTTAGGGCTGATGCGTCTGATGCGTCTGATGCATCTGATGCGTCTGATGCGTCTGATGCGTATGATGCGTCTGATGAGGCTGATGCGTCTGATGCGTCTGATGATCAAGTACCCGGTGATCACATGGTCAATGATCAAATTCCCGATGATAACAAGTTCAATGATCAGATCCTCGAAATACCCAATTCCAACGATGACGATGAAGTCCAGGTGGAAAAGATAATCTTGCGTGACTCCATCGGAGAGGTAGACCAGCATTATTTTTAGTTTTATGAGTAATTATTTGAATGCATAATTTGAATGCAGGTTCAGGTCCCCGTCACAGCCTCCTCCGAGCCCCCTTCATCCGACGTGGAGGAGTTGGAGGAAGTTATTGATTTGGCAGATGATTCTCCGCCATCGTCACCAGCTCATTCCCCCTTTTCCTTACGGAACGCGATTTAAACTTATGGTCTGAGTCTCTTTAATTTAAAAGTATTACGAGTAAATTTTGAATATTATGAACCTTAAGGGTCTAATCCATATGTACTTTTGTACTTTTAAAATCACATATCTACTTGTATTTATATTTTTTTTATTGGAAGCTGTGTATGTTTGAACCACCATAAATGAATCATTAAATATCAAATTTCTCAAAAAATTAAAAATGCAGTCAAAACTTTTCATTAAAATGTGAATGTCTCCAATATATTTCTTATCACTGATTTAATTTATACTTAACATCCATCCTACATACTACCATCATACCGGAGTCTATTTCATTTTGCATGAAAATCTCTGCATAATTCTCTTCGACTTTGAACCCTCCGGAAACAGCATTCATCTGAATAATCAAATCATATAGCTGCTCAATTTCGATAACGACTTGAACAAAATCTTGTCTTCTTTCATGTTACTTGATCACACATTTGTCAATAATTTATCTAGGCCATTCTAGACTTTGTAAGACATGAGGTAGTTTGTTATTGTCTACAAGTGCGCATTACTTTGGCGTTGGTGCCACATCATGAATCAGCCATTCCATTCTTTCCTGGAAGGAAATCGATAAAAAAACAATAACATTATAAAATTTGAGATAGGAATGCAACTCGTATCGACATACAAAATTCATAATAATCTGTATCTGCACACTGCATACCACCACCGATAAAATAAGTAAATGAAATTAACTCGCTAACAGAAAGGGAAGTAAATAAATAGTAGCAGTAGCAAAATCTGTCACCAGTTTATACCCACCAACCAACCACTGGCTCAATGTGATTGCTTCGTGTTAAATATTTATGCATTGACACACTTTTAATGCCTCGTGCAAAACAACGTTGGAAAATTTACAGAATATTTATTCTATTTTTTTCCAAAGAAGGAGGAGGAGACGCTGTTCTCGAAATGTGTCTCATTTTGCATAACATGTCCACCAAACTCTAATTTCCGTACAATTATTTTGCACCTCACGTCATGTGACAATGATTAAATATTCGCTACAATAAACCTACTTGTACATAATCATGCATGTCTAAACCTTGATGTCATGTATGTGGTATAAAAATCGAACAGTAGTCAATAAATAGTTTTACCAACCAGTAACCTCCAGCCGGAGCAGATTTTTACATGCATTTCTAATTTATGACGCCATAAAGTGCGATCATGTTTCTAATTTACGACACAACTTTGACTATGAATGCGACTATAAAATCATTTTGTTAGCATATGAATACTTTTGAAAGTTATGGCATGAAATGAATTATACCGATTGAACTGTTCGTCATCCATATCATGGCATCGTCTGTCTGATTGCATTAAGTTTAATCTTATCGATGGAAAATTGATTTAGAAAAAAATGAATTTCAGATATGTTCAACATGGAATTAATTGTGATAGTAAGTAGCACATACATAAATGCATAAATAATCTATTTTATTTTTCTGTGGTGGTGAAGGTCTCATTTAAAATCGAGACATCATAAATTTCTGTGCATGAAGAAAAGCATATTTTTCCATGGTCGACTTGGTTGGTGGTTCATTTTGCCAACACATTTGAACAACCAAAAAGTAAGTTATTCGCATTGATGAGGATCAGTTTAGTTCAATAAGTGCGTTAGATCGAAATTTCTAAACGCCCACAATGCCACATGTACATTTGTACTAGTCACACCATTAAATGTGTGTGTGTACACATTTTGCACACATTTACTTTTTTGGACAGCCTGAACCTTTCAGGATTTGATACGGTTGTAGAGATCTATGACTTTTTTTAGTTTAGTTATGGCAGCAGATGAACGAACGTACATTAGAAGAAGACAAGACGAGAAGGAGACTGAATTTATATACCCATCAAATAAATGCGTGAAAGTTGTTAAGAGATCATCCTCGTTGTACATACATACGTTATTATCTTTGTCTAAATTTGACTTGTCAGTTCATTAAATTCAGCTAATAAAAAAGAGGATGGGACTGCAATAAAGCATAAGTACAAAAAAAATCTTAAATTTACATGATAAACTTGCAGTCATTCCCTCCCTCCACGCAAGAAAAAAAATAAGTTATTGCATCACAAACTGTGATTATTTGGATCACTGATTTTATACTCAGACCTGAATTACGACTCATATCGAAGAAATTGACACGTACAAATTACCCACACCAAAACCCGGAACTATTTTACATACTGGAGAGACATTTTATTTTTGCATGCATAGATCGAAGAAATCGCATCCATTTTTTTTGCATCATCATGTCCTCCTTATTACATCTCAAGCACCACCACCACCACCACCATTCATAACAATTTATATATAGCAATAACAATAAAGGTTCGTGTACCGTAATAAATCAAGCAGTGAGCGAGTGCAAAAGATGCAGAATCCTATCCACACACAAAAAACCATGCAAATGCATGCATGCAACTCAGGAACAATTTGTATCAGAATGAATGACGAGATTCACAAAGTGAATGAGTGAAGGAATGAAAATGAATGAATAAAATATGCATGTACTTCCATCCAAGGTGGATGGACGTACAGAGACGGGACACATATGCATAATTAATATCCATCCGAGGCCTTTTCCTTCTCTGATTTGATCTTGCTTGCTCACAAACAATGAAACGACAACAACATTGCCGTAACGTAATAATGGAGCAGTTAAAAGACAAAGTTGAAGGAGGGGGAGGAAATAAATGAGTTTTTTGGAGTTAAGAATTGCATGGGCGTCGGAGAAGATGACGGAATCATAGCGTGGTTTGGTCGTTATACGAAGATGAAGATGCGACTCTTCTAAAGACGACGAAGGTGCTGTGCGATGTGCAAATCTGAATCTGTATTTAAAAGCATCTGCTCCTCTGTAATAATGCCTCGCTGAAAAAAAGACAGCATCGTGATCATCATCCGACTTGTTGTTGGTTGGGTGGGTGAAAGTACGTAAAGCTGCATTATACACAAGAGTCCATCCTTTTAGTCTCAATACATATTAAACCGCTTACCGTTTTGTGTGCAAGTATCTACGATTGAGGTTTGCTTTAAGTAAGCGACGACCTGGGTTGACTTAACTGTGGCATCGTCGTTTCATATGGCAGTTGGCGTATGTATATGTTTGCGTTATGTGAAATATTTTGGATGATGCTGATGCTGAGGCTGCTGGGGGAATGTAATGTACATAATGCATTGTATTATTGTGTGGCCGTGTTAAAAGAGAGCTTTTATGCAGTCGTAGTGTGAGTAGTGTGACTGACTAAAAATCTGCGAGTACATTTCATTTCATTTCCACCAACAAGTTGTAACGTAATGTCAACTATTTTCTCTTTTAGAAGAAGAAGAATCCTCATCTCAGCAGATCCCGCCGCACGTTAATATTTTTATATTGCATTGATTTTCTTCTTAAAATGCAGTGTAACCAGTTTATAAAACACTCTCATCATGGGAGAGCATTAACAAGATGAGGACCAAGTCATCTTCATCACCACGGCGTTAATAATAAGAAGAAGAAGGCAAAAGCAAGGCAAATCTTTAACCGAGATTGTAAAACTAAAAAACTACTCCACTACTGACTGCTGCTGCTCAGCCTGATAATAAATAGAAAAGTGGTGGGTGACACGCGGAGGAAAAATTATATAAATAAATTGTAAAACCCTTGAAAACTTGGAAATTTTTAATAACCCTGGAAAAGTTTTTAATTCAAGTGGTACTCCACTTCTTATTGACTTGAGTGAGTCGTGCTTAAACGAATTGTTTAGTTGGACAAGATTTAGTTAAACTTAACTGAATTATGTTGGTGCACAGTTAAAATTGGAGGAGTTAAAGTTATAATTCAGTTATTTATCGCAACTTATTAAACCATATCAGAGTTTGTGGTAAAAAAAATGAACGAACGATAAGAAGGACTGAATTTTTTTATGTCCGGTTATTATTCTTCTTGCTACGCAATGACTTCTTCTTAAATACACAAATTCATAAAAGGATGTGAATTGAATTGTGTGACTGTGATGTCGATAATAAATATACAATTTGAGTGAGTAGGGAAGGGAGTAAGTTGATAACGGAGGAGTGAGCTTATCGTTCCCCGTCCCACACAACAAACTGGACAATGGGTCACCTTATCTGTTTTCCATTTCCGCAGATGAGATACTCTTAAGTTAAATAGTAAACGTATACTATTTACATATTCTCGAGTGTAAAAAGGACAATAAATTGGATTTCTTCTAGTCAAAACTACTCGTACTTTCGTAATAAATAATGCAGTGGAAAAAAAGTTTGATGTAAAGTTCAAAAAATTGCAATAATGAAAAATATGCCGTCAATTAGTCCTGCAGAGTAAAATAAGATGCGAGTTATTTTCGCCTTATTAAATCGTAATCTCGGCAAAAAAGAAGACTGGTCAGCAGTATATAGCAAATTTACAATGAAATGATAAGGTCCATTCCGTAAAAAACCTTGCAAATAAAAAAAAGTAAGCATGAAAATGTCATGGGCTTATCAACATTCCATTGAATCAATAATGGTCAAAATGCACTTTTTAACTTTACAGATAGACTGACTAGCCCGGAATTATATGATACGAAATATCTACCACTTGGTGATCGCCGTCGTCGTGGCTAAATTTGTGTGCAATTAACTAACAATGCACATGTCAGACATGTTTCGCACGGATCTTGTTGAAACTAGCACTAAAATCTCAAGGAACTAAACACAAACAATAGTTAGTATGAAATTTGAGCACTTCTGCAGAATTCGCGAAATGGCGAACGTTTTAAGTTGGCGAAAATGCGTATTTTCACCATGCGAAACTATATGGAGTTCACCTCTCCGCTTTTCTCCTGCGCTTCTCTTCGCGAGGTCATCCGTTTTCGCTCAAAATTGAATTAATTAATTTCCTAACCAAGTTCTCATCCGATTTTTTATATTTGGACTTTACATAATTTTTGAGCACTTTTTAATATTTAAAATGGATTCAACTAACTTATAAGTGGATATTATTTTTCAAAATTGTTTCAGAATAATACATTCGATGTTTCTATTTATTCCCTTGGCGTGCTTTAAAGATTTTGATGACAAAAATCTTATGACTTTGTGTAATGTTAGCCCTTATCACACATAGGGAACTAGGTATATTTGGTTTTTTATGGTCTAATATATAAATAAGTTTACAAATATAAATATGCAATGTGAAAAAAGGAAAATCGAATCCACTATTCTGAAATCTCAACAAATTCTTAAAAAATTCCAATGATAGCAACTTAATTTTTATGTTAAATATTAAAAAGGTTCAAAAATTGTGTCAAATCCAAATATAAAAAATCGGATGAGAACTTGGTTAGGAAATTAATTAATTCAATTTTGAGTGAAAACGGATGACCTGGCGAAGAGAAGCGCAGGGGAAAATCGGAAAGCGGCCGTATAGTTTCGCATGGTGAAAATACGCGTGTTCTCCAACTTAAAACCTTCGCCATTTCACGAATTCTGCAGAAGTGCTCAAATGTCATACTAACTATTGTTTGTGTTTAGTTCCTTGATATTTTAGTGCTGGTTTCAACAAGATCCGTGCGAAACATGTCTGACATGTGCATTGTAAGTGATCAATTAAAATAACAACGACCAATACTAAACTGCATATATTTACCTACCACCACCGGACCACCTCCTGGACCAACCTGTGATAATGAGTTTAAGAAAAATTCGTCGCCGTCTTTCCAACACGTTTCGATTTACGGTGGATGGTTCCTTATCCGAATTAGCGGAACATCTCACGATTGACGATGATGCCAATAATCGTCAATATCTATCTCTCAGTGACGCAAATGGAGTCGCATTAAGAGAAAATGGTTAGTATATGTATATAGTTTAGTTAGTTTAATAGCCCTGACCTTTTAAAGTCTAAATGTCACATAAACTTCATGGTAGTCACCTAAGTACGAGATTTTTTTGCGTCATCGCATAGTGTAACAACCTTGATAAGATTGATTATTATTTACATATATGTAGCAAGAGAATTTAGTGACTACTTTTTCCCACATGTTTATTTATCCGGTGTTCAAAAGTCTAAATGAAAGGTTTTGAAATTTTGCAGGAGTGCGATCTCACCCGAAATCGGGGTTTGCAAGTTATGCAAAAAGATTCTCCTTTTCCAACTCTGCTAAAGATGTCAACTCGAGATCAAGTAAGAAAAAAGTGCATGTTTTTTAAAACAGCGATCTTTATCTATTTTAAGTTAGACTACGTCACCGTGAGATTAATGTATTTAAAATTTGCATGTCCCCTAAAATCGCATATTTTGATGCATAAAATGCAGTTGCGCAACCAACCCATTTACTAAATAATGATAACAAGAATGGCAATATTACATGTAAGAAAAGCCACTTAATTAATTAAGCAAAACGAGGCGCACTAGGTAAAACCAGCAGCAATCGAAAAATTACCCGGTCGATAATATTGCACCCATTTCTTTAACCTTCATCTATGTAAAAACGTGTTGCATTCACCGTCGTGAGACTTGATCTTATTAATGACAACAAATACATACATAAGTACAGCGTGTAAAAAAGCCTGTTGCAATCATTTTTATGAGGAAGCTACATAGGTAAATAATGAACGTGAAGAAATCGAGAAATGTCCTTGACGTGGAAAAGAGAGCTTCTTTTACACGGCAGACGAGTATTTAATTGTTGTTAATAAAGAAGCAAAGTCCCTCTTGATCCCAGTCAGTACTGATATTATGCTACCAGACCACGTTACATATCTACAAGCACCATTATTATGGTTCAAGTTAAGTTACCAAACCGCTTTATTGTTACCTGTGCTTTTTTACGTAAACAGAAATTGTAAAGTAAAAACTGGGGTGACCTCGATGATGTGCTGCTCAAATCTTTGACTGCTACTGACAAGAGTTCAAGATGCACAGCTCCCGACTGGCTGGGTGTGTGTGTAATATTCAGTTTGCTAGCTATTTTCCGTTTATATTCTGTTCAATATTTCCTGAAATTTTTCCGATAAATTGAAAAATAAGGTTGTGCAAGACATTTCGCAATGCTATCCTCTGAGGAGTCTGGCTTGCGTGGGGTTAGGATGGATTTAAGATTTCAAGTACTTTTGCAAAACCTGATTGATTGTGAAAGAAACATTTTTAACTAATAATATCGCGTGTCCAGTCCAAAAGAAATGTGACAAGGACGATAAAGTGCAGTGAGAGAGGAAATATATTATTTTGAGGTACTTGCTCGGCTGGACGCCTGATAAATATCCATTGACCGATAAATATATATTTCCAAGCAAGCCTTCCACTCGAAAAAAACTGATCTTCCCAAGTTATAAATTAGTTGTTGTTGTTGATCTTACGGCCTCAAACCGCACGTACTTTTTGAAGAGGACTCGCGAGCAATGAAATTACTTATGTACGTGGACGACCGTATTAGCAATAAAGTATTGGAGAAAGCAGCAGCCTTGCGCATCTCTCTACGTTCTTCGTCAGGCCAGAGTTGTTTCGATCGGTGGAAAAGGAAAACCCGACTCCACAACAACATCCCCTCAGCACTTTAAGCAATTCAACTCCCATTAAGCCACCAACCAGACCACCTTCCTTCGAGTTCCGTGTGTTTTTCATGAACTGAAAGGCAACTCTGTAAAAACAACGGCAACTTGTCACGTTGGTTGAAAACTCAGATATGTTGACATTTAGTGGTCGAGACCATATTTATTTTCCTGGGGAGGAAAAGTGAACCTATTGACACAGAAATATTGCAGTCGGATATGAATCTGGCTTGGAGAAACAACACAACTGCTTCCCGCATGGTTTACCAGAAACCCTTTGATTGTACACACATGTCAACAGTCAGCCAGTCAGTTTTTTAAACAAATGTGATGTGAATCTCTCCTCTTTTGAGTCATCATTACGCCAACAAAGCTTTGTGCCCGGATATCATTTATTTGGTCCCTTATGCCATCGAAAAGATGAAAGCATGCAGTGAACCGGAGATTCACTGCCTCATTAAACGGAACCTTATTGCTCTCTAATTGCCTGAAATAACGAGTCCTCGTAAAGAGATACATGACGTATTTTTATTTCCTCTTCATCTCTCTCTTGACAACAACAAGTCTTCTCTTCACAATTTATTTTGTTCTTTTGACGTGAGCTCGGCGGAGAAAGCAGAGGGAAAGGAAGGACAGGACCGCGTTGCCATTTGGTGGTGCAAAATTTGGTGGCTGGTTGGAGTTTGGAGTGTGTCAAGTGGGATAGATTTTGCTGGTGGTGGTGGTGCTGTTCTGTTCCCTCCCCTCCGACCAGGATCCCCTGTTTCTTCTTATTTTCACTTTCACGCGACTTTCTTCGTCCCCAACGAGGAGAGAGAAAAGAGGAGCGAGAACGAGAGTGGCAGTGTTGCCCGTGGTTGCAAAGGACGACTGCCATCGTTACCTTCTCTCTCTACCCGACTCTCGCTCTCTTTCGGATTAAGGGAAACCTTTCATCGGGACGAAATAATCCATCCAAAATAAATATTCCAATTAGCAGTTAGTCGTCGTCTTCAATTAGTGTTGCACCTACACATAAACACCTGGGAGGGAGAGAGAAAGCTGGTTTTTACACTCTTTTACGAACTGCTTTAAAACTCTGCTGCTGCTCATTGACCAGAATACATAAAAAAAGAGGAGGAGATTTATTACATCTAACAAGAAGAATCAAAAAAATAAATTAAAACTTAATAATATCCTTCAGTATACGCTTCATGGAAATTGGTGGAAATTATCGTGATTCATCCCTCCATATTTTTACCAGTAAAGGTTCTTCTAATCATTTCGGGACCATTTTGAAATTGTCCGGAACAAAGTAATAAGATCGATATCCAATCAAATCCAATCCACCCATAAGAAAACAACGGAGATCAGAATCGAGATTAATTTCTACTAGGGCACTGTGAATCATCAGTACGGTGGGTGGTTCTTTTCCATACATATTTTCTCGGGATACGGGAAAGATTGTAACAAAAGTTGAAAAAAGACAGATTTTTTTCATTACGGACAAAACAGTGTGAAATCAGTGCGAACAGTATTTCCAAAAAAGGATCCAAATCCTTTTACAATGGTGTCCCGTTTAGACTCGTTGAATTCATGGTTGTCATCTCTCTCCTTGAAAATTGGACATCATCGTCACCGCACTCGAAAAACGGGTCGTTCTAATGGTCTTCCAAGGAGTAGCACGATGTCTACCGCGGATGGATTTTGCCGCAGCACAACTTTCCCTACTTTGGGTACATACTTACATATTAATTTTATGCTTGCATGCATCATCATGACCTTAATGCAACATCCCTGAAGAGAGATAATGATGATGATGAAAGACGACGAGAAGAGTCAAAGTACACTTGTCTTCTTTCATCTCTATCTCTATATTTATATACGGACGTACATATCTTCTTATCGATTATCGAATTGTGTCGGCCCACATGCAACCCACATTCATATTACATCTCTCTCTCTTCTCATATCCATTCATCTCTCCATCCACCACGAGCAGCAGGAGGAGAACATCTATCCATCCATCCCGTTTAGATCGTCATCACATCCGCTTCATAACCTCCTCCATATGAGGAGGATAAGGAAGGTGGAGAAGGAGAAAGAAGGGCCTTATGGTCGTGGTGGTGGTGGTGGTGGTACATTTGGGAGAAAGTAGAAAGTTGTTAGTTGGATGGATGGGGGATCCCTCAGCTCTTCTTCTTTCTTCACTTCTTTTGCATTCACCTGCTTTCTCCCCAGATCCAATTTCACACCATGCACTCCTCTTCTTCTCAGTTCTCATACACATGTTCTCGGTGGAGTGGAGAGAGTAAGAGAGAGATGACTTACTTATGTATGTATGTATACCATCATCACCAGGCACGACTGTTGAGCAAGATTGGTTTGACGTATGGCCTCTATTGTTCTCCAAACTTACTTTGTTTTGCACTTAGGCAAATTGAGTTAGTGTCAAGTTTTAGTAGTATGTATATTGATTTTGTTTATGCAAACCCCCATTTTCACCATGTATGCATCATGTCTCACATGACGACGACTACGACGATGATAATAATAGAGAGGGGAAACCCTAAATAAATGTGGTGGCGAAATATATTTATAATGGTCTGACTTGTTTTTCTCGTCTATTTTCATATCTAGCTCCCGTGGCGGAACATCCACGTGGGTCGGATGGCGAATCGGAGGAAGCATCCGCAGCCTCGGACGATTTTGCATCTCCGGCCAGAATCCGTCCATCGCATGGCGTCTCTTCCTACGGGGTCACCCTCCGACAAAAGAGTCAGCGGAGACACTCCGAGGTGAGCTATCAACGAATAAGTATACACGTAATCCACGCTAATCAGTAGTGTTAAAATAAATAAGGAGTCGAGTTTCAGTAACATATTTACTTCTCGGAGTTGAGACAGGGCATATATAAGACAAATTTCGTAATAAGTTATCCCAAATATTGCACGTTTCGTCTTCTTCTAACCCATCATGCACGACCTGGTATAATAATCTAAACTATTATGCGCTGCATCAACCCTAAAAGTATTAGACTTAAAATCTCACAAGTCTTATTTACAAGAGATACCTGCTTCCACGAGGTAGATAGACGGATAATAATTTGTAATTATATATAGAATATATTTATAAACCCATCAGCAGTATAAGTAATAATAATAAGTAGCTCAGTTTAACAAACTATCTCTCTCTCTCTCCTCATAAGAATTCAGGCACGGTTTCACTAATTGGTTTAAAAATGAAGCACATTGTATGCTAATTATTTCACGTTATTATCATCTGTAGTATAAATACATACGGTTGGGTTAGTGTTAGGTGGAGCAGGTCACATACATAGCTTGGCTGGGATATTATAAATAAAGTCGAGATCGCGTCTTCCCTTTTAATTAGTTAGTTTGCCAGACTGGGAGTTAAAACAACGCAAAGTTATTCTTGTTCCTTCTTTCATCAGATATTGTTCTTTTCACCGTAATTTAATGGATCAGAGGTAACTCTGTAATAACAATAACTTTTCGACAGATGGATCTTTCTCAAGACATCAGCAAGCGACTCTCTCTTCCGGCCGATCTGCATATCCCGGAGTCATTCTTGGCGAAACAGGCAGCCTCCTCCTACACCGTGGTGGAAGCTCCCCTCACCAGAACTTCCAGGAGACAAAGTCTTTCCGAAATTGGATTTGGGAAGAGTGAAACTTACATCAAGCTTGACAAATTGGGAGAAGTATGTAAAGCAACTGTTACGCAGGGCCGCTATAAATTGTGCTTTATTTTACAAACTTTTTTGTTTTTACTAGGGGACGTATGCAACTGTGTTCAAGGGAAAGTCACGGTGAGTTTTGTATCCAAGTCGAAGTCTTCATTGAGAGCAAGGGGTGTATTTTTCTCAAATTATGGTCTTAATTCTATTCCAGCCTTACTGAAAGTCTGGTAGCGTTGAAGGAAATTCGTCTCGAACATGAAGAGGTATGATTGCATAATTGTATCATGTTCAAAATTAACACATTTAATACGTGATTCATAGGGTGCACCTTGCACAGCGATTCGGGAGGTGTCATTGCTGAAAGAGTTACGTCATGCGAACATAGGTTTGCGCTTATCTCATTATGAAATTCATGTTTGTGTCAAGGAATTGTAAATTTGTATTAATTTGTCCACTTGTAGTGACACTTCATGACATTATCCACACTGAGAAGTCTCTGACTCTAGTGTTTGAGTATCTGGACCGGGATCTCAAACAGTATATGGACGCGTGTGGTGGGGTACTGAGCATTAACAATGTCAAGGTATGTATCACTTGGTATGGTGAGGATGCAAAATGGGTCATGGAGTTAATATTTGATAATATTTTTGGCAGCTATTCTTATTCCAACTGCTCCGAGGTTTGGCGTACTGTCACAGGCGGAGAATTCTACATCGGGACCTTAAGCCGCAAAATTTATTGATCAATGATCGAGGAGAATTAAAGGTATGACGTTGTTTTTTGTGTTTGTTTTTGCGTCAATGTATAAATTGAATTATCTAATGTAATTTATTATTGATTTATCTCAACAGCTTGCCGACTTCGGTTTAGCTCGGTACTATACACCATTTCATTCATATTAATACTTATGCATACCTGTCTGGTAGTTGGGATATGAGTATATTTTGGTTTTTATATGAATTTGTAGTGCCAAATCCGTTCCTACGAAGACTTATTCCAACGAAGTGGTAACTCTGTGGTGAGATTTTTTTTATTGCGTTGTTACATTAAAGTCTTGTACATTTGAACTTTTGAAGTAAAAAAAAAACATGCACTTGTGAATAGGTATCGTCCCCCTGACGTCCTTCTTGGGTCCACAGAATATTCGACCCCAATCGATATGTGGTATATACATATTTCATTTTATGGCCAGTAATAACCATTGTCACGCATCATGACGTAATTATTAATCAAGTTTTATCTCTCATGCCTTAGGGGTGTTGGCTGCATATTTTGCGAAATGGCGAGTGGAAGACCAATCTTTCCTGGGTCAACGGTTGAAGATCAGTTAAAATTAATTTTCCGCACACTTGGAACACCGAATGAGGATTCATGGCCAGGAATTTCTACCAACGATGATTACAGATTTTACGACTTTGAACAATGGCCACCAGAACCGCTAGTCTCACGAGCACCAAGATTAGATGGAGATGGGATTGAACTCTTGTCCAAATTTTTAAGGGTGAGCTTAACACAAAATTATGTATACCCCCTCACAAATTGAATTGCTCAAATATGTATGTCGTGTATATTTTATAGTATGACGCAAGAAGCCGGGTCATCGCTCATGAAGCAATGCAATACCCTTTCCTCAGGAAATTATTCACTGCCACGATGCGGCTTCCGGACAGTAAGTCATATACAACTCTCCATTAATAATAATCCATATTTCATGCTCTGTGACTAATTTAATCAATTTTTGCATAGCCGCAAGCATATTTTCAATTTCCTGGATCCAACTGTCCAAAGACCCAGGATCACGGTGTGGAATCAATAATTCAAAGCCTCAAGACAGCCACGGATCGGACAAGCGTCACAGCGTTATACTTTAAGGAGACAGCTATAAAACAAGAATAATGGAAAAAGAACAACAACTTTAATTACGTAATTTCTTATTGGGATTAAATTATTTTGCTACTTTGTAACTATTTCAAAAACGGGTGGGTGGATGGGCGGGTTGGTTTAATGATTAATTCTCTTTGGTAATCTGTTTCAACAAAAAAAATCTTGCTACTTTTTTTAACCAACATTTTCAAATTCAAATTGATTATCAATCAATACCAATTTCTTTCATTTCGAGGGGAACTTTATTATACCAGTGAATTCCATTATTTGTCACTCTTTAATACGACTCGTTCTTCAAATAAGTAATATTTAAAACTTCCTCACGAGACGAGCCAGCCGCACAAGCAAACGTTGGAGGCATAGTATTACCTTCTCTCATCCTTTAGAGAAGAACATGCCAAATTGTATACCACTTAAGAAGATGCGATTCATAGTGAGTAGAATGACTGACCGAAGCAACAATTTTTTGCAACGGATTAAACAAAAGAATTACTAAGTTATCATATTTAAATACTCAAAGTTATCAAAAAAACAACAACTTTTATTGTTATACTTACCTGTTTCTGAGATCTGAGATTGCTCACACTCGTAAAATACCCTTTGAAAAAAAATATCCCAAAATTAAATAATTACAATCCTCTCCTCCAAAAGAAACAAAAAACTTATATCTCTGTCTTCTCCACTCTTATACAAATACATAATAATTACATAATTTTCTCCGCAAAAGTGTCAAAAACATGTCGTCTGATTCGATTTTTAGTGCGTGTCGTATATACCTCTAATTGTAATAATAATGGTAATAATATTTATAAAACTCGTGCAGGAACGTACGTACGTAGACATGTTTTAACAAAACATTATACTAATTGGTTCTGCAAACGAAAAATTAGCGTGTGGAAAATCGAATCGCATCCGACACACGTGAATGACGATGACGGACGACGACCACGACGACGATGACGACGTGTTAGTTGTGCATATTGAAATCTAACGGTGCTTCAATTTAAAGCACAAAAAACAAAATGAATGTAATACTAAATTATTACTAAAAAATTAGGTAATTTTATGTACGTACGTATGTAGAGGGATTATTCTCGCATGTGATGAAAACGAAATTTAAAATTTCCTTATTTCTCGTAAAAATAGATAAACAATAATAATAATAAATGATAATTGTTGTTATAAAAAGAATCGATCAAGATTGAAACGAAGAAGAAAAAGAATACTTTTACGATTTTAAAGACTGCTAAAAATGAAAACATTCGTTTACACTGCAATTCTCATTCTCATTGCAAGATTGATTTGGAAAGAGGTTCATGGTACGAAAAAGTGTTCCAGTTTCCTTCCGGTGAAATGAGACACGAAATAAAAAATGCATGCCCACTTTGTTAGAGAGAAAGCAACTGCTGTGCTGTTTACTTTCTCCACTTTTTTCTCCCCAAATTATGGGTGGCAGATGTTTAGAAAGATAAGAACACCACCAGTTTCTCGATGGATGGATTATTAAGAGTAAATAATATGTGACTCGAACCTGGGTTAATTGTTGTTACGTATTATTAATGTTATAATAAAATAAATGTGAATCAAAAAAAGAATAAAATGAATTGTTCGAATCACAAATTCCAAAAGTGAAAAAGTGAAAAAATTATGTTCATGTCTTATTCGATGAAAATGATTTCCAATAAAAATTAACCCGTTTGCTCAAAATTCTCCTTATTAATTACAAATATTCTTATTATTATTTTCATGAAATTTGTGCATAAATAAATTTAACGGAGGGTAAACTTGTTTAAAAAACTTGTTTAAAAAATTCATGATGCATGTCTTGTATTATTTTTTTTGCTCCTCTCGGTTTTTACAAGGATTAAAATCTATCGTACGAGTACATTGCAGCAGAGATTCTTCTTTGTTTGTTCGTGGGTATGTAGTAATTAACAATGATGATCAACAATTAAAATTATTATTACAATAATAATTACTATATACGCTAAAGGGCAAAAGTCGACGGGAGAAAGAGAGAGAGGGACAACAATTAAATAAGGAAAATAATTAACTAATTATTTCTAAAATGCCCATCACCATCACGCAAAGTTTAAGGCAACCATTCAGCCTCATTCTCTTGAACTTTGGCCTTGTCCAAGAGCTCGTTAAGGGATTTGATGGGTGCCGTCTTTTTGTCCTCTTTGTCTGCAAAGCTCTCTACAATGTCGCCAGTCACGTCGGACGCTTTGGAAATACCGGACCCGAGGACTTCCCCGGCTTTGTCAATCCCAGTGCCGACGGCTTGGCCAACCTTGAGTGGAAAAGGGTGCAAGTTTTTTTTTATAAAAATAGGACAATCACACATAGCAGAAGGATACATTTTTTGGTGGACGGTGAAGCTCAACCCGCTACGACAGAGAAAAGTGTGTGGCGTGATTTTTTTTGCAACCAGAAATAAGTCCCCCTTGCCCCCCCAAAAAAACTACATTGTGTGTGCAACATCATCTCTTCCATGAGTGAGACTTATGGTTGAGCATCACAGTCCCGGGATTAAATCGGAGGTCGTCTTATAAACTCCGTATACCTTTTTGACAACGCCACCAATGTTTTGAGCGGAGAAGGTCTTGTCGTCAATTTTGACGTTGAGGCTGGAATCTTCCTTGGTGCGGCAGGTATCTTGGTCCTGTAAAAGGGGTGAGATTGGTATTGAAAAAAAAATCGGATTGATTTGAGTTTATTGAAGATTTTGGATGCATACCACAACGCTAAAGTCGTCAGGGTCGACGCCTTCCTCTTCCAATTTTTGTCGGACCTGGTGAACAAAATGTGTTAGTATGCAACTGCATATTTACGTTAAAAAGTAAGAATATCGTGACCAACCTGATTAACGACTGCCTTGTCTAAAGTTGGTTTTCTCGACAGAATCGTGGCACTCTTGGTGTGACCGAAGAGGATCTTTTGGCACGTGAAGATCCCAGCGTAGCTGGAATAATCGGTCATGAAGACGAGGAAATCGGCTTCGCCGGCAATATCTGAAACGGAATGGAGGCAAATATTGTAGAACAAATTCATAATAAAAAAAGTAATTCCATTGTCGTATGAAAATAAAGTAGCACAAACCGTGGTTGCATTATTACGAGGAATTAGCATAATATTTAAATATGTGCATAATACTGTAGGTAAATTCAGCCCCGTAAAAGAAGATTTGAACACAAAACGAAAAAAAATCTCATTTCTTTGCTTTTCTATTTATGGCAGTAAGTAGGATTATAATTTTCATTCAACATGGACTTTAATGCTTCATGAAGAGCTACATAAGTACATGCAAAAGCTGTAGGATAATAAATAATCCTGTCAGAAAATAACATGTAACGGTTCTTTCGGTCGTAAAATATCAAGGCGGCGGAGTAGTGATAATTAGTAATAATTGTGACGAGATGATAGACGGACTATTTTTATTAGCCTTCATCATCCAAAGATGCATGCCTATTCCCATTGTCGGGCTTGGAGATCTATCACTCACCGTATTTGCAGACTTAATTAGCATTACGCTCCAATGACAATCAAGGTTTTTCCTTCCTTCTCGTCATTAATTAGATAAGAATTGTGAGAAAAAAGAGACTCCGAAATCGGAAATTGCTTACTCAGTGGGAATTTCACTCGCATTCTAGCTGATCTGTCATTATCGGGAATCGTGAGAACACCGGTGTACCTACAAATTCCAATCATGCACAAAAATATTTAGCAAATCATCGCCATCCTGCTAACTAATTTACTGCGCTGCAAGATTTTGGTGGATACAAAAAAACATAACTCACGTATAAATGTGATCAACTCCAATCGTGTCCAACAGAAAATGTTGACGAGTCTGAACCAATCTCAGTTTCCCATCCGTTCCTTGCGTGAAATTGTACTTCATGCATGAACTCGACGTAGCAAACTTCTGGATGACGTACCACTCGCCAAGGAACTGAAATTTTGCACATAAATAAGTTCATGTCACGTATGTATGTAACTTAAGATTAATGGATTTTGCATCTCGATTAGCTAGTCATGATGTGCATTAAACGCTGCAGATAAAATCCATCTCGACAATTCTTATGCATTTTTCATCTTCAATAAGAAAGGAAAACCCACAAAAATTGAGAATTGCTTGATTTGTCTAACAAAAAAAGTAAATCATTGCATGAAAAACAAACCCAATCTATTCTCTCAACGAGTAAGAGTGCAATAATGCATCTCAACCACAACAGATATTCATATGCATTATATTATAATCGTAAAATTATTACCCTCTCATGACTTTCATTTATTTCTCTCTGTTTGGTTAGCACATTGCATTAATTGAAATTTCTCATTTTCTTTTCCTACTCGACGAAATTTATGTACATGAGACGGTGAAATTGTTGTTGCCACAATTTCTATAAATAGAAATGTAAATGGATATGCGTATGTACCTTATCCATGTTAAAGTCCTTCAGGGGCTCAACCCTTGGGCAGGATCCTAGCCCCATGGTGTGTGCGTCCGAAAAGGCAAACAGCGTTGACACGAGGAAGGTCACGACCAATACTTCACGACGATGCATCTTATTGCCGTTTAATTGTTGTGCACACTCGAAAAAACCAGAACCCAAAAATTATTAGAATGCACAAAGAAAGAAGACGACACTGAACAAGTTTGAGATTCTCTCTGAGAGAGAGAGAGAACTTTAAAAATATCCAGTTTTTGAGACACGAAGGCGACAAAAAAAGAAGCAGGTCGAATTTAGCTCAAGGACTTTGAACGGTTTTTCCTACGAGAGAGCACACTTGAACATGAACCTGAAGGAAGGAACTCACCTTGATAAATACAAACCGACTGGTCGACTGCCTGGAGAAGAATAAGTGATGAAGGGATTTGCAGAAGGGTATTTAACAGCGTCGAGATTTTGAGAAGCCTCAATTTATTTACGTATCTCTATATTATTCAGAGTGTGTGTGTGACTGATCTCAAATTCTACAGATATTACTTTACTAGGGGGATACCACTCTGCTGCATAGCTTCACTTATTTTTGTGAAGCTTCTGTCTCTACGAAGTTAGGTTTACCATGTATTTTACTACTTGAATATATTTTGTGGTTTGGTTATGATGCCGTGGACACATAGACATGAATAAAAAGGGTTGATTCATCATCATCCTCATCATCATCGTTCATCCTTTTAGTCGTTGAGCACAGTAAAATTATGGTATGACTTCCACTTCGGTACATCAGTAGTAAAGTTCACTCTTTTCGTTGGGGGGATCGATGATGGTTTGGTTGGTGGTAACCAAAAGTTTGTTTTGTCGTGGTATACATACAAGTGGTCATTCCTAAATATTGAAGATATGCCAACAAATACATACAAAACCATTCCGACAACACAAGAATGACCACGATGACGACGACGACTGCGAACATTGAATCTTCTCTGGGAGCATGAATCATATATTTCAGGCTTCTTAACAAGAAACATGATCACTTACAAAAAAGTGAGGCATAATATATGTAACACGAGTATCATTATTTTTATGCGGTATCTACAGTTTTTTCTCTTTATATGACTTATGTACATACGTTTGTATGTCTTTGTATATGGGAAGAATAACTCTAATTTTGGTCACATACATAACAAACAAATCAGCGACAAGGACCACAATAACCACAATTTTAGTTTGGGAAGTACAGTCATCATCTCATTTTTTTCAGCAGCAGGGGACAAACTAGTTCAAATTATGTATGTATCATATTATTAATTCGCGAAATTCATGTAACCAGTCAAAAATAATCCTATTTATTACTTGTCACTCGCCACTCACTCACTCATCACTTTAAAAGTGTTGAGTAAACCAAGAAACGGTTGCGTACATGACTCACAATCAGCTAAATTTTAACGATGACTCATTCAGATCAAGATTGAAGACTTTTATTCATCAAATTCTAGCAAAACAGGGTTGATTAGTTGTGACCCCTTCTCCGACCACTTACTTACTTACATAATCTCTGAACCAGAACGTGAACCGTCAAGACATGACGAGATAGATTTGCTATGTCCAAAGGTCAACTAAAAGGTTTCGTCTTCGTCGATTCGGGACACGATAACGAAGCCAGCCCTTGCTTCTTGAGGATTGTATGCATGCATCGTAAATAAATCCGTGTCTTATTGAGCAATAGAAGGATTATTCATTATACAATTATAAGTAACGATTTTACGGAACCAAGTCTGGTAAAATCAGAAATAAATACTCAAACTTTCCCATGCAAAATGAATTACATAATACATTGCGGAAGCGAGTAGGATAAATGCGTTATAGCTGAATGTCATGATATTTTGTGCACTGATACAAATTTCGATTATTATTTTGTCGTGGGATATGCATGCATGTACATATTTCGTAAAATAGTGCAGTGTGGTCTGGTCATTGGTCTGGTCATATGAGCAACAATACGAATGAAATAATAATATGTAACATTTTATGTTTGTGCGTAAATTTTATGTGCATCATTCACGATATGTATGTACAACTATTATGTTACCGTGCCGGTATTGATACTTGTTACGGATACGTAAGTATTTACTAAAAAATACGACACACAGTAGTCTAGAAGTACATACATACGTGCATCGATATATGTAATTATTATTGCTTTGCATGTTGCGTTAACTGTGTATGTACATGAACGTAAATGTGTATGTGTGTACATATGTATGCAACTTATGTATGCTGGTCTAATAAGAATTCCGTGTATTCGTTGCATAATTGACACGAGGGTAGCGTTGCATAAGTAAAAATTCAATTATAAAAAAAATAAATAAATACGATTAGATTGTTCTTCTCAATGATAAATAAATAATCACATCAAACAACTACTGTAATTGGCATTAATATTCCATTAGTTTCTTTAACCGGGGACGTGATGAGCGTGACATTAAAATGTAAAAATAACTACGAAATGTAAATCCTGGTAATGGTTTTAATCAAGAAAGATGCAGTTTGTGGTTTAGTTTGCCATTATTAAATGAGAATTGATGACTTGAAGCAAAAGTACAAGTCATTCTGAATCATCACGGTACTCATTGCTTATGTATTTCGGATAAAAATCACGAAATTGCAGTCAAACGTGAAACCAACTACCCGTCCTCAATGGAATGAAAAGCAGGGAAGTATGTATGTATGTATGCAATCTACAATAGTCCATGATCCTGATTTTTACGTAGAATTCATTTCTCATCGCATAAAAGTTGGCAAAACAACGCGTTCATTTTTTGCATGCAAAAAATCAAAACCCAAATCCTCTCACAAACTGAATGAAACTCTCATCAGGATGAGAATGAGACTGGTACATTTCTCGGTAGGAAGGATATCATTAACTTTTTGCATCATTATAAATCTGCACGTACTTCCATGCATATGCCGAGTGAATAACTTAATGGGTTAATGTTGGTGTAGGTAGGTACGTATAAAAACAATTAATTCATGGGTTTCGTGGGAAAACAGGAGTCTAAAAATAATGCCAAATTGTGAATTAAAAAAAAACTTTTCGGCGAAAAGATCTTTTCGGAAAATACATATGAATGATTTTAAAACAATGCTTAATGCTGTTCACGGACAAGTTTTTAATTAAATTGGCATGCAAATCTGGATATACACTTGTCAACCGGTTACTAACTACGTATCCAGTCAGTATGTTATACAGAATGGAACTCGTGGCTCAACTTTGTGGAATAACATCACTTGACACTGGCAATGGACATGACGCAGCTTGTTGTTGAATACAAACACACACATGGAGCAATTTAGAGAAATAATGGGTTTGCACCAGTGGAAGTAAATTTATCCCCAACGACAGGAAGTAGCAGAAGCTCACGAAGGTCAAAACTTGCAATGTTTGGTTTATGGAGTAAATTGCGGTTTATATGTAAATGGGAAGGCTGACATTTCGTAGAATCTGATAAATGACGACTGACTGACTGATTAGGTTAATGATGAGATGAGAGTTTGGATCTAATCGATAATTACATTTTGCTGGGTCATTTTTAGAAATTGGACCATGTGTGAAGCCAATTAATTAGTGAAGACCTTTTAAAAATTAAATAATTTAGGTTCAACTAAGTTTTACAAATTCGTAAAAACAGGGATAGGATTTTATTACAAATAATTTTGATTTCATTCGGCCGTTTTTTTACCCCGACGCTGTTTCTTGCTGACTTTCTCTCCCGGAAGGGGAGCTTCTTTAACTTTTTTCGAAACTTCAAGAGGTACTGCGTGTCCGGTTGCTTTAATATGTCTAAAAAGTTGCGATCTGCTACTGAATTTTTCGTTACATATAATACAAGTTAAGTCTGAGCTGTTGAAGAATCCATCGGAATTATCCACAGTTGGTTTTGGTATCACGGGCGCAGCTTCGGCTGAATTTGCGGTAGTTGTAGCGTTGGCTGGATTTGTAGCCTTCGGTTTTTTAGGCTTCTTTGCCTTTTTAGAGTTGGGTTTCTTTTTAGGTTTATCATCTTCATCGGAACTAAGGAGGGTGTTGATGGGTGGAGCAAGTTCATTGTCAGAATCCTCATTCGTGAAGAATACGGGATTTCTTCCATTTTTCTTCTTGGTAGCACGGGCTAGGAATTGCTTTTGTAATAGATCATCATCGTCTTCTTCGTCAACCTTTTCTTCTTCGCTCTCATTTTCAGATTTAGCAGACTCTTGTTGATCTTTAGAATCATTTTTAATATGCAAATCCTCCACTTTCTTCGTCGTCTCATCCACAACGTGTTCCTCTGGACCATCGTCGACATCATGTTCTTCTTCTTCTTCGGCATTACCTTCGTCTTCTACATCTTCTGTTTCACTATCTTGAAATAATTCATCCTCCTCTTTCATCAACTCTCGAAGTTTTTCTACTTCTTGCAGATGTTTTTTGGATTTCTCATGATTTGTAAATCTGAAAAATTATAAACAGAGATGATTAGCGATGTGCATAACAGTGGCTTACAGTGCATATTTAGAATAAGATTGTGTATACCAAATTTGTGAACTTACGCTTTTTCGGTTCTAAAAGACTTGTTGCATGCAGCACAATGAAAACAAGTTGGCGCTTCTTCATCAGAATCTCCAGATAATTGCTCTCCAAATTCGTTGGACATCCATTGTTCCATTTCCTAATTATTAAGAAGTGTGATTAATTCCTTCTATATAAGAACCATTTATTTATTGTATTAATATTAAAAACCACTTACTCGTAAAACAGGTTGATGTAATGATTCATTTTTCGCCTTATGAGATTTAACTGATTCTAGTAATTTCTTCCTTTCAGCCAAACGCTTCGACTTGGCTTCCTTTGCTTTCTTGGAAATTTCCTCTTCCTTCTCTTTGAGTCTAACTTCTTGTAAAGCTTTCCAAGCCTGGACACGCTTGTCTTTTCTCTTTACAAAGTCAACCAGAGCCCGAACTTCACGGTTCCATGCTTTTTTGCCATCGGTACGAATTTTTTTGTTTTCTTTATCCATCAACCGTGCTATCTACAAGAATTTAAACAACCCCAACCCATAAATAACTAACTATGAATTAATCATTTACGAACCAAAAGTTTAAATTCCTAACGCATATTGCTTACCCTTCTGCATTCCGCTCTACGAGTGTCATATTCGTCATTCCATGCGAATGATTTCATGGTACAGAATGATTCCCAGAATCCATAAAACGTACCAACAACCTGTGGAGAAAGAATTTCAGTATTGATTTAACCCGTTCAAATATTGCATTTCTATACTACAAATATTATAGTAATGTTCAACCAACCTCCTCATAAGAACTTTGAGAATCACCAAAATTAGGAATATCATCATCATGTTCGTCAGCCCACCCTGCCTCCAACTCTTCCGTTGTAAGTTTTGCAAAAAGGTTTCTGTAAGAATTGACAATATACATAATAAATAAACCAATGTAATCAACATAGTCACTTAAATAACGCTTATCAAACACTTATCAAATCAGTCTCTCTACCTGTAAACCGCATAGAACCCTTCATCATCATCACCAAATCCTTTATAACATGACGACGTACAATACGCCATGAGGTCAATGTTGAAGTCATCGAAATCCGGATCGAGTCCTGCATTGTCAACCACACCAATTAATTCCAAGCACTTTAAATGCATTGCTATAAATAACCACCTTCACGAAGGACGGCTTGTCGATGCAAGTCATACCAAGACCTCTCCTGTGGGTTGCTCAAGACCTCGTATGCCTGTTGAAGAACTTGAAATTCTGCCTTCGCCTCATCCGCACGGTCGGGATTCTTGTCTGCAAAAGGCAAATATTAATTATACGATCAAACTGTTAAATAAATATTAAATACAAAATAATCGTATCAACAAAAAACTAGATGGTGATTTGCTTATTTACCTGGATGAAGTTGCAAGGCTAATTTCCTAAACGACTTTTTTATCTCGTCATCCCCAGCATTCCGCTCGACCCCCAGCACTTCGTAGTAGCACTTTTTAAGGGGAGGCATTTCGATAACCAATTATGTAAAACGTTCTTCTAAATATTGTTCCCTTCTGCAGCTGCAACTTGTGTTGAAAGCATGATTTTTTGACATTTGCGCTAAAACGGAACTCGATGTTGAATGATTTTCGCATCCCTCCCTCCGTCATTATTATTTTTTTGTATTTTGAATTACTTTTGTGTTTTACAACAATTAGACTAAAATGCGTGCTGGAGAAAAATTATCAAAATCTGACACGATGAAACCATTCTCAAATTACAAACTATCAATTATGAAAAATAAATATGAAACCTTTCAACCAAAAAATGAGAAAAAATGAGATTTTTGTGCATATTTAGATTTTTCCTGCAAAATTTTGACGTATCATTATTACCTTCAATTTGACTTATTAATTGTTCACTTTAAAAAACGGGGATTTAATTTAGGATATCATACGATAGGTGTTACTTACGCGTTTTTAATTAAAGTTAAAATTAAAGAAAAATGATTTGTTGAAATTCTCAAATTCTACATGTTCAACTTGAACATTTCTCATTCAGCTTGAACAGCTCAAGCTGAATGAGAAATGCCGGCAAGCTCCGCCATGCGGCCATCCATGCCAGCAGAAGCACGTTGTTCGTCGTTCATTCATTCACTTCGCTCGCTCGTTCGGAAGAAGATCCCACCAAAATCAGCTCCAGGATTTTTATATTTAAATTTAATTTGTACCTAAATTAACTACAAGTACTGGATAAGGACGAAGGCGGTTTGACAGGTACGAAATGGTCTTGATATTTAATGGGTTAGGGAACGTTCGTAAACTTCATAAAGCAAAAAAAGGGTGGGTAGATGGTCAGGGCCAATGATATCGTGCCTGTAAAAAGGGGTGGGTGTCCAAAAACTAAAAAAATGCGAAGTTTACGAACGTGCCCTTATCATTGGTCATATCTTTAATAGTTCGGATGTGGGGACGGCCAAGGACCGGTGGGGGCAAAGAATTTATAATATCGATTTGATTAATTGCTGATAATTCTATATCGCAAGTAAAAATACAGACATAATTAAATTTAAGCGCAGTTATTTTAAGAACAAATCACGAAATTCTGAGCATTGTAGTCTTAAAAGATTCTCTAAAATTGGTAGTACGGTTAACTGGTGTTCAAATGAAAATAAATGGTTAAATTAATTGTTTTTTTTTGTTTCCCATTCTGCAGGACAATATTGGTCAAAATGCCACACATCTGGGAGAGGCTCCACGCCAAGAAGTATTTGGACGTTGACGTTGTAACGGATTCCACCAAAGCGTGCAGGCAGAGCTTGTTCTATGGTGAGTGGTCTTGTCTAACAAAATTTTTAATTGGTTATTCATGTTTTATTAATGAAATCATTATTCAGGTGAACCAACGGAAGACAAGAAGACAGCCAAAACGGCCTCACTAATCCAGATTGCAAAATCCTGTTGCAAGGAAGAGAAGGCCTTCATTCATTTGCAATTGTTTTGGCATCTCCGATATCGAAGTGAAATAGAGACAGTCCTTGAAAATCCGGGCAACTTTGCGTACATCGCACCAACCTATGTCACTGAAGCGTTCGTTCCAAACGACACTTATTGTACCGTCGTCATCGATGGAGAACTCATGTATCATTTCCTGCAAATGGTCCTTCACTTGTTTGACATGAAATTTGTTCAAGATCTGACTGCAATGGTGCTGGAAAAATTTATGCCAAATGAAGAGCAGCATGGAGTTTACCCATTCGTTGTCTTCTTTCTGGGAAAAATCTGTCGTCGTGAATTAGATAGGGAGGAAGTGGAAGGAGGCGACTTTTACTTGAAACAATTCATCACCGTTTTGGACGGATTTGTGGGCCACGGCTTGATATCCAAATATGAAAAGTTATGCTACTTATTCCGAGTGGCTGGGGTCGTCGTTATGAAAAAGGAAGATTACTTGGCTAATGGAACTGATTTTTTGGAATTACTGGAAGAATGGAATTTCGACTTGAGTAACAGGATCGCCCAAGAGACACGGGTCTATCTTACAGAATTTTTTGAGGATAAGCCAGCCTCAGAAGGAGTACGAGTCGAAATCTTGATAGCAATCGAGAAAGCCATTGTGAAGTTGGACGTATCAGAAGACGAGATCAAAGAATGGGAATCTATTCCCAAGACACATCGAATTACTTGGTCCGGATTCATCGGAGTACATGCCTTTCTCGCAAAATCTGTTTTTGAAAAATACTCTTCAACTTTTGACATATCCTTAATCGAAAATCTGGTCAATTTAGTCTCCACATGGTCTTTAAAGCGCCCAAAGTTGACCCTTTCGGATTTTCTGGGGGAAACGAAGACTTTTCAAAACTTTAACACTGTGTTGAAGAGGTTTGGAGAAAAGGATCGCGATCGTAAAATCCTCCTTGCTATGTTTCCAGAATTTTCATACAAGGACGTGTACTGCGGTCAAACTGGATTACGGATTGCTGAGAAATATCTCGTCCCAGGTGGCGACTATGACACCGTGTCCACCTACATTCTGAACGCGTTGGACAAGGAGAAAATGCCAGAAAGTTGTCTAGGGGTACCTTCCACGGTGAAACTTCTGATTCAAAAGTTGCTGTGCGCAAATGCAGAGATGAAAGCGAGAAAGGATGAGCTTGTCCCAAGATTGTTCAAAGACGGTGCCAATGCAGCCTTGATTCTGTCAGACTACACTTATCATGTCAATAATGTGTGCTCTAAACTCGGGACCATTGAGCGAGAAGTACGAGATGCAGCTCAAATAGCACATGTAAGCAAGATACAATATTAAATTAGAAAATCCAATCTATAACATATTAATTACTTAATTATTCACAGAATCGTGACCTTGTCTTCAGTACCTGTTTGGAGGACCCAGTGAACACAGTAATCTCAATGATGGAGCACGCCTTCAAATCCCAGCATTTAAAAGTCTTGGTCTTTGCCAAACCATTTTTACTGCTGCCAAGCAGCCATCCATCCGAAAACCCACCCAGTGTGCGAAACTTCTGCTTCAATAAGATTGTGGTCAACGCCGGTGGACATGACCCCATCCTGATCTCTTTGGTTGAATGCGTTTCTAAATTAATCTCAAACGATATAATGGATGCGAATGATGTTTACGAGATTATCAAACAGCAAGTCCGTACTTTGCTCCAGGCCATGATGCATCTGCCCAAAATTGGGAAACTTTTCCAAATTATCAACTCCATTGCTATCGCCTTGATCGAATTGAACAAGGAGGACCAGTACGTTCCTAATATTAAAGAAATTCTGAGGTTGGTCTTGAACACGAAGATGCTGACCTATCATGTCATGCCTCCCTGCGCTGCAAAGGAAATGCTGAACATTCGCACTATTTGTTCGTCCACGGCGGAAAGTATCATTGCCTCCAAATTAGCGGGACCAGATCCATTCGACAAACTTTCTCAATATGTCACTGCTAAGGATCCCGGCTATATTCTTAACCGTAATTTGTTACAAATCGGATATCTGTACGTGCGAGTGCCTCAATTACAAGATCATATTACCTCAAGCTTTCTTGGACAGAATCCTGCCATTAATCCTCTTCAGCTCAAGCCGGAACTTGAATTTGCCAACATACAAAATACCTTGTATACTTGGGTTGCTGATTCAGCCGTTGAAGAATGGCCCACCCTCCTCCAATTTTTAATCGAAGTTCTTCCAAAGTCTCCAATCTTTGAGCATGACATCGTCAACGTTTTCAACCGCTCGATCCCCTTCGTTTGGCGAAATTGCACGGAAGTCAAGAATCAACACATGTTTCGTCAATATTTGAAATTTTATAACAAAGCCGTCCAGCAGATTTTGCTCCAAAAGGGAGACTTGTCACCCACTCGAGAAAAACAACTCGACATCGTCGCCACTTTTGTCCTAGTGGTCGACTTGATGTTTCAAAATTGCCGGAAGCGCAAAACTCAACAAGAGAAACTGGCCGTGAGCACTTCCATCCAACAAGTAATGCTCGTCACCCTTGAAGTTCTGAATGTCATGATGGGAATGAACCCGACTTTTGAGAAGGACATGAAGCCCAACGTTTTGGACCGCCTTTCCTTACTCCCATTTGTGAAGGGGGCATGTGAACCGATTCGGAAATGCATGATGGAACGTGTCTGCAATTATAAGGATGCTAAAACGACGGCGAAAAAGGATCCTGCTGCTGGAGATCAATAAAGTAATACGTGAAGTAAAACGTTGACAACTCGGATACCACACCTGATCAACCACAAGACTGGACCGGACTACTATTTGATTCAACAAATAGTATTAATTAAATTTATGATTTTTCTTACCGTAATGAGTATTACACTAGTTATAAACTATTTCTAGTTCAATCAAAAGACTGGTGACTAAATAGTTTGTTAATGCCGTAATAAACCCAGGCCACAATTCCAAGCGGCCACCTTGTTGAAGCCATCGTTGATGGTCTTCACAATCGACGAATCCTGTGAATAGTTGGATGTTGACGGCCTAAGGATCCAGTTTCAGTTGATTGTCGCGTCGTCCCTGATTTGTCGCTGCTAGTGTTATCCGTTTTTCCGACGGAACGACGGACTATACTAGCAGCGACAAATCTGGGGACGACGCGACAATCAACTGAAACTGGATCCTTCGGCCGTCAACATCCAACTACTCCCAGGAGTCATCGATTGTGAGGACAATCAACGATGGCTTCAACAAGGTGGGAGAGGACCGCTTGGAATTGTGGCCTGGTTTTATTACGGCTAATAATTATACATTGTTTTAACATTCTCAATTCTTTTGACTTTTAAATTTCATAGGACAGCTAATTTCTATTCTCAAATTTCATGCAATCATCACCTTTCACGTATTTTACAATAAAATAAATTAGTACATAATAAGTTTTTTCATCGCAAGCATCATTTTTTAAATATGTGTAATGTTGAATATAAACTAAATTACACAAAAAATGCTAAAAAATCCCAAATTTCTTGATCCTCTTCAAATATGATTTACGTCTCCCATTTTTACCGTTTTCCTCATATCCACATGTGTATGTAACCCCCAACAGGTTTTAGGTGCATAATGTTGTCTCGTCAAAAATTGGAAATTCAATCCTGCACAATTCGAACTTTATACTCTGCACACTTTTTGCAATAATGATAATAATTATGCGTAACCTTTGTACCCTCTGCTTCTTTCCACCTCTCGTGACGATTAGTACTTTGCTTGTTACGATTCATGAATATGATTTCATGTAGTAAATATATTTGCAGACCTTGTGATTACGTAGCCCACCGTTCACATTGTTGGTGTTGGTGGGTGGGTCGGTATGGGATTTCCTATGTACGCAACCACACATTATCTAACAATAAGGAATATGCATGAATTTAGAATTAGAAAAAAACCGGCCGATTGGTTCAATCTCACATAATGCAAAACACCAAAGATCATTTAGTGGTCAAGAAAATAAATAACGTGACGTAACAATGCACAATCCGTACGTGGATACAGGCACGTTTGATTTCCCTCGTTATAAGACTTCTTGACATGATGAGCACCGTTTTTTAGGCCAAAGTTGTAAAAAAATGTTAAAAACTTCTCGACATCGGCACAAGTTCAAGCTTTTCTCTGTAGCTGCTTAATCAATCATGATGATGATGATGTTGGATGTTAGTTTTATTGTGTACACCCCTCTCCTCAAGATACACAGGTATCATCGTGAGAATGCCATGTACAAACTTTGCTGATTTTTTAATCGCAGATTTTTTACTTACTAAATTGCAAGTCTGTGGTGAAAACATAGGATTATATAATGAGGTCAGTAACATAAAACCCAAGCTTTAGATGAGTTTGGGGTTAATCTGATGAGATGATCCAAACAGGTGGGTCGAGGCTTCGTGGGTGTCAGTCAGTCGTAAAGGTAAAGATTTTAACCAGCAAGCAAGTACTTATTTAAATGTTAATCCATACATACATAATCGCATAAAAATTCTGTACAAACATGCAACTTTAATCCTTTTTGAGTAATATGTGCATAAGTAGTTTTGCAAAATGTGGCTACCGAGTGAAAAATGTTGTCCCATTTTAGCACGCTTACTTAAATTATTGGTTCATCAAACTTTCAATTTGATAAAGTCAACTCGTTTATCATCATTATTGGTTCCGGGTACTAAAGTAAATGTATTTAAAGAAAACACGTTTAATCGGAAAATTCAATCCGATTTCTTATCATCCATCCGAATCGATTTAGTATGTGCTCAGAATAGGAATGAGAGAATCACATTTAAAACTCTTCTTCACCTCTCAACTTGTCAAACTAGATTTCACTCGGTGGACGAATATTGCAGTTCTAAATCCCAAATCACATTGTGTCGAAGAGCTTTAAATCAATCATTCTCAAGGAATAAGAAATGATTCAGTTTAAATGCTGTTTGTTGGCAGGGGTAAAAAAGTGTTAATGGATCAGGTTGCTTAAAAGTCTGACTAATCAGGTCGGAGATGAGTTCAATTTCGAATATTTAGTTGTTGGTTGATTGCATGCAAGACATATTTCATCGATTCTGTTTAGCTTGTCGCAAGTTTTTGAAGCAAGTTTTTTTCTGCCTGTGCAAAAAGCAGGACGTTAAAAAAACTATGTTGCTGCATTCTAAATTAACTTTGTGCTTGAATATAATTTTAAAAAACATGACTATATTTTATTGGAAATAAACATGACATGAACGAAACCCTCCCGGGGATCGACGCATTTTACTCTTGCAACGCGTAACACTTGACCCTCTAAATTTCACCAGTAAAATGAAGTGCGGTCACTTTTATACAGGATTCTAAAGAAGATGAAGAAGATGATCCAACAACTAAAAATGATACTCTTCTCATGGACGGAGATTGGGAATGGAGGAGGAGGCAACAAGTCTGTGGATTATACAAGACACACGACAAATGAGGACCCCGCAGCTAAAAGAGCACGGTTGATTGTTGTCGGAGTGAGAATTGTTGAGATTTCGTCTCATTTTGGAGTACAGACAGACTTACAAAGGCAAGCAAACGTGTAGGTAGTTATTCCGCTCTGACCAACCGAAGAAGAGGCTAACCTGCAACATTAGTAACATTTCAACCAGTAAAAAATTCACTGTTTTACAGCGTCTGGTTTGATTGCGTCGCTTTTTTGGTGTGTAGAGAGATCAGTTCCCCGGCGTTTTTTACTGCAAGGGAATGTTGACTACATGCATACATTTCCCCATTTTGTCATGGGGTGTGTTTTCAAAACTTGACATGAAATAAGGACATATTACGGATTTTTTTCTTGGGAAATTTAAACCAATCTGTCGTCAAGATGCGACGGGAAATACGAGAAACGAAAGTCTTAAAACTTTTACCTGCAGTGATACTAAAAGTGTTTCAGAATAAGCGAAATCGAAAAAAATCTCATTATTCCCTCAACCAAAGATTATATCGATGTGATTCCATGATTTTCACCGTGTTCCTCTTCTCAATGTTTTGCCTCCAAAAAATGGGAGTGACCTGTTCTCAGGACATTTTTCACGGCTCGACCATCGCTCTGGAAAAGATTATGGTGGTCGAAAAGGATATTCGAACGGCCGTGGAGGAGTATGTGGTCACTTTGGAGAGGAGGATAGAAATTGCCAAAAGGTAACTTTATTACTAATTATACGCATGGTAAATAATTAACTTTGGAGTCATTAAATAGCCATGTTTTTGCATATGATTTTTGCACATGTATTATTCAGATATTTGCAAGATTCTCAAAAGTCGGACAAGAACAGTGAGAAAGTTGTGATACAAAACGGAGACTCTTCTTCTTATTTTTCCAGCGAAATTACCATATCGCAAAAAGAAAGAGTATTATTTAATCCTCTGAAAGTGTTCAAATTAATTCGAAATCTTGCCATAACGTTGCCCAGTCTTGAGAAGGATTTACAACGGGATGAAGAAAGACGTGAGTGCATGCGAGCATTCTACTTGTTTATTTATCGGGGAAATTGAGATTTTCAGGATCAAATTGTGACATTTTGTTGTTTACACTCACACTATAGGATTTTTACGAAATTTAGAAAGTGTTCGAAAAGGGGTCACATTTCCTCAACAAGCCGATCTTAATTCCGCCACGGAAGGATTACTTCGTGTCCAAGATGCCTACGACTTGGACGTATTTTCTGTAAGAATTTTCGTAATTTCGTTTTTGTTTTCATGAATTTATTGAGTACTCTGTATACAGTTTGCCAATGGAGACTTCGAAGGGTTATCTACAAACTCATCTCTCAATGCAGCCGACTGTTTCATAATTGGAAGTTACTCCCTCAGCGCAAATATTTTCACTAGAGCCATCGAATGGCTCGAAAGGGCTTATCATCTCGTCCACAATGAGCCTGATACGAGCATCTCGTCTCAAACTGTGTGGAAACAGTTGAAAGATGCTGTTTCGAGGGTGAGACGAATTTCCAGAGATTTAATTGACTAGTAATTTTAATTGTGGGCATGCAATTTTAGCACAACTCTGCCCTGATATCTCCTCATCTTCCAAAAAGTCAGCACCTCTTTCGCGATCCAGTCGATTCTTCTCATGGAGATTGGAAGAAAAAGTTAGGGACACGACGACGAAAAAGGTTGGATAACCCGACTTATCCGCTGTACATGACAGAACCCAGTTTTACAGACCTGACCAATTTTGCAGCCTTGTGTCGAGGAGAACAACTACAAGTGTGACGAATGTTTAACTCATTTGCTACCGAAATTTGCAATAAATACGCATATTTCTTTGCAGGCGGCAAGTTCTCAGAAAAATCTGGTCTGTTGGTTAGACCGTCGCTCCCCACATGCAATCTTGCTCCCAATTCGAGTCGAATTACTTCACGAAAAACCACAAGTCCTGCAAATCTACGACATACTTCCTGCTTCGTTGTCCAGCGGGATAATTTCTGCCACATCCGCGACGCTTTCCAGGTCAAGGGTGCACGGGTCGCGGAGTGAAAGTCATAAATTGGTCTCAGCCCAACGAACGTCCTCATCCACATGGATGCATGATGCGAAAGTGTTGAAGAAAATGGGAGTGATTTACACCAGATTACAGTCCTTGCTCGGATTAGATTTGAAGTCTAAGGGGGCATGCGAACACTTTCAAGTTTCGAGTTACAATAGTTGTGGACATTACAATCCACATTTGGATAATATTTTGAAGTCAAAGGTTATTTTATTTGTCTTTTGGTGCAAAATAAGATCAAAATTATTGTTTAACTTTCTCTTTTTATAGACTGGACATGCCATGGAGAAGGCTGAACTTGATCTGGGTGACCGTTTAGCGACACTCATGTTTTATGTCAGTCTGGCTTTATTTTTTGGGTTTAGTTTCTAACTTAAAGTCAAGTACGATTTACTTTATCTTGAATTGTTTAGCTCTCTGACGTCCCTCGAGGAGGATTTTCCGCATTTCCGCGACTTGGCATTGTCACAAGACCAGTTAAAGGATCGGCTGTGTTTTGGTTTAATGAAAAAATTAATGGAGACGTCGAACCCCTTTCTTTGCATGGAGGTTGCCCCGTTCTTTATGGAAACAAATGGATTGCTAATCAGTGGATAAGAGCAAATTCGCAAATGTTTGCAAGAAAGTGTTCAAAGGACAATACAAAAGGATCAAGTATTTAAGATTGGAACACGAAATGACCAATTCATAATGAATTGTATAAGGACATCAAATACAGTCACACAAAACTATATGAGATCAGTTACCAATAAAATTTACATGCATAATCACAAAATGAATTACGCTTATTTTGTACAGTAAAATAAATGCAAGAAGTTTTGACTGAATGCACAAATTTTGTTATAACCAATACTTTAATAATTATAGTTTACAAAAAATCTCTTACAATGACATTGGAAAAGATTAAAAAAGAATCATCACACACGAATAACATAATTTAAGTTTAAGCCACATAATAATTTCACAGATTAGTCATCCTTCAGCACAATTTGGTAAGGTTCATAAGTTATTAAATCATCAAGATGCATATGCAGATAGGAGATTGTAAGGTTTATTTCTTTTCGTTGTCCTCTTTTAATGTGACCGTGCGGTTGAAAACGAGCTGCAGCAATAAAACAATTACACATATAAATATACTCATTAGGAACAAGTAATGCATTGTTTTTAGCTTTAGATTTATAGCTGCTTACGCCTTTGTTCGAACTGTCCGGATCTACAGAGAAAAATCCCATGCGTTCAAATTGAAATTGGGAATACACTTTGGGCTCTTTGATATGTGCATCGGCAAGAGCTTCAACTTTGTGCAGGCTGTCAAGTTTACAATCAGAAAGAAATCCACCAGGAACTTGTTCAGGATCTTCAGGATTTTTGTGTTGAAATCTAAATTTTAAAGTCAATCAGTAGTGAAATGTTCAATACTTATATATGTAAATTTGAATTTAATGACAACATACAGACGATCATAAAGACGAACTTCTACTTTCACAGGATCCGCAACCCAATGAATGAAACCTTTTGGTTTATTGGAACTTGAAACGAGTTCACAAGATACATCGAGTTGAGTAACACGTCCACCTTCTTGGTGACATTTTTTATATGTCAAAACAAGTCCCGCATGGCGAAGACCGACCGGTTGGCCAGGAGCAAATCGCTTATAACCTTTATCGGGTTTCTGGAAAATTAAAACAAAAAACTTATTAATAAAGTCCAATGCAATACTACCAAAAATCTTCATGAATAGGAAACATACTTCAACAAAATCACTGGATTCAATGTAGATGACACGCCGTAAGGCAACCTTGTGAACTGCCGAACCACTGACCGACGGAAAATCTGGCACTTCGATCATATGATTGTCCGGATGAGGAAAGTTTTCAATTACAACTTTGAGAGGTTCCAAAACAACCATTGTTCGTGGTGCAGTAATGTTCAATCTGTCGCGAACACATGCCTCCAACATAGCCGGTTCGACCATAATAGTTGCACCTGTAACCCCCATGCGGACGCAGAAATCATTGACGGCTTCTGCTGGGAATCCTCGACGTCGGAGTGCAGGAAGAGTGAAGAGTCGTGGGTCATCCCAGTCTAAATAGCAAACAAATAACAATAGTGATAGAATTCTTCATTCGGCTAATTCTTATTCTAAATATTTAACAAAGATAAATTACCAGTCACGATTCCTTCATCAATCAATTTAGCAATCTTCCTTTTGGACACCACAGTGTAGCACATGTTTAAACGTCCATACTCCCACTGAACAGGAATGTACGTTTCAACGGACTCACACAACCAATAGTAGGAAGAGCGACGGTTCTGAAATTCCTTGGTACACAGCGAATGAGTAATATTTTCCAGAGAATCGCACAAACAATGGGTAAAATCATAAGTGGGGTAGATGCACCATTTTGAGCCAGCTTTTGGATGAGGAACATATCGAACCCTGAGACAAATTACTAGATTATTACTACTCCACAATGTGAATATTGTCGTCATTGTTTTGATATGGATTGTCGGTCACCTATAGGCCACGGGATCTTGCTTTCCTTCCTCTAGAGTAATTTTCATACGCAAAGTAGCCTCTCCCTCTTCATATTTTCCCGTTTTCATGTCCTAGTAAAAATAGTTGTTTAATTTATATGAACATTCACTAAAAACTAAAATTGTACATTTGACTGACCTCAAATAACTGTAGATTTAAATCAACAGGCCGATCTCTCCAAGGGGATACTTCTGTATTGAAACCTTTCATCTGATCAGCAGTCTGGTGGCAAACATATGCCAATCCTTTATGAATTAGGACCTTCGCAAATTGGTATAACTCTTCAAAGTAATCGGATGCGTGAGTGATTTTGAACGGAGAATATCCTATAGATTATATCGTGTTTAAATTAATATAAAGATGTACAAACATATTTGCATTGTAGTTATTGGGATTACCTAGCCATTCTACCATTTCGTTAATGCTTAGAAAAAATCGTTCCTCCTCCTTTTCAGGATTGGTATCATCATATCGAAGAAAACAAACTCCATCATTGGCACGAGCATAACCAAAATTAATATTAATTGCTTTTGCGTGGCCAATGTGTAGAATACCATTCGGTTCTGGAGGAAACCTTGTTCTGACCTACACAATAATAATTATATTTAATGAATAAGGAGTCCTTATTAAGGACATATCAACTGAATTATTGTTAATACCTGTCCACCTGTTTCCTTCATATGCTTTTTTAATAATTCCATTGCTAGCCCAGAAGTAGGATATCCTTCAGTGGTATAATTCCCACCAGGTTTGTGAAACGGAAGTTTCTTTAAAATATTGATAATTCTCTCTTGTGGAGTTAAATTCTCGTCTTCGTCTACTGCACTTGCTGCTGATCCTATGGCTGCTTTCGTATCACCAGATCCTCCTTTCGGTGCTCCTCCTCCTTTATTGCTCTTGGAAGTATTCGAGTCTTTAGCTTTTGGCTGACCTGCTTCTTTGGGTAAAGGAAGTCTATCTGCATCAGTTTTAGGTCCGAGTAGAACGATGAGCTGGGTTTCCGCCTCATTTCGAACTTTTCCACCATCCGCCCAACTCATCCCTGGAAGGTTTCGAACATGTGATAGGACAGTGCCTAGATTGAAACGATATCTCTTTTCCAAAACTTCGCTTTTGTAGTGATCCATTGCAACTTTCACAGCACTTTCGATATCATCGTCAGTTATTTTAATTCCGACTCCACAGGATTCTTCGAAACTCGCTACGTTCAGAACTGGGTCCTTCAAGTTTTCCAATAAATATTTTAAGGCAGCTGCAAATTAGATAACAAAATATTACATACCTAACTAACTTTACAACTTATTGAGTAACTAATTATATACCTGTCACTCGCTGTTCCGTGTCCAGCTTTTCTGACAAGACATACTTGATAAGAATTGGCACATACTTCTGAATGGCAGGCTTCATTTTTGATCCAATGGCGTAAATGAGATTTGCTACTTTTTTCGAGGGTGGATCAGCGCCTCCATTGCTCTTATACTGAAAAAAACATTGGTTAATTACAAATTTTACAACCATTTACGTTATTTACAACTACTCTAAACTAATCATACCTCCACGACTGCTTCCTTTAAATATTTCGATAACGTAACGTTTTTGGCCGTCTCTTTCGCCTTGGATTCCGTCATTCCAAAAAATGTTTCCAATTCCTTTTCATCCATCTTATTTAATTTGGTTTTATGGAGTATCACAATATCACAAATAGCAGCACACACGCTCAGGTTTTATTCACTGGTCGAAATCTGTAATAAATAAATAGCACATATAACTACAAATTTTGAATTTCAAATACTAATTAGCACTCTCAACACAAGAATAATTATTGATGAATATGATTAAAGAAACCATTTCTTATGGCAAAATGACATAATAAAACAAATACCAAACATACCAAGACAAACGTCCATATCTTTTGGCGAAATTACATCACCAAAATTTGCATGTCGTGAAAATCAACCATATGGTGCAATGTTTATTTGCACACGCAATAACATTTGCAAATTGCATGAAAACTTGTAAATTGAATAGAATAATTAAAACCGTACCAAATTGAGCCGGATAAACTGAGCCACCCCCACCGCACTTCTGCTGATAATTTACAACCAGACTATTTAAACCCCAAAATGTTGGCGTCACTAAAATAATGTTGCTTATATACCGATAAGATAACGCAGCATACGACCAGACCGGCGAATGTGTAATGAGCAAAAGGTTGTAAAGAGCGGATTTGGGATGAAATCGAGGCAGAAAGAGAATCTCAAAATAAAGCAGTTTCTTTAAATAGCCAACAGCCGAATTCATGTTGAAAATTTGAGCTACAAATGCTCCCCTTCTTCTTCCGTCTAGAGAAAAATACTTATCACCATAATTTATAAGATAAGCAAATCATCTTATCGTCCTATTGACGAGACATGCTCTCATAAATGGAGAACAATCCTCTATTTCTCCATTGAACAAGAACCTTTGACTGCTTACGGTTAATTTGTGTTACACAACAAATTGTGTGACCAACTTACAAGCTACAAATTTGTTTAGTTTTTCTTATCTTCTTCCGCTAAAAAGGATGAAATACAAGTATTAGAGTACCTTTTGTGAGAAGAGATGTCGTCTTCCGTGACGGCGGAGGGGGACGAGGCGTTAACCGGGTTGGTGGTGATGGAGGATGAAGGTCAGGGTCACGAAGGGGAAGAACAAGCCTGCTACTTGACCTTTAACTCTCACCCCCTCGTCTTCCACAAGGTGGAACAAGACGAGGATGACGTCAATGATGGCACAACCACGACGGTCGTAACGGTAGAATATTTGGACCATGTCGTTGGACTAGACGACCCCTCGTCCTCCATACAATTTGACGACGAGCATGCCCGTGCGGTCGCAAATTTGTTGGAATTTCATAATCAACAGACCAACTTTTCCTACACTGGTGGGGAGGAGGATGGCGTTGAGGGGGATGGAGTGGGGGAATATTCAGAGTCGGGTGAAATGGTAAAATTGCATTTTAACATTGTGTTGATAAGGAAGGAATGTATATTTTTAATTAATTTTAGCAACTCGTGGAGGACGATGGATCCCGACTCATGACCATTCCGATAGAAGTGACGCATTTACCGGTGCAAGTGAAGCACACTGTGTCGCCAAAGAGGTCGTATGGAAGAATTAAACCCGGTGGTGATACGAGTAATAGTAGTAACATCCGTCCCAAACCGATAACAGCAGCAGTAGTAGGAGATGTCCAAAAAGGGCAAAGTAGTAGTAAGTCCTCGCCAAACTTTACAAATCCGCAAGGTATTTGATCAGTGATTTTACTTATTAAGGATTAAGGAGTGATTTTACTTTTGCATCACATTGTTCTTAATTCTGCTAATATGTGTAGGTCTTCCTCGCCTAAAGGGAAATAGGAGGACAATTATTGATACGCAGAAAGTAATTCCGATTCAGCAGTTTAAACGCCAACTGACGGATACTTCTGATATAGTTCTCACTGCTATGGATTGTGCTCCACCCACGAAGAAAGCAATGAACTATTTGGCGTATGGTGGGGTTGGGAAGTATTTTGCATACTCAGGTAAGTTACATAATCCGAATAATTGTTTGTACAATTTATCATATTATTTAAGTTTGTTGTTTAGGTCGGAGATGTTCAAGTGTGCCTTTAGCTAAACTATTTTTTAGTCGTTTAAACCTAAGTACGGACTCCAGACAGGCTGCATCATCGTCGTCGACAGGGATTGAAGGATCGGAGAAACCCTTTATTATTCCATTAAATGCAGAATTAAGTATGTGTAAATAGTGTAACAATTTAAATTTCTTAATTAATACATGTATGTTTTGTACATTATTGCAGAAACTCCCGTGTCCCTCAATTATGAAGGAGATACACGGCGAAATAACACCATTTTACCATGCCAGTTCAATGATGCTGTCGCAAAACGAGCTGCCAATTCCTTTGACTCTTTTTGTAAAGGCATGACGGTAAGAAATTTAAGATAATAATAACTGATTTTGGGTCTGGATTATATTTTTCTTCATCCTCTTATTTTAAAATATAGAAACCAACAAAGTTGGAATTCTCTGCCAGAACAATTAAACCCCGAAGTACTCAGAGATCCAAACTAAGTCCACGACTTGTAAACGGTCGTCATCCAGATGTTCATTCATCACCTAATAATATTACACCTAGAATACTATATGTTAGTAATTTGCCTACCTCAAGTGAAGTCACTACCCTCAGACTACAAACTCCTGCCGATAACGATAACACATTTCCACTTGAACATTCAATCACCGCCGATCATGGAGAGCAAGTAATATACTCCATTGAAGGAGGTCAACCCGACGAAATGATCAAGGCCGAGATTGTTGATCCTACAGAATTTGTCAGTGGTGAAAACAACACCCACCACGAACACGAGTTGACAAACATCAAAGTCATCCAAGAACCATCGTACGGATCATCTAACAGTGGTCCTTCAAATTTTGAAATGTTGATCGCTGCAGCTGAACAACATACAAATCTTTCCTCTCCTGACGACGAGGAATCCCCCGCCCTCAATACGAGTACCAGTATTGACTCAACCAGTACCGTCAAAACAGAAATCCTCCAAGTCGAAACGACCCAGCAAGAAATAAAAGACGAGGAAGTTGACATGGTTGAATATACAAATATCGTCGAGGGAGAACAACTCATAGTTCTCAGCGACAGTGGGGAACGCTTCCGTGTACAGCAAGATTCCCGAGGGGAATTAACCCTCTGGCCCCACACAGAATACGACACTAATATTTTCGCATAATAAGTCGCATAATTATAACACAACTTTCACTTTCACTAGTGACGCTAATAATCCTGTTAAAACTGTTATATTATTTTTTTTCTCAATTTTTTTTTGCAAATCTATTATATATGATGTGATACTTACATCATGTCAGACTTTTAAGGTATGTGACTAATAATAAATCTATCGTTCTTAGATTGTTGACTTCAATAAAAAATTAAATATATCCACAAATATGTATGTTTAATATCCTTGCATTTTATTATTTCATCAACACTTACGTTTATAGTTTTTTGCATATTATGATGACGGACAACATTTCGGACATATATATGGGTCATTCATGGTTATTATATCATATTTATTAGTTAGTTAGAGCATGCGAAAAATTTTCAAGTTTTGTAATTACTCAATAATTAATATTACTTGCATATCTGTAGCACCAGCGCTTTTCTTACGAGTTTAAAACTTATCCATAGAATAATAATATCTCTCAAAAAAGTTAACTATTCTAATTTTGTGCTTGTCTAGTCATCAAGACGTACAATTGTTGTTGGATAATAACATTGTTCATTATTTTTGGGTGGAGTAGTGGCCACACACACACAAACAAACACAGAGACAAAGACATTTATATACACACACATAGATAGACACCGACGACGCCGTATGTATGTAACTACACACATATTATTATCGTCTCATGTCGTCATTATTACTTATTTTTGTCGTATATGTAGCCTTACAGTATCGACACACAAAAAATAAAAACACAACGACAACAACAACATGATGATTGATTCTAAAGAGCTATGAGAAATAAATACTCGTTATTATTTTACATTATACTTTCCCTAAAGTTCTAAGTATTTGTAATAATTGTCATTTTGTGATGTATTATTTGTAAGTGAATCCCTCCATAAAGAGTAATATTTGGAACTTTAATACCTCTCTTCACATATTTTTTTACGCTGCAAATAATAATTTTTTGTAATCTAGCTTTTTTAAAGATTTTTTTGAAATGGTTGACTGAGGCATTGCATTCTGACTCTTTGTTGCCCAGCATTGTTAATTTCAACGGCATTTCGATTCGGCTATACGATTGATTTTTTTCAGTGTAGATTAAATAGTAAGATATTTTTTTAACAGGACTATTATTTCGGTTCATTGTTGTTTTTTTTTTTTTTTTACTCCTCCATTGTTTTCATTCTTTTCTTTCATGGTTGCAGCAACTTATAAAGTGTGTCACGATTTAATAATTAATTAAGTAATGTATACATGCTAATTGAGTCAAAGGTCACCGTTGGTTTACTCAACACCATAGGTCCAATACATGTCTAAAGGCAACTGATTGATACATCTATAATCAATTAATTAATTATAATTAACTAACTATCACTAATGTAATAGTGTATTTATGAATGTATGTATGATGTATATGGTGTGGCATAGATAGAACTCATTTCATTTTATGTACTTTCTTTTCCGGTATTAATAATAATATTGGTATTCATAATGTTTCGTGAGTATAATTATGAGGTTTCATAACTTTGTATTATTTTGTGTTTATTATCTCCTCCTCTTCTTCCTCGTCTTCGTCTTCATCGCCAAGAAGCAGTAATAATAAAAATAATACGAAAAACAAAACCTATAAGTAAATGACTTTGCATTTTGAACATCAATATTACGTACCTGGCTTATCTTATGGTATGTGTCCTGGTACCTTATCTAGGTCTACGTATACGCTACGTTTTTAATACCTATGCATCTACCTACCTACCTACCTACCTACCGCCTAGACCTAAAAGTTCGATACACTTTCGGGAGAAAGTATTTCGTTCATCATTTTATTATTGTTGTTTTTGTTTGTTGTTGCTGCGCGTTCTTTTATAAAGTCATAAAATTATTTAAGTTTCAAAAAATGATTGCTGGCTGAAACGTATAAACGGCTTGGTCAATACAACAACTCACGGATATTAGTTCGCTCTTTCTGGGCCTCTATATACATACATATGAATATTATATTACATACTTGTGTGTGAGGAGCTTATACACATTCGTATAACATTTTATATCAGAGTGAATATAAGGATTCCATTTTTGTTAAGAGAAAAAAGTAGTTCACTTAATTCTTATACGAAGCGATAATGAAATTGCATAAAAAATTCGTTGTCGTGAAATTACATGTATTCATAGGAAAAAAATATTTGTATCTCTTGCTACGAAAATGTCGGAAATGATACCCACAACAAATTATGTGGTGGTGATGTCTGCATTTTGTGTGGTGTCATTCTTTAACTGGGACAGTATTCGTTTATCGACGTATTTTCATTTCTTCTTGTCCTGTGCGAGGTTTTGTGTTTGTTTTATAATTTTTTTAGGACAAAATTGAATTTTTAGATTAAATTTGTGCATCAAATCCAATCACTTTTTTTTGATATGGAAAACTCTGTTTGGGTTTGTTAATCATACTTTTTTTGGCTTTGGTGTTGTTGTTCTTCGTCTTGAAGCGGTTATATGAGTACAATAGTCAGTACGGTAATCAGACATTTTCTTCGAGGTACATACGACGAGGATGTGTGATTATGATGAAGATGAGATATGATAGTCCAATTATGCGAGGAGTTGGTTATAATTTTTTTGGTTGGTTGGTTGGTAAATTATCACATCAATAATTTCAGAACGACGCACAATTGGATATATTTTTTCCATATTTTTTCTTATGCGATGACGACGATGCGATGATGATTGATGATGATGTCGTGATGATATATTGTCCGTTTTTAATAAAAATATTGGGTTATTCAGTTTTTTAAAACCATGAGCCACTCCCAAGTTTGGACGTTAATCCGCCAAGTCCTTTCCCCACGACGTTCCCCATCCGTCCCACTACACCGGAGGTAGCTGAAAAGGGAAACCAAATAGTTAGTAATCAAGTTGACGTGTGTTGTATCGGAATGCTCCTACTCTACAAGTGCCGGGTCTTCTTTATAACAAGTAACTCGTGCAACAGTTTACACGGTTATTTGTATTATTAAACAAGTTAATTAGTGAGAAATGAACCCATCCACCCCCACTTCTAGTAAAATGACCCATGTTGGGTCACCATCCCCCTCCCCACCAAGTAAAAGGATGAAACACCAAAGTGGAATCGAGGTGACGAAAGGATGCACTATTCTTATGACCGGTATGTTTTGTATATTGCTTATGAAATTATGTAATGTCATTATTGAATGGTGCTTAAAAGTTTGCAATTTTTGTATCGCTTAATAATCATGACTGTATGCACAGGTCTAGCGAAGTCGGGGAAGACCACCATTTCCAATTCCCTTACTAAAATGCTCAAATCCAACGGGATTTTAGTAAAACAAATGGATGGGAAGTATTTGAGGACCGGTCTCTGCAAAAAACTGGACTTTGACAGCAAGAAGGATCGGTCGGAATTTGTTCGTTTGGCTTCAGAACTTGCCAAAACATTCACGGAAGAGGGATTCGTGTCCATCATTTCAATTGTGGCTCCGTTACATGAGGTGAGATATGAAATAATGTAATATTGCATGATTAGGTTGCAAATTTTGTGCATATTTGTAGGACAGACAGAAAGCCAGGGGTTCTCATGAGCAAGACGGACTGAAGTTTGTAGATGTCTTTGTGGATAGGTCAAGAGCGGAATGTGATGCAGAATCTGGCCTGAGTAGAAATGGTAAAACTTTGGATCATGCATAACATTGGATTTTGACTCATTTTGAGTTTATTTTGTTTGTGTAGTAATAAACCCTATTGATGCGGACTACGAACCACCCACAAATCCAGATGTTCATCTCAAACGGATTGGAAACAACGTGGATGAATTGACGAGACATCTTGCTTCGAGATTAGTTGGTATGTGAGTAAATAGTGAGGAATGCACAACTGAATGAACTATTATTCATCATTATCGCTTTATCGTTTAGAAAATTATTCAACCGCTGTTCGCTCAACCTCAGTCGCCGTTTTCTCCATCCATTTCTTCACCCACATCAACAGTTCATTCTCCCTGTACAGCAACGCCTTCGCCCTCCTCAACGACGTATTCGTCTGATTCGGATTTTGGTGCTGGAGAGTTGGACGACGAGGAGGATGACGTCCCCAAATTCAAGTTACCGAGGAAGAGTGATATCCGAACGATATTTGACTATGTGAAAAGTGTTCTTGTTCAAAGAGGTTTTGTTGGAAAGGATGAAGAAATCGATAAACATCCCTTATTTTCTGAGCTAATGGGGGAATGGACGACTCACTACGAGACTCATAAAACAAGAGGAATGGAAAAGTTTTTCCCGGTCAAACTTCGTAGAGTATTAAGTCGGAGCAGATCAGCGCCACGCACATCAACCCCAACCAAAGGTGCTAAAACCCCCCCAAAAAACCACGTCAGGAGCCCTGAAGCACACGAGTGGGACGAATTCATACCTTTATATTGGAATGGATCAACGCTGTATTACGGCATTATGTACCAGGGCTTACCTCGCATCAAAAAATGCATGCAATGTTGGTCGAAGTCAACATCGGAGGGCTATTTGTGTGATACCCATTCAAAAACCCGATTCCAACATTTCGCCGTTCTGCACGACGCTAATGAGAGGACCAGTTTTTATGCTACGTTAAGTTGTCAAGGTGTAAAGAAAAACGAATGGACGCCTGATCTGGTTAAAAAAACTTCTCACAACAAAACTCTCATACAAAAATACCTCTCCGATCATCCTAACGCACAATTCACTCCTGTTTATGAAAAATCTACTCTACTCTCCTCCCCGGAACGACTTCCTGTCACGCATTCCATCACAGTGAGTTGCATATTTAGTTATTAAAAAACTTAATAACAAATGGATTTTTATTTTCAGTTGTCGGTTGCGCTCATAACGCTATTCAGAAACATGGAAAAACTGGAGTCCGATGCCCTCATCAAACCGCATTCGTTCCTTCAAAAGGAGATATATATATCCCATGCTAATTTGGCAGTGGTGGAGAAGATTTTGGAAAACAATGGAGTGACCTTCTCCGTAGGGGATAATGATGATTCGGCCAGCTCCCCACTAATCGACAAGGATCGACATTGCAAGAAGTTGCCACAGATCTATTGTGGAGTCGAATCCGACAACAAAATCAACGTTGGTTTGAAAACGTCTAAGATTGGGGAAGACGATCATTCAAAATACACCCAGTTAGTTCAGATGCATGTACTTGTTGAAATCAAATCATCATGCTAAAACTCTTGTTTCTCTATTGCAGTAGTAACCAATTCAAATCAGGGCCCATCTATCAAACCCCCCTGTCAGATGAGCAGCTAGCGATTGCAAACACCATTGAGACATCTAAATCTTTTAAGCAGTGGACGGATCAACAGAGGGATGTATTCAAGTTGGTGAAAGAAGATTGCACAAGGAAAGAAGGATTGGGTCATGCAGCTCTTATTATTGCAGAAATGAAGGGTCAATCCTACAATGGCATCCTCATTCGAAGGGACAATAAGAAACAAGAGCATGTAAATACTATTGAGAAAGATGATAGAGCTTTTGTACAGTCAGTTTTTAAAGTTTTAACGGGAAGGTCCCTTATTGTTTCAGTCGAGCATACGGATAATTTGAGTTTTAATGTTGAGATATAAATAAAGGCATTGCTTCATTTGCTTTCATATGCCACTCAGACATGCGGAAAAAGTAATTTCTTTGCTCTTATCTTCTGTCCAACGCTTTCAATCTCCTATGCACTCATGACTAACCTGCAGTAAGTTTCTCGACATAATTGCCATCATCATGACGAGGGATGGTGATCTTGGTTTTGAGACGATCCGTTTCCTCGTGACCTTCCCCACTGAAAAAATAAAAATGAATCATAGTTTTTGAGAAATTTAATCATATTATTTGAAAAAATGAAGATTGATTTCTTACTCTTCGTCGTCCCGTCGAGATCCCATCGTTAATGCACAAGTAGCTTCTTCAGTATTCATTCTCTGAGCAACCGATTGATAGGTTTTGCCATTAAGCTTATCCTCCATTACGCCTTGCAGCTCAAAATCCGAGTAAAGTTTCTGAAATGCAATTTCATACATGTAAAGGTCAAAGGTGTACGTATTACGACATGCTTGTCTCGACTAATTGAATACCTTGACAATGTGTGCCAAACAGGTGCACTGATACGGGTGCAGTGCATGATCCAACCTTTCCGATAACCACGTACATAACATCTGCATCTGCGCCGTGTACCATTGCTAATTTGATAAAAAGAAACAGGTAATTTGTGACTGCACATATTGCTCTCAAATAAACTTGTGAAATACGAATCCTTTTTAAATACCTCGAAGAAGTTCAGAATCCACAATTCGTCCACAACCTTCCCACGGATTTGGTCCATACAATTTCGAGTAAAGTTTACGTACGCCTGTCCCAACTCTTTCCCAGACCCTGACACATTCTGCAAAAAAAGACTCATAATTATTAATCCTGCGATTTCTTCCACAATTAAGTCTCCTCAACCCACCGTAAGACTTAACAATGAGCCAATGAGACTTCCTTCATCATATCTTCCCAATTTTGACACCGAACTTTCTAAAACAGAAATGAGCTTTGCAATTAATCCTTGCGTCATGGCGGCTGAAGTCTTCTCGATGAGATCGTCAATCTTGGTGTGGTATTGATGCTGTATGAAAAAATAGAGAGAAAAAATAGAGAGAAAGTGAAATTGCAAAAATCTTAACTAAACAATTTTTTGATGCCCATATTTTATCTAGATTGCGCAACACACCACATCAATCCCATCCACCGCACAGAGTTTAAACGATTGATTTTTCGCATCCAGGATGACATTGATCATGGCGCACATCTCTGCAAACGTGTAAAAAAATGAGGTTATTGACCATCCCTAAATGAGATTATCTTGTTATGTGACTCGCCCGTGGGGATGATGTAGTCCGTGGAAACGAACGTGACCCCCTTCTTTAACCAGGACTGGAAAGCAGACTCAGTTCTTTGAATGCACGACTCTATCATATCACAGGCCATAAGCTTAAGTCGTTGCTCCAAATGGTTCCCAAACTCTGGATTTGGCCAGTGCAAATCTCTAATGAACGCTTGGAGGGCGTCCAACTTCCAGAACAAATCTTCCGAAGTGGCACACCCATTTCTACGGAGGAGTATAATCAGGCAAAAAATTGAGCACACGAGAGTCAAACGGAAAGCTACCCCCATAGTCTTAACCCACGCTAGGACTACGAAGCCGCTACGAGTTCTGTACACAAACACGTGTCTAGAGGTTATGCGTCTAAACTACTACTATGTTACCCTTTCAACTCCCACCGTTCTTTTTCGAATCCCTTGTGGATCGACTGAGCGATCGATGACTCCATGAGGTCCACGTAGCGGACCACCAGTGGGGCAAACGTGTCTTGCAGGTGTTGGTGAAATCTCCCGTTCTTCAGGTTATCTAAGGTAAGGACAAACTCAATTTCAGCCTATTATTACATTTGTTAGTAGTTTGTCGACCCATTTGGTAGGTTGACCTTGGTGAGAAAATGCATAATTTTGACCATGGAGAAAGTTATCACAATCTGCGAAGAGGTTCTGCACACACGGATTGATTAATTTAGAACTAGTTCAAGGTTTTCGTACAGTTTACTTTTAAATGAATGAATGACATGATGAGGTCAATGGTCTAGTTCGGAAACGTCTTCTTGACGCTACTAAACATAAATATGCACATAAATCCGCAGGTTGTAAAACTTTCTCCTCAATACAACTTTTTTTCTCGCCACAAATTTATCTTTCTACTTGATGGGATTCCCTTATCAGTAAAATTTTAGCTTCCGAAATCATTTCCGAATCATTACCGTCCGTTCGAAGGTAATCATTGAGAATTTGAAATAGCGGAAAGGCATCCCAAGTGTCAGGTGGTTGCTCGGCCAAAACTTGATCCATATCGACGGCAAAGAGGGACCAAAATATTTCCGCATGTTCCACCAACAAATCGCTGAACCACGCGAATGCCTGAAATCCATTCAATCATTCGTCATGTTAGTGCTAAAAACGGGGCTTTTTCATACTTCAATTAGTCCTTATTCTGGTCATGCTCCAAGCATTCAATTAAATTCACGGAGAAAACAACTAATTGATCGTGAGAGAAGATGCATATATTAGAAAGTCAAGATTAGTTAATACTCAGTAAAACCGCATTCTGAACAATTATACGTATACTCTTACGGCATTCAAACTATGTCAAAATGCTTCGTCAAAATTTTACAACTAAATATATTTCTTATATTTTTTTGGAATTGGTTAAAGTTAGCGGAAAATGTTAATTTACTGTGCACGGGAAATCAACTCGTTATTATTACAAAAATTTTAGTAATAATTAGTAAACTCAAGCAAGAAAGTAGATACTTTTTTCATCTAAATACTCAAAAATTACTAGTCAGAAGAAGAACTCTAAATACTCGAGCAAACTTTACTAAATTCTTTACTCATTATGTAGTAATTAATTAGATCACACCACACTCAACCTTCTCATGATAAAATCTTATCCAAATTTTGGAATCGGTGTCGTTTCAAATTTTAATTTTTTTTCTCACAGTTGTAAAACTTTTTCATTTACAGTAAAACTTTTCAAAATGCAACCACACGATACGTATTTACGACACGATACGACACACCAACCAATCACTAAAATTGTATAACTTATTACACCACGATATTTAAGTATGCCTCAATTCAACATCAAAGTGAGAACAACAATTAATACGTAACTCGTACTGCTAAATATCAACTAATTATAATAATTCATCATAACTTGAAAAAACGCGTCGTCGTAATAAAAAACAACTTGAATCAAAAAACGCTTGCAACATTAAATTAATGTCGTGAACGACAAGGGATATTTATAAAAACATGGAAAAAATTTGCTAGAATAAATCAGAAAAAATCATGCAAAATGCGAATATTGCCAACAAGCACATTTAATTATTCTCACCACACATAAAAGCAAGAAAGCTGGTATACAATTTTTGCATTTTCAGGTTAAAAATTGGGTGGCCGATATTAAATACTTAAGTAAATACAGCTGATAAATAGAAAAGTGTTGAATTTTTAAAAAGTGTTAATCAAAAAAATAAATAAGTAAAAGTGACGATGCTTTAATTAATTAATTACGAGTAAAAAGAGGGAGAATGAGTGAGGTGGTAAATATAAGAGAAAAGTAGTATATTTGTTATCATATCTGACTTACTTTTTCCTGCAATCCATCATGTTATTGCATGGACAGGGAGAAAAGAAGGTGAACAACATACAACAATGCACAGAGTAATAATAATAAATAATACTAGTAATTAATAAATACATGTAAAAGGTGTACGTCTCAAATTCCCTCTCTTCTTGTAAATACATTCACACGGGATACAAACACCACATTATTGCAGAATATGTAATTAATTAGGATGGTAATTAATTAAGTAACTGAGCTCCATTCTAATTAACTAAACTATGCTCAGAGAAGGGGTATATAATAACTAACCATGGAAGAAAAAGTATGTTTTAAGGATAGGAAAAACTACATACAATAAATACACAGCATCATGCACTTTGATCCCTGTTATTAGTACGTCACGACATTGATCAGGGTTTGAAAAACAGGGGTCAACAAATAGAATGATGCCTGCATAAGAAGGTGACAAGGGAAATAAGTAAGGAAAATATTGTACAACAATAATAACGAGCGCATTTTAGCAACGAATCATTATTTTACTGCGTTACGAACCATTGTGTGTTTGTACCAATAAGAATAAGAAAATGTATTTTTTGTCATGTCTTATTAGACAAAAATGTGAAGGAGAAAGTCTAAATTTTGTATATGTGATGCTTGTATACGGGTAAAAGTAGGTAATAGTGTGGGTTCGATGTCCCATTTTAGTCGGGATTTCCAGTCAAAATCCTACTTTCTAAGGCACAAATTTCAGAAAAAAGACGAAATCTCAATGTTTTTATTTTTATTCAACGAATCCCTGAGAAATCGAACCCACAAAGTGAAAGTGAGAATATTTATTGTTCCAAAAAGTAAATAGAGAGAGAGAAAAAGAGAAAGTGAAAGTAAATATGTATCATTATTTAAAATATATTTATTTTTATGATACTCACCCCTTTACGAAAAGCCTGAAAAGTTGGAGAGTAGAATGTGTGTAACAACAACGAACGAAGGAAGGGTTGATTTGGATTTTTAATATTTTTTTCGTTTTTTCGAACAGTAGAGAGAGAAACCAAATGGCCAAGAAGAAGAGAGTTGGAGGGGGGGAAGAAGAGAAGAAGGGCACCACCGAGAGAGAGAGGACAGTCAAAGCACCACACAGAATAAAATACGGATCAACACACATAATCAGAGAGACTTAAATTAATCCCGACATTAAAACATTCACATTTCCCAGAAATAAAAGAAAAATACATGTTTTCGTCACAAAAATAAAAGTAAAAGTTTCATTCAAATCATAAAATCATAGCACCGATAATAAGTTCATACTTGATTCATCTATCACATCATCTGGCTCGGAATAAACATTGAAATGCGCAAAAGTTTGAGGGAAATAAGGAAAAATAAGCACATATTACGTAATAAGAAGTAAGTAAGGACATGACTTTTATCTGCTTCATTTCTCATTTTTCAGTTCTACCAGTACGACAAGAATTGGAAAGATGTTCGCCTTCATAAGACAAAAAATATAGACATTGACCAACTGACATTGATTTTTTAACGAGAAAAAATAAATATAATAATGACGATAATTAATGAAGGAATAATAAATAACTGAGTACGTGGATAGCCGAATAATAAGCGTATTTACATCGGAACAAGAAACTGAACAAGGTATAGATAGGAAACTAAGAGTAATAATTGATTGATTGTAAGTTATATAAGATTTGCTGACTATGTCTCAATTTCCCCTTCCTTTCTAAACTGGTGAGTCTATATATTTAGCATTGGACTAGAAGTTGTTATGGGTCAGATAATCAAGTAAATGCGTACGTATGGTATACGGAGAGATGCACCGATCAGTTACACCCCCTCATTTGCGCCCGGTCAGTTACACCCCTTCACATTTTCCCCTCCAGCTCATCCGCTCAGTTGCACCCCACCCACTCATCCCCGTAACAACAAAACGTGTTCCTTGGTAAAGCTTTGTTGCATTTACGTGGATCAAAGGAGTGAGTGGGGGGCAAGTGACCGGGGGCAAATTATGTATGTAGCTCGGATAGAAAATATTCTTATGTAAGCGGGTGCATCTCTCCGCAATTCCGTACATACTATTTACATAATGGCCGAGATCTAAACATTTGCGATATTACACAAGTAAAGTACTGATGGTGAAAGTCATGAAAAAAGTATTTACTGTACCTCGGCATAATGATCCTCGTTCTGCTGGAGCAGATCGACACACAGTTCCGACAAGTGGATCAGTTCTTCTAGCCGTTTTCCTGGAATAATTTGCTGACTGTCGGGATCAAGTTCGTCTGAAAGAAGGAGAACGATGGTAACAATAAAGGGCTCGAACTCGAGTGAATGAATTGGCCGTGCGAATTATACGGTAGTAAAAGAAAAAAAACAGTCATAAACTACGTATTAGCAAGCATCTCTGTTCTCACAACTGCTGCTGCTACTTATTATTACTGAGAAATAAGCAAGCTATGTCTGGATACATATGATCTCAAATCTGGCACTAAAAGTTTTGCATAATGGTGAAAGAAGAAGAATGAATGAAAACGTACCATCCACCACGTGACAAGATGGAGCTGAGAGTTTTTGTGTTTGCGTAGTAAAACGGAGCGATAAAAAAGTTATGAAAATATGACATTTACATTTTATGACTGAGATTAGAGGAGGTGGAAGAAAGGGGAATAAAAAAGTCGTAAAAATGAGGAGACTCACCATCAAGTCTGGCTTCGTTGGACAGCTGCGTATAATTCACCAGGGCTGCATTTTCCAGGCACTTTTTTATGACTGCTCGAGTCTCCTCTGGAGTTAAGAATTTTAAGAGGGAGATTAGTTTAAAATCAACACTTTATGCAGATTGTGACGCTGACGAGACAAACTATTGTGATTCGTAGGCAGACGGTATTCAATCAGAAAATGAAGAATTTATGCTGGGAAAACTAAGCCTCGGATAAGCTAACGTAATATCTGGATTGGATAAGGACTTATCATAAATTTTCAATGATACATTTACTTGTAGAAATTTACTGTCGACTAAAAAATAACGAGTCTCAATTTTTTGTCTCAATTCTCAAATTCCCCACGTATCACTATTTACTTCTAAAATTCTCAATAAAATCCTTTAAAAATCTCACTCACCTGGAGGAACCGGGGTCACAATGTCTTTCATTAAAACCTGTGCGAAAAGAAACGACATATAAAAAACGAAATAAACCCGGAGATTTTATGTATAGCCTTGTTCTATGGGGCGAAAAAGTAGTCATATCCGGTGCATGACGGGGGGTGAGTGAGGTCACCATCTCCATAAATCTTTGACCCAAAAGTGTACTCACCCTTTCGAGAAGGGAAAGTGTAGCTTTGAGAGCACCTTCCGGACTAAAAATAAATAAAATAAAAATCCGTAAATTTGAAGTATACTTTGTTTCAAAATTTGAATCCCTTAAAAATTTACCGTCCGAAGGGAAAGCAGTAGCGAAAATTTGTAATTTGATTTTCCAAGAGGACCCTCAACCTCTCCTTGACTTCCTGGAATTTTTCCTTCTCCTCATGCGTAACCGTACCCACCCCATCCGGCCTGAATATCATGGATCACTCATGTCAACTTAACCTTATCAAAGCTGTTGTCAACATGCCCATTACTATTTCATTGCCGTCTTTCGTTCATCAAAAAAGTTAAAAATCGATATCAATTTCATGACGTTCATACAAACTTCAAAAATTTTTTCAAAAATTTTTCCAGTAAAAATCGTTTTGTCGTCAAACGCATATGCTTGCAGTATATATAGTAAAAAGTTATGTAACATTACAAGTAAAAATTGGACCAGCAATCAGAAATGATTACAGTATGTAACGAGAAAAGAGAGCTAATAAATAAAATAATTTAGCTACACACAGTAGTTAATTATTGTAGTAAAAAATAACTACTGTTCTTATTTAAAGTACTGATAATTAAATATTGTAATTTCATTCCCATCTCAACACATCAGTAGTAATAGATAAATAGTAGAATATATAGTAGCAATAAAAAATTTAATAGATTTTGATGTTACATTCAGACTTTGAAAATTAAATGAAAAAAGTAGCTGATTTTTAGAAATAAGAGCTTGTACACTGCATGTCACGCTTTTCCTGACAGCTTTTTTGCATATTATTTTCATTCGCAAACATTAATAAAACTGCAGCTGCTTGAAATTGCTTGAAACTTGTTGAAAATTGGACTTTGTTACAATTTTAATTTCTAGACAAGTAAGTTGCATGAGAGAGAGAGAGACTATAAAAGTGAAAGCTATATTGAGCTCGGAATCTGATAATTTAGTGAAAACTACGAATAATTGATTGACTTTTTTACAATTTACAATGTGAATCTAACTTTGACCTCGGCAGAATTAGTCATGGGAGTTATATTTTGTATCTAAACTAGTGTGCTGTGCACGTGGAAAGATTTTTAAGGAAAAGCATAATGTCAAACCATTATATAGGGCACAGAACAGAAAATTCATATCAGATCATCATCAACTATGATCACTTGCAAATATATAAATCATTTCTCTGCTGCAAATGTAAAAAATAACACATTCTGCATTCCGCATCATTTCATTATTTTGCTCTTCATGCAAGCGCAGCATTTCAACAAGAAACAGTTTTTTCAAAATGTTAGTACATACACTAACCGGACCAGCGCAGACGTCGGCGGGGGGCGAAATTCGCCACGAATTCCTCCGCCAACGCCTGGACCAGAAGCATTAGTCATATCGATATATAGAAAAAAGACGACAGGCAAACCATCATGCAAATAACGTTTTTTTGACAAAATGAACAAGAAAGACGGCATTCGGTGGGGAAGGGGGGACACACGTATAACATTTTTGTTAATCAGACTGGACGGACACACCCATATCGTCATCATCACCATCATCATCATCAGCAGGGACAAAAATTAAGCTGATGACAAAAACAAGATGGAACATTTGTTGTCACGGTTGGATTTTGGACGAGAGAAAGTTGGAGAAAGTTGGTTGGTTGGAGATAAGAGAGAGAAAGAGAGAAAGAGAAAAAGACAATACGTGGACAACGGAGAACCGTGTTTGTGTGTGACACTTCATGGGCGGGTATTTGGCAATGGGCACATTTCATGGAAATTGTTGACAATACAAGACATTACAGCCAAGTTGTTTTAACAAGCCGAAAACGAGGCTACTGCTTGACATAGAATCACTTAGTAAAAGACATTATAATGGTGAGAGGTGAAATGGAGATTCATACATGTCTGACCTATTTCCATGTACATGAGATGCACAAAATGCAAACGAATAATGGATCAAGGTCGGATCGATTAATAATCCGCGTTCCGCTCGATCCAGTAAATCACTGAGGTAGACGAGGTGGCGGTAACAGCCGCGCGCGCCGTACCGGGCGCAGTACTCGTCCAACACGAAGAGCTGACCGGGGCTGAACCAGCCCTGCAATAAGAACAGAAAAAAAGAATCTTGGTCAGTCGGATCCTGGTCGATCGGAGTGGACACCTTTTTACTACCCCAAATGATGACTAAAGTACCAAATGTCACCATAAATCACACCACCCTCGAGAGAACCAAGGGTCTCTCGTCCTTACCAGAGAACAGTACGGGTCGGCCAACCGGAAATCTAAGGTGAGAGTCTGTACACACTTGAATAAATTGTGATGGTCATATTTGCAAGGGTCGGCGGAAATGTACTCCTCCATCCCGTGCTTCCTGGCTCGATCGGCGTCTGAAAGGAGGAAATGGGCATTGTCATCATAATTTTTTAGGCATTCTTGCACTTTCACTTACCTCCTTGAAGTTTGGAAATTGTCGAGTTTTTCGCAGCAGGTGTTAAGGGTGGGGCTGGCTTGTGAGCCTGGCCTGTCGCCCGGTACATGGCCATGACCCACAAGTGGCTCTCGTTTTCATCATCACAGGCATAAAGAACACTATCTCCCTCCTTCACGGCATTGAAAAAGTAGCGACCCCCCTCCAAATCTGGTTTCGTAAGGGATTACCAATTAGCATAAAATAGCTCAAACGGATTAAAAATATGTCAATCAATTGAGAAGCGAAAAAGTCAATCAATCAATCTCTCACCCATTCCCACCATTAAATTGGCTGAAAGTGAAAGTCATCATTGCATCAGATTTTTCAGCGATGTATGTATTGAATTTTGCAAATTTTTAGAGTCTGTACTCACCACTGGCAGCTTCGATGTAGTCGACGGTGTACCCGTCAAGTTGTAGCATTTCGGTAGGTTCGGATTTTTTCTCTTTGTAAGAGCACATTGCAAAAGTATATTGCGAAACTTGAACTAGAATAAAATATCTCTTTTTCCACTTTTTCCAAACGCCTTTCCCCAATGCGTACAGGTATCTGTAAGATTCCGGTGAGACACAAGAAACGAGTCTTAAAATGGTCTTAAAATACTAATAAAATTTACAAGACTGTCCATAATGTCACGTATGTACAGTAAGTAATGTACATTCCGTGGTGGCCGTGCTGCTGTCGTGAACACTGTTTTTAATCAAATATTTGCTCACCCGCAGTGCTTCATGTTCAAAGGTTTATCCATCCTGCATGCAATCTTGATTCTTAGATCTTGATCCGCCGCGCTTTTAGGAACAGTCATTTTATGCCACTCTGGAGCCTGTCAAATATTAAAATTGATGTCAGCAAACACCAGCCGACAAAGTCACACAACCGCCACCACAAAACCACATCATCATTCATGCCCTTCTGCAACAGGCGTCCTTTTTCTCCTCCGCCTACTTCTTCTGGTCTTCTGGTCTTGTATTTTTCCTACGTATTCTCACCTTTGAAGTAAGTGGAGTGGGTCGTAAAACCACTTTCCCCAACTCTTTATCTTCCAGGGCCAACATGCCAGGATTTTCCGTCAAGAGCTTTACTTTCACTGCAGGCAGTGGGTGATTAGTGCTAAAATCTCCTTGTGTATCCCACCTAAATCGGCAAGCATAGCAGAAAATTTTGTGTCACCACAACATTCATGTCACCCTTTAAAAACTTATGGGGCTCACATCGGCTTGGATGCTTCCGCCTGATCCGTGCACAGTTTGTCCCCTCCTTCCACCTCCATCGTGCAGTAGACGATGCGGTTAGGAGCGAGGGATTTTAGGCCTTTAACCTCCATCACGACCACCTGCACACCACATAAATTCACTCCATCATCGTCTCCTGACATGGTTGAGAGATAACACTTTTCCCATACCTCCAGGGTGAAAGGCAAGACGACGTCCATTTTACTCAACTGCGAGTCCCCATCACCCGAGTCCCCCTCCAGTTTGGCCAAAGAAAGCTGAGATCTGGACCACCAGGAGAAACAAAACCAAAAACTCTGACAAAATTTGTGCTCTTTGACAAGACAATTGGGCGCTACGGTCATAACAAGGATGACATGACATTACACAAGAACAACAACAACGAACTGAATAAAATGGTAAAAAATGTAACCAAATAGATAACGAGAGGTTAGAAAAATAACTAAATGAGAACTTATCATAATTAGAATTATATCATAACTAACGAACGAACCAACAAAGACGAGAGGAGAAAGTCATTCATCATATCACACACGGTACTACGCACGTAAGTAAAAGGTGGTGATACAATTTACAGTATCGTCACACACAATGACAACAACAACAACAAATACTACAACCCGTATCGTCAGCATTATCATCATCATCGCCATCATGACCGTCCTTATCATGACACACGCATGACAGGAGAGGAGACATTCAAAGACACAACATATATCATCATCACCACAGGACAAGAAAAATAGACAATAAGAAATATACACGTAAAGTGAGAGAGAAAGAGAGAGAAGGCAAAAATATGAAATATACATAATTATAAAAATAGATATATAGCACAGCAGCAGCTCAGCAGCAGAAGTGGTTGGTGGTTTGGTTTGGTGGTGAATTATAGAATTTGGTGGTGTGAAAAACATTTGAGGAATTTTAGCAGCAGGGGAACACTCATACGCGCGGCGTGGCGTCATCAAAAATTTTATAATTACCTTAACACTGAGCTTCTCCTGAACCGGGCGAAGAAGAAAAAGTAAAATCAACAGATTTTTGGTTAACAGTTACAAACAGAAGTCAATAAGGACAATAATTAGAATAATGAGAGAGATAGAGAGAGAGATAGGTGCGCCCGGCGGGATGATATATTTATAGCGGCGAAGAGTTTTTTTATCAAGGACTTTTCGCTTTAGAGAGAGAAATTTAGTGGAGAAAAGAATACGTATGATGAGTAATTACGATATAAAAGTTGTGAGTGAGTGAGCCTAAAATATTCATATCTCGTTTTTTCTTTCTTCTCTACACAACTACTGACTACATAAATACGCCATGCTTTTTTCTTTTTCAGGGTCGGAGAGTATATAATTACTTATTATGCATGTTGTGATTAAAGCGGAGAGAAATTTAATTGGAGTATAAAATTGGAGCAGAGCTGCTTACCTATTATTATACTTTTTCAGTTTTGGAAGGCCGTATTTTGAGTCGGTTGAGCTTTTCGATACTGGAAGCGATTCCAAGTTTGCCATCAACATCTGCAAAATAAATTAGGTTTTTTATAATGTCAAGGGCAGTCCGGGCAAAAATGGGTGCATTGCATATATTCAGGGGCCGCGGAAAGCCGTGGGGACATTAACATTGGGGGATTAGGGGAGGGACGGGTTTATATTGGACATCGAACAACCATGGGGACATTGTCCCTCTGTCCCCTCAAGCTTCCGCGGTCACTGCACATATTTATGCAGTACGGATATTACATATTACAAAAGTGGAACATGTACGTACGTTAATTGCAGATCGGCACTCTTCAATGTACAACGATTCCATCTCTTTGAGAACAAATCGCGGCATTAGTTTTCGATTGCGTTCCATGTCTGACACCTTCTGACGCCGACCGTCAAGTTCGCGACGAATTGCGGCAGCCTGCTCGTCAGCAGAGTCCAACTATCGGATCGAATGTATACATAGAGAGGAGAATATTATGTAAGGGAGTAATTAAGTAATAAAGTCAATTAAACTGGTCGAGTTTCTCAACAACTCGTTGAGCCTGGCTCCATTATTATTAACAACTGCCCAGAAGAGCAAAAGTCTCAATTCATTAAAACTTTTCTGTCCTGACTGAGTGAGTGAGTATGAGACTTTTGCTCTCTCCCGGTGATATGTGAATGCATGCATACGCACACATTAATTACGACGAGGTGGAGAAAGTAATTAAAGTGATCCATCCATTTACCTGAAGGGCATTAAATAGGAGTTGATGTTCAAACTTTTTTACACCTAAAATTTGTTGGAACATGTCGTAAAGTTGTTCTTTGGAGAGGAGGATGAGTTCGGTGTGCATGGATGGTTGGAGCCGGGTTCGCTTCGTGTCCTCGTCCCCTTTTAAAATGCAGTCGAATTTGGCCATCCAGGACGCCAGGACGGTCTCCTTGCTGAGACCATCAATTTCAGGTAAGGATCTGTACAGAGAAGCGATGACCATACGATAAATAACCACTGGACCGGAAGTTGAGACGAGCGGATTTTTTTTGCACTTACCGAACACGTTTCTCCACATTGCTTTTGAATACTTCTCTAAAATCGTGATGCGAACAGGCTCCCGCTTGAACCATCCGGAGGACTCGTTCCGACTTTAGAAAGACTTCTGTATAGTTTAAGATTGCATTTTGAAACGCTTCGTCGGCCGCGATTTGAGTGTCGCCTTTGAGAAAACCCTGCGTCACAAGGGGAGGTCATTTATTATTGTGTCGCATAGGTGGGCGAGTTATTTAGTTGGAGATGTTCCCTCCTGGGGGTGGAGAGGCCACCGTCAAAAAAATATTTTCAATGTGGGACAAACCTGGAAACGGGACAGGATAGTGTCCAACTGGGCCTTGGTTATTTTCGTATGTCTTTTTGTCATGTCTGTCGGCTGTTTCGCGTTGAAAGGGTAAGCTATACATCTCGAGATGAAGACATACAATTGCAGTCGTGATTTCCGCAGCTCTTCTTCCCTCTCCTGCTTCTCCTGTGGGACCACAACGACAACGACGACGACAAGACGACGTGGTATTATTGTATAAATCAAAAACTACTACATGACATGCTACACAACACATAAGTATTTTCCTTCTTTTATGCAACGAGTCTCAGGCCTTGCCAAAACTAATAATGAGAATGATGTACATACAGACGCCATTGTGACGCGGCACGTCGTCTCGCTATCTGTCTACGCCAGACGGAGATAAGTATTAATTTTAATGAAAATTATCTTGATATAATTCCTCAAGTATTTCATTTCATTTCATTTCATTTAATAATTTATTCCTATTTTTTGAAACGTACTTTGAATACTAAAATCTGCCTTAATAAATTTCATGTCTTGATTATTTGTCTGCCAGCTAAAAACGCGTCCCACTCCTAAAATGAGACCATGTAAAAATTCACCCACGTTATAAATTTCCCCTAATGACACCACCACGACCCTGCCATTTCCCTGCTACGTGGCAAATGAATGAATTTTTCTACCTCAAATTACCGAGAAATAAATGGGAAACGTGTCCCACTAAAGAGAAAGTTCGTGTGTGAATTAAGAAAAATGGACATGCTTCCCATACCTGAGGGTCGATCGAGTCCGTGACAGTTTTCTCCGACACGAGCGAGGGCGAGGGGGACGTGGGTCGTTGATGGATGGCTCCACCACCACCTCGCATCGCAGCCCCCGCACCGATACTGCTCGTTCCCGACCCCAGACTGCCCACCTGACCACCCCCACCGCCCAACGTGTCCGAGGAGGCGGTCGAGTTTGGTGAGAGGGAGCGGTGCGACCCACCGCCCACTTTGTTCGGCACGTCGAGACTCTCCCTCGGCGGCTCGGCGTGAAGGTCACGGCCTCCCCGACCGTGACCGTGGTGTGTGACCGGTGCTTCATGATGACCATCATCGCTGTCCTCCTCAGAAGAACTGGGGTCAATCATTCCTCACTTCCCTGGAAAAAGTTTGATTTTGTGAGCACGAAACAGTTTTAAAGGGATGCAATGTCAGGTTGTGAAAAATATTTATGATGTATTTATTATTGTTATTATCTATTATTACAGATCCAGTATTAAGCAGTAAACTACTAAGAATATGTAGTAATAGAATAGGCTGATGACATAACTATGTATTTGTATCGCATTAAACGCGACCACAATTGACAGAGATATCGCATGCCTACCAAATAATGACGGTACCATAGTCGTCATATCGTACATACATACGTACAATGAATGTGTGTGTGCAAATAGTGTCATTACTTTAGGAGAGAGCACCACAAAACATTTGCTAAAATAAATTGAGGCCTCCCTGGCTGGAAATTCAGAGTCTATAATATGTAATAATAACCCACCAGTGTTTATTTATTGTGAATAAGTGTGTACAAGTTGGAGAGGTGGATGGATGCAATAAATGGTATCGATTATTCTTTCTATGTACAATGTACAACATCATCATACTGCAGAAGAAGACCAGACCATGCAGCATTATGGACGGCTACGTGATTCTATTACGGTCTAATTTTGGTCTCCTTTTTCCCCTCCTTCTCACAAGGATTACATATTATCCAACAACACGGCTTCCGAGGATTCATCCAGTAAATTAGTTTCTTTCAGGGGAAAAAAATTGATGGGTGACATGGACGAGTGGGTGGCCGTGCGTCCTACGCGACTTATTGCGAAAATTGGTAAATGAAATGCATAATTCCCGTCTTTCTTTTCGCACGCCTGGCTGGCTGACTGTCTGCCCGATTAGTCACCATGAATTTGTGGACAAATGTATGGGGTGTGTGTGGCATATGACTCACTATTTATGCAACAGATAATTGTAGACTCGGGACTAATTAGTGTTAAATACTTACCAGCAATTAATGGAGGTTGTTCTCGATCAGAGGAGGTGCATATGTCGGTTTGTTATTATTTTTTGTATCTATCTCTGCTTACTTTTTTTACTTTTAATAGATCCGATTCGTTGTTCCACTTTCTCCTCGGAAGAAAAGTGGACTCAGAGGCCAAAAATGTGCAGAATTGTTGTGTTATTTTTTTTCGCCAGGAAGAAGAAGAAGAAGAAAGTAGTCATATTTATTGTGCTCACTTATTAATCGTGATCTTATTTTGAGGATCACTTATGTGCTATTATTATTTTTATTATTATTCTTAATTATTATTACTACTATTCCCACTAACCTGAGTAATGGTTGAGAGGGCACTAGATGTACATATATTTGTATTAAAGGCAAAGTTTACAGTTCTTCAAAGAACAAAAACTCGGGGAAAAGCACATGCACGAATGGACATCCTCCTCTTATTTTCTTTTTGCAGACTATACTCGATTGATTAGTGGAGGGGACAATTTTTGCAAACATTTTCTCTCTGCAAACCACCAACTTTTTCCTTTCCTGCAGCACTGAACACAACTTTAATTGAAGCAAGGACAACAACCCGTCGTGGTGGCGGCGGTGGGGAATTATTATGACGGGGCTTGTCGAAGGTCATACCTTTTCCAAGTATTACCCACGACTCTGAAAAAATCTATGACCTATGTCACCTCCTCCACTTATTCCCACCTAAACTACATAAATAGTGCCCACTTCCACAAGGACACACGACACCTACCTAGCTAAATATTATTCTTACATAAAAACGACTACCCCAAGAAGAAAAAAAGAAAGAGTTGCGTGTTATGGATCACAGGTCAATATTTTTTGGGGGGGATTAAATAAATAAATTATTTTCGGGTGGGGAGCTGACCCATCTTGTCTAAAAATTAATTGAGATTGTGACTGTTTATTCTCCACTTTTTTGTCCTGTCCCAGCCCGTGTGGGGTGAAGTATAAGTTTCAAAGACGACTCACCACTGCCATACTCACACCACAAACAAATAGACCTAGTTTCCTGGTGGATGTAAGCAACTGGAGCGGTTTTCGCAGGAGAAATGGGTGGGCAAGGAAGAATTGGGCTATATAATAATATCTAAGTCCACCTCGCTTTCTCTCTTCTGCGAGGACCAGCAGGAGTGTGGTACTGCTTATGGATATGTGAGGAGACTAAAAGAAGTAAGTCGTCATTGTGCACATATTTTGGCTCCGTTTTGTGCTCCGGGAGAAAGGAGAGGCGAGGGTGAAAGTGGGTTGGGAACGGTCGCCCTGCTCGCTGTCCTGCCTGGCACGCATGGTCACATCGACTGACCTCCTCCCTCCCTGCAAACCCACCACCAGGCAGGCACACCGTGAGTACGAGTGAGTGTGCCACCAGGGCAGACACATTATACCATCACACTGCCAATTTCTCTTTCTTTTAAGCTTATAATGGGCCAGAGAGAAGACTGCTCTTTCCATTTTCCACTCACTTTCTCCAACATTAAATTCGTTCACTCAGAGAGAGAGAGAGTCATAGTAGTAAAAAAGTAAGTCGGAGAGAGAGAAAGGAGACAATGGATAAGGAAGCAATGCTACCAGACCACCACCGCTACCAGAAACTGGTTCAGAAGTACGTATACATACGTAACCCTGAAAATGGAAGAATCCCATCCTATCAGGAGGGGAACTTACTACTTAGTCTTTCCTAACCTAGAGACGACGGATCTCTGGTCGTCCTTCTTCTTTCTCTCAATCAGCCACAGCCAATTTGCTTTCTCCTCTCTCACTTCCTAATCCTTGCTCTATCATTGCTCCATCCATCCCACAATCGAGGCATGTCGTGGTGTGGTTGGTGGGGTGGTCGCGTCCACACAATTATAATTATAGACCAGGGCCACCACATTCCGATCCTTGTTCTCCCATCAGAACTTTCTGCTCACTCACATCACTCACTCACCCACTCGGCATCATCAATGAGATTGAATCATATTTTTATACATCAAGGTGAAATTCGCCCTAACTCGGTTTTCGTCATCGTCAACAATAACCTCATCATCGCCACGACCACCAAAACCGCAGAAGCACACTCGATAATAATGCCGACCAACCAAGGAGATCGCCTAATACCCTCGAGACCCAATAATATAAATGCTCCGCAAAGTAACATGGATCAAATAAATACATACTTATATAAAATGAGCTTGGTCGTGGTGGTGGTGGTGGTGAAAGAAGAATTTCTCTCTCCGCAAAAGACGCAGCTTATTTGAAGAAAGTGCTTTTCTCTCTCTTAATAAAACTTGTTCATCCTTTTTTTGCCAACCATGCAGGAATTGCCACACATGCCATGGCACACATCCACGAGCTGCTTAGCGTCCTCCAGGTTGCTCTTTTCAGTCTTTTTTCTTCTTCTGCTTTCCCTTCGTCTTCTTCTTCTTCTTGAGGGAAAGGAGAGAGAGAGAGAGTGGGTGCCTGGTATGGAATGAGTGAAAGGAAATGAAGACATGCCCCGGGGTGGGTGAAAATAAAACAATTGTAAAAGGTTACATGCACCGAGGAGTTGGTGGGCTATAGCGTAATCTCTCTCTCTGGCTGGCTGGGTAGGTTATGCCTGTCACAAGATACTTTCTCTCTGTGATGTGGACCCCGTATGTATGTATGCTAAGTACATGTTAAATGGGCTCAATGAGAGAGATAAGAGCTTGTTGCGATGTATTGCAATGTGAATCTCGTACATATCTGGGTTGTTGGTAGGTATGGATATGTATGTGGGCTGCTCTTTTCTATGTATGTACTCGGCTTTCTCCCTCTTAATACTTTCTCTCCCTGCATGAAATTCTTACTTTGATTGCCACCACGGCCACGTCTGCTGCTGCTGCTGGTTGTGGTGGTGGTGGGATGTATGTGGGGACGGCTCAAGGTCCATCAGACCACCAACCCGACCTGATTAGGAGAAGAACATTCTTAAATTATCCTGATTTCCACATCCAATCTCGACCCATTCCATTCTTCTTCGCCCACTTTTATAATATCCAATTCAACAACTACGCCACATTTTGAGAGAGATACATATGTACATAAGTAAGATGAGGAGGATAGATCTTTTCCTTATGCGGGCAGGCAGGCTCGCTTGTCCGAAAAGAGGAGATGAAATTCCAGCATCATCCCACGTTCTTAGCTTTCGAGTTGAAGGGAGGCTTAGGATTTTGTTACAGATTTCGGCCCAAATTCTCTTACCGTGTTGTGTTCACTATTATGTAGATATTATTGGATGCATACGATTTCCGCTGTCATTATTTTCTTGATAGCAATAATAATACGCAGAAAAGGGAGGTAAGAAAATAACAACTTTCTCTCGGTCCGTAATGAAAAGCAAATATGTTTCGTTGGTGGAGAAGATTCGTTCAGTTCTTGGTTGGTGTAAGTGGTGTGCATGCATGCAGACAGATTTTCGTCTTCTGGGAAACATTTCATTTCCCCTTCATGCACAATTATGCAAAGTATACGTACACATTTTAAACGCGTTTGGAGCACTAATGTCCGTGTTTTTCTCTTTCTCGCCGCCGCCACGGCGAGTATACGACCGCCTACTGTTTTCTAATTATGGCATGTTTTGCAATTCTGGTTTGCCTATTTCCCGTCGGTGGTGGCTTTTATATGTATGCCTGGATTGACAATTTTGTTACAAAGTTGGCAGCATATCATAGAAATTCATAACGTTTCCTTTTTTCATTTCATAAGTTCGATTACATTTTATTAGAAATATCTCGTCGTCTTTTTCGAATCCAAAATGTGTGACACTTTTAAATAATAATACTTTGATGGCATCGTGAATGATACAACAATTACCAATTTCTGTAGTAAATAGTAGCAGTATAGAAATTTGAATCATGAGACACACAGACGCTTAAATTACATTCATTATAAATATTACTTATTATAATTAAGCTAATAGGACTAAATAATAATTATTGAATGACGTTTATATTGTCATCTCATGATAGACAATCCGTAAGTATGCATATAAATAACAATTATTTATTTAAAATCAACTAAATAAATTACGCCGTTGTGATTATTCTTATACTAAAATGACAAACTAAAGCTATATATAAACGAAAATAAAGAGTGTAATAAAAGAATAATTAATTAATCCCTGAATCATTTCAACAAGAACGACGACTACAAAGACGACAAATTATTATTATTATCAGCAGCAGTAGCATCATTATGCACTCTATAAGGCGAATTTTGGACAAATAAAAATGAGATCATAAAAACCCACGCGTAATATGTACTCGACTCCATAATAATCATTCGTAGTAAGTGTGTGCATGTAGCGTCAGTCAAAAAAGCTACCTTACTTCCTTCTTTGACGATAAATAAACTTGTATAATGAATTGTTATGTCTCCTCAGTTCATTTCAAGAAGAATAAATAAGAAAAACCAAACAAATCAACAGGACCTCCATATTTCCTGGTGGTGACTAAAAATAATTATTCTCAAGGAATAATTATTCTCTATTAAATTGACTCTAATTATTTCATGTAGAGGTCTGCTGAAACACTATTTTTGAGATAAAATTATATCCAAATTTGCTGATCCAGATTTGATCTACCCAAAATTTTCAGGAATCAGTACATTTACAAGTGGCAATCCGGTTCACGTCTAGTTAGAAAATTCTACAATGCTTTTAAAATAACGAAAACCAACACCTGAGAATACATGTAAATTTTTCGCCTAAAAACTGTGCCTATCTGTTCTCGTTATCTTTTTTGGTAGTCTGTAATTATCCAAAATTCTAAATTCTGATTAATAAAAAACTCTTCATTCTTATATCCCCTTAACAATTAATTATTCAGTCACCAACTACTGACTCTCACTAACTATATCTAGCTGACAGCAGAAAACATTATGACATTTAATGTTGATGTTTGTGCTTCTCATTTCCGGCAATATGTATGTATGTGTGTATCGGTGGATTATAAAATATAAATAAAATTAATTATTGGTATTCTTGACATCGGTTTTGTTACAAGTTGGCATTCTTACACTTCATATTCATCAACCATAAAGTAGTGTAGTAGAAGGTCATGCAGTCTTGACTTGTGATGGGGGTTATTAAGTAAATGCAAAAACGTGATAAAGTATAAATTAGTATACCCACCCATAATCTGATTATGGGTGGGCCTATTTTATACTGAGTCTGCGATAATCGCTGCCAGGCTGGCTGCTAGGGGGAGGTAAACGAAGAAAAAGAGTTGGTTTTTGTTTTGCAACATTTTAAAGGGCAAAACATGGAAAATTATTGTTGTTGAGAAGCTGGCGTTGGAATCACTGGACCCTCACCATTAACACTAATAATTTCCGACTGATTGCTAATATCAGAGGAACTTGGGATCTCTGTAGAAATCATGGGATTACTCTGCGAGGAACTAGTAACAGATCTCATCATATACTCGGTAATAACTACTGTGACGTTGTTCACCGTTACAGGTTGACGAACTACTTGGCTTCTATCAATGTTTTTCAGTCTCGGACGTCTATAAAATAAGCATAAAAATAATTAGTCACTAACAAACAATCTTGAAACTGTACCCTGAAGTTGACACTTACATATTGCGAATTTTCTTCTTGGAAACCTTTCCATCAGGATGAATTACAGATAAGTTGTGTAACTTTCTCTCTTTGCTATCTTCTCTGCGAGGTTTAGGAGGAGGAGGTGGTATTGTTTGAGCAACTTGCTGAGCTACGAGTTGAGGATTTAATCTAGGTTTCCTGAAATTATTAAAAACACCAAAAATAGATTACAATCAATAACAGTAACTTAACATAAGTATTTGGACGTAGAAATTAATATATGATTCAATTTCTCACCTAGTCGATGTCCCTTTACGGACATCACACATGGAACACTGTAAGGAAAAGACATCTCATTAAATTCAGGAAATATAAGCCATTACACGTACGAAAATAATTAATCACTCATGTAACCTGATTAACATGAAGAAATAAATGACAAAACTAAAGGTATTTTAATCAGAAAAATACCGAGCAAAACACTAATTGTGTTCTTCTTTTCGGTTTTTTTGCATAAAAATAATTTTAATGTCATAAAAAATAATTAAATATCTCACCTTAAAGGCTTCAGCAGTGTTACGAAACGTGCAAACGCTGCAATCCCAAAAGTTTTCTTCGAGTACTTTGGATTGACGCTTTTGTCGCCTAATTAAAAGAAAAATCAATTCTCAATAAACAATATAAACAAAATCTTTATCTTAATGTTTAAAACCCCACTTACTTTTGTGCCTGTTTCTTACTATCCATATTAAGGACCGGGTTGGTTGGACAAACAACAGGTTTAAATTTCGAAAAGGATATCAGTCCGTATTATCTTATACAGCAGGTGATGATAATACCATCGTGATAATCGTTGTGTTTGTTCTTCGTTAACAGTCTCAATTCCAAATAATGTCTGAAACAGGAATTATTTCATTCAATTAAAATGTTAGTAAATAAAATCACATTTAGAACCACACAATTCAAAACAAAAAGCGAAACCGAATAGAAAGTAAAGATCGTCGTTTATAGCATAATAAACATTATTATTATAGTACTTGACCTCAATTATGATTAATCAAAGACTTTTTTATTCAAAGTTAAGTAAAGTTTTGTATGATTATACCTCCTCCCAAATTTGGTTCGGCAACATCATTCTCCATTTTAATGGACTCCCTTCTTCTGTACGATTTCTTACTTAATTCTTACTAAATTATTGAACTATCTTCGTATCCCTAATTGCTCTAAACTTTTAAACTTCTATATTAAACTTGTCCTTAGAAATATTGTCCATTTCTTTCGGATACCCAACATTTGTACACGCCTTAAACAGTTGATATCTTTCTAGAGCCTAATTACTACAATTTTTAACGAATCTCAGATAAGGTGGTACTTTAACAGCTATAAAATTAAGTTTAAAGTTTAATTTATTGTACAAGTGCGTTGTGAAGTTTACACAATAAGTTGTATGCAGTGCGGCCTGAGCAAGTATAGTCAGTCAGTCAACCCTTCTAGCCCAACAACGCCCGATTTAGTCTGCTGCCTCCAGTAGCACCTTGAATGACCGGTTATCATTGATAATCCCAATGAAATTTGAGACTCTTTAAAAAAATGAAACTGATTTTTGAACTAATAATAAGGCTTTTTTAAAGGGAGACGTGGAGGCAAACGTAAATAGGGCAGCGAATATAGAGTCAGTTTCATATTCAAAATGTGTGTGTAAGTTACACAGTGTAACACTTTCACGAAGAGAAGGAAAGTTGTTGCGTAACAAAAACATAGATTTTGTTTGTATACCTGTGCCATATGTTGACAGAATTGTCCTAAATACGGAAATAAGTGTATTTTGATAAGTGGGATTAAGTATCTTGGAAGGGGCGAGTTTTACAGTTCATGGTTGGCGATGTGATCTCGATTAAAGGAATGAATAAGGATCATAATATTAGATCAAGTAAATGGTAAGGGAGTTCTGTTTTTAAAGATTAATTAATAATTAACAGATTTCATTTTTTCGGATTTTGTTAATTTTATGCGACAGAGAGAACATTCTTTTTAAGATAGATTATTGCAATTCCGGTTGATTTTAAAAATTTTGTATGTAACGAATGAAATTTCTTACTGAGCAGGTGAGGACTGGTCGAGATTCGAGATGAGATGATGATACCCCATTAAGAACGACAAAATCTAATTGGAATCTTCATGCAGAACACAAGGCACACACCGGGACCTGGTAATAATGTCGTCGTCCTTGGAACGACGTCAAAAACTAGCAGAGGAAAGAATAAGCGATCTTCGTTAATTGCTCCACAACAAGATTCAAGTTCAAGTGATACTGGTGGTGGTAGTGGGAGGAGGAGGAAGAGTGTTCCGAGCGAATGGGAGCATAATATTGGGTGCAACATTCGTGTCGATGCACGACATCATCAAAAATTGGACATCACAATGCCTGAAATTCATCACGCCAACTCTTCCTCGATGCCAGTTCCTCTCAACACCATTATGAAGGGTTGGGATAATGTTCCGAAGTTGTATCAGTACAAGCCTTCCCAATTGCAGGTTGTATATCATCGAAGGACGGGTGAGAACGAGGTAGGCGACCCTGTTCCGCCTGAACCCACAAAACCACCGCCTGAATGCAGATGTGATCCTATGCAATTAAAGGTACTACAAGATTAACGATATGAATAGTATAATAGTCTGCTGATACCCCTTCAATTGTTTAATTATTGTATTAATTAATTACTAGGCATTAGGATTGCAACCCCGTGTATCATCTTCGCCATCATCGTACATGGATTCCCCTAGTACTTCATCGTTACCATACAATGATATTCCATTTCAAGACTTTGATCCGATCCCAAACGGTACTGAAGACCATCTTTACGAGATGCCTGAACCAGTCATCCCTGAGGACTACATCCATTATTTCACCGATACGTCAGAATCAGTTCAAGACGATCCGTGGTATATATCTTCCAGAAACGAAATGCAGCAGCAAGAGCAGCTTATCGCCGACGCACGTTCAACGCATTCAATGCTTACAAGAACTGTCGAAAGCCAAACAGAAACTAATCCTACGAATATTTCTTGTCAGACAGAAATCTATGGTAAGCCAGCCCAATGTCAGACAGATAAAGACTCATCTCGAAACCAAACTATGTCCTCCTCCGGCAGCAGAAAGTCCACTTTCACCACGTCCAGTAGCCAAACTCATAATATGCCTTCTGGTGCCATGATAATGAAAGAAAGTGATATAAACCATCGGCAGCCAAAGTATCAAACTACTACTGCTACTAGTCAAACTGAACCATTGAAATTGATATCTAGTCAGTCAATTAGTATTTCGACCCAAATCTACCAAGATGATTTCGAAAGTGAAGAAATACAAAATAAAACAACCAGCATTACTAACAAGAGTATTATTAACCAGTGCACAGGAACAGAAACAATTAACTTTAAGGAAGTCTCAGTTCAAGTAGACCAAGTTCTGGAACGGGTAGTGCTTGAAGATTGTGGTAGTCAAACGGAAATTGACATTGAAACTCCAAAGATTTGCCTTGAATGTGATTTTAAGCAGCTTCAAATGGAAGAACTTGAAGAAAACATGGCCGAACTGCAGGAACGCTTTAAAACTATGGAAAAGAACCAAAAAGAAAAGGAACTATTAGTTCAAGATAAAACTCAATGGAAAGATTCAAGTACAAATACTGACGAAGAGATAATAGCGTCATTACCAACACCTATTCCAGAAGAAGACGAAACCTTATCAAACCTTAAAGTTGATGATCATAATGATACCAAATATCTTAAACTAGAACAAGAAAATGAACAACTCAAGCTTACAATTGAAACACTGAAAATAAAACTGAATACGTTTCATAACGGTTTTAAAAGTTTGCGCACGGCAATTGACAAACCAGTAAGTAGGTTTATTATTTAAATGTAATAAAATTACCCGTCTTGCAACTTATTATATATGTAAAAATATTACTTTATTTCAGTCTTTATGTTCACAGTTAATTTGTATCTTTCACATTTAGATTGTCGTTGATAACACCAACGTAACAGAAGAAACTATACAAGAAGTCTTGAACAAGGCAGAGGATTTTATTACAAATTGTTCAAACTCTCAATCCCGTGCTAAAAAAATAAATGACCATCTCACCGTTTTAAATACTTGCGTCTCCGTTGCAAACGGAGTTTTGAACGAAACTCCGACCACTATTGCCTCTACTAAGCCATATTAATACATGCACGTAACTTAATTTACCGATAATTTAACATAATATTGACCAGATCATGATTGTTTTTTTTAACTTATTATAGATACTAATAATAGAGTGACGTTTCTTTCAACCAGTCTGCCGTCACCGCAACGGCACGCAACTTTTCGTATTCATCTTTATATTCCTCGTCACTATCTTCAAAGTGCCTTCTTTTCAGTACTGGCTTCTTCTGTTTCTTTGGAGAACCTTCAGAACCCTGCATAATGTCTTGTGAAGAGATCCTTTTCAGAGATGAACTGAGCAAAAAAATTCCATCTTCATCACAATCCACATGATCCTGATGACTGGGTTCACTATTCTCAACAACGACTTCTAGCCTTCTATTTTTACGAAACAAAGTATTTAAATACATATTATTATAGAAATATTATATATAAAATGTTAACTTTTTTTATTTTAACGAATTTATCAATATATACACTTATATATTCACTTACGTTTCCAAAGCTATGGACAATTTCTTTGCGATGAAGTTTTGCGTCTCGGGAGTAACATCGAGCGAATATGGCTTCGGAAACGATGCCTCAGTAAAAAATATCTTGTTCACGATTGACTCACACGTTAATGGCGATGATGATGAAAACAATTGTGGTACTTTTCCATCAACATCCGCAGGATTAGAAATTAAGGTTTTCGAGCTTGTCGGCTCGCTACTCTTCTTATCTATAATCAACAAAATACCTTAACAAATCATACCATTGTTGCAAAACAAATAAGAATATTTACATTCCCACACCTTCCTTAATCTTGCTTTCTAACTTCAGATGAAACACAGGATCAATTGCAGCTTTCAATTTTGCTCGTTCTTCTTCTTCTTCCGAACTTGATGATGCCATTGTTCTCGCTTGTAGAATTTGGCATCCGGATAACTCTCTCTCGATTCTCTGAAAAACAAATGTAATCTTACATATAATCATGTTATCACAATTATATGACCTCAAGACATAGGAAAATAGAGAGAAAAAATCACAAAAATATGTCAACAATTTCACCTTTCAGTTTCCACCTTAAAAGTCGCCGATAAAAAGCCGGTAACCGAAGCTGTCTAAGCTTAAATGTCCGTAGGATAAAAAAAACTGTTAAAATTCAAAACCTTATTTCTATTTGAAACCGACGACGAACTGACCGACAAAGAAAGACCGACCCGCAAACTGAACTTGCTCTGAGAAATCAGCCGAGTGGAGTGCAATATTCGCTCCCGCGGATGGAAAGTGGTTTCTTCTTTTTGCTTGGGGAGAGATCACAAAATCCATTTTTTTGGCGGACGGTGAGTTGCTTTGGCTACGTGCCGAGTGAATGCTCACTCTGGCTACGACGTGTTCTTGTGGGAATATCGAATATGGTGAAATATGTGATGTGCAGATTGGCAGAAGTGAAAAATTCAGTTTTTTGACAGTTATCTTGTCCACAATTAATTTCCTGGTCTACAATTAGATTCGTATTCTTGTCCAAAATTGTAGTTTGGAAGAAGGGGTGGTGCTCGAGAGGGTAGGACATTTGAGTAGGTGAGCAGATTGGGAAAGAATTTTAATTTTGCACTGACGGACAACAGCCGCCCGGTTGGAGTTGGATTGAATTAATATTTTGATTTTTTTGTGTAGTTTGGTAAAATCAAGGGAAAGGTGCCACTAGGAAATTTCAAAGATGATTCTTAAGGATTTGGCGTGGGTTGTTGTGTTGTTGGTCACCTTGTCTTTCTCGACTGTCACGTCCCTCTACTTCCACATTGCAGAGACGGAAAGGAAATGTTTCATTGAGGAAATTCCGGACGATACTACGGTTATCGGTTTGTTACGCTCATTTAATAAGTTTAAATGTTGTGGAATTAATTAATTAACGGATGGATGATGTTATTTTGGTTGGTAGGTATCTACAAAGTTGAGTTGTTTGACCCTCGAACCAATGGATTCATGCCTTCTAGTCCTGGAATTGGGATGCACGTCGAGGTGAGAGATCCTGATGACAAGACTGTATTGTCCAAGGTGTACAGTTCCGAAGGCCGATTTACCTTTACATCCCATACTCCTGGAGAACATGTCATATGTCTTCATTCTAATTCGACGAAATGGTTTGCTGGATCCCAACTTGTAAGCAAAACTTTTGTATTTGATAATAAATTACAAGAGTAGCTAATTACATTAAATAATACTCACTAATTTGTAATGTAGAGAGTGCATTTGGACATTCAAGTTGGAGAACATGCCGTTGATTACGCAAATGTGGCTCAAAAGGAAAAATTGACGGAATTGCAGCTCCGCGTTCGTCAATTATTGGATCAAGTAGAACAGATTTCTAAGGAGCAAAATTATCAACGGGTATACAATAACAGCTCTTCTTTCAATTTAAAAAATAATGAAAAGCATAATGTACATTTCTCTAATGTTCTCTCTCTCATCTTGCAGTACCGAGAAGAGAGATTTCGACAAACGAGTGAAAGCACGAATCAACGCGTCCTATGGTGGTCTTTAATTCAAACTGCGGTCTTACTTTTAATGGGTTACTGGCAAATGAGGCATCTCAAGTCTTTCTTTGAAGCTAAAAAATTGGTATAACTTGTTTGCATTTTTTAACGACAAGTCCAATAAATTATCAAGAGAATAATAATTCAACACCGGGAGAATGAGTATTCTGCGAAAAAGTATCCAACAGCATCATCGCGATTTATAAAAAACAACATATTATGGTACTATATATTTCAGTAACGTCTGCTAGCATTTAATTTTAAAAATTATGTATGAATAAATATGTAGCGTCTATTGTAATCGATCTGTATTGTAACTTAATTTATATACAAAACTAAAATTCTTTGTACCAAATTTCAAGTGTAACCAAAAACAATATTAAAGATGTACCATCGTTAAACAACCATATGTGCTTATACCTCATAACCACCACTATTTTTTCAAACAGTGTCTAAGAAATCTTCTCGATTTGTGCAACTTCCTGATGAGACGAGGATGATCGCAATTATAACCTTTGCATATACTTAATGGTCTGGTCATTTTACACATATTGACATCACAATTATTATTACGATGTGTCACTCATCAGCTAAATATACAAACATTCATGTCAACTACCAGAGTTCACTGACATATAATGTCGTAATGATAAGTTCCTGCTGCTTCTGGCCGAGTGAGAGTAAATTCTCTACTCTACTTTGACTGGATGAAGGAATTTAGTTGGCCAAGAAAAAAAACAGATAAGTTGACTCATTGGTTCCGCACTACTTTGATATTTGCACACACATACTGACTGCATCCATGTGCTGAGGAGGAAGATAAATGTTGTTCTTGTTCTCGTCGTCTCATTGAGAGGACACGCTCTCTGGAAGAATAGAACGCGCTTATCATCGTCATCCACTCACTCGCGACTATCGCGAACAAACTAGTACTACTTGTCCATCAAACCAGCACGACCATTTCCAGTCCAAACCACCTCCAAGAAGTGAAAGACCTCTCGTTGCTTGATCCTTCAAAATGGCAAAGTTTACTTCGCTAACTATTCTTATTTCTTGTTTTCTCATCCTTGCCACGATAGCAGGGTCGAGTTATGCGGAGTCCACGCAACAATCCCCCAGTGGTGGCGGTGCTGGCGAGAATCGGGCCTCCAAAGTGAGGACAAAGTTGTCCGCGGCTGCGAGGAAGAAGAAAGTGGGAGGAGTTGTCAGAGCTAAAGTTGAACCAGTTGTGACCACTCTCGCCCCCACCACGACGGCGGAAGATAACCCAAGCGAGTTATCTGTCCCGACAACGGTGGGGTCAGCCGAGTCAATTACTGTGGAAGGTGGTGATCATACTACAAACACACTTCCGGAAGTCACTACTACCACGAGGGCTCCAAAAGTTGTGAAGAAAGTGTCCAGAAATAACAACTCCCCGACACAGCCAGGCTCCATTCCGCAAGCATGTGGCGAATGTTTTCAAGAGGATTGCAACATTATAAAGGACACGAATTGTCCGAATGGATTGGTACAAGATAACAACTAATTCCATAAAAATGGTGTGATTTTTTCTAAAAAGTATAATAAAACTTTTATTCCAGGTGTTGGATCAGTGTTCTTGCTGCTTCGTTTGTGGTGCTTTGGAAGGAAATCGTTGTTTCAATGCGTCCCTAAACTTGCCGTATAATCCAGACGTCGGAATCTGTGGGGGTCATTTGGACTGCTTGCTTCGCAGTGATCTGGATCCAACGGTATTACCAGTAGTTGGGGCTGGTTGAGAAAATGAGACGTCTCAATTTCCCCAATCGTTTAACACTCTTTTCTTATATACAGGAGCCTAGAGAAGCCTTATGTGAGTGTCGGGATAAGCGAATTGTTTGCGGAAATGACCACCAAACTTATCTCAGTGAGTGCAAACTTCGAGAAGCGGCACATACCAAGGTAGGGCTTTTGGTGGCCAGTTGGAGTCCGTGCGTCTCAGGTACGTAACATACGACTTATGCCAAATTCTGGATGATAATTTCATACCAATGTTTGGCTAAACTATATTTCAGCCCCGGTAATAACGACCCCTGTGGAAAATGCTACGGTCACCATTGGAGAAGATGTTTCCCTCAGTTGTGAAGTGAGGTCTTATCCAGGTACTTTGTCCCCTCGCAGTCTTCTTGCCTATTTATCCGGAATTATATCAAAAAGTTGTTCTCCTTTAGCGTCAGTCCTTCACTGGGAATTTGTGGCTGAAGGTTCTTCATCCCCAATTCCATTAGTGCTTCCAGGTACACATAAATAATCAATTCACCTTAAAATCATTAAATATTCATCTAACCACTCGTCTTAATTTAATAAATAGGAGACGATTCCGGAATTGTCATCGTGGTCCGAGGTGGTCCAGAGCAAATTATGACGACGAGTTGGTACGTAATATTTGCTACTTTTCCTCAAATATTTATCTTAATTTGTCCCATTTCTTCGGTAGGATCCAAATCATCGCCGTCAACCCAAAACGGCAAGGAACTTATTACTGTGTCGCAAAAAATACGGAAGGCACGACCCAAACCTCTGCTCAAGTTCAAGTTTACAAAAGTGTCGATGATGACTAGACACGCTCACGATCAATCGCAGTGCAACGTGTCAATCATCAATCACTAAATAGCTCGTCAAACATTTTAGCATGATACATATCCCTAAGACATATACTAAACCTGTAATTTTTACATGTATCCAAACACTAGAAGAGCACGACCCATGAGCGTGTTTTGTCTCTCTCTATCTGATTCCCGAAATAAAAGAACCGTTCTAACCCACAGAATAAATAATATGAGTGAAATTTAATAAGTATTTTTCCTACAACGATTTCTTTTTGGGATAAAAACAAATGCAATGCACTTAAACAATTCTTTGGGCGAGTGGAAAAATTCTGGTCACCTTTCCTCAGTGGGTGACTAGTTATTTATGTGTACAAGAAAAAGGAAAGAAAGAAAGAACACGAGGCACAAAGAACATGCGAGCGAGGGTGGTGGTCCGTCGTCGTAGTGGAAAATAACAATAAAGGGACAATAAGGAGATTATTATGAAAAGGTCTAATTTCTTGGAGGGCAGATTAGACTGACCATCCATCCATCCATCCATTTTAACTGTAGAAATACGGAAATTATTTATTTTGCTTATCATCCTCAATAATAAAATAACGAGCGATGGGCATAGCCTGCTGCATGCTGGACATATAAAAATACCTTGTCCAGTCTCAACTTTGACTCATTATTGATAAACTCTTTTCCTTTAATATACGCATTTGTGCAGTTTACTTTAATAAGTTCATTAAGAAAAAAATACTGCACTTTAACCCTTCCTTCCATTCACACAAACATTTGGACATCCATCCACTCGTGCATGGCATTTAGGGATCCGAATTGAGCCAGATTTAGAGAGAGTATATTATGTAGATCTTTGTCCTCTTACTTAGTGACTGATTTTAATAAGTGGTGTTTGGTTCGATTTGTAAGAAGGACAAGAAATTGTGCATCAGCGAGAAATTGTGTCAAATTCATGCAGTTTAATTTGCATACGGATCAATTGCATTTTTGGCTTGGGACTTTTTGGGTCAAAGTTATTCAGATATTTTGATCAGTAGAGTGGTTTAATTGAGGATTTTGAATACGTTAAAATGTTGTCTGGACAAGTTTCCGTCCTTTTGAGACGATTTCCGAAAGCATGCAATACAAGGTTTCTTAACCCGAAGCATTTCCTCGCTGTGGTGAGTATGTACAGTTGTTATCGCAAGTGACGCATGTAATCATGCCGTTGTGTAAGCATGTTTTTTAAGTATGATTTATTTAAGCGTGCATTTTTCCATAAATTTTTAGAGGGGGATTTCATCCTCTCGTCGATCATGGGACCTGATGAAAGTTGGGAGTGGAAACTCGCCAGGAATGTTGAGTTTCAATCGTCCCCTTCAATCTCGTTCCGAATTGGCGTCCGCCAGGCGAATCGTGGTGAAAGTTGGGAGTGCCGTTCTCACGCGAGAGGACAATTGTGGTTTGGCGTTGGGTCGAGTGGCTGCTTTGGTGGAACAGGTCGGTTTTTAATTTTTTTTCAACTTAAGGTGGGTTTTGGTAACTTGCGCCAATGTTATAATTTAACTATGGCGCAAGTTACCATGCAAGAGTGAAATATATGTAAACGCACTTTAGGTTTCTTTTAGATAACATGTTTTCGTAAAATAATAACATTGTTGTTGTTGTTTGTTATGCTGGCCAGGTTGCATCTCTGCAAAACAGTGGACGTGAGTGCATCATGGTGACGAGCGGAGCGGTGGCGTTTGGCAAGCAGAAGTTGGCCCAAGAGTTGGTCATGTCAATGTCGATGAGAGAAACGCTACATTCCAAGGACAGATCCGTCCATGTGAGAATTTTGTGTGGATTATTGTGTCACTGGAAATTTACAATATTTTTTTATCCGGGTTATGGGTCAATCTGCAGGGAAAGGTCATGCTTGAACCTCGAGCTGCTGCGGCGGTGGGTCAGTCCGGACTGATGTCGTTGTATGAAGCCATGTTTGCTCAGTATGGTGTCAGGATAGCGCAAGTAAGCTAAATTCATTTACAGTGAGAATAATGGGATGAAGTTATTTCCTTCTTATGACAGGTTTTGGTCACAAAATCCGACTTTTCTGACGATTACACTCGAAAACACTTGTTCCAAACTATGTCCGAACTTCTTGCCTTGAACATTGTTCCAATCGTGAACACGAATGATGCCATTGCAGCACCACCACAAGTTTACGATGCGTTGGAAGGGGTGAGAATTAGAACATTTTACAACCACAACAAAGTATGCAGTATATCGTCGCCATCACCCCTACGTTCCCTGAAATTAACATCTCTCTTATTTTTTACGTACTTAGGACATCACCGTCAACGACAACGACAGTTTGGCCGCCTTGCTATCTACCGAGGTTCGGGCGGACTTGATGGTTTTGATGTCCGATGTGGAAGGGGTCTTCACCGGACCTCCCGGATTGGACGGGTCTCGCCTCATGCACACGTACTGCCCTTCACTGAACTCGTCGAGTGTGAGGTACGGCGCCATGTCGCGGGTGGGGAGTGGCGGTATGCAAAGTAAGGTTGGTCACGACTATTCCTTATCGGTGGAGGAAGAACTTGGGAATCTTGACCTATCAATCTGTTCAAATATATGGTTCCATTTTAAGTTCCCCTATCTACAGGTTTCCGCAGCTACCTGGGCCCTTAATCAAGGGATTCCTGTCGTCATTTGCAACGGTGCGAAGGAAGGCTCCCTCAGCAGCGTGATCAATGGGAGGCGGATCGGAACCCTCTTCACGACACAGCCCTTGGGAACCAGGTCGCCAGAACATATTGCGGATTTGGGTAGGTTTGTTTACCAACATTAAATCTGATGAATTGTCGTTAATAAATTATTTTGTCGTATTATTACCCAGCTAAAGAGGGTGGTCGTCAACTGTACAATTTAACTGGGGCACAGCGGTCCGATATTATTCACAACATGGCAGATTTGCTCGTTTCTAAAAAACCAGACATTAAAATTGCCAACGATCGAGATTTGGAACTGGCCGAGCAGAATAAGCTACAATCCGCTATTTTCGACAGGTTGAAGTTGGACGATGCGAAAATTATGAGTCTCGCCGAAGGTAATTTGGTTTAATTAATTTTACATTTTCGCATCATTATTAAAATTCTGACCATAAAATTCGACCCAGGTCTTCACACCCTCGCTCAAGACTCTGTCCACTTGGTGGGGCGAACCGTACGACGAACTTTATTGGCAAAAGAGTTGGAATTGCAACAGATCACGGTTCCAATTGGTCTTCTCCTCGTAATCTTTGAAGCACGGCCAGACTGCTTACCTCAGGTACACAACAAATAAGTACATAAGAGAGCAAAACATAACATGTCATCAATTGACTGTCAACGTCAATAAGCACAATAACACGACTGATGCACAAATAATAATCTCTTTTGTTCACATTCTTCAAATCAAATTGAAATTTATTTTGTAATTTCTCTTCTTCACAGTATTATTCTCACTCATTCGTCATTCTCATATTTCTCACGTGTGTCTTTTTAATGAATAATTTGGTGAAAAGAAAACCCATAAGTTTAAAAAATAATATTTGTTTAGATTGCATCTTTGGCGATTGCATCCGCAAATGGCCTCGTCCTCAAAGGGGGAAGCGAAGCGACCAACACCAACAATGCCCTCATGTCCATCGTCACGGAAGCTCTCCTCTTGCACGGAGTGCAGAATTCGATTCAAATGGTAAACGTAAACCTTTGTTATTCACAGAAATAAAAATGCAGAGTCATAAAATCACCAGATTTTATTCGTATTCATTAAAAGTATTATGTAACTTTTTGATGAAATTCATGCAGGTGCAATAATTATTAAATAACTTTCACATGTGTTTTTTTTTCAAAATGTCTCGTTAAAAAAAATAGATGAAAGTCTCTTTGAAATCAGACTTTCCCTAATTTCAGGTGACTTCACGAGAAGACGTTGGCGAAATCGTGGGCCTGGGCATGGTCGACCTTATCATTCCGAGAGGATCGAATCAACTCGTACGCCAAGTGACCAGTCAGGCCCAAGGGGTTCCCGTACTTGGTCATGCGGAAGGAATCTGTCACATCTACGTCGACACGGATGCCGATCTCGAGAAGGCGTTACATATCAGTGAGAAATATCAAAATATTAAAAAATGCAGAGTATTTACTAATCTTATTGACTGCTTATCCAGTTAAAGACTCGAAATGCAGTTATCCTGCCGCTTGCAATGCCGCTGAAACGATCCTCATCCATCGAAATCTTCTCGGAAAGAAAAACTTTTTTGGAAATTTGTGTGACATGCTGAAAGCTCAAAACGTAAGACGACATTTTTTTAATTTGAACTTTTGATTAAACGTATTGAACTTGAGACATTACAATTAATTAATTGATGTCCTCGAACACGGACGTAATTAATTAGACAGGTGTGAAGTGAATTGTTATTTTCTTGATGGTCAATCATGTATAGGCGTCTTCTTCTCGATACGTAATTTGTAGCATTGAATATTGAAATAATTTTCATAATCAATTTTCAAAAAAATCTGCTATGAAAAAGTTTGTTGACCACACTAAATCAATATTATTCAATAATTATTGAACAATGAGTTAGCCGGTGGCGTATTTGGAGTGTCAAAAAGTGATAATTTTTTCAGCAATAATTCATAATTATTGTTCAAGGTTACATAATTTGATGAGTTGTTGTTGTGCTTGTCTTCTTCTTATTATTCATATCATATTGAAGATAATAATATTTGAATTAAAAATCATTGTCAATTATTCAGGTGGAAATTTACTCTGGTCCAGCTCTCTCGAAAGAACTCACTTTTGGTCCAACCCCAGCAAAATCTCTGCGAACGGAATATAGCAGATTAGCCGTGACGATAGAACTTGTTTCCGACGTGTTGGGCGCTGTTGATCACATCAACACGTACGGATCTTCACACACTGATGTCATTATTACGGAAAATGGTGAGTTATGAATGATATCAAATTTAAGGTCAATTATGTAAATACGTCCACATTCCAGGACAATGATGAGACGACGACAATTGTTATTGCAAATCGTCATCATTGCAAAACATATATTTTACCATGCAATTCTATGAATCACCACTTTTGCAATGCAATTTTCCTAGTACAAGATTTGCCCATTGTTGGGATTACGATCTCATAAATTAGGATTAAAATATTGCCTTGCGTAACAATCACGTTACATTTCCTCACAAGTAACTCTTACCATTCTCACCCTTAACATTGTCTTCTTTCTTTTAAGAAAAATCTGCCCGACAATTCTTAAAACGTGTCGACTCTTCTTGCGTGTTTCACAACGCATCGTCCCGATTCGCCGACGGGTACCGGTTCGGACTCGGGGCTGAGGTGGGCATCAGCACGGGTCGGATCCACGCCCGAGGTCCGGTCGGCGTTGAGGGACTGCTCACCACGAAATGGATCCTTCACGGTCATGGCGACGCTTCCACGGACTTTGGACCTGGACAAAAGCAGTACGAACACATCTCCCTCCCGCTCGACGAGATCAAGGACGAGATCAAAGAGGACTCGTTTAAACAAGAGGTCCACATTGGAAATTAGATAAGAAATTAAAAAAATATGTGTATGTTTATGTATAAAAATCGTGTAACTAATTAATCACCACTGCGTCAAGTGGCATGTGTCAAATAAATAAATATTTACAAAAAACTCTCAGTACCGTTATATTGCTTATGATATTTTTTGTGCTAATATTCACAGTTTCATGTGCAACTTCTTACATCACTGTTCTCCAGGCCATTTTTTTCTACAGAAATATTTTTATGGTGCCTACTCACATTTCTTGGTTGCTCGTCTCCTACTAATTATTAGCGAGTATGTAAACTATAAGGAACGCTCATCCGTAATTGACCAGTTCTCCTCGAGACAACACTGACATTGACATTAGCATGGCTTGCTCTTATCTCCTGATTTTTCGCCATGTGCGTGAAGTGGTTCTGCTTGGGCTCTCTGGGTGAAGGCGAAGGTGACAACGTCCAAGACGACGACGACTAGCAACTAATCAATGGCGATCAGGAATAATAATTAGCATGCATTCCAGTGCACAGGAACAGTTATGTTTATGTACATAGATAAATACGTAGGTAGACATAATATCTACATACATACATGGATTATTATTTAGTCGAAGGAAACAATATTACCGGAGACACTCAGCATCGCGTGTCATGATACATTTAGTTTTTTATAAGCTTTGTACAAAAGTATAATAAAACGCAATTTGGTGGACAGGAAATTCCGATGGATTTATGACGTTTGACAATTTTGGACAATAGCAATAAAAAGAGTGCTGCATTTGCAAATACATGGCTTCAAACAAAGTATTCATATGTACGAACGGATATTATTATTCCTGTTAATGGCACAAAATGCATTTTCCTTTTTAATGTTGATCATATGCTTAATTTTGGCAATGCATGGCTACAAAATTGAAGAATTGTTTGCACATGATTTCAAATAAATTAATCAAATGGACGAATTAATCAATGCATAAATGACCTTTGTATGCATGTACTTTGCCCCATTGTGACAGACTCAAGAAAGGAAATGGGTAGGTAAATATGCAGTTTAATTATTGACTCAGAAATATATGGGGTCACATAAAATATTCTGGAAGGTGGATACATACGCGTGTTCAATGGCACGTACTTACAAGCATATGCGCAAATAATTTCATTGTTTCCGATTAAACAAAGAGCAAAAAATTGCACATTTTTAAGAACTGAAATAACCAACCACTAAATATTTGCATCGTTGCGTTACATAATTTTATGAAATTAGAGCTTGACATTTTTGCAGAATGAGTCAATCCTAAATTTACATAAATACGAGCAGCTAAATTGGAACAGGAGGAGAACGAAAGTGAAATTCGGACTTGAGGATGACACTTTTGAAATTTAAAATAATTTCTTTCATCACTAATAAACTTTCTTCCTCATGTGTATGTATGCATCCAATTAACTTGGATCAATTTTTATATCTATTCAATCCAACGATTTTGCTGTGTCATTCTACAACTTTAGAATTCAAATCTAAATCCCAATTAACATTGTGAAGCAAAGTATTTAAGTTTCATCTTCTTCCTCGCAGCAGCAGTGTCACTTGAATAGAGAAGCTCAACTAAACCTCTGAGATTGACACATTCAACCAAATTTCTAATCTAATCCTATTATATGAATATTTAAGGGGGATGGATACATAATTGTTGTACCTGTGCAACTCCCAGCACAAATATTTGGCAGGAGTATTATTATTAAATATTTAAGCTTGAATTAATTTTTTTCTTCAATTATTCCTTAATTAAAGAATTTTTGACTAATTTTTGCCTAAATTAATGGTCCAGTTATCTAGACATGTACATATTTAACTAATTTTGACACGTTTTTATTTATTCCATGTTGTCGTCCTTTCATAAAAATAATCATATATTTGTACACATATGACGATCGGATGATTCAATGACACTCCCTTCACCTTATTCTTGATCAAGGTACCCACCCAGGCTGGCAGATATGTATGTAAATATGCGAATTATGTAGTTAGTGAATGACATTCAGTGAATGTCAAGATTACAATTCATGAACTTTAATAGTTAATCAAGTGTCGTTTTGTGTCCCATTTGGACATTATACACACGTGCATACATACATAATTTTCAGGTTATACAAAATAATTCCCCCCTCCTCCCCCCCCAAAAAAGTACAGATTTTCTCATCAAAATCTGGAAAGTATAATAAGATTGAATGCATACGGAAATGTACTGTCTTCGAAAATTAGGCGTTTCCGTCGTAAAATTTAACTGTAAACAAATGCATACTTTTCCTAACCTGCTTATTATTACAATGTTGGAATGTATATGTACTTATGCAAATTTAAATACCAAATCAGTGAGAAATTAACCTACTACTCTTTGCATGCATCTAAATTGCTATGCAATGCAAATTATGCAGATGTAGGACTGACCAGAAAGACAGATTTTTGTAGTGTCTGCAAATAATATTTGGTCCAATACAAAATCCGTGCTTTTCTTTCTTTCTGATAACTTTTAACTTTAACTCGACATGACAAAAATTTGTTGTCTTTAAACACAATATTTTAGATACAGTTAAGACTTATTTTTCAGAATTGTAAAGCATAACAAAAACAAAGAGGAAATATTTTATTATTTTTACAATGAATTGAACAACAACAACATCAGTGTAAAAGAAAAAAATGTGAATTAAGTGTTTCATTGTTATACGTACAGAAAATGTGAGAGGACACCTTGACAAATTTGGAACTAAATAAATATGTTCGTGCAGACGAGTTGTGATTGCAGTGGTGGAAAAAAATTTGTAATCCGAGAATAATTTTTTAAAAATAATTTTCAAAATTTTGGAAAATAATACGTTTCTAGTGTTCCAAACATTAATTATCATCATCATTATCACGATTTTGCTCGGGAATGACAGAGCTGACGATTGAATCCAGTCCTGGGAGTAGTAGTAGCAGGTGAGTAATGAATGAATACAAAAATTAGTAAATTAAGTCATAATAATCATCACAATCAAGGTTGTTATCTGTGAATTCATATCTTGGATAAAAAAAATCTGGAGGTAATTTGCTACCATGTACAAAATTGCGTCAATAATATTCAGTATGAATGAACAAGCAAAGTGACTTATGTGTTACGTAACGCAGCTTAAATAAATTTAATTTAGCAGCATCAGGAACTGAATTAAGTAATGGATTGAATAATAATAAATAATAATACTGAAGAATAAACAGGTTTGTTTGGAGGAGTTTCGTCGTAGCAGAATATTTTTCTTGGATAAAATGAAGAATTGTGATTACGGTAAAGATGCAAGGACGCAGACTCTCACGGTCATTAACTCGCATATGATCTTTTGTACGTACTTTATCTATGTGTGTATGTAAAGTGACAGCAAATCTTGTCCAATTCTTGTGAGGCATGACGAGAAAGAGTTCTGTTCAATTGAACTATTTAAGGTTCCAATCCAAGGAAATTAGCACGCGTTTTGTATTTATTTTTACTGTGGAGACTTTCAGGCGTCGAATTGTAAAAGTCATGCCGTTTAATCGTATCGTGCAGGAATAATGGTTGAACTATGAATTAACCATTATTTATCATTGTTATCATTATGCGTAAGGTTTGTTTAAATGTGTTGTCGGCAGTGTTATCAGGCATTCGAGTTTTGATAAGTCATTTTATGAATATTTCCGTTGTATATTTTTTCATAATTTTTTAACCAAAAATACATGCACGTTTGTTGCATGCATTTAATTGCTGACTTGATTTTGATGCGCTACGTACGTCCGTACAAATCAGGACGACGGAATTATATTGATTGCAGAATAATGCAGTGGCCCAGTTAGATTGGAATTAATATAATTCATGAGAGATGTCCAATTTATACGTGAATTTGGTTTTGTGCGGTAATAAAAGAGAAGAATACTCAAGGGTCCATTTCCACTTCCTGTATATACACGACTCCATTTTACAAACAATTAAGAAAGTAGAGTACACAAAATAAATACAATTGTTTGTTTGACATCGTGCGATTTATTAGTGTAATTGTACGTAAATGATAATGACGCTAATTCCGTAAAGAAGGAACAATCAATACAAACACGGCGGGGGTACAATTACTTAAAGAACAAGTCGTTACAGAGATGTCCAGGTGGATGTGATGGAAAAGGGGTTCATGGATTCGTGAATGTGTAGATTCGTGATCATAGCAAGTCATCAAGCGAATTAGTAAAGTGACTCCATTTCCGGAAGGTGCATTTACATATTATATCATCTCGCAACAATTATGGAAGGAAACAGGTTAGATAATGATGCGAGCTATTATATAGTCGTGTCCTGTGACACAATACTCACTGCTTTGTCGTGGTGGTGGTGGTGGTACTTCTAGCGTCGGTAGTAGCACTCCAACAACTTAGGGGTGCTGCTGACTGACTGACTGATGAGAATAATGGAGCGCCTTGAAAGATGTCAAGGATGTTTTGCCATCCACTTCCCAGTCACCTCCGCCACGATGATAATAGCGCGAGTGTGTTGTGTTATGATAACATGCCGTCTGGCAAGTGGGCGAGGATGCAGGTGTAAAAATACGACGGTGCTCTGTTCTATTATGCAATGATCCAATTGATTCTCTGAGGGATTCAGATGAATGAAGCCAGCAAAAGCCGTGACATTTATTCCTGTGCGAATAAATTGGTAGTGTTGGTGGTAGTGGTGATGATGATGATGGATCGGAGCCCATGGTCAGTTTGACTCCTCCAATGACTTCCTTCTGGCCTTAGACGCACAGATCGGTCGGTCAGTTTCCTTTTCCTCCTCCAAGAAGAGACTGATATTGTTGCACTATCTTCGTCGTAGGCAGGAACGGTACCTCCACAGGTGAAAAAGTTGTCCACCTTGCGCTTCCCTAGTATCAAAAAGTATACTAAAACCACCACTTCCACTATCTTGTAAACCACACCAACATCTCTTCTCTCTCTGACCTTTTCTCCCGAAGCGAGCAGCAAGCAGTGAGGTTTTTTTTTCTTGGTATAATTATCAACAAGAGTGGTCGTCGTCGCCGTGTGAAAAACCGTTCCTAAACGGTCCACCCTACCAAGAAATGGTCGACGTAAGCACGGAATCCTGCACTAACACGTCTTTATATTACTTAAGAGATGACAACGAGTGGTCAAATCTCAGTCCTCGCATGGAAGTCATCCGTCATTAACGACAACGAGCCAAGTGGAAGTAGTAGTCGAGTAGCTCCTTTATCGCTATTCAACGACGGCAAAGTGATAGCATTTCACTCTAGAATTAAAATAGTGAATAGTGAATTTTTAACTTATTGATTTTTTTGAATGGTTTCGTGCAATATTTGAGTCGTCATATTTATTAGTGAAGTAAAACATAGTGGTTGGACTTGGTCGTTACATAAGTAAATAGGAGATAGTTTTACTTTTGGGACGTTGCTACCTCCAAAAACTTGGATACTACCTGTTTGAATTTCATTCGGCTTCAGCACACAGGTAAATTTGATTTAGAAACGGCCCTCTGTAGGAACTTCTGTACATATAAGGACGGATATTTAGTACATATTTAATTCCTACAGAAAAAAAAAACATTTAAGAACTACTCACAAAAGTTGAGTAATTAGATAAATACCTAAATTTTTCCGACAAACTTGACTTTCATCAGTGATAGTCATACATATGTAACTGATATTGCGCGACGTAATAATAATAATAATCATCATCATAATGATAAGTCGTCTTGAACTTAATCCGAATGAGATGTGTCATACAAATTGGTCAATTTGAACGCCTTCGTTTACGATGACACCTCTCAGCCACATGGGTCTGCAGTCCATTTACGTTCAACTGCCATCACCACAGCCGAATTAGAGATACTACACACACATTATTGCAATGGACTGTTTGTTGTCCATTGTTCACTCGTGGTGATCTTTTGTTGTCAATTTCTTCACCACTATTATAACCACACACACACACATTTAATGTTATTTGATGCCTATTAAGTGTGTATGCACATTCATTCGCTAAGTCCTCCTTGGTTATCCTATGGGCGTCGTGAATGACAAAACCTCGACAGTCACCTGAAGATCTTCTCAGTGGAGAGTTGTTACAATCGGCCGGCATCGTCATTATTATTGGAATTATTATAGCAACATTTGTGTCTCTGTGTCGCACCTGCGTCTCAATTTGCCTCCGTTTTTATAACTGAATTGTGTCCCATATTTTGTGTGCTTTACTTAATTGTCATGTTCCATAATTTTGTCACGAAGAAAAAACGCGACTCAGCCCAACTTTTATGTATTTCTCGCTGAACAATCTATTTAATTGATCATGACCACACTAAAGTTAAATCTTAATCAAAAGCAGACCAACGTATCGAAGCATAATTATCACTACCGGTCCTCCTCCTCCGTCCTTCCCATGCCGGTGGATGAGTCGGTTTACTTGAAATCGTTACAATACATGTATTTAGTTGATTTTGGACAAAAATATAAAATTTTCTTTGATTTTTTTCATAAAAAAACTAACTCTGCTCTCTTCCAAATTTTCAGCTACGTCAACAACAATCTCGGCGAAGGAGAGGATCATCACCCAGACTCGTCTCGTGTCATTTATCGCAGTGGTGGTGGTGCTGGTGGAGGTGGGGTTATCGACAAGAACACAATTATAATGTCACCCCCACTCGCCAACGCGGAGGCGAAGCCGTCCAACACGGTGATGGAGCCTCCGAGGCGGATCGCCATCTCGGTGCAGGGGGCATGGAAGCAGTACGGGAGCGGGAAGGGGTTAAAGGTCACGCCCGTCCTGCAAGGGCTCAACATGACCGTTCGAGAGGGAACGATGTAAGTCATGTTTTATGCGGATTTTTCTGAACGCACCCACAATCATTCATCAAGCAAGATTGTAATCGACGACGACATGAATGTTGTGTCGTGCATAATCAAATGCTGAGTTCAGTCACTAATATATTCAGACAAGGTTGTTTAATATTCTGTTCACTTATTATGTCTTGTTTCTCACTGACTGAACTGAGGAGTGAGTAGGTGAATGATGTTACAATTCACTGTCCATGGAAAGTGCTAAAAATAAATGTATATATGTATTACCACCGTCCGTTTAGTGAGTTAGTGAGTGAGCTATCTATGCAAGGTGTGCGTATTGGGAGGAAAATCAAAGACATTGACGACCAACTAACCAATTTCAACAATACTTTCACTCTCTCGTTCTCTGGTGGTGGTTGTGTCGAGGAATGATAAACCGTCAACTTTTCAGGCCGATGTAGAATTAAGTTTTTTTATATTGTTGTCCCTTCCTCATGTAAAAAAAGTAATCAATATCAGCAGATTCGTCGAACCATTTTCTTTTTATTAATCAAAATATCGATCATGTCGTGAAGTGAAGAGAAGGGTTTGTTAGGGCAGCTTTACAAAATGTGCAAACTCATTAGAAACGTATGACATGAATCTGGGTCAAGAGTCAATGTTTGACCGTCACATGGTCGCACGGCAATGCGTACGTATAAGGCGGCCTTCATCCATTTACATGAAATCAGTTTAAATAGTTTGCTCTGTTTGCATTTTCCGGGATTACGAAATACGAAATGTGCAACTTTTTTAAACAAAGTGTGTCCATTTTAGTTAGTTGTGGTCGAATGCAATATGCAGTATGTTACAATAACACATGCAGTTGAGCATAATCGGATTAAAAAGCGAGATGAAGATGACCGTTGCAAAAAGTCAGTGTCACAATTGCATTTTACACAACGCTCAGACAGGATTATTTGATCATATATTTAGTCATCATGCAACACTGACTCGTATTTTTTCCTTGAATCTGTAGATACAGCCTTTTGGGTGCGAGTGGGTGTGGGAAGACGACCCTTCTTGCCTGCATCGTTGGAATGAGGCGACTTGATGGAGGAAATTGTTTCATTTTCGGGGCTCGTCCTGGTACCGTGGAGAGTGGAATTCCTGGAAAACGAGTTGGTTATATGCCACAGGTAATTCTTGAAAAACGAAATAATTATGAAAAAAACTGAAATTATTTCAAAATTATTACAATGTTAAGGAAATCGCGTTATACGGAGAATTTACTATTCGCGAAGCGATGGAGTATTTCGGGCGGATTTATGGCATGTCAAGGGACGAAGTGGAAAATAAAATGTCATTCTTAATGAAATTCTTGGACCTTCCCCCATCCCATCGACACATTGTTACTCTGAGGTATTGAAAAATTGTGAATTTGCCGTGGTCTCAATGTGCTAAGGTTTTTTTTCTCTCACAGCGGCGGACAGCAGAGGAGAGTATCCTTCGCCGTGGCATTGCTTCACGATCCGGAAATTTTGATCCTCGAGTACGTAAAAAAATAGTTTAAAAAAAGAAACTTATGTTTTTAATAGAAAAGTTTAATTTCAGTGAACCAACGGTCGGAGTGGACCCACTTTTGCGACAAAATATTTGGAATCACTTGAGCAGCTTGGTCTCCACTGGACGAACAACAGTCATTAGTAAGATGTGATACTTGATTTAAACATTTGTGATCATGTCCTTATTTCCTTGTGCTCTGTCTTCCAGTCACCACGCATTATATTGAAGAAGCCAAACAAGCCAACCGAATTGGACTGATGCGCAGTGGTCGCTTACTTGCAGAGGATTCCCCCCCAAATTTGCTCAAAGTACATCAGTGCCTCTCCCTGGAAGACGTATTTTTAAAACTGTGCATGAAGGACAAGTCCAACAACAACAACGCACTCGTCCCCATGCTCAATGTGGTGACAAACGTTAACAAAAATGCCGCCTCCCCCCAACCCCCAAACGAGATCAACCTCGTGTCCGTCTATAATGAGAAGAATCGCCAATTTCGTGGCGGTGAAAACAACGATGGCACCACCACCGTGGTCACAACGACGACTCCGGAGGAAAATGGAGGCATCGTTGGCCTCGCGTTTCACCAGTCAAACGAACAATTGGTGGGTGGGGATGCCGGTTCGGACGTGTCGAGCAATCCAGACACGGATTGTCGTGCGATCAAAGACGTTTCAGACGATTGTTCAGACTGCTTATCTCGCCCTTGGTCGTTCAACTTTCAAAACTCTTTAAATAGACTAACAGCTCTCACACTTAAGAATTTTATTTGTATGTGGCGAAATATCGGGTACGAGGGGGCGGACAAGTTTAATCATATTATTTTTACGAATGCGTACAGATTTTGTGTAAATATGACTTTTTTTCTGATTTCAGATTTATGCTATTTATTTTTTTACTCCCTGCCATTCAAGTAATTTTATTCTGTCTCGCCATCGGTCGAGAACCTCGAGACATAAGGGTCGGTGTAATTAATAATGAAATGTCTACCCTCGGACTTTGCGATGCACCGATGGGTTGTTCTACGGCGAATTTGAGTTGTCGCTACCTCAAATTTTTGCCGAAGGATTCACTACATTTGGTGAGATTCGATTAGAGTTTGATTAATTCCAAGTAGTAGTTTTTATGCTGGACAATAATTTGCACTGCTGTTTCGTCTGACTGATATTAGACATTTTACGAGAATGAGACGGCAGCCATCAGTGAGATTGAGAAGGGAAACATGTGGGGCTACATTTCCTTCCCGTCCAACTTCTCGGAGGCCATGATTGAAAGAGGAATCTCTGGAAATCTTGCGGACAACGAGACCCTTCATGCGTCTCGGATCAAGATCAAAATGGACATGTCCAGTAACTTGACGATAGAAAATAATTCAAGAAATTAATAAAAAATACTTAAATCTTATCTTAATAATTTTTACCGTGTATATAGATCAACAAATTGCGTTCAGTCTTCAGCGAATTTTCTTGGAAACTTTCCAATCGTTCTCGAAAAGGTTGTTGTCCGATTGTGATTATGATCCGGCATCAGGAGATCTGCCACTTCAGGTTCTGTATCGATTACTTATTACACACATTTTTAGGCGTAATTTATTTATATTAAATTTGTTTTCTAATTTTTCAAAATAGTTCGAAGAACCCGTGTATGGACATGATCATCCAAGTTTTATGGAGTTCTTAGCCCCAGGAATTGTGTTGAGGTGGGTATTGTGAAAAAGTGATAATTTACTTTTCGTCTAAAATTACTCTAATTAATTGTTTCACACATGCAGCATCATCTTTTTCATGTCTGTGGCCTCCACGGGATCGGCTTTCATCACTGAGAAGAAGGAAGGTATGATGGATCGATCGTTGGTGGCTGGGGTTACGACTGGAGAAGTGATCACTGCACATATGATAACCCACTACGTCGTCATGGTGGGTCAGACCGCGTTGGTTTTCGTCTTTATGATGATCGTCTTCGAAGTACCGGTTCGAGGACCGCTCGTTTGGGCAATTGCAATCACACTTCTTCAAGGAACTTGTGGAATGGCTTTCGGTAATTGACAGGCTTTAACGTTAGTTAAGGTCATAATTAATTTGCTATGTGGTTTCTCCTACAGGTTTCCTCATCTCTGTAATCTGCACAGAAGAAAGGAACGCCATTCAAATGGCTCTGGGCAGTTTTTACCCAAATCTTCTCCTCTCAGGTGACCTTTTTGGCAGAAATTAAAATTTATGTCTGAACTTGAACAAGTATTTACTGAGCCTTTCTCATATACAAGGTGTCGTCTGGCCTATCGAAAGTATGCCCAAGATGCTCCGTGACATGGCATATATCATGCCGGAAACACTAGCTTGTGAAAGTATGCGATCAATTTTGTCACGTGGTTGGGGAATTACGCACCCGGCCGTGTGGCCCGGATTTGTCGCCTCCATCGTGTGGAGTATTATCTTTTGGATTCTCGCCGTCCTCACGGCGCGTCTCTACCGGTCCAAGTAATCAATGTGGTGGAATAATTATAAGTAATAATAGTTATAATACATCGCGTACTTTTTTAATTTTATTACAAACATGCGTCTCTGAAATTTAAACAATTTCTTTTTTATACAAATGTGATGTGACAGCTATATGTAAGCTAGCTTGTAAATAACTTTTTTCTTTCTCCGGTGAAATAAATACGTAGAATCGTGAAAATTGATAGTAATTGTTGTTAATATTTAGATACGTATTCGAATGAAGAAGAGCGAATCTATAGAAAACTGGTGATGATCGTTCGTGACTTTGATTTCTGTCGACATTTTATAGCCCTTTCCTTGGACTAAAGATGTGAATGCGCGTTGTACGACAGCTCAGTCATACGTATTTAGAATTATCTTGCATGTCCCTTTACGCTGGAGTTGGCGACCCCTTTTGTTTTCCTTCCATTGAGAATTTTCAATTGAGGCGATATTTGTAAGGTGGCCGTCGGGATATCCTAGCTTGCTACGAACTACTAATCGCGGCAAGACAATTCTCGTCCTTCTTCGACATTTGGTTCACTTTTAAAAAATTCGAAATGAAGCGACAATTCTCCGAGTTTGGAAGCACGAAAGATGTCTGGAATCCACTCTATTATGAATGGCGTGTTGTCTTTGGAAGTAGGGAAATGTTTTCCTGGAATAAAATGGCACAAACATTAATAACTGTCTTACAAACTGCAATTATTCAGAGTAATACTATTAATGACCAAGAACTATTTACCGCATTTTAATTGAGTGCAATGTAGTACAGGTAGAACTTTTCTTTGACGGGGACTTTTATCGTTCTCAACCTTGGGTGGCAACCATTCAACAAAATTACCGTTGCTTGACTTTAGGAAATATTGCTTTGCTTTTAACGGAATCTGAAAATATGAAAGAAAAGTTGTAGTTATAAGCACAAACCAGAAATATAATATGCATACATTTTAAATTGCTCACCATTGAGGATTCAAATATACTCATGAGATGGAGAATGTTTGTAATTTTCCAGACATTCTTTGTAAATGAGCCGACTGGTGGTTTATCGAGACGCTGGAAGACAAATGTATGATTTGGAAGACGTTTCTTTTTTCCACCCACTAATTGAGCTAGAGAGGTCAGTCTTTCTTTTAAATACTCAAAGTGTGCCTGCAAGAAGAGACATATACATAAAAGGATGACACATTATAAAATACTTTTTTGCGAACTACTAGCATTATAACTTACACCAGAAATGTAGTAAACATGGGGATCTGGTTGTGTTGAGAGCTGATAATTCATTGTTGCATTAATTCTATCGTTAACACCGGCCAGCCAAATTTCAAATGTTTGGAAATGTCTAATCTTGTCGTCCTCTGTGGACAACAGTTCTTTAATTGGAGGTGATGTAGGTGGACTTTGACTTGTATGCCTACTGTTATTAGGACTACTTGTGACGGGCGATAGGCGATTAGCCTGGTCATTAATTCGACACAATTTTCGTTTCTTGGCAGGCATTTGACTATCCATATAATTTTCAGTGTCAGTGCAATTCAGTTCTTGTGGAGGAGGAATAATGGGTCGTTGTTCTTCAAATATTTGTTGCGTTGTTGGTATGTCAGGAAGTTGTTGTTGCGTTTGTGATGGATAAGTTAAGTGTATGGTGCCTTGTTGGTTGGAAAAAATGTGACACACCTGTCAAATAAAGAATTAATTAACATAAGTTAATGATTCACGGTGATTTTGTATACAAACCTGATGATCACCGTCCAAGCTGTCCAGCACGGTGCTATCTTCAAATGCTAAGGCATCTTCGACATTATCAATATTTGGATCTGCCAAAACAGCTTCTAATGTTTGGACCTAATTTTACATAATATTGCATAATAAATTTACAACCCGTCTCTAAAAATATATAATTTATTCTATAAGCGAAAAAAAACTTTACGTTTGACAGCGAATTATCGTCCGGAGCGGATATGCTCATCTCCAGTAGGGATAAATTGTCGCGCATAATTTCTACAGATAGCTGCGTATCCAGTTCGACCGGTTTACCGTCACTAGTAACGAATTGAAGTTGACTTAATAATGGAGCTGTAAAAAAATGTTTAAAAAATCATTGCACAGATCAAACAAACGTATATTAATTTGCTTCGAATAATGTGTTACATGGTGCTTCTTGGTTTGAGGGAGGTACTATTTGTTCAAATTCCTTCATTAATGCTTCATCGCTGGCAAAAGCGCAGGCGCAAATATAAAAATGTAGGCACATCATGTAAAGTGGGTCTGAAGAAGATTGATTATCATCTCGATTCTATCAAATACATTAAAAATGAACAGTTATATATAAGTATAATTTGTCCATATGTCTGAGAGTTGTTCTATATACATACATATTTACACATGAGTGAATGATATACCTTCATGGCAGAACAAGAACAATAGAATATCCTCTCAATGGTCGTTTCGTTTTTGGAAGGTTTACTAAATATTGAATGAACAATTTCCAATCTGCTCTTAATATCCCCTTCAGAATCATCACAGTAATCCGTGACTACGACAAAGGCTGCCTTTGAGACCCGTTGCACAGATAATCGTCCAGATTGCAGACTACAAGTAATTGTCTGAATCGGAAACGAAAGTATGGTTTATTTTTAAGTGACATATTTTCATATTAATCCGATATAACTTACGTTTAAATGACGAGGTGGAATACTGATCGTGGAAAAAACGGATTGTTTAAGTTGAAGGAGTTCAGATTCTGCAGTGCAGAATCGGGCTGCATTAATGTGGGTGCACTGTAAACAGCCAAAAAATTAATATCAACATTTCTTCACAAGACAAGCACACACTTATTTTTTTCATACAAGTAACTTACCGGGTTATCCTCATCCTTCGAAGAGCAACTTTCCTGCATGCATCTGTACTGGTGTCCAGGACTTCCGCTAGACAAACTGTCATTGCTATCCCCCTCATTCCACAGCAATTGGACAAAATTTCGGTGATCCTTGCCCCCAACGCCGCGATCTTTGCACAGCACAGAGTAATAAATCTGCAAGGTCATGAAAACAATAATAATAATAAATCAACCCCTGTTATACAACACCTTATACTATTTCTTACGTCATTATATCCCGTGAGCCCTAACACTTTCACGGCCTCAAGGGTGGCCTCCTTTCGACGTCCCTTTCCCCGAAAGACGACATCACACTCTTTGTTCTTGCACTTGGAACCCCTCGTCCCGTTGACGGTACCACATTTGGGACATTTCCGAATTCCACGAAGCGTAGGACGTCCCAAATCTGCAAAGAGAGACTTCATCCTATCCTCAGACGACATGGAAGAGGAAGGATCACTGCAGATTGGCAAATCTGAAATTACAACCAATTATTTATATTTCAATTCATTATTGGCAAGAAAAATGCTCTAACAGCAAAAGACAACTTTTGAGCAAACAAACCTGGAATTTCCTGTGATAACTTACTTATCACTGATAACTACCTCCAATTCCAATACATTTTGTTGACCCTGCAAAAATTTGACCTGTCTTTGAGGAGTAGTAGAGTAGTTTCTCCTATGTTTTTGTCACGTATAAAAGTTGGTAAATATTTCTCAAACTCGCAGCGCTCAGGGCAAGTTGAGCAAAAAAATGAGCAAGTTGAGACCAAGCAAGAGCAAATGTTCCACTTTGAAAAAGTGTCAAGTTAATATTAATTTCTTTCACTTGGCAATTAATTAATTAATTATTAATTTTTACTCAAATTGCAATAACGTAACGTCCGTAAAAAACTTGGGAGAAGATGGACAAAGAAGCTCAAGATAATTTAGTGAGGCCGGAAGAGACTAATGATGACGAGGGCGATGACGGCGAGCAGTACGTGATGTACAAGGACCGGGCGGAATGGGCCGACCTGACCCCAGTCCCCCAGATTGAGGGGGATGAGCCCGTAGTGCAAATAGAGTACTCGGCTAAATGTGAGTAGAGTTAATTATTATGGTTACTTAATCGTACTTACTTTCTAAATGAAGTTTGATTAAATTAATAATTTGGGATGGGTTTGATTTTTTTTAGTTAAAGATGTTTACGACTACTTCCGAGGGGCGGTGGAAGCGGGGGAGAAAACGGAGAGAGTGTTAACTTTAACTTCGGATGCAATTATGCTTAATGCGGCAAATTATACGGTTTGGCAGTACAGGTAATGATGTACATATGCTAAACTTTTAATTAGTAGCATGATGACTAATTATGACTTATCAACTAACAGGAGAGATGTACTAGAAGCGCTCGGGATTCCTTCCGTCATCACCAAGGATGGTTTAAATAAAGAATTTGAGAAAGAATACGAGTTCAGCAGGCAGATGATTGAAGAGAATCAAAAGAACTATCAAGTATGGCATCATAGGAAAAGTTTGGTGGCATGGGCGGCCGAATATGATGACGACTCGGAAGAAATTTCATTAACTGATGTGGAATTATGTACAAAGTTGGCCAGATTAGAATTAGTCCTCACGGAGAAGATTTTAGAGACAGACGCTAAAAACTACCATGCTTGGCAACATCGTCAATGGGTATTGAGGACGTTCAAGTATGTGTTTTAAAAATTTAGGTGGGTTTCTAATTTGAAACTTAATTATGCTTCAATGGTTTGCGATTTTACAGAATATTCGACGCCGAACTGGACTTTGTTACAAATTTAATCTATGAAGATGTTCGAAACAATTCTGCCTGGAATCAGCGATTTTTTGTGTTATCTAACATTCCAAACCTTAAGCAGGAATGTCTGGAAATGGATATGGCTTTTACTTGGACACAAATCGAATTAGCCATGTCCAATGAAAGCCCTTGGAATTATATGAAAGGGTATGTACATACCGAATGAGATTTGTCAATTATGTACGTCAAATGACAAATCAAGAGTTATAAAATAATGATAAATTTCCTTGGAAAGTTTATTGCTGCTCTTCAAAAGACTAATGGACGAATCCGCCCTCAAAACCATAAAAACTACCATTTTAAACACCTGTTTAAACTATTATAAAAATGGAAGTACAAGTGTTCCTTTAATGGGTTTCATCACGGAATTGGTTTTAGACACCGTTGATCCTAAATCTGATGAGTTGTACGTCCAAACCTTGGAAGTATGTTGCTATTCGTAGTTGTTATGTATATTTGTGTGGTGCATATTATACATAAAATATGTATAATTTGTATATATTTATTTTACAGATCTGTGATATACTAATAGAGAAGGACATGATTCGTCGACATTTTTGGGACCATATTAAAAAGCAAGTAACAACTGCCCAACTTAAAGCTAAATGATGGAAAACAAGGAGTCAAAAAGCATTACCAGTTCTTCTAAATTATTTTTACTCTTTGCTATTATTTTTTTTTCTTATAGATATATATTACATCCTTTATTGCGGTTCTCTAAATTCATTGTCACAATACGAAAGCTTTATCATATCAATAAATGTACAGTTTTTCTTCGCATGGCAATATATTTAACTTGATGTAATGATCATTCTACGTAAATGCCATCATCTCACCCTTGCCTTGTCTGGAATTGATGATGATTGTAATCCTGTCCAGCATTTTTATTACTCTCTCGTCTCGTCTCAGATTACAATTTTAATTTACAATGCTTACTAATATCCTGTTTCTACAGAATAGGATGGAAAAGTGAGACATTACAGAATCGCAAGAGCATTGATTTTCGCATTCTTATCGATGTTATCCCTTTTCTCATATTACACATTTTCATATGACGCGACCATGAATATACAAGCTACGGATCCGACCGACCCGTGGCACAATCAGATTATGGTCACTCTCGTAAAAACCCTGCACTCTGGATGGTGCGTACTTGATGAAGGGCACTGCTTGTTGACAGAAGGCATCGCATTTTATAGCCGTACAAATAAAAACATTGAGACAACCAAATGCTATATGCTCCCTTTTTCTTTGTTTCTTTCTGCTCAATGAAACACGACGTTCGTTTATACCCTTCATTTTACAACGTTATTCTTAATTCTTCCTTCCTTCCTGTAAATGTGAAGATGATGATGACGACGATGATGATGATGATGGGCGCATTGTATTGTATCCTATTTATGCCATTCTTTTATATTTTCTTGCCTGGTTCCTCTCACCCTCTCGACAACAGTTCTTCAACACAAGTGATACAACTTGTATCCAAAGTGTACACAAGCCAATCGACGAGTTACGAAGTCGAACTATAAAAAATCAAATGCACTCATTCTCCTATGTATGAGTTGCCTTGATTGAAGTAATGCATTGTCACAAGCTAAATATTAAGTTGTAATTAAATTCAGCGGAATTATATTAGGAATTAAAGTATAGAAAATCGATAATAAAGTCTGTGTATGAGTGAAAGAGTTCGATACGACTCGTCTCAATTTCAATTTCTTCTCATCATTTCGCTTCATTTTATACAGAGCACAGTTATATTTGACAAAATTATTCGGAAATTGGAATATTTTCCTTGGATAATTGAGGTCTAAAGTTTCGAATGACTTCTGAACAAGTGTTGAACACCTGTTGCAGACTTACTTTAATTACTACGCGTGACTGGTTTGGTTGAAGTACTTTAAGGTTATCCAAAGAGATTTTGGTGAGATTTTAATTATCTTAACCAAGTTGTTGTTCATATTTGTACTTAAATCTTGTGTAACAGGGGCGGGTGTGGTGTGGATGCAGACAAAATATAATGGAGCGATGCGGATCACCAACGCCGTGGGGTTTGGAAGAAGAACTTCACGAATTGCCAGCTTGTCACAAAAGTTATCATGCCAGTTTACTACATCGATTTCAGCAAGTTAACCAACACTGCGACCTGTCCATCAGAGAACCCGTTACGTTCAACAGTGTCAATAAAATTCGGTACTTTATAAAATTATAATAATAATCCTACATGGTTGGGGTTTGACATGGGTTTGATTTTTTTAATGACAGGTTCGGGGGTCAAGACGTGCTGGACTATGTGGTGTGTTATGCCACAAGGGGAAATCCGGTCGAGAACGTGCCAGATCATTGGCATTATGTGTCATTCGGGCTGTCCGACATTCATGGCCATGACGCCATGCAGGACAACCCACTGCCAGTGACGTCAGGCTCACGTGTGTCTGGGCTAGGTTTCGAACTTACATTTCGACTAGAAGCAAAGTTAGAAGCTGTCGGAGACCCTCCAGCGTGGCCGGTTGACTTGTTGCAGAAATTGGCCAGATATATACATGTAACGCCGGACTGTATAATAGTTCCTGGGGATCATATCACTTGGCATGCCCCCCTTCACGGCAACCTTGACGTTGATTGTGAAATAAATCACATGTTGGTTGCTCAAGATGTGTCAATTCCAAAATTGGAAACCCCAACTGGATGCGTCGCATTTCATCAAGTCGTAGGCGTCACCTATTCAGAAGTTCAATTGGCACAGCGATGGAATGCGACCTCTTTGATGAATCTATTCAGGGAGCAGGACGAGTACGTACAAACTATTTAAAACGTTTTAAATCTAAACTAATTTTGAAAAACCGTAACGAACCATTTGTAACTAATGACCAACTTTGACGAATAATTTCAGTCTCGGAGGCTCAGCCCTGGTGACAGATATTTTCAGGAAGAAAGCCATACTAGAGTTGCATCCAAATCTGGAAGGGTCGATAACATTTGGAATACAGAAAGACGGATCGGACTTAAATGGCGTAGGAGGAAGGGCTTTATGGACACAAAACGCTAGATTTTATTGCCACGAGTCTCACTGGTGGGCGTTAAGGTGGGATAGTTGGGTTTTTAATATACTTCATAATATTCCCTTAATTGCGTTATATAATCTTAAAAAATTTATGGACAGCGAGTTTGAACGGAGACAGTACATTTTGTTCGAAAGCAGTTCTCCGTCCTCCATCACGACGTCGAAACATCAGAAGGAGCATATGAGGAAATCTTTGACGCAAAATGACATTGAACAAATTTCAAACCTTCTGGAAAACGCTAGATTAGTAGAGGACGAGAAAAACGATGACACGAATCAGCACGACCTTCCACCTCAGATTAAAGAACGGATCATATTTCCAAATAAAGTGCATTTAACGATGAGTCCGGAGACAGGAAGATTGTTGCCCCTTGCTCTCAGGTATAAAAAATAGTAACAAATTTTGCCAAGAACGAGCGATGTTTTTACAAATTTCTTCACCAGATCCACAGAAATTAAAAAAAACTTTGTCTTTGTAATATGTAGGGGGAGGGTTGACCACAATCGACATTTCACTATAAAAGACACCACCATGGAGGATGTCATCACATTCGTCCCCAACGGTATGTCGGGTTCATTTACAACCGATAGCTGCCCATTTGCTGCTTGTGGACCTTGGCTACATATTCAGTTAGATGAAGTTGCTCGCAAAAATATTTCTGAAGACGTTGAATTTTTGTTTTCTTCCGAAGCAGTCAATGTAAGTTTAATTCGTAGTAATTAATTAAAAAAGTAAAAGTACTATATTAAACCATTATTTTAAAATAACAGCCTGAATTTCCAAAATTCCTCGCTTGGCCGGAAGCCAACCTGGCTTTGACAATTCTCGACATCAGAGACTGATCACACGCTTCGAAATCGACTTCAAATCAGAGTACCACCAACGAACTTTTCTCATTCTTTTATAATTTTTATATAAGCTGCATTTTTACCCGCAGTGTAAATATAATATATTTTAAGTAAACCTCGCATAGTTTTATTCAATAGCGGTATGCTTTTATGTAGTAAATATTAATATGTGTAAACCACCAATCAAAGAATAAAGTCACAATACTTCCGATCATGTCATTCGTTATTATTACATAACTCTCTATGCAAATGCATAATGAAATCCAAATCCTTTAGATGAAATTAAAACTTCTTACACACAATTGCATCAGAATTTTTAATCACAACACAATTATTTATTTATCTAAACAAATTGTTTACATGGTTCAGTAAATTGAACGTGAATAAAATATCCTTTAGATTTTTATTATTATTCTTATGCACTTGCCATCTGAGCTGGAGGAATTCCTCGTTTCGGTACATATTCCGTAGGCCTTGGTACCATTCTGCGATTCAATCAAAACGATCAGATAATAAAAATTCATTACAAACGCGTAAAAAAGTAATTAAACGCTTACGTAATGCAATCAATGATGGGACACACAGAAAGACACAAAGTGCATCCAGTGCATTCATCAGTGACCAGTGGAAAGTGAGAGTCCTTGCCGAATTCAATGGCTTGGTAGCCAGAGTCGTTGCAAGTCATATAACATTTACCACAGTTTATGCACATTTCCTAGAAAATAAGTAATGGTCTAGATTATAATCGAAGAGTAAGATAACTTGCAATATCTGCGATATTCATTTGTTAAATACATCATCAATGAGAGCCACAACTTGTTCCTTATTGTTCAGGTCCCCATACGTTCCAATTCTTGGGATGGCTTTGCCCACCATGTCGCAAATCCCAGAAATGGCAGAGCTTGGTTTCGAAACACTCCGCTTCTCTAAACCCTTCTCTAGCTGCTCAAGTGTCGTTTGTTCTTTGTCCTGAGCAATTAAGTGTTCTCGTTCCAAAAGATACTTTCCAAATGAAGGCAAATGCTACAATGTAACAAATCGTAAAAGATAGCATAAATACATAGTGTTACACCTTCCGTACTGCTGGATATTAGTAGTTTTACCTTATCAATGGCTGAATAACTGGTCAGGACTTTACCCTTTTGGTGTCTCGGTGTGGGTGGAGACTGCCCGTTCCAACCCTTTAAACCAACAGCGTCCAAGTAAAGTAGAGCCTTCAGCCCGGTGATGTAGTCATCAACGACGGTGAAGTCCTGGTTTTGAACGGCACTGCAAATCTAAACAATTACGTCAACACGGGTATAATTAAAAGTACAACAAAAGTAGTGCAATAGATAAATCGAGTTAAATTCCCTCGATACCTGCACAACAGACGCCCCACAATGTATAAATTGCAACGCCGTCTCTGCCGAGTCGATACCGCCCGTGGCCAGAATTGGGAATCCTGGCAGTGCCCTTGCAATATGAGACACAGCTCGAAGGGCCACGGGACGAATAGCATTTCCGGAAACACCTCCGTACGTGGTTCGTTTCTCGCTACCAACGCCTGGCCAGGGTTCTCCGCTAACGTTGAGACCCATCAGACCGGACAGCGTGTTTGTTGCGGTCACCCCGTCAGCATGACCTAAGACAATTTTTAAACTTATGCATTCTAAGATTAATTAGTGCAACATTAATTAGTTCACCTTCATGCGCGGCACGAGCAATATCCACAATGTTCGTAACGTTGGGAGTGAGCTTGGCAAAGAATGGAATCTTAATGGCTGCTCGAACCCAGCGGCAAATATTTCTCACGAGGTCGGGATCCTGACCGCAGGCGAGCCCCATCCCACGCTCACCCATCCCATGGGGACACGACAAGTTCAGCTCCAACGCATCAGCTCCCGAATTCTCAGCCATTTTTGCAAGTTCCGTCCAATCCTTGCAATTGTACGAGCACATTATGCTCGCGATAATGATCTAACGATTCAATTTGAGTCATTTAGAAAAAAGTTAAGACTAATTATGTACAGTTATAAAAATTAAAACCTTTTGGGGGAAATCAGCTTTCAACTCTTTCACACTTTGACACCAGTAAGCCGCAGTTTTTTCTGAGATTAACTCAATGTTGAGGAAAGCTCCTTGTCCAGGGCCGAAAACTTGACCGGAAGTAGTACCACGAACGATGCGTGGACTAACGTTTGTCACCAAGTCCTAGTAATAAATCCATAGCTATGAATTCATCAATTACTGACCATAAATATTACTATTTAAGTACTATTTCCTATTCAACCTTGTCAAGGGAATAAGTTTTGGTCACAGCAAATCCCCACCCGGCTTCGAAAGCGCGACGAAGCATGGGGCTTGTCGTGCAAGGAGTGGCTGACGCGAGTCCGAAAGGATTCTCAAATTTCATTCCACAAACTTCAACACTCAAGTCGACCATATCGATTGGCGTGTAGAACTTTGGTAATTGGGCGACATCGGGAACGGTCTCACCATACTTTCCCTGCAATGGGATGAAAGATATTATATTTTATTCCATATTCATGTGTTGTTCGCATAAAAGTTGTAGAACGCACTTGAAGATAACGGTGAATACTCCAAGATGCCGTTTTCCCATCATTGACAGCTTCCACAGTCGTTTCCGCAACTCCAGCAATATCACCTCCAGCAAAGACCCAATCTTCAGATGTTTGCATGGTTTTCTCATTCACTTCTGGTCGGCCATATTTGTTCATTTTTAGAGGTTGCAGAGCAGCTTGAACTGTAAAAAAATTGTGGGTAAAATATTAGAAAAAAAATTAACATTGATGAATTATTGCTTTATCAATATAAATTATACCCTCTTCATCGCACAGGCTGGATCCAAACGCTGAAATGATATAACTAGCCTTGATAGTACAAACTTGGTCCTTGTCTTCGACCCATTCGCCATCATCGTTCACCTCAGTTCGATAGAATTCCATACCCATAATTTTGTTCGACTTCATATTCACCGATTTTGGAGCCATGAATGGCATAAACTCGCATTTCTCTTCACGAGCCAAATCCATCTACAAAATTAAATAGTAGTTCCATATTTATTTTCCGTATTAATGGCAACCTTGAATATCTTAGTCAAGAATGTAGTCACCTCTTCCGGAACGGCTCTAATGTTTGTAAATCCTTTACGGAATACGACAAAAACCTTGGAAGCTCCGCAACGGAGAGCGGACGTTGCACAATCGAACGCCGTATCACCAGCTCCAAGCACGATTACCTTTCCAGATAGTTGAGGCAGTGTTTTTTTGCTAGTGCATGCACACATGCCTGGAACAAAGAAATCGAATAAAATAACAACCAAAATAGTTTTTTTTAATTAATCAATTCGGAAAACTATTTAATTAAGTTACCTGGTTTGCTTGCAAGTGCAACTTTTGGGAGAAAGTCCTTTGAAGTAAAAAATCCCATGTCTTCAGTCAGATCTTCGAAAGGGTGAACCCGTTTCGGATTTGGAAGACCAATTCCAACAAACACGGCGTCAAATCCGTAGTTTTTCAATTTCTGTATGACAAAGCAATATAATTCAACTTGTGCTATATGACATGTGAACGTGTCTGTCAATCGTATTATGAATATATTTACTTACCGTCAAAGTAAGGCCGTTAGTGGCAGAAAACTTTTTGCCGCATTCGATTTGAACGCCAAGGTCCTGCATCAACTCCACCTCGTACTGAACGACTTCGATGGGGAGTCGATATTGTGGAATTTCAGCCGAGCTCAAACCACCAATGTATTTTTCCTTCTCGTAAATTACCAAGTTCTTGTAGCCCAATCGTGCTAAAAATGTGGCACAAGAAATTGATGCCGGTCCACATCCGATAAGAGCAATTTTAGAGTTCTGGTAGCTTTTTGAGCTATTGTCCAAGTTGGGTGGGACGATTTGAGGGATTTTCATCTTGGTAAAAATCTGCAAGTGCAAATTAATAAATTTGGTTTGGTATTATATATTTGGTGCAAATTAGTATCGTAATTTAAGTGCAAAATGTTACCTCGCACGCAAATTGTTGTAAACCTCCAATGTTGATGGGTCCTTCTTCAGATGCGTAAAGATTACACGAACCCACGCATAAATCGCTCGTGGGGCAGACCATCCCACAAGTCAAACCTAACGGATTGTCAGAAAAAATTGCTTTTGCGGCTCCATAGTAGTTCTATACAGGAAGAATATAATTGTCATTTTCTGTTTTAACTAAATAATTTTAACTTCAATTATTTAATTGTTTACAACCTTTGTCGCAATGTTTCCGATGAAAGTCTTGACATCCAGTTGTGTAGGGCAGGATTTTTGACATGGTGCATCTGATCAATCGTCAACACAGTTTTGATAAATGGTCACGAATTAAGTATCCAAATTTAAGTATCTCACCGGCGCATTTTAAACAACGATTAGCTTCACGAAGGGCTCCCCGTTCGCTCAAAGTGGTGTGTTTGATGTCATCAAAGTTGTTCGTAAGTGGTGGACAGCTCTGTTAATTAATTGGTATAAAGCACATTGTTTAGCACAACTTGGAATTTGTATAATTAAATATTTTATAATTACACTGCAATGCTTGTCTCCATTTCGTTTCCAGTTTTTCTTGTTTACTTTTGTCTCAGCGGAAGGGACAAGGGACGCGAAGGGTTTAATCTTTGGATTCAAACTCAGGATGCTCTACAAATAAAGCAGCATTAAATTTCATTGATTATCAAAGTATTTATGAATTGAACATTTTATGAAGAGCGATGTGCATGGTTGGTGTGAGAGCACGTGGAATATGGCAATGCATTTAATATTGAAGTGTGGATGGAAATTAGTGAATTGTCTTTAGCAGAAACTTTGCTTAGCGTTCTCATTGAAACCTAGGTGTAGGTCTCAATATGCCACCGCATATTTAAAGTGAGACTTTCTCGTCTCATATTTTCTCATCACTCGTCAATCTATTTCAAAGCACTATTTGATACTACGCAATCAATCGATAAATTTTTAAAGTTAGTTGAAGAGTACAATCCTTAGTCATGAGATGTCCTAAAATCTTGATCAGTTATGAACAGTTAATCCATAAGGCAATCCTATAGCAGACACGAATTTTACGTTGATGGTCACATTTCGTGCAGCAGGAAAAGTGAGATATTCTCATATTTTTTGCATGCATGCAAAAAAATCATGTTTAATAGAATTTATGAAAACTTGTATTATGCATTATTTTCTGATTATCCGGTAAGTTACATAATCCATTATTACAAATATTCATTTCCGAACCTCAATGTCCGCCGCGTCCTTACTGATGAGTCGTTGCGGCATTTTGTCCCACTCTGTACCTTCACTCAAGAACTCAAACTAATGATAAAATCCTCACGAAAATCTTCAGAAACCAAGAATTATATAAACACGGTAATAAAATTTAACTGGTTATACTGTTTTTCTTTACGTCACTTTGAATTTATGGGCTGATTCGGTTGCTACTCAAACCAGAAATGAGGCAATGGTTTGTGTGGTAATCTGGCTAAATACGGCTCTTGACTGCTTGGATTGATAACGATGAGAGACACTGGAAAATAATCTGGATTGGATGAATGGATAATAATTCTCTTAGCACTTCAAGAGACAGAACGCCCACATGGGAATATGGAATTGTGGGTTAGTTGATGATTCCACTTTAAAAATGTCTCATCGCATTTCATGGCTACGTAATTAATAACGCAGGAAAGGAGGAGATCAGATAATTGTTAACGACCCTAAAATAAATTACAAAACTTGTTGAGCTGTGAGTGAGGTGACGAGTCAACAGGTTCAAAAGTTATTGGGCTTCTTCCATACTTTGATTTCCAACATGGTTAAAAAGCTCCCTCAAACTTCTCACCCTTCATTTTTTTTAGCTGTGTGTACATATAGCACTTAACACATCTTTGGGATTCGTATATAAATATATAATTGGAGGGATATGTATAAAGTACAACGTGGATCTGGGTGACCTTGCTGCTCGTCTGGATATAAAATGAATGCATGCATGCATAACACTTTTAAACACTTACTTATGCATGTACTTTGTGGTCCATCTGACAATTTTTGTCCAAATAGACAAATTATTCATCAACCCAAGCAGCAAGAGCAAGCAGGTGCACGAATAAGTATGATAATTTTAGGGTTATTAAGTAAGGCGTGAGTGATGTAGATGCGCAGTCCGGGATGATGATAACTAAATCCAAAGTAAGTATAATGAGTCGAACTCATATCTATGAATTATATTGCCCAACAAATATAATTTAACGCATTTGATAAGACGTAAAAACTTTCCTTTGTCGTGTGGAATGGTCAACATTCTGTTTTTTTTATTTCTTTACTTAAATATCAGGTATTCGATTCGAATGCGATGCGTTTGGGTACAATAAAATATAATATGTATACTGGAATTTGAGTCTTGATATATAATAGGATAGAGGGACCTTCACAATAAATATCATCAAAATTCATGACAAGTAGATTTAGCTACATTAATAAGTATGTAACTTTTAGAGTCTAATAAGCTAAAATAATTAAGTTCCATATTTTGTAGGACAAATAATTTTGCTGAAGGAGGACTATTTTGCCAATTGTAGTACTTGGTTGTGTAATTCATTATTCGAGTCTGTCAGTTTCGAAATTTCTTTTCCAAGAGTGTTTAGACTGTCCTGCAGATATTCAATTAATAACAAAAAGTTAGATAGGTCTGAATGATGTGATTAAAAATAGAGTAAACTTATCCCTATGCAAGCATAAAAGGTAAATACAAACTTACTTTAAGCGTAATATTTCTAAGTAAAGTATCTTCCAGAACGACTTGAAGTTTTCTATTTATTTCTAGAGAGAGATCCAAAGTCATCGCATCATCGGCCGGTTTAGATCCGTAAACTGATGCCATTATTCCCTTATGTTTCAAAACTTCAGCCTGCAAAATAAATGAGAGTATAATTTTATATAATAAAAACATATGAAGGATTCCGGGATTTAGAAAGTGTGCTTATAGGAAGCGGAAAAAGGCATTTATTTACCGCATAAATTGAATCCAATGCAAGCTAAAAGATCAAAGTGATTTACCATCCCAAAAACGTTATTTATAAGCCAATATTATTATTTATTAATAGTGGAGCAAAGAAAAACAGGAGCAGACAAGTCAAAGTGATAAAACCAGGTCAGTCATAATACTTTTTCTATTGACTTGAATGCATTTATTTAATAACAACTTACTCTGTTTTTCTCTGCGAGATTTGAGGATAAGGCATCAATATCTTGTGACATTGCATATCCCTGAATAATTTTAGACTTTTTTTGTAATGACTCGACAAGTTGTTTGACGTGTTCTTGAAGAAATTCCAGTTTATCTTGCTTCTTCGCCAGCATTCGTTGTAGTTTAACTATTCTTTCGATGAGGACTTGCTGATCTGGTATCACAGGACATTCTTGATCCTGATCCTACAAGATAATAAACATATGTAGTTTAATAGAACCTTACTACCACACAAGTATGTTTCGCATATTATTATAACTTCGGTTGAAAAGGGTAGGGGCTGTGCGGCTGGGGCCTAATAGTGAGAAAGCAGTTTCTTCGCCTCAGTTTTCCTAGTAAAGCTTAGGCCAAGGTATTGGTTCCTCGCTATTAGGCCCCACCCGCACAGCCCCTATCCATCTCAACCAAAATATAGTTTGTTTGTTCACTAACACTGGTGGAACCATTGCATGCTGTGGTGTCTTCTTGTTTAAGTTTTTCTTGCGAAGAACAATCACCATTTGTGAGGGAACTGCTAGAGCTAGTCCGTGAACTTTGGCTTAGTCCGTCTGACCCAGGGTGACCATCTTTTACTTGTTTTCTGACCACAGAAAGTTCCTTACTGAGCTCCTATTTTTTATATTGATGTTGATTATAAGAAAAAATAAAACCGGTATTAACATGCAAAAGTTTAAATAGTCAAAACTATTAGTATTTGTTGATTATTACCCTAACGCTGGAATTTAATTTTCGGTTAAGAAGGCCAATTTCTCCACGAGCTTCATCCAATTGTTGTTGCAATTGAGTAATAATCACTTTACTGGTGTTTACATCATTTTCTATCATTTGTTTTTCCTCTAGTTGATACTTGCTTTCGTTGGTCATTATTTGTTGGAGATCACGAATATCACCTTCTAATTTGTCCCCATGCTGTCGAAGACGTTCGTTTTCATCTTTCAGAACATCGCTCTAAGAGTAAATTAACAATCATTACATGTAAACAAAAGGGGTTTATTTCAGTGCATAAATTATACCGTAACCCAGTATAAATCTTAAAAAAATAATGTACCTTGGCCTCAATAGAAGATAACTTTGACTGCAGTGCAACATTTTTCTCAGTGACTTGTTGTGTATATGCAAGTAGTTCAGCTTCTTTTGAACGACAGACAGACATGTCATTTAAAACGTCAACGTGGGCTTGTCGTAACCCTTCACATTCGTTCTCTAGCACCTTTACCAACTCCTTTTCCCTGTGCAAAAATAACAAAACAAACCTGTGTTAAACGAGGTCATAATAACATGTCAAGCGAATTAAACGATTTAAATACTTTAACGTACTTTTGTAATTGAACTTTGAGACATTCAGTGGCAGCAAGATCGGATTGAAGGACAGCAATTTGATGTAAATGTTCAGAGTTGGATTCTTGCAGGCGGCCCATTGAGGCTTCAACTTGTAATCGCTCTTGTTCCAATATTGCAATGCTGCATGACAATGATTTGTTTTCTTCCAATAATTGCGCATTTTTCTCTCGCAAAGAATCTATCACGCTCTCCGCTCCCGATGGAGATGAAGTCAATTTGGAATTACTACTTTCTTGACCGTTTATGGTTACTATTTCACAGGTCTCTGTATCATCACCGGCATCTTTTTTGTATTCACAATTACTAGTAAGCTCTCCATTTGAAACACTAGAGGATGTGGACTCTTTCAGCACTTTCAGCTCATTTTCAATTTCAGCAATTTTGGCCTCTAATGTTTGTCTTGTCGCCTGAAAACACAGAATTACAAGTGAAAATTTATACCAATATCATTGCATTAATCATGACGGAATGTTAAAATATATTATTTTATTCATACATTATGAGCTTCAGATTCTTCCCTCAGTTTATTTTGTGTCCAAGTAAATTTGAAATCCCTGGACTGGATATCTTGATGAAGGCGATTAATTTCCTTTTGAAGATCCTCGATATCGTGCACCTACAAGAAAAGAAGTAAAGTTTATGATGAATTATGATCTACAATTATGCGAACGATGCGTTAACGAGCAAATTAAATAATATATTTTTACCTTGGCATCAATCATAAGAGATAGCCTTTCTCTCTCTGATGACAGCATTTTGTGTTTTCTATTCGCTATTTCGATATCGTTATTAAACTGTTTGATTAATTTGTCCGAGTTTTCTATACTTTTCTTCAATTTTAACAGCTCCATTTCACCAGTGGCATATTTCATGACTACACTTTCTTTAGTTTTCGTAGCTGACTCTACCTCCTTTTTCATCTACAAAAATTAGACACAGTAAGCACATATTCAATCGTAAATCAGTAAGTAATAGGTTTATAATACAAACCTCTTACTGTCTATTCTTATTCTATATAGTTAGAAAAATTGAACGTACTCTGGTGATTTCAGTCTCTAATTGGGCCTTGACCTGCGCCACTCTGAGTTCCACAGATTCCTCCGTCTTCTGACACTTTACACATGGTGTTAAGGAGGATGGTGTTGTCGACGGCGAGTCAGCCATCATTGGCGATATGGTTGTCTGATTAGGTGAATGAATGAAGGCGGCCGATACTTCTTCTTCCGGAGGAGTAGTCTCATTCTCATCGTCACTTATTTCTGCGAGCGTGAATAATTTCTCATTCAAGAGATGATGATGACTTTCTTCGTCAAGGGATAATTCCTCCATTTGGCGAGCCGAGTCGATTTTTGGATTTTGTTTCCAACAATTTGTATCAAAAATTTATACTTAGAATGCAGACGTAACTTAATTGAATTATCTATATACACGAATCATGCAGCGCATGTATTTAATTTCTTCGTACAAGAACCGAAATCCTCGACTTTCACTTTCGCCTCGACCTGTAGGAAAACAACTTTAGTTTTTTAAAGAGGCCAACCCACGGCTAGACAAACTCATCATATCTATTATTTATAAAAAGAATACATTATTACCTTAGTTTTATCTTTAAGTTTTCATTGTCTATAAGGAGCCTTTCATTTTCTCTAATGAGCCTTTCGTTCTTTTCAGTTAGGTCTTGCAACGTTTGTTCCACGGCTCCCAGGGGAACTTTAACGGTCGTGGGATCTAGAATTATTTTAGTGGTTTTAGTGACAAAAATCCTAACATGAACCATCCGTGCTCGTGAAAGGGTGGGTACTCTTGGGACATTAGAATTGTTACCTAGTCTGTTCCGCAGCCGAGGGAAGAAGAAGGTCCGAAGTATATATATTTGAAATAGTACTGAGAATATTCCTACAATTAATTTATTCAAATAATCCACCTCTTCCATAACGACTTGCCTGCCACTTTTTCACCACTACTTTACACATTACAACTTCTAGATATCTACCCGAAATGCAGTTCACTTAATAAGGTACACAAATTCTAACTGCACACAGGGCATTTAGGCAGGAAAAAAATTGCATTGTAAATAAATGTCATTACTTACAATAATTAATTTAACGTCTTCTCACTTAAAGTGAGTATGATGACGTACAATTCAACCCTTTCTACTATTATTTGACTTTTTCTTCTCACCATATGAGAAACTGGTGTCTCGTCCCGCACAGATTTTGGTATTACTTGCAGTGGTCCATCGAGAGACGGGGAAGGGGCGTAGGGGATATAGAAAGAAATGGCCTCGTCTACTCTGGTGGTGGTGGCTGGCTGGTGAGGAGGGGCAGCCTGGACTCTGCTGCTGCTGACTTGACTCAGAGAATATTTTTCACTTGATTTTAGCACCACCGCTCGTACTATGTCTAGTGCTGCTCGGGAGTTTGAATAATAATATACGTACGGCTGTACTACTGTCTCGTCTTTTGTACACTTGGCATACAGTAAAAGTGTCCTCATCACATCACTTCTTGGAGGCAATTGTTGTTGGTGGGAGTGACTGACCGGCAGTATCAACAAGACCGTAGCATCCTTCAGACAAACAAGCAGGTGAGTAAACACACCCACTTTTCACCACAAGGAAACGTCTTAGGGAAAGGTTCGGCTTCCTGAATAATAAGGGTGACAGCAGGGCGTGGACGAGAGAGTTGCACTATTATAAGGATGGGACATTATTGTTTTTTTTATAGAAATTAGTTTGTAGGGGAAAATAGGGAGCAGAAACCGCACCCAAAAGAAAGGATTGGAAGGGAGGGGTGGAGAAATGTAGAAATGTGGTCAATTCGAGACAAAAGTTATGTAATATGTCTCGTCGGACGGATTGGGGAAAGCGATCAGACAGTAGTAAATCAATAAATAAATAAATACGGGATGCATAATAATAAAAAAGGAATGGAATGGATGGATGGATCTGTTTAATACTCGAGGAATAGGAATTAATTGAGAGATTGATTAAAGTGCGTGTAAGTAAACAACGGAAACTTTTGTTGTTTTGTATAAAATTGGTGGATAGTGCTGTGAAGGAAATGGTATTAATTTCGTCAAAATACCTACACTTTCTCCAACCACGGGGTACTCTGTAATTTTGTAATTGGTTGACGAGATGAGGCTAAATCAGAATATTTTTATAATAAATTGCTCATTTTCTCAAGGTAAAGGCGAATTAAAGCGAATTAAATCTTTCCTACGGAAAAAAATGTGGAGCGGTTGCTTGCGTGTGGTTTTATTGTGGCGAAGATGTGGTTAATTCTTAACGAGGGTGGAAGGATTTTTTTAAGAGAATAGAATTATTGATGTTAATAACATAAGATATTTACATTTTTAGACTTCACTCATACACGATAATGAGCAATGATTTCATAAATGTCCGCCATTCGTTATTATTATTTCCGGACCATTTACTCATAATTTGTGAAAGTTGGCATTGCTGAACGAGTAAAAAATTCAAGTAAAATCGATTTCAACCCATTTGAAGGAAGGAGTTCAAATTATATAAGAATGCCAAGGTTTTAACTAGAATTGTTTTTCATTCTCAATGCAATGCATCCATTGTTAGCCTGCCTTTAGCTTTAGTTTTTATTTAAGCAACAATAATAAAATGAACTCAAAAGAATGCAGCAGCAGCGTCCACGCAAAAACCAAGCTATACGAAACGAATAATAAATTCACCAAGCACATAAAGCCTCAGGCCACGTTGTTGTTTTGTCGGTGGTGTGGTGATGAGGAGGAGGATGACTTACATATTATTTGCTGGTTTCGTACTAATTGTAATTTTTGGGTGGAAAAAGTATAGAATGGTTCGTCGCATGCGAATATATGCGAATCCCACACGCCGCTAGCTGCTGCTGGAAATGAGCGAATTTAAGCGTGTGAGTGGTGAGTGATGATCTCATCCGCCATTCCTTTCATATTGCACTCTTTTCACAATAAGTAGTGTGAAATGGAATTATTACATAAATAGCAATAAGCACGACAAAAATGTGATGTTTGCCATGTGTGTGTGTGAGGCGAATGTGTGTGTTGGAGCAGATTTTTGTGTTACGCTTTTATGCAATATTATTATTGTCGTTGCTAAAACGAAGCAAATAATTTTTTCTGGCCCTGGTCTGGTTTGGTGTGAGTGGTGCGTCTGCGACCTAAAAATTCTCCACTACTACCGCAGTCAGTTAGCAGTTTAGCACACAATATGCAATTATTTGAGCAGCAGACGCATTCTCATCATAATATATGTAATGCATAGTAAGTAATAGTTGCACCTAGTCAGCAGCTAATTCACGCTGTGGTGCATTTTAAAATTTTATTTCTCTTGCCCTTCATTATTCCGCTGACTTGAAGTTCCGTCGTCGTGCTTATGTACTATGACTTAATTGAATTGCAAATGGGAATATGCTACAGAATTGTAATACTATATGTACATAGTTGGGACGTAATTGATTGTATGTAGCAAGCAGGAGGGATATGCATGCATGGGTAACTCTTGTAAGTCGTTTGGATGTATTATACTCTTGCCCATGTGGTAATTGGTGAATTAGTGCTAATCATGAGGTAATGATAACTAGTTGGTGAGTGAGGATTTGTCGATGATGTCATTATTGTTTATTTACCAGCCTGCTGCTGCTGCCTGGGCTGGCGAATATGGTCGAAAATACATACATGCATATCCACAATACTGCATCATATGCATACTCGTTTATTTAGGGGTTGGTGGAAAGCAAGATAGAGAAATTCCTGTACATTTAGCTGTCCTCCTCCTCTGATGAGCTTTGCAAAACCAGTCAAACCAGTGAGTTTAGCTGCATAGTTAGTTTAGTTTTGAAACGATGGATCAGCTTAATTTACATCATTTTGCCGGTTAGTTTGTTTTGTAAGATTGGTTTGGTGCTCGCGTTTTTCTGTCGTGAATATTTGTGCATTTTGTGATTATATAACTATTTTTGCAGTAAAGATAAAAACTCGATAGTGGTGATAAGTCGGTTGCTTCTTCGTGCACTGACTGAGCAAACTTGTAGCAAACTGGTAATAATAATATGGCTTCATTATTGACGTCAACAGTTTGTGCAATTCAGTTTTAATGGGGGATTAGGAACTGTACATTTATTTCAGTCATAACAAGAACTCTATCCATCTTTGGTTTGTCAGACTGCTGAATAATAATTACCTGCGAAAAGTCTAAATTGCTGAATGAAATTTGAAGCAAGTCAAGTCAAGTCATAACCTCATAAAAATAGCAACGCTAACAAACAACGCCACATCTGGCAGTATGAAATGAATGCAAAGAAAGGTTATTATTTTTTAGAGCAGAGATAATGAACTAGGGCACTCGTTTCTTTAAAAAACCATGAATAGTTAGTTAGTTTTGATATACTTGCTATTTACTCACACTCGCTATGGAATTCGGGTTTTTAACTATTTTGTTCACAACCGTATATATAAGCTCATAAATTAAACAAAACGGTGGATGATAAGAAAGAAATATATATGTTTTTTTCTGTGTTAGCAAGTTGGCTTCGTCAAATCTTCATTTGTAGTAGAACGATAGTCAAACATTTTAAATGGTAGTCAAACACGCCACACGCCTTACGTATGGGTGGGAGCATACTCGAACATTTTACATGATCACTGAAGGTTGAATTTACACCAAAAATCAAGTAAAGAGGGAGTGAGCCACCAAATAAAAATGTCTATTTTTTACATTTAGGGAGATGTCTTAACTCCCCAAGAGTTTTTTTTTCTGAAGTAAATGCGACAAATGCATGCATTTTGCCGTTGATGGAACAAAAGTGTTTCATCTCCTGCTGGAGGAGATGCTGCTGCTTCTGTGCATTTACTTACAGATCTGATATAGACCCCTTGTCTTATTAGTTTAGTTCTATAGCTGTATGTATGTTCCTCATTCTTCGTCGTCGTCATCAGCGTCTGCTGCTGTGATTTTCTCAAGACACGCACAAAGATTGGCTGCAAAAAAGCTAAATTCCATAATCGCTTCGATGTATGACTGCATCTCTTCTTGTTAGTACGACAGCAGCAAGCGTTGAGTGAGAGACACTTATTGTTCATGTTGGTGTTGGTGGAATAACACATTGTTCTTCATTATTAGACTGGCTTAATATTAGGAATAAGTGACCTTGTTAACAGTGCGACACTCTTTTAGTTTTGTCAGTATATCACACATTATTAGTCCATCAAACTGCATGCAGTATGCAAATTCCATCGTAGAATTTAACAGTGGCCTATACTGGAAGTAAGTATAAGTGGTGAAATCGTGTACGAGTCATTAATAAATGAGTTGGCTTTCTAGGTTTGGTGTCAGATTTATGGTTTTTGCCCTTTCGAGTCCAGGCCACAGTTAATATGTAACGATTCGGATGTAAATTATCACTCTCTCTGGAGTGTATTAATTTCGTCCAACGGACGACGGCTCTCGAGAGATCAGCTACAAACCGTCGAATTCATTCCAAAGATAGAGATAAAGATAATAGTTCAAGTGTCGGAGATGGAATTAGCCGACTTATCCTCCTTCTTTTGGTGTGTCATCTCTGTCTCAGGGTTTGAGTGATACCATAAAAGGATTGAGTTTCTTCCTGAAATATGATACATATATATTTCCACTCTTCTTCTGACTTAAATGTGTCATATAATGTTTCATTACAGGAACTGATGAAGTGCATCGTGCGCTGAGTGTGTAATAAGCTATTATTTTTATTACGAGACTTTTATCCTATCTCAAACAACAAATCAATTATTTCGTGTTGACTCCTCCTGAACTAGAACTGAAGTGCATTTTTGGAACTGTCAAGTACTTTTGTGAGTGAGTGAGCATTTTCGGCGATTCCGATATCTATATCCCCATATTAAATTAGTTATATAGCCAGAAAAATTGTCATACATTGTGTGTGAGGAGCGCGGTGTCGCCTTTTTGCTGTTGGTTGGTACTGATAAGATTGTGTATCGTTCGTTACATATTTACATTACTGGTGCATTACAAATCTAGTACTGGTCTCTCTTCCTGTCGGCTCTCGATACGTCCGTATGTAGTAGATTGGCTTAAAATGCCTGATAATAAATCTGTCAGGTTTATGGGAAACAGAATACATAATAATGTCCTGAAGAGACGAGGAGGGTGTTTAAATACGTACATGCACAGGAGAAGTCTTAATTAAATGGTGTCGTTTGTATTTTCAGCTAGCAATATTTGACTAAAAATGGCAGCAGTAGATGCAACGGATACGAACGGCGTCGTCAATGGGAGTGCGGAAGATGATAAGAATGCCTACCGGCCTCCTGACATAGATGCTGTAAGTAGTGGTGGTGGTCTTGTTGGTATATATGCGTAGATGTGGAATAAGACATTGAACTTTATTTTACTATTAATTTCCAGGATGTGAAGGAAATGGAGAGGAGGAAACGAGTCGAAGCGATAATGGGCAGCAAAATATTTCGAGAAGAGTTAGAAAAGATTATTGAGCAGCAAATGCGTGAAGGTGGGCCAGGGACGGGAACTTTGTTACAGCAAATTTCGGATATTATGGGAACAACTAATAGTTGGAGAGGGAATGGGTTCCGAGGGGGCAGTTGTGCTATTCCAATCAATGACATCCGAGGAATTGACACCATTGCCTATGCCAAGGGAGAAAAGGTCATGAGATGCAAACTTGCAGCTGTGTACAGATTGGTCGACTTGTATGGATGGTCTCAAAATATCTACAACCACATTACTCTCCGCGTCAGTCATGATGAGGCCCACTTTTTAATTAACCCATTTGGAATGTTATATAACGAAATGACAGCTAGCTCCCTGGTCAAGGTAAACTAATGTGCATTATACTCGAGCAGCACGATATTTTAAAACGTAATTTGAAATGGATGAGATAAAAATGTTAATGTTGTATTTCTTTCTAATTCTATGGTCTACTAAAGGTGGATCTGCAGGTTAGTAGACATTAATTTCGTAGTCAATTATTCGTGACCTGTTATTATGTGCATGGTTCTCTCCGCCGTGCTCATTAATAAGATAATGCGATAATCAAGAATAATTCAGCAAGTGTTGTTTCATTAATTGCAGGGGAATGTGGTGGAACCGGGCACAACTAATTTAGGGGTGAACATTGCCGGTTTTACGTTACACTCTGCTATCCATGCTCATAGGCCGGACCTTAAATGCATCATCCATCTTCACCTTCCTACCGTTATTGCTGTAAGTAACATTTAAGTGCATATGATTATATGTAATTGATGTAGGTACATATGTATGTGACTTGGTTTGATTTCTGTTATTTTTGTATTTCCAGATATCTAGCCTGAAATGTGGATTGTTACCTTTGAGGTACGACTTTACTGACAATTTATAACATGAAACAATTATATAATGATTCGTTCATAAAACTCATTGCCACTTTTATTTATTTTTACAGCCAAGAAGCAGCTATTGTTGGAGATGTTAGTTACCATGAATATCAGTAAGTAGTATGACAAGGAATGCTAACATGTAAAAGAAAACATAAGTTATGGTTTTATTTTTTCATTTTACAGAGGAATTTTGGTGGATCCTGCTGAGAAAGATCTCATTATACGCAATCTTGGACCGTTTAACAAAGTCAGTAATCCATACATAATCTTAGAATTTGTCTGTCATGCTGCAAATGACTTACTGGAAATCGTATTGGTGTTTAATAGGTCATGTTTTTGAGGAACCATGGAGTCGTTTGTTGTGGCGAATCCGTAGAAGAAGCATTCATGAACACATACCTCACAGTTTTGGCTTGTGAAACTCAAGTACGTAGATGCGACTATACATAAAGTGAACGAGTTATGTACTGTGCGGATGGAGCAAAACTTAAACCCTAGTCTCAGCACAAGATACTTTAGGAGGCCGTAGGTTTTAGCTCCACCCGCACAGTACATAACTCGTTCACTTTATGTATAGTTGTAATTACCGGATATGAAGAGTTGCTAATATTTGAATTATCTTTGTAGATGAAATTGATGCCCTTGGGTCTGGACAATGTGATAGTGATGTCGGATGAGGCACGTAAACGAGCATTCGAAACTGCCCATTCAGGCGGGGGCGGAGGCGTCAACAGCAAGGAGGAAGGCGTCATTTCAACGGCTGAAGGAAAACCAGAAGGAAAGAAGGAGAGGAAATGGCGATTTGGCGAACAAGAATTTGAGGCCCTCATGCGCTCCCTGGATAATGCTGTAAGATTTACGTGTAGTAATTTTATAATATCCTCTAGCCTAAAAGCGGCTATAGGCTGACATGATGATGGTAACATGTGTACAACTGATCTGTTACAGGGATATCGCACCGGTTACATTTATCGCCAACCGTTGATCCGAAATGACATGCCTCGTCCAAAGTATGACGTCGAGTTACCGCCTGCCGTGTCATCCTTGGGTTATTTGATTGAGGAGGAAGAATTATATAAAAACAAGTATGTCTTCATACTTCCATTTAATACTAACGAAATAATGTCCAAATATATATAAATCCAGCATGAAGTAAGTTACATTTCTCCTTGTTTGCCACTATAATTAGCCCCAACTGGAAAAAGTTTATGGAAGGCCGAAAAGGATTTGAAAAGACGAGATGGTTGAACTCTCCAAATGTTTACCAGAAAGTCGAGGTCCTCGAAACTGGAACGCCTGACCCCAAGAAAATTACAAAGGTAGAAGTCATCACTATTCAGTCGGCGTCTTAATTTGCTTCCTCCTCTTCCTCCTCCTCTTCTTCTTGTCACTGAGCTTCGGTTCTTAGTTCTGATTATTATTCAACGACAACTCTACTCTTATTAATACCAATTAATATTAGATTTCTGACATGCCATATTATCCTACACATTTGTCCGTCGTGTTGCGAAATGAGTAGTGAGTTTTGTAATACTGTCCTGTAAGCAAGTGCTACCATACATATAATCGATTAGTCCGATGTAGTCTGCTGAAAGCTAGACTTTTTCGCTAGCCAAGTATATAATTCATGAAAAAAAATTTCTAGAGTATTATAAAAAAAGACAACCACAAAATGCCAAAACGAAATCGGAATTTTTGCAGTTTTCACTAAATAGTTCACACTTTCCTATCCAGTGTATTGTATTTAGGAAGAAAGAAAAACAAGTGTGAAATCTTCGTACATATTTTATGCATGCTTAGGATTAGAGATATTTATTATCTAGCGTCATCCTAGTTTGTGAAATTACTTACAGAAATACATAATCTTCTTCCAACATTATGTGAAAACTTGTTGATATGTTCCATGTTACATACATAGTGCGCCAGAGCTTTAGTTATTGAGCTTTTACTTAGCAAAGTTATTATTAATTACAAATTGTTAAGGTCGTTCTCATACCATAATATTAGTTGGTGTTAGAATACTAAGCCTACATACATACATACATACATACCTTGATTTTGAGCTATCCAATTTGTGTGCCAGTGTTTCCGTGTTGTGATTTAATTACTATAATACTACCGCTTTAATCGTCAAATGGAAATAAATGGTTTATTGTCGCCAACGTTTTTTGGGAACGGAAGCAAAGTTTTTATTGCCTAATAATATACAACTTACCACTACTGCTGGTGTGGGATTGTGATGTGATGAATGTTTCCATGATTTTATTGTCCTGTTATGTTCATGAATTTTCACATTTGATGCATTATTCTCGTTACGTGTTTTCCCTGCAAGACAAAACCACTGATTTTGCTGGTACAAAGTAGAAGAAGCTAATTAACACTTGCAGTAGTAAAAAAATAACAACAACGATGTAATGCTGGGATTAAAATCATGTTGTACTTAAAGTTTTTATCCTTGGTTTTGTCTTGCAGTGGGTCGCTGACGGATCTCCCGGCTCTAATACGGCTGTTAGAATTGACCACATGCTTCAGTTTGTACCTAAAGGCACTGACCCCAAGGAGTTTAAGAAGTTACAACAGCAAGTAAGTTTGAATTTCCAATTTATTAAAATTATTACTGGTTCTTTCATGTGCACGGTTTTTCAATTTTTTGTGCATGATTTGCTAGATCAAAGAAAATAGGCGTGCTGGAGGAATATCTGCTGGTCCACAGTCCCAAATTTTGGAAGGTGTCACATGGGATGAAGCTCGTCAATGTCAGGTACATATGTTGTCCTGCGAATTTTAAACAGTGTTAAATTATTTTTGATTTTTAACTGATTCTAACTCATGTTTTCTCTTGTGTTGTCCAGGAAGCTACATTAAGCGGCACTGGAGATCAGGTCATTCTTGTCGGAGCAGCGTCCAAAGGGATTATTCAGCGTGATTTCCAACACCATGCCGTTGTTTATAAAACACCATATGCCAAGAATCCGTTTGACTGCGTCACAAACGAAGAAATTGAAGCATATAAACAAGGGATTGAAAGAAAACAGCGTGGAGATGGTAAGCTAACGTAGATTTCGAACATTAAAGAATAATATTCTAACCATTCATGTTCCTCTAAACAGATTCACAGGATGAAACTACTCCAATCGTTTCTCCTGTTGAGGATTCTAGAGATGGTACGTTGATGCCTTATGTTCTTTTAGAATTATTACGATTCTGGGTTGTAAATAGCTGGTTTGCCGGTTTTTATGATAAAAATTGCGCTAATTATTTAAAATATGCATATGGTGGAGGGCTAATCGCATTGCAATACTCTGTACATACAAACTTTCAGCTGGGCGACCACAAGTACTTCAAATTGAAACGAAACAAGTCCCAAGTGCGTCCCGACCAGAATTGGTTCAAAGTGATGGTTAGTCATACATTTTCTTAAACATATATGTACCTGGAAATTAGTTGTTGAAACTATGTATATTGCTTCCAACTGCATGGTAATAATTTTGTCTGTTTCTGTCTGCTTAATTAATTCTAATCGTTACTACACAATGTCTAATACCACCATGACCAAAACTCAATGCATGAAGTATAATTAAGTGCTTATTTTCAGCGAATGATTTGCCTGAACCTTTTGTTTCTCGATCAAAATCTGCCCGGTTCCCTCGCGAACGTAAGATACATATTTTTTGTTAGTTTTTTTTGTTTATCCATTTTATGTACACAAAAGTTTGGATTTTGTTGGTATCCACTCGTAATATGAATCGAGTGGTGTACTTATATATATAACATGAATGTGTATATACCTATTCGTATAACAAACACTACACTATTTGTTGTCAACTTAATCCAACTTGAGACTTGCGTTCATTTTTTGTACGCTTATGTAATTAACACATTTTGCTTGGAATGTGTGTGCGTAAAACTTTGCCTTGTTTCGCCTCTTTAGTTGAAGCAAAGTTAAGACAAAGACGATGGTCCGGCTCCGAGAAGAACCCCAAACCAGGTTTGTTTTTTGTTTTTCCCAATTAATTCAGCTTTTTATGGACTTGTACAAAGCACCTGATTGTAATTAATCATAATATTTTCCACCTTTTTTAATGACGCTTTCAAGTTTGTAATCTATTTGTATTTCTTATTGAAAATTAGGTGAATGGGGAAAGTGTATAAAAATTGTTTAAAATAATATCTCCTCGTTTAATTTATTTCACAGGGGAGGCAGCTGTGAACGGTGAAGAACATGATATTTCAACAGAAGATTCGTCCTCCAAAGCGGAAAAGAAGAAGAAGAAGAAGGGTCTGAAGACACCATCTTTCCTGAAGAAGAAGAAGGAAAAGAAGAAGACAGACTCATAAAAAACAGTGATTAATCGTTTAGAGAAATCCTACTACTAACTATAAACCGTTGTTGCAGTACATTGTTGCCTACTACAAGCACCACCAAAGCCAACACACACAACCAACCACCGCCACAACAGCTTCAATGTACTGAATAAGCGTAAATTGACTGCTTTAGAATTAAGGCTATTAATTAGTGCAGTGAAAGGTATCGTACTTTTAAAAAAGGAGTGTGTCTTTAAAAATGAGTGAGTGAGAAGTGTGGTCCGTCGGAGACTTTTTCGACGTTTGGGAAAATGCTATTATGAAAATATGTTAACAAGAAGTCTTTTCTAAGAGTGAAAGACTTTTTGGGACTGCTCTGGCTGCTTCCTCTATAGACTAATAATTACTATGTTATCAATATTATGATTCGTCTCTCGAGTTTGCAACATTTAAGCAAATGCGAAACTTTACTATTCTTATTCTGATTATCTCTTCGGGGGAGATGTGCAAACTCCGAAATTCGTGCTCTACTTATCGTTAATATCCCCACTACTACTCCCCATTGCTATTTATCTAGTACTACAATACTGTGTACAAATGATCTTCCCCCTTTTTCTAAATATCATGACATGACACACATTTTATTTACCATCAACGACTCTATATGGGAGATGATTTAACTTTTAACAATATAAATACTACTGGTTAGTTACGTTTTTAAACCTGTATAATTGTAGCCTCATAATCGCTGCATGCAAAAGATATCACTACCACTAGTTGTAAGTTTTTTGTGACCGATTTATGACAGAGTGATTGAACTCCAGCTACTTTGCTGCCGTATTATATGGATGAAAAAGTTGCAATATACTTATCAAAATAATCCACAATATTTTGACTCGCCCTATTATAATAATATATATATATCATTCATTCATTATGGAAAGTGAAAGTTGGTGTGTCTCTTTTTGGCTTTATTATAAAGAATATATTTCTTATATTCCAACCAGTTATTCATTCTTATTTAAGTTTTCAAGTAGTAGTTCTACATAGTTATTATTATTATTATAATTCTCGCAACAGTATATTTTGCACTATATTGTTATAAAACAGGTACATGATAGGCAGCAAGTGTGGCGTCTAAGTTTTTAAAGATTGATTTTTTCCGTCTTTTAATTTTTTTTGTGTGATTGGGTTTATAAGTTCACACAAAATGTTACATTTCCCTAGTCATACGTCACTTTGGGTTATTTTTGGTGTTGTTTGTAGCTCTTAATTGTGACACGGTTTGCTAATAGCGGATTTATTTAACTGTTCTAATATATATATAAATAGTTATACATATATACACTTGCCGTTACAAAAGGTAACTTGCCTATATTGGAAATACACCCACAAAATTGAATTGGCTCATGCATCACACATATTTACTAAAGCAATAAGTTACCCACTCAAACAAAAAACTAAGGAGTAAGTAAGAGCACTAAAAAAGGAAATGGAGCATTTCTTCTCCAACAAATTAAAATATGTCAGTAAAAATTCGCAGTTACAAAAATCTATCTAATCTCTAGTAGCGATCTTCTACTACTTACTAAGGTGCCTTCATCATTCACTTTTTACTTTCTCTATCAGGTTTCCGTTCTTATCGAGGCAGGTATTATCTACGTACGTATTATACGCTTGGGTTGTGTGTGTTGAAAAGATCGGCAGCTTTTATTGCTACTATTTAGACAATTACGTACATAAGGTTGGTAACGGACGAAACATTTAGGATAAATGTTACTAATTCAACAATTCGTCATGATAAAATATATGAAGGAGACATGACATACGTACAGACAAAAAACTTTCATGAATTTTCGCAAAAATAACTCTTATTGCACGCCTACACATATGTATTTATAATATGAATGAGGTGTAAAACGCTTGTAATGGGAAAGGCAAACGGTTGTGCAGTTTTCTCTCTATAGGATGTACCATGTCCAGAACAAATATAGAATCTGATATAAATCTGACGGTGTAAAATAAGTTGCAGTTTTTTATTCAAGACTTATTTTGAGTAGCGTATTTATACTGCATATGCTGCAGTAGAAATGATATGTATGTGGTGAGATGTGTCCGCCTTTAATTGATGAGATGCTATTTGCTACCACCGGTATTAATGTTTGTCATCACAAAAAAAAATTGACGCAGCTCATACATTTTCTTAACCCATAATTTTAAACCAAAGTTGTACACACACACACCACACACACTGCCAGTTTAAAAAATCAATTGAACATACATGACCACAAAAGGGAACTCTGACCTATATATTCATCCTCCGGTGGATAGATAAGCAACAAAATGGAATAATATGTAATAAGGGACTTCCAATTGTTCTTTAGGAGTTTAAGATGTAAGACGGCTGCTATATAAAAAATAACTAAAATTGTGTGCTGTCCATTCCACACAATGCAAAATGCACGAACTACTCTGAGAGGTCATTTCACTATAATAACTACTACTCGATCTAATATCATCACCATCATCATCATCATCTTATCTGCAGATAAGAAGAAGAAGGTTCTACAAAGAAAGTTTCCATTTGAATCGTACCTTTAAAAAAAATGCTACTCCTATAAAATAACCAAAGGCTGGTAGATGCGACTGCTTAACATTATGATTATTACGTTATGATTACATACATATGGACAAGGCTTATTGTTCATCATTCTTCTGGAAAATATACTCAAAGGCTATTATCATTGTTAAATGTTATCCTTAGTATTTTTATTATTATTATTATTACCATTAAACTGTTAGCTACATAAATATTTAGCTCAGAGATGCAACAATTTTGGATAAAATAAAAAGAGTTGTTAAGTTTTTAAGCTTGCTATTATTCAGAAAATGAAAATATTACTTTCTAGCCAACTTAACTTTATTGTTGTTACTCTGCTACGATTTTCCATTCTTGTTTTTAGTGGAAGAATAATAATCATCATTCATTCTTTTTGAATAGCTTTGGTTGTGCTGTGCATATTATTATTATCAATTATTATATGTAATACAAATATATATGTGTACTGCTATTTAGATGTATCAAATATACTACGTTGACTATACATGTTTAGTAGAAGCATGCAAAAATTGCTGCTGCCAAATTGTGCTAATTTAAATTTTTGAGGACAATGCCTGAAATTGAGAAACAATAAAAGGGAGTGTTTCATCCAAAAAAAATCGTCAAAACTACACAACCACCACCACCACCAATACGATCAACAAGTGTCGCAATAATGTGTAGATAGACAACTTTTTTTTATAAAAGCGATGCTTACAATAAAGTTATGAAAATTGCAATGCTCATGGAGTAACTGCTTTTTACTACTTTGGTCACTATTATACTGGACAAGAGAGGAACGGAAATTGAGTGCATGTGCGTACTAACTATAGCTTTATTACGTAAATACCTACGCAAAGAGAGAGAGAATATAACCTGTAAGAAATTAAGTACTTCTGCCCGTCATAAATTATAATTGGGTCACAGTGTGACCCCAAACGGGACGGACGGATGGCCTCTGTTTTTAAAAGGGAAATTATAATTCTTCACTTGTTATTTAATTTAAAACATACATAGATTTTTTTCTAAAACAACGATTTTTATGTAATAATGTTACTGCTGCTAGCCGCTGCTGCTGCTGCTGCTGATATATTAAATAATTTGGTTGAAATAATGATGCCGATGTTGATCACTATTGTACGTATGTTTGTCAAGTGGTACGAAATTAAAAGCCTTACTATTTTGCTTCAAAGTTAAATATTACTCATCCTTGTGGTATTTTTAAGTATGTTTTTCTCCCCTTATTTGGATTCCATTCCTCCCCACACATTCGCAAATTTATGTACATATTGTCAATGTGGATTGAATTATTGTCGAGCTTTTTCTTTTGTGCTCTCTGTGTATGTATGTAAATGTAAATATGTGCATATTACAGCCTTCATAATTCTGCCGCATGTACATAATTTCATGACAATAACAATCCTGGCGTGGCTCCTTTTTTATATAAATTACACCATTTTATTCATTTAAAATTACATCATTTAGATAAAATCACACGTGTGCATTACAGATTCTCAAAACGGATTGAATAATAATGTGCATTCTAAAAATCCTCTTCTACAGACAGATACATTTTAATATGTGTGTGTGTGCTATTTATGCATTATAACGTTAAATATGTAGGTTTACACACATATATATTCTCCATATATTCATAAGTAACACTATAAATACAACAGCTTCTTTCCTCCTCCTACGGCTTGGCTCACTTCAACCGGAATGAGTATTACAGGGAACGAAAATAATAAAATTCCAGAAAAAACGAAGGTTTTGATTGATGGTGAGACTTTTCTCGTCAATCTCGTCGTCCTGGGATTGAGTATGTGTAGCACATTTTTTTCTCTTACTTCACAATGAAATATGTAGAATGAAGAGGTATCAAGAGATATAAATATGTTATAAGATCGCTCATTTCCTCCTAATATTCGCACATACATGCATAACTTTCACTTTCACCGAGAGAAAAAAGTTGGTGAAAAATGTAATAAAAAATAGAACAAAGCAAACACACCCTGATGATCATCGCACGACGGAAGTGGGTGTGTAGTAGTAACACAAAGAAGAAGTTTTTAAATTGCATGGCAAGAAAGTGCACTCTAAAATGTTGCCTGAACTTGGCAAGTTGTGCTAAAAAGTACATTGAATATTGAACATTGAATAGTGAAAGGGACACGATATGATTACATTTATTATACGGTATACATACATATATTTCCCTGCGAGATGGGGGCGTGGGATGATTGGATTTCATATTTATCTAGGATATATCGTAACCAGTGGCCGCGGAAGGGTGAGGGACAATGTCCCCACGGTTGTTCGATGTCGGCATCATCTCCTCATCTTATATAAACCCAATGTTAATGTCCCCACACCTTCCGCGGCCACTGATTCGTCAGCAACACCAATATGTTATGTATGCAGAGTCATCCGAAAGGGTGAATATTTTATTTATATATTTTAAATTTTGTTGGATATGTTTTATTTGTTGAATGAAAAAAGCTTACCATTAATAGATGATCGTGAGAAATGTACAGAATTTTAGAATATTTCTCTCTCCCTACTCTCTTTTATAGTTTCTGTGTGTACATAAGTATGTAGTAGGAGATACAAATGTAGGAATAATTTTTCAGGTTTCATTGTGTTTCTATGTATGCTTCAGGAGAAAGCAATCTTAACTCTGTTTGTTTGATCATTCGAATAACAATTGTTGAACAATGGTAGCAAAAATAATTGTATAAAAAAGTAATTTACATATTTATGCAGATTACTTTATGTGTGAAAGATTATCGCAACAATCAATTCGGTGAAATTTTACAATAGCACGTGGTTTAATAATTTGGTTTCTTGATTTGATAAAAGTCTACTCCCCTCGTGCGGAAATATGCATGTAATGTGTACACGGAATAATAATAGAAACACTATTTTTTGCAGCGTAATTATAATAATACTCAAAAGTAATACAAATATTTAGCTCGTCGTCAAGTATGCGACGTGTTCCTCTTCTTTAACAAAAAAACAATTAGTAATGATTGTCTGCAGTGATGAATGAAGAGGACAAGTCGTCGTCGGCGTCGTCGAAGTCGTCGTCCTCCAGTCCTCCTCTGGAGGAGTAGTTCGTTCTAAAAAGAAAATTGTAAGGAATGGTGACATAGAGATCATGGGTGTAATATGTTTGTTGTCGACAGAGACACATATTTGCATATAAATAACCATAACAGTTATGGTATAACAATATGTGAGACTGGATGCATAAATATGTGGTGGATTATGTGGTCGTCTCGTCCAATTCTTAAATTTTTGTCGTCTTGCTTGATTACAAATACGGGTTTTTGATCATTTATTGGTTTTGGTGTTCTATTCACGTAGCGTCGGCGGCACGACGACATCCTGACTTGCAGAAGAACAACTGCCCGTCGCTGCGGGATGGCGTGGAGTCGCTGCCACCATGGCCGTTTGGACCGCTGCCGTCATTGACTACAAATGTACAATATACGCCCAATAAATCTTAGCATGACAGGACGACGCACAACATTCCGCATTATATTTATTAGTGAATGGATGGACCAATCTCCACGATCGGATGCCTCCTCCTCATTTCTCTGCCTTTATTTCTCTGCTGCTGCCCATTATTGTTCGTAGTGGAGAATTAATAGCGTAGCAGATATCAGTTGGAATGCTGGTTGGAGAGAGTTTTTCGCCGGGTGAGAGACCACTGGGGCAGAATAACGGCAATGCAGAGAGAGATAGATAGCAGAATAAGTAACTATACAAACTTGCTTCACGGATTAAAATCATGCTTTTAGAATTAGGTAGATGGGGGAACAATAATAACAATGTGAAGATGGTTGGTAGATATAGTTTGGGCTCAAAATAGCAGAGAGGAGGAAGGGGCAAGTACAAAAATATGCAAATCCACGGGGGAAGAGGAACTATGGAATTTCGATAATCAGATAATCAGTCTTCCGTAGGAGTGAAAGCCTACTTTCCTCTGGTTATCACCAAGTCGAGGAAGGAGGGAAAGTGAGATATGTAACTTGAAAGTCAAATGATGTCTGGTGTGGCATATTGATTTCCTTCAGCATTGACTTTCTCTCAACTAATTTGCACTGGCCTCTTGTCCGTAAAACGCGTCCTTCACGATGCAGAGATAACTTCCTGAGTGGAATAAATTCTATTCGGAATGGGTCTAAGTAGATATTTACCTTCACCTAGCCCACACGTGACGCGAGGCTAACGCTAAAGTGGGCGGTAGTTTGACATTTATGTGTCTGTTGCCAATTTTAAAGGAGCTGTTGTAGTGAAAAAGATATTCAAAAACCAGGCAATCCCTCGGAGCGAGCTGGATTATGAGTTGTCCACTGTTTATCCTTCCTGAACCTTTTGAACCCTTTTTCAAAGAGTGAAAAAGTACTGGGTGGGGAAGGAGGGAGCTACATACAAAATGTGGGATTGGCATTCTCCACCAGTGGCCGCGGAAGGGTGAGGGGACAATGTCCCCACGGTTGTTCGATGTCCCCATCATCTTATACAAACCCTTCCCTCCCTCCCCTATCCTACAATGCTAATGTCCCCCTATGTCCCCCCAGCTTCCGCGCCCACTGTTCGCCACACACGTATTTACGTCTCCGAGATTGACAAAAATTTTCAAGTTTTCTCTTTTTCCGCACGAACTGCTCCCGTTTGGTTTGACTTGGTTATTACACGAAGCTTTTGTTGCTGACACAGATACACAGCCCCCTTAAAAAGTAAACTCTTCTTTTCAGCCACAAAGTAGTATTATTTATTTATTGGTCACTAACCGTGTCAATCAATGACGAGTCGTGATTGCGGGAAGTCATTGACTAGGAGAAGGGCTGCATGCACATAAAAAACAAAAAGAAATGGTGAAAGGTTAGTAAATACAAGTTGTAATAATAAGTATTTCGTGGTTACATTCAAACAAGTACATACAGCACATTTAAAGAGGTGAATTAATTAATTAACAAGAAGTAAGTATGAATGAGTGACAGAAAAGGGTTGCATTGCGGTGGGTGCTGAATGTCAAGGTGTTGCTGATTATGCAATTTGACGGGGCTGACAAGTGAACGATGCATTCCCGTCCTTGCTTTCTCCCCACGTTCTGATGGAGAAAGCAAGGATGCGATTGCTTATTCTGATCATTTGTGCTGAGGATCGAGTCTTGGTGCATTCAAGTGGTTGTTGGCATTTCGATTTTACTCTACTCCATTCCACTTCTTTCCTGGAGGAAGATTTAGGTCGTGTGAGGAAACTGTGCATGTGGGATAATGCCTGCCGAAGAAGGAGAGAGCACAAATCCGGTCGGGTGTGTAGCATGTTTTTCATGAAATGAGAAGAGTTTGTGCGAGATTGACTGAAAAGTACAAAGTTCGAGAGTCTGGTTTGTATCATCAGTCAAACTCTTATGATTAATTCTTCTCCTCCTTCGCCTCCTCCTCTCGTCTAAATGCACGTGGAGGAAAAAAAATGATCCCAAATAGTTGAAAACTAAACTTGAAGAGATAAAGAGTGGCAAATCTTGAAGCACTTTTTCAACTGCTGTTTTTATGGATATATGCCCGTCTCAAGTTCGTTCATCAACATCGTCATCGTCATCCCCGTTCCCACCTCTTTTTTTCGGTTATAAGATAATATTTCATGTCATCGTTGTGCGGCGGCCTGTGGAGTGAAGGCCCATAAAGGTACGTATGTGTAGTAGCTGGATGGCTACCAAACAACCGGGCCAACTTTCTCCTCTCGCCCTCCACTTGGTGCTCATTTGGCGTGGGGCCGTGTGTGCTTGAGAAGGACGGGTGCTCATCCTGGTGAAAATCATTCTTCCACACGAACGTCGGATGAAAACGTTCACATCTAATACAATATTTCATGCCTTTCTTGAGGGCAATAAGCACCAAGGAGTGGGTGAGTGAGGTATTGGAATGGGGCGTTAAAAGTGAGACCCACACGAGGAGAGGAGAAAGTGTAGCTTGGTTGTGGGATATCCTCTCCTTTTTCCTCTCCTGTTGTGTTATGACGTGCATAACGGGATGATGAGAAGGAGGGCTGTTTGGACGGAAATACTCATTCAAGAGGGAAAATGGAGTGAGAGATACTCTGCTCCACTTGGCAGCTCAACCACTATTTTCACTTTCTCAACTTTCTCCCCAGTTTCCACTTTCGCTTTTTACCTGTGTGAGTCGTGGGAGCCTGCTTCTGGTGACTCCGGCTCGGTAGGGTCGCTTTATCCGACGGGAACAGCACGCACAGATGACTCTTCCAAAAGCCCTGAAATATTCAACATCATCCTTCGTCATAACCAGCCAATAACATCACCGGCACCACCACCACCACCCTCAGTCAACAGAAATATGTGGACAACACATGTACACACGAAGAAGGGGACAGATGTGTACCCAAGCAAAATGCACCTTTTTCCAGCTCATACACGCCCAAGAGAAAGGAGGACGTCTCTCTCTCGTCGTTTACTTGTGGGAAGTTGGTTTATACGTTCAACCAAACGAGAGTTTATTTATCTCAAAGGGAAATCCAATTGCTACCATTTGTATTGCAATTTGAACGTTTCCCTCTCTCGGAGAATTTTTTCTCTCCTTTTTTCCCAACGCCATACGAACGTACGTACGTAGAAGAAATATATTTATACGACGTTCCAACATGCAGAGTCCCTTTGGGCATCAGCAGCAGTACATCTTAAAACATGTGACGTGCAGCCATATATAACAATTTCATGTTCAAAACTTATCACCCACGTCGTCATCTATAAATATTGATGCTTTGCTCGTCGCTACCAAAAATATCGTGCAAATTGGTGATCATAACCTCCTCGAGGATGAATGTGGGTGGGTGGAAATGGTGTGCTAAGTATGTATGACTTCAGCCTTCTTCTTCGGTTCAATTGATGTCGATGTGATTACAAATGTTGAGAAAATAGGCTAATTTCTGCCCGAGGAGGGGAGATGATTTCTGGGGCGATAATTGTACTCCACTGCAAACTTGGGGTGCTTCGATCCGATTGGAAACTCCGGCTGCTGCTGCTGCTGAGTGGAATTTAAGGGAAAAAAAAGAATTGCAAATGTGATCAAGACGTGACTGGGATCATTTACTTGTTGGCACAAGTTTACGTAATGCTGCACTAATGATTCGAGGGCTGACGTGACGGTAGGCCGGGTAGGCTCATCCTCACCGAAGAAATGCAGGCCAGCCAGGGCATGAGAGGTATGCCGCGTGTCTCGCTTCCTGACAGGAAAACAATACGTTTACTCAACCAAACCATTTCACAACTTCTTCTTTCTCGTCCTCGTCCTTCCTCCCTCTTAACGACTTTAACTGCCACGAGAAGCCCCACCAGACTGGAAGGCTACATGCATAATACGCCTGCCAGCCAACCTTTCTCCGCGAGAGATTCTCACTCTTGGGAGAAACAATGGCAGAAAAGCTGTGCAATCCATTTACGTACTTCGCCGTCTCGTACGTACATATACCTCGATCGAGAACATGCAGGTAGACGCTTAATACGTACTTGTACTACATGCTTTTACCTCCTTTTTTATGCAACGACGAAGACGAAGACGAAGGTCAAGTTTTTTTCGGGAGACTTTGGAATGAATAAGAGACGCGGCTGGCGGATGCTGCTGTGAGGAGGATGAGATTATTGGAGATATGATGCTTTTAGACAAAAATTTCGTCTGCATCTTTTCCCTTATTACTTTTTTTTTCTTTCATACGCAGACGAAAACTATCAAGCTCTCCAAGAGTTCCATTAGTGTCGAAAAGAATGTCTCAATATGTGCGGTTTTCCGATTAGTTCCGCCAAACTGTGCTTCTCTAAGGAAATTGCATACCTGTCTCAACAATTAATAGGTCCATCCACAGTCTCCTCTCCTGTCTGGGAATAGATTCACTTTGGGGGACGACGGAGTCGGATAAAAAGGAAGCAATATTTCTGAAACTATGGACGAGGAAGCAAGTTATGAGCTCAATGGATCAATTGTGCATCATCCGGCGAAAGAGAGACTTGATGTCAGGAAGACATTGAATGAAAAACTGTATTTTCATCATTTTTTTTCTTACTTTGAGGGAGAAGAGCTGACAAGAAATCTTTATGTATTTCCTCTCCTCCTTGTTCTCCCAATCTGTTTATTACAATGAATATAAAATATATAATCTCGGAAATGTATGGGACGTGCTAAAAGTAAAATCCGCATAGTGAAGAAGAATTTGCAAATAAACAACTTATTTATAGAATTTAATTTTTTTATCAGTATCCTTTCATTCCTCGCTTTATCGTCGTCTTGTTCTCACTCATGTAGGACGAGCACTCAGCACCAAATCCTGCCTGATGCCGGATGGTCGATTGAGACAAGAATTCTCGGGCACTCTCTCTCTCTTTTCCCCAAAAAAAGATACGGGATGGATCTCTCTTCGTCTGAGTGAGTGAGACGAAATTCTACCAAGATTATCAACCTCATATGATAAGTAAGTACGCGAACGGGAGGAGTATCCGTAGAACAAAGAGTGATTTCATCACAGGCCAAACGGCGAGTAGTTAAACATCAGCTTTGAGCTTACTTAACAGCACTCACATTCAATAAACTCTCATTTTCTCTCCACTGGGTCTCCTCATGTGCCAATAAATCACATGTAGCCATCACATTTTTAGTGGTAAAACGATCCTAAATATGTAACCTTGAGATGTGCCAAACCAAGCTGGGAATACGTATGTATACATACAGCCACGAAGGACAAGAGGTACAAATAATGGACGAATCATCACCCCGTAAAATATATTATAAGAAACAAGTATGCCTTTTTGAAATCGTATTTTCTCCGAACAACCAGAATATGCATGGACATATACATACACACAGAGAGAGAATAATGCCAGCCCCATCTTACATAAACCCGGCCCTTCTCCCCTATCCCACAATTTTAATGTCCCCACATGTCCCCACATCTTCCGCAGCCACTGATCCCAACCATCCACCAGGCACACGACGACCACATTTCGAAATCAGGCCTCAATCAAGGCCAAGCCCCGTATTACATATCACTCGTCCCAATATTCTAGACTACGTGACCTTGAGCCGGGTAGCATAACAATCGTTGTTTGTTAATCCAAAGTGTATGAGAGGATCGTCGTTCGTTCAGAGTTGTTGATACAAGTAAACAGCCAGACGACAAACCAACTTCTCCGATGAGATAAGCAAGGAGTCGGAAAAGTTGATTATATGAAGAAGAAGAAGAAGACCAAGGGAAAAAGATGAGTACCGGAGGAGCCGCGGCCTTGTCTTGTGTTGTGTGTGCCTGATATCAATCGCAAACACAAGGACCGGTTAAAGATCTCGAGAGGAGACAACCAACAAGACGAAGACGAAAAAAAACTTGATCGTCAAGCCTGACAACAACAGCGACGAGTGAGCAACCAAGTAACCGGAGAAAGGCAAATCGGATCAACTTTTTCCTTGTTAACTCTCAACTCTCTCTCTCCTCTTTAGTGGCAGGAATAAGAAGACGACGACGACGACTAACGGGTCTTGAAGGAGGAGGAGGAGAAGGAAAATTCTGATTTTTCTCTCTCTTCTGTTGTTACAACATCATCGCCATCAACAAAAATTGGTTCCTTTCAATCCACATCGAAGTAATCGCGCCGAGTTTTGGAGTGAAAGTTCAGTTCAGTAGCAGATCGTGAATGACCTAGTTTTGAGATGCCCATTTGAATGTCAAACGCCCATTTTTTATTTACTGTGGGACGTGATGTCGAGATTCTGCCGAGATTTTTGCCAGCCAGCCAGCCAGCCATGTCTAGATACGTAACACATACATAGTTGCTGGATTTTCAGACAAATAAGGAGGATGTGGCGTCATCCCCCAGAATAATTAATTGTATAACGTGGTGCATAATTTTTTTCGCAGGCTAAAAGATTGCGTTGGATAATTATGGTCTCGATTTGCATCGCATCATTGCTTTCTTCCTTCCTTCCTTGCAATCTATCAAAGAATCGTAATCCACCCGGAGAGTTGGTCGTCGTAACGGGCAAAAAAAGCGCATAGGCTTCCGTTGCCCTTTTCTTTCTGCAAGGAAGACGATATGAGCATATCGGGCAATCTGTAGCATCAAATATATGATGCAATCCACATGTGTACATATGCAGACTACTTACACACATACATCCAGTGGCGGCGGAAGCCGTGGGGACATCGGGGGACATTAACATTGTGGGATAGGGGAGGAAGGGGTTTATATAACATGGGCATCTGGGGACATTAACATTGTAGGATGGGGGAGGGCCGGGTTTATATAAGATGGGAAGATGATGCGGACATCGAACAACTCTGGGGATATCGAACAACTCTGGGGACATTGTCCCCATTGGTCCCCACGATTCCGCGGCCACTGTAATCATACATCCAGTGCCACTGCTGCATACGAACTACACATTTCACCCCGTTTACAGAGATAAATTTAATCCCCACAACAATAAAAGACACAACGTCCTAGGAGGAAAAGATAGTACCAACCAAAAAAATCGGCAATCCTCCAGCAGCAGCGGAGGATCCAATAAAATAAAAAGCAAATACATTTAAATCGTGCATGTCAACATAAAAACGGGAACCTCTTAACTCAAAGCACTCCACTTCGATTATAAAGTGTTTGTTCTACACTTCGAGGTCGGCAATGGATATTTTATTACGGATTTTAAATGATTTTTCCATTTGTCTCGAGGTTATTTAGCCTCCAGTTTTTCGTGCCCACTCGGAATGATTATCGCTGGGAAACCTTGATTGACATTATATTGACCACGTCTCACCGCGTTTTTACGCATTTATGTAACACGTTAATGTACCTATTGCGTCGATTGCTTGGGAGGAGGTTTTGGGACGACAAATGAAATGAGGTGTGTACATGTGCCTTGACAAAAAACGTATTAGAATCGAGTCGTCCTGAAACCATTAAATAAGGAAACCATTAAATCCGAAAGTCGATCAAGTATGTGTGCATGATGATGATGATGATGATGGGCTACAGAGAGTGAGTGAGTGAGTGACCACGAAAAGAAGATCTTTTCACTGTCCAAGCAAGTAGTGCAATAAAAAGTTGGACTGTGCTCCACCATCCATCCATTTAGTGGTCAACTAGTGTTCTGGGGGAGCTGCTGAGGTCCACTGGGAGTTTTGAGAGGTCGGCTAAAACCCTGGCTGACTTTTCTTCCTCACGACTTCATCTCAAACTCACAACTTTTCCTGCAACGAACGATTTACGAGATCAACTTCTAACTTCATTGGCAGGTCGTGAAGTATGATGAGCCGAGACTACAACCACTTGAGCAAGAAGCACCTCTCTCTGTGGGATGACAATTCTTAAACTCATCACATCAGCAGAATCGTGTGGAGAGGGGAGAAAGTTGTCGTCTTTTATCCTCCTTTCTTTCTCTGCTCCACTTGGGAGAAAGCAACCACCAATAAATTACTAGATTCATGCCGTAAGCACGCTATAAAACAATGGGTCCCGAATTAGCCCCCAATTATGCATAAATTAAACCACCAAGTGGGGAATGAATTAGTATGCAAAAATACTGTGAGGACCAAAGTTCCAAAGTTATCGTAATCTATTTAATATCGAAAAGCCGAACGGTCGTGTGCCATCTGTTATTTGTCCAACTTTGTAGAAATAATCCGTACGGGATTGATTATGAAATCGTCAGATTCACAATTATGCGACCTCCTTCACACTCCACACGTGCCACTCGTCCAGCTAAATAATGAATGTGACCGTGTGCGTGTGTCTACAAATGGGAGGACTTCACTTCACTCGTCGTAGAGGTGACCAGAAAGCATCCCACACAATTAGAATATCAATGAAAGGACACAACCAAACCAAACCAAACCACGCACGATTCTATTCATTGCACAAGCTAAACCAGATCTCTGGCAGACAGACATGAAAGCCAATAAGGGCGGCTGAATGAGCGAATGTGAGTCATCCTCCTGCTGCAGCCTTTCACTCACTCACTTACTTAGTATCGCACCCACTTTCTGTCCCAATGTTGCGTTTGCAACATTACGGGAGTTGATTTGGTCCGTTCGTTCGACAGTGGAACAAATGAAGCAGGCCCAGAGAAACAGGAGCAGCAGGCAGCAGAGCTTCTTTGTGTGATTGATGTCAGTGTTTGAATGGACCAGCTAAGTAAATGGTGGAGCAGAGTGTTTGATTTCGCTTCCCTGGCTGCTTTCACACCCCAGCGTTACCACCACCACGCCACACGGCCGCGATGGTGTGGCCTCTCCATGACAGCCATTTATTTGATGCTCTTCACTTACACTCTCTGGCCGCAAAGACGTGATTTTCAAATTCGGATTTCATCACTCACTCACTCACTCACTCCCACACCACGTAACTCGGAGAGAGAGAAAGGTGTTCTCCAGGAGGAGAAACTGACAAGCCGTCATGTCCCGTCGGGGCAATCTGGCTTGTATCATGGCTCAGTCAGTCAGGAAACTCGGATCCAATCCAACCCCCCATGCTCCACGGATGAACCACCAACCAACCAACTCGATACCTTTGTTGGATGGGACAAAGTGAGCTACTTCGAGACTCTGTCACCTTTTCCTGCTGCCAGTAATGAAACCAAACCACAAAATCCCCCTGTTTATCAATGTCACTTTTCAAAAAGTGAGGTTTTCATGCATAAGTATGTAGGAGGACCTTGGTTACATATTGATGTAAGTGAGGCATTACACACCCAGTTATGCAGGCAGGGTCGAAATATGTGACTAACCAAGCAGTCCAGCAACATAATGTATGTCGACGATATCATAATAATCTGTCCCGATGCCGACAACTTTTGATGTCTAGTGGGGATGTAAAGTGAGTCTGTGGACGTTATCACGTGATATCAACCGGACGACCGGAGACAATAATAAAATGCTTCTTCCCAATATCGCAAATGTAAAGTATTGAACACATGCTCGCAAGAAGAAGAAGATTGGAAATGTATCAAGTCTGAATTTCAAAAGGGGATATCAAAAGAAGAAGTGAAAGTTTCAATCTAAAGTCATTCATGCCTCGCTGCACTGCGAGACAAACTTGAAACAGATTTCCCTGACCACATAATTTTAATTCTTGCTGGAATTCCGTCTGAACCAGACCAGCTTCTCAGTCAGTCAGTCACATATGTTGGTGAACCAAATTTTTGAAAAGTTCGAGAAACCCCAAGACTCAGGAAAAAAAGAAAGATTTGCCAGCCTGCCAGGACTTTTCACAAGTAATAAGAAAATAACGACCTACTGTTTGACACCGATTTGAACTTTTGGTCTAATATCAACTAGTTTAGGTTTCTGGTAAACTTGAGTAAAATGCAGGCCTTGCTTGAAAATGAGCTGGTTTTGGGTACACAATACGAGAAGACGTACAAAATGTAAATATGTACTTACCTTCTAAAATCACGGGACATTGACGCGTAAATGACAGGATTCATGGATGCTGAAATAATAATAAAACACGAACGCTTAATGAGTTAGAAGTTGAAAATGTAATTAATTATTCGGCAATTATGTAGCCACTCACAGTTGATCCATCCCAACCATGTGGCAATATCTGTCACGAGCTCGGCTTGCTGTAGACAGGAGCGACAAAAGCCAGAAATCAAATTAGTGATGAAAAACGGGAGCCAACAAACGATGAAGACTCCTGAAAACGACCAACCAACAACGCAATTTAATTTATATAAGCACCGCTTCTTGTATTCACAATAAAAGTGGTGGTTAGGTTAAGTCTCCACGTGCATTAGACGGAGAAATTCTGAGCCAAATGGCAACTGAGCCAAAGAGATGTCTTACCCATGACCACGGACAATGTTTTGGCAGCCTTCTTTTCCTTTGAGAACTTGGCTAATTTACGACTAATACTGAAATGTTTCAAGTTTTTGGGAACCACACGGACCGAGTTGCTTCTCGGGGGGGAGGTCCCATTCCCACCTTCCAAATCAATGTGACCAATATCAGAGTCACAATCGTCCGAGTTTTGGTGGGTGGGGGCGTGATGATTTCGTGGGTGGTGAATCGCCGCCGGTTGGGAGCGGGAGCTGTGGTGTTGATCATTTAGGTTGGCGAGGCGTCCACCCCTAAAGAAAAGGTCATCAAGGGTGATTTTTTGCAAATGTGCGAAAAAAACTGCGGGGAAAGTATGACAAAAACTTTCCCCTCGAGAAAGTGAGACGACCACCTCCTCCTAATATTCATTCACACGTATTTACCTGTGGATTCTCAGAGTGAGTTCGACATCGCCATCCGTGCAAAGTTTTGAGCCCATTTTGAGACTCCTCGTCTGCTGCACGGCCGCCCGGTAGATGCGATAGTAAGTAAAAACCATGACGAAGAGTGGTCCATAGAATGAGATGATTGAGGAGAAGACGAGGTAGCCAATGTCCTGGGTGAAGGGGCACTTGAGTGGGGGGATGGGCTGGTCTCGGGTCGCCCTCCACCACAAAATGGCTGGGAATGAGATGAGGCTCGAGCAGAACCACACGAGCGCGATAAGGAAACAAGCCCTATTCGTCGTCATGCGCGAGGGGTAGCTGAAAGGGTCCGTGATGGCCCAGTATCGGTCGAGTGAAATCACGCACAAGTTGAGTATTGACGACGTCGAGGCCAAAACGTCCAGCGAGTGCCAAAGGTCGCACCAATACTCGCCAAAAATCCAGCGCTTGTTCATCAATTCGAAAATGGCTTGAAACGGCATCACGACGAGGCCCACGAGACAGTCGGCGACGGCGAGGGACGTGATGAAGTAGTTGGTCACGGAGTGAAGATACCTCTCGCGAGCCACGGCGACCACGATGAGCGCATTGCCAAAGACCGTGGCCGCACAAAAGGCGGAGAGAAGCACGGCCAGGGCGACGTTGTGGGGCGAGATGCCCTCCATCCCTTCGTCATCGTCCCCTTCTTCAGACAGAGAGGAGTTCCCGGCCCATGAGAAGTTCCCGTAAAATGCGTCGTCATCCTCCATTTCGGGGGAAAAGGTTGTAGAGGAAAAGTTTCCAAGAAAGTTAAACTCTTCTTGGGATGATTGTGATCCCATCCTGCGACCGGAATCATAAAACACTGCTTCGTCCTGGCGTGTATCACATCACTTTTTTACGACCGCTTCAATCCTTGTCCTAAAAATCCTTTTGTCCACAAATGACCTGCACATTTTCCAGTCTTTGCTCATTCTTATTCTACTCAAACCTCGGGAAAAAGGGTTGCATATGCAGGAGTGGTTGAGATATGTTGTTATGTGTCGTATTTACAGTTCAACTTTTCCCCATTCTTCCTCCTCAACGTCACACACAATCACAGAAAAAAACATCCACACACACACGGTGCGAGTAGTAAGTTAGTTGTCGAGTTGGCTTCGTTTTTTGACTGCAAGAAGCAATCCAAGAAGTTATCCACAAAAAAGCCTCGTATTTTTCTTCTCTCCGTTTACCTAAACCCCGTCATAAAAGAAACAAACAACTATTCATACGGCTCCATTATTTTGTGAGACGACTACTCTCATCGCTTGCTCACAAGCACGGGGATGGAGGAAGACAGCTAAAAACATATCGCTAATTTTTCATGTCTCGGCTTTTTATCCGTTTCACTTCCAGCTTTCTTTACCATTTTGCCATTCAAATGCTATTCGTCGAGATTTATATGAGTATTCAGTTCGTCTTCTCGACACAGTTGAGTGCTTTGGATCTCTCTCGCTCTGCATGAAATCATTCTATTTTCATGGGTGTGCACTGTGCAAGTATGTTGACGTTTAGAGAGAGAGAGGAGAGAGGAATATACATGGTAAGGTTGTAGAATGATCCACATTTCTCTGTTTATAAGATGAGATGGGAAATGTGGTGGCTTTTGTATGACAAATTCAAGCAATAAAATAAAAAAGTAAGGCAAACAAGAAACCCTATAAAACGCTCGTTGTAATTCTTTGATGGTATAATTTTTATAATTGAATCGTTCCCGAAAGAACGTTCTGCCCAATTAACTCGATTTTACGCAAGAATCAAAATTTGAAAAGATATACATATTTACATTTCTGAAAATTTTGCATGCATGAGTTGAATACGATGGATCACAAAATCATCAAGACAAGAGCTTATTTACACATACCGATCTGTCAAAACAATAATTTATGAGTGAAAACAGTCTGAAAAAATGCATGGAAATACTTTGTTTGGTCTCGTTTCGTTCTTAAACTCTTAAAAATTTGTGGCGGTGTAAACCCGATGAGGGAAAAGTACGTACGTAATCTTCACACGTGAAAATATTTACGGAAATTTTGAGAATTGCCTTGATTTTCGTAAAAAAAACCCTCTCTCCTCCATCACCACTTTTATCCTCTTAAAATACCTATTTGAGCTTTTATGTATGTACTTTTTATAAAAAAACTGGTCGATCAGAGTGAAATTCAATTTACGTAATAAAATTCTACTTTGCCTCCAGCCCTAAATATTTGAATGTCCATGGTCTCTCGCAAAAAGGTGAAATGACTCCGCCGTATGCATTAACTTGTTGCTTTTGACTCTGCGGTTGGGCAATTTGTATAACAAAATCCCAACAATTTTCCTCCCCACCACCACCAACCACACCTTCCACGTGAGTGAATGGAAAAAAGAAAATGATGCAGGTTGACGTGATGTAAGCAAATGCAAACACGAAACGAAGCCATATATAAATCGACCCCTTATTCCAAGTCACGAAAGCAATGCTCAACACAAACATGTCACCATCGGCTTTTGTGTGTGTGTGCCATGACCTCTCTTTTTCGCCACCACTTGTGACACGATGACCACGTTGCAGAAATCCTTGGTGACTTTTGTTCTCCACTTTCTCCCCTAAACTACGAGCCTGACACGTAGAAAGAAGATGACAGGTCTAATTTTATTTATGGTGCGCAATCCGTCATTGATGCGGATCCGCACAATTTGACATGGAAATGAATGAAGATTATCCATCCGAGCTTGGCCTGTGCTAAGCTCTAGATTCTCCTCGCCGCCGATTGTTACTGGCATGGCTGGCACTACGTAGTGGTTGGAAAATTGAGTGAGTGAGTGAGTGAGACATGTGTGGATAAGCAACTTCTCTTCAAGAAGAATAAGTCCACGGAAAAAGGCGACAAGTGTGAAGAGAAGGAGCATCACGAGAACTGTTTGTGTATGGAGGATGAGAGATGAGATGAGATTGTGCTGATCAACGTTAAGCGTCGTCGATGAGAGACAAGTTTTTTCCCCTCTTGCTGCTGCCAGAGATGCTTTGTTTGATGACTTGGTTGCTAGTTTTGCACTCACGATCAGCTAATTCATCACATCGTCAAGACACAGATAGATACTCGCGAAACTTTGTCTCTTCTAGGATTATGGCTAAGTAGCTCTCATCCTCAGCCAGTTTCCTCATCTGTTCTACTTGATCGGGCTTTTTTATCATTAATTTTGTACGGAAAAAAAAGTGAGTGCTATAATATTTTAAAAATGGGGAGACACTTTCTCCCTTTACATTGTATCGTAATTACCATTAAGTTTATGTACGGGGAACTGTTTTTGCATAGTGGAAAGTTTTTTTTTTTGATAAGCTTTCTTACTTGGAAAATGGGATTTCGGCCTCTTTAACTTTTCCTGCTAAATCACAAGGATATGGAAATGTGTACCCGGTATTGCTTCAATCTGGTCGTGGGTTTATCCGGCCTATGTGTAGGCGGGCGGGCGAAGGAGTGACTCTTCCGCAGGGCTCTTGTTGCTATATGCACCCTTATCCTCAGCGAGCGAGAAACGGTATGAATTCAAGCTCACACACTTTTAACATTATTAAAAATGTCCACCCATGTGAAAGAGAAAGTAAGGTTAAATTGTGTCGTGTGGTGACATTTAAAATAACCTATGGCGAAAATATTTCGGGAGAAAGACACATCAACGAGATGCCTACAATATCCGCAACCAGCCAGCCAACCACCACTGCTAAATAGACCACCGACTGAAAGGCTAAAACATGATAAAACAGTAACAGTACATTTCCAGTTGCAAAAAACTAAATACAGATACTTCACCCATGCCTAAGTCTGGTTTTGTACGTACGTAAGTCTGGTTACATTTACTAGTTTGACAACGTTTCGCGAGGTAGGTGTGCCCCTGGTGGTGGTGCTGCTACTGCTGCATACGTAAAGTAAATAAAGATAGAAGTGTCACTAATAGAATCCCAATTTGCACACACATAAATTTATGCTCAGCAATAATCCATTCTCGCCGTTTTTTTCTCCCTGAGTAACAACTCGGTTGAAATAGTTTCGATTGAGCGTGAAGAATTTTAGATTCGATTTTTATGCTCTGTCCATGGGGAAAAGGATGCTGAGAGAAACCGGAAATGGGGCAAACAGAGACAAGTTTCTCCTCCACACGACTAACCAAACCTAATAATGCCATGCACCATGCATATTGTGTACGTCCTACACACTATATTTAATTACACACTAATTGGTTTATCCACCCGGAGAGGTTGGCATCAAGAATTATGAAATGAAAGCAATATTTATCTTTCCCGACGCATGAGTAAATTTTGCCCTAAACAACAAGTCCACGAGACCATTATACATAATCATCATCGCCACCGCCGCCGCCACCGTGGTGCTGCCTTGCCTTTCCTGCTTCTGTCTCTTCTAACTTGTTGTCCGCCACCGCAAAACTTTGGTCAAATTGAGGGAAACAATTTGGACTGTGAACTTGTACGTAAATGTTGATAATGGAAGTTTCCACAATGGTGGATGAGTCGGTCATTAGATATCCTTGAAGTTGTAATTAAATCCCATTTAGGGTTTTGTGGTGATGAACGGTGTGGGGACACCAAAGAAGCGACGCAAAGCGACGCAAAGCAACGCAACGCTCATCATCACCACCTCTTTAAAGATGAGGATCTCTGATGCTGCTGCTTGGTTGGAGGTGGTGGTGCCAACTGTCCTGCTAATAATGTGTGACGAGACAAGACCTGACTAATACTTGGGCTCTATAAATTCACACTCCAAAATATGATAAGTGAAGGAGTGCCGTTGTGCCGTGTGGTGGTGTCGAGAGAAAGATTGCTATCATTTTCGCTCTGAACACGGCGCCGTGCCAATAATGAGGGAATATTTAACCTCATTATTCCGCCTAATTAAATTCATTTACCTTACCGTCGAGGCAGCAAAATTGAGACGGAGACGTCGACGACGCTGAGACGACGAAACGATGTCGATATCCGTTTCCTCCTACTCCTCCTTCGCTGATAGATAATGATGCCCCGTATGTTATGCCAATCTCACTTTTGCACTTTCCTATTCCTGCTTCGTCTTCTTGACGAGATTGAGATTATTAAAATAGGATGAAGACGAAGGTGGTAGGAGAAGAGTCGAGTCTCGTATTTATGATATTCCTCAAATTTTATTGCTTTTGCAGATGGGTTGAAAAAACCAGGGGCTCGTTACTCTTTCTTCTTATTACACACTTCTCATTGTTATTAAGAGTTTGAGATTATTATAGATTTATGATGAATAGATCTTCACTCTCCCAATATCCATATGACTCATGGCTACTTGGAGAACACTTTTTCACTCCTGTCTGTGTCTCCTTTTTTGGGGGGGAGGAGGGGGCGGCACACACGGGACAGAGGACACGTTATAGGTGTTGTTGTTCCTGTTGTCCCAGGTAATTTGGGGTTCACCTCAGAAATGCTCCCGAGAGGGATATCGCTCGAGAGAGAGACGAGGCTGAAATCGATCTCTCTTTTAAATCACCGACAAGACAAGTGGTGCTTGCAAGAAGGCGAAGACTTTACCGTCGTCGTCGTGATCGTCGACGCTATCAATATTGGATCCCACCACACCGCCGTCCCACCACCACTGCGGCTGCCGTTGTTGGAGAGTGATTCGAAAAGTAAATCTTTCAAGAACTGGGGAGATAAAGAACTGCTACTGGCGACGAGGAGGGCATATGTTGGACTCGTCTCGTACAATATACAAAAGTACACACGAACGAAGCCTCCTCCTCTGGAAGCAGTTGCTGCCAAGCTAATTGCATGGGCGAGGAATTAAGTGAATGAAGAAGAGAGACCACAGACAAGCTGAGAGGACACATGCCCACAACCAGGAATATGCATGCATTGACTGCTCTTGTTTAATTTGCATGGCGATCATTTTAATTCTACAAGGAAAGGTGGCTCTTCTATTGGAGCAGAGTTAAAAAGTGACAGATTTACGAGCACCGGTCGTCTTTTATATGAAAACATATGTAAAGTGGCTGTTGGATGAGTGGTGTGGCCAATACGTGTAATGCTCTCCACCACGAAACAGAAGCACGAACAGAAATTACAGAGAGGAAGAAGAAGTGATCCTTGCGTTGTTCACGAGTCAAAAAACCGTTAATCACTTCGAAATATCACTCCTGCACACGTACTTAGTGCTCCCTCCTCCACCTTATTTGTGTGGTGCAGGCAGGCAGTTGCACGCCAAATTTGCAGAGATCAGCGAATACTAGAGAGAGAGGAGGACTAGTAAGTTCGGCTGCGAGAGGGCAAATGAGATCCGACCCAAGAAAAGAGGGGAGGATGAGAAGAGAGAGAGAGGTGTGCAGAATCTGCTCGTTGTGTGGAAATGTTCAGAATCTCAAATGTTCTGGGATGGAGGTGAAAGAAGAAGAAGTGGTAACTTGCTGTATCCCACTTTCTCGTAGTATTTACCACCCACTGAAAATAAAGCTCCTCAGAAGCAGGTGGGACAAGTTGGTATTGTACTCTTCAACGTTTGAGGAGAGGGCGAGAGAACAGTGATGAAATCGTGGATAATGTCCTCCGATGAGGATCCGAGAAGCTGTGGAAGCTGTAGGATAACTGGGTCTGTTTTTTGACCAACTCTGCTGCTTCTCTTTCTTTCCCACTACCACCCCGACTACTTGCTCTTCTCAACCTTTTGCACAAACTCTCAAGCGCTTTTGGAAAACGAAGAGTTTCTCTGCGAGATGTGCAATACCATTGCCATCGTATCCCCTCGATACTGAAATGACGCCTAGTCAGTCAGTCATCTCACTCATCACTTCTTGATTCCTTCTCCTCCTCCCCCCGGGTGCCAATGGTTGGTGGAGCAAACGGCCCATTCTTCACGGCACCAAATGTCCTCCCATAAACAGAAGAAAAACCCCACAGCCTCCTCATCATCTGCTTCATTATTTCGTATTATTTACGTGTATGCAAAAACTGAACTGCTCGAAATCACTTCCGTTCTGCCTGCCACGAGCAGCAGCAGTCCATTCCTGCCTCATTCATTCTCCTCCTCCTCCAGAAAAGCCAGCATCAAGAATCATCATGTTTTTGGGACCAGTCGTCACTCTCCTTTCTCCAACAAATATATATATGTGCATTACATAATGAAACATCACATCCATCGGGCCAACAGTTGCACACGGCTGATCTCGAATGCAGCAGAGGAGGACGACTTACAACATATTTGTAGTTATGGCCAGAAATTGCACAACCCCAATACCCGGCATGAAGTATCCAATTTCAGTCTCATTTGCCAATTCTCTCTTCTCCTTCATGGCACGATCCTGCCGACAAACAAGCCATGCATGTTGTCGTACCCCAAAGGATTGATTCACCTCTGATTCTGCACCAGCTCTTGACTGTGTGTGTGTGTGCATTATTGCTTTCTCCATTCCCTGCACGTGAGATGTCCCAGTATTTTAATCCAGATTACTACCCGTGCCATGACAAGGTTGCGTTTGGAGATGGTTTTTCTACAAGGCAATGGTGCAAATAGAAGGTCAATAATGTGGCGCACAAGAAGAGGAGAATGGAGAATTTATACGTTTCATGAGGACTTTCAACTTGAGATAAATACACGGCTGGGAGACGTACGGGTTGGACATTAATAAGACTAAATAACTCATTTAATGGGACACGATAAGCAGCAATTCAAGAGTTTTTCTTCTCGATAAGCCTTTTTGTTCTGGTTGGATTATTTTTTTTTCTCCGTGTGGCTTTTGTGTCAAGTTGATAGCGGAAAGATTGACATGGGAAGAAAGAAGGAGACGAGATTCATAAATCCGATTGTTCCTCCTCCACACGATTTGGCTATTCCACGAAGGAAACAGAGATGAAAGAGATCAACGGTTCTGTTCAAATTAATGCATGCTGCCGACTTTTCCACCACCACTCATTGGCCACTTGGTGGGCTCGTGTTTAGTGGATATGGATCTAATAAGAGGGACTTCAAAGGCGTAGCGCGTGGTGCGGTGTGTGGCGTTCATAAATAGTTTTCGCATTCTTTTGTGACTTTCTCTGCCAGGTTTTGCTGGGAGAAATTTGGAATTTTTGTGCAACTTCTCCTCATCCAAGCAAATCATTCATTCATATTCATAAAGCCGTAGTCCTTCGTCGTCGTCCTCTTAAAATAGAAATTTCTCTACACACTTCAATGTCACGTGGGCTGTACAAATTTCCGCGTGTGGTCTGGTCGTGTGGTGGAGAACTATGTGCGACAATTTTGTTCCGTTTTTAGCCCACACCACACCACACGTTTTGTTTCATTCATTCATGTAAAAGTTGAAAATGTTAAGAGCTGTTTCCGGGCGTGGAAAGACGAGTAGATTGAAAAAGTGGTGAAGAAAATCCCCTTCCCGGGGAGACGACGATCTTGAAGTATTTGTCTATCCGATCACATCAGAGTTGGAGATTAAGTCAGACTTTTAAACTAACCAATCATGACTTTAATCAGAGAGAGAACTTGGTGAAACCACATCTGATGAATTTGCATGAAAACTGTGTGAATCGCTTACCCGCCTCCCTCTTGCTTCGCGAGGCTGACTGAGCGCACATTGAATTTCAAAGCTGTGAATAAAAAGTGATGAACAAGAAGTGGTTGAGAGGAGAAAGTTGGTGGACGGACGAAGAACAAGGGGAACAAGGCTCGTGGAGAAAGCAGCAGACTAGTCGACGAAACTAAAGAATTCAGCAGAGCAGAGAGACGTCGTCGTATATATGAAGCGAGTCTTGGTGATGGTGGTGATGGTGCCAGAGGAATATAATTGGTCCATCCGCACCCAACTGGCAGCCCAGTGTCACAAAAGTAAGCTGATGACGCTGCTTATTGCAAATAGATTTGGTTATGGTGTGAACAGTAGTCTTCTGAATTGTGGCATGTTTCAGATGTTCATGCCAAAGTGACATTTTCTGACTGACATTCCTCGTCAGTCAGCAAATTCTCGCTCTCTCTCTCTTCACCGGTAATGACTCATCCACTCCACGCGTCCCCACCGCAACACCGTCAACTACGAACAACGACCTGTTATGCATTCCTCTCATTGGCACGAGGAGGAGGAAAATCAAGACTAACAGCATCATCCGTGGTGGTGCAAAATGGAATAAATCAATCAAGGAATTTTCTCAACTTTCACTAATTATCGATTAATACGAAAAATAAAACAGGACAAGTCTCTTCTTTCTCCTGCTGTCATCCAAAACGACGAAATCCTCTCATTCCATAATCTGCGAAGCGGAGAAAGTCACCGTGGTGCGGGTCTCGAGTGGATGAGAGAATTCTTCTTCCACCCTGGCTTCTTCTTCTGACTGATGATGCCTGGCTTGGCTGCCTGGGATTCCTCTTCCTCTTCTTTTTTTTATTGATGACTGAGCTCAGCTCCTCGGAAACTTTGAGTCAGTCACACGACGAAGAAGAGCCTCCTCCACAATCCCAGAGGACAACAGACAATTTTAATTGACAATTTACTGAAACACATTTTCTCAAACGACGACAAGTCAAAAATAGACGTTCAAGTGGAGGTAGGCGGATGAAATGGCCACGTTTTTTCATCCACGCCTGGGAAATCTTTTCCAATCAGAGACGTGGTGCGTCAGATCGATGGTTTTTCTCTCTCTTGCCGTGTATGATACCCATTATTTACTGCAAATTCATCCATAAACTGTAGTAAATATCAATAATAACCATTTCGAGGGGGATCTTCCCCCACAAACTCAGGGATTTTCAATTACTACAAAGAACCTGAACGGCATATGTAATACTGCCAAGTGAATGAATTAAGTGGTGTTGTGCGGTATTTGGGAGGAGAGGAAGTCACGCTGCTGATGTGTCAGGGTTGTTGATGATGGTGGAGAAAGTTGTTCACAGGAAAGTTATAGTTTTAGCCGTTCAGTCGCTCGACCGATGCGTATGTATGTACGGCTTAACTTACGTATTTATGTATGCATCAAGACCTGGCGACACAGTCCATTTACGCAACATTACATCTGCTGGCAAGTGAAACACTTTCGCCAAGGTGATCTTGTTTGTCGGGGTTTTGCGTTCCGAGGAAATGACGAGAGAGGCTAATAATAATAGAGACTCGGAAATCCTCTTGGCTCTGGAGCAAAGGTAAATTAATGCTTGCGAACAGATTAGCCAGTTGGAAACAAAGTGCATTAATCACTCGACCACACCGTTCACACATACGACCATACGTACGCAGAGGAATGAATGATATTGAAATTTCAACCACAAACAAAGTCCGATCTCCTCCTTTCATCTCGCCTACATTTCAATTTGGTTGGACCCTGAGCATCACACGCTGGGAAAATCAACTCATTTATTACCATCGGCAAACAAGTCGTCGGTTTCATTTCTCCAGGATCAACAAAAGCACAATACTTTCACACAAACAAACGGCAACGAGTAGGTTGTTGTTTGCCCTGATTTAATAGAGTAAGTAAGGAGCCGTTGGGGTAGATTACACGTAGGTGGGGATTTCATACATTTGCATTTTTCAACCTTCCACAGGATTATTGAACAATTCTTCTTCTTCACACACTTCGTAAATTTCAACAGTGCCACAAAATGTTAAATGGGAGCCAGGCTTGTTAAAAACATGGCCGGGTGTAATTTTGCTGAAAGATTTAAAAGGTGTCAAAAAATATGACACCGTTCAATTGAGCGAGTGCTTTACAAGCTGCAAGTTGAGTTGTTCTTTCGTATTATTGTCCCATAAATTTCCTCACCCGGGGAACAGATCCGATTTGCTGGCATACATAATATGACAACCATGTGCAAGCAAAGCAAATATTTTTACGAGGAGTCAGCTTCGCAGTCCAATTTGTGCTTTAGAAAGAGTATTCATTTAGAGATAACATTCCATTTTACAAATCTTTTATCACGTGATAATTGATAACGTTATTTTAAAGAATTGCATCCCATCCGGTATTATTTTTATATACCATTTTTGCATAAAAATGTAGGGAAAAATTCGCCCTCGTCATCAATTACTGGGGACAATCTCGTCCGCCTCGACTGCTTTCACATGTACGTACGTAGATATTTCCTCTCCGAGAATTCGCTGCTGCAGCAGCAGCAAACAGACCGAACTGATTTTTGAAGAGCATTGTTTTTATTTCCAGCGTTTCGGACAGGGTAAACATTCCAATTTCACAGTTTTATTTGTTCCCTGTCTCCAAAGCAGGCAGGCCGTACATATGGTGACCGTATAAGTATCTCGTGCACAGTGGCCGCAGAAGCATGAGGGGACAATGTCCCCACGGTTGTTCGATGTCGGCATCATCTCCCCATCTTATAAACCCGGTCCTCCCCTGTTAATGTCCCCACGGGTTCCGCGGCCACTGCTCGTACATACATAGCGGGCCATGTTCACTCAGATGTTATGTTATGTGCACATCATTTCCATTCTGAGAGGAGAGGGAGCCATCGGGGTAAACCGACCATTCAGGCGGATATAACTTTCCAAACCATTATCATCTCGATGCATTTCTCTCTCTAACGTCATCATAGGCCATATTTTTTGTCGGAATCGTCCTCCCAATTCAATCTCTCCCTCTAATCGGCCTCTCCTCCCACAACCTCCCACAACCATAATCATCTACGTGAAAACCAGTAAGTATACTTAAGATTTTTTGTGTGTGACATTCATATCTATGAATGTCTTTATATGTATGCGCCACACGACGCCATGTAGGAGAAAAAAAACTTGCAGATTTTTTTAACCTTTTCACACTTTACGGCTTTTTCTCTCTGCTAAATTTTCTCATTGTTCTGGGATCGACATATTGCCGCATAGTTAAAAAGAAGGCTGGCTGGGTATGTAGACATTCCGTGTAAAAATAAAATACTCGATCGGATATTTTTTTACGAGACTCGTCGTTCCACGGGAACCATGTCCCATTCATGAGTCATACGGGGAGTTGTAAGTTTTAAGGTTTCCGATTTGCATAAAAATATGGAGCATTTACTGTAACAACGCCGCCCTAATTGCGAACAGCATGGTGGTGCACTTATGTACCTCGTATGATGTATGGAAAGTATCCACTTCCTCCGAATTCATGGCATAATTTAATAGCTCCAAGAATTTGCTCGATAAACGAAACGCTTCTAAATCCTGCAATTTTCAGGCTTCGTCTCATTCCACATGTGCAGCCGGCTTGGTTTGGTTTTTAGTATGGGTGCACAATTGACTGAAAATTTCCATTCAGCTTTCTCATCTTGGTTTACAACCTTTGCAGCCTTTTTAAATTTACCTACAGGGATTGATTCCGATGACCGGTACATCCTCAAGGCTGGCTTATAATTTTACGTCAAGGAATACCTATTTCACCTGCAGCTCCATGTGCGACTAGGTTTAAAATCGATTTTTTTCACTACAGAATTACACATTAATCCAACCGGATTGACGTCCCCGTAGTAAAAAAAAGAAGAAGAAAAGCTGGAAGTATACGGATTGAGAAACTTGCCCCCGAAATAACCAGGTTGTTGCGCAACCGGGATTAATTGCAGGATGGAGGAATTTTGCAATTAAGTATTGTACCTAAAATAAGTAAGTAAGCGTTATGACTTGATAGACCGGAAAAGAGGTCCGACATCATTATCATCATCATCATCTTGCTCTTATGCAGGCTGAATTATTCATTCCCGTGCTACCCTAATTGCCACGAGACGGACGATTCCTCGCCACGCCACGTGTGTGCGTATGCCAAGAAGAAATTATGAGAAACAACGGACGGAACAAAATTAAAGGTTTCTTATTATTTCGTTGCGACAATCGTATGATAAAAGGAGGTAAGTACATACATACTGATACACGAGTTTTCTGGTACACGAGTCTTACCTACAACTACATTCCTCCCAAGATAAGCTCGCTTCGAGGAAATACAAGCGTCTCTTAGGATGAAGATGAAATGAAAAACTAAATTTTTGATCAGACAACCACCGGCATTTCCTGGAGACAAGGATAGAAGAAGAACTTTTGAGGGGGGAGGAGGAGCAGGTTGAGACAAATGAGGAGAAGAAGAACCTGCAATGAGCCGAGGCGAGGTGAGAGATCATGCAAGTTCTTATAGGAAGTCAGGAATGAAAGCTGAGTAGTGAGTCGGATGTCGAATTTGTCAGCTGGAGCTCAACTCTTGTTATCTTTTCTAAACACCGACATCCCGATAATGTCGTGGTTTTAGGAGAGAGTGCACAGAAGAAAAGCTTGCTGGATTTCTTCTCAGGTTGATTCTCATCATCATCATCATCGTCACATCGTCATCCTCCTCACGCGAAGGTGGGTACATACAGGCCGAGTAGTTTTTAAGTGTGAACCATCAGAATCATTACTACCAGAGGAGCACGGGAAAGTCAGGTAGAGAGAGATTCAGGTCGGTCGCCGGGAAGCTCTGAGGGGTGGGAGAGGAGCAGATGAGCTTTAGGTTATACATAAGTCTTCCTCGTCCCACCAAAATGGGCGAGGAGCAGGCAGAGGACTGTTCGAATTCGAATGTATAAATCAGATTGAGATTGTCATGTGGCTCAGCGTGAGTTGAGTGGATTCTAATTGAAGTGTTGCACATGTACATGTGCATAAGCGACACAAATTCTACGAGTTAAAACCGCTCTCTCTCCGCTTCTCCCATCCGGATGAATGTACTCGTCCGTCCGTATATCATTTGGTGCAAAAGGTCGTAAAAGGTTGTAGGGCATCGTAAAGGTATTTCAGTTGAACCGCTTTTCCGCCTTGTATATTTCATCCTCCGTTCAAAATGAGGAGATTGAATTTGTGAAGAATGGGCGACGATAATGTGATTTTAATGGGATGAATCTTATTCGAGACCAAAGCCCTCCGCGTTTGAAATGGCAATGATCAATTTCTTCTTGAGCACTTCTTTGTTCGGGTACTCGGGCAAGATCAACTGATTAAAGCAGGTGTGAGCCTCGGGAAGGTTCTCTTCTCGGTCCCTCATCCTCGAAATCTGCACAAAGAGAAAGCACAACATATGTAGAACAGAAGACATATAGGAGACACGTAACGATGGGAAAATCTGTTCCGTATGGATTTCTCGGAGAGTGAGACAAAGCCAATAAGTTTCTTTTGCGATGCGACACCCGGGATTTGATTCTCTGAGTGAGGAAAAGGACTCAAACTGTTGGGTCAAAGTTTGTTGTCGTCCAGGGAAGAAGGCAGCGAACAAGTTAAGAGTTCTGGGGAGAAAGGAGCTATGTGGGTTCAAAGCCGAGAAACAAAAGGAAACTTTGTGTGTGATCATGGACGAGGACGACGACGACGTAAATTGGACGGGAGGGGAGGAGGGGACGGTTTGGGGGGAAAGAAATGGATAAGGAAACGTCATCCTCATGTATGTTCCCACCGGGTGTGTGTTGCATGAAATGTAATAAGGGCTTTATGGATGAAGTATCTTTGGCTTAAAGCTTAAAAAACATGCATCGCTCTCTCACTTACTTTCATGTTCATCTCACCCATCCCACCAACCGGGATCCGGTCGGAGCCGGTGGTGAAGAGGAGAAACTTTTTCTGCAGCTCCAACGGCAAAGATATCAAGACGGACCAGAAATCTCTGCAAAGAAAGGAAAGGAGAAAGTCAAATTTTGTCAGTCTCACCTCGTCCCGCACACCCTCCGACTCGTACTTTCATACACACCGAAAATGCCCACCTCCTCCTGCCTGGCTGACTTTCTCTCTCCCTTCCTCCTCTCTGTTTCTCTCAGTCGAATGATGGGCGATTTGCTCACCCATTCAAACCTATTTGATCATGCAGATAAATTCACACTTACGTACAAGTTTCACTCGAAATGAAAAATACAACTGGCACTTGGTCTGGTTTTTCTCTCTATTTTTCCACCATTATTACTGGATGTGTATGAATGGATGGACAGTAGTGCGTACGAAACCCCGTCGAGAAATCAATTACTTACTGAATGACTCTGTCGTCAGGTCGATATTCATCGTACTCTGTGACTTTCCTCAGCTCGTGAAGGTCCAGGGTGGGTGAGCCACAGACGAGCATTTCCACCTCCTCAGGTCGCAGCATCTGTAGAAAAGAGAGAGAGACACACATTTGAGAGAGAACAAGTCGCCAAACGAGGAGAATTGCATTAGACAAAACTCTCGTCAATTAGTGAACATTAAAGTTTTAGAGGGAACTTGCTACTCTGTAATCAAACTGGTTGTACCAACACCTCAAAGATGGCTACATACTTATATTCCTCGCATGTATATAGGCCCGAAAAGGAGGAAAATGGGGTGCAAAGTTCAAACACTTATTTGCCGAAGGAGTATAACAACAATGCCTTAGCATGCATACATACGACGATGACTTCTGTCAACTGCTGAGCTCTCAAGTGTTTTGTAGTTGCAATTCCGCCATGAATAATAGAACCCTTTTGGAAATCTTTTGAATTTATAGCAACTTATAAACCTTGCCTGCAAAGTAAAGTTGGCCGTGTGGTGGTTGGGCCAAAACGGGAATACTTTGTTTCATGAAACATGGCACAAAAACCGCGTCCCATTATTATCAATGCATATGTACATACATATACAACATCGTACGTAAAATGAGCAGTTGTTTATGCGTCGACACGGCGCTTTGAATTGAATTGAAGGTTTTTCTTTTCTCCACTTTCACCATCTCTTCAAGAATCATCCAAAATAGTGTGTGTCGAAATTTTTGAAATTTTTTACAGGTACGTCGGAGTCGTAGATAAGTAGCAGCTTTACGTCTCTCCTCCTGCCGAGACAACAGTTGACAGTACTCATTGAGTCGACTCAAGGAGTTGGAATCTGAGTTGTTTGCTCAGTCAACACTCGAAAAGTTTCCGACCATTGAGATAAGTTTAAACAAAAGTGAGAGAAAAGGTTTTCCTCATTCTGTCCAAAACCTATACGACCACTGCCACCACACCACGGAGGATGAACATTAGGTACGAACAAGGAGAGGCAGATATACACACACAGGGGGAGAGAATTGAGATAACTCACAATCAATGCATTGGACGCCGTGACGGAGTGGAATCCCAAATAGAAGGCTCGAAATTGAGCATAAATTGCCGTGTTGAGCACCCAGTCGAGATAGAGGCGGACGTATTCTTCCCGATTCTCATTTGTGACTGGAATGTGCTCCCCGTTCTCTGAAAGAAGACAGGAAAATGGCTTAAATTAGCGCAAAGTTAGTTAATACAAGTGGAGAGAAATTCAAATATTCTCTCTGTGATTGTATAAAAACGAAAAAATTACGAAAAAATACAAAATTAATGCGATGAGTGCAGTGGCCTTTAAAAAAATCAATTATTTACTCACTACTGCCCTCCACCATTTATTTATTTATTATTATTTATGGCCGTCTCAACGGAGCAATTAAATTATTAGTGCAAAAAAAACAATTAGATTTACCTTTAAGGTTGTAGGTCATGATTCGATCATACTCTTGTAACGAGGCCTGTGAATAGAGAGACGAGATATCGGTGAGATTTATGACACCAGGGCGGTCAGTACATGCCCAAATTGAAAGAGAAAGCCATTCCCGACACATTATTAAATATCATTATTATCATCAAATAAGCGTCACAAGTATTTCTGGGGCTCGGAAAGAATTTATTTATCAGTCATATTTCACCCTTCGTTGACTTGATGATCACTCGTGTGGGGATTTTTTTAGGAAAAAAAAGAAACCCAACGTCCTCGAAAGAAAGAACTCTCGACGTCTGACTTTCACCAAGGAACAAGTTGTTGCTTGAGCCACCCACGACTCTCAGTGTTTGACAATGTCTCACCTGGAAGCTTAGTCCCATGTCCTCTTCCACGCTGCCCTCGTACTTCAAGAGCTCCCTGAGACCGTGAGCAACATCCTGTGGGAATAAAATAAATGATAGCCTGCTCTCCTCCTCAAATGACACCATGAATCTCATCCCCACTCACTCCACCACCACCACGAGTCAATATGATCCGGTATGATTGCTTTTGCTGTCAACAGTCCATATGTTTCTGTCGAGGGAATCCCGGATTACAACTTTTTTTAATTTATACCCATCCACCTCTTCTCCGTCCAAAAACTTCCCCGGGCTAGACCAACACGGGACAGGGGAAAGTTTTAAAGACAGTTTTTTTCACCACCACCACTACCACCGACACAAAAGTTTCGAGATGACGATGGTGTCTCGGTGGAGGTGGTGGTTTCCATATTCTCTCTTTTTGGGCGCAAGTAAATCAAATTTGAATGAATTTTAAAGCATGGTAAAATAGCCTATTGCTCTCAAAGGACTGTTATTGTTCCACGTGCTTTTGTTCCGAATGTTCCCATCATATAAAGTTGAACATCCAATAAAACCAACCAGCAGAGAGAGGAGTCTCATCTCTCTCTCTCTCTCTTCAGGAATGTTCAATTGTATGATTCTCTCTTTAATCCCCTGAGTCAAAGTCAGCCATGCTCCACCAGCAACAAAAAAAGAAGGCTTTGTCTGATCAAAGTGTCAAATAAGTGTAAAGCTGTGAGTTAATGGTATTTAATACCGGCAATGCTAACAATAAGCTCTCTGAAAGGAACGACTTCTTTGCCGTGTCTGTCCGCCACACATGTCCATCCATCCATCGAACAAGTTCTATGTAGTAATTAATGACGGGGATGCGACGATGAGGGGGTGTCCGACATGTCACTAAGCTCAGAGAACGACCCACACGGTGAAAAAAGAGTCACCACGGCTTAGAGCCCCATTATTGAGCAATAAATGATGATAACAAGCTTTCTTTTTATATTTGACTCCTTTCTTCCCTCAGAAAAAAGCCTGCTGTCAGTTGGAGGAGGAGGTGGTGGCGGTCAGTGGACGCGGAAGGTGTGGGGACATTAACATTGTAGGATGAGGGGAGGGACGGGTTTATATAAGATGGGCAGAGGATGGGGACATTGTCCCTCTGTCCTTCCGCGGCCACTGGTCGTGGTGAAAAATGTGTGGCTCTCGTGGTGATGGTGGGACGAAGAAAAGAGTAAAAGTAAGTACCGGCATGATCTCGGCGAGGTCATCAATACTTGGATCCTTGGTCACTCCAACGGCCGCAGAGTCCAGCGGAGGAACCACTGGCGGAGAAAGTAACTTCCGATAGCAAATAGAGGGGAAGTGGAGGTCCAAGATAATTGAATTGTATACTGCAAGTCCCATCAACACACCTAAAGTGGACCAAAGAGAAGAAGGCCATTGTGCATGAGTCGGCTTCTTTTAACTGCTTTGATACATGAGAAAAGGTGGAGGTGGAGGTGGACGACTGAGAGAAACTTCCATTCACAAACTTTGTCTGAGAGGGGCCTCGCCCAAGAAATCAATGCGAAGCTAATCAACACAGTTTCCTCTCTCTCTTTTTTTCCTCTCTTCCTGGAGCAATTATATCCCTCCAAGGAGGAGGAGGAGGAGACCAGGGTGGGTGTGGTTGAGGGAGGAAACTGTACCTCCAGGTTTAAAAAATTGCTCCCAGTCGGACCGCAATTACGTGTAAAGTTGGTCTCATTTTTTACTCGAGGAGCTGCTCATTGTTCCTCCAAAAGTGAGATTTAGGTAGGTTTGGATGAAGGGAGGAAGAAGAAGATGATCGGGTGCTCAAGTGGCAGGACGGGATAAGTTGTTGGATGGTTGTTGGTGCAGGGAGAAAGTGGAGAAAGAAGTGAGTGAGTGAGAGACACAATCCACTTTTCACAGGCAAATCAGCCCAGCACATAACAAAATGTGATTACCTATGAGATTGTATTCCCTGAGACTTCCTTGTTGCGCCAGACTGAACCAATAGCACCGAGAGTTCGGATAGTAGACAAACATCCCATATTCGGGCTGTGAAGAGAAAAAATAAAATACATTCTGTAATCACTACGATGCATTTTCAGTCAAATTCGTATTCTTCTCTCTCTCTCGTGACCACACCACCACTTTTATGGGATTTCCTGTGCAAATAACATCCCTCCTCTTGTATTATGATGATGCATCCATTCACACCATAGGCAAGCCAGGCCACCCATCAACAAACCACTCTCCATTTTCACTCGAGACAGGAAAATAAACCAACACATACATTTTGGCCGAGAGAGAAAGTCAGAGGATGGATGGGCGGGTGCAATCTCACTTCATTTTTCTCCTCAGCGAAAGATAAGACTTTCCCAAAAGGACATGATGCATTGCCCACTTGATCAGAAAGAAATCTACCAACTGCAAAAGCCCCCAAAAGCTGTACACATACTCGTCTTGACTGACTGACTGACTAACGGACCAGTGCCGCGGAAGCCGTAGGGACATCGGGGGACATTAAAATTGTGGGATAGGGGAGAAGGGCTGGGTTTATATAAGATGGGGAGATGATGCCGACATCGAACAACCGTGGGGACATTGTCCCTCTGTCCCCTCAAGCTTCCGCGGCCACTGTCGCTAGCCCGGTCCGCAGTCCATTTCGCATATCCGGCATGCACCCAGCCGACGAGGACGACGACGGATTATTACGTAACGCGGAATAATGAGGGGCGGAAGAATGAATGGCCTTTTGAGTAAGTATTTAGAAAAAAGGGGATTTTTGCACTACTAAGGAATCTGCCTCCTTTTTTATGGTACAACATACCTGGAAAATGTCCCTGATGAGGAGGAGGAACCACTCCTTCGTGAGACCACCCATGTCCAAACCAGGCTCTCCGACAAAGGAGACTCGTAACTTCTTCTTTAGATCTTTTTGTTTGGACGCTATCTGGAAAGAGTTAGGTTAGTTTTCAGTGTAATACATAATGCGGAATGGGATCGCTTTTTTGATGAGATTTTCCAGATTTATTTTCCAGAGAAAAAGAAAAAATTACTTCTTTTAGTGAATCGGCCACCAAATAATTACGGCGAACGTTGATGTTGAGAAAAAATATGTCAATTTGCGGAGTTTGATGGCGAGCCACTTTGGCGACGAGTGACCTTCTCGCTACTAATATCATTTGATGTTCGGCATCCTAATTTCAACAAGCAGAATAATAAGATCAATCCCGTCTCAAAATTAGTTTTCGTGAGGGAGCGAGTGCATGTGGCTGGTGGATGGTCAGACATATGCTTATGTACCTTGGTCAGGATGATGCGCTTGGCTACGATGCTGAGCATGAAGGGATACTGACAATAAGAAAACTGTCCCGGTCTTTCTGGACTCTGCCAACGCCAATATTCCTGCATCAAGTCAACATGGTCCAGTGCACTGTTATAAAACTCTGAGTAGTGGAGCAGGGCCGGCTGGCAACCATTGTTGGCTGCGTCTGTGTGTCACACAAAATACCATTAACTTTACTTTCTCTCTCCTATAGCGTGTGTGGCATCGCTTTCACTCTGCGAGGTGTAAGGACGACATGCCAAACGCTGTCTGTCTCCCCCTCTTCACACACAAATGTAGAAACGCTTAACAAGCCTACCGCCGATGTCATGATTCTCGTTCAGTTCGTGCATTTGCAAATTCCCACTTGGTTCCGCACTCAATCTCGGATTTCGCTCTCGATTGGTCTTATCATAATATTTTTACTTCCGCCTCCATCACCACCACCACCACCACTTCCATCCACGAGTAAGTAAGTAACGCGCCCAGTGGTTGCCGGAGTGGGACGTCCGTACACATGTAGTCACTCAACCTGTCACCCCGTCACTTGTGCAGAGGTGTAAAAACCTCACATTGGTTTCAAACGCTAATTAAATTATTTCCATAAAACCAACCATAATGGACCAACCCGCATTTAATAAAACGAGTCGAGTGGGAGTTGGTTGACTTGATGAGACGAACAACACCACCGCGCCGAGGGAATTACATTAGTGGTCTTGTCCAGGACAGGACGACGACCATGTTGGGTTGGCAGTTGAAATGCGGAGATATATATACGCATAGCTTAGATATTCTTCAAATGCCTCTCCGTCCCCAAAAACCAGACGCTAACAACTCTGCTGACGCACAACTCAATTCTCTCTCTCTCTCTGTCCAACAAACCAGATCATTTCAAAGCAAGCCCGGCTGCTGGAATCTGTCTGTCACATCCTCTCTCCGATCCTTTTTGAGATAACCCTGTGACCCATAAAAGTCAAGGGAAAAAATTGAGAGAATGATGACGGACAAATAATAGAGTAGCTTTCAAGTCTCGTAATATCCTGTCGGCCGAGAGTCGTCGTTCGTGAGAAGAACAACTCGACAAAAGGTGATGGCATAATGTAGAGGGGAAAGTGTGACCCATGCCGGTAGCTCCACACGACACGCTTGTACATGCACCCACCCACCCGTCATTCGTCGCGTCGTTATATTTCCAATACTTTTGGATGAGAAGTTGGTTTGGTTTTGGAGGAGTGAGTGAGTGACTGAGTTCTCGTTCTATTAAAACTTTCCCAAGAAAACCATTTGTTTTCTTGTCATTATCAGAGAAGCCTCGTCGTCCTCAACCGCAAGTTTGGGTGAAAGGGGAGAGAGCGCAACAAAACCCACGCTTGACTTCACCAACCACCGCTTTGCCACTGTATGTACGACAACTTTGTAATCCCAGAAATCGCTCTGCTTTCTTCTTCACAACATCAAATACGCCAAATGTGTGTCTAACTCAATGTCAGAATCATGAACAATGCCACATCACACAGCATACACAAACAATTGTATTTTTTTTCGTCACCACCTAAAAAATTCTCTACAAGTTTTAAATTGACGGTGCGACATACTTACTCGCTTTTTTTGTGTGGCCTTGGCTAAAGAAAAAGGGACAGGTGTGAAAGCAACGGGGTAAACTTTGGTTTCAAAAGCTCCATTTCCATTTCTTTTTCTGAGTTTACATTACCAGATTTCACAGACAATTTCTGTTTCTTCTTCTTCTTGCCGTCCTGTCACCGAAATCATTGCCAAACTGTCAATTCGCCATAGTTCTACTTCCAATTCCTCGCCTACGTACATTATCACTACGAAACCAAGCCTAATAAATAGTTTGGAGAGCAGTATAGTTTTGCGGTTTGCTGGTTCCATGCTCTGACGGAAGTTTGCAATTACTTTATGTGCCATGCTGATTTGGTGGTGTGGTGATGCAACGCAGCCAAAGACGCAAGCACATACGTACGTATGTAGATATGTAAATACGTAATGTAGATATGTACACATGTACCTATTTTGGAAACGCGAGTCGCTGGTAAACATGCAGAATTACAATCTAATTCGTCCCGTATTTGTTGTTATCATCTTCCTTAAATCCTCCTCCTCATGTTACTAATACTACGAACATTTCTCGTAGTGGTGGATCATATTTCCTTGCATCAGCAATCTGACGACGAGATATGTACTTATCTATCTCTCTCGTGTGTGGGTAAGTGCACGGCTATTTAATTAGGTTATGGTATTGCCTTTCACTAGATCACTTCTCTCTCTCCTCACTGATTGATTGTTGAGCGGAAATGGAGAATAAATCGAATTCCCATCAGAGTCAGGGATCGTACATTAATCATAATTTGAGACAAGGCGAAGCTGAGTGGATACCTGTGTGTGTCGTCTGCATTTGCCCTGCTCAGCTAATGAAATGAGTACGTACGCGTACGTTACCTTCTCGTGGCGTGGTGAAAGTAAGTAATAAGCGTGTCAGATTTGGTGTCACTGCGTCCTCAAGGACCTCATTTGATGCTTCGTTCATTTTCATTATAACGATTCGAGACAGGAGAAATGTCATCATTACGAAGGAACGACTGGATGGAGGCAAAAAGCTTGATGAGCCGGTAAAGGACATTCTTACAAGTGGGAATTTTTTGCACCCGAGTGAAAATCATGACGCCAACCAAGCGACTAAAGTACCTAGTTTACTAACAGTAAGATATGAAAGATTTTACAATTAGATGGATTACTTATCAAGGCTAACACCCTGGCGGCCGCGGGTATCCACCACTTCGACTTGGACAATGGAGGTAGACTTCGGTCTGCTGGAGGAAATTGGCGAATCGTCACGAATTGAGTCATCTGCCGGACCAGCATTCGCAGCCGGCTTACTTCCAGCCTGAAAAATACGGAGAATTTAAGATGCTTGCTTGTTGATCGGATAAGGTTACGGTTGGTTGGTTCGTATTATTAACAAGTTCCTTCTTTCCTATGTATTCATTAGTGAGTGACATTATTATTGCGAAAAGCATGAAAGAAACCAATGTCCTTTTCTTGGAGGTGGTCTTTCATCCTTTCTCTTTGCACACTTTGCGAAAAAACAGTGTGGCCGAGATTAATAAAAAAAACATGGTGACATTTCCCCCAAATTACATTTACATGGCATCATTTCATCAATATAAGTACATTTTCTGGTCTATACTCACATGCGAAACCAGTGGACGAGGACTTGGTGGTCCGGATTGGGGAGAGAGGTGACATGACGTAGAACGTGAGCTAGCACCGTGTATGAGGATTGAGCAGCAAAGATTGGATTTTGAAGAATTATAAACAAAGCTCGGACCTTATCTTGCGCGTATAATCTGCAACAAAAAGATCACACACTTGGCACTTGTATACGTATTATTATTATCTACAAAGTTGATTTATTGGCACCCCCACGCACACGACGGACAATTGATTCGTACGTTTGACACAGAAGGCAACCAAATCAGGCGAGGGATATAAAATCAAATAGCAGATTCCAATAAAACTAAGCTCCATGTCGGCTTATCTCCGCCTGCCTCTCGCCTCATCACCTTTGTACCGACATTGTTGACTCTGGGATTGACTTGGAGTTGGAGGGAGCAATATTATTATTCTTCTTATTATTATTATTTATGATCATATATGCAGACAGACACCACGTCAATGACTGTCTTAGGATTAGTGGGAATAGTGATTGCTGTGTCAATGTTGGATTATAACATGCACCATTTATGACGGCTAAAGTAATGAGAAACGTCGCCACTTTCTTTCCCCAAGTACATATTTGCTTAAGGGGAACATGTCTATAAAGGTCAGAAATGCGGTGTCACTACTTCAAATTCACTCGCTACTCGGGTATGTAGGGAGGGTTTAAGAATGCAAACAAGTATTGATCGCAATGCAACATCACGGACTCAATAGCCAGCAACCTTCTTTTTCCTTTCTTTATGTGCATACACAAAGGAAGAAGAAAAAAAAAGTTTTGAGAAATGGAGGAAGGACAACACATAAAAGATTGGCACATATTTCCCCTTTATCCCTCTTTCTCTACTGGATAACATCAAAAGCCAAACGGGTGTTGTACTTGTACGAATGTATGAATTGTACTAGTCTCCACTTTATTTCAATCCGTACGAAGGAGGAATAATAAAACTGGGTGAAATAAAAAAAAAGTCGACCAAAAATGTTGATTGAACTAGTCCTGCTTCTCCTGTTTTCACTTCTTTTTCACATCTTGACAGAAATATCAATCCCATTCTCAAATATATAGGCGATTAGGTGGCTAAGTAATGGTGCTAAGTATGTACCTTTAGTGGTTTGGTTTGGCTTTAAGTTTGCCCTTGGCCATTAGATCCCAGCTTATTTTTCCGAGTCACGACTTCCAATTATCCAATTTACTTTCTCTTAATCAATATTGACAGCTTCAAAGTGTTTCTCGCTAATTTTCTAATGCAGCATTGCTCCCTTTTCAGTCGTAATCTCTGGCTGGGTGTACATATGCCCGCCCGGTAACGATACATACGTGGAATGGAAAAGTATGGTTGCATAATAACAACAAAACAATAACAAAAAGGGGCAAAAAGTACACGATAAACAAGAAACAAGAACTCAAAAGAGGACAGACGTAGGATTACAAACTTACTTTTGTTTGTCGTCCAGCAAGGCGTTGACGATTGCTTTAAGCACCGTTTTGTGTACGATTGATGGCTGAAAGAAAGTGTTACAAGGCTTAATTATTGCGGCATAAAACCCATTAATCGTCCCTTCTCGGAAAACTTTGAAAGGTTAAGAAGAAGAGAAGAAGAAGACGTAGAAGAAAGAGGAGCTCAAAGGACGTACGGAATTTCTAAGCGCATCATTCACCGAATACACCAACTCCATGTTCAATTCGGGCTCTTCAAGAAAGGCGAGATCGTTCAAAGGATCAGTCAGTTCTGGTGGCGTCATTTGCTGAAATTTTGTTCAAATCAAATTTTACTCAAAATCGCCACAATTAGTCTTTCTTCGAGTAAGAACCAGTGGGGAAAGTTGGTCATTGAGAGAAAAAGAGAGGATGGAGGAACTTCTCTGTCTGTCGGGAAACTTACTTTAAAAGTAGCACATATATTTGCATACGAATCAAAGGTCCTTGAATAAAACCGCATCAAATTGCTGTAATTTCCAGTCTTTGTGGCTTGACTCACGGCTTGCCTGCTTGTAAAAATATTTTACTCAAACTTACATAACCATCACTCCACTCCACTCCATGGGAGATTGCTTACTACGACTTAATCTGCATTGGAAATTTGTCTGCCCGACCGACATGAAATGGTCAACCGATAAATTACATCTTTCCCACCCAAACAGAGTGCAACTTTGTCGGAATTATTTATTAAATGCAAATGGAAAACATGCAAAATTCTCAATGTTTTTCCGTCCTAAATGTATGTAAACGTAAAACGGTTTTAAATAGGTAAATATAATGTGCATTCGGAAAACAAGGCTCGACTTGATGCTAGCGTGACGAGTGAAAGGTGCAGGATGGCAGCCGATTCAGTCATCATTTTACTTTACGCAGTGGCCAAGGGCATTTTTATATGCAAATCGAGTCCCAGATTGCGTGATGCAGGTGTTACCTAATAATATGCATGTGGATGTAACAGAGGACTCGGTTTTTAAAATTTTTGCATAATTCATAAAACAGCACTTGAAATGAAAGCCGTAAAACACTTGATTGCCAATTGATGCAAGACATGGGGAGCAGAATTCTCTGTCGTAAATGCATGAAAGTGGATCTGTAACTGGATTTCTTACTTACATGAACTCTTCCCGACTGGTCTGCTCTTCTCCGTAGTTTGACATCAAAAGTCCCGTCTCACTAGACCCTGATCCAATTCGGAAAATTGTCCTGTCTTCTCCTCCACCTCCTCCTACTACTCCTCCTCCTCCCGGATTATTATCATATCTGATCTCGTGCTCCTGCAACAGGTAAAGAAGACGAAGTCACAAGACTGAGCAGGACACCGAGGAGGCAAATCAAATATGAAAATTGAAAGCCAATTGTGCCCCGGGGAAGAATATCGGATTGGGAAATAATCATTTTACATGTACATGAAAGGGTTCCTTTATGTTGGCGACTCTTTTTTTTTGCTTTCTTTTTCTCTCTCTTTTTATCCGGATGCAGGAAATTTGTGCCAAGAAATTCATGCCGGGTGATGGTTCGTGAATATTTGTTGTATTCTGCTGGAAGGATTTTTTTATGTATGTACCTTTGCAATGGGGGGTAATGACGTGCAAGAGGTTGTGGACCCTGGGCGAATCATAATTCCATGGACATCAGGTACTCCGACGCTGACTCCTCCGAGGCGACCGACCATGAGGCTCCCAATATTGCCCGACCCATCCTGCTGAAGTCATTTTCAATCTTTAAACCGTCACCCACAGAATGCACAAGTAACAAAGCAACAACAAAATCGATTGTGTGGAAATATTTGACTTATGTATGTTTCATCCAAGAAAGATGATGGGAGAGGGGAGGAAAGGGTTCCTTGAGGGAATTAAAAGACCATCTCTCTCTCATACATCATACATGAAAAGTAAGGACAAGGCGAGGCTTGGGGGTGAATAACTCTGATTTTGGAAGGGGGGGAGCAATTCTATTTTGTTTAGAGGAAAAAATTAGTAGATTAGTATTTGACCATTTTTTATAATGCGTGAGTTTAAAATATTTGTAGGTCAAAACCTGATTTCAAAAAGCTGTAACTTTTCTAATTTTGTATGATTTCAAAAATCGAGTTTTTGAATTTCTAATGGCTTCCTTATTTTTTAAAATCTAAGCGTCGGAAAACTGATATATTCTTGAAAAGCTTTGAACACTTATTTCTAACAAAATCCATTAATAATTCTAAGAATATATATATCTTCCGATTTTTGAAATCTCGTTCAAAACCTGAGATCCTGGTTTAAAAATATTTTGAAAATTCACACAGAAATGCAGAAATACTACTTAATTTTAATTCCCAACAAATTAACTTTGTCCCATCAAAAAAATCAGAGTTACACACTTGGCAGACTCGCATCCCTATTAAAGTCTGAAAACAGCTATATCTCTAAAATTTCGCGACACTTTTTTTTCCTCTCCTCCCGACTTCTTTGTACATACAGAGTTTTGCACAAAGGAAAATAAATGTGAAAAATCTTTTCTACCACAATTGGCAATCTGAGGTGTCGGAGGGGGTCTGCAGTTGGAGTTGGCATAACTCTAATTTGCGATTCATGGTGGTTGTATGTCGCTCCACAATAAGGACAAACCAGTCTTCGGCGTCCCTCCGTATTCTTGCTCAGGGTCACCGTCACATGACAGGCGGGGCAGGTGACGCTGTCACTGCGAGAGGTGTTGGTCGACCTGCCCAGTCCTTTGGGGCTGTCCCGTACGGCGTGGTGATCTTGGTCCGAGTGGAGAGAGTCGGTCATAACGAGTGCGGGCCTCTACAGAAAAAAAGTATGAGAACAAGTTGTTCCAAAGGTTCGAAAATTTCACAGATTTTTTACCAATACGATGAGTCGAGGCAACGGAGGGAAAATTAGCTCCCAATTCCACGACGAGGGGTCCATGTTATTCTATTATTCAATCCGCTCCACCAAGCTCCATATGCAGTCTTTGAGCTGCCTACGGTCGGAGGATGTTGTAACTCAAGGCGCTCCTCCTCAGGGTATCTCTCTTTTACAGCGTGACCCTTTTGATCAAGGTCTAAAAAACGGAGGTAAGACGTCGACAACGACGATGATCTAAATACATGTAAAATAATTCCTTGCACTCCACGGGGCTGACCCTGACTGGTATGTTGTCTCTTTTCGGCTGCTTAGCCACCACGCAGTATAGCCACCAAACCATTTACGTACATACGTAAGTAAGAAGAAGAGGAGTCGAGCAATACTGCTCTGTCCCCACCGATGGCATTTTATTGAGCGTACATGACAGGTGGAGGCGCTTCCATTATGTGGAAATAATAAATATCCGTTTTATAACGTCAATTTCTCCTCCAATCGATAATAGTATATAGCTCCTCGAAGCACTATTCATTTCCACTCTGCTCCTCTTCGCATAACATGACGAATCCTGCTCAAAATTCCAATCGGCCATCGCCACATAAAAAAAGGGAACGCCAAACATTTTTCAACTTTTACAATTTTAATGGTGCTCATAGCAAGAGGAGGACACGTTAGACCGTGATCTTTCTACTCGGAAAAAACAAAGAGATACATAACAACATCATTTCCTTCTTTAATGACGAAATACTTGGAATTTAATCCTCCGAGGAAATCATGACAGGAGAAAAAAAGGAGCATAACAATTTGTCGGAAACATTTTGAGCATAACTTACATACTTCTCAACCATGGTTCTGGCTGACATTTACATTCCTCAACTCTTGACATTTCTCGACAAGGAGGCGGAACCGCCCATGAAAATATTTAAGTATCGATTAATACATAGGGTTGAGAAGCAAGATAATCAATCATTCATCAGTAAACGGGATTTGATTAAACAATAACAAGTCTTTGACAGGAAATCGGAAAAAAACAAAACATTAATTAAAGGAATGACTGACTTTCCTGAATGAAATAGTATTGTTTGTTTTCGTTTGTGCAAAACAAAATTGCTACCTACGCAGTTAACTTGTGTGCGTATGCAAAATATCGGTTTGGGTTGCTGCTAAACAATTTCCTGGACGGAGAAATCGGGGAAAGTGAGGAGTTCCCTGGAAAGTCGGGTGGTCGCAAACGCCATCACCGCGATGCTGGAGAAACGACTGGAGAAACTTTTGGCGTTTACTCCAGTAGGCCGAGCTGCAAGATGAAATTGACTCTGATGGCGACAAATTTGAGAGATTTTAGTCGTAAGACGCTGAAACTTTCAGCTTATCTTTAATTTCGCATTTTTTTTTACATATCATTGTCTGAATTAGTTGTTGTTTTACATCATTATTGAGGGTAACATTAGCCACTGAGATTTTGAAAAGTTTGTATTATCTCCACGAATGGATTGGACAACTCTTAAAAATTATTTCTCCAAAAGTAATTAACTTTATGTTTAATAATAAACTCATTATACAAAATATCCTTATTAGAAACACTAGAAAAATTTATATAACATTGGGCCGCAATATTATGAGCTACAATTCCTTTAAAAACATACGCGATTTAACAGTTTCACAGCTTTATATTTTATCTATGCGCCTATCTATCCGACTTGCTTATCTTAAAAACAACCTATTGTACTATACACATTAATTATTGAGTAGTTAAGATTGTGCTCTAGTATGATGATAATACTCGTGATTTGCGTATCGATATAAACTAATTCAAGGCTTATTCAACGGCTCTGGGCAGTCCCAGAGGTTGCAGGTGCCCTCAGCTCCCGTGGGGTCAAAAGGTTTGCCTTCTAAAGTTAAAAATTAATTATCCATAATTAGCCAATTGTACACATAATTTAAAAATGTCTGAATGAACTACAATGTATGAACAACTATTAGATGACCCACCTTTGCACTTCAGATTATCTTTCGTCACTCCAAACCTCTTCAGGAATGGTTCATACATGCAAAACTGGAGTTTGATATCGTTTCTTTTTTCATCAAGATCAAGGCATTCCGCTTCTAAGGCTCTTGCTTCACTCAGCCCCCTCTTAAACTTGTTTTTGAAAGAGGTAGCCTTCCTTTCTAACTCTTCACACTCTTTCATTTCTTCACGTTTAATTTGTTCGGTGGCTTCTTTTAAGTTCCGAATTTTTTCCTGCTTTTTCCCACATTCATCTTTGAAACATATAAAAAATATAATACAACATTAGCATCATCCTAGTTTATTTATTAATGGTTTGTTTTCTCTTTTTTTCGAATACCTTCCAATCGTTGAGATAATTTGTCGCAGTCGTCCATACGTTTTAAACATTTTTGATACTCTTGATGATTCTTGTTGCTCTGATTATTGCTCAGAGCGAGTTTCTGACTAAACAGCGCAGAAAACTCTTCAAACATTTCGTCATTGGCTTTCACCAATGACGCGTAGTTAATGGAGGATCCTGGAAGTTTGTGATTATCCATGATGAACTTTTGATACTATATTTCTAACAAAAGTAAGATAAGTATTTTGGATGAATTTAAATGGGGACGAGAATCAAGTGAGTTTGCCTCTTTGGGTAGAAGTTGGTTGAAGAAGAGTTCAACTTGAAAGGTCACCAGGAAACCAACCGGCTAGGTCTGCAGCGGCTAATGTTTGGTACTAATTCCTGCTGGGACACGTTGAGAATATATTTACACCTACGCAATAAGTCAATAGTCTCATGTTGCCTCAACTCCAACTTGAGTAGAATTTCTCATTTTGCCTCATTTTCTATAATATAACTTTATTCTCACCAAGACTTTTGACACGCCCGTTTCTTATCTAATCGGTGATCGTGCCGGGCATTACTGCTCACCAAGTGAAGAAATGACGAGGAAATAATTAGTCGCATAAACTTCTAGAGGTCAGAGGTCACGTGGACGCAACTTGTGCATGATTACTAATAATTTATTAATGCGAATGCCGTAAATGTAAAATGATATATTTCACGTTGTAGTGTTGCCTCATTTTTTGAGGGACGAGAGAAATTCTCCCAACTAACAACGAAATTAACTAAGGAAAGCACGAACAAATTATAATTTTTAAACCCATAATTTATTGTGTAGCCTCTGCACAACACGCCAATCCAATGAACACATTTTGGTTAACTAATTTACATTTTCCCTAATTATTTTATGACCTTTTCCAAAATTTTCTAATAATACAAGTAACTATTGAAGGATTTGGGCCCCACTAAAATTTTAATGTTGCCTCGATCCGCATCCGTCAAATTGATAACTTGCGGCTCCATGTACATATTACAGGCGACAATTGCCACTCCACCGTCCGGTCTTAAGAAGGCAGTAAAGTGGAAATCGGAAGTACCCTGAAAACCAAATGGTAATCAAATTTTGCACAATCAAAAAATCAAAATCAAATTTTTCTTACCGGGTGCGGAGGCACCGTCGCAATCCTCCTTGACCCAGGAACGACAAATTTACTCCAGTGACCCAGCGCGTAGAACATTGGCGTCTTGTAAAACTCTGTTCCCTCATCGTTCACAATGATTGGTGCGGAACGCTCACTCACGCCAGCCCAGGTTGGTCCCCCAGACATATTCAAGGCCAAGTTCCAATCCACCCATCCAGCCACGGAGTGCGACGTCGTGCTGGCAATGTCTTGCATGTAGGTTTCGGCAAGGTACCAATTCCCCAACCCGACCGGGTCTTCCCAGAAAACCATGGACGCCTCGGTGGAAAGAATGAATTTGTTGAATCTGGCCACAATCTCTTCGTAAATTGAGACGGGAACGAAGTCATTGCCGTACCAGTGGACCGCCACGCCAGCCACGTACTGCGCAGCGACGGGGTCGGTTAAGATGGTGTCGGTCCAGTTTTGAATGTAGGAGCGATCGTGGTCCAGAACCATTAAGGAGAAATTCGACGAGGTGTCGTACCCAGCAGCGTTGAGATTTGGGCCGAGATGCTGGCTTACGAAGTCTCTTTCCATGGCGGCAGTGAAGCCGCAAGTGTTCCAAGGATAGTCTGGGGCGAAACCGGTCATTGGCTCGTTCTGTACAGTCATGCCCCAAAGATCGACACCGTTTTCTTTGTAGGCGTCCAAGAACCTGGGTGGATTATGGATTTATAAGAAATTGGATTGTAGAGTGCGAATTTTGTTTCTCACTTGACCAAATATTTTGAGTAAGACTCCCAAATTGCAGAACCCGGTCCGTCCCTCAAAGTTCCGGCACCGTTGGAAGCATTGTTCGTCTTCATCCATGCAGGTGGGGCCCAGCTTGAGCCAAACCATTTCACATCTTGAGCAGCAACTTCTCGGGCTAATTTTAATTGTGGAATCTGTCGAAATTTTACGATTCAAAATTTAACTCAAAGCTATGTATGTACTTCAAAATTTGGTATTTTATCAAATACTCGCCTTATAAGAGATGTCCTCATCGACCAAGGAAAACGAGTCCAACCCAATGTCTTCTACAACGTCGTCGTAAGAATACGACCTCGTTGAGAAGTCCGAGCCTGAAATTGTAATCCTTCCAAGAGCAAATTCTACCCCGGTATCAGCAAAGAATGAGGTGTAAACATCCCTCTGAAGTTTCGGAGATAGACGACCGATTGTCAGAGCCGCCGCGTCGCTGAAAGATCCTCCAATCCTAATAAATAATAAATAAATTGGATTATTCGTCATGCACGAAGTACAAATTTGCACTATTTTCATTCATATTTTTTACCCTAGTATTTCTTGTTGGAGTGATTGTTTCTGCAAAATGATGTTCCACGTCTGCCCGATCGGGTCTTCAGTTCCGTTCCAGTCTTGAAGTCGACGGACGAAACGTTTGTCGTTGTCGCGATCGCTTTCAAAGATTTGGACGGTGCCGGGCGGCGATGCCACGGTGGGTGAAAGGGTGTCACACCACAACTCATCGCACATGCAGACCATTCCCTCAGGAAAGCGGCGAGGTTGGCAGGGAAGTTGGCCCCATGCGAGCGATACGACGCCCAGGACTAGGGCAGTTGAGGCGAGAACTTGATGCATATTTTTGCAATTAGGTTGGTTGAACTGAATCAATGTTGCGAATTTCGGGACCTTTTATACTTGATGCTGAATAGCAAGTCCCATTATTTGGAATCTCATCGGTGTTTGATTACAAGTATTAATGTTTTCAATAGCCACCACGTGATTTTGAAAACTCAATTCTGTGTTGGCTGACTGACTAGTTGATACATTTTCATGCTCAGATGACACTAATTGATAAGCTTATTTGACACTGATAGATTGTGGAATGTGAGGGGTTTGTTTATACATCTATAAATATTGTTCAAACCTGATCACCGTAATTATTTGTGATGTTATGAATATGTATGTACCTGCCAATGGTTTAGTCATCGTCGTATACAGAGCCAATTTTTTCGCCTGAGCCAGGGCTTATCGGGTTGTTTTTTATGTCTTTCCGTTAATCTAGATATGTAATGATGACCACTGATGATCCGGAGGTAATTTGGACTAATTTGGTTGTAATTGTACATCTCAAAGAAAATTTGGATGACTTCGAACATGAGCACGATATGCGTTTGACCGGCGAAGGTCATTTGAGTGGGGTTGATGGCACCAAATTTTATAAGTTTTCATAAAAAGTTGAAATTTAGCTATCACATCTTAGACTACAATATGTGTACATAAATTTCGAAAATTTGATTAGTTGAAGATTTTTTAAATAAATTTCAAAGGGGTCCAATCGAATGCCCCAATCGAATGGTCGATTTTTGAAATCAGGACTGAAAAACAGACTGACTCGGGCCACTTCAAGTCTGCACCGTATGTAGCTTTTAATTAAATACGAAGATTAACCGGCCGGTCATTGAGGCTGTCTTATCTCACTTGACTAGACAATTACATAGGAATTACTCATTTATATATCAACTGGAATTTATTAATAGTGCAAAAAAGCGAGTAAAAAAATTCATAAGGTCGAGTCCCAAAATAGTTTAGGGTTGAAATCATTTAGTTATTTACGGATAATTTTGATGACTTTCATACACATCTGTATCTTGCGCTTGAAACGCTTAAAATTAATCAGACGACGTCAAACTAAGGAGAAAGACCATGCAGTCCAAGATTTTTATGCCATTTGGATATATTGTAGTGACCAGTGAGTGGAGAAAAAGTGTGGGAGGATTTCGCCACATGGCCCCATTTGCGCTCGCCACACCCCTTCAATACTGCCGTATTCAAACCTTTTCCAAAAATCCCATTTTGATCAGATTTTGACAAAGTTTGCATTCCCTTAATCCTACAGAGTTGTTTTATCATGTCCGACATCGATTGTTTCAATGTTTTGAATATTTTCAAAACTTTCCTGGCCTTCGAAGAAATCAAAATTTTGTAAGAAGTTGAGATTTATATTGAAGCAACTATCTGGGATTACAATGGTGCAAAAATTTTCAAAATAGGATTTTTGATTAGTATGAACTACCTTTTGCATCATAAGTAAATATTCCAAAATAAACCTAACAATACCACTAATTATCAAATATTCATGACATGTAGATTAACCGAGGAGCAAGGAATTTATCAACGTCAACCGCATAGCATGCTCCTCTAGCGAATCGTGAAGGACGAGAAATTGCTCGGCAACCGGATTGCATGGATCCCACCGGATGATAGCGAGAAACTGTCTCCTTTTCATCGAAAAAGTCAAAGGGCAGTGGCTGCATTCGTTTTCGTAGGCACCTACAAAATTCATTATGTACACAGTCTCACTCATCCATCCCTCCTCATCTGCTTGTTGGTATCGCACCACACAACAACATTTATCTCCCTGCTCCCCACTCGGGACCTTGTATTGAGGTTGGCCATCTGCAGATCAAATTGGGTTACGGAATATTAAGCCGACCAGAATTGTGACCAGTGACATGAAGGCTGGACCGAGACGGTTGGTCGATGCAAAAAAAAATTCATCAGGCCAGAGAAAGTTCTCACCAATGGCACCATGTACATTCAAAGATGACGAGATGATTCCCCTCCTGGCAGAATAAATCCATATTATTCGCAGCATTTGAAACTTAATGCGTCTCAAGGAGAGAGAGATATGCACATATAGCTCCTACAAAGTCATGCGGTTCTTCTGGAATGAGGCACCGCTGCTGCTGCTACGTGTACTGGTGCAGGTTTGATTTGATAATTTGCGTGCATTTTTAGCAAAGGTTTAGAAACCGAGAAATACACTTTTCTCGTCGGGGATGGAGGCATGAGCAAGTCGTATTTTTTCAGAGAGGAAACCCTCCCCTGGAGCTGGTGAGAGGCAGGCGAGCAGCGGTATTTGGACGGTCGGTGAGAGAAAGTAAGCAAACGAGAGCGTCGGCGCATCCACTTGTCCAAAGTTTGATAACTTTCACCTTCTACGTCTCTCAGTTGTATTTCTACGTTCCAAATAAATGCAGCTCTAGCTCTCGATTTTGGTCCCTCTGAGAAGACACACGTACCATTTTGGACGCTTGAACAAAGTGACATTTTCAGGAGTACAGAAGGATTGACATTTTCTCGGATATATTGGAACCCGATAAGCGTTCAGGCAGTCAGTCATCCAATCCACTCCTCAGTGTTTTTCATTTCTTCGTCTTCTTCAATCGACTCGTGTGGCACCATGTCGGCAGAGATGTCAGAGAGTAGTGTGGACCCCAAACTCAGCCCAAGTTGCCCCGAGAAGGTCAGTGTGTACATACATTTGCAAAAAATTAAGACGCATTTAGTTTGTTTTTGTTGTCATTGCTGGCGTAGTTGCATACATTCTCGCTCGCTTAAAACACGACTCATGAGAAACATGCTTGTGTGCTTCTTCTATTGATTTGTTTCTTCTGTGGGTCGTGATTCAAATGACGCACTTTCTTTCCTCATGACTCTCTCCGTCGTCCTCTCTGGTGCTCTCTTTCTCCCCATTCTTGGTCTTCTGGTTAGATTACTTTTGCAGTGCGGAATCTTCTCTGGCTTGGCAAATCTCCTTGTTCTTTATGCTCCCGAGTTGCTTCAGCCTCCGATCCCCCACACCCACCATCACCGAATCTCTCTCGCTATCTTGCTCTCTCTCCTCATGCAACTAACTTCAATAATCCTCGTGGATTTCTCTACTTTCTTTCTTTCTTTCTCTCCTTCACCGTGAAAGACAGACTTTTATTACCAAATTTCGCTTTTGTTGGGAGAAAGAAGAACACTAATGTGAAGCTGATTTTGTTTGACCCATCCCAACGAGTCGAAATTGCATGCATGCTGTAATAAAAGCGTGTCATTTCTGAGACACTTTCACTCAGTAACAATTCCTGAGATCGATACGATCTCAGAGATAATATTTGAAGTGCACATTTTGCTTTCAGCTAAACTTGTGATGTGCATGGTATCCTATAAATTTTCAATAAATGGTACGACGCATTTGGGCGTTTGGGCCTCTCCTCATATTTACATACCTAATTGACAATGACACGAATAACAGGCTCCTCTTTCCAGTTATGATTGAGAATGACGTCTCTGCGTCATCTAAAATTAAGATATTTTCGGAAGCCTTCAATATTTAGGACGCTCATAATTTATGCATACGCTTCTTCTCCAGTAATGTGTCATACATCTCAAAAATCAGGCCATGCAAATAATTATATAATAATAATTAATGGCTGATCCATAATGTTCCCGGTTTTATGTTCATTACTCCACGCTTCTTTTTTTAACGGCTTCACTTCTCACGCTCTGCTGGGTCATGAGTCGCAACCCCATCAGACACGAAAGCACTCTCGGGATCATATTGCTTTGCTAAATATTCCTCCTGCATAAGTATTATACAACAATTGAATTTCATGAAGGGGGAATTTGGCAATGAATGATCAATTTTATGTTTATTGCCCTGTTTACATATATTTAGCAGGGTTGGCAAATTCCAGTGGAATGATTTCGCACAAATTGATGCATGGTCAAATTACATAAGACGTGCGATAGTACGCAAGTTACTTATCCGAATTCTGAAATGGTTTTAAATCCTAAATATTTACTTAATGTATACATACACCAGCCAAAAAAATTGTGGTTTCTCAAATTGTCTCTCGTCGCCGTCGCCGCAATTTAATCTCTTTTTTGCAGTTACAAGACGGCTCCATCGAGTCCTGGAAAATGTCCGTGTCAAAGTAACCCTACTAAAACCAACCAACTGCCATTGATTCCTTATAAAATATTATTATCGAGCACGGCGCTTAGGTCGTTATGAATTCCAAACAATACGCTGATACGGATAAAATAATGGGTCACCGTTATCTCCCACTCTCGCTCTCTCTACATATCTCTGTCTCTCTAGGATTGAAAAAGTGCATAAATATTTTACTTATGGTTTTGTTCATGTTTTTTTATGTGTGTAACTCGAGAGTTGAGAGTCGTCTACAAGTATTCAGGGTTACGTATGTGCATGCAGAGATTTGCAGTTATTTGAGAAGAAATAGATTATTCTTCTTGATGGTTGAATGGTAATTCAGACCCTCTTTCTCTCCTCTCTTGCTAATAACTGAATGCTTAATTTATTGGCTCACAAAGAAAAACGAATGGTCAAAACAAAATTGGAATAAACTGGTTCATTTCATTTACTTAGTTGAATTTGAGAAGAAGACCAAGTTAAGTGAAATATGATTCGACTGGTGGTGGTTGTGAATTGGTGATGATGAGCAGTGGCCGCGGAAGCTTGAGGGGACAATGTCCTCACGGTTATTCGATGTCCGCATCATCTCCCCATCTTATATAAACCCGGCCCTCCCCCCATCCTACAATGTTAATGTCCCCACAACTTCCTCCGCGGCCACTGATGATAAGTTAGTGAGTTTCTACATGTGTCTATTTCTTTGAAAAGGAGATAAACTAACCCAATCTCATTCTTCTTGGACAGAGTTTTTGACAAGAGGGCAAAGGTGGATTTAAAAAATTGGACAAATTATTTTCCCAATCGTAGATTTTGAAATTGGATGGGTAGCTAGTAAATTGGTGTGATTACTCTATGAAATTTTATGTCACTCATCAGACCACTCATATTTATTTGATTGACGACTTGTTGTTGAGACGAATTGATTGGAATTGACACGAGTTTTACTCCCTGCCATATAAAAGTTATCGTTTGAACTGTATGCAGTTATATCCTCTCGCAAATCAATGTTTGGCACGATGCATATCCACCCGAGACGTGAAATGGAAATCAGGTGGAAATCCAATTATCTAAGCCAAGGATAATTGCAATTTTATAGTGTGTAACCAGCTGCTATCGACCACCATTAATTGATGCAATGCAATCAAGAGGAGGAGGATTTGTGCCGATGAATAATTTAAATCCGACCATTTTCTGGCAAACATACATAACGGCGCGTGGTTGGTTGGTAAATAAATACATCCACTGCGTCTTTGATCTTCAATTTAAGTAACGCTGGTGGTGCTGTTGCGAAACCAGGACCATCAATATTTTAGCGACACCTCGCATTGCTGATGGATGGATGGAAACGTACCAAGTCGACCTGCTTTCTCTTGCGGGTGATTGACTGGTTGGGTAGTTTGTGTAGGATGAGGAAACGCTGAATTAAGAAGAAATCGTTATTCCACCGCTGCGAAGAAGAATGAGTAACTCGACTTGAATAATTAATGAAGAAAGAATTATTCTTGTGGAGAGAAATGGAACCGCGCATTTACTTCCTGTTTTTCCCGAAAAATGATGGGTTGCAGAGCATGTTTCGGTGGAAATAATAGAAATTTAGGAGCAGACCCAAATTTTGTCCAAACCAACTTTTAAAGAAAAATATGTATGTATTTATGTATGTACCCATTTTATTATTCGGTTCGGCCAGACTAGTTTTTATTTGTCAGGAAATATTTGATGATGCAAAAATACTGGGACATTTGCTCAGCAGAATGTCAATACAGTTTTACTAGACGTCCACCCACGGACCACTCAGGCTGGGAAATATTTAGGAAAAATAGTTATGTATGTTATACTTTCTTATCGCGCAATCCAGCCATGCAACCTGTATGCATGCTTGTACACACATTTGTGACGATAATCCCTAACTATACGTACAAATATGCCTTCTATACGCAGACATGTAATAATAACGCTGCCTCATCGTTATTATTTCTCTGCTTCTATGTTTATTTTGAATTCTACACGTAATTTGCGGAAGTTGTGAGAGTAGTGGATTTGTGAAAGTGTTGAAACTTGCGAATCATACAGTACACAAAACGGAGTAAGATTTATTGATAGGAAATGTTGTACAGCGTAAATAATGAACTCACACGAAGAAAACGGGGTGTACTATGTACATACTTATATTTGTACATATTTATCATTGTCCAGTCCACGAGGGCAAGGAACACTCCAATAATAATTTTTTTTTCTTTGGGCTATTTCGCGAAAATAAAATGAATCAGACAAGCCAGCGACAACCTTTATTGACTTTTTGTACGCCCGGTGAATGACATGGAGTAGTGGAGGAGAAGTGGTTATTTAGAAGTACATACATAAACACGACCCCCATGACAGGACAAGCATGTCTCGTATCGTATGCGTACATCGGACTCCAGAGCGTAATTACTTGACATGTACCAACGCCTGGTTAGTCTTACTTGAGGGCGAGTAAAATTTACTCGTTAATCCAATTTCGAGAAGGAGAGAGACACTTCTCCACGGCTATAAATTGATTTTGCGGAATACGCCACACGACTGGACTTCTGGACGTAATAAATCGGATTGAACGCGTGTTTTAATAGAGTCAATAATAAGTGCTGACATAATGTTGCTGTTTGCCTATTTAATACCATGCGTCTTGAAAGGCGACTAGGTCCTTAACCCCACGATATGGTAATAAGGATGATGATGATGATGAAGTAGTGGTGCTGGCTGGCATACATACATTACGATGGGCGATAGATGGTTAGGTCAGACTTGCTCCGAGTTTGTAGGTATGCATGGCAGGAAGAAAGAGGTTTTGTGTTGGAACAAGTTATTGGAAGTCATGCCTTGGAAAGAGTTGTTTGATGTACAAAAAATTCCAAAGCATTGCCTCCTCCCCAACACCGGAGAGTATGCGATGCGATGCTATTTCATACATATTTTGCATATGTACATGTATTCGGTCGGATGGTGTGTTTTGTGATATGGACAGAGCTACTTTTTCCTAATCCTTTCTGGATTTATCCACTGTCCTGTTTCATGCTGGCTGGTTTAACTATGCTTCTTCTTCTTCTTCTTCAAGGGGAAATAGATGATGATGATTCGTACATACGTCTTTTAAGAGTTTAGTTATGTATGCATAATACCCAGACGTTCCTTCTGGGTCTAATCCGCCCGACAGGATTTTGTCTTCTTCTCTTCTCTCATGCAAACTTCTGTATAATCATAATCAGCTCGGTTTCATATAGCGATGAGCTCCTTGTTTACAGTGTCATCATCATGAGATTCTCCTCGGGTGGTATAATCACATTGTGCCTGCCTGGTCCTGGTGGGGAGGGAGGGAGGGACGTGATGTAATGCATGTCGAATAAGAGAGGGGACAGTCCGTTGCTGGTAATAAGTTGCTCCGCCGAGAGAGTCTTAGCTGCTGGAGGAGTGCTTACTTATGGGGGGACACATATGCTTATCTGCCGGCCAACAAGTGTAAAAATCTGGGATGGGATGCCTACAATGAGGGAGAAATAATATGGTGAAACTCGGTCTCTCTCTATCTCCCTGTAATAACATTACGAGAGGGAATGAATGTGTTAAACGCCATGCATATCCTCCTCCGACGCGACGACCAAATCATGTATCTGCTGCACCAGAAGTCTTAACTCTTCCATCCACGTAACATTTCTATAGCCGAGTTAGCACCATGAGAGAGAGATAGAAGAAACGCGTATTTTTTCACATGTATCCACTATTCACTGAGGGGCATATCCATCTCATTCCTACCGTGATTTTCCACCAGTTCACTTCTACTCTTGTGCTCATTCACACACACACATAGAAGTACACACGAGAAATACATACAAAAGTTGATCTCGACAAACTCTCCCTTTTTCGCAGGGACGCATTCATTCACTGCCAAGTTTTTTGGAACCTTGAGTTCAAACAAACAAGCCGGAAATTTCACTCGGTGAAAAAGAAAAGAGGTAAGAAGCGGAGAGAGAAAGTGAGAGAGAGGGAGCGTGTCAGGCTAACTTTCTCTCTACCACCACCACCACCAAGTACCCATCGACCCAAAGTCCCTCTGTCCCAACTCATTCAACCGTGGCATAGGCATTTTGCTCCTTTCTTCATCTCGATCCCATTGGTATTCCATGTTCACACCCGAACCACTCACTCAATATGGACGGAAAATAAGTAAGTGGTGTGTGTGCTATTCGACTCGAATATTTTTCCCGTCACGTGGAAATGACAGTTCGAAAAAGAGAGAACTTTAGTTTCAACTTGAGGATAGATTTTTTTTAAAGAGAAAATTCAATAAGAGAGTTGCTGCTACATGAGGGAAAAACGGGTATGAACTCGTTGCTGGAATTCATCAGTCGAGTCTGATCTTTCCAACATACATAAGATTCCCAGTACATTAAGGTCGTGTCGGGGAGCAAGAAATGGGAAAAGAAATTAGATTGACGGGCCGAAAGATTGCGTATCCTCGACCATGGTCTGGTCTCGCTTCTGGAATGAGTTGGTAGTAATTAGAAGAGGTTGTCTAATTTGGTTAGTTGGTAGCTAGCTGTGGATTTCGAAGACAAACATCACATTGAATCTCATCATCATCATGTTTTGTTGTCAGGTCAAGCTGTTGGATTATGGTTTGTTTAGCTCCTCTCCTCAGTTCACGAGTGAACGTCACCTATTTAACATACATAGGACTTATCTGCCGCATTTACGTAATGTTATTCAGATAATAAACACTACGACGACCACTTTTGACTTTGGCTGCATGTTTAGGTATCCACTTTCCTGCCAACTATGTGTATCTAGCTCGATATTGCTTGGCTCGGGACGAGGTTGAAGGTTGAATAAATGAAAATGTAAATAAATAGTGAATGGAAGTGGTGATGAGGGAGAAGAAGAAGTCATCATTCCAAGTAGTTGGTTTTCTTTCCTATTCATTAAATGTCTTTCTTCCCCTTGCGACACTGTTATCATTATTATTCGTCCCACCGCCCAACTAAGTATGCGCATATGTACCCCTTTATTCTCGACGTGATTATACGTGCGTCGGAACACTTGCACTGATTGCATTCGCTTCTTCTTCTTCAATTAGATGTATGTAAACGAGTGCCAAAAAAGAGATCGAGTAGTCACTGCTCAATTTCACCCGTAGTAGTTTAGAAATACGTAGTCTTCTCCCCCCATTTTCGCCCTATGCATGCACATTTTCATACGTTTTTTTGGAGAGGACACGCGTGCCCAAAAAACCTTGCATGGGAACTGACCGTTCCATTCTTGTTGGCAACAAATCAAAATCTCAATCATACATGGGTACATACCTACATTTCATATAAAAAACCTCCTCGATATGTTGCAGTACAGAGTTGTTGTTGTTATTGATGAGCCAGATATTGCGACAACAACACGGCACACACATACACCACATCACAAAACCCCCCTCCAAGTTGTAGGAGTCACCTCAGTCAGATTTTTCCTTATGGTTAAAAATAGATCATATATCCATCCTTTATCCGTACAATTTATCCGTATTTAAGTTATAATACCCCGTACTTACTCTCCTATTTCTGTTTGTACCCAGTCAGTAAGGAAGCCGTACTTACATACATATAAATCCATAAATAAATAAAATGTCCAAATCCTCTTTAAAAAAAATCTCCATACATACGTTCGCAATTACCACCCCTTTTTTCATCATTATTGTTATCCACACACATTGTTTTCGTATGTCGAGCCAGACGGCACTGTTCCAAACATACCGCAAAACAATACAATGTCACGTCTTCAATGTGTTTTGGCGAATTTGGCCGCACTTTGTGAATTCATCATTACCAAATTGTTGTTAGTGGTTGGTGCACATATAAATATATTGTTATGTAAGCTTCCTTACCGCAGAATACGTTACGATGATATGATTACAAACTTTTATATACGCAGTGCATTTCATTTCATCCGTGTAAAAAACAGGCTCTTGACTTTGGCTGGTGTTTTGCTGCGTTGTGTTGTGACTATGAATCATCACATCACACTTGTTTAAACTAATAGACATACTTTTAATGTTCCCAGTTATTCGAGATAATTCCTGCAGTTTTCATGCCGTTGTAGTTGTTGCCATGTCGAGAGGGAGGCAGAGTTTGTGACCGTAATACATAATTAATCCCGGCATCCATGCATGCTACGAACGACAACATTAATTTAATCACTGTTACCAATTATGCCGTATCATTGGTCGGTTTTCAATTTCAGCCATGTCTTTGTGTATGCACAGCATTGCTTGCTCCAAACCAAGCCAACCGTGCAGATGGATTTGTTGTCGTTAAGTAAAATTTGCTGGTGGATCGCGTTGTTGGCAGTGTAATACGTGTGTAGGGATACGTATACGGACAACTTTGCAACGTGATGGCATGCAAAACATGTAAAAAATGGTTTAGCTTGTATACAAACAAAACAAACAACAACATTATTTTTTGGAGAGGGAATGATTTTTATTGCGCCGCTATTAATTATATAAATATTCGTCTTGGTGGTTGTGACCCTTGGGTTGGGATTAAATAATAATAGATAGTTTTTTTTATTCACTGTTTATATTTTAGTGTAAATATTTGGTATGAATTTTAGCCGTAAATTTCCTTATTTATGTATCTGCATAGTCAAATTATTGGGGAAGGTTTTTTTTCGAAAATTTTTATGACATTTGGTGTAAAAAAAGATTTATTCCGCCCAGCGTTAAATTGGTGTGTGGTGTGGTGCCATTAAATTTGAGCTGGATGGATGGACGTAAATAAAATTATGATCTGGTGCTAGCATGATAATTCGAATTTAATTGCGAATGAAATTTTCACTTTGCATATTGCACTGATTTCGCGTGTGGATTGGATTGGATTTGAACAAGGGGAATGATAACAAAGGTGAAAATGCTACAAGGTTAAAACTGTTGAATTATTCCAAGGCAGGCAAAGCAAAATCTCTGTTTCGGCTCTCCAGCATAAATACATTTAGTGATGGTCGTCTTATGGAAAACGTAGATTTTTGCAGGGTTGAGATATCTGTGTTGTTGTTATTGCGATTAGGTGAGAATATGATAACCATTTTTTTACGTCATCTTAAAAACTGCTGAAATTTGGTGGCCCCATTTTCTTCAGAGTACAGAGATAGATCTTCCTCTTACCATTTTTTTCATATATGTAACGACCTTTAAGCATCTTCGACTTTGGTATATATCGATCTTGATCAGGCTGCTGGAACATGTTCATTAATGCTCGCTGTTAATTTACTGCTTCGCCGCTGTTATCAAATTAAACCTTCATATCCACTTTAGTGCACAATATTCTCTCCTCCAGCCTAAATAAATTCAGCCATGTCACGCATCAACCTGTTTACTTACATTGCTTTCTCGTCAAAATAACTTGAGACAGTGTTTACTGACACATTCCGAAAGTCACCTTATCAAACTACAGCCTTACACTGTTGTCCAGACCAACATTAGATTACATGTTTATCTATACATTTACATACAAGTACCTGAATATTTAGAAGCAATAACTGCCTGCAATCAAAATCACGTAGGCAAATACGGAAGGCAATTTTGTAGATTTGAATCCAAAACAGTTGTTTAAACAGGAGAAAAAGTGTGAATCGCCTCTTTCCGACTCACAATAATTAGCGTGTTGCAACGATATGCAAATTATTTGAGGTGATAGATTCAAGCGGTGATGGAGGGTTACCACACCATACCACATGTCATAAGCATATGGAAGACCTAAATGGGAGGAAGGATGAACTAGCAAGTTTGCCAACAGCTATGCAAACTAATCGTGTTTAATGAGCTACTTGTAATGCGTGGATTTGCAGACCTCATCATAAGGTGGAAAGATGATAATAATGATGTACTTCACCAAACCCTCGCTGTAGGTACATATGCATATGCAATAGCGCAGGTAGAATATTCCGCATTATCGCCATCGTCATCATTACGGCGAGAGGCTTGTGTCATAATCCAGCAGCTCTCCGTCAGTCGTTCGTTGGATAATGTGAAATGAAACCCATCACAATTACGAGCTCTAACGATTATGCATGTTGAATGGCTCGAACGAAGAGGATGTGATGTGGGGGTATTATCGGCGTATGTGATGGGCAGGCAAGCAGGACGACACATCCTTGGGGAGCATTATCATATTTTCTCGCATAACCTAACAGTAGCAGAGATGAGATGATGTTATTATTATATAGTGGTGATCAACGTTACGTGTGTACAATGCCCATAATCACGAAGGACAAAGGTTTAAACATCATGGATTTATTGGTGTAGTATGCATGTAGAAATAAGGCAGCATATGGTATTGACCGCATTGGTAATCAAATGTGGAGGTATACGGGATGATGATGATTTATACGTAAATGTACTTGGTGGTTGTGGTGGTTTGTATATATTGTCCGAAAAGGCTGGTTGTTGTTGTTGATAAAAATTTGACGCGTGTTTCGACTCACTAGATCTCACACAAATTGAAAATTGTTCCAAGAAAAGGAGAAAGAAAAAGTAAGTTACGAGTGGTAAACCTGAAAAAAAAAGTGAAGTCAAGACTTTGAAAAGTTCAAGATGCGACGGGCAAGTCAAGACCGCTCAGAGGCAGGTCGGAAGAGGAGCATGGAGTGGGTGAGGCGTGGATCCATGGAGGTCACCAAATTGGGGCCGGTACGTTGTTGTTTTAAATCAAACAAGTTAAACAGTCAAAGTCCCCGAGAGAGACGTCAAAAACTCACGAAATAACTTTCTCCTTGTGTCCTCGAAAATTGTTGACTCGTTTACTCCCAAAACTTGTCTGCTTCTCATCAAACTACTTTCCCGTCTTTCTTGCTAATGTCATTATCAAAGTCTTCAATACGTAAGAAGAATTCTGTGATGGGGAAAAGCGCTCGCTCCCTCACGCCACGCCAACCAAACTGTCAAGTCTTCAGGAGTTTATCTTATTATTATTCGCAACCAACCATCTACATGCACAATCTACTCAAAATTGTTTGCTTGCTTGCTTTCTTGTCGTCTAATGATGCTGAGACTTTTTTTTCTTCTCTCAGTAATATAATGGAGCTTTATTACATTTTCTTTTGGCTTGAATATTGATTTATTCTCGGGACGTGTTTCAACCAATTTTATTAATTTTATTCTATATGCCATTTGCAGAAGCACATTGTGCCTACTGAACGATGCGGTCCACTCAGCGTTTATGTCCAGGTATGATATATTTTATGCATTTTTCGCCCCATAATTCCCCCATCCCATCCACGCCCTGTATAATTCCAAACGGTTCATACATAGTAACGAGGGAAGGCTATACATATATTTATCCTATGGACCAACTTACGTACGTGTGTCCATCAATTATTTTCTCTCCTTGTAAAAGCTCGAGTTTTACGAGGCGTAATTGCCTTCAAGTCTGATATAAGGAATGGATCCAATTTGGATCAAGTGTCTCATCTGCTCTTTCGAAAGTGCGATGATCTCACATTTATTTCATGAGACGAGGAGGAACAAGATCCAACTTGGATGCCCGTTCTTTATTCCTCTTTGCAAGTTGTATCGATTTTTTACGTTGTTTAGAAGTAAAGTGTATTGATCTGTGTCTTATATTCATGAACTTACATACATCCACCCGGTCGGTTGTTACTTCATCCGATCCAACGTCTTCCAGTGTGTACCAGCTCGCTGAGAAATTGTTTGTATGTATGTACGTGCGAGGTGTTTTTATGTAGGTAGCTCTCTTGAAATATACTTTGGCACGCTCCTTGACTCTGTAAATTTTCTCAGTGCTATTTTTGTATCGTCAAGTTCACCATGATTTTTTGCACTTTGTTGTCCCGATAGACAGGGAGACATGATTTTCATACTAATCAACCCAATCGTACCTCCCTCCATCCAGCCTCTTGTGATGAATGCGATTAATAATCTCATCAAGTTCCACGATTTATTCATGGCATTTTATTTTCTCTCCAGGGCGATCTTTCTCAACAAGACAAGCGAGCTGTTTTCTTAACTGTTCACGACTTGGGATGCAATCGTAAGCGCGTATTGTTTGGTGGTTTATCGAACCAAGCAGGATAAAAGTTGAGGAGAATAATTCAACCATTTCTTGTTTAGATACGTCGTTCCATGACTTTGTCGAGCATCCATGCATGCTCGAGATCAAGGATCGTTCCGTGTTTATCCATGTAAGTTGAAGGGTATAAATTTGTGGTGAATGGTTTTTTATGGAATAAAATCATCATAATTTTTGTATTGATTTAAAAAAAAATTTCGAAACATGTTCCCAGGTGGACATCCCGGGACAAGAGGACAACTCCGCAGATCTTTCGGACGAGTGAGTTTATTAAAATTGTGAAAGTGAGGATTTTTATTTGTATTATTCTGTTAAATTTTGCAATTTTTCCTCCAGTTTCCATTTTCCAACTATGCAAATGATCGGTGAAGACTTGGTCACGGTTTTGGACTTTCTCCACATTAAATATGTGATCGGTTTGGGCGAGGGAGCCGGAGCGAATATTTTGCTGCGTTTTGGAATGGCTCATGCATCACGATGCTTGGGCCTCATCTTGGTCAATGTCACTGCTGGGAAAACGTCTGTCATGGACTACTTTAAAGATAAAGTAAGTCCGGGGGTCAATTTGAATTTGTAACGTGCTCGGAGCAGTGTTCAAACCAAGCTGAACTAAAAATGGGGTGAATGTCTTTAATTCCTTGTTACATATGTTCACAGTTTATGAATTGGAAGCTTGGATCAGTGGGTCACAACCCCAGCACTGAGCAGGTATGTAAATATAGCAAATAATATTATCAACATGATGGTGAAGTTTAATCTTTTTTCCTTCTTTCTTTACAGTATCTTGTATTCCACAAGTTTGGACATGTAAGTCACCCCAATCTAGAAACTTTCTTTTTTTAGAGAAACTTAAAGCAGCGGAATCGCACAGGTAAATTTATTGAAACCCTCACAAAACAAGGCAAAACTAAAAATAATATCATATATATTTCGAAAACGAGGATTGAATCACATTTCTGTAAAAAAAACAATGCACATTGACAAATCTCATTCGAAAGGAGAGTTTTGTAAACAAAAATCAATCAGCTTTACAAAATATTTACTTGAACTTTTGTAAATTTGTAAATTTTATCGTTTCCATCATGCCGCAAAAGAATGCTGTCCTTAAATTTTTATTTTCAGCGTATTTGTTTTCTTTTTTTCTTTGTGTCTTTGTCGTTTGTGGACTTGTCCCAAATGATGTTTAGCCGCAGCAAAAAAAGCAGCAGCAGCAGCGCAGATCGCATGCCTAAGTGGCTGACAGAGAGAGTTCGGTGTCAACATTTAATGATAATTCATTCATTTCAAATTTTGAAAGAAAGAAAGGAGGCAAGTCGCAGGCGCGCAGCCACGAGAGTATATCAGGGTGGGCATTCCATATAACGTTATATGGAATGCCCACCCTGCTATACCCTCGTGGCTGCGCCTATGGCAAGTCGGTTGGCCTTCTTTTTCATTCCATTTTTCTATTCCATTGTTATTGAATACTTATCACAAATATGCCAAGTATTCGTCATCATAATTGTTCAAAATGTTGGCATTTCTCCATCATCGAGCTTTTTGCAGTGCACTACAACAGCAAAAGACAACAACAAATAGCGTCCATTATGAAGGAATTTGCAACTGGTTATGGAACATAAAAAATTGACAAATATTTCCTACTTAATGATGCCTGATGTTTAAAAGATGTCAGAAATCAGAAAATTTTTCAATTTCCTCCTTTTTCCTTAAAGTCTCTGAGGACACACTGTTTCTATTTTAAAAATTTCCTCCTCCTCCTCCAACGATCTACACATCGTCTGATCTAATCTGACCACCACCTATGCTGTACACACCACTTGAAGTGTGCACTCTTATCTTGGGGACAAACTTTTAAACCTTAAAATTGTCTTCTTTTTATGTTTCCTGTCGCTCTCCACCACTTTGCGCCACAGAAAGTTGAAGAGGTAATTTAATATATACTATTCTACTAGATACTCATCAATCACTACTCTCTACTAGATTTCACCTTCAGTTTTCTAACCCACTAAATTCTTATTCACTTAATTCCTACTACTAATTTCTCTAACACAAAAGAAAAAAAAACTAAAATTCTAGACACTTTTGTTCCCAATTTTCTCTTGATTTCCCATTTTAGTACTCCAGTTGACAAAACATGAGATGTAGATTCTGCTTAAATAAGTTAAACATTTAGCCATTTTTTAAATATTGGGAATGTGAATCTGCATGCTTTCTCTCAATGTGGTGAAATAGAATGGGAACTCGCTTTTAATATTTTTGGCATAGTTTTTCAGAAATTTCCGTAATTTTTAAAAAATTATCCAAAAATATATGTATACCTACATACCAACTTACATAACTCTTTGCACGCCGCATGGTAATTTTGCTTATATAAATGTGTACATAATATTTAATAATACCAGTCGGTAGTACCGTGTTGATTACGTATGTCGCAAAAAAGTCTGTAAGTTTTTACTTGGGCTACTTTTCTGTCTCGCTGTCTCTGTGTTATGTACTCGACAGCTTTTTTTGCAACTCATGATATGATCATCTTATTATGTATACATTACACTCCTTCACCGTCAGTGATGTAATATGAAATTGTAACAATATTCCTTAATATTGACTGCTTGATAAAATTACGAATATAAATCTTTTCACCTCGAAATTAACCAGATCATAAAACCCTGGCCATAAGTATGTCAACAATAATAAATAAAAAGCGGAAATAAGATGGCTTATAATAACTCGATAGAACTTGTAACACTCTGAACCTTCTCAAAATTTTGGGCGTCAATAATACACAAAGTTCCCCCCGAATGCGCAGAATTGATTTGTACCGAATGCCTTCCTTATTTAAGGTGGCAGGAGGAACCGTAAATTGCTTTAATCCATCAACCTTTTATGATTGCCTGGGTGTAATAATTTTGTCGTGTATCCTAAACATGCGAGTTGTCGCGGGGGTGGGGGGTGTGGTGCATCGGAAAATGTGCTGCAAACGCATCGTGTGTCATGCTCCTTAAATGTTGGGTTATCATTATTGTTATTAGAATTAGACCATGTTTTAACAAGGCCATTTTTCCCAAAACGCACTCTGTAAACCCTTTGTACACCTTTATGGTACCATAATTAACACGAGGATTAAATAGTGACGGAAGAGTTGATAGAACAAGAATAATGTAGTTGTAGATTTACATAGTCCACTTTTAGAGAATGGTGCATGATCTCTCGCTCGTGGTGATGGAATTAACTTTGGATTTATTAACTACCAATGTAGCAACTGGAAAATGACGTTGATGTCGTGAAAGACCGAGAAAAGACGATTCTCGACTACCAGGCCAAACTCCGATCTGCAATCAACGCCAAGAATTTGAAGTTGTATGTCAACGCTTTCCTCAAGTGAGTACAAGCACTTTTCTCCGGAGTCCGGCACTAATTGAATCCAAGACTAATCATTGTTTTGATATCATTTCAGCCGGAAAGATATCACTGGAGCGCTGGAGAAAAATCTGAAGATTGACACCTTGCTCTTGGCCGGAGCTAAAGGTTCATACGGCTCCACTGTGGGACATCTTCACACTTTGATGGACAAGCAGAAGACCCAACTGCTGAAAATTGATGACGTTGGTGACGTGATGAACGAAGCTGTAAGTAATATGCATACAATACATTGTCCCATCGAGTATGGAGCTTATCTGTCCTCAAATACTTATACCTCCGCAAATAATATTCATCCATTCACTTTACAGCCGGAGAAAGTGGCCCAGAGTATTTTGCTCTTCTGCAAAGGTCAAGGTCTTCTGACATCCGTGGCCATGCCGGGCATTGAGGTACGGTTTCAAACCCCAAAACTGTCCAAATATAAAAATTTCCCAAAAAACTTATCCCAAATTTTCTCCCCCAGCGAACAAGAACTTGTTCCGGCGGAGAGCCTGACGGGACGCCAGCGCAGCTCTTGCGCCAGAGGACAATGAGCATGGAGGAATATGACAAACCCAACATCCGCCGACTCTCCATCACCACCATCCAGCAAAAAGAGTAGGTGGGGGTGGATTTAGTGGGGGTGTGGATTTCTTATCTACTACAACATCAACAACTACTAAAACTACCACAACAACTACTACATACACTGTTGCTTCTTGAATTTAAAATACACCATACTACTTGTTTTTTTTATTTATTTGATGGATTCTACTACCGCTACAAGTGCTAGTTCAATACGTACAACAATTGATTGACGAAATAGAGAGAGGTTTTTGCATATAAACAATCAACAGTCGGCGGGATGATGCAGACGGTGGGGGTGACCGGAAGAAGGAGGATACTACACACATATATAAATACATAAATACATCGTAGTTAACTAAATAGCGTACTGAAAAAAACTCTGCCTCCAGAGATGAGCAGCTACATATAAATACATACATACAACAATTATGTACCCAATTTACTTCAAAAATGCATCATCTTACTATAAAAAATCAAACCCATACATAGATTGATAATAACGATAATAATAATAATAATAATCCTAAAAATACAGAGAGACTCGTAGTTTCGTACATGCATAATATCATCAATACCGATACCGATCGACTAGAGAAACATTACTTGTTGTTGTTATTATTATCTCTCAAAATTTTAGTCAACATACATAAGATGACCCGCAGCTAACTAAATATTTGTAGCCAGCTGTGTATAAAAAAGTTAATTAATTATTTACCTGCTTAAATTTGCATCTGTCTAATTCGCCAGATAAAAAAAAGGAAGAAGCGCTGTTTTAATTCTGACCCTCAAAATTTACCTGCAAACTGTAATATTTTGATTCAATTTTATATTTTTGTTCTTTTGTAGTAGAAGCAGACCAAGAATTTTGTTGTCTTGTGTGTGGTAATTTTAAGCGATTAAATAATTAATTACTTACTTACCGCCACACACACCGCTGCAATTTTCACGTTATAACGATAATAGTAAACAAAGAAAAAAAACTGTACCGAAAATACTTTAAAGAAGAAAAAATCATGATTTCCATTTACTAAAGATATAAAAAACACACAACAGCCTGAGATGCAAATTTGCCTGAAAGTATCTTATTTAGAGACATTTATACATTAGAAGACTATCTATGCATCGTTATCTTTGTTAATAATATTGCAAAAAAATATGTAATCTTAAATTAATAAAGAACTATTATAGTGTTCCAGTTGAAATTGGTGATTGTGTTTTGTTTCGAATTTGCATAATAGCGTTAAATTGAGACATACATAAAGGGACATGATTTGATATGCATAGTTTTTTGTGTTTTCATACATGGCATTCTCATCAAAAATTTGCATGCCAAAATTCCCAGGTGGTGCAGTTTGCAAACTCCAAAACTAAAATTTTATGATGATAAATATGATTGGAATTAAAATTAGGTTCATAAATTAGCAATAAATTTCGTACATGAGAAAATACACTCAATTTATCACGGTACGAATCAAATAATTAATAAAATTGTCATATTTAATAAATACTAAAAACCGTATAACGGCCTCCAAGGTGAACAAAACTATCTTTGTCTTATGCATGCAAATGTACTAGGCCTCCACGAGGAATGATTCATCCCTCCAGGAGAGGAAACCACATCCCGGAATTAGTCGGATAAAACCCGGGTTACAAACCCGAAAACTCGGATGGAAAACAAAAAGTGTACACAAAACTGTGACACGTCGTGTTCAATTCGATTCAATAATTTTAAACGTCCAGCACACATCCGTTTTGCCTTCAGCATTAAAGAAAAATAAGAATGGTTTCATTCTTCTCGATACTTTCGTGGTTTTGAAAAAAGGTACAAAAGAACATCTGAGAATTGAAAGTGTCATTCATTTCATGAAGAAAAGCTATGTAGCCGGTTGTTGTATTATTCCTGCGGTGGTAGAAAGTATAAAGTGATCCAACACAAGGACGAGGCATCGGAGAGGAAAGATTTATCATTTTGCGGATAACAAAACACTTTTTTTTCCATCGTCTCTTAAGCGATCAGCATAGCGCCGCCTTTTTCCGCGATTGATTATTCCACACACTTTTTTCTTCAGAACATTACGGTAAGAAGAAAAAAAGATTATGCATTGTTGTTCCTGCAGCTTGCGGAATGAATGGGTCACTTTTTTTCAAGGTGGGCCTCAGGAGCAGCCGTTGTCTTCTTGGGACATTATGATGTTTGTCCTCTTCGTTTGCCTGGGAATCGGTTGGACCCTCGGTTTTGGAGTGATCTGTCTCTTCCTACGACAGGTAAGAACATATACTAGCAATATCTACTACAGGTACGAGTAGTTAGTGACACTGACATTTTTGGGACGGTTTTACTTAAAACAACTCTCACCATGTAATAATAATATCCTTCTCATTGTGGGGCAAAGCTGTGTGTGTAGTTATTTTGTGAAAATATGTGTAGAGACTGCAAAAGCGAAAAGGCGTCCAGTCCCAAGGAGGAGAGGATCGGATTTCAATCGGATTATTCCATCCCTACTGCAACGCAGGTAGCGGACAGGAGCGAGTTTTATGGCATGTCTTGAAGTGTCTTCAAACCAGGTAAAATATATGAAAGGACTTTTGAGAAATAAATAAAATGAGCTGCGAGGAGGCATTATTATTTAGAAGGAGAAGACCAGATAGTTGGGTATACGAGGAGGGAAGGGATTTATGACCCGAAATTCTTGGCCGCTTATTGTGTGTCCAGTGTGGTGGTTAAAGGAATGGAAATATGTTTCCCACAGGTACCCCAGCTCCCAATTTATCCTCTACACCGGGGATACAGATGCTGCTCCTGAGGAGATTCTGGCCAAGGCGAAGGAACGATTCAACATCGTGGTGCCCTTCCCTGTGGAGTTTGTCTATTTACATAAGCGGAAATGGGTGGAGGCCTCTTCCTATCCTCAATATTTTACACTTCTGGGACACAGTCTAGGATCAATCTACTTGGGCTTTGAGGCATTGTTCAAATTTGTTCCTGGTAATAAAATATTATGATTTATGCACCTCTTCTCTCAGGAATTTTACGGTGGGGTGACGTGACGATGAGGGAATGAGTGAGGCTTCTAATTCTGTCTCTCTCTTGTCATCTTTTAGATGTTTACATTGACACGATGGGCTACACTTTTACCCTTCCACTCTTCAAATACTTTGGAAACTGCCGAGTTGGCTGCTACATTCATAAACCACTTCTCACCTGCGACATGCTCCATCGCGTCTCTTCCATGACTTTTCGAGACTTCCCACGACAAGTGCCGTCGCCCTACTCACCCAGTAACATGTTGCGACTCTTGTTCTACAAGACGTATGCAAAATTCTACGGCTGGGTGGGGCGTAGGAGTGACATCGTCATGGTCAACTCGTCTTGGACGGAGGAAAATATCAACCAGATTTGGCAATGTCCTTCCAAAACGTACCGTGTTTTTCCCCCCTGCGACACGGAGGGGTTTAAAAGCGTGGCGAGATTAGAGGATCTTGATGATGAGGATGATGGTGATAATGATGAGAATACTACTCGCCCCATAAAAATCATCTCGATTGGAAACTTTCGCCCGGAAAAGGACCACCCCCTCCAAATCCGGACGTTGTACCATTTGCGAGAACTGCTCCGTGACAAGGAGTGGAATCGTGTGTGCTTGGTCCTGATTGGGAACTGTCGGGATAAGACGGACTTGGCTCGTGTGAAAGACATGGAAGATTTGTGTAAACACTTGTCGGTCGAGGACAATGTCAAATTTCGAGTCAATATTTCATACCAAGAGCTCAAAGCCGAGTTGGCCGAGGGGCTCATTGGACTGCATACTACGTGGAATGAGCAATTTGGAATAGGTACATTATTCCAAGTATTTAAGTAGTAGTCGACTCTGTGTACAAAAAACATACCCTAAAATTGAGAAGAAAGTGATTCTAATTCTGCATTATTAATCAGGAATCGTTGAAAGCATGGCAGCCGGCGTGATCGTGATCGCAAACCGTTCCGGCGGCCCCATGATGGACATCGTCATGGAATATGACGGGGCTCGAAACGGATTTCTAGCCCAGGACGAAACCGATTACGCCGAAGCGATTCGAGCCATCCTTCACATGACTCGGGAATGTCGAAATGCCATTAAAACGCAAGCAACTGCCTCCGTGGACCGCTTTTCAGACAGACAATTCAATAAAGCATTTCTCGAAGCGGTTCAAGCTTCCTTATTTCGCTAAATCGTTGCTCTAATGGGAAGACCAAGCACGACTCGTTCTCTACTTCTTGTAAAATAATAATAATAAATGCACAAGCAATTTAACCGAAATCTTGAACTTGAAAAACATTACGAGTAGAGTGAGTACTGGCCTGGCTGGCCCTCACTTAATTTTCCCTTGTTGTTCACTGAGAACGCGTTAACCTCATTTAATAATGAAATCATAAATAGTGGAGGAAAGGGCAGCTCTAGTGGGAGCAGATAATAGTTGGTGTTAACACGTCCAGCCAAAGTGCTTTGAACCCTCATCTCCTCCTCCTCCTCCATCCTCGAATCCCCTTCTCAAGGCACCTACACCACCACCACCACTGCCCGTGCTATGCTCTTCTACCTGTATTATCATCATCCAGCCTTCGTATTAAACGGATTATGTTTTAACAAGTTGCATTGAGAGAGCTTTACATTTTTCTGGTCGTATTTAACTGACTCGAGGACTGCATATATACCAAGAAGAAGAAGAAGCAGTTACTAGGATTATCTTTCATATTTCAAACCTTATACCACCATTTTTGCCTCATTTTATACAATACATAAATCGCTGACTCAGTTTCTTCGTGAGGACTCCAGCTGCGTACAAGTTAAACTGCTTATCTACCCACGTAAATAAATACATATATCTACTTCTTCTTTTTCTTAAACTTTTTAAGCAGAGGATCCACTCGTCAGTAATATAATCATAAAATAAATGGCGACCAAGGTGGACTTCTGGTATTGGTTTTTGCAGTACATTACATATTTTTCTCGTTGATCTCATTATACCAGACTCGTCCTTGTCTGGAATCGACTACATAACATAATTTTTCGAGGAGTGAGCAGAGGACCAAATATTTTTTCGAGACGGGGACGACAATAAATCAAAGAATAATATTATTATACAAGTTGGAAACGGAAAGATTTAAGGTAGGAGAGAGAAATTAGACCCGAAGAAAGAGAAGCAATGAGGCCTAATAATATTAAATAAGAGTTGCGTATTATCCTTAATATATGTACGTACGGCTGGTTTGCTTGGTTGGTAGCAATGGTCGTCTTCTATCTATACCATATTTCGTATATATCGAAGGGGACGACGACTGACTATGACGATGATGATGAAGGTAAGTAAAGTAATAATGAAGGAAAAATAAAAATTTTGTGGAGAATCTCTCAAGATCAGCATGGGACTTGAGAGAAGAGTTGAACCGGCTTTGCTTAGTGGACGGGATTATTATTATTATAAGGATTTTAATACTTCTTTCTCAAGAATATGTGGATGTATGTAAGGAATGGAAACAAGTACAAGTTTCTAAGCTCGACTCTGAACGAGCAACAAGTAACCAGAAAGGAAGAATATGCCCATAAATAAGCCTTGCGCCCGAGACGGGAAAGAATTATGAGATGTTCTCCCAACATGACGCGCCTAAAAATGTTGACAAGAAGCAGATTTTGAGATGATCTTTAAATCCAACAATAGTTTATTGTAATGATGTTGGCTTGATGGAGAGGAATATTTTATTTGGCCCTCTTGTCATAAGGAGAAGGAGAAGAATAAGGCAGGCAGGCAGGTAGGAAAATACTTTTTCTACGTGGTCAAAAAGCCACTTCATCCAGACACATATGCACACATGCATCGACGTGGTCCTCCATCATCCTGGTCATCCTGGTCGTGGCCGAGTAATAAAAGAGGTGGCTGTGTGAGCAAGGGATAAAATATTTCTCCTTTTCATAATAATAATAATAATAATAATAGTAATACTGGTAATAATAATATTCTCTCCATCACACCACCAACCACATCATCACCGCTTTTCTACACATGCATGCTCATGTATCCAACAATATGCAACTATTTACCACCAGCGGTACGAAAAATATGAAAAACTGAGACAGAAAAAAACTGCCTGGATTGGATTTACGGATTATTTCTGAACCCTTATTAGTTAAGAAAGACCTCAAAAATAGTATATGTATCAGAACCACGTTTGGATACTGGAATGAGCGTCGCTCGTCGATGAGCATGGGGCGACCTTTTATTCATTGTTTGCAAAGAGTGAAACACTTCTCTTCCCGAGAAAGCCGAGAACAGTTTTGGTTTAGCAGAGGCGAATGTGACTTGGGTAGGGTTTTGAGTGCTTGGTAAATTACCCGAGGGTGAATTTTGACAGATACACGGGGGGTTACTTTTGGGTGGAGGTTATCCCGTCGCACACAGGTATGATTGGTTCATTAATGCAACGATCCCAAGAAAAACCTCCCTCTCATCCACTCCGTGCATGGTGAGGTATCGTCCTCACGTGGAAAGGTATGGATGGATGGATAGATTTTCTTCTTCATCTACCTGACCATTCAACAGGTAGAAGAATGAATATTATTCTGAGTCTTAAACCAAATGCTTCATCCACATCTCAACCAAGTCGTGGCAGTGGCAATACTTCAGAAGAACACAACAAGTGGAAAAGGAACTTGTTGTTGCTTGCTGGTAGGAAAATCGTATCTAATAAGAAAGACCTATGACTGACTGGTGTTGAAGTAATCCTGAAGGAGTAGAAGAAGGGCTTTACTTTGCTCCACGGGACTCAACCAGTTCTTTCTTACCTGGTTCCATTGTTACTTCTTGTTACTCGCTGTCTAAATGCCACGATGGCTTAAGAGATGTTTCTACTTCTTGGTCTTCCTACCCGTGCTGTGCTATGCGAGGAACGAGTAATCCATGCCAATGAATCTTTATATTACTTACTTTACATTATCCTCTTCTTCTCTCCGTGGTGTGCATTCCTGCGTTTCGTTTTTACTCTCGAAACAACAATCCACCTCTCTTTCTCATCCGGAGGGGCATAGAACAACCGTGTGCTCAGACAACAACAAACAGTTTCATTGCATAGTTGCACCCGGCCAGACCAGCTCCGGCCCCACGACGACGACGCTACAGCCTCGCATACCAGAGAGTGATGGCTTTCTTCTGCCGGTACCCACACATTTCTTGGTAGCAATGGGTCAGCAACTGCTTATCGAGGGGAGAAATAGATAAGTTGACAGGATGCGAGTAATTATTCAGTGCAAAAACATAAGTGTCTCGGTTTTTGGAGAGTGTGCGAAAAAGAGCTTAGTTTTTTGTGAAGTGTAATGAGAACTCGACAACATGCGACACATTTTTAATGGTTGACACGCAGCGTGTAATATTAAAGTGAGAAAAAGTGCATGGGTGAAAAGTGGACAAAGAAGTGGAGAAGTTCGTGGTGGTGGTGGAGTGAAGAATGATGGGAACGGATTACTACCACTTTGGAGGAATGTGCTTCGTTCCTGTGTTTGTGTGTGTGTGCATCCTTGCCTGAAAACTGGAGCATGGAATGTTGAGATTTTAGAAAAATGAGTGAACTTAGGATTAAGGAAGATCAAATGGGGCAAGAAGAAGTGTGTTAAAGAAATTTTCTTATCGAGTGTATGGGCTTACACGTCACGATCCAAGTGAAATGTGATCCGAGTGAAAAAGTGTTGTTTTGTGTGTGCATGTGCATCGGTGATGATGACATCGTAGAATTAAATATGACATTAAAACACTGCTAAGGAAGTGACACACACAATGCTGCTGTACCGCATGGGGCAATTCCATTATGCAATCATCCGTGCGGTCACATTCGCCCTGCTGCTACTGCTCCATGGAGCGACGGGCAAAGTGGTGCGGGACCGGGGTTCCACACCCTTTGGGGGTGGGTCGTCGCGATCGGTCGATATGCGGGTTGACTTCGGGGTTGAGGAGGGTGTCCAAGTGGGAACATTTGTTGGAAGAATCCCCACAAAACCCGGGTTCACGTACCGTTTTAACGAATATCTCGATTACTTTGTGATCAACGGGACGTCGGGAGAGGTTCGAACGAGGAAGGAAATTGATCGCGAGTCACTACAAAATGACCAGTTTGACATTGTCGTCCTCTCCAGTCAGCCCACTTACCCGATCGAGGTGCGAATCTACATCAAGGACATTAACGACTGTTCCCCCACGTTTCCGGAGCCCGAAGTGTCGGTGACCTTTCCAGAGTCGGCTATTTCTGGAACTCGGGTTTTCCTCGACACCGCGGAGGATGAAGATTCCCCTGCCAACGGGGTGCACACCGGGTATAAGATTGTAGAGGGGAATGAGGACGGTCATTTCCGCCTCGTCGTCACCACCAATCCGAGCGGAGAAGCGCCCTTCCTCCATTTGGAAACGACTGGAAAACTGGACAGGGAAACTAAGCCGAACTACCGACTCAACATTTCCGCTCAAGATGACGGGGTTCCTCCCAGATTTGGATTTCTCAATGTCAACGTGTCCATCAATGATGTCAACGATTGTCAACCCGTCTTCGGACAAGGGCAGTATTACGCATCGCTGAATGAAAGTGTGGAAATCGGAACGGCCGTGTTGCAAGTATCCGCCACGGATAATGATGAAGGAGAAAATGCCCGGGTTTCCTACTTTATTTCTGAAACTGAACAACAATTCAGCATCGAAGCGGAGACTGGCATCATTCGGACCGCGCAACCCCTCAATTGTCCCAAGAATTGTGCTCCAGGAGCAAAAAGTTGTCCCAAGAGTTGCGTCCTCACCGTCTTTGCGCGAGATCACGGCACTCCCCGTCAAGATGGGAGGACTTACGTGACGGTGACCTTGGTGGAGTCGAACCACCCTCCAGTCATCAAGTTCCGCTACTTCCCACCCACCGCCAACACTGCCAATGTGCTCGAATCCGCCCCAAATGCCTCCGTCGTGGCAGCCATTTCCGTCATTGACATGGACGAAGGTCCAAACGGGGACACCGTGGTAGAAATTGTGCATGGAAACGAGCTTAAAAACTTTATCCTCGAGTCAACCACTTCCTTCCAGCTCGTCCGAACGAATGGAATGTTGGACCGGGAAAAAGTCCCCTTTTACAACTTGACAATCACTGCGCGCGACAGTGGGAATCCGTCCTGCAGTTCGACCGCATTTCTCATAATTGAAGTCAACAATGACCAAGATCCAGAAATCTCCTTCGCCAAAACGGAATATTCTGCAGTCCTCCGCGAATCCGTTCCGATCGGGAGCTACGTGGCGAGCATTACTGCGACGGGAGAGGAAACCACGCATAAACACAAGTCCTCCTCCTCCCAAGTCATTTATTCCATCGTTTCTGGGAATGAGAAGCAGTGGTTCACAATCGATCAGCGGAGCGGACTTCTCACCACGCGATCACTCCTGGATCGCGAACAACAGGGAAGTGTGCGACTCAAAATCTCTGCGAGGGATGGGGGACCATACCCGAAGTATACTCATGCTCAAATTAAGATCACAATTTTAGACGAAAATGATGAACATCCCAAATTCAGCAGTGAAATGATTGAGGTTTCCATGTTGGAAGATGTCCCACCCGGCTCGGAAGTGACGACGGTGAGCGCAGTTGACCACGATCAAGGGACGAATGGAACCATCACTTACGTCCTCAGCCCGCAAACAGAGCTTGCTTTTCCCAACCAGTTTCAAATTGACCCCAGTTTTGGGAAAATTATAACAAAAGCAAAACTTGACCGAGAAAGTGTTCAAAATTATGATATTTACGTGATTGCGAAAGATCACGGAAATCCGGCTCTCTCATCCACGGCGGTTGTTCATTTGGAGGTGAAAGACGTGAACGACCACGCCCCCGCCTTCTACCCGCTTGAATATTTTATCCCGGTCAGCAAAGAGCTCGCAGTGGGGAGCAATATTGGTCATGTGGTTGCAACAGACCCGGATTCGGGGGTTAATGGGAAAGTGACGTATAAACTGGCATCCGCACCCAGCCCGATTTTCGGGGTTGAAGCAAAAACTGGGAATATTGTGTTGAAAATGAGTCTTCTGAATTCTCGGGCGTTGTCATTCCAGCTCCAAATTTCCGCCATGGACGGAGGAGGCAAGACGAGTGAGAACGATGCAATGGTCAACATATTAATTGAGTCTCAACATGGGGAGAAAGCGTTGGAATTTTCACAGGCTGCGTACACTTTCTCCATTGTGGAAGACTTTGGTTCGAAAATTCCGGCCGGGTTTACTCGAGAAGTTGGAAAAGTACAAATCAGCGACAATTACAAGAAGGACTCTTCTGCCAACAGTAAAAATGGTGGTGGTGAAGTTAAGTACACAATTATTAATGGAGATCCCGACGGAATTTTCACCATTGACCAACGAACCGGAGCGATCATGAGTACAAAATTGATTGACCGAGAAACCCGAGGAAATCGCACGTTATCAATTTTTGCACAAAAAGGAATCCTCCACGGTTCTTGCACCGTCACGATAAAAGTGACCGATCTCAATGACCAAGTCCCCTCGTGGGACTACTCGTCCCTCTGGGAGGTCAACATTCATAAAAATTCCCCCATCGGAGAGGAAATCGTGGTCGTGACAGCGATCGATTTGGATGAGGGGATAAATTCCAAGCTGGTTTACACCCTCCCCACCAACCCCCTCGGACTTTTCTCCATCGACCCCTCCACCGGGTTGATCAGTCTTATCAAACCCCTCCGCCACGTGACCATCTCCGAAGTGATGGTGGAAATAGAGGCGACCGACTCGGGAGCAACACCCCTGTCATCAAAGAGAACCATGCTCATCCACCTGACCGAGGTGAATCAGAACTCCCCCGTTTTCGACCACTTTTCCTACGAAACCTCTCTCCCGGAATCGACCCCCGTCAACACGAGATTCTTCACCCTGAAAGCCACCGACAAAGATGTCGGGCTCAATGCTGAACTGAACTATGAAATCACGGAGGGCAACTCGGCTCAAAAGTTTGGAATCTTCCCTGATGGAAATTTATACGTGAAATCTCACCTCGACCGAGAAGAAGAAGACTACTTTTCTCTCTCCGTCATGGCCAAGGACAACGGAAACCCGGCACGGTCATCCATCACGACATTTGTCATCCACATAATTGATGAGAACGACATCGCTCCAAAGTTCACAAATTCAACTTTCACCTTCACCATCCCGGAGAACGAACCGGAAGAAAGCTACGTGGGGAAAGTTGTCGCGGTGGATGGTGACATGGGACGAAATGCGGAACTCACTTATCTCTTCACATCCGCCCAGCATCAGGATTTCTCCATCGATCCGAAAAGCGGATTCATCAAGACGGCCCGCTCTTTTGACCGGGAACAACTCGTCCAATCGCTGGGTCACAGTTCCATCACGTTGGAAGTGAGGGTGGAGGACAACGGGGTCGTGACCAAGTTGAGCGACAGGGCGCAAGTCGTCGTCACGATAACCGATGTGAATGACGAAGTCCCCAAATTTTCGAGGGACACGTACCACGTCCAAGTTTCCGAGGACGCCGAAGTGGGTGCCTCGGTCGTCCGGGTGGTCGCGATGGACTCGGATGATGAACAAAATGGGGAGATTTTCTACTCCATTCGGGACGGAAATGAGATGGACAAGTTTCAAATTGACGGGGCAACGGGACATATTTCTCTCCGGAACATGCTTGATCGTGAAAGCAGAGACAATTATTTGTTATCCGTTATGGCGCAAGATATGTCGGAGACTGCCCCGCTCCGTTCGTTCGTGAATGTGTCAGTGACCGTGTTGGATGCGAACGATTGCGTCCCCGTATTCCAGTCGGCCGTCGTCAGGTGAGGAGGTTTAATTAACTTTGTTGTTGTTCAAAAATGATCCAAATTTCAGAAAAATTCTGAAATAAATATGTATAACATCCATCCATCCATCACCCCATGATGATTAAATTATGGAGGTGGTGGTGGAAGAAGATTATATTTTAATGCATAAATTATCTTTTCCATATTATTCCCCAGGTTAAACAGTGAGGGTTCACCATCACCATCATCCATATCACCGTCATCCCTCCTGGACATGTACAACTCTTCACCTGCCACGAGCAAATTACAAATTGTTGAGACAACACCGATTAACACGGAATTGATTGAGTTCAACGCAACAGATTCCGACCTGGGACAGAATGGTCAACTCACCTATTCTTTGACTGGAGGCAATAGACATGACACTTTCAGAATCAATGGGAAAACCGGAATCCTTTATCTCAACAAGCAATTGGACTATGAAAAAGTTACAAAGTACACGCTCACCATTGCCGTGGCGGACTTTGGGAGTCCTCGACTTTCCACCTCGATGGACATGACCATCGAAGTCTTGGACTTTAACGACTGTGCCCCACAGTTTCCGTCGACCTCCGTGGTGCGACAGATTCAGGAAGGGATCTCTCTGAAAACCCCGATTGTCACGATTACCGCGGACGACGCGGATTCCGGGGACAATGGAAGGGTCAAATACCGCATTAAACATCAGTCACCACCTGGAGCACATTTTGGGATTGACTCCTCCACCGGCACGATTCATACGTTGCTCCCCATCGACAGGGAGTTTGCAGACACTTTTCGTCTCACCATTGTTGCCGAGGATCAAGCCAATCCGGTCAGTTTGAGATTATCTTCAGAGAAATTAGTCACCGTCATTGTGGAAGATGTCAACGACTGCGAGCCCAAGTAAGTACCAGTCGGATTATTATGAGCAAAAGTTAATTATTCATTATTTTTATGCAACTCGTTCTTCTTCTACTTTCTCCCACTCCGCCTCCTTTCATTATAAATAATTCTGTTTACAAAATACGTATGTGCCTGCATACATACATTTGATGCAATCAAGTGTTGAGAAAAACACTTGATTACTCCACCAGACGACCAGGCATAAAAAACTTTGCGAATTAAACAAACTTTAAATCTGAGACGTAAAAGAGGGAGGGGCGCCAGTGGGTTGTTGAGGAGTTTCATTTTAACTTTTTATGAGACAAGTGCATAATAATAATAATAAGAATCCGTGTTTACCCCAAGTCCATGCAGACCAATTGGTCAAGTTATTCACTCGATATTTACTCGAGCTGCTTTCAAAAGTAGACTTTTGCAAACCCAAAATGCTTACTGTATACTTGCATAACTTATGCATACGATTATGCATGAATTGAATCCCATCTCTCGCCGAACTGCTGGTGGTGGTTGTTTTTTAGCAGCCTGGTGAGACTGGCTACATGATTTACAACGCGAGTGTCTCACATTTTCAACTTTTTTTTGCAGGTTCACATGCCTAAATGCTGCTCTGCTTCGGGCTAATTCAGAGGCCATGACAGAAATTATGGTAATTAGTGCAACCGATTTGGACTCTGACTCTAATGGCGTGGTGACCTATGACCTTTTAAGTGGTGACACGAATCTCTTTGAGTTAAACCGAATTACCGGTTCGCTTCAAGTGAGACGTCGCATTACAAATGTTCAACCACGGTATCAACTCACCATCCGGGCGACGGATGAGGCGATCCAGTCACAAAGAAAGTACAGCGACTTGGCCCTCATGGTTTTGGGCGTTTCGGAAGAGAGTGGTTCAAGTGGGCTTCACTTTGCGAAGGGGACTTATCAAGGCGCCATTTCGGAGAATGAACCCCTCGGCTCGTCCATCATGACCGTGACGGCGAGTCGCGGAGGAGCGTCAGTTTTAGACGCGAGTGACGATGTCGAATATTACATAACCAACATCACTTCCCCAGATGGACTTTTGCAAAATAGGTTGTTTGACATTGACGTGAAACGTGGTAAGTAGATGTTTCTTATCATCAAAAGTATATATGATAATTGAGAATGTAGTCAATTATGAACAGTGTAGATGAATGAAGTAAAACGTTTTTTTTTCACGTGGGTTTGTTTGCAGGGATTCTCTCGACAGCTGCAATTTTGGACAGAGAAATGGGAGTCTGGAATTTCCATATTGAAATTTATGCCGTTCTTGTGAGTGCCCGAGGACTTTACACGGCTTCCACTCAAGTAAGAGGGATAATTTTGCATTAATATTATTACGAATTAATATTATATTGTTAACTTACACACCAAAACCGACGCCACCTCCACCACCACCACCACTCGTCTCTGTCTTGTTCTCTGCAAGAAACAAATTTTGCATGATGCTGATTCCAAAAAACAAAACCCTGTCAGACTTAAAAAGAGAGAGACATGCTGGTGACCATGCATCTTAAATTATATATTCAAATTAAACACACTCAAAAGAATTAGCATGTGGTGTGACCCGGACATTCCAGCCATGTTTTTCCTTTTGTTGAACAATTGTTTAGTGGACTACGTGTTTCACGTCCACCTTAGCATATTATCTCGCCAGAAGAAGAAAGTTGGTTCCAGTCCGACCAGCCAAACAATTCACATCATCATCATCATCATGTCGTGATCGTCTTGATCATCGTCCACCAATCTGTTCACTCTTTCTTAATAAATGGGGTTTGTATACGGCACATTAAGCAGCATTTTCTACATATATCTCATGCTGCATTTAATTGTTGTCGTCTCAGAGCACACATGGACCTGGGGAGGAGAGGACGAGGACGACGAAGGAGGAGGTTTGAATAGCGTCATGCAGCGTTACCACTTTACAATTTCACTTTTTTTGATTTATAAACGATTGAGAAATTTTTCCGGTTATGTAAGTTTTCTGCTCTGCAGGATACACAGCAATCGAATTAAAGAGTTGCCAACTCGTATGACATCAACTTCCGTTCAATTCTCTATCTCCCTCTTCCACGTACATGGATAAGTATGCATGTATTTGTACATATGCATGTACACCTTCGGGACCGTTCTTTAATTAAAAACATGGGCATGAGAGATTGTCTGTAGATGAATGTTTGGTGGTGCAGGCTAATAAAGTTTTAGCTAATGTGTGTATAATTACCTGATCCGTGTACTCTCACACAGTCAGTCAGTCATGCTCGCCCACACGGCAATTCGTAAGAAATATATAATAATCATAATAATACTCAAATCTCGGCAGAATATCCCCGTGGGATCTCGGGTTATTCATCGCTAATCTCTCGAGAGTTTGATGAGATGAGACACAAGTGCTCAACGTCGTCATGTTTCTCTAAAATCCACTCAGTAGTCGTCACCATTTGAGGTATTTCGTGTACAGCACTTATTTTGCTGACTCTCTGCCTCATCATCATCGTCAACAATGAATGATAAGGTTTTGAGCACTTGAGACATTCTGTAATTTATTGGAATAGGATAATAAAAGATGAGACAGTGAGAAAAAGGATTTCATCTTTTTCTTCGTCAAGGAGTTGTATGTATCTTCTTGAGCTTTATCTGCTCGCTCCAGTCACAAAAGTAATAAGCTGCTGCTCCTCATCGCTCTGGTTTTACTGCACATGGCAAGAAGGATGACGACGACGAGGATGGTTTCTCTTATCGAGATGAAGGATAAGCAGAGGATTCGTTTCTCTGAGTTCCTTCTTCTTCTTCTTAATTGTTGTGCAGGAGACCCAGAAGAGAAAGATGAGTTTGGCTTAGTTTTTCCTCTTTGGCGTTGGATAATGGTTTCCGACCCTGCATGAGGTAAGAAAATGGGAAAAGGCCAGAAATAGCAAGACAACAAGAGGGATGTTTTGAGTAGTTGTCTCTACATAGCTCGGGCAGATCATCATTTGATGGAAAGTGGTCTGGGATGCATGCTGCTTCAACATCTTTTGGTCTCTCTCTTGACGTACATTCTTTACGGGCAGGTCTGGTCATGCACTTTGAGCTGCTGCTCCTAAATCAGAATCCGTCCAAGAAAAGATGATGATGATGATGGAAGTTGATGACTTGACAGAAGAAGAAATCTGTGTAGTCTGCTTGATGCAGGCATGGAGAGAATACGAAGAAATGTAGGACGTTTTTTGAATAGTGGAGACTGGAGTCCACAGACACGGGGAGGTGAACAATGAAAACTTGTAGATAGGCGAAGATTAGGGGAAAAGTGCCGAAAATCCGCATTCTGCGAGTACACTATTTATTCATCGTGACCCGACAGACCGGCGTGACATTGTCTACTTTTGTCGTCGGGAAAATCAGCTTGATCCTGCACCTCCAGTCTGCAACACTTTTTGTATTGTTGCTCATTTTGTAAATGAAAAGGAAGCGAAAGTGTGTGTGTAGTTTCAAAAGCATCATCTCCATAATAAACCAGGTGCTTGATCATCCTCGTCATGAGGCTCGTATTCTCTTCATCCATCCGCATTCATTCGAGTTTGCATTTGATTAGGCTTCGCCCATGGTGAGCGGGCATGGCTTTCTTGTGCGATGGGTCGCTACCCTGCTTCGTACGTAAGAAAAAGTTTCAGAATTTTTAGGAAATTAAAACATCATGTGTTCCTACACAAGACTCAAATCTAATCACGTGCAAAATATGGTCTCCTTTTAATGCGTAGACCACAGTTTAATATACAATTTTAATGTTCCTAATTTGAAATATTTACACAATTTTCTAACTACTTTCGTCATGGTTCGCAGCATTGACTCGGTAAATAAAAACAGATTTTGAACACGTTCTTGAGAAGAACAATGTCCTACTTTGCGTAGGAAAAAACGGTCAGTCCTGGGTCAGACGGTTTTTTGAGCTGCATTTCGTTAGGTGCGGCATAAAGTGATCTCCAAAATCGCTTACTCGATGGGCACATCCATAATCGATGAGTTAAATCACGGCAAAGCAGAATGTATACACGAATCTGCGTTGGTTGTTGAAGATGAGAAGAAGAAAGGGTTGTTGGAGAGTGAGACAGGTGGGCAAAAGAAGATTTCTTGGTCTTCTCATTGCTGGATGATGATGAGGTACAACAAGTACAACGTGCCCAAGTTGTTACCTTACGTTGCTGGCTGGCTTGAGTATAAACAGTTTTTGAAAAGCCAAGCTAGTCAGTCTTCTGCTTCTTACGAAGAAGACTCCTCTTCTTCTGGCAGTTCAAGGACCAAATATCTTGCTCTCTTGTGTGGAGACTCCAACTGCGCTTTGCACCCCGCTGATGCCTTTTTCGTTTACTTCACTAGCTTGCTTCATGATATTTCTCGTCGTCGTCGTTCTCCTCGTCGTCGTCGTCGTTTGTACCTCCTCATCCACTCTGCTGCTGCTTTTTTCTCTCCGTTTTCTATACGAGAGGACGTGTGAGAAGTGGGCATAGAATACATTCCTTTTCCTTTTTTGTGTACCTTCTCTCCTCTCCACGGCATACATACCTGTTCTACCTGCGTGAGGTGGTTGGTTGGTTGTAAGTAATAGGGTAAAAGGGGGAGATGAAGCTGGTTAAGGTTTCTGGAGTCTGAGTCCCCATCAAGGAAGGGAGGAAGGGGTATATGTGGTACCTATAATCTTATTAGAACGGCTGCTGCTGTGACCCATCCATCCAGCAGGTAAATAAATAGGCCCAGATAGCTCTCGTGATTCCATCTTTTTTTCTCGAAGGTCTGCTCGGAATAGAAAATCAGATCGTTGTGACAGATTATGCCTGTCATCAAAACAAACAGTTCCGAAATTTCGGTCTTATGCTCAACACTTTTTACATTTAGTTTACAAGCCACCTGTTGACAACCAACAATCCGAGTTTGAATGTGCTCTTGAGAGTGTATGTGACGCTATGTGAGTTCTTCTTCTCGTGGGCTTGAGAAAACTTGACTCATATACAAACATCGCTTAAAAAATGGAGATTGTGTGTGGCATTTTATTATTGTCGTCGTCGTCCTCTTTTTAATCAGTATGCAAGTCCCAAGGGAGTGGAGAATGTATACATATTTTTGTAATAATAATATTCCTCCGCTCTAGAAAAGCCAAGTAGCATGGAAAAATGACAGAAAATGCAAATCCATCCACAATAAAATGTGACAATGCAGCGTGGGACGTATCGCTGCATAGTCAACTTTTTGCTACTCGCGTGTTACTTGTGAAAGTAAACTGTGTACAAGTATTAAATGGGCCGCTATCACGTTAAATAAGGTAGTAGGAGGACGGCGGATTAAATAATGGTGGTGTAAAAGATGCAAAGATTATTAGTGGTGGTTGATGCGTGATTGAAAATGAAGTGGAAAAGGCAAAGGGCCAAGTAGGCCCCTTACTTAAATAATACACACACATCCACCAACACCAACACCAGGGTAGAATTGGTTCCATAATTTTTCATGGGTTAGTTTCTCAATAATTTATGCTTGTCATGAAAGGGTGGTGGTGTGGTGTGGTTCGAATATGTTGTTGTTGTTGTTGTCTATTACGTACGACGGGATGTATATTTTATATCATAAGTAAAAGCTGTGTATATGTACTCGTATGTGTTGTTGAATAGTTTTTTTTTGTGAGTGAGTTGAAACCGTGGATTCACGGCGGTCAAGATCTTCTTCTTGGTTTCGTATGCACATCTTCAACTCGGAGGATGAGCGAGCTAGGTTTACGCAATAATAAGATAAACCCCACTACCAACCAGCACCATCCGACTCCTCATATGCATACATACCTGGCTAGCTGACTGGCCGTCGTTTTTGGGTAGATACTTAAACCCGTTCACACAAAAGATAATGTAATCTATTCATTTTGGCCTGACACAGAAAAAGGTATTCGGCCGTGTGATGTGTACCAGTTAGTCGAGCATTCATTCCAGTGTGCGACGCTCAGTCAGTCACTCACCGCACTTCATGTTCAGCTTAAAACTTGTTTCACAAGATTCCTGCAGCCAGATATTAAGGCCATATCGGCACCGATGCCAATTTGTGAACTTTGTTACCTCCGCTCCTCGTGTACTGCCACATTTATCATAAACGCATCTCTCTCTCAACCCTAGAAAGAACCACCACCGTCCATAGCAAAGCATCCGGCCATGCAGTCGTCATCCATCCACCTCCTCCTCACTTATCCATTCCTTTTGCTGCTGCTGACGATGAGTGAGCTTCGATGTTTCTTATTAGCAACATGCTAGCTAACGAATCCTGTAAATCAGGGTGATTCCCAGGCTGTCCAGTGCAAGAAGAAGACCTCGACGAGAAAAGTGCAGATATTATTCTGCTCCTCAGTCAGCTTTTTCTTGCATATGTAATGCTCCTGCTAATCCCCAATGTCACACCACCACTTATTCGTATAATAATTCCATTTTAAATGAGACTAATGAGAAATTCTACACGACGACGACGAACAGCAAAACGAATCCGTACACGTACGTACATATGTTGTAAATACTTGCAGTTCTTCTTCTTGTTGGCTCCGACATGCCGCTGAGGCAGTGACTTCATGACCAACCCTTTTTCAGAATATAAAATCCTACGTACCTGATGATGACTTGACTTCTGGCCCGGCAGTTCCAGTCCAGCGTCGTGAAATGATGGGTAGCGCATACAGCAATGCAATCCAGTCAGTGCATAAGTGAATGACGGCCATAATAATAATAATAATATAATATATAAACTTGTAAATACTTCTCGAGAGTCATGAGGAGGCGAGTTTACGGTCCGTGAATTTAAAAAATCTTTCCCTTGTCCAATTCAGGTACACCCTGATTACGAACCCCTACGGTGACCATGTATTGATTTTTTTTACCCTCTCCGATGGACTGATTATATTTCTCTCTCTTCGTCGTCCCCTCGACTCGATAAATATAAATTTGTGACCAACCATCAGTCCATTTTGAATAATAAACATGAACATGATGAGTTTGCAGCATGCGAGCGAGGTCATAAAGCGTCAGCTTCTCGCGCATAATATTCTCACACCTTTGAAGTTATTTGAACTCGGAGTTGGTTGTTGGATGTATAACCACATTTTTCAAATCGTCTCTCAAATTTTTAAGCCTTTGGACTAGCTTTTGGAATGAAAACAAAATGATTTATTATTTCATTTCACATTTATCATTTCGATTTCTGCGAACAATTATTATTAAATCGGTAGGACGAGAGATGAGAGAGAGGAACGTGTTTCAAGTTTTGTTAAGCCATCCCATTTCGTAATCTGCACATTGGTTTAGTAAAATGCCTGTTTATTATGAACTATACGGCATCTGGTATCTGCATATTTATGCGGAGGGGTTGGAGGGAGGGATGATCAGCAAAAATGCTCACTAACGGAACAATTTGACAATTAATATTCGAAAGATAGGGCGATATTGTCAATAAGAAAAATACGCGTGAGCCGAATCATGCCTCGGGTAAAATAATCAAATTGTTCATTCCACACCAGCAGAACACACAATGGGCATGTTTCGTTCCTAATAGGAGTTGGTTGATGAGCAATAATAATAAAGTGCGGACCAGATCACTTAAGCAATCTCATGCATATTTATCGCTTCCTATTGGATAAAAAAAGAGTGAAGAATGACGAGGGGTTTCCCAACTGAGGTCATGAACATTATTTAATTAATGGTTAATTGCAGGTGAAAGTGAGTGTCCTGGATGTAAACGATAGTCCACCCGTGTGGCCGAAGGGGGACGGGGTGGGGCTCAGTATTTCGGAAAATGCTCCCGTCGGCCAGGAAATTGCGACCTTGCACGCCGTCGATGAAGACCTGACGGGCAAAGTGACCTACTCCATTGTGAAAGGAGACGAGGGAAAGTTCCTGTTGGACGCGAAATCTGGCGTGCTCAAAATCATCGACACGTTGGACAGAGAAGTGCAAGAAGAGTGGAAACTTGTGGTCAGGGCGAATGACGGAGAACAGTATTCCGACACGACGGTGATGATTATGGTGAGTGATGGATTTCTGTTCTTGTAATTTTTGCGGATATGTGCTTATCGAAAGACGGGAAAATTACACCACGACGAATCTTTAGGTGACTGATGCGAACGACAATCCGCCCTCGTGGAACAAGTCGGCCTACTCTTTCGACGTGGCGGAGGACGCCCCTTCCGGCCACGTGGTTGGCACTTTGACCGCGATCGACTTGGACAAGGGGGTCAATGGGAAGGTTACCTACTCGATTTTGTCCGGGTGGGGAGATGATGTGTTTTCTCTTAACCCGAACAATGGGGTTTTTCTTCTCACGGGGAAACTGGACTATGAAAATGTGCAACATTACATTTTCGTGGTGCAAGCTCAAGACACCGGAACTCCAAGTTTGTCATCGACTACGACCGTGTATTTGAACGTGCTGGATCTGAACGATAATTCTCGTACGTGCATAATTTAATTATGACGATTTTATTATGCGACTCTTTGCTTAACTTGACAAAATTAAATTGTAGCTGTCTTCGAACCTGTCACTTATTCGACCGAGGTCCCCGAAAGTATTCCGATCGGTTCGTCCATCGTTACAGTGTCCGCGACTGATATGGACTCTGGTAATTAATATTTTTTGCTTTTCCTCCTCACCGTGAAAGTTGTGCTTGTTAGTAAAATAGTTCATACATAGTTGTACATGGGATTACGGTTAATGGTTTAGGCGACAATGGGGAAATTGTGTACTCCATCACGCACGGAGATGTGGACGAGGCGTTCGCAATATTCCAAAATGGGACGATTTACACCCTGAAATCATTGGACCGAGAGACAACGGCGAGTTATCAGTTACTCGTCCAAGCTGAGGATCAAGCTTCGATAAACCCACTTTCAAGTTCCGTCCAGGTAAGTGCTCTTTCTCTGATTTTGTGGTCACATTCATAAACGAAATAAATGCACAGGTCACCATCACCGTAAAAGACATAAACGACGCTGCCCCCGAATTCGTATCCGCCAACTCGATCATGGTCATGGAGAACACGCCCATCAACTCGGTCCTCCTCGTGGTGAAAGCCATCGACCGGGACGAGGGAAGAAACGGCTACGTTGAGTACACCCTGCACAACGAGAAGGCGACCTTCAGCCTGGGCGTGGTCGACGGTCTGCTCAGAGTCATTGGTGACATTGATCGAGAAGATGTCAGCAACTATACGTTGAGTGTAAGTGGCAACTTTCTTGTGTCCAATTATATATTCCCATCATCATCCATATTCTCTCCATTCGTGTATGTAGATCACTGCACGAGACCGTGGCGATCCATCTCAATCCACAACGCAAGAGCTATTCATCAAAGTTCGAGACAGGAATGACCACCAGCCCAAATTTGATACGCATCAGTATAGCGCTTCCGTCCCTGAAAATTCCTCCATCGGGACGAATATTCTTCAGGTAAAACCTGACCTCTGTTTTTTTTCTTAAAAAAACACCTTATCACCTGCTCATGCATCCTTATTCATGTTTTCTTTCTCATTTAAATGAATCAAAAAAATAATTCTGCTCCTCTCAGGTGAGTGCCTTCGATATGGATGAAGGGCTCAATTCCCAGATCAGGTACTCCATCATTGGCGGAGATCACAACGGAGATTTCAGCATTGGAGATGACTCTGGAATTTTGAGAGTCGCTCGAGGACTCAATTTTGAACGGAATAAGGCTTACACGCTCACCATCCAGGCAGAAGATCTCGGCGAGGAGGAAGAAAGTACTTATGACACGGCCACCGTCTCCCTCGCCATTTTGGATGTGAATGATAGGTAAGTATTTTTCATGAGCAGCAAAATTGAGAAAACATGAATGCCTCATCCCTGCTAATAAAAAAGTGTACCTGGCTGACTCACTCACTTTTTCTCAAGGTCGCCAATTTTTCTTGACGCCCCTTACATCGCCTACGTCCGAGAAAACATGGACGCCTTGCCCCAAACCGTGGTCCAGGTGAACGCGTACGATGCCGACTCGCTGAGCAAGAACTTTCAAGTTCGCTACCTCATGAAGGACGGGGACAAGGATGCCTTTCGCGTGAACGCCTCGACCGGAGAAATCACCGTGCATCGCGCCCTGGACCGGGAGAAGCAGTCCGAGTACCAATTGACCATCGTGGCGATGGATACAGGTACATACGACTTGCCAGATTTTATTTCATTTTCACATACGTTTGTACGTTCCTCGACGGACTACATCATCATGCAGGAGGAGGAGGAGGAGTACTTTTACTTTGTTGTTGGCACTTGACTTGTCTTGTGCACTGATAGGGGTTAGGTTATTATCGTGAGGTTGTATGTGCCGGGCAGGCAGGGTTTGTAGATGATGAGGTTGAAGGCACAGGTGGAAAGAATGAGAATGAGGCAGAGTTCCTCCATCGTCTAAAGTAACAACCTGTTCGTTACTTCTTCCTATACCGGAGGAGATAGGAGATACATAGCAGAACAACATTATTGTGAGACGTGGGAACTGGTTGGAGAAGTTTAGCCGAAGAAGAAGACCAAGACCAAGAAACCCACCCGCTAAGCACGCATCTAGCCATGTAAGCAGCAAGCAGGTTGTAGTGAAGGCAGCTTTAAGCGAAATATTATCCTGGGACATGAGCATTCATGTGTTGTGCTATCTAAATGGAACAAAGGAGAATGAATATAATCTTAAATCAGTCTCATCGGTGGTTTTTAGCTGGAAAATTATGATCTCGTTAAGAGATTGTTTTTAATGTTGGCGTTTGTTGGTCGCATTTCATGAGACCTGGCTCTGCCTGTCCTCTCCACCTGCTTAAATTTCAATGTCTCATTTCATTAGAGCAGCGAGGACAGGTCTTCTGCTTGCATGTAGGCTTCATATTATTAACGGATTGCTTAATCGGACGGGCCAAGTTGAAATGGTGAAATGAAATGCAAATATGTGCGTAATGTTAAATGTTGCTCGGGCTGAAATGAACTACTTGACCCCTCGTTCACTTTGGATTTCATAGTGTTCTGCACTCTTTTAATTATGAGTTCACTCTTTGTTATCTTGCATGGTTAATTAATTTATACGGAATTTCTCGTCGTCATCATATCACGCGGAATGTAAAGTTATGCGTTCTTTTTTTCTATAGGCGAACAACTTGACCATTTTTTCATAGATACATAATTTCACCATGATGATGATTATGAATTTATCAGTACCAATACGAATGGGATGTTCAAATGTGCATATTTTACTCAAACAGGAACTCCACGTCTCACCGGGACAGGAATGGTTCAAGTAATCGTCAGCGACCAGAACGACTGTGACCCGGTGTTTGAGCATGATCACTACGAACTGTCCGTGATGGAGAATACGCCTCCGGGAACGCTAGTGTCTAGAGTGCAAGCAAGTGATAAGGATCTCGGTTTAAATGCGGTGGTTCGGTAAGCGAGATTTTTTCGATAAGCAATTCGACGGAATTTTTACTAACCCAAAGTAAATGTGACGATTTAACAATTCATGGTTTTTCCCACAGGTACAAAATCCAATCCGCCAAACCCGTCCCCTTCGACGTGGACACGATCACGGGCGATATCTTTAGCAAGAACGAGCTCGACAGGGAACTCGAGGAACAATATCGCTTCAACATTGTCGCCATCGACTCGAGTCTCATCTTCCAACGGAGCTCGACAGCGGAAGTGATTGTGAATCTGCTCGACGAGAATGACAACTTTCCAAAGTTTAAGCAGAACTCGTACTTGGTCAGCATTCCAAGCAACGTGGTCTCGGGGAGTTATGTCCTCGGTGTCACGGCAATGGACGCGGACGCCGGAGTGAATGGGGAAATTCGATACTTTCTCGGAGGTCCGGACTCCGACAAGTTCCAACTGAACGAAACGACCGGCGTGATAAAGACGATCCCCGCCTTGTCGAAGAGTGGGAAGAGCAGTCTTCTCGTGGAAGTGCGTGCCGTCGACTCCTTCCCCAGTGAACCGCTGTCTTCCTCCGCCTCCATCAAAATCAACCTTGTCAGTCCGTCCAAATTCCCAAAAATTAGAGCCGCCAAGCAAGAGTTTTCCTTCCTCGAGAATGTGAGCAATGCCGTCGTCACGACGCTGGAGAGTGACCCCGCTTCCCCGCAAGACCACAAATTCCACCGGTTTCAATACTTCATCGGTGGGGGAAATTTGGGCAGTGCGTTTGTCGTAGATCGAAGATCGGGTCAGTTGCGGATCTCCTCTCAAGGCCTGGACTACGAGACCGCGCAACAGTACGAACTTTGGGTGGAAGTGAGTGACGAGGAAGCGCCCGAGTTTCGTGCCGCGATTCCCATCTACGTCAGTGTTCGCGATGTGAACGATAACAGTCCCGTGTTTGAGAGGAAGCATTACAACGTGAGCATTCCGGAGGAAGAGTATGGACCCAAGTTTGTTACAACGGTGGTTGCAGTGGATAAGGACTCTGGGGTCAATGGTGCCGTGAGATATTATCTGCATAGCGAAAGTGCCAAAAAGTATGCAAAAATCTTTGAAGTAAAACCAGAAACGGGGGAAATTTACTCGAAAACAAAACTCGATCGGGAAGAACATTCTGCATACGTTCTTAAAATAGAAGCCGTTGATTTGGGGGATCCTCCAAGATCCGGAACTGCCACAGTGACCGTGCATGTTGAAGATATTAATGACAATCCGATGAAATTTACCCGTCTTTTTAGTGTGAATGTGACTGAAAATTCACCCTTAGACACGTTTGTGATCCAAGTGACCAGTGTGGACAAGGACGTCGGAGAAAATGCCAACTGCTCCTACAGTTTCACGGACAAAAGTGGTAAATTTAAGATTGATCCGTACTCTGGCAATGTGACCGTGAGTGGGTCGCTCGATCGGGAGTTGCAGGACGAATATTTGCTCAAAGTTTCGGCCAAGGATGGATCCTGGAGGGCGGAAACCTTGCTCACCATCACTATTGAAGATGTGAACGATATGGCTCCCGAGTTTGAATCGACGTCCTCGTACAATTTCAACATTCCAGAAAGTGAACAGTCTGTATCCTTTGTGGGACAAGTGTCCGCCATTGATCGGGACAAGAGAGGTCCGAATTCTTTAGTTACATACTCTCTGAAACATCAGTCCGACCTCTTTTCCGTGGACCCCGTCAGTGGTGAAATATTTACGAAGAAGGCAATCAAGTACAAACACCCGTCGAAGCGATTCTCCCCTGAAAATGAGCACGGCCTCGTCATCACTGCCGTGGACAGTGGCAAACCTCCCATGTCGTCCGAAGTCATGGTTGTCATCAACGTCGTCAACGTGAACAACCACCCGTCCAAGTTTGTCAAGAAGGGTTACTTCTCCCCAATCTTATTCGACATGCCCGTCGGATCGAGAATTATTCAACTCCACGCCACAGACGTGAACGACTTTGGCCTCAATGCGGAAGTCGAGTATTTGAAAATCGGGGGAAACGGGTCTGAAATTGTGGACATTGATAAGCACACAGGATGGGTCGTGTTGGCCGAAGATGTTTCGACCTACTTGTCAAAAACCTTTGTAATCCACGCGAGAGCAATTGACAAAGGGATCCCACCACTTTATGACGACGTCACCGTGACACTTTCCATAACCGGGCCGAACAACCACGCCCCAATCTTTAGCTCGTTAAGTTATCGTGTCATAGTTCCGGAGAATGAGGCCCTTGGCTCCGTCATCGTTACAATGAACGCCTCCGACAAGGACTTGGGACCCAATGGTCACATCTTGTACGACATTAGTCGTGGCAATGAGCAGGAAAAGTTTGAGATAAATCCCACCACGGGAGCAGTCAGTATTCACAAAGACTTGGACTACGACACCAAAATGGAGTACGTTCTCAAAATTACTGCAACCGATCTCGGATACAAACCGTTATCCAGTGATGCTGAGCTTATCGTAATTTTGACCGATATCAATGATAATCCTCCCTATTTCGAGGAGAAAGTGTATGACGCCAGGGTCAAAGAGAATGCTCCCTTAAGATCCAAAGTCTTCACCTTATCCGCCAAGGATAAGGACTCCCTCAAGAATGGCGTCATTCGCTACGCCATCGTTGGCGGGTCTGGAAAACACGCCTTCAGCGTCGACCCCGTCACCGGGATTATAATTTCCACTCAGATTTTTGACTATGAAGACACGAACGAGTACGTCCTCGACATTATGGCGACCAATCCAGACTCCAATATGCACGGGACGTGCAAAGTGGTCGTGTCAGTGATTGGAGTGAACGAATACGTCCCCCGCTTCGTCCAACCTGTTTTCCACTTCAGCGTGTCCGAGTCGGCCAGTGTGGGTACTTACGTGGGGAGTTTGCAAGCCACGGACCAGGACAGTGGGGAGGATGGCGTCGTGTACTATATCCTCGTGGGCTCCAGCAATGACCGTGGTTTCTTGGTGAACACGATCACTGGAGAGTTGACGGTGTCACGAAGGTTGGACAGGGAGTCGCAGTCGAGAGTTGTCCTCTCCGCCCTGGCGAAGAACAAGGGCTCCATTCGTGGCAATGATACGGACGAGGCGCAGATTGTAATCAGCGTTCAGGATGGAAATGATCCCCCAGTCTTTGAGAAGGAGCAATACCGTGTCGATGTGAGGGAGGATATTCCCGTGGGGAGTTCGGTCACCAGTGTGGTCGCTGTCGATATTGATGTTCGACCGGCAAATAATCGATTCACTTACGAGATTCTTAGTGAAGGTTACAACAAAACGTTTAGGATTGACGGGATCACGGGTGTCATTTACACGATGGAGCCGTTGGACAGGGAGACTGTCTCGAGTTATAATTTGATTGTGGGGGCGATTGATACCGGGACACCGCCTGCCATAGGTAAGTACTTTCACTAACTTATCATGATTATTTTAAGCAGTGTCCTTTGCAATAAATTACATTTGTGTTATATTATTTCACAGGAAAATCGACCGTAACTGTGACCCTGCTCGACATCAATGACAATGCCCCAACCCTCAAAAACTCTTCTCTTGTCGGAGAAATTTTGGAAAACGAGCCCGCAAACACCAAAGTGATGACGTTGCAAGCTCTCGACGCGGACATGCCTCCAAACGGAGGCCCTTTCACCTTCAATCTCGTGGGAGGAAGTGACGCGTCAAAATTCAAGGTGGATTCCGAGACCGGAAATGTCTACGCGACAACCTCCTTCGACCGAGAGACCACTCCCGAGTTTACCATCACGGTGGAAATATCCGACAATGGGAAGCCCGCTTTGAAGAGGAAGCAGGACGTGAAGATCAGAGTGACCGATGCGAACGATTCTCCATCCCAGGCTAGAAATGCACAAGTCCTAATTTTCATAAGACGAAGCAGCACCGGCACGAAAACTACACACGTGGAGAAAGTCGCTTCCGTCAAACCCATTGATGCCGACATTGTTGGAGATTACTCGTGCCGCTTGCAGTCTGGAGGGGACGTCTTCACCATTCAGAAACAGTGTGACCTACTCGTTCAGAAATTTCCTTCCACTAAACGCCAATCCATCACGGTCGTGTCGGACGATGGGAAACATGCCGAAGTCGTGTCCACTATGCAAACCGAGTTTTTCTTTGTTGAAGATCTCACCGTGAAGAATTCCGTCATCATTCGAGCTAATGGGATTGAACCGTCGCAATTTTTGGCTAAATTCTACCTCCGATTCATGTCCTGGTTGACTTCAGTGTTTCAATCGAACACGATCGTGTATAGTTTGATGCCTTCGAAAAATGATGGGACAAATATCGTCTTGGCAGTTTCAACCAGTGAGAATCAGTACGTCTCGATATCTGAGGTGGTGCGAGGTCTGAATTCGAGAAAGGGTGAGATCGAGCGTCTCTTCGGAACGTCTGTTGTCATCAACTACTCGCCGTGTTCGAAGGATTCCGTTTGTCAGAATGGAGGGACGTGTACTCACACGCTGAGCATGTCCCCGGAACAGAACATTGCGGTGGATAGTTCGCATCTGATCTTGTCCTCTCCGAAGCTTGTGATGGACTTGAGTTGCGAATGTTCCGCAGAATTCACAGGTATGTACACCGTAATTTTCAATCAATTGTACCACAACTTGTATTCACTGTTTTTTTCGTTGATTAATTCAGGTGTCAATTGTCAACATCGGAAGGAACCATGCAGTCCGAACCCGTGTCAAGGTAATTAAAAATTAAATTGAGACTTTAAATACGAATAATCATGACGTAGCAATTTTAAATGTTCATTTTTCAGATGGAGGCGTTTGTATTCGCCAAGGGTACGATTTTTCATGCGTCTGCCCACCATATAAACAAGGGAAGCGTTGTGAGGCGGAGAAAAGCAACGTTTGCAAAGTTAATCCTTGCCTAAACGGTAATAGTTATTTAATTATACATTATTGTTTAGGAACGCCACAAGAATTGGTTTGATAAATGTATGTTGTTTATCACATGACAGGAGGGACATGTAACGAAAATCAGAATTCCGACTTTTACTTTTGCACATGCCGACCAGGATTTCAAGGTGACACTTGCCAAACGTTGAACAATGTGTGCAAGCCAAATCCTTGTCAAAGTAAGTACAAATTTGGTATTACTAATTTTTAGGTGTGTATTTAGATCCATACATAATTGGCGTACTTATGACGTATTCCTATTTTTTAGACGGTGGAGAATGCTCTTCTCCCATCGGTGGCATCTCGACTTATCCAAAATGCAAATGTCGGGCCCACTACTTTGGCCGGTACTGCGAAAAGTCAGCCTTTGGATTTGGACCAGAATCCTTCATGACGTTTCCACCATTGGATCCCAACACGAACGATATTTCAATAACATTCTCAACCAACAAGAGGAACGCTCTGCTTGCGTACGACTTTGGCGAACAGACCGGAGGAAGATCCGACTTTATTGCACTTCAACTAATAGCAGGAAAACCGGTGTTGTCCTACGGAGGGACGAGAACCGAAATTTCGAACATCCCTGTCAGCAAATTTGTCGCGGATGGTCAATGGTATCGCATCATTGCGACACGGAACAGCCGCGTGGTCTCGTTGTACGTGTCCCTCTGCCAGCAAGGCGGTGAAGTCTGTGAAGAATGTAAACTTGAAAATCCATCTTGTTACGCGAGTGGACATGGAACATCTGGGTAAGCTTTTTTTACGAACTTTGCAATATCTCGTAAAATAAAATTTTTTAAATCTATCATTTCTTGTTTCTCCAGAACTCTAAACTTCAAGTCTCAGCCACTCCTCATTGGCGGAGTGAAGGACATCGAGTCCGTTTTGGAACGACCAGGACAAATCCAAACGGACGATTTTGTCGGATGCATTCACAGCATTGGAGTGAACGGACGCTTCCTCAACATGTCCATGCCTCTGGAGTCGAGAGGAATTTCGGAAGAGTGTCAACGAAGCGAGAATGTTTGCAGCGGTTCGAAATGTGGGGGAGGACAATGTATCGATTTGTGGGACACGAACGCCTGCAACTGCAACGGAATTATTGCATCCAACTGTCAAGAAGCCTTCCTCCCATTTTCCTTCTCCACGGGGTCGTATGTCGAGTACAAACTGGGCGAAAAGTACAAACGGAGTCAAATCCTGCCTCACCAACAGTCAGCAACCAGGGCGAGAAAACTTCGTGAAATTGCGTCAACAAAATCTGTGTCCCTCAGCTTCCGGACGATTCAGACGGACGGAGTTTTATTTTATTCTGGAAGTGAACAGGATTACACGCTAGTTGAAGTAAATTATTACAAACTCGTGGCTTAATTTAATGGGTTAAGAATACAATTATTAATTTATAAATTGTTTTTTCCTAATTACAGTTGGATCAAGGAGGTTTACAACTCAGTTCACGTCTTGGATCGAATCGTCCAATTAAGATGAAAACTCCTGGCACGTTTGTATCCGACGGAACGTGGCACACTTTCAAATTAGTTTCTCAGAATAGAGGGCTTCAACTTTTACTAGATGGGCAACCCATGGGCGAAGAACTTGACGTGGCGTCCACTCATGACTTCCTCGATCCATACCTTACCGTTCTCGTGCTCGGTGGAACCCTGGACAACACTCCGACAAACTCTATTCACAATGGTGCGTGTCGATTTTATCACTATTTTTTGGAAAAAAAAATAATTTTTTGGAAAAAAATATAAAATAATAAATGCACGACTATTTCAGGTTTCACCGGATGCATGACAAATTTCACCATAAACAACGAGAACCAACCTATGAACGGTTCCGGTGGGGTGTTCGACTACATCGTCACGCACGGGAAACTGACGCGAGGTTGCAACAGTGCCATTGCTGGAGCCGCCACGGCCCCTGACCCGCTCAGCATCGGAGTCACTTTAGTCATCGTCTTCTTCGTCTTCCTGCTCGTCGGAATTCTCGGCAGCGTGGTCGTCTTCCGGATGCGAAAAAGGGAAAAGAACCCTTTACCAAATTCCAAAGTGGCTGCGAAACCATCAACCGGAGTGCAAAATCCGGGCGACGTCGTTCGCAGTCACCTGCTCGACGAGGAGTCTGAAGCTCTCCGAAATTTTGTCCGCAATTCGAAAAAGATGGTCGCGAATAATACTTGTTATCAAAAACCTGACATAATCGAGCGTACTGCATCGACTCAAATGCACTCCAACAACAGTCCCCCGCACAGCAGTTTCCTTACCTCATCCGGCCATGAGATTTCAATGGAACCTGAAATCCCAGATCTGCCTGAACATTACGATTTGGAAAATGCCAGCTCCATCGCCCCCTCCGATATTGACATCGTCTATCACTACAAAGGTTTCCGGGATAATTTAGGCGGTCGAAAATCCTCCCCTTTCCGACACAACCACCACTTTTCTGGAAATAATCGCCCCTCCCATCACAGCGGGATAAGACAAAGCCCCATCTCCAACGTCCTGAAGAGCACCCCACTCGCAAGACTGAGCCCCTCGAGCGAACTCTCGCAACAAATCACTCCCCGAATCCTTACCCTACAAGACATCAGTGGGAAACCGTTGCAGAGCGCCCTGCTCGCCACGACCCAGAAGGACGCCATGAGTCAGAGTGAACGCAGCCTAAATATTAGCCGATCCTCCTCCCGAAGCTCCATCGTCAACGCGTCCTCCTCTCACGGGACGAAAAAGAAGAGAAAAAAGTGTGGCGGCGAGTCCAGCAATGGCGGAATGAATATCGGTTTAACCGCGGAGGAAATCGAACGCCTGAATAACTCTCGACACAAAAATAATTCTAGTCTCATCAGCACGTTGGACGACCTCAGCTCGGAGAGTGAGGACCAGAGGAAGAACAACCTGTCAAACCTACTCGAACGCAAGTCTGACCATCACCACCTCCATCGTCGCAGACAACAGCAGCGGTCACGAGACACGTCGAGTGAGGAAGACGAGTCGGGAAATGACTCCTTTTCATGCTCCGAATTCGACTACGATAACGACAAGGGGGTCGGAAGTAGTGGGTTTCACCATCATCACCACCACCCACGAATGTACACGGGGGGCAATAATGTGGAGGACGGGGAAGGATCGTTTCACGGGTCTTTGTCCACCTTAGTGGCTTCGGATGACGATTTAGCATATATTAACAATACGTATGCCAAGTCAAAGTCGGGTCATCATCCCCCTGGCGGTGGTGGTGGTGCGGGAGGACCTTCATCCATGCGGTGGGACTACTTACTCAACTGGGGTCCAAATTTTGACAACTTGTCGGGCGTTTTTAACGACATCGCCCAACTTCCGGACGTCACCCCGCCCTCGGCAGGAGGAGGGTCGAATAATAATCTTCCGCCTCCAAGTATTAATAATTTTGGTAATTCTGGTCCCATATCTTCTCGAAATGGTAGTAGGAGACCGAGTGAAGAGTACATTTGATGTAAAAGACTTTAAATATAATTAGTGTACTTCGAATTCTTCATCTTTTTCCCTCGTTCATATTTATAATTTTATTCGCCATCATGATCATGTATTACTCGTCGTATATAGTTTTTTCATACAGTTGGCTGGCATTATATTATTGATAAAGAGTGAATTCCGCAGCAGTATAAAATAAATAAATAGATAATGTTATGTGATGGCATCGATACTCTAACACAGATATTATAATTATTAAATATTTCAAATTTTTGTATCTGCTGATTTTTTTTCAACCTTTGTAACTGGTATTTATTTGTATCTATTTAAATTATTGTATTTGTTAGTTACCAGGAAAGTAGAATAATACGTTAGAAATATTTCTATACAAAACGCTACAAACAATATAATTAAGAATATAGATAGATAGATATATGACAATGCTCATACATTTTCATTACGAGCCTGAGCCATGATAAATATCATAATATGAATGAAATGATAAATATCTTTCAATTTTATAGTTTTGATTATTAACGACCCTGTGCCAAATACTACAAAGAAACCCTTTCAATAAACAAGTTGAAAAAAAATATGAGTGAATTATTGCAAAAAAATGTGTATTATAAAACTGTGCATCAAAATTAACAAACTTTGCAATTCTTATCAAAATGTAAACTTTTTGGTACATCAATTTACTGGCCAAAAACCGAATGGGTATTCTTCCCAAGAATTCTGCTGAGCCGAGTGGAACGGACCGTGGGAAATTCTCAACTCAATTTAATCAAAAACCAAAAATCTCAATGTGCCTCATTATTCAAGTCTCATCTCTGTCTCAATTTCTCTCTCGAACTGTTATTTACTCAAAAACCACGAACAACATTGAGACTGAGAAACCTGTACCTTTCCCGTTCAAGAAAACCTGCTAAATTATTTTTTATCCACAAGATACAATAAAATTTTCTCACAAATCCAACCCATCCAATTAATTGATTACCTTGCAAAAGTGTTTTTATTGCACACAAAATAGTTGGTCTGTGTTAAATAGAAGAATGGAATGGAATGTAGAAGGGTGAAGCCGCGAGGGTACAAGAGCCAAAGAAAGTCAAATAACCAACCACCACCACGAATGAACGACTAGCCTGTTGCACACACAAAATCTAATCTCTGTTGACATTCCAACCCCCTTTCTCCACCTCGTTGGCAAGTGCATGTGTCTCACTTTTTCTCTGACTGGCAGACATGAGAGTGAAATCAATTGACCTCTTTGACCCCTCGTCTGGCTGCGTCTCGAAATCGGCTCACAATTAATTTAGTCGCCGTCCAATTCGCACCGATTTTTCTCTCCTCGTCAGAAACTAAATTCTTGTAAATTCGGTATTTCAAAAAGTGGTGGAAAATTAGTTTAATTTGATAACGATAGTTGTTCAGGATATTGACAATATGGCAATGGCGAACCCCAGGACAGGTGGGTCGGCTCGAGCTGGAGGGTCGTCGTCGGCGTCGGCATCGTCGTCTTCTGGACTCAAAAGACATGGTGGAATGGCGAACTTGAAGCCGAATTCGCAATCGTCAGAGAATTTTGATTCGTCCGTGGCGGAATCGCACCTTTTTAATTTGCTGGATGTGACGTGTGATAAGATCAAGGAGCTGGAGGATCTCTTAGAGAAAGTAAGGAGGAGAGGGTGTTGGTTTCAATTTGTGTATTGCAATGTTTTTTGGGTGGTATGTTGTGCTTTTTTATTTATTTATTTGATTTTCTTTGTGGTAGGAAAGTCACTTGACCGGGTTATATGAAGACAATCCGATGCATGCAATAATAGAAAGACAGAAAAAGCTTATCTTTGGGATTGAGGAGATGCAGAGGAAACGCATTTTGAAAAGAAGTCAAGTCGTAAAACAGCCACGGGATCCATTTAAGGAATTGTCGCTTCACAGTACCTCCGCACACCCAACTTCGTCATCGACTCAAAGAGATTACTTGAAAGAATTGAAGTCAGAAGCTACGCTTTGTCCACCAGCATACCCATCGCCACCGGGTGCATCGATGTTTGTTTCGCCTTCATCGTCCCGAGGTAGTTTTGGTGCAAATCAATCTTCGTCAAGTAACGTTCCTCTTGACGTATCGTTGGGTTCATTGTCACTCTCGAATCGTGCAGAGACTTCGTGGGAAGATGGATCTGGGTATAATAACACTGAAATCTTGTTTGAACGTCGTGTTTGCAGTTCCAACAATGCGATAACTTTCTTGTAACTTTATGGAATAGGTCATGGCGGGGAAGGAGTTCTTGGAACCAGCAGAGTCAGCGTTCGGTACATTCAATGGGTCGCGTTGAATTACGACCCGACCAAACGTATACAGGACAGAGGTCAAGAAGTTCTGCCTTTAATTTGGGATTACCAACGGTGACCGAAGCTCCTGTTTCGAGGCTCCCAACGGTTGCTGCCCAGTTGCGGCGTTCAAGCCGGCCAAATTTAGCCCAACCGATTGAAACCCCACCGATGCCAAAGGTGACAAAGTTGGCTGAATCATCAGACCAAGTAGACTCACCAGTCAAATATTCCAACAACTCGGTCGCATCGGTTAACTTGGGAGAGTCTGATAACTGGTTGTTCCATTCTACAAATGATGATTTTGAAGGGGATATAACACCGCGTGGTATGGAAGGTGACTGAATTTAGCTGTGCCTTTTATATATTTTCAAATTCACATACGTACATATTTTTACAACTTCATGTAATTATTTGAAATAGGAGCAGGATCATTTTCGTCCAGCGGAACTTTATTTTCCGGTGATGCTGCCAATTCTTCCTCGTCAAATATTAGTCAACTGCCACCGTTATCCCAAAGCTTGGGGCCAGAAACCGCGGAATGGGAAGGTGAGTTTAATATATTGCATTATTATTATTACATATCATTGGATTTTATATTTATAAATTACTTTAGTGAATGGAGCACGGTTGGAGACGAGCAAGCCATTTGAAACCACTGATGTTTTGAAGTATAGTCGAAAGTTTAATGACCCGAACTTGCAATCCATGATAAAGAACCGTCTGGGTAAGTTGGATAACGTAATAAACTGTCTTTATGTAATTTAACAATATTTTCTCTTTACATAAATTGATTCAGATGCATGCACATCGACAGGGCGGCTGGGTCCAAATGGAGAAAGAGTCCTACAGCGGCGCCGAAGTCGGCTGATTGAGTTAGTTCACTCCACCACATCAACAATGCAGCAGCCTAGTAATTTCATTTGTTTTAAACCTACTTGTTTTGCTAATTACCTTATATTTCATGCATATTTTATTTCTCGGTCAGTCTGGTTCAAGTGCCGGGGGATTGGAACTTAGTACCTGGGAAACGTCACCCAAAAGTTCCGATCCCCTGGACATTTTAGTTATGCAAGTTACAGGGAAACGGAACCCACTTGTCGCAGGATTTAGCGGGCTTCGATTCCCCGGTACCCTCTTACGCAAAAGTTACGATTCCCCGGAACCCAACATTTTTCTTTAATTTTTCATAAATTGGATATATTTCCAAGAAAAAAATTTATTGTCTCAAATTAACCTCCCACCAATGAAGAACATTGGATAAAAAAATTAGAATTTTTTAAAGTGGCGTTTTTCCTAAAATCACAAATATCTGACAAATTTGAGGAGCGGCAAGTCCAAAAAGGTACGGGGAATCGTCACCCAACAATTATTTTCAGGGAAAAATACAATTATTTTGAGAGAAAAATAATTGTAACACAATTATAACGTAATAATTGTAACAATAACTGTAAAATAATTGTATTTTTCCTTGAAAATAATTGCTGGGTGACGATTCCCCGTACCTTTTTGGACTTGCCGCTCCTCAAATTTGTCAGATATTTGTGATTTTAGGAAAAACGCCACTTTAAAAAATTCTAATTTTTTTATCCAATGTTCTTCATTGGTGGGAGGTTAATTTGAGACAATAAAATTTTTTCTTGGAAATATATCCAATTTATGAAAAATTAAAGAAAAATGTTGGGTTCCGGGGAATCGTAACTTTTGCGTAAGAGGGTACCGAGGAATCGAAGCCCGCTAAATCCTGGGACAAGTGGGTTCCGTTTCCCTGTAACTTGCATAACTATAATGTCCAGGGGATCGGAACTTTTGAGTGACGTTTCCCAGGTACTAAGTTCCAATCCCCCGGCACTTGAACCAGACTGTCGGTGTTAAATAGGTTCTCCGATGATTGAAAATATTTCTCCAGGCCAGGCAGGACAGAACCCACCTCTTCCACCTAGGGCAAGGGCTCCAGTTAGAGCAGAGTAATTGACATATACAATAATATACAATGTTACATGTTACATGACCTGTCAATATTTTTAAATGCAGAAATGAAATGCATTCAAGTCCGGCTTTAAACTCAGAGGCTTGGATGGACAATCCAACTATCGTATGAATAACACAACAATCCCTAAATATCTTGCCATCATCAATCAATAATTCTTACTACACGGTTCTAAATTAATTTATAGTAATACTTAAAATGTTCTATTCAATATAGTTTTAAGTTAAAGTATAGTTAGACAATGCAAACAAAAAACAGTACAAGAAATTTGGATGTTGAGGAAGTACAAATTTTTTGTGACAGAACAATAAACTTGGGAGAGCATGTTGGAATATATGCAAGTTGTAGTTGAATAATATCATTTGCCGTCACAAAAACAATATATATTAAGATTATATTTTATTTTTAAGAATGAGTATACTTTTCCTTAATAATTTAATTTACATATCGCAGTAATAACTAAAATTATTACCAGAAATAGAAAATTTATCGAGGTACACACATTGAGACGTTCATGAGTGATTAATATACGCACATCATGTAATGTAATTATATATAAGTTGCGTATTTCAATAACCAAATCAATCATCTCCAACATTACACTAATTATAGCAATACGGGCGAAAATGAATTGGAAACTGAAGTCTAAACAACCAACTTTAACTAACTGTCTAATTTAATCTGAGCAACATCAGGTGTAACAATGGATTTTGCTTGGTATGTCGAATCATTAAAGCCCTGTCGATTCCGAGCAATTTCCACTGCAAGGAATTGAATCCGAGTCACCAGTATCGAATTATCCTCCGTGTATTCCTTTTGGGAGTTCAGTCTCAGTAAAGTTCCATAGCTGTAGTCCTCCATATCTTTAAACGCTTCACAGAAAAATCTCCATTTCTAGGAAAGACAGGCCAATTAAATTAATTAACCCGTCTATTTTAGAAAAAGTTTCTTTTGCATATCATATTTAGACATAATTCATTCATACTTCTTTGGCATTGTCATCCTTTAACGATTCAATTGTTATATTGTCAATGCAAAAATTTGGAAATTGGTACTTAAAAGTATGGTATATTCGGTCATCGTCTTCTTTCGTTAACCGCAACAATTTCGGATCCACAGAAGATATCAGCTAAAAGTAGGGGACACATATTGGCTTAAATTCTACATGCTCACTCGCAACGACAAATTGTAAGTACTTGTCATAAGACTGTATTACTTACATTGTAATGAACGTCTGCAAATTCGATCGCCTTCATGACCCACATAGATTCCACATCAGCGGAGTTGACATATTCCTCCGCCGGCCTGCTAAGGGCATCCGCACCGGCAAGAATGGAACCGGCATCCTATAAAGTAAAGCAAAAATGTAAATTGTTGTATTGCAAAATAAAAAAAACCTTGCAAATTTTCTTACCAATCCTTCAAAAGACATGGTACCGGAGAATTAAAGAATATTCTTATCTATAATACAATCAGTCGATCCTGCTCCCGTATAGAGAGTGCTGTTTGGAAAATAATTTTATAATGGTCAAAATTTCAGAAATTATTGTTTTAAATAAAATTTGACAAGTGTCAACTACCGGATACTGGATTCCAGCTGATGTACTTCTCCTTACTTATCAAAGAGACAATAAATACGCACACAATTTGCAAATATTTTGGCAGCCCGAGTATTTTGTTCAATTCGATAATCAATCAACTGCTGGGCGCACATGGCTCAAAGCGGGATGGTGATGCGAGAAATGAAGGTTGGGAAACTCAAAAGGAGCACATGTTAAAAAACAGAATATACTTTTGCAGCAAAAGTTTTGCTGAAAGTATTTCTGATTATTTGCAAAATTTTCCTGTAGTTTTCCTATATTTTAAACTACTTGACTTTTCTAAAGACTTGACTGATAAGAACTGTTACATGAGTGGGGAAAGAGGCAGGAAGCGAAGTTCCGATAAGAAGATGCCGTCCAAATTAGGAATTTCGGCTTGCCTAGTAAGAAATAATGATGACCTTGTTGAGGACGAGGTTGAGGAGGAGGTCATACCTGACCCCATGGTGGAGAAGGGTTCCAAATTGAAACCAAACAAGAATGGGGCGTCGGAAAAACCAAAATGCGTTTGGTACGATCCAGATGACGATCAATTGTAAGTTTTTTAGCAATTGAAGTTGTTCTTTTATAGTTTAGATGTAGTAAGAGAAGATAAGCATTAATTGATTATGTTTAATAAATAGAGACGAGGAAGGGGTGAAGAACAGAAGGACCAAGTTGGAAGCAAGAAGAGGTGAATTGTATCAAAGCAGACTCATCCAGAATTTTGAAATGGTGTATGGACCAACCCCAAAATGGGCGAGACTTGACACGAACACAAAGGTGACAAAAATATAAATGAAGTTATTGTAATTTAGTAGCTCTTTCTGAATGAAACTAATTTCGTTTATAAATTACAGAAAAGTGTCGGCACGAAGGCTGACGAAGATGAAAAAATGGACTTTGTCGATTCAATGCAACTCTTGTCTTTGGGGAAATTGGAAGTTGTTCGAGTAGAAAATCTTAACTCTAAGAGAAACGAAGGAGCAATTATCCAAAGTGTGGATTTTCACCCGGAAAGCCCTGTCGGACTTGCGGCTGGAAATTCGTGCGTGTCGTTATATCAGGTTTGTTGAAAATGGAATGACTTGAACCTTTTCAAAAATTGCAAATTTAAATGGTTCAGTTAAGTAGTAAGTAGTGTATTTTTAATCCATGAATTATATGTTTATTATGATCAGGTGGATGGTAGTACAAACCCACTCATACAATCCATCGCATTTGATGATTTCCCCATAAGGAAAGCACAGTTTTGCTGCAAAGGAGAGGAAATATATGTATCGTCTGGACTAAAGGATCACTTTTACTGTTATGACATGCATTCTGGAAATACGCGTCAAGTAAAACCAACCCATGCTACGAGACATGAAACAATCAGGGTAGGTTAATTGTGATACTTCGAAATCAGTTCTTATTTTCATAATTATTTTAAGATTTTAAGATTTTAATGCTAATTTTATTGATTGCAGAATTTGGTACCTTCTCCGGATAATAAGTATCTGATATCTGTGGGTCGAGACACGATATATATGCTTTCCAAATCTTCCAAAGAACTGATTCATATGTGGTCTGTGAACAGTGAAATTAAAGGTGTATCCTTCAGCCCTGATGGACGGCAAATTTTTGTCCAAGAATGTAAGTTGTCGAGAGTTCACTAAATAAGTACTCCCAAAATCATGCATCCTATCAGTACGTGATTTTGCATTAATTCTTTCAATTTATAGGCACTGGAGGAATATACAGATGGAACGTAAATAGTCGATCGTGCATTGAAAAGTTTACGGGAAAATCAGATTTCGATGGGACGTGTTTAGCAACATCTTCCAAGTACATTGCTTGCGGTTCTTCAAGCGGATATGTCAGCATTTTTGAAAATCGGACTGAAAAAAAGCCCCGAAATGAGATTGTGCCCTGTCTCTACAAAGAACCTCTGGGTGAGTTGAAGAATTTGGTCACGTCAATCTCCTCGCTGAAGATTAATTGCTCCGAAGAGATTCTTGCAATGGCCTCGGTAGAAAAGGATAACGCTCTTCGCCTGGTAAAGTTTTCTTTACACTCTTATTTAGTCCCTAAAATGGCATTTATCTAACGCAATCTTGTGTGTTAATTTTAGGTGCATCTACCCACTCGAAAAACATTTGCCCATTTTCCAGCAACCAATGCAAATTATGGACGATGCAATTCCGTGGCGTTTTCACCAAACAGCGGTTATATTGCGACGGGAAGTAACCGAGGTTGTGCTTATCTGTTTCGATTAAAGCATTATAGCGATTATTAAATTATCCTTTTTTTGTCTTCCGTTTTATGAAAATTGTATATTTCTAACTTACAATGCGATGGTGTGAAATGTAGCCCTCCGATTTGGTTGAAATTTTGAAATTATGTACTCCATGTCAATACAACCAAAGTTTCTTCAGGCAGTTTGTGCGATGGTCAGAGTTTGCCAAAATATTTGAGGTCAAAGTTATAAAATATGCGATTTTTAGCACAGGAAGGAAATTGAAGTTGTGTTTACCTCCTCCGCCTGGTAAAAATCGTCCGTTTTTCAACGTTGCCCTCAAATATTTTGGCAAATTCTGACTATCGTACAAACTGCCTGGAGAAACGTTGGTTGTATTGACATGGACCATGTAATTTCAAAATTTCAACCAAATCGGAGGGTTACACTTCACACCATCGCATTGTTAGAGTATCGACGCTTAAAGTTCATATAATAAATGTTGTACCGGAAACTTGAAAACTACTTAATTAATTACACATGAATACAGATATTTACGTTCAAAAATGTATTAAAAGCATCCGATATTGTTCAGATAACTGATCTTGGTCACCAAATACAGATCTCCAATAGGCCCTGGGAAAATTATCGTAGATTTTTGTGATCACATATAGGTCACGAAATAAGGGTGTCTAAAAGGTCAAAAACTTTTTTCGAGACCATTAGTTGGTTATATTCATTATGTTTTATTCCTTGCATTAATTTAGGAAAAGTTAGAAGACAAACAGTTTGGAAAACGCTTTGTGATTGGGTAAAATCTTTATTTTAAGTTTTAAAAGAATATGCTACAATGTTGACTAAAACAACTAGATTTTATTACGTGTCCCCATCACTAAAAAGGCTGTGCTGAGTATTTTGACTTTTTCGGGGGGGCATTCAACTCCCTCTGCACCTTTTTACTATCCGTGCGCCCCCTGACTCCGAGAATCTCTCTGGAATTACAACCATGCGCCCAGCACGTACACTCGAAGTACGACCAGTCCCACCTCTCGAAGCCACCTTTTCCCCATCTAATTTTTTTGCAAGTTGAAAAGTACAAAAAATTAGTTTGATCATGGTTAAAACTGCAATCTGACAATTAAAGCATTTAGAAATAAATTTATGCATGCATATATTTTTTTACTGTAGCGCAAAGAATTTGACAAGTTTGTTATCAAATTTACATGTTTCATAATACGATGTATTTAAGGTGATCATTTTTTTTTAAACAGATGCGACCCCAGTGGTCGCGGAAGTGGGAGGGACAATGTCCCCACGGTTATTTTATGTCCCCATCATCTGCCCATGTTATATAAACCACTCCCTCCCTCCCCTATCCTACGATGTTAATGTCCCCACGGCTTCCGTGATCACTGGCGACCCCATAAAATAATGGAGTAAAATCCATAACCTACTGATGACAAGAAGTACAATGTTGTGCTCACCTATTGCATGGCGCCGGGACATACCAAGGTAACTCAAACGTCGCAGGTTGTTCCGTCAAGAAGTACAAGGAGCCCAAACCTGTTCCAAAGTCCATGATCGGTGTACACACTCGACTCACAACTTGTTCCGACAACAGCATTGAACACATGTGGGCAACCCCGATCTCGTTTCGTGACGATGTCGAGAGACGTTCTCTAGGCCGGAGAAACTCATTGACGCAATCCGTTCCTGGTATTCTGTAGTCTATGCGGGTTGAGTCGCATTTGCCCAAACTTCCAAAACATTGATGACACTTTGTGTAAACGTTGCACAGGTTGGAAACACAGTTGCAGGAAATGGTCCCTCCAGGCCCTGAATTTAAAACACAGCCACGCTCGGCTTCGAATCGGGCTGAAAATTGCAAATAACATGATGGCAAAATAATGTCTATGCAAAACATTTGTTCCGAACTCACTGAGTGGTTTGAAGCCGGTCTCGTTAGCTTGGCGACATCCCTTCTTTTGAATCCGGTATGCTTGAAAGATTTTGGAGGTATTGGTTGGCGAGAATTTGTATTCCTTAAAACACGACTCCCCTGCGGATGTATCGCACGAGATCACGGTACGATTTTTGTTCTGAATATCATCCTATTTATAAAAATGCATATTTTCCATATGCAAATTAAATACATTAACCATACATGTTTTTACATCTTACTCACCTTTGTTGGTGGACGGTAACAAGATTCTGCCAATGCTCCCTTAGCTTCGATATCGCACAAATGGCATAGAATGACCCCTTCGGGCGGATTCGTCAACGTGGTCGGGATGGACCGTGGGGTGGGGAGGAATTTCGATAATTTACCAATTATCTCATCCCCCAGGTTGAGGTTACGATAGAAAAACTTGTCGTTGCACATCTGCCCGTAGCACTTGCACTGACTGTTGAGGTGATCCCAGTTGGTGAAGGTGCAGTCTGGCCACCATACTTCCGGGAATTCTACTGGGTCAAAACCACACCCACGGCGAACGACCCCCTCTCTCACCTCTACTGTGCAGAATGAGATTCGACCGAGATGCAGCTCCATTTCTAAGGACGTGTTTGGTCGGATGCAGAACTGGGCACAATTGCAATAATCATGATCATAATTAAAACTCTCTTGGATGACGATATACAATCACCCACTTCAAACAATGCCCATAGTGCTAAGCTTCATGTCCACTTTTGCTTACTACTTCTTATCAACATTAGAATGTGCTTTTTAAAAATAAAAACTCCTAATTCACGGCTTCACCAAATCTGGTAGAAGGTATTTTTAATTCATTTTGAATCACTAAATAAGAAGGAGAAATGAAATCCCTTCTACCAGACTGAACAGCTCTTGAACCCTGTCGACCCCAGCTTTTAACATTTTGTGCATAATGCTTTAATCAAGATGATGATGTACCGCCGGATTCTCGGGCAGGAGACAGTCAAAACATTGGTAGCATGACAGCCGACCGTTGCAAAATCCTCCATCTTCCACCGTGACTTTTATGGGGGGAGGGACAGGGAATTTCATGAAAGAACCCAGCATTTCGTTACAGTAGCAATCCAAGGTTCCGTTGTGGGTAGAATTATAAGGGGTGAGTTTACAACCGACCTATAAATGAATAATAATTTCGTATTCGGTTAGATCTTTGGTCACGAAAAGTTGGACATTTATCAGCTTAAACTCCTTCTTCTTACATGAGGCGGGTTATCGATGCAGGCCGATCTCTCGATAATTTCAGATGCGTTGGGAAACTCTGGGCGTAGAACGTTGAATAATTTTCTACAATACTGAAAATCTTCGCACTCCTTGGATGGAAGAGACGGGGGTGAGACATCCGATTCAGTCGGTATATTAACGGCTGGTGCGCCAGGTCCGAAACAGGCAGTACCGGAAGAACCCCCACATATTTCGCAGTCCAATTTTTCATTCGGCGTTACTGTCTGAGCCTGTGGGATTGATAAGACGCGTATCAGATTTAAAGGGGAAATGTGACGGTCGGAACTTTTGGGTTGATTTTTTTTCAATGGTTTTTAGAAATTTTGAACTAACTTACAGTTACATATGTATGTACAGTACATATTAAGGAAACATAAAATAGTCTAGAGAAGAATTTTTTATAAACGTGGGGTAGTATTAATTTTGTCAACTATCAAATTAATTTCCCCTCTTCTTCTTCATATTTCGAATTTCGAAAAACTACACAATTTTTGATGAGGCTGACATTTTTTGTAAAATGGTTTTTTTGGTAAAATGTCAGGCTCGTATTCCACTACATGGAGAATCCATCGATGGAGTAAAATAAACTTAAAGCGTTATGATTGATTGACCTTAAACTTCCGACCTGTTTGGCGAAATGTGACGGATAAATCTGAAAAGCGTCTTAAACTAATCGACAAATAAGAAACGATCAACTCTGACTTAAAATATAATTGAGAGAAGATTGCACCCACCGAGACCAGAGAAATGGTTCCAAGCGAAAAAATAAGCCCTATCGAAATGGTTCCAAGTGAAAAGACAAGCTCCATCGAAATGATGGCAATGATAACCATTTTGAAAGTGTCGCAATATTTTAATAACTTTTTTTACGCCCTAAAATAAAATAAATTCAAAATGCAAAAGCGAATTCCAAATCCGGTTTAATCAACTCACGATTGAAAGGGTGGCCTCCGATCAATACTGCCGTTAACTACTACAACTAAATATAATTGAATACAAATTAGACTAAAACTTATTAGCCTAACTTCCGCCAGTAAATTTTGAAATTAGAAAACAATTCAATTTTTTGCATATGGGAGTTAAATGCGATGATAATATGACGATGAATGTTTACATTTCTCATAATGAGACGGTTATGCACCCGGAAGTGAGCATTAACCCGAGTCATAATTTAAAAAAATAAAACACCGTCACTAATTTGTGACAACAATGATAAACGAATAGAAAAATGAGGTTTGGAAATTTTGTAAAAGAAACTGGAAGGTTTTTAATCAAGCCGATATTGAAAATTCATTGTCATGCAAAATATTTTGTCTCAATTTGACGCGATTTGCTGAATCTCATATTTTACTTTTACTGCAGCCACACACGCTTTGAGACAAAATAGAGCACTAGGATCACCAAAAAGTAACCAAGGACTTACATCTTTCAAGCTTTATTTTTCTAGTTCAGAGACGCTTATTTATTTCGCCACGAGCCGGTGGTTGTTGTAGAAAAAAGGGATTTCATACAAATATATTGACCAAGACAACAAACAACACCTTTAAAGCGCCCGATCTCTTCCTCACCTGCAGATGCTAGCCATGCATGTGGCGTGGCACAATTATAATTTAAAGCAGAGTTTCATACCGCATCCTCCACATATTGGGACGAACATCTGCCACTTGTTAATTTTTTGTGAATCATTGGCACACAAAAATCAAAGGATGGTAAACTCATTAAAGGCATCGAAACTGAGACCGTTCCATGTCATTGCTTGGGCATCTTCTTGCCACACGTCCCACTTATATGTACGTATGCACATCCTATACCATCCAACCATGCATGGGTATTTGTGGCATCGTCGCAGCAATAAGTAAGAAAACGACGATGGATTACTTCTTCATCTTCTCCTTAAGAACGACATGATGGAAACGAGACGAAAACGAAGACATGTGGAAAGCACGCGATGGAATTTCTTGTTCGAAGAAAGGAACACTTAAGTTGTTCAACCCTTATCCTACCACCACCACCGACCGACAATAACAACCACCAACCACCAAAGTACGAGTAATACAGTCCAGCAACAGGTATAATTAAATAGCGGAAGCGAAGTGCTGACCACATGGCCACTAGGTCGACGTACGTCAAAGTGACGGCAATTTTTTATCAAATAATGTCGTCTAAAACCGTCAAAACCAAAAATACACGTTTTTTCACCTTTGACCTCATCACCGTGGTGCCGTGACCTTTTGACCTACAATGTCAGTATACGAACTCCCTCAAACTTTTAAAATTACATGTCGATATCCGAAAGCAGAACCAAAAAAATTATTTGGTCAAAAGTTATCTAGCCGACGGACAGACGGGCAAATCAATCGCAATAAGTAGCCCCAGTTCCTTCCACTATTTAATAAATAACCAATACCACCAGAAGACCATGAGTTCATCTGCCAACTAATAATGATGATAAAGGTTGTTAAGAAAGAAAGGGCCTTCGCCTTATATTCGAATCCATGCTAAAGACCATCGATGCGCTTTCTGCTCAACACCTGGCTCTTGCTCTTTCATCTCCATTTCTCAACAACATCTGCCCTTTTCCAGTTAGATATTCCAGTGTACCACGATTAGAATAAAACGCAAGGGGCCTACGCCACAGTCTCCGGGATGGAAATGTATATAACCCAACTTGTGCCAGCCTTATGGCCAATGTGAATGCTCATCCAATCACTGTAACAGTGCAACAAATGAAGAACACTTCTTGCACACTTGGGTTTTCTTGAGATTAAATTAGAGAGAGACTTATTTACCATGGTGGGTGCTTACTTATGCTTGGACCACTGATGAGGTTGAGGAAGGGAACGTGCCACCTTCCTTCGCGTGCTCTCTCCTGACAAATGGACTTAATTTTAAGACTTGACACTTCTTGGGAACAGGAAGTGTCTGTGTAGTTACTTAAGTACAGGTAGCATTCGTCTAAGGAGGGGAGGTTGTGTACTATCAACTCCCGGATCTCGATGCCCTTTGGATATTTTGTAGTGTCCCATGAATTTACAACAACCCTGAAGTGGTTTGATTCCATGGCCACATTTGCGCCCGCCACACCCACTCAAAGGTGCCCAAAAATCGCTTTCACCCCAGCTTTCACTCATTCAAAACCACGCCAAAAATCCAATTTTGCTCCGATTTTCAAATTTCTTTCACTATTGTACTCCCAGATAGTTGCTTTCTTATTTCCAACATCAAACTCAACTTTTTGAGATTCTCAGTATTTTTAAAATTTAAAATTCTGAATGAGCATTGTTGTAGTAATCAACAAAATAAATTATGACTGCGAAATAATCATCAAAAAAGTTGAGTTTGATGTTGGAAATAAGAAAGTAACTATCTGGGAGTACAATAGTGAAAGAAATTTGAAAATCGGAGCAAAATTGGATTTTTGGCGTGGTTTTGAATGAGTGAAAGCTGGGGTGAAAGCGATTTTTGGGCACCTTTGAGTGGGTGTGGCGGGCGCAAATGTGGCCATGGAATGAAACCACTTCAGGGTTGTTGTACATTCATGGGACACTACAAAATATCCAAAGGGCATCGAGATCCGGGAGTTGATAGTACACAACCTCCCCTCCTAAGTGTCATTATTAGCGGGTGGATAGATTGTACATGTAATAATGAAGAGAAGGCTAGTCCAGCGTGACATGTCGAGAGCGTATTCAGGATAAATTAGCTCCGCATGCGATGCAAATTTTGATTTCGAAAAGAAAATGAGCTCAGGTGTAAATAAATGGGATTAAATAAGCACGCATGCTTCTCAAAATAGTTCATGAGAAGTTCAACTTTAATGGGAAATTAGTGTAGACAAGAGGAAATGGGGGTGGTAGATAGTAGATACCTTGTCGACCTTGGGGTAACATTGCTGATTAAAAAAGTTGGGGTATAAAGTGCATAAGATCTGCATTTGAGATTATCTATTTATCTGATACATTTTGTCTCATTTTCATGTATGTAAGTAAACTTTGGCTTGCGTTTCATCCTCAATCCGTGCTCACTTTCCCCTTTCTTTCCTCGCTAGAATTTCTGTCTCGCCTCGCCTCACATTTTTTCTACAACGTTTTTTCTACAACGATCGTTGTCTGGTCATATATTTTGTAAATATATTTCAACACGTCTCAATCCCAAGTGGGAAATCAATTAAATTCATAACGAGGTTGAGCGTATCGTCACCGTGTAAAAGGATCGATAAAGATAACAATACCGATATGGACTGAAGGGATTGTGCCTTCAAACTTACTCTTCTTGTCCCTCCGGATCCAATTGCATATTTAAAATGCGTGCATGCCCAGCATCTGGAAATTTTGGAAGAAAATCAGTGTTTATAACTCGTCACCCATTCACGACCACGACCACTTTATGTTCTTGACCTTTTTCGCATTCCAAGAGTAAAGAAAAACCAGCAGATTTCAGATAATCCCTCATATCTTCGGCAGCTGCAAACAAAATTCATTAAAAAGTTCACCCAAAATCTCAAGTTTTGGACGGCTCACTCACCCAACCAAGTCTTCGTATTCATTCATTCTTTAAAACTTGGTACGTACAAATCTTAGGGTCTGCTGACCGAGTAGCCTTAAAGCATGTAAATGCATACATACATACGTACACCAACCCTCGAAAGGTACATGCTTACATTCACATTATTAGCAAAGAAAGGCTGGCGATGGCACAAGATGATTTCCTCTTTTTCTTCTCCATTTTAAGGGTCCGTTCCTTCTTCTTTCTTGTTCACCGTCGTCCTTGTCCGTCGTCGTCTTGGAGGAGGAATTCTCAGCTGGAGGCTGTCAAACTTGTTCTCCGTCTTGAATCTCTAATATCGGTTTGCTCAGAGCGGCAGATGTTCCTTGGCCACACCAGATGCTCGGCTCACTCGCTTTCCGTTTTACAGTATTATTCATCCACTTTTCTGCTGGTTGGTGATCTGGTTCAGAAAAAAAGGAAAGATTCAAAAGCGATGGAAAGTGGAGAAGGAAAGGTCGTCGCTGCCAAAGGTTTTATTATTATTGTTGGAGATGGACAAGAGGAGGGCGAGTAAATGGTTCATCGTATGTATCTCTCGCCCACAATAATGACTGCATTTTAGGAAGACGTTTATGCACGAGAGAGAGATAATACGTTATCGTCATGCAATAGATATATCTTTGTGTTTGTAAGTAAGTAAGCAGGTCGGTGGGTGCAGATGGATGTAATGATGATGATGAAATCAAGCAATAATATCGGGACACGCGAGATTGTTGTACTGAACTGAACATTTTTTGGATTCCTTATTAATCGCATCTCTTTCTTTCTCTCTCTACGACATTAGGCTACCTAGTAAATCTTGTTTTATGTAAATTCCCAGACTGGACTTGGACTCTTGATATTCGTTGATTAGACTTATACATTTTAAACACAAAGAGTTGACCATTTGGAATTTAGACTTGTTTCAAGATTATAATTATGTATGTTGTCCTTCGATCTGTTGTCCTATCATCAATTAACTGCGACACATTTATTGGCATCATAAATAATAAACGTGGTGGCATGACCCTCACTGGAAGAAGTAACATTTTGAGATAAATGCGACACGATACGGTCAAGCAGTCTTGCATAACTGGTAGGCAACTAAAATAGCCCACTTATAATATGCATATGATTCCAAATAAATGCCGTGCTATTCAAGGCACTCACTTTTTTGTGTAGATAAAGTTACACAAGGGAGGGTTTTTGTCAAGTACTTACTACATATTGGTCACATATTGACAATTCTCCATTATGATGTTCTCTCTCGAAAAGGAGGACGACGGATACGAATAAATGATATACACCTGGATTTTTTTCTCGTTTTTCATTCCAGTACAAATAATAAATACCAAAACATTTTATGGTCCTTCACTCCCAAAGGAAGGCGGATACGTATTTTTATTTTACCTGCAACTTTCATACGTGGCATTTCCTGTTGCAAGTGCTCCCTGATGGTACTTTTTCATACGTATCGCATCACGTAACATGTTGATCAAGGGTCCTATAAAATATACGAATTTGTTAAAATCGTATATTTCGCCCTCTCCCCATACACAGGTTACGACAATAGATCCTTCGGAAGGGTATTATGTATGTATTCGAATTCAGCATTTTCATCCGTCCGATCCCCTCTGCCTGCCTGCCTGGTGGTGAATGTAACGCAATCCAAGTTTAAAATTATTATTATCTATACACAAATGTATGTATAGGAACTTTGGCTGAACCCTCTGAACTGAACTGAATCCCTCCATGGAAGCAGAAGGACCCGTTGAAAACCATTTTCCAACCAACCCAGAAGAACGTATGCAGTTTGTATAACGTTCGCTTTCAACAAAAACGTACATACAGTCAAAGTCTCTTAAATGAGAGGACTGGTCCCTCCTGAAGATCAGTCTTCCATCAGACTTCCACCAGATCGAAAGGTTTCTCATCATCATCTCCATCAAAACTTGAGAGGATTTTGGGACCATCTGCCTTTTTCGAGGAGCAGATTTGTTAACATAATTATTGTGGGAAAGCAAGCATACAACGCAGGTTTGCTTAAGATAATAGTGTGCGTGATTACATAATGAACATTTATTTGCTGGAGTCTTGGTCTGGATAAAGTTTGAGAAAATAAATATCTAAGCAATAACCAGGATTTTTGGAAGTGTGAGAGTTTTTAAAGTGTAATTGGAACTTTTTTCCCATGAAGAGTGAGTAAAGTTAAGTAACAAAGTGACGAATATTGATACCATTACGGCGTGAAAATGGCAATCCAGTACGTCGAAGCGAGCAAAATGGATACGAATTTTAGGAAATTGAACTGCATGTTGTCTCTGTGGTAAGTAATTCATGAAACTCTGTATTTCTCAAGTATGCAGTTGTTTGCCCTTCTGTGTGGAAATGAATGAGCGGAAGAAATCACAAAGAGAATGCGTACTCATGGTCTCGATTGCTTTGTAGGTACGGCGTTATTGCTGGATCACTCCAAATCTACCTGATTGTTCAAAATGTTTGGAAATTTGTCCGATTTGCTGAATTGCCTTGGCCAAATCAGCAAACTCCGACGTTGGAATTGAATATTTTCATTGGATTAAATGGTAAGAGCATCCAGTACAAAGTTGGAAAATTCTATGTTTTCATAGTTGAAAATGCGCATAACGCTATAATGATTTGTTTCTCCATTGTTCAGGCTTTGCCGTCCTCCTGCTCCCATTCTTTATCACGGCATGTTTCCTGAAAATCGGAAATTTGGCGAATGATAATGAAATGTTGGGAAAAAAATTGAAATGCATTGGGACCGGATCTGGAGGGGGTTTGAAGAGCAGTGGTGAAAATGGTGGTGGTCCATTCATGGCCATTTGGACACATTTCGGACCAATTTCCTCCTTGTTGCACGTCATCTGTGCAGTGTGCCTCCTCTTCCCTCAAACCTTGGTGGATGGTGTGCTTATCAAGAATGGATTCCTTCCCACTGGTGAGTACCGCAATTTCGAATACTCTCAAAAATTCTAGACTAAATACTAATTTCACTTTTAATGACCTTTCGCAGAAGAGATTTGGAAGTCTGACTTGGACTTTCTGAACCCACACGAGCCCGAAGAAGACATGGTTATCCGACCCATCGGTGAGAACGGGATGTCCGAATTTGTGAAGCGGGTTTCTCCCCTGACCGCAAAACCGGGCGGGTTACGACTCGAGTTTATCAACTACGCCATGGCCCTCTTCATCTTCTCGATCCGCTACGCCCAAGTGTTCTGGTCCTGCCATAAGAAGTTCGCCATCGTCCTCGGCCTTCACCAAATCATCAACAGTGCCCACACCCTCATCTCCTTCTCCACGCTTATCGTCCTCTACAAAGTTCACGTGGCGAGCGTCTACCAGAAGACGACCCCTTTCCTCCTTGACGCCCAAATGACCCTGCTCATCTTTGGGATCGCTCTCACCGTCCTCTTCCTTTCGTCGTCTGTCCTCTATTACCTCGGCTACTTGAAGTACACGGCCTTCCTGCAGGACAAGATTTTCGATAAGAGTCTCAACTATTCGGACGACTCCTCCTTTTATGGGTAAGCATCAAATAAGCTATGATTACAGTTCTCATTATGTTAAAATTGGACAAACTAATAATATCTGTACCATATTTTTTACCAATAGTGGAGGCTGGACTTACTTTCCACACAGTGCTGCCGTCTCGATAGCCTTAGCCTTGGCAGCTGCACAAAGTCCCCTCGTTCACGATGGCTTTGTCGTGTACCAGATCTCCTCACAAAGTTTTCTCCTGGCCTTCCCCGTCAGCTCGGTGACTTATTTCCTCCTCTGGGCCATCCTCTGGCTCTTCCTCACTCTCGCGAAGGATTGGAAGTTTAATATCACGGTAAGTTTTATGTCTTATCGATAGTGTCAAGCGTCAATCTAAACCAAAATATGTATGAGCAAATCCTTATTAATCAATTTCTTCCTTATTCAGGCCACCATAATCCAGCCAATCCATGACTTGGAGAACACCGGACTTCCCACCCAGATCACAATCGGTCTAAACGAGACTTCCACCATGGGACCCTTTTCTCCCTCCTTGGTCGTCATCAGCGAAGGGAAAGCTTTCTCCGTGGAGAATGCTCACGATCAAAAGTCCATCTTGGCCCTCATCCCCAAACAATCTAACGACCAAAGTAGTGGTGGTGGTGAGCCCACCTACTGGAAAAAGACCGCCCCCACACCAACACCCAGCTGCCTCTCGTACAAGCAAAAAGACCACAGCAAGATCAAGTACATGCCATGCAGGAAGGAAGTCACCTTCGACGATGAACTAGTTTCACCCCGATATTACTCTCGACCTCCAAGCCGTGCCGATAAGCAGGCATCATCACAGCGAAATGGTGACAATTCTTACAACAACATGGAAGACTTTGACGCTGGTGAGTACGCCTACTTGTCCGGGTCGAGAAACAGTCAAGCGTTCAAATCTCCCGTCCAGAGGTCATCAATCGCGTGTCGAGAGTCATTATACGGCCAACTGACACCTGCCAAGATCAACTTCATGGAACGGAAACAAGTCGTCGTCAGCCCGGTTTCTACCGTCGACTCGTCCAGCGGAGTGAGCTCGATCAGTGCACAGTCTCAGATGGGACCCCCGTCCACCTCCGCCTCCTGCAGCCAGTTTTCCGAAGGGGTCGGATCCGATCATGACTCGAATAGTCAAATGACCATTGCAGAACCTCGAGCTCATTACGAACCTTTGAGAATGCTGAGTCGTCGAAACAGTGTGAGATCGTACATCAGTTCGCATCAAAATCAGACTGCGGAGGAGGCTCAGCACTACCAGCGAGTCTTGATGGACGAGGTGTACGGAAAGTTGAAGACCGGAAAACAAGTGTCGAGATCAGAGTCGATCTATTCTGTGGGAAATAATAGACAGTCGAATGGTAATAATGATGTTAATAATGGTAATCGAGATAACAGAGAAGTTGTTCGCGTTCTTCATAATCGTTCCGTTTACGAGCACTATTCCGACTTGGCCTCTCCTCGTTGCAACTTTGCCAGTAATAATCCTAAATTTCAGTGTGATAATGGTAGTAATGGACAAAACTTTACCAATAATTGTCAAGAATCTGCTAGTTATAGTAATAATAAGAATAATAATTATGATCTCGATGATGACATTGTTCCTCCAATTCCACCACCGTTGCCAATTTTATCCTGCGTAGTAAGAAAAAGTCTGTCCAATTCGGATGAGATTCAAGTCATATAATTACTATTTTCTCGCATCAGTATTAATTCTTCGGCAGACTGAATTTCACTCGCTATAAAATTCTAATGATTTATTTAAGTTGTACATTGCCGTGTAAAAATACGTTGTAAATTTATAGACTATTTTACCATTTTAGAAAGACTGATATGTAATGTGAATTTTGTTCATTCCAAGTATTAATGATGTTGTAGTATATATTAAGCATTGAGTATTTTAAGTGTGGTATATATAAATACCTGTAAAAGTATTGTTATTTTGAGAAGACTAAAAAGAACAGGAAAATAAAATGTTGAAACTAATTAATCTAACTTGTTTATTTGAAATTTCTTATTTTTAAGCATGACAAGTACTTTAATCATCAACAGATATTGCATCTTTAATTGTACATGATTTTATCACAAATAAAGCATAATTAGAAGAACTGCTATTTTAAATAATTAGGTAATATTTGGTAAAATGATATATAAGTTCATAGACGAGGCAGAATGAGAATAATTCCATATTCACTTCACCAGTCTCACTCTCACTGCTAATACTATGCAATCCTAAGGAAGAGAACATGCCACCCTGATAATCTTGATGTCCTTTGAATATTTAATTAATTGGTAGTACCCTGTGAGAAAATAAAAAGTGTGAAGCGGTTTGATACTGTGGCCCCATTTGCATTAATGCTTGATCAATAAAAAATTCCGAATTTAAAGTTTAAAATTTTACAATTTTAGCGAAGTAAAAACATACCCAGTAAAACAATCTCATAGTTTTGTAGCAAAACTTTTCGAAATCTCGCAAAACTTTCCCAGTTATTCCATATGCTCAATTTGCGAGATATGTGAAGGTTGACGCTCATTATTTAATTAATTAATTAATGTTCGTTCAGTGAACTCATCCTAATTCGACATGAACGTCAATCATTAATTCTAACTAAATTAAGTTCGCTTAAACTGTCAAACAATATATATTCAAATTGGTACCAATTAAGCTGGATGTGGTGCATATTGTTCCATGATGGCAAAAAGTGTCCTTGAAGCAATAATTTATTTAATATTCTTGTTTGACATCCTGTGGAAGTTGTTGACTTGGCATAAATGAGATTCAAGTACATTAAATAGAGTCGTAAACGCTCCATAACATGATGAATGAGGATATTTATTTCGTCGTATTTAATATTATAGAGACACCGCAAATGACTGCAAAACGTATTCAATTTAAAATAAAACAATGGGTTTTTGTGAAAGTTATTTTTACTCGGAGCCAGCAGAACTTATGCGCCCCTCAAATCCTGTGTAACACCCAATAAAGCAAAAATGCTGAACCAATAATTGATATGAATTTTGCATGAAGGTACAAATTATGTAGATCTATGCAAGACATTTTTATGATTCCACAAGGAGGTTCCCCCCACCGTATTTTTAAAAATTCGTAATTTCGTAATTTTAAAAACTTGGGAAAACCTGAAGTTTTCTATAATATATGAAAAAAACAGACTCGCAAAATATTCGTCAATTGGTCTCAATGGATAAAAAGAATGCATTATATCGCAAACCATAACTTTCTCCATGCGACCTACATTGACTCGAATGTTTATAAAATATCCCTAACAAATTGTCTTATTGTATGTGCACTATATTATTAAGATTCGAAAGTCATGGTTTGGCTGGATTTTTACTTGTCCCGTAAATTAAAAAAAAATTAATTGTCCAAACTGTCCTAAGTTAAGACGGAGTTTTTTTTACCCGTGCAAACCGGGTTTTTTAACATGTAATTGAGGGAGGAAGAGCGAGAGAGAAAAAGGACTGACTCACACTCACTCTCGAAAATCACAATTAAATTATCTTATCACTCACACATGGTTAGTTTCCTAAAAAAATAATTAAAAATGTCGTTCTCAGCCAGTCTTGCCCCCCACTCGTCGTCCAGCCAGTTTCCCTGGACTACCCGCTTGGAATCACTGTTCTTTTCGTCTTTTTTCACCGACGAAGCCATTATTCGACCGATAGGTAAACAAATCTTGCATTATTTTATTTCTATTGTAAATAATAATAACTAAATTGATGCCAAGTTTACTTAATTGTAATACTTGTACTGATTCTATAGGTCCTAGTAAACATTTCATAATGCTAATTGCATACAATCGTTTCGCTAAGTCACTCCCCTCAAACATTAAACCCCCATCGATTGAGCAATTGTGGTCGAAATTGGAATCATTTTATGATCTGGATTTACTGGAGGTGAGAATGCGATTCGACTTCAAGCGTCTGGACAAACGAGTGGAATTTGCACTTCCGGACGGATGGATCAAGAAACGAAGTTAGTCTAATTTGTATTTCATTTTTTATTGGCACTTGTATTTTTGTACTTATGTAATTAATCTTATTGTAGAGAGATCCACGTCTTCGACATCTTCTTCGTCATCGAGCTCATCATCGAGGAAGAAGATCGTAAAGAGACAAATGCGCTATAGGAGGATTTAAGTTTTCTGTAAAGTCGATGAATTCAGGATCATTCCAAGCATGTATGTATAAAATCAAATACAAGCAACTACATGTCTTAATAAATGAATTATTGCAAAAACAATACATTTTCTCTTCTAAACAAAACCTTTTATACAGACCAAATTTGGATATTTTTTACATCTTTTTACTAAACAGAATCTAATAAATTGCTAAAACAATTAGAAAGTTTGACACTGCCCAAAAAAAATATTCTCGCTTAAACTAAACCCTACAATCATGTAAATCCGTTTTGTCTTGGTTTCATATTATACATATACCGTAAATTGCACCCAAACCTCATCACGTCAATGCCTCCATTTTTCTCGTCCCCATTATGCATATTTTACTCGCAACTTACATACTTATTTGCACACCTTCTTCTTCAATCCTTCCAGTTTAGCCAAACCAAACCACGACATGAAAATGTTCGATCGGCAAGATTGCGAAATGAGTCGAGATATATGTACGTATGGCAAAGAATCATGTTACGTACATGGCTGTGATTTCACTCCTCATTCATTCCACGCCTATCCTCTCCCAGTTTTAAAGCTCTCTTTAAAGAATAACAATAATAATACGAGTCGCGATTCTGAATAATATGCGAACATAGCATGCACGGTTCATATTAATAAAAACCCTCTATTCTACCACCGATTCGTTCTTATATAGCATACACCTTCATTAAATGAAAACCCATCATACTTCTTGCTTACTTACGTACGTAGGAGGACGTATAGCGGGCATAGCCACACAATTTTGGGTTAGCAACACCACACATTCATGATGATGCGATGTTTCAACCCTTTCGCATTTCTGTGTGATATTGTCCGTTAAAAATCCGTGTGTAGGATTCTGGTTTGGCTGGGGCTGCTGGAAGTCCTCCTGGGAGAGAACATACAGCTTACCGAGAACATTTGCCGATTTTGTCATCTATCCTTGTTCGGCGACTTTCTCTCTGAATGCTGTCCGCAGCCTGTAGTAAATTCGTGAAGAGGAGAAGATAATAATCCATATTTATTTACTTCGCCCCTCTATTTACTACGGACTGAATATGAGATCAGACGTTTAACAACACTCGGCCGTATCTCTGCCTGCTTCTCTCCGACGTCGATAATAATATCCCTCCTTTTTAATTACTTGGTAATTCAGAAAAACGAGTGAGATAATATTTATTTACTACGACGGTCTTAAAGGAGAGCATGTTGATTAAGATTTTCGTAGTTTACGGTGTTGGATCTCTTGTCCGCCATAATAATATTGTGTGTCTTCCAAAACATTCGGAGGGGCAGTAGTTAAGAGGGGGCAATTAGCGGAGTGAACATTTTGTGCGACTGAACTAAAAAAATTTTGGGAGTGAATTTCTTCAACTTTGCTTATTTATACCATTTTAGATTCATAGTGTGAATCTCAACTCCTACGCGATTTGGATGCAAATCTTCTAAAGGATTAAAACTTTAGACGGAGACAGTGTCCAAATTTTCGAGAAAACTGAAGAAAACAAAGTAATTTTTGGATGCAAATTTGCTAAAGGAATAAAACTTTAGACGGAGAGTGTCCAATTTTGGAGAAACTTTGAAGAAAAAAAAGTAATTATCAGCAGAAATTTCTACCGAAGGGGAGAGAGGTATGATACTTTTAATGATTGTATAGCTTGAAATATGAAATGTGTGCGGACAGTGGTAAATAAGTGGTCATTCATAGACGCATATTTCCAGGGGAGCATAAAATCCGTTGCAATTTTGAGATCTAATTTAATCCGACTGTTTAGTTGCCGTAGTAAACGAGTAAAAAATTAATTGGCAATAATAATTCGGGCGGGATTTACTTAAGATGGGAGTGGTTTATGTATTGTGTTCATAGCATAGAAACAAATAAGGGTGTCGTACATAGTAAACAAATTTACTTATCAGATTTTTTTGGGTGATAAGTATTATCTCAAAATAATCGGATACTTACATACCACTACTTGAGTATATAAGTAGTACACCAGTAACAATAGAAGTTCGGTTGCCATTGACTCAACAAGCAATTGAGATTCTCGACCTAAAAACTAATAAGAAAAAATAATAATAAAAAAAGTGACACGAAAAGGATCTCTCCTATTTCTAAAATTGGGCGACTGCGTGTAATCGCCCTTGCTAAAATTGTGGCTTGGTCTTGATATGTCTGCAGTGGTAGTGGTGGTGCGGTGGCGTCCGCTAAAAAAGTGTCCACCCACACACACACAACAATTTTCATTGAGGTGGTCGGTCTGCCGAATTGCAACTTTCTGTACCTGCTTGCATTTTACTTATTACAAACGATTATTGCATTGATGTTGACCATGGGAGCTAAAAGCCACCTACCCTTTTCTAGTTTTTTCGTATATTCCTATGTTCATTTTTACCTAGGAGGGACTCCTATAATAATATTCTTCCTTGGCAATAGTAATTTTTAATTTGATACGGCTGAACTTCCTGACATATCCAGATTTAGGACGCTACGGTTGTTAAAATTAGGCAAACTGCGTGTACACAACGCAATAAATAAATAAGTGGTACATTCAACATTTGTCATGTTGTTTTCACTCGTCGGAGGATCGCTTGATTTTCTGTGGGCTAACTAATCCTTAATTTTTTAAATATTTTTTTCAGAAATTTCTGTAAAATGAACAATACAAATTTTAACATCAATGAAGCGCCTGTTGTTGCGGACAAGGATACGGCGGTGCTGTATGCGTCCGAAATTATTAAAGGTAATTAATTTGACCGTGAAGAATTGCTATATTTTTTTCTGAATGGTAATTTTAATGTTTTTTTCCTTGTTTCAGATCGTCTCTACTTTGCCACCCTGCGAGGAAATTATCGACTCAAGTCAACCTTGAATACTCATTACTTCACGATAGACGATGAATTCATTTATGAAAACTTCAACTCTGATTTTGGTCCCTTGAACTTGGCGATGCTGTATCGATACTGTCAAAAACTGAATGCGAAATTAGCGGTATTAACCTTTATGTTTATTCTTAATACTGTGAAATTGTGGATAAGCATATGTATGTAAACACAATTAATGTACTATTAGGCGACATCACTGGCCAGGAAAAGATTAATTCACTACGCTAGTGCGGATCCTCAGAAAAGAGTAAATGCAGCTTTCCTAGTGGGAGCGTATTCGGTACGAATTTAAATCAGGGTTCATGGTCTGAAACTACATGGATTATATATATATATAGAGACTTTTAATATGTTCCTTTACCCACTTACAGATCATTTACTGTGAAAAGTCAGCAGACGAAGCATATCGAAGCCTACTTGGCCCAAACGGTCCACCATTTGTATCATTTAGGTTAATATAAACACATTTTAAGTCGAAATGATATAATATTTTCTAATCTGGAGTTTAATAATTGTAATATCCTCTGTAGGGACGCCTCTTTCGGCGCAGCTTCTTTTTACCTCACCCTGTTGGATGTTTTTAATGCACTGCACAAAGCGATGAAAAACAAGTTTTTTGATTTTCGAGATTTTGACGTTGAGGAGTATGAATATTATGAGGTTTGTGAGTTCTGATTCTAAAATATAGAAAAAATTTAATTAGAGCAAGCATAAATTGTGATATTCCAATTTTTCCTTTTATTTATGCAGCGTGTAGAGAATGCGGACTTGAACTGGCTAGTCCCGGAAAAATTTATTGCTTTCTGCGGTCCACACCCTAAATCTAAAATACTGAATGGATATCCTTTGCACGCACCGGAATCGTATTTTAATTATTTCCGAGAAAACAATGTCACCACCATTGTTCGTCTCAACAGGAAAATGTACGACTCCTCCAGATTCACTCGATCTGGCTTTCAGCATAAGGATTTGTTCTTCACTGATGGAAGTACTCCTAGTGATGCAATTATGAAACTGTTTATGGAAGCTGCTGAAAAAACTTCTGGAGCATTAGCAGTTCATTGCAAAGGTACCAATTTAGTAACATGACAAACACTTAAGAATATTATAATGAATGACAAACTAATTAATTTTTCTCATATCTAGCTGGACTTGGGCGGACTGGATCACTGATCGGTTGTTATATCATAAAGCACTTTGACTTCACGGCCCGAGAGGCTATTGCATGGGTCCGGTTGTGCCGGCCAGGGTCAGTCATCGGCTTGCAGCAAGAATGGTTGGAGGAGTAAGTAGCAACAAATTCTAAAACAATGAAACTGTACCACCTCAAAAGGATGCAAAATATTTATGGCGATTTTTTTTACATTTTTGCAGCAAGCAAGAATATTTAAAAGCGCAAGGCGAACAGATGAAACTAGAAAACAAAAAGAATAATAACGCGCCAATTCACAAGTTTACGTGGCCAATTTACAGCATTAAGCGAAAATATGGCAAATCAATACAAGATATTGAAAATGCTAATACTTCTTATGCGTCGGGTGACAAAGTTAGGTCAATTCTGGCCCAAGTTGGATCCATGAAGTTGAGTGAAGACGGAGAAGATAACAATGAAGACTATGAGGTATGTATACTCGCATATACATTGATCATTTGTTAAACAAAAGGACTAGTAAGTAGCGACAAGTTTTTACTGAAATTTGACTAATCCACTGTTATTAATTCATCAGGTGTCCTCTGGTGATAATGATGAAGGAAACGGAGATGATACCGAAGTGACGCAAGGAGATATGCTGAACAGAATTAAAGCACTTCGCCAGTATGCAGACATACCATTTTTTCACTCACACGCCGCTATGCACAGTTCTATTAAAATAATTGCATAAACAAATCAACACATATATTTACAATTTTTACAGAATGCCCTCTGCAATTGAGGCTGCTGCAACTGCATCAACAACCAACAAAAATATAGGCACATCCATATCAACCTACAGAAATGCTACTCGAAGGAACGGTAATATTTCTACCGACACTCGAGAATCCTCTCGATTGAAACGAGCAGCTGGGTCCAACGCCACAACCACTTCCAGTAAAAGGTATCGACTCCCACGTCGCTTACAATATCTCCTTCGTGGTGGTATATAGCTCTAGTAGTGGTGGTGACGTGGTGGTGATAGTGCTTGTCTAGAGTAGAACAGCTTGCACTACCATTGCACCGAAATACCAGGTTATAATAATTGCTACTCAATTTTTTTTATTTCGCTTACTAAACTACGACCAAAATTGACTGTCTCTCTGACTAGAAATTTATTTTAAAACTTTTTTCGCTTGTAAAAACTTTCAATTTGTACTTTGGCTCGCGTGCTAAAGCATTTTCTGGCGTTAATTCAATTATGTGATTTTGTTGGCTAGTCGGGACATTTTTTCAGTCGAAATACATTATATTAGAAATTGCGGGGCGAGACTCTGGTGGGGATCGTATGACGTATTTGATTATGAAATTGAGGTAGCAACATTAGGATTATTTAATTTGACTTTTGGACTATTAGACGATAACAAAGTAGATTTTACTTTATAATTTGTAACATTATCAAGGTGCTGGCCATGCTGCGGGATATTTTCCTTTTTAAACCAGCTTGCAAATTGTTGTGGGAAATAATAACGATAACATTAAAAATTGGTTGCCCTTCTTTGCCTCAGGATTACACATGTGTACATTATTTATTATTTATTGCACATTTTTTTAGTATTCCGCTGCTGCGTGGTGTTTTGTTGTGGGTGTTTTTCTTGGTGGTGTAGCCATAAACTAGTCCGTAGTGTATTTGTATGTATGTGAAAACGTGGTCAACTAATTCAATATTTAATATTGGTGGGTTTCTGATTTTTTCTCACGCTGCCGATTTTGGGAAACATTGGGCTATTAGACCGTATCGTGATGATGCTAATTGTGGGTCTGCACGGCTACTGACATTGTCGAAAGTGACGTTGCCTTCAGCCGAGTTAACTAGCTCTAACAACAACCCGCCCCCAACAAACCCTCCCTCAGAAACTAGTGAACTTGAAGCCCCCCGTAACAAATCCAAAAAAAATTATGTATGCAGTCGAAGCAGTAGCACCGGAATCGCTGACGGTGGTGTCACTCGTCCAGTGACCCGATCCGTCACGAGGCTTGCTTCACCGCCGCGAGAAATCCTCACCCCTTGTCCCAAGACTTTCCGCAGCAGCAAGCGTGCTCCTTGGAGTTCCACGACCACCACTGACTCTAACACCACCACGACCACGAAGGACAAGGTGTCGTCTGGTGTGAAGACGTCGGCAAAGTCTGCAACGTCCCTATCTCTTGGAAAACTTCCCCCAATCGCGGTACGAAACCCGTTACAAATTGTGGGCAAGAAGGATAAATCTGCGGCAAGTAATTTAAACGCCACCACCACTTCGAGAATGAGAACTACCTCGAAATCCAGAGCGGATAACAATGCCAACAACAACAACAACGATAACGAGAGTAACGACGTTACTCCCACCACCTCCAAATCTCTAGCTACGAAAAAAAGTGACAAAAAGGCTAGTGCCTCTGCTACAAATACAACAGGGAATCAAAACAAGACTACAACCGTAGTAAAGTAAGTGATCCACTTCACTTTGGACCTTATAACCAACTTACTTCAGGGGGAATACATAAGTCGTAACAAATCAATTTCTCCTAATCCACTACTACACACACTTCTCCTCCCCCTTTTATACCATCGTGTCAAGAATGCTTCTCAAAAACAAACAACAAGTGCTAAAAGAGCTGGAACTCAGTTTCACTTAAAAAATTATTAATTATAATCATGCACCACAGTCACGCCATGTTGTTTAACACGAGTGTAATACCTTTTCCTCGTAAAATTAACCAAACCACTAAAAAAATAGTAACAATTATGACCTCGGAAGACGATCTTTTTCTTGAAATTGGTGCTTTGAGGAGTCAATCATCGTCAACACATCATGCAGTTACATAGTTTAGCGTAGTCCATAAATATTTAGTGTAACTAATAATAGTCGTAGTAATTATTAGTCATAGACAGTACTAATTAAGCGTAAAAAAAGGAGGGGCAGTAGTCAGTACAGAGTCAGCACCATGGGCGTGGCAGGTGAAAGCGGACGTTTATTGTATGGCGTCCGCCTTCGTGGGTGGTGCTTATCTATGTTTCTCTGCCTGACCAACTCTCTTTTTCTTCGCCACCGCCGCCATCGCTGCTCACATTCAATTAATTATAAAAAATTTCTATCTAATAAATATATGTCTTATCTGCTCTCCTCTTCCTACTTCCAAGCTCGGAATGAATCTCTATTTATTTATTAATGCTGCTGATCTCAACACCTATTTAGGATTATTGTAGTCACGTCGTAATATTTAATATTTGTGGCCTCTGTAAAAACGTCAATCTCAGCTATAATCTTCTCTTCCTCACATTTTTCTCCCCCGTTTTTCCCAAATATGTATACAAAATAGAGTAAAAGAGCAAACATAAATTGATTTTAATCATTTTACAGCCATAAAATACGACCGACAAGTCTTCAACAGAAAAAGATCGCCCAAACGGTCAAAGCCACATATTCCCACCTTCTGTAATTATTATTTTTCGCCATGAAAGTGACACCGGTACTTTTTTTAATTGAGGACAAATTACATGACCTTCTTGTAAATATCTATGTGAATGTAAGTAAGTTCAACCAGTGTATGTATATAATGTAAGACTTATTATGTGACGATCTACAGATATTATAAACCTAATTCCAATGTAAACTGTGGCTCCATAATTTCAGTTATAATTTAATCTCCATATATGTAATAATACATACATAGTTTTACCTGGAGTCGGAAAAATTCCAAAGATCTTCTCATGCAGCAGACTACCTAGTCGACTTCTTAAAACAATCGTGAACAACACAAGTGGAATTTTATTTTTAAATTGTAGTTAAAAATAATTATGTAGGAAACGGGAAAGAAGGTATGATTATTATTCATCTTTTAAAACCAACCTAGTTGATGCATGCTTGCACACCAGGTAGATAATATCAAGATTTAAGTGGCTGTAGCCGGTACGAGTTACGTTTTTTCAATAGATTTTCATTTGTTCGTGATATATATTGGAAAAATATGTATGGATCTCAATAGTCGGAAAGGGACAAAAGTTATGAATATTTTCAGAAATGGGAAAAGCAAGACTTCTAGAGAGAGAGATTATTATTGTGAGACTACACATACGATATGTTTTTAATTCGTCGAACATGGAGTGCAAAGTAGTGAAGATAATTGTTAAAAAAATCGTTCTTTTACATGGTTTCAATTTACATATTTGTGGTAGGAAAAAAAGGACTACAAACATCACGCCAAATGAGCTAGTATACTTTTAAGTCATCCAATACCGAAAAAGTACCATATACAGAAGTAGTTTATGCAGTTTTAGTTTGTGTATGTATCTAGATTCAGATTTATCCTCCACAACTTGTGGACCACAAATAAAAATGTCACGCGTTATGTATGGACGGAAATTTCATGTGAAGTTTGACGATTGATTGATTATTACCACAATTAGATGAAAACGTAGTTTGTAGGAGTAGAATATAATGACTAGTGAACAACTTTATAATGGGTGGTGCAATTGTAAACCGTCTTTTAAAGTATAAATGTTATCTTTTTTGACTATCTATGTATCTATACATATGTACATGCATATATCTATCTATATATGAAATCATTAGAATCGTAATGTTTCCAATAATTATGTGAAAATTTCCTATCTTCATGTTGTCAAAATAAAAATCTCGAGGAGTCACAAGACAAAAGAGTTTTTCGTTATTATTCCTCATGAAAATGTATTTACTGTATTTACTGGTATTCATTTGCAGCTAGGTAGAATTTTAAGCTTGTTGAATTATACGTTGAATCTGAAAATTGGAAAAAGTTGATGAGATTACATACATCCACACCAAATTCTTAACCATCACTCTTCTCCCGGCAATTCGCGTTCACTTTTGCCTCTTCAATTTCCTTCTTTGTCCTTCGACCTCGTCGTTTTGGTTTTGGTGTGGGTGGTGGTAGTGGATCCTCATCATCCATCTCTTCATCGTCGGTAGGATCACAGCTCTAATAATGCAATGAAATGATCGAATATGTTAGCACCCTTACATTACAAAGTTTATTTCGAAATAGCCATATTTTTTTTAAAGCAAAATAAAGAATATTAGTACATACTGATACATTGTTTCCCGGATTTGCAAAAGCAATAGTGGTGAAATTGTCCCGACTTATATACTTTAGCTCCAAGTCGGGGATATTCTCCGGGGAACAAATGTTAATATCCGTTGATCGCGTGGTATGGTTGTAATATTGACGAACAAATGCAATAATTGGCAATAAGTCTCCTGCCGTGTAAGATGAACCGATTTGTCTGTGATATTGAAACGCCCTGATGACATCATTCCTGCTAGCTGGGTCCAATAACTGTCCACAAAGAACAAATATTTAGTAAATAGCAAAATACAGGGTGGTTTAAATGTCACGCTACAATGGAAAATTTTTCCCTGGGAAAAATCGCTAAATCTCCATTAGTGACAAGATTTTTGGTTGAGATTTTTATAAAATTATTAAAAACTGATGGAACACTGATGACGAAATTCTTGAAATGTTGAATTTTAGAGACAAAATTTTGGTAACTAATGGAAATTTACGATTTTTTCCCATCGAAAAATTTTCCATTGTAGCGTGACATTTTAACCACCCTGTATATTCAATTATCAGTGATAATAATTAATAATACTTAATTATACAAAGTAATATAATGAATAATTCTGATAATTGCACTCACATTATTGTTGGGTCCGTATTCTTGCACCCTTAGCAAGTACCCTGTCTTCGAGTTTATAGGGAAGAATGCCGCAAATGGGATCTCGTTCCTCTCTATTGCCTTATGGTAAGCTGGAGTGTCAACTTTTACGGCATAACCACACCCAAGCCCTTGACCAGATCCTTCCTGAAATACGATACAACCAATTCAAAGTTATGTATTAAACGTATAGACACTTCTCAATCATTATTTGCATTAACTCACCTCATCTTCATCAGATTTATTTTCAAGTACTTCACAAACGCGCTGTTCAACATCCTTTGAAGTACTAGCATGTCCCTTTCCCTTTGGTGTGTCTTCTTCCGGCAATCGTACCAATTTCACTTTTCGACTAAATATTACACATTTTCGTTAATTTAAGACTTCACCTAAAATAGTAAAACCGAATGAACCATGAACTACAGGTCACTCACCCCCGCTCAGTGAACACAAAATTAATTCCATGTTTTTTCTTCATGTGATTGTTGAGGAGCAATTTTTTATCGAAGCCTTCTGGACACATTGTACATTGAAACACACCTTGTGACACCGATCCATTTTCAGCATTGTTCTGAAATTAGAAATTTATGGATTGCACATTGCATGTGTCCATACTACAACGAAATATCATTAATTGATATTAATTAACATACCATCTGATCCTGATGTGAAACAGTACATCCCCCAAGATCCCCTTCAACAGGTGGTACTGCATCCAACTCGGAAATGTCGCCCAGCTCAGGCTCATCACTTATCATAGTTATCTGAAATGATGGTCCAACCCTTCCAAACGACGACTCAACAGTTTCCACTTCCTCAAACTTCCACATGTCTCGAACTTCAACGTTATTTTCCGTGTACCCCATTCCGTCCGCTTTGACTTGCCACTGGCTCATTTTTCCAGAAAGTGAGTACTATGATTTGACCTTCGGTTGAAGTCCAGTGAAAAAAAATAAGTAAGAATCAAATTAACTAAGAATTGAGTATTTACTTACAAATCAAGTTTACCAAAGGTTTCTTTTAGTAATTGTGATTCTTTGCTATAATGTTCGAAAATTTAGAAAACGGAGATTTCGGAGAGGTATTTTGTGATGCGCTTCTGTCGAGGTGAGAAGACGACTGAAAAACTGACTTTTTCCAGAGACCGACTCTTCAGTCCTGCTGAAAATGAAAACCCACAGCGTTTCTCTCGCTGAGTGAATGACCTCTGGCCGATCGTCATATTTCCTCACTCTCAAAATGAAAACAAACCCTAATTTTTCTATTTCGATTTCTGAATTGTAACAAAGTGATTAACTTTATTTCGAAAATTGGGTTATCGGTATTTTCATGATAACTAATAAAATGTGTGGGAGTGGTGATAAAAATATATGTATGACAAGTAGTATTTGTCATGATATTATGTTTATATTATGTTTAGATAAATTATCATTTAATATTGATTAGTCGATTCCGAACACTTTCGACGTTCCAAAATTTAGCTAGTAATTTTTACTAGCTATAAAAAATTGTATTAGCTAATACTTTAATTTATCTAATTTCGTTCAAGTCTCCTTTTTGATGACTAATAAATTTTCGTATAAAAACACGATTAACTTGCAGTGTTATTTATTTTATAAAGTTTTAAAGTCTCTAATACCGTGTAAAATGAAATAAACAAAGGACGGCAAAATTTAACTACAGAAACTTGACTACAGAAAATGTGATTTAGTATTATTAGAATTATTGCGACTCTACTAATAGCAAGCTTATGTGCACTTCTGCATTTTTTCTAAGCGAAAATTGAATTGTTGAAAGATATTGTTAATCATTAAGCATATGTACAGCGCTAATGGTCATAAATTCCTTAAATTACTTAAAGACTGGTCAACATCGCATTAAAGGAACGATAAGTTCCATTTAAGTAGCTCTGCAAACAGAATGTGAATGGCGTGGCATGGCACGAAATTTTGCATTGGTGAATTTAGGTTTGTTTTTTATGTCAAGTGTCAATAAATGTAAACAAAACGTGGAGTTGGATATAATCATAAATAAGCCATACTAAGTTATTAATGTCCAGGAATAAATATCATGATTCATACTCATATGCGTCATTACATATATGTAACGGTACAAAAGTAATAGATGAATTTATCATTGATATGATTAACTAAATTTGCTCCCGTTTATTCAAATTATGATTCAATTCCTGCCTCATTCAGTACAGCATCCCATGTTCAGAGATTAGATGTTTTATGAAATCCTTTACACTAATCAAGCAACCAAAATAACTTTTAATTCCACGATATTCTTTGACATTGAGTAGTAAATTGGACAAAAATACACAAGGGGTTTAACTAATTTCGCAAAAAGAAAGCCATAACTGACGGGTACTGTTCCTCTTAGGAATACATACGACCTTTGCAATATCAGATCTCGATGCCATTTGATATGTTGTACAACTATTTAGTCGTTCCAAGCTAGCTGTAAGCTGCTCTAGACTTAAAATCTCTTGAGATAATAAAAATCTGATATATGAATTGGATTTCTCAAGCGGTTTTGAATAAATACCAGAAGTCAATTTTTAATTACTTGCAAAGCAGATCAACATGGAAAATCTTAACAGGAAGAGGGTGGCGAAAATTTGTCACTAAAAAAATGAGTGAGAAGCATTACAGGAGTCGAAAGCGAACTTTAATTTAGTTCAAATTACTATGAAAACGTTCGTGAACCAAATTTCTTAAAAGATGTTTTATTTCCCCTAAATGGAGTCGAATCACCTTTCAGCAGCAGCTCATAGTGCAACAAGATCCAAACGCGTCTTAAAAACCAAACTCCACAGTACAGTGTTTTTGAAAGTTTTTTAAAATTTCACATTTCTCCAATACACACCTTTGGTCAACAAAAGATATTAAAAGAAAAAAGCTGAGATTGCAATTGAGTATGATAAAGCAACTATCTGACATCAAGACTATGCAAAAATTATGAAAATCCGAGCAAAATTGGATTTTTGGCATAAGTTTAACAGGGCATCAAAACCTGGTATTGCAAAGGTTGTACACATTCCTCCTCGGACTGCTCGCTGCACTTTGCCGATGTTCCAAATGATTGACAAATTCTTACTGGATATTTGATCGAACTGTTGCACTGGTCATGCAATGGATGACATAAATTAGCAATTCATATGCACTTATATCTTACAACTTTGTAAATAAAGGTGCACGGCTGTAAATATGCGTCATAAGATACATAATATTTTTGCATGACCTTAAAATGTTTCATGGGCGTGAGGCCAGTTCGTTTCTCGCCTTGTAAGAGAAAGCACTTCAAAATTTTTTCGTGTTAAAATGCCAAGGAATTTGCATACTTGTAAGTCCCTCCCGGATGTTGAAGAGCCAAATACATCCAATTATCCCATGTCAATAATCGGGAGAATTGTTCGTGGTCCGACACGTCCCCCTGACGTGTCGACTACCCCCCAAGACGAACAGAGTGGGGGCACGATTTCCCAACCTGAGACACGCCTAACAACCCTGCACCACGAGAATGAGACTGGGTCACGGCTTCGTGCTCGCCAGATTGTGGGGCCAACGCCACAAGGCGGAGATCCAATCCAGACGACGACTTTGCCAAAACTTGTCACTATCGCCGATAAGATTATGAATGGGAAGGTAATTTGCATCCACATACTTGATTTATAAATTCTACACCAAAATATATAAGGAATACAATTTCGTCTTTTGAAATCGTTAAGTAATCGTAATAAGTAAATTTGAATTGTCAATTTTCCGAAATCTTGTAAACGATCTTGCATCCTTACTGCATGATTCTTATTCTTATTAGCCTGCATCATCATCGGCAACAACAACGTCTATACCAACGTCGCATAATCCTGAGGAACATTCGCCAAGATCTGATCAAGATGAGACAAATGATGCCATAATTGAGGTAAGATGAGATTTTTCAACCCCTTCTCGTTAGTATAGATTGTGGTAGAACTCGGTGTTATTAACTTTCATCCTACATGCATACACACATTGCATATTTACTTGGGAGAAAGTTGAGAAAGTTTCCCCAATTTCACCACGCATTGTATTTCCTCATGTATAGATTCCGCCACCGCAACCCCCACGAACATCTGGTCAACACGGCCTGGCAAAAAATGTAGCGTCACACCCCATCGAGACATCGTACAATCAAGGCATGAAGCAACTACTAACAAACTGTGGCAACATTATGATTGCGACAGTATTTCCCAATTACAATGGAACCATTCGAGATGAAGAATCCGAGAATTCAAATCAAAATCAACAGCAAAATTCCGACTTCGTCATAGATATGACCTTGGGAGAGTCTAATGATAATGCGGAAGTTGGCGATAATGCTAATACTTCCCGTCGAGAAAGTATTCCAAGACCATTTTCAGCTCGAGTCAAATCCGCTTTTCTCGATTGGGACGACATCGAATCAGACATTGAATCAGAAATTGAGACAGATGATGAAGATATCGAGGCTCAAATTCCATCCACGCAGAAACCACAACCACGGCGTGACCTACTCGCTACGTTGGACGATGTCGGCCAAAATGAGACTCCTCCCTTGCAGGATGAAACATCAAAGGCACGCATCTCACGCCCCGGCGGGGGTGGAATTGCAAATCTGGTCGGTCAAATGATGACCGTTCAAGCAGCAGGAAAAAGGATGCTGAATGAAGCCGAGATTAACCGGAACTTTTTCCTGGGATCTCTCCAATCTCTGCAAACCGTCATCAACGTGGGGGCATGTCAGTTTTTGAGCCCTTTCATAATTACAGAAGACGAAGGCGTCTTTAAACCGCAGACTAATGTTGTGCACCAGGTGAGTCAGAGTTCTTTAATTGTTTTTGCATGCACACTTTCACGTGAGACACGTGTTGGTAGAAAAATGTCGTGTCAAATGTTGGTTTATTCCTACTTATTTATCTCAGGTGATTATCATGTCATCCTTGTTTGTTCAGAATGTTTGTGTCAACCTTTCAATTGCAATATGTAAAAACTCGAAGAATATTTACTTTTAATAGCGCATACATATCCACATCGAACAAGATCGATTTAAGCTATTGTTGTATGAGTCATTATTATGCATCTAAATCCGGACTCGGTTTCTACTCATGAATTCTGCACAATGCTATTTTTACGATGCTATTAACGTGTATGACGTCAGTGTGCACCATAATTTGTTACTTCCTGCAACCACGTCACTCAAAAGCATGTTTTGTGTCGCAATGACCTTGATAAGGCATCAGGGATTGAAGCGTCCTATGGCGATGATACTCGATTCCTTGTTAAGGCGACGTTTCGATCACGACGCTATGCAAATTTTTATGGTGTTAAAAATAATGGACAATTCGAAATAATATTAAAATTCTAATGGACAATTTCTTGCACAGACAATCGTGACCACTTCTCTGTGCGTTGCTACGGCACATAAAACGTACGAGGCTTATCGGAATTGGGAGTTGGTGGAATTGAAGGAAAATCCGGAATCTGGCTTGGAATTCATGATCCATGCAACAACGGCCCTGCTGCTGTGGTCCTATCTCTTCTGCGTGACGCTGAACCGATCCAAGTTTAAGAAAATCTACACCAACTTCCGGATTCGGTCCGCTGATCTCGCCAACGAAATCAAAAATCGGAAAATAATGGTACTGAATTTTTTTTAATTAATCGTTTTCAAATAAGACAAGAATTTGGGGGCAAGATTTTTGCATAATTGTTCAACAATTATTGTTGCATGCATTGTCGGGCTAATTGAACGATTTACTTCATTTTTCAAAGTATTTTACATATCATGCATATAAGTAAAAACTGAAACCACCTAAGAATATTAGTTTATTTTCTTAGCGGAGCATAACTGGTAGCTATTTTCAGCACATCATTCATGGTAATATTGTAACGATCCTTTCCTGATCCGATGATTATCCCAAGCAGTAACTGCTTTTGAGAGGGCGACTTTGCCTTCACAGGCTTCGACACAATCATATTCCTCGTAAATAAAACTCCAAATATTCCTGTCTTTGCAATTTTCAAAGGTCTCGTTCAGTCGTTGACAGATGTTAACTCTTCGGTTCCACTTCCAACTTCCATACCCAGTTATTTTGGTGCAATTACTAATGTCGTTGTTAAAGCAACCTGCAAGTAATTAAGCGCAAGTTACAGAAATTTACAAGTAATTACAAGAACTGTACGTTAAGATAAGGATTGAAAGTTGTGAAATAATTTAAATAAAAATCTCACGTGGCTCGGCTGCCTGTAGTTGTGAAACGCACATGCAAATTAGTATCCACATTATCTTAAGTAATGGCAACATATCTGTGAACTACTGTGAAGGGTAAAAGTTGAGTTCAAAATCACACAATTTGCAAAGATAGACTATTTCTGGGACTGAAGGATATGAGTAAAAGTTATTCAGATTGAACAATAGTACAATTAAAGTTATTATTATTATTTTATGGAGTTTGTCATCAACTATGCGGTTAATATGTAGTACATTATGTACTGTACATATGTGTAGTTCTCTGATCCTAATTATGCCTCATGCTTATGACGGAGATAATTTATTGCCGAAATATAAAATTATAATTGTTTTCACAATCATCATCATTTTCTGGATGTTTAATTTCCCAACTAATTTCAAACATGCGAATTTTGCACTTCAACTACATTTTGAAAATTGAATCTTTATTTTGCAGCTTTTGATTTGTACATCTCTGATGACTCTGGGATTCTTTGGAATCACTAATTATGTGGAATGGGGTAGCACGCTTTATTCTAAAGGCTGGATAGGACTGGAGAAAGAAATTATCAAGAAGTATCGCAAAGTGAATATTAATCATGGCGACTGGCTAATTGGCAAGGAATGGATGGCCAGAATTAATCTGGTCTTAAACGTGAACGTTCAGTGCGTCTTGACCCACATTTATTTCGTGATGTGGAGCTCTGCACTCTCCTTGTTTAAGACGCAACGAGACACAAAGAAATTGGTCTCCGAGGGGATGATGCGCATGGAAATACGAAAAGTACAAAAAAAACATCAAAATTTTTAAGGTTTGAGATTTTCGTTTTAATTTCGACTGTTTTTTTATATAGACAATCGATGTATTTCGGCGCATCAAATACCAGATCCATGCCCTCAGTGGGGCCATAGCACCAATTACCATGGCCTGCGTGATTCAACTGATCCCCACGTGCGTGGATTTCATCAACAAGTTTGCCAAGAAAGAATTGGAGTGGTACAACATCTTGGTGATCGTTGTGAAGATTGGTCATCTCATTGTTGCCGCAGAGGCAGCAGCGAATGTATATACATACACATTTACGTGCATACCTTTTTAAAACTTAAAAACGCAAAAAATTATGCTTTATCATGTTTTGGATAGGCTGATAATCTAGCTGATCGAGTGCTCACCTTGCCAGACACCTACAAGGATTGCACCCCCAAGGATTTGATTGAACTTACCAACGTCACGCAGAGGTCGATCAGCCTCCGTGGATTGGACTTCTTCGCAGTCAATTATAAAGTCCTTGGAGCGGTGAGATTTTAAAATTCTAATTAAGTACTCATTTGCATAATTTAATAAACATTTTTTCTTATCTGTGTAGATTCTGCTGTCCATTGTGACGTACTACTTGCTCCTCGTGGAGCTGGAGACAGACGAAGCGACCACGACTGATGGTCCTTGCAGCACCATGTTTGCTTAATGTCTCATGATAAGGCGTATTCATGAGGACATTCTGTTACAATTTGATAATTAAAATTTCCAAGCTTACCTATACTGCGAGGCGACATAATTCGACAAAATTTCACTATAGTATTGCTGTAAATATACTGAATTAGTTAAGAATTTATCTGTAGTTTTGCTGTAGAATTGCATACTAGAATTAGTGTAGAAATCTGTAGTTTTGCTGTAGAATTGAACAAAATTGCTTTGTAATATATTGGCATAAAACCTGAGGTAGAAAATGACAATTTCAAATGATGTGAACGTCTTGCTAAATTAATTGGGCATACTTCTTGCTATAAATTCTCGCCTAGTAATTACTGTTTGACCTTATTTTTTTATTACTACCAAAAGCTTACTTGAATATTTGTTTTGTTTAACTTCTGCAGTTAAAATCAACTCCAATTTTACTTTCCTTGAGGTAAAACCTGTAAAAATCGTACGATCTCTTGTAAATTATTGTTCACAAATTAATATGTATTTGTGGAGGTTTGCTCAATTTATCCTTAGTTGAACGCAACGTGATATTATAATACTCGAGGAGAAAGTCATTTTGTAAAAGTGTATCTATTTCATTTATATTTTATGATTTTGTTAGTACGCTTCCAAAGTAATTTTGACTAAAAATATGTATTCATTCTAACTAATTCACCATTGTGTAAGATAAGTCTGTCTATAACCAATATAGGATCATTGTCAATTAGTCGAACTTATCGTTATTTAATTCGATGTTGACCAGTCTTTAAGTAATTTAAGGAATTTATGACCATTAGTGCTGTACATATGCTTAATGATTAACAATATCTTTTAACAATTCAATTTTCGCTTAGAAAAATGCAGAAGTATAAGCTTGCTATTAGTAGAGTCACAATAATTCTAACAATACTAAACATAACATATGATAAGTTTCTGTAGTCAAATTTTGCCGTCCTTTGTTTATTTCGTTTTACACTGTATTAGAGACTTTAAAATTTTATAAAATAAATAACACTGCAAGTTAATCGTGATTTTATATGAAAATTTATTAGTCATCAAAAAGGAGACTTGAACGAAATTAGATAAATTAAAGCATTAGCTAATACAATTTTTTATAGCTAGTAAAATAATTTTAATTATAACGTCGAAAGTGTTCTGAATCGACTAATCAACATTAAATGATACTTTATAACAAACTTTAAACTTTAACTTTAAACAATATCATGACAAATACTATTTGTCATACATACATATATTTTTACCACCACTCCCACACATTTTATTGCTTATCATGAAAATACCGATAACCCAATTTTCGAAATAAAGTTAATCACTTTGTTACAATTCAGAAATCGAAGTAGAAAAATTAGGGCTTGTTTTCATTTTGAGAGTGAGGAAATCTGACGGTCAGACAGAGGTCATTCACTCAGCGAGAGAAACGCTGTGGGTTTTCATTTTCAGCAGGACTAAAGAGTCGGTCTCTGGAAAAAGTCAGTTTTTCAGTCGTCTTCTCACCTTGACAGAAGCGTATCACAAATACCTCTCCGAAATCTCCGTTTTCTAAATTTTCGAACATTAGCATAGCATCGCAATTACTAAACTTGAGGAGCAGAAACCTGATACCAGAAACCAAGTAAGCTTGATTTTGTAACTAAATACTTAATTCTTACTTATTTTTTTCACTGGACTTCAACCTGTAAAAAGTAAAGGTCAAATTAAAAAATAATTTCTAGAAATGGAGAAAATTGAAGCTGAAAGAATTAGGTACACGGAAAATAACGTAATTGACGTTCAAGTTCGAGATATGTGGAAGTTTGAGGAAGTGGAGACTTGTGAGTCGTCGTCTGGAAGGGTGGTGGGTCCCTCATTTGAGATAACGATGATAAATAATGAGTCGGAGCTGGGTGTCCAGGACATTTCCGAGTTAAATGCAGTACCACCTCCTGGCGAAGGGGATCTTGAGGGATGTACTATTTCACACCAGGATCAAATTGTATGTTAATTAATATCAATTAATATTTTGTTGTGGTAATCACATGCATGTGTGCAATCCATACATTTTTAATTTCAGAACAATGCTGAAAATGGATCCGTGTCACAAGGTGTGTTTCAATGTATAATGTGTCCAGAAGGCTTCGATAAAAAATTGCTCCTCAACAATCACATGAAGAAAAAACATGGAATTAATCTTGTGTTCACAGAGCGGGGGTGAGTGACCTGTAGTTCATGGTTCATGCAGTTTTACTATTTTAGGGGAAGTCTTAAATTAACGAAAATGTGTAATATTTAGTCGAAAAGCGAAATTGGTACGATTGCCGGAAGAAGACACACCAAAGGGAAAGGGACATGCTAGTACTTCAAAGGATGTTGAACAGCGAGTTTGCGAAGTACTTGAAAATAAATCTGATGAAGATGAGGTGAGTTAATTCACATAATGATTGAGAAGTGTCTATACGTTTAATATATAACTTTGAATTGGTTGTATCGTATTTCAGGAAGGATCTGGTCAATGGCTTGGGTGTGGTTATGCCGTAAAAGTTGACACTCCAGCGTATCATATGGCAATAGAGAGGAACGAGATCCCATTTGCGGCATTCTTCCCTATAAACTCGAAGACAGGGTACTTGCTAAGGGTACAAGAATACGAACCCAAAAATAATGTGAGTGTAATTATCAGAATTATTCATTATATTAATTTGTAGAATTAAGTATTATTAATTATTATCACTGATAATTGGATATATTTTGCTATTTACTAAATATTTGTTCTTTGTGGATAGTTATTGAACCCAGCTAGCAGGAATGATGTCGTCAGGGCGTTTCAATATCACAGACAAATCAGTTCATCTCACACGGCAGGAGACTTATTGCCAATTGTGGCGTTTGTTCATCAATATTACAACCATACCACGCGATCAACGGATATTAACATTTGTTCCCCGGAGAATATCCCCGACTTGGAGCTAAAGTATATAAGTCAGGACAATTTCACCACTATTGCTTTTGGAAACAGTGTATCAGTATGTACTAATATTCTTTATTTTGCTTTAAAAAAAACATGGCTATTTCGAAATAAACTTTGTAATGTAAGGGTGCTAACATATTCGATGATTTCATTGCATTATTAGAGCTGTGATCCCAGTGACGATGAAGAGATGGATGAGGATCCACTACCACCACCCACACCAAAACCAAAACGACGAGGTCGAAGGACAAAGAAGGAAATTGAAGAGGCAAAAATGAACGCGATCAAAGCTGCACAGCCACTGCTAGCCACATCGTCCAACGCTCATGTGGAAAAGAATGATAATCTGCAAACTGAGAACGCTGAGGTGTCAAACCTTGGAGATGATGAGGGCCGAGAAGTGCCACCAACTGCAGCTGTAAATGATAATGCAGACAACAGGCCGAAACTAATTCCTGAAGTTGTACAACCGTCGTTGGATGTGGTAGAAACACATAATCCACCAGGTATAATAAAATTACTAATTTGTTATCACGATTAAAAATCAGTTGAACATTCCTAAATTTAAATAACTAATTTATAAAAATATTTATTTACTAAGAAATGCCACTAGTGGAATCAGATCCACTACCCCCAGTACTCACACAGATGAAAGTGAACGTAGAACGCACAGATGAAGAATCTATGCATTTGGATGAATCAGTTTTACCCGTCACTCCATCCAAAGCAACAACTCCAAAATCACGAAAGGGTGATGGCAAAACTGGGAAAGGACAAAAGCCAAGATCAACTTCGAAATCAACGGGACTTTCTTCTCCTAAAAAACCAAATTCTTCTCTGCACGTGAAGATTACAAACGTGCAGGACGAACCAATGGACCTGAGCAAGCGTTCGAACACTCACAATGATTTAGAAGTTGAAAATGGCACAGATACGACCCAGAAACGACCCCCACCAGCCGGTTACGCTACCAACACAGCATTACCAACAAAACGAGGTCTCCCACGTAGACTCATATTTGATTAATGTATTAAACAAAAGTAATGTAATGTTAATAAGTATTTTAAACTAATGTTACCAAAATTTGATTCTCAAAATTTGAATTGTTGGAACTTGGAGGCATATTATATAATGTTGGCAAAGTAATTTGTATGAAGTCGTAGTATTACTAGTTTTTTTTATAAAATTGTTTTATCCCCTCCATTTCAGGTAATCATGAAATTAGGAAAAACTCTATTCGGATAAATAAGGCAACTCATTTTCACGAATCATCATCTTCTAAAATCATTTAATTCCTTATATGTACACTTGACTGATACAGTCTTATTATTACTAAGCACAAATTATGTTTACTAATTAGGACACATACTTGCTGACAAAAATCCTATCATCATGAAATTAATCATTCATGTTTTAAATATTATGGCTAAAATTAGAAATAGGGAACATTTGTTGTTGCTGACTCGACTAAAAGTTAAAAGTTAAAAATACGAGATGCATTATCACAGCATTATTATTACTAACCTGGCTGGAGTTAAAAAAGTAAAAGGTAAAATATTTACAGGTTAAAAATTCAAGTAAATTGCATCAGATTATACAAAAACTAAATTTTTACTGGAAGGATATGTATGTACGAGAGGTAAGGTTATCTACTTAATTCTTAAATCACAGGCGATAGCTATGTGATCCGATGCATATCTCAAATTAGGCAATCGGCTGGGACCAACTTGTTCCTCCGTGGGGAGAAGAAGCACCGATTCCACGTCGAGATGTCTAAAAAGATAATTGTTCATTAGTTAACTTACTGTATTCCTCATTACTTTATGTCTAATTTTGCATACTTGTTGTGGAAAATGTAATCCAACGTGTGACAATATTCGCCATCACCTCGAACCTTCCAAGTCGTGTATGGTGCTTCATCGTTATTGTAAAGCTTTGAATACGCACTTTCCACCGAAAGTCTGTAATTTTTATTCAATTAGTTTCCCTCCTTGGGCAAATAATGTAATCACGAATCAAATTCTCACCTTGATTTAATCGTGGAAATCACTGCTTCAGATGGCACAGCGTTAAAGTCACCACATAAAACTAGCGGTTTGGACCCACCCCCACCACAAGCGGTCAAATAACTTGAGACGTCTTTCCCCTGTTCGTTCCTCATGGTTGCTAAAAGAGCTCCTTGACGGGCTTTAAGATGTGTCGTCGCCACGCAGAATTGTTGACCTGTTGCTCGAACGGAAAGTTGGGCAAAGATGCAGACCTGCATACAAACAGTTTTTTATTAGTGAGATGGATTTCTTGTGGAAGTCTTCGTAAAAATCACTTTTTTACCTGATTGGATTGAACTCTCCAAATTTCTAAAACCCGACTCGAAGCGACCATCAAGTCGAATTTTTCTTTCCGATAGAACAACGCGCAGCCGTCTGGACCGTTATTGTTGCGAAGATAGATGCACGGAGAGTCAGGCTTTGAACAGAACACGCCCCGATAACCGAGAGGAACGAGACATTTGTTGAGGAAATTAAAGTGGTCTACTTCCTGTAGTGCGGGGAAATTATATTTTAGTAAATTTTGATATATGTATGTTCTGGAATCAGTAAACATTTCTTAAAACTTACCTGAAGACATATAACGTCCGGATTGTAGAGGAGGATTTCATGCAAAATCCTGAGACGTCTCTCGGTCCAGTTCAGTGTTCCATCCGGTAATCCGACAAAGTTGTCGTGCTCGACGGCCAACGCTTGGGCTAAGATATTCCAGGTTAAAATTCTAAACGTGTCCGACTTCTGGGGAGGAATGTGAGGTATCGATGATGACGATGATACTGTCGGATTCTCTGTAACATAGGATATTATGTCATAAATGAGGGACTGACGCCATAATTTATGTGTATTGCCTACCAGGTATGACGGGGTGAGACTTATCCCCCAACATTGAACGAGGAGATGATAATAATGATTTAGCACCATCAAAATTTTCAGCCTTGTTTTCTCGTGACTTGAAAACAACGAAATTTCTCGTTATCAGACCAGGACCGGGGGGAAGTTCTCCGATGCAGCGGTTAAGAAGCGAGTCTCTACTGGCGATAGATCCCACTTCGAAATCGGCATCTTGCACGTCCTCCCGAACTGCGGGGACCGATGTGAAACTTCCCATCCTAGAAAATTTGGAAAAAAAATTATTCAGTAAAAATTGTCCACTTGATAAATCGTAATTCTCTTCTTATTCCCCATGCAAAGTTTGTTCATAATGAAATGAGTCCAATAAGCAGGAGCGATAAAAAATTGTTATCTTTCTTCCTCCCATAAAAATCGCACCATTTTTGACATAGTTTCTAATTGACAATAGAAATATTTGACATTGAACAAATAACAAGGAACAATAACCTCGGCATATTTCATTCTTGGAAGCTCGCTTGTATTTGAATGCGAATCAACAAATTTCATAATTATCACAATTTCACTGCGCTAATTTGTTCTCTGACAGCTAATAAAATATTAAGCTATGGATTGGGCGAGTTATCATCATGCTAATAAAAACTTGTTTTAACGACATTAAAATCAAGCTCAAAAACAAAGTCAAAAATAAAGCAACTACTAAAATGATATGTACTAGCCTGATTTGCAGAACTAAATATGTGTTATCATTTCTACATAATAAAAAATCTGCAAGCAATCCAACTGAAAGCACATCGCTCGTAAAATTAACTCCCAACAATATTTTAAGACCAGTTGAACAAATTGAGACAAAACAATAAAAGCTTTGATTTAAAAAGCTGCTCAACTTTCAACCTTTAACACATTACACACATTTTTACATACACAAAAAGCACGAAAATCTCATGTTTAGTCTACCTGGTCGTTTTGAACACATTTTTCACCGGTTCAGCAATTTTTCGCACGGAATGTCTAATGGCAAGCATCATGATTTCCGCTACTGGATAAAATGCACATTATTGTACTATGAACGTCGTTATTGTATACTCAAATACACAAAACCAATATGACATGAGAGAGACTTGATGTGCTTAGTAATGCAAATATGCAAAAGTGACAGATTATGTAAATATGCATTTGCAATGCATTTTATGACGATGACGTGAAATTTTGTGCAGGCAGATTCAACCGTATTTATGTACCGTATACTAACCTGAATTGAATACAACCACGATGGGACACAGGCAACACTCCGTCCTCCAGTTATAAACCAGACAGATAATAATAATGACCAGACCAGATCCAGTTCATTAACCTCTTGACGACGAAGTACACACATGTGTGTAGTATTATATTTACCGTTCACGGCGAAGTACACACATTTGTGTAGTATTTAATTTTCCGTTGACGACGAAATACACACATTTGTGTAGTGTTTTATTTTCCGTTGACGACGAAATACACACATTTGTGTAGTATTTTATTTTCCGTTGACGACGAAATACACACATTTGTGTAGTATTTTATTTTCCGTTGACGACGAAATACACACATTTGTGTAATAATTGAATTTTCCGTTGACCTCGAAATACACATAAATGCGAAGTCATATTTTTTTGCAAATTCGAGAATTTCGCAATTTAATTTCGCATATTTTTTGGTGCTATTGCTTGAAAATGTCCCAAATTATTTTCACACAATCTGAAGAGATTGTGGATGAACATCCTCAATTGCATACTCCTTCATGGGTCGAAGAAACTTATTTGGAGACACAATATGAGATGGGCGAGGAAAATATCGACGACGAAGCCATTTTGGAGTTCGAAGCGGTGGATGAAGAGGATGAGGAGCCCCTGATTGAAACAGTACGTTGTACTTAACGTACATATGCGTGCCACCGATTGTGCTAATTTTTTAATTTTTAGGATGGAATTGAATGGGATGGCGATCACGAATATTTCTTCCCAGAGGCGGAAGATTTTCAAGAGAGCGTCTTTGTGCGAGACCCGGAGGTCAACGATGCATCATCGCCATATTTTATACTTCGTAGATTTTTAACAGAAGAAATAATTCAGGAAATAATTTATCAAACCAACCTCTATGCCAGGCAGACAAATATTCCCAAGTGGACAAATTTATCAGTTCAGGAGTTCTGGGTTTTTTTCGCACTTAATATTCTAATGGGAGTCGTTCGAAAACCAACGCTTCAGGATTATTGGAGCACTAACTCGTTGATTGCAACGTATTCGTTTGGCGACTCCATGAGTAGAGATAGGTGCATACTTAAAATACTGCTACAGTTGTACTCAAGTGTTAATCTTGAAAATGAATAGGTTTTTACAAATTCTGCGTGCCCTTCATTTTGTGAATCTGGAAGACCCTGAATTGAATCAGACAGACAGGTTTCACAAGCTTGGATCAATTTTGTCAAGAATTTTGGCCAATTTTAAGAATTTTGTGAATCCTGGAGAATTTTTAACACTGGATGAAGAGTTGATGCCATACAAAGGAAGACTGAGCATCCGGCAGTACAATTCAAAGAAAAGAGGGAGGTTTGGCATCGAATCATTTTTTCTCATGGATTCACAACATCGCTATGTATTGGACATTATTCCATATCAAGGGAAGACCACTACAATTCATGATCGGTCTTGGATTACAAAATATGGCTTTGGAGGTGCCATCGCTCTGACTTTCTTATAAAAAGCATACTTTGGAAAAAATCATCGCCTTATCCTTGACAATTATTTTCAGTCCCCTACTTTGGCAAAAGTTTTAGTTAGGAAGCGTGTATTCGTATTAGGCACTGTCCGGAGGACTAGAAAATTCATGCCAAAATTTAATGATCCCGTAACAAAAAAGCCAACAACTTTAAAATCTGGAGAAATCGAAACATTCTCGGATGGGGATCTCTTACTCGAAAGGTGGGGAGATCGAAAAGAGGTTATGATGTTAAATACTTTCATAGAACATCGAATGGAAGAATGTGAGTCAAGAAACCCTGCAAACCAAAGGTTCAAGCCAGCAAGTGTCCTTGTGTATAATAAAACGATGGGATCTGTGGATAATATGGACGCCATCATTCGACCATATCAGACTCTGAGGAAGACAAAGAAATGGTATCGTAAATACGCATTTCATCTTCTCGATATTTGCATCTACAACTCTTTTGTAATTGCTGGCCACTTCAATTCTCAAATAACGAAAAACGGTTACAAGGCATATCTTCTCAGTTTAGTGAACAGTATGCTTGACGAGAATCAACTTGAACGAAGTACCAAAGGACGTCGTCCCAAGTGCCCCAACGCTCAAAAGGCCAAATCGAGTCCACATTATCCTCAAACTCTTCAAGATGACAATGGGAAAAATAAAAGGTCAAATTGCAAGCTATGCACACAGAATAAGCAAAGAAAGGCAACAAAATATTTTTGTGATGACTGCAAGGTGTGGTTATGTGTAAAGGGCGAAATAACTTGTTTCGAAAAATTCCATAAGAAATGATTTGTGATGTTTTAGAGCGTCTTCATGTTTTTCATGCAGTTTTCAGTATTTATATTTGTGATATTGCATGATGATTTTGAGGTTTTTAACTACAAATTATGGTAATTATGGTCAAATTCTAAATAAACCCATAAAATTCGATTGTTTAAAAATTCCGGTTTTCGGGTTTGTTTCATTATAATTAACCCAGACGGCAAGGGCATGCCTCTAATTTTAGTATTCGTCTCCAATTTAAAGCATCCTAAAGTATCTTAGTGATAAATATATTTTAAGCTGATGTATAATTAGTCAGCAACGGATTATCTTTAACAATTCACTTAGAAGATAAGAGGTTAATCTCTTTCAGTACAGCAGTAGCAGCAGTAGCAGCCGTTTTCCAAAATATGTGTCAAGCTCTATAGTCATGGTCACATTAGAGAAATATTTATGTCCCATTGTCACATTTGTGTGACATTTCTTGTTTTTACACTTGTGACTCGTCTATTTATACACCAACCACCACCACTGTCTGCCCTATACTGCTGTACTACCGATAAGTGACGCGTATGACTCAATGAATGTGGAGGATGACGCCATTTACTTATCGCGATATGTATCTCACAACAAATTGACACTTGACATTTTATCAGATGAATAATTATGCACGGATTTGATTAATGCTTACAAATTCTGATGCGATGATGAAGCAAGGCCTGGCCGACGGTACCACTGCACTCGCACTGAGGATGAGACTACTGAACGAGTGTCAAGTTCCAGGCACAACCGATCACGGGCAATTTCCCTCAAAAACTGGTTCCCACGATATAAATTGTAACATGCCAGCCAGTACCAGGCACAAAAAGTCAAACTGCTGCTGCTACTGGAACGTGTTGATTTTGCTTGTGATGATATTACCAACCATTATTCTAGGCTTATATAAACCTAAAAAACACTTAACCAAGAACTGAGGAGCCTCGTCAACAAGTTTTTTTACGAGCTATGTATGTACAACCACCAAAAGCTTATTTGTTGAGTGAGATAACACATAAAAATGGAAATTGAAGAAAGCCGGACTTGCTATATATATAAATCTAACTAAAAGTTTGCAACGGATGCAAATAAAAATTCACTGTCCGTGTCGTGTGCTTCATTTCTAGGCAGATGAGACTTACCAAAAGTTGCAACTACCCATAACCAAAGTATTTGAGACTATGCACATGCCAAAATTATCATTTCTTACAGTAGTAAAATCTCATGCGATGTATTATTCATCGGCTAATTTTTCTACAAGATCTCACGGAACGGAGGGGAAATTCGAGAAAAATTACCTCACGAGATACTGAAGGATCTGCTTTGGAGGTGTGGCCGGGGGTTTTCCCTCCTTTGCGCGTCGCTCAGCGAGCGCGAACGTTTCCTGCACGTCCTGCTTAAGCACGCGACCACCCGCGTCCCCCCAGCTGTGCACTTGCGGCGATAACGTCTCCATTTTCAAACCTTACTCAAGAATTCGACTTTGAAAAATCTCCAAGTCTCAAAAACTCGTTAAAAAACTGAGATTTTTCGGGATTGGCACAACTGTCTAAATAAACAAGACGCACGGTTTTACGAGGGTGACCTGACTGACTGACTGACTGACTTTTAAGTTGTCGTGTTTAATGGCAGACTTCCACGATGAGACTGACTTGCATCGGTTGCTACAATCCTTTTAAAAGTGAAGGTCCTCTCGTCGTCGTCTTCTTCTTTCGTGTGATTAGTGCTAAATGTATTCTAGATAATTTGGTGGAACGATATTATATTGTCAGTTCGTAATCTGTGTGAATGTTCTATGTGCACAACTGAGAGTTTGTGTGAGCCGAGATTTCATTATTATGCAGCATCACAACAACGAAACTAAAGTGTGTGTGCATGCAGTGTTTAATAATGCCAAGAAGAAGAGGATGATATGTTCATATGCCGTCTTCTTCTGCTTTCTTGTTAGTATAATAATCGTATCATCATCATCATATCTTCATCTTCGGCCAATATGAGCAATTACTTAAGAACACAGAGTCAGTTCAAGCCTACTGACTTTGTATGTATGTTGACCGTCATGATTCTATGTACGATATGCATATTTAAACATATTCACCTCTCTGTGTTGCATATATGTAGTAGTAAAATGACTTATTGGATGATTTAGGCCTATCTGACTGAACAGGATGAAGAACCAGATCGCCAATGCTTTGTATGAAACATACATATGCATGAATGCACCGTATAATACAGTTCATCGTCGTCGGTCGTTAAAAGATGCACCAATATTTTTTTTTACTGCAACAGCACACAATTCATCTTACGGTTCTAATTGACGAGTCCTAATTGACGGCAAGGAGAGGTTGATGATGAGACATGAAAAGGTCTCACTGCACATTCATAATTTGATCAGTGACCAGACCACGTTAGAAGAATTGAGGTGAGATCTGTCTGTAGTAAATCGTGTAAAGCATTCTAATGATATACTGCAAATTTGGTAGATAGAAATGCATACCCATTGTAAATAAATATGCATTTGCATATGTACATACATACGCTGAATAAGTCTGCATGCATGCACTTTACACACATAAAACAGCAATGTGCTGTATCCTGTGACGTTTTTTTTATCCCCTCTGAAATTAGGACAACTCTGTATGCAGCTCGTTAACAAGAACAACAACGTCATCATTGTTCAGAGGAGTAACGTAATCAAGATGATGATGATGATCAGATTCTAAATTATGTAGATACAGCTTATAAACAAAGAAATGTAACTGTTTCGGTCAGGAGTTGCGTGTGTACAGAAAAAATGCTAACGGTACTTGAAGTTTGGACACCTGGAGTATTTTGTTTACAACTGTTTTGAACGTCTCCTTGTGCCATTTACGTTTTTTTGTGTGGATGATTCACCACACCACGTAGCCTTTAGATTTGATACAATTAATTTTGTTGACGTAGGTATAACTAACTAAAAAGTAAACAAAATTGTGTCAACAAAATTTCCATTAATATTTCCATGAACTCACTCACTCTCGATCCGTTCGTGTCCGTAAACATGAAGCAGTAGGTACGTCATCAATGTGATCCAGTTCTGTACAGTTTTCATATAAGCATGTTTCGTTAAGTGCGTCTTAAGATACATAATTAGATCATGGCTAAATTGGTTTGACGTACGAGATGATGTGGAATAAATTTTGGAATTATTTTTGACACTAATTTATAATGATGCTGATAAAATTATGAAATTTTGCAAAAAAAAAATACATTTCCAGAAACCAGTTTTCAATGAAACTCCAACTCATGCATTTACATCGGCGTCACCCTGTCTACGGCTCTTTGGACATGTCGTCAGACTGACATTCAGAGAGTTTTTTTTACGTAATCGTGCCCTCATCATCGCGAGCCGAGTGATTACCAAACACGAGTCGAGAAGGAATATTCCTGGAGGAACGAGGAAGCAATAACAACAACGTTCATCATTTTTTTGCTAATTTTTGTTTGTTTTCCTTTCATTTTATTAACTATGTATTTGTTGTGAATTAGGCAGCCTAGAAAATTGGCCGTTTAACCGATCGGCCATCTATATTAATTGGAACAATAACAAAATACATAATAATCATCAGGTATTGACGCATTATATTAAATCACCCAATTATTCGGAGGTGATTTGTGGCGATCATGGCACAGCAGCGTGGTTCCATCCATTAACTTGACGATGGTCGCAAGAAAAGAAAGCTAATAAACAGCTCTTATCTATCATCGAATCGAATGACATTATTGCGTGCAGTCCTCATGTTTGCTTTCATTTCACGAAATTTCAATATATTTATATCCTAAATTCAAGACAATGTCCAGTCTGGTTGATTTATTATTGAGTATTATTCCCATATTTACTCAACCTAAGTAAATCTCATGAAGAATTGAACAAAGTCCAAATATTGACATGAACTAGTTCAAGGTAAAATGAAAATAAGTTCATGTTTGTCTTGCTCTTTCGGTTATCGATACTGTCACGAATATGGACAAAGTTGATGATCATACATAATAATAACAATTCTTCCATGTTGAATGTCATCAGCTAGATCATCCCATTTACCAACTAGGCTATGTATCATTGATGAAGAAATACTGCTATTTCGGTCATAAAATAAATACAAAATCCGTGATCTTGATCTTATCCGAGGAGACAATGTGACTCTCGTGGCATGGCAATGGCTTCTTCTACCAATTTGGCACAAGTAACAAGTATCCTACCGTTCCCGAGCCAATAAATGCTTGCTGTATCATAGATACAGATAATTACCCTCTTATCCTTCCCATTGTGTGTGCCATTTTGTTAACGGGAATGGCAACAAGTAATAAAAAAGCGAAACCATTTTTGATGTTCAGTTCAATGCAACGCACAAAAATAGCTGACCTTCAACAAGGTCTCACACTCTCAATGTGTGTATTATAACGGAGGCTGCGGTATTGTCAATAATTATTGTTCTGAGACCGTTAACTATTACCGTTCCTGGTTTAATTACGCGCAAATACTTAAATACACATAGTATTTAAGTATGTAAATAAACTTACAGAACTGCTGCTGGACTCGACTGGAGCAGACCAGACTAAATCACGTCATGGTTATGGTGATGATGATGATAATTATTCCATCTTTTGGCTGACCTTTAAGCAACGATGGTAAGAAAAAAACGCTGCATAAAAAGAGCACGGAAGGAAGGAAGGAAGAAGAAAAGGTAAGATTTAACTGGCTCTTACATCCGTTATTAACAATAGGTTTTGGAATTTAATACTTGTCCCAAGTAATTTTCCGTCGTCTATATGGACCAGAAAAAAGAAGGAGAAGAATGCATAATAAATAGAGACTTTGTCGTGTTAAAGGTTGCCTTCATGTGCCAATTGAAAGTAAAATATAGGTGATTGAGGCCATGGCCGTGGAGGAGGAATAAGAATTGAACTAATAAGTAACGAAGTAACAATCAATAAATATTTATCATAATCATGACGAGTTGCACGTATGGATGGATGTTTGTTATTGTACGTGAATGACCATCAAAAAGATCACTCACACCGGAAATAAGTTCGGGTATAATTTATAACTTGGAGGAATTACTTCCTACTCGTTGTAAAATGAGGCAATTTGTGGAGGTAAGTTTACAGTCCAAAAAGTAAGGTCGCTCGCGTTCCACGTCTCCACCACGTAAGAAATAATATGCATATTTACGTGTGTATAAACATGTGTATGGATGTAAGTTAAGAAGAAGATGAGAAGATTAACGATAGGACGAAAAATCACGAAATATGATAATTATGTGAGAACAAGTTGAAGAGTGGCATAAACCGATTGCCTCACATGAAAAACAATTAGTTATCATGACAAATTGTAGAATAGGTAAATGTTTCTGGAAATCTAGATCGTGCTGAATTCATCAAAATTTTATTTGATCTCGTATTTCAACTTGTTACTATATTTAACGCTTAATAAGCCGATTGCCTCACACGAAAAAGTTATTTAATTATCATGACAAATCGCAACTAATGAATAGGTTAAGTCTTCTGGAAACTCGGAGATCGTACTGAACTCGGCAAATTTTACTTGATCTCATCTTTCAACTTACTACTATATTTAACCCTTTCGATAATTGGTTACATGATTTTGCACTGATTCGCGATCCAACCCTCCCGCATATTTTTTTAATAAATGCGACCTTCGTTTCACTTTCGTTTAGATGCAAAGATCACTTCAAGAAATTGAGAATTGCATCAGAATTCCCAATGAGATGAGATCACCGGCAAGCAAGCAGGTAATAAACAGAGCGTAATATTTATCACTCACTATTTTATTTAATGATGCTCTAATTATTTCCAATTATGATCTCTCTTATTACACTCATAAAATGTTCGCATTTATGAACCCATCAAATCTCTCAAGTCTCGTGTCATGTCATACTGCTTTTACAATAAATGCTTAGGAAATAATGCACAAAATTTAAAAAGTAATTTATTGCTCACGTAAAAATCTCCGCATAAGCTGATCAAAAAAGGTGGCGAAATTTCCTCACTCCTCAGGAAGTAGGATAGAATTACACTGCTTTTTTTACCAAAAAAGAGAGAAACACTTGGCAAGAAGAAGAACTTTTATTGGGAAAGTCACTCCAATTGAAGACGAAAAACGTGTATTTGTATACTCGTAATTTTACAGGGAGAACAAAAAACAGAGAAAAAATGTAAAACTGTACAAATTCAAACTTTTTTGATGAATGGGTTCAACCATTTTGTAAAATTTTGGCAACTTCTGTCTCAATCTGCAAGTGAGACTTTGGAAGAAATGGGAGAGAGTTTTACGGAAATGAGAGACTCGATCTGAATGAAAATGAAACAGAAATGATGCAAACTCATCGGTAAAATATCTAATTCTGCATGATATCTGTGCTGCTGGTGGTGCAGTATGTACGAGTCGTCATCATCTAGAGCTGGGTGGGTATAGATGATTTGGGCGTTACGTTATTTTCAGGTCATTTATACCACTTCAAACTGAAAAAGACTGCAAGTCTAAGGGCAGAGATCAACACCTTGGCTTGCCCACTCGGCTGCCGGACTGCATACACATGCTTTCTTAAATATCTACAACCAACATTAATATTTTAGTTAATGACACATCCACCATTAAAATTGTGTGTAAAGTGTGTGGGGTGTGTGGGTTTGGTTGTTGTTTGGTGCATGCGTTCCGAACGTGAGCGTTGCACACCCATAAATACATTCATATGTATACTTACGTAAGTATCATACATACACCAGCCAAAGACACAGCATGAGAACAAGAAAGAACAAGAACATGTCTTAAAAAATCATGCCGTGATATGTATTCTTCTGTGCCAAAGTATCAAATTAAGGGAAAGAATGAAACGCAGTAGTTGGAACAGATGCTTGAACATTGCTACATGTAAATTTCATGTTTTTGGCTCAATTTTAGCTCCTACTACTCGAGTTCATTCCGGCTAGTTCATTGTGATATGAAAATATATCCCATCCCAGCAATAGGATGTAAATACGACGTTGACATGTAGACTTTAATCTGTAATGAGCAATAAGTGCATACAAAGTGATAACAAGTAATGATTTCTTTCTTCGATCATGCATTTCCAAGTCGTCATATCGTGTCAAGTCAGACTCACCATTTCATTTCTTTTAGGTAGGTGACCATCAATAACATGATGCCAAATTTAAAGAACAAGGAAGCACTAATGCAGCTCCACCCTCAAATAGTTTCGATTAAGGGTTCATCGGATTGTCGTCATCTACACAATTTTAGTCTCGTCCGTCTCTTGACCAATGAATCCTTGCAGTGCGGAGTCTAAGCAGAGATGCTGATGAGGAATCATTTTCTATGAAAAGGGATTAAAGTTCAGTGTCTGAGTCGCGGCGGGCGCAGAATGATGAGCATCCTCTTATCGCGTGGATTGGATATTGGAGTCTTGGATGTCGCTCACCTTCAGTCCAGTGTCATCAATTGCTTGCTTTGCTGTTGATGAACTCAAGGCAATGTCGTCGTATGTTTGATCCCCATGTCGATTATCTCTCCTCTACACGCTGCTGGACGTGAACTACAGATTTGCTACTTGGCTCAGCACAAATTATGAAAAAATATGCCACCCAGACTCGCTGGATTTGTATGAAAATGAATGAAGATGAAAGAAATTGCTAGCAAAATTGCTAATCCAAAAAATTTTATGTGCGTCGCGATAATAAAAGTTTCCTTATTAATGGACGGACAACATTACATTGTCGATTAATGCTCGCAGGATTTCTCGTGGTGGACTCGACCGGCAAGAGTTTATCTCGTGTCATGTGTAGTTTAATTTCTCTGTTTGTTTGCAGAATTATAATAATATTATTTATGTAATTATTCGTTCTAGAATTCGTCCTGGAGCCATGTGCAATTTATCTTTTGCAAGATTCATGACTAAAATGACATCATTGCGCATTATGAGATACATTTTCGCATTGTGGTGCTAACTTCTTCTCTTGCTGCGACGTTGCGCGTGTTGTTGTTGTTAAATGAATCGACGAAATAATGATTATGATAATTTCAGTCCAATAACTCCAGCGATTAATAAGTATGGAGATTAATATGGATTTCTATTTTTAGACTAAAAATTGATTGGTGGACACATTTAAGGACTGTGAAGCGCATCATTGATACAAGTTGTACTTTGTCCGTGCTATTTATAACTTGACGAATGGATGGATGGATGGATAGGTTGATCTTTCAAAGAGGGCAGATTTTCATAAAGTTTTTCTTTATATTTGACTGGAAATCATTTCCAGGAAATGATTCAACAATTTTAAAAGTTTTGCCATTACTGGTTTTACTGAAGCAAAAAATTGGATAGCGTACCCTTAATTGGCAATTTAGTTTAATTGCACCTATAAAAATTTAACAGGGTCCACACGTGCTGAATATTTAGCATTTCTTGGACTTTTTTGACATTGTAGAGTAATTTTGCATGTACGTCATGGCGAATTTCGTTGGCATTGACATTGTTGCAAATGCCGGACTCGTATGAACCTATCCAAAAGAAATACGTTCTGCACTTTGCACCCTCTCAACCTTTGTGTCGATTAATTCATTCGAAAATTCTTGAAAACTACTTCTCATCCAATATTTTTGTGCATTCTGACTGAAATTACCTCACAAAACAGTGCAAATGTATGAAAAACCGCTCATGATACGCCATATCATCCCACCATCTTGATTGGAACACTAGGCAGAGGCGTGGCCCCATAAAATAGAGAAAAATATCAATAAGTTGTTGTCAACTCAAAACATGATCATCTCATCGTTTCATTTGTGTCAGTCAAATCTTAATCTGCAAAAAAGCCAGTCGCACATATACATCCATAGCATATTCATTCTTGGAGCACGCAGGAGATGGTTGACCAATTCATCTAATTACTGGCTTGGTTCGCACAAAACTACATTTTCCCGGTTTTCCTTCAACTTTTAGTAGAACGACACAGATTTTCTGTTCTTCTGGAATAAAATTCGTCCTCTGCGAAAGAGATTGCAAAATCTGGCTGGATTTATTTATCTATTTAGATAAATCCCTCCACCCTGTTAAATTATAATTTTATTAATGCTCGCGTATTTATTTTGCGCAAATAAATTTTGACTTAATTCCAACTCGGACTCGTTACATGGAATAATAAAGGATTAGACAAAATTTTACCAAAATGTGGCTTATTAGTTGTGCCCCTGTATACAAAAACATACGTGTGAGCATGCCTCTGCATAATTAATTAGGATTACGAGACCAACAAAGTCCGGGTTAAGATACATTTTTACCTCGGTTTTCTCATATGCAAATGTTTTCTAAAATACATTTGCGTCAATGTTTTCCACTGACGTAGTAGAAACATGAAGAATTATAATATCTAAGATGCAATTTGCGGTAGCCGGCCTGGCCCCGTTTGTATATACGCCACCTCTTTGAAAATGCTGATCTTGAACTTTGCCCTTTTTCTACCAATCTAATTATTACAAAGAAAAAAATAGTGTAGAAATTACAATCATCAAATTTTTTCAAGGAATGCTGGTCAGAAAACGCGTCAAACTGCGTCAAAAAACTTTTACCCAGAGAAGAAAGCAGGAGAGATGAAAGCAATGAAAAGTTTCTCCCAGTGTAAAAAAAAAGTTGGTTAATTTGGAGTCGGCATTGTTTCCTTGTTTGGAGGAGGAGGATGAACCATCAAGATTCGTGACATTTGACTCAATACGACGGAAACAAGGGGGAAGATTGCAGGAGAGGAAACGGGATTAAAAGTGAGCTCATTTACAGGTCTGACACGGACAAATGAAGTTTAATGAGATGGGATTGCTAGAAGGACAAGAGGATTTTTTTTATTCAACTGTGACCATGACCAGATTTCGTACTTTGCTAAAAAAAACTTTGCTTAAGAGCTTTTCTTTACGAGAGAGAGGGTTTTATTTTATGTCAAAACTTAACTTATGCATGTATTGAGGTACCCAATTTGTGAGAGGAATCATTCCCGTGGCTCATGATTAACCACTACGGGGAAATGTGGAAAGTTTAGAAAATGAATGAGGAAAAATCTCGAGATACAAAAATATTTTCGAAATTGCACACTTTCCTTCCACGCGTTTGTCCCAGTTTCGAAGTTTGGTGGACAAAAGAATTTCAATTCGTCATTAATTTTTTGCCTCGTTCTTTCATAAATATTGCGAAAACGAAGAAACAAATTCTGCACGAAATAAAATGAAAAATGTGGAACACTCCAACTCCTCGAAATACGTACACATTGTTGGTTTTATTTATTCACAATTTTGCATTCATCTCCTCAATTGACTACACAATGTTTTTATACTTATTCTTAGAAACACTTTCATCTGGATACAAAAGAGAAGAAATAAAATGACACTTTGCATTTAGTTAGTACGACAACTTTCTCTCTCACGAAGATTCTCCGTAGAATGAAATTACTAACAAGTTTTAGGTAGCATTATGTCGATACATACGTAAATACGTACGTAATATGTATTTATGTGAGTCATTTTTTAGCATTCATTCCGATTTGTAGTAATCCGAGGTCAGTCTTCACATGACCACTTTTTTTGAAGTAATTGACTTTTACTCTCATGTGTATAGCAGCAGTAATAAATATGTAGTGGGTAGTTAGTCAAGTATGTATGTAGTACATATATAACTGGTTTGGTTTATAATACATTTTTGTAATTGCATACAAATCTACGGCGTTACGTACAAACGGGGTTTAGCAATTTTGGGGGAATCAGGACAACTTTTTAATCCATCTTGTCTCTCAAACCGAAGAAAATTGCTATTTACCACATTTTTTACTTACTTTCTCCACGGTAATATTTTCGTGATACAGATAAGTCACACACACCGTTTTATGTATGAACAGGAAGAGCACCATGTTTGTAAGGCTGTAAAAGTTGGTGGGTTTATTTATTCTCTCGTGTAAATTATTCATTGATGGTACAGCTAAATTCCATAATTTACAATGCAGATCTAGCAAGCTCCTTATTTCACAAGATTTTTTTAAAATTTCATGCAGGAATTTGATGTTGGCAAATTGAGAGAGTAGACCAAATGCCTGAACAAAGTATGTAAATACACTCTTGGTGCCGGATTTTCAAAGGTTTCCTAGTACATACATACCGTTTGGTTATGAGCAAATAAAAGTTAAAAAATTTCTATCATTTCCATTCTCTTGAGTTGGCTATGAGATAGATAAACCTGATAACACAACCAACGATAAGATGATATCGTTCCTACCACATATACATCAACCAAGGTCAGGAATAACGCATACTAAATAAAAAATGGGCAAGGACTTCTCAAAAAGTCTTATTTATAAAAATTTCATTTTTCCCATAATAAAAAAAATAATAATGATCCTTTTTTATTTTTTTGGAGAAAGAGATAAAAATCTCTTTTCCTCTCCTTTTTTCCTTAGTATATACATACATATGTACGCCACACGTAATTAATCAATGGTCGACGACCAAGTCGCATTGAAAGTCAGCATGTAAAAAGAATACAGTGGAAGTTTTGCATTTTTTAATTTTTTGTATATCTCCATTTTAATGTACTCGCGTAAAAGTCTACCTTTTTTGAAGTGAGGGTAGTTTCCGGAAGGCAGATTTCTTTGCATGATAATAATTTTATTGTTTGCTAGTCTTTCTTGCGCATCAATCAATTCGTGTGTGCAGTAGCATATTTATGTAGAGTCACGATGATACATTGTAGGAATGGTAATAGTGTGTGTGTAGGTATATTTATATTAAGGATTTGATTTTTTCTCTCAGCCGTCGTGTCTCATTTTCCACTAACATTTAGTAATATTGATCACTTAACGTCGCAGTTTCAGATACAAAATGAGCATTTGCATGTATGCATTTATACTTGTTGCTTTCTCACCTTTCTCATATTTAGCATAGTCCTTAGCATGTAAATCAAACTCTTGGTGTGAAATTTGTCTAGAAAATGTCCCTTATTATACATACGCGTTTTCATACATAAGTAAGGACTCGGTAGTTTGAGAGAGATGAACAAATATAACTCGGTGCGGGGATTGTACATAAAATTTCGTGGTGGAAATTTTTTGGTTTCTGATTATTACGCTTGTTTGTTTTTGTTCTTCCTAAATATGTAAAATTATTGTATTTGTAGTGTGTAAATAGCGTGCCAAAGTGCTCTCTTATACGGTAAGTTGTGTGTGTAGATGTAAATAGATAGTTATTTATTTATTTATTTAGTTGTTGTTTTTGACCTTTTTGGAACTTGATCCTTAGTGTTAAATATTTAATTTATAGTAGCGCGATGCGTTTATGTATTTTACGTACACATGTCATCTCCATCATATCAGATAGGTTAAAAATTGCCAAGAAGATTGTTGTTGGGGTGTAGGGATTGTTCTTTATGTAGAGTAAAATCAGAGTGAGTGAGCATTCAAGTTTGCAGAAAAACCCTGTGAGAAGAACGGATGAGAGAATGAGAAGTAATATGAGAAGAAATTATTTCGTGGCGAATTTCACTCAAGTTTCGTGACGTGGTTGGTCAAGTGATCATCAAGGGATCGGTTGAGAGAGGGAGGGATGTCGTCCACTTGTTGCATATTCGACCAGCACCACTCCCACACGTTTAAAGCAAATAGCACCGCTTTTACTTTCACTCTTGGATACGTTCCGATTTTAGGCAGCACTTTTTTCGAGCAATACTTTACTTACTTTTCTTCTTCGAGTATGTAGTTGGTTGCACGGACGGGCAAGTTCGATACCGTTTTGGATGCAGGGTTACCTTCATCGCCTTCTGGGCCAGTGAACTTCTGAGTGACTTCATCCCCCATTTTTCTTCGCAAAAGTTAGTAGTAAAATAGTGAGGGCGAAGTTGCTGGCCTGTGATGATCCGCCCGTACAGCATGTTATTACGTGGTTTGCTTGGTGGATACAGTATTGCTGTGAGTATTATGATTTCATGTCCATTTCTACGAAGGAATCACTGATCTGTGTTCCCCGCGGCACGAGACGCTCTTCACTTTCGAAAAGAAAAAGTTGAAAATTAAGAACTGTACTACGTAAGAAACGACAACTGTAGACCGGGCACTTGAAGGAAGGAAGGTTCTGTCCATGATGGTAGCGGGCGATGATGATAATGACGCCGCGTCGTCCGTTTTGGGTTGGACGATCCTTTCGTATTACGTGTCCATCCCCAAGTGCCTTTTTTTGTTGATGATCGATTTGTACTTTTTTTTATCTGCACAGTATTGTTTTCTACAAAAGTTTTTAATCCGTCTTTTCTAGTAGCACCAAGTCATCCTCTACCACGTCAGAAATGTGAAGATATATTATCCAGTACATTAAATTGAAGCAAATAAAACACACTGGGAATACGACCCTCGAGTATCTGAGAAAAAAAGAGAGATACAAAATATTTCATGTACTTAAGAATTGCTGTCTCAAAATCTCTTAACAAAAATGAATCCCCCTCACTTATCGATATCCGAAGGAGTGATGCCGTACAACTTATTAATATCCTTTCCCGGTGGCAAGATGGGATGAGCAGGGTTTTCCTCGTCCCCTCCGCGAGCACCATTGACCGTGTTTTCCAGGGTACCCACCCCTTTGGCGAATGACTTGGGGTCATGCACCTTAAAACGAACCTCCTGAAATTTAGCGCATATGTGTCGCATTAATAAGCAGTGTGGTATGTTAAGCTGTTTCGTGGTCGCGTACTGTTTGCTTGGCGTGGTGTTCGTCGTGATGATCCATGGCTGCCCGCTTCTGCTCGGCCATCTTCTGCAGGGCGAGGAACCTATTTTTTCGCATCTGGATGCGCTTGGCCATGTACCCCACCGTGGCGTATTCTGTCAGAATTGGGGTACAAAATTAGGGGTCGTGTCTCTTAAGAAATGTAAATATGTACATATTTAAATGAGCATCCTGCCCACCTAATAAGGAAGCGAACACCATGACGAAACAGGTACCGAGATACACATCTATTGACTTTACGTAGGAAATTTTGGGGAGGGCTGCATTCGTGGAGGACATTAGCGTCGTCATTGTCAAGACCTGTGGGACAGAGGTCATCCATTATTCGGTGTATTTGCCATTGGTTTTATGCAGTGGCCGCGGAAGCTTGAGGGGACAGAGGGACAATGTCCCCATCATCTACCCATCTTATACAAACCCCTCCCTCCCCTATCTTACAATGTTAGTGTCCCCACATGTCCCCACGGCTTCCGCGGCCACTGGTTTTATGTCCACCTACTTATTTATGTATAACTATCTAGATAAATATGTATGTCGTCCTCTTACCGTGGTTACTCCTAAAGCGACCCTGGCAGGCGTGGCGTTCCTGTTCAGCCAGAAGGACACCCACGAGATAATTACGATAAGTCCCGATGGAATGTAAATTTGAATCAGGTAGTAGCCCATTGAACGGACAAATTGAATCTCACAAGCCAAGCGAGAGTAGTTTCCTGCACATAAATCCCTTTTAGACGTGGGTTGGAGAAAATAATTAGATTTTATTCCTGCAGGATTTTGACCTTTTACGTAAATTAAGTAAATGTACGATTTGGACACGGAAAAAGATTAATGTTATGTGTTGGCTAATAATGTGGTTCAATTATGTTTTTTTCTCTCCTTGTGGATTCAAAATGATAAGTGAATTCGCTTTGAAGTTATATAAAATCGTAATTATTTTCTTTTCATTTCCTTTCAAAATTAGAATTGTACGAGAAGACACAAAGTAAAAAAAGTAGTACTGGAAATTTCAAATTTCTGTCGTTCCTTGGTTTCGAAGCGATTCTCGGCTTTGAAGCGTGTATCGCATAAAAACCATACTTTTAGATAACTGCTGTTAAATAATTATTATTGTGCATGTCAGTGATGTGTGTAGATATAAAAACAATAAATAAATAAAAGATAAGTGAATTCTCATCGCATCACGAGCGCATTATTTTTTTACCATTCTTAAATACTTCATTTAGTTAAAAGTGATTTTTTAAAGATTTTATATGGATTGGATTCTAGTGAGTTCTTTTTTACTCTACGATATTATAAAGTGCGTATAATGGGAGAGTATATAGCGATATTATTATGTAAGCTTTTTAGTGGTTATGATCAGTGTGAAGGGTTTCTTTTTGTGACGAGAAAGAATCAAAGTCGACAATATTTTATGAATTACCATTTTGTGTGTCTCAAAAAAAGTAAGTATTTTTCCGTAATTATGACTTTTTTTAAAGGTAACCTGTGCTCAATGAAATTTCCATTGCTTGTTGCTTGTGCCCAAGAACTTTGAACTGTGGAAGAGACACGTCTGACGACACGCCGACAGATTCCAACCCTTTCGCCCATTGGTAACGGATATCCGACATGGTGTAGCCAACTATAGGAATATTTGCATCGTAATTTCGCACAGGGTTCATCATCATCATTTCTTTTTTTACTTGGGAGTCATTCGCAGCGTTAGTATCACCGGCGTTAAAGGGAGGAGGGGAAATCTCTAAATGTGGTTATATAACAGTCTTCATGACACTATTTGTATGTAAATATGTATGATTTGGGTTGGTTGGGAAATGTGTTGGCTAGAGAAAAAAATGTACCCCCAACTCGTCACAGTAATGAAGAAAGTGCTCTTCAAACAGTGAATGAGTGAAAGTGGGTGAAAGTTTGGCCAGTCAGAGATGCATTCATTCGCATTCATTGATGGTGGTGTTGCATTCTCAAAACATTCCATGCACAAATAGCTACAGCTTCAAGTCAAACACCATGCATAGAAATTTCTGACATTACAAATTTATGTACAACTTACCGACCAGACCAAGCAGTGAGGTAGTGATGATGACAGACAGACAGTGAGTGAGTGAGTGAGTGAGTGAGCATCAATAAATATACCTGGAAATCGTCCTGGAGAAAAGCAAGGCATGCAACAGCAAGAAGACGCCGGATATGGTTGACTGGCTTGCTTCCTTGGTTAAATTAATAGTTTTTATAACACCAATGTTCCCCGAGACAAAGAGACATTTATGACATTCTCACAGTTACGACATATGCAATTCTCTTCAGAGGAGGAGAATGATATTGTTTTCAGAGAAAACTCATTAAAAGTTGACACGCCTGGAGGTTGACACAACCGACAACATCACGTCGGGCCGTGGTGGGTGGTAGCAACACACGACCGACGTAACGACATTTATACAACAGCTTTCACAATAATAATTACCAAGCTAATAATAAAAATATGTACATAGAACAGCGCGTACAGACATCTTCTCGGTGTGGCGATTATTTCGTGTACACAAATTTATATGTAAGTATTTTGCGAAAAAAGAGAGAAAGTGGATGGATGCTGGAATTAGTAATTGGATTGAATGGAATACCTGTCGTCAGGATTACGGAAGTTTGTGTGTGTCTGTGACCCAAAACGCTGAACTGTGGGAGTTGAAGGTCCGAAGATATTCCGATGGAGTCTCGACCCGCGGCCCACTTGTATTCAATGTCCCGCATCGTGTAACCAACTAATTTATCAGCATGTATGTATATTGTATAGGACATAAAAAAACACACCCGCCCATCCTCCTCTGGTACTTGGTAAATAAGTAGTTAACACACAGACAGCGATGGCATGCATTATTCTCTTCCACGAATATTTACATAGTTGAACAATGAATGAAGGTAACAATATACAAATATTTGAGAAAATGGGGCATCTTGCTTGAATTCAGTTCAGTTCAATAACAGCGCATACTTTCACCACAAAAAGTAATATGTTTAAAGGGAAGAAGAATTTAATAATCTTTGATTTTTTTTTATGAAAAGCAAGGAATTTTGTCTATTTTCCCGCAGAGATTATGCAATCAAGTATTTTACAAGGAATTTTGGTGAAAGCTGTCTGATACGTAATATTTGTCGAATTAAATTCAAGCCTATCGATTGGTTTGGGATATTGGTTACAAAATTTGTTTTGACTGGAGAAAATTGCTACGAAAATAGAATACTTAGCGTCACATTCAGTATTATCTAAGCGAAGCGACACAAGCAAGCAAATTCGTGCAGATTTCATTTCATACATGCACAAGAATTATGCAAAAAATTGACCACCATGCAGGCAAAGATACAAACATACAAACATGCTCATATTCCATATGTAACAATTTTCATGCATTTTTTACCATAATTTCCGAACCAGACAAGTGAATATACCTATAAAGCATGCACTTGCAAAAGTTATATTTCCGTGCAAGCCCTCACCCAAAAAAGTTTATGTGACACTTTCAAAATTTGCGAGATTTCTATTTATCACCCTCCAATTAATCCCGAAATGTATAATTCCTCGATAATCGCAACACAAATATTTGTCCTTCATAAACAAACAAGCTTTTGATGAAAGTGTCACGTAAAGGTTTTTGCTTGAGGATTATCACCATCTTTGTGCAAATTCAATCTATCAATATTTGCAAATCTTTTATGTAACTAACTAACGTTAACGTGCATACACAAGCCTTGCTATTTGGTGGGAAACATGACAGATTTCGATTTTCGAAATCCTACACGAATCAACGGATATGAAAGGATTACTGTTTCCATCCATCGGCTGGTCATACACAAGTGTTTACTTTGCAGTAAATGTCACCCACGAAGTAACAACCAAACCGGTGAGGAAACAATAAGCCGTCCGAAATCGTCGTTGATTTACGAGGGAATTAATTACGTTACGTGATCCTCACAAATTTCAGGGCGTGAGAAGAGTAATACTTTACACAACTGCGATTCGATTTACTTACTTAATCAGTGGCCGCGGAAGGTGTGGGGACATTAACATTGTAGGATAGGGTGTATATAAGATGGGGATATCGAACAACCATGGGGACATTGTCCCTCTGTCCCCACTCACCCTTCAGCTGCCACTGTACTTACTTAAATAGGGTATAAATGTTAATAAATAAATGTCGTGTGAATAATGCAAATCATGACATTATCAGAGGGATAATAAAATTTGTGTCTTTTTGTGTGTTTTTCTGTGTAGCTGTGTGGAGTATCGCTATTTACTATTGAGAGCAATCAAGAATTATTATTATTTTGTTACGCTGGTTGCTGCTGCTTAAGTAATTATTTGATAAATATCGTGTGGGGGCGGGAGTGAGGGGGAAGAGAGAAATTCGGCTACGGATGTAGCGAAAAGCTGAGAAATTTCTTTTTTCTGAGTGATAGTAACACTGCGAACAAATTGGGCTGCTGTGCACTGGACTGACATTTTCAGAGAGAAAACAAGAGGGGAAAAGTTAAGAAAATATGTCTCACAGCTTTCAATCTCAATAGTACAAAGCTGCCTGTCCATCGGGAAGTAGCGCAGATCCATTGGACACGAAGCAGTAACAGTCAATCTGAACAGAGAAAAATGGTACAGGCTAAACTCTTGCCACGTGTTATTACGTAAGTTTCACCACTGACCTAATAGATCTCAGGACATCGCCATCTTGAGAAATTCGTAAAAATTCGTTCGACGTCGTCGCCGTGTGGAAGTAGGATTTCTTTTCGTTTACAAAGAATGTATCTGGGACCCAAAGTGTTTTCAGGAATTCTGTCCCCACCTGAAATTTTTCAATTATTTGCACTACTTCCCCATGAAATGACCTCCCTGAAAAAAATGAGACTTGTTTTATTACAGAAAGTGTATTGACTCCGGGTGGTCCTTTAAATTTCAGCCTTGGATCTTTCCAAGTTTGACGAAAGTAAAAGTCGACCGTGAAGTCCTGTAGGGAGCACGGGGCACACAATTCATGTTAGTTTCCACCCCATCAAATTAATACCAAACTAACAACAGCAGCATTCTAAACATCATCAGATATAGATCTACTACCACTAATAAGAAATAGCAGAAGAAGAAGAAGTATATATAAAAGAGAGACGTCTGTTTTCAGAAAGAGACAGTACAGACAAGATAACAAATCATAAAATAGAACAAGAAGAAGAGTCGATCACGAACAAAAACAGTAAACAAAGACAATAAAGCAGAACGTATTTATTGCTCAAGATTAATTTGTACTTCAGCGAGTATAAGTAGTAGATAAGTAGTATTTATTAAGTAAGTAATAGATAGCGCGTCTTGACTCAAATAATATATTTATTTAGTAGCGAAAGAAGAAGAGAAAGCAAGAGAGAAAGAAAGACGGATGTTACGTGTTACGGAAAGAGAAAGTTAAATAGTTTTTTGTACACAGAGAAAGAGAGAAAGCGGTGAGGAGACAGATTTCGTTATTGGACAGAGAAAGAGAAGGAGAAAGAGAAAGAGAAGAAGAAGAAGAAAGATAGAGATGGATAGCTACGTCAGTGGCCGCGGAAGCTGTGGGGACATTAACATTGTACGACGGGTTTATATAAGGTGGGCAGATGATGCCGACATCGAACACCCGTGGGGACATTATCCCCCTGTCCGCTTCCGCGGCCACTGCTTTCTACATAAGTACGTAACTACATACGCGTGGTGGAGACGAGTCTTGTAGAGCACATAGTTTTAAGAATAGTACAGAGAGAGAGATGATGTAATGCTATTATGCGACAGAGAGGAGAGAGAGAGAGATGAGTCGTGTAGATAGTACGACTCACAGGAGAAAATGTGAGAAAGAAGGAGGATCGATTAGAGAGAAAAATGTATAAAACATGCAAAGAAAGTTTCATTGTCTATCTCGAGCGATGCGGGAAATGTGGGATTAATAAGAGGGGGAGTATCCTATAAAAAAGGGGAGCCTGCCTCTCCTTTTTTCCAGCAATATTTCTTCCTCAACGACATCATACATGAACATGTGTGTATTTATATGCATCATGGGAAAAAGGATGGTGTTTTAAGTCGTATTTTTTAAAAAAAAGTTTGCGGATGCGGGATCCACCAGTTTTTTCTGAGTGTCAGTTGCAGCAGTGATGGTATGCATAGTAATGTGGCGTCTTTCTCGACGCCAGATACACAGGTGGTGGTGGTGGGTGGTGGTAATTCTTTCTGCTTGCTGCGGGTACTTAATAATAAACTGCGGCAACCTTACTGCGGTAAATATGATATTTACACCACGAGCCAACCACTCACTCATTCTGCGGATGATTTGGTGAATGATCAATAAAATAAAAACGGCGAAGAGAGGAAATGAATGAAATAATGACACAAATGGAGGTGAACAGGGCAACTCCTGCAGAATACGGTAATGCATGAAATTACATGAAAGGTTGGAGGAGGAGGAGGCGGAGGTGGAGGCGGTGGGGTAAACGAGATGCAAAAAGGTAGTGAAATATGTATGGATCATGATGTTCAGATATTCAACTCGGTCGTCGAGGCTGAGTCATGTACAACAAAATTAACGAGCTACACGGTACGCGGTATATATTTATGTACAGGGGCAGAGATATGTAGGTCTTCTTAGGAGTGTGTCCTCCCAGAGGACCGGTTAGCACATAATTAATTATGAAAAGCTTTGGTGGCCGAGCTTCCCCGCGGACTTTATGCGTCAAGAAGAAGGAGAAAGTGTGGTGGTCGTGGTCGTCGTGTCAGAGAAGAGAGAACGCAGTAGTTCCCCTCAGGTTAAAGACACGATGATGACGACGCAGTTTCAAAAATATGTAGACAAAGTTATGAAAGTGTGTCACGTGAGAGTCGAAACTCAATTCGGGACGGAGAAAAAGTATGGAAATGGTGGTGAGTGCGGTAACTTGTGTGGTAAATATGTATGTGGGAAGAAAAGTGGAAAAGATGTATTTTCTGCTGATCTGGAAAAGACAGATGAAAGAAGGAGCGAGTAGTCAGTTATTAGATTTGATCATGAAGCCCTGACTTTATCAGTACAAAGAGAACACTGCTATTTTCATCATATATGCGTTACTAGAACAAAGAGTGTTCGGTACCATTTCCACTTCGGACACGGAGCTGATGCTTAACACGTACATAGTTACCCCGACAACGACCGGCTCACCTGATCATACATATCAATCAACGGCTTAAATCCCATAATATTCAAAGTATTGAGAAAAAACAGGTACAATTTTACATCATCCCGGTTATCGATCGAAGAAGTTATCAGAAATTTCCCTTTTTTAAATAAATTTCATCACATACACACGTCCCCGATGAGGATTTGGAGGTCGCATCTCTACACAAAGTACATAAGTCGTCGTCCTAAACAATGGGGATAAGTGGGAAAGGATTTGGATTTCCCTGGCTGCTCTGGGTGTCGATAAGTCTCGTTTAGGAAGGAAAGTAGTTAGCTGGCTGCTTAATAATTGTGAGATTTCAAGCTTTTTATATACAGAAAGGAACAATTAATAACAAAGCTGTGATTATAAACAGGTCGTAATTTTAGAGAGAGAGAAAGTGAGAAATAGGAATAGAGAGAGAGAAAAAACTACTATTTACAAAATGATAACATACGCTCAACCAAAACACAAAAATCAGACTGGATCCACTACTTAAATGAATATTGCATAACTTGCAAGTAGATATTTTTATCGAGTCGATATCGCCAATAAAAAACGATAATTGTAAATCAAACGAATTAGTATATAAAACTGATCTGAGAGCTCTAATGGTAGTAGAAAAAGGAAAAAGTTGAGTAAAACCAAAAAACTAGTGGCATGCAAGATATAAGATTTATGAATATCACGTGTGTATATGTATATATAATTGGGTACCATTTGAACTTCAGACAGGGAGCTGATGGATAACACGTACATAGTAACCCCGACGACAACCGGCTCACCTGACATAAGCAGCAACCGTGTTACATAAACCTCACAATGCAAAATCATCATTATTTTATCCCCTCTTAAAGAAAAAGGGGAGAAGAGAAATCTGGAAAAGACTGATTTCTTTTTGGCACGTAGAAAATTCTTCACAGAGAAATTATTGGCAACCCATCCATTCCAGTCGGTCGGCGGGGAGAGATGGGAAAAAGTAAGAGTGACGAAGAATTGGATTTGACTGGACGGGTTTGCCGAGAGAATTTTAAGTGCACCACTCTGGGGACGGCTTGAATATATATTTTTATATACATGAAGAGGGAAAAGATGACGCAATTTTATGACGACTATAGAATGAAATATTATACATATCGACAGTTTTATGATTATCAAAAGGCATAAAGAATTTCGTGATGATCAGAGTGAGGTGGGACTGGATAAGCGGAGATAAGAGGATTTGAGATAACTTTTATCCTTCACTCTCGAATACGAATGTGGGAAGAGGAGAGTGACGGATTCTCCAGGAGTAGAGGATGGATTAGATTGTTGGTGAAAGTCCAACCAATAACTAGGCTCGACTCCGACTTGGCAGCATACTTATCATCGACATAGGAACGACGACGACATTTCTCGCGGAGTAGAATGAGACGAGGTAAGAAGAATACGAGGAGGAGAGGAAGAAAGAGGAGGAAAAAAGTGGTGAGAAAAAGATACCTCCGTAATTTGGCCGAACACGTTTATCATATCCTTCTCGAATAGAGTTGAGGATTTCGGATACTTTTGTGCCCAGAGTTCCTGGAAGTTCCCCGGTTCCCCGTGTGTTTCTGGAAAAAAGGACAAAAATAAACCGTTAATTCACGAAAAAATGGATATCTAGTCGTAGTTCTAATTGGAATAAAGTTCACTCCCAATCCTTCATTATACATACTGAAACGGATGAAATGCTAAATTAGTCGCCGAGTTGAATATCTAAAAGTGAGGATAAAAATTCATGATCCATTCTCCACATTTGGTTCCCCCCTATAAAAAAGAGAGAGAAAGCAAGCACAATGGCTCTCTCGACTCTGGTGCGTAGTCCAATTACACTCGTACAATGGGGAGGAAAAGAATGAATGAGAAATCAGATAAGTTTCTTCTTCTTTGACCCAAAAGTAAATTGACTTTGTGGTTTGGTTTGGTTAGCGTTTACATACACGTTGAATGTATTTAGGTGTGTGTGTCTGGTGGGGAGAGAGATTTTGACAAATCAGAGACCAAACTTTGCCCACAGATTCATTGAGTACATACACATCCCCAAAAGTAAGTAGCAGTATCACGAAATGAGAGTAAACTATCCATTCTATCCAACCAACTTTCCCCTCGCGCAGTTCACCATTGATTTTCCCACTAACTGTATAAAGTGTGGATTTTACGTATCTAAGGACGGACGAACGCTGGCAGAATACGTGAAACCAACCAGTTGACTGGAAGGAGAAAGCGGATGAGAGAACAACGTGCTGATTTCAACCTCCCATTGTGCCCGAAACCTGCTCAGTGAAAATGAAATGATGCAACTTTTTATCCTCGAGCCTTTTCCTTCTTCGATGCCGTGTTGTAGACGAAAAAAGACTTTCTCTCACCACAACATCTGCTCCGCTTTCTCCTTCCTCTCTCTCCGCCATCAACACCCTCCTCCCAATTTTGGACGGATGGATGGGTGAAGAAACTTTCGAGGTGAGAAGAGAAATACTACTATGACTTGTTCTGCTGGAATCATCATCATCATCATTAGAATGGCTTCCACTACACACATTTTTGCCGTGTTATTGCCCAAGCCAAAATCTCATTGGGAGAAAAGTGAGTAGTGGTGCGGAGAAAGTTGCAAGTTTGAACTGCTGCCAATCCTTTCACCCAAGTATGAATACAGGAATTTGGTGGTACAGACATGTATGTATCCAATCCTATAATCTGCCACCACCATCATCACGGTCTCGTCGGGCTTTGCTCTCCACCACCACCACCACCACCACTTTTATATATTTGGACCAGTATGTACGTACACAAGTTAGTTTGGCATGCACACATTTTTTACTACATAGCTTTCACTCTCCACAGCCTCCGACCGTGGTGGTGGTGGATAGATATGTAGGTTAGGTGGGTAGGTAGGTTGGTTGGCCTGTAGGTATACGTGGGTAGGAGGAGGATGAGGGAACAATGGGCGAAATGGCCCGATCTCATCTTTTGAATCTGCTTCGTCCACTATCCTCCTCCTCCTATCTCACTCGCCACTGATTTACCTTTCCCCTCCAGCTATACCTTTGCACCCTGCGAGACGATCAATATCTCTCCGTTGCCCTTTAAATAACCTCATTGGTCACAAGTTTCGTCTCATCTCGTCCAATTTATCTCGTCGTCTTCTGCTTCTCCTTCTCTACTTTATTCTTTTATCCCGTTATCAGCTTTGTTTACAAGCTTCACTTGATCTCTCTCTCTTGCCGAACCTCAAGTTGACATCTAGTCCAATCCACGTCTCCCTCCCACCCACTCACCCACGTCAACTTGGCCACTTCATCCCCAGAATTATGTAGACAAAGGGATAAAAAAAGAGTGGCGGAAAGTGGGCGACGTGGCGTGGCGTGTTCAAAGTGGATGCGACACACATAATAAATGGCAAGCGATGTATGTATCCACATCCTTTTCGAGTGGGAGGTCATCATCACACGAGGCACAAATAAATACGAGATGACAACACAGAAGAGAGACAAAGATGAGAGAGAGAAAGAAAGATTGGGATACAAAGTACGACGGGAACGGGACTTGCATCGCATGTATCATGCATGCTTTCTCCACTCTTTTTATTTAAACGAGTTGCTGAGCAGGTCGTAAATAAATACTTGTATCGCGTGTCGAACCAGGGGCTGCATGTCGTGACAAGAGTTTACGACGACACGACGAGTACGTACGTACATAGACGACATGTCAGTGGACACAATTGGTGAACTGGTCTGGTAGTGATGATGATGATGATACATGATGGGAACTACAAAAACGAAATTATATTTACATATGTACGAACGAATGATATGGGAGCAGACGACCTGGAGAGCGTAAATAGGACTTTCACAACCTCTAAAACCAACCATTACTTAGTTAGTCAGTCAGTCATGCTTGGTTGTCGGCATTTTTTTTATGGGGCTGTCAATCCCCAGCCATATTTACTTCATTACACGCCATATCTGTGCATACCCGAGGATTAAGACCGTGGCGGTGGTGGTGGTGTATATGCTGACGGAAAAATATCTGTGTAGAGGAGAAATGAGTTCAATTTGAGAAAACTATACGGTCCGTAAAAGTAATAATAATAATAATGTTACTCCTGCTGCGTTTCATTTTTCCATTTTTTTCCTTCTTTTCTTTTGGAGGGAAAGCAGTGAGGAAATCGAGTAAGATATATACGCAGAAGAGTTGAGTTGTTATTTATTTATTTAATAATCGACGACCGACTGGGTTAAATAAATAAATAAACGTGAACCCCATTCCTCAGATGCATGTCTCAATATTATATTTTCTCTCCACTACTACTGCCATTTCCTCCCTTTTCCGAACAAATAACCGTTGTTTGTACGAAATATTTCAATCTCTTTCTTCGTCTTTACTCTCAATATAGTCATTTTCCTATAAAAAATCCACTCTGCTGGAGCAAAATTCCTACGCGAGGCATAACAAAGGGTAGGGATTTGATTTTGGCATGTAGTCAAATATTTATTTATCTTTGCATTGAAATGCAATTTTATTTAAGTGGGTTAAACCTGATTGGATTCCGGGCTCGTTTAAGGCTTACTCTTTTTCCAAGTTGGGATAAAAAGATAGCGACATTTTTTGGATGAGTTTCATCTCTTTTTTTATATACGAAAAGAAGCCTGCATATTTTTAAAGGTATCCATTTTTTAGGGGGTTATGAAGAAGGGTCGTTTGAGACCCTGTAAGGATCCTTTTTAACATGGTACACACGCTGCGCACTTCTTTGGTTACTGGCTTCCCTTCCCTCATATTGATTTTCCCAGCTTGACACACTCTTCCCATGTATGTGTTTGTGCCTTGAGTAACGCCATCCTCGTAACAGCAGCAGCAGAAATTCCTCCACTTTCCCTTCAAAGAAAACCAGTCCATACTGGATCGTATTTTGCACTATTCATACTTTCACCACCACACAAACAATCCTCGTCTGTCTGACTCGCGATACGTGACCTATGCTCCCCCAATTTTCATTATTTTCTTCTCTCCCCCTGCTTGCTTTATGTTTTCCGGAATGAAATGAAAACACCTGTCTCGGAATGGAATGCAAACACTGCATGCTTTCACCTATGTACCTTGGTCTGCAGTGCCTGTAAATATATTCCGACCATGATGTTGGGTCGTGCAACAGTAAAAGAAAATCATCCAGAGGACTTTGTCGATAATGAACAATTAGTCATTTGCCCTCGTGTGCACGACTTAAAGTTTGATACTATCATGCCACCACTAGATTCGGGTACGAGGCTAATCATACTTTTTTCCAAATAATCTAATGAGTCTCTCTCTCTCCGTGCAGGGTAATTTCTCTGCACCCATATTTTTATTACACCCCACTTTCGGGGCTAGTTGACACGAACAGGTATAATTTCAGGTATATGCAACCATGTATGCATGCCTGCTCGATCCAATCCTTCCTCCATTAGTCGGCAAAGTGCGTGCATATCAGAATTGGTTGATTGAACTCGACTTTTATCTAGTGACAGATCTCGCGATAATATTGTAATTAATATTTGTCATTTATTGCGCGAGGAAAGTTTTTACGTGAATTTATCGTTACTTTACTTTACTTACACAGGTGGGTACATGGCTGGCAGGCCTTGCATTTTGTGTATGAAATGAATGCCAAAACGACACAATGGAGAAGAAATAACTGGATAAAGAAAGGAAGAAAGAAGCACAAAAGTATGTCAAGGTGGGTGAAGAAATAAATAAAGTGGTGTATGAACATATGAACGAATGTATGTACATTGCATGCCTGCATGGTCTCCCCCTTCATCCATTTATTATCCGAGAAGAAGAAATCCATAAAGTGAATGGAGGTATATATTTATGAATAGTGGGAGTGGTGCTGGTGGTGGTGCTGGTTGTGTAATAAAGTAACGAGCTAACTAACAGGTACCAGAAGAGCAAATATGTACTAATCCTATTGCTACCCGACATATTTATTTTATCAGCGCTGCTGATGAAGGCCTCGAATGTGAATCTAAACTTCTTTTCTCAACTTTCCCTCTCTCCGTTTTTCCTAATAAATCGGTGTGAACAATAAAAACCAGGCAATGTTTATTCCCTCGACGACATTATGTTGGAGGAAATGGGCTACAAGATTTATAACTGTTTGCCTTTTTTGTTTCAAAATTTAAAGAGTGATGTATTATGCAAATGGTTTGCTCCTTATTGCTTTATGACATGGAAATTGAACCTTTAAAAAGACTTACATGGCATTGGCTGTAAATTTGAGCAGAAGGACGAAGGACAACGTTGCGTAGACCCAAAGAACCATTCTCCTTGCTGGTGCAAGAAGAAGTGCGCGACGTGGTCCAAATGGGGGGTGATCACACGAAGACGAAGAAGAGACGACGATGAAGATGAAGACTAATTATTATTTTTTTCCTGTCTTCTTGTTTCTTTTTGTCACAAGAACGGATGATAATTACGACGACAACGAGGAGAACGACGACGGTGAAGGAGGACAAGATGCGCGGTGGCGACGACGGCTTTGTTGTTCTCGGTACTTTCAACTCTGGAGAAGAACTGGAGATGATCCGGATGATGAGATAATAACGCTTTTGGAAGTGTGAAAAGTGACGACGACATTTAAAAGTCGACTAATTTTTATGCTCGGAAGCAAGTGAGCTCTAAAACAATTAGCAGTCTCTTTTTCCATAATTTTTTAGGATGTAATAATCCTCTCTCCATCCGACCAACCCACCCACTCGGCGTGTACGTATCTAAGTAAGTAGTAGCAGGAGGAGGAGAATAACTTTTACTTGTGAACTGTGGGATCACTACGAAGGAACAAAGAACAATTCAGCGACGCAGACGACATTATACTTTCTCTCATCCAGTCTACTACACTATAATAAAGCCTGCTTGGGTTGATATCCACTCAGAAAGTTACAGATTACGTAAGAGGGTTCATATACAATGTCTAATTGTCCCGTGAAGGACACCGCAAGGAGAAGACGCGAGTTCTCTGGTCTCAATATTTGTATATAATTCGACAACGAGGTGGGACGCGAATTTCTGTTTGTTCTTCTATTTTCTCAAGAAACAATCATTTTCACTTGGTGAGTGAGTAAGAGATGCTGCTGCGGTTGTGTATATTTCATCATTTCCAGCATCATCATCATCTCGGGGTCACCTTGGACTTTGAAGTTATAGAATTTGCATCACCTGAAAGAGAGAAATTTACACTTTTATTTAAAAATTTTCCAGTTTACCAATCTTTTTTTTAATTGGAATGCAAATTAGACAGAGGCTGATACATGTGCATGGATCAATTATACGGAGAAAATATAGGTATATCTACATATCGTGGGGAATATGTCACTACTTTACGACCACCCGACCAGACCAGACGAGGTGAGGTGAGGGCGAAGACTGAAATAATAAAAACAACACGACGACATTATACGAACCAACTTTTTTTCTGTGTCCCACTCACAAAACTCTCTCTTGAACAATTCCAAGAACACCACCACCACCACCGACGGAAAAGAGAAAGAGAAGCCAAGATCCCAGGCGACACTGCTATTTACGTACGTACGTACTACGACGGTAGGAATACATTCATGGTCGTTCTAAGAAAAGCGGATCCAACTTTCTCCGTCTTTCTCTCTTTCTCGTAGATTTCTGCCTCTGCGAATCCCCACCTGTGCACAACACAATACAACTTTTGCTCTGCTACTGCTTCCTCTCCTCGAAATGAAATATAAATGCAGCAGCCTCGGTAAATAATACTAATCTCGTGTGGTGGTAGGTAAGAGAGAGGAGGTTCTTGTGTTGTTGGTTGTATAGCAGGCGACCAATATATTTAGTTAGGTTCACTCTTTTTTTTATTAGTTGAGTACTACAAATGACCTTTTCACTTCCTATTTTCCAGCCTGGAATTATTTCCAGGCCAGTTAGACGAACGTATTTAGGTATATGAGAACTCGACACATGGAAAGGTGGACGTCCGTTTAAAATCCATGTGCCTTGTTCTATCATCACACTCTTCATCACTATTGCAAACACAATCATGTCAAGGAAAGTGGGAAAGTCACTCCGGGCGGTGTGAGGTGGATTAAACTGGATAAAACTGGATAGAACTGGATGGAGGATGAAAGTGTCGAATTTCTTGAAAGGATTGGAAATAAATGGGTTGGTCAAAGGGGCAGAATTCTTGATTTTTGAAGAAGTAATGGACCTGCTTATTTTATTGAAGCTGTTATTGAAGCTGTTTTTGGAAAACTTTCTAAAATTTCGTAACCTGGCGTGATTTTTGTTGTATAAACAGTAGCCGACTTTCTCTGACAGGTTAGGTGCTACTGCATTCATTAATAAAATCAATGGTGGTGTTGGCGTACCGAGTGACGAGGGGACACCACCACTCTCCCCGTTAACAAATACTGATAAATTGTGCAACAAAATGATCCAAATGAACCGTATTTACTGCATGCACACACGTACCTACCGAAAGAAAGGAGTGGACCTATCCCCAAACAAATTTGTGTACACACACACAAGTCCAAGTCCAGCAATTTATTTACCTGCACCAACCAACGTTCGTGTCTCCCGTGTGGAAAATGAAAGGCAAAAGTTAACCTATAACATCACACTCCTCAACTCCTGCACACCTCGATTTCCACCCGAGAAAGAAACAAGTAGCCCCGTCGAAACCGTGTCACTCGCGATTTACTGATTCGCCTTGTGTATAGGGAATCATTGAATAATTCAGTGTTTGATGTCACCCCGAAATTAGGTTAGCTGGACGGGGAAGAATTACTTCTTCGCTCTCTATCTTCTTTTTTTCTCTCCTCGCTAATACAACGACGCTACTTACGTGATGGGGGAACAGATAAAAAAAATCCAAACTACATCCATAGATTGATATTATACAAGCCTTGCTTTAAATTCTGCTGGTTTTTGCTACCAACCAACCCAGCAGGAAGGAAGGAAGAAGAAAGTACACTGATATTCCATCAACTGCTGCTGCTGGCGGGTGGTGTGGTGGTGCCCTCATTTCCTTGGCCTTCTCTCTCCCTGTGGATCTTCAAATTGATGGTAAAATGGGATAGCTGACTTTAATTTTTAACCAATGCCAATCGGTCTCCTCGGACTGAATACATATTTCAAAGGTTGCCTACGGATGGAATCTACTTGTGTATGTATGCTTCATACTTTATATTTAAGTGAGTAAGTTCCTCGGGGTATGTATGGAGTTCTTCTGTACATATTGTGCCGGAGATATTGTTTTTATTACTATCTGGAAAAATGTCAATCAATTTCTTGTTGACAACGAGTAAACGATGACAGTTTCCATCTGCCGATGGAAAGTGCGGAGGAATGAAATTTCTCTTTGCTCTCTCCTCTCGTCGACTCGAGTCTCGCTGAATTGATTGATCCATCCGCCAACCTTTTGATACCTTTCATATTTCATTTGTTTAAAGCTGAATATTTAGCAGGGAGTTGAAGCCGAGTTATTTTTGGGATTGGAATAAAGGTCATTTGAGGGCTTGTAAGGCTCCTTTTTAACATCGTATACACGCTGCGCACTTCTTCGTCTTTCGTTACTTTCACTGGCTTCCCTTCCCTCATATTGATTTTCCCAGCTTGACACACTACTACTCTTCTCGCGGCCAACTAGAAACGCCATCCTTACAGAAATTCCACCACTTTTCTTCAGACTTTGGAGCATGCTGGATCGGATTTTGCACTCTTTTTTACTTACTTACTTTTGCCAAGCGAGACTATTTACTCAAACAACCCATTTTTCTAGGATGTCTCGCTCGTGATGGGATACGTGACCTATGTTCCTGAATTGTCATTACTTATTTCTCTCAGATGTACTTATTTATAGGCTTTGACAAGAATAGAATACGTAAAACACCTGTCTTGAAAACAAGTATTATTCTCTCGAGTTTTGACAGAATAAACAGCAGCCACGACAAACAAACTTGTCTCCCTTTCACTCACGATAACTTTGACAAATGGATGAGCAGAATTGAAAAAAGTGGGATCGGATTGACATTTATTTCACCTTTTATTTTCTTTTTCTTAGTCGTTCGTCCTCCTCCCAAATGGTCAAAAGTAAGTGGAAGAATTGGAAATTTTGCTGGTTCTAAATGGGTTCTAAATAATGCAGGACAAGACAGTCTCAAATTTATTTAATGGATTGGATCCTCTTGGTTTGAATCCCTTTAGCGGATTACTTTCGTCTTCTTCTTCCTCGGTCTCATTTTTATTTAGTTCGCCAACTCTAACGGACAAATGCATGGAAATAATGGTGTAGAAACCAACTGCTCTCCCTCCAAACTTGCCTCGCTCGACCAATAATAATAATACGGAACTACTTATTTACTACCTACGATTAGTTTCGACTTTGTTTCCCAGCTAATTTTCTGCAGAGAAAAACATCTGTCCTCTTCTTCTGGGTATGCATGTTTAATCAATTCTGTCCCAATGTGTAACGTCGTCCCATCTGACTCTGACTGGATTTGGAAAAATTTCAAAAGTAGAAGAAAATAGGATTTACTTACTATTTCGGTTAACACATTTTTTCCGATTTGAGCACAAGAATCAGACCCGGAGGAAGTAAATAAATTGTCACAAACTTAAATAACACACTTAATTAAATGTAGCTTTACTTATTAAATATAATAATTTCACTATTTAAAAAATTTCACTCTATTTTACCAAGTAATTCTTTTTCTTTTTTCAATCAAGTAGTGAGTGAGCTGTATCGATAAATAAATAGTTTTACTTGTGGTCTCGCAGTATTTTTTGTTCTTCTTCTTTTTCTCACTGGTGAAAGTTGTCAGTCATTGTTTTCTTTTTTTTCGTGTGTGTGTGTGTAGCTGGTGAGTGAGTGAGTGAGGAAAAGATTGCTAGTTGAGAAAGTACGTAAGTAAGTGGTCGGTAGTGGTTTGGTTGGTTGGTTGGATCGTGGTCGTCGTACTTTCTCCTTCCGTCGCTCGCACTGGTCTGAGGAGGGAGCGCATTATCTGCAATCGCCAAGAAGAAAGTGAGATTGTACATATTATTATATTGCATACGAAGAACGAGAACATACATAGGCGGCACATTGCTCAGATTTTGCACTGCTGCTGCAAAGGAACCTCTGCTGATTGGGTCAGATTCCACTTGCGCACTTGCACTTGCGTCACTCATCTCATACATGTTTTCACTCCGCTTTCACCCAGCCAAGCCAGCGAGTAGGTATGTGTATATAGTCCACTCGCATTGCATCCCAGTCGTGCTGCTGGCTGCCAACCCCAAAAAAGCCGAGAAGATTAAGTATATAGACACAGACACAACATACACACATGGCTCAAAGGGTTGGGTAATATTAATGCAAAACTTTCTCTCTCTCCTGCTCATCTCGGCTTTATCCGTTGTGTTATTGCTTTCTCCTGTCTCTCGATATCACTTTATTTGGTTGGAGCAGATTGATCAGCAACAATGGATGGATCCGCTGGCTGGTTGGTTAAAAAGTGTGTTGACATTTCACCCCGTCGTCTTTTGTTCTGGGCTAATTGTGCAGGGAGAATCGAATCGAGTTGGGGACATTGTTCGAAAAACGACATGCACATTAGGTCGGATTAGGAGGAAATAATGGTGGGGATAAATGCTTAAAGTGGAACATTCTCTCTCTTTGTTTCTATGAAATGATACGATGATGATGATGCTGCTGGAAAATTGGGTTGAGAGAAAGCAACAACAAACGAGAGAAAGCATGCCACACGGCCTCTGCGAGATCCAACTTTCTCTCCCGGATCAGACCAAGTTAAGCTTTCCTTCTTCCCAAGATCTTGTCAGAGGGGTGTAGATGGCTCACACTGGTCTGGCCGGGATGCACGAGTCGTTCAACTCGTAGCGAAATTTCAGGTTATTCTTGTAAGTATGTGGTCCATCCATGCATAGATTTATTGTTCTTTGTGCATAAGCCCATATCAGATTAACTTATCAGGTTGTCACGTAGAGGGAGAGATTTATGGCTACCCTCCTCGGCTTGAATGAATATCAATGAAGAGAGCGAAATGAATTAGAGAGCTTATCTTCAAAGAAGAAGAAGTAGAAACATTATTTATTGAACTGGAAATAAATATAATTTCGCTTGAAAGTTTAACCAACCACTCGGCAGCATTTTGTGGTTACTGGTGACGTCTCTTTTTTTGAGGAGAGATCACGTAAAGCAGAGAGAGGCCTCAATCAATCATGGCATGTGTCTCTGGAAGAATACGAGAAGTTGAGTTTCCTGTCTGCTGGGATAGGTCGGCGATGCTGGTGGGTAAATAAGCCTACCTTAACTAAATCATAATTGCAGATTGGACGTAAAATGTGTTTCAATCTTTTCGACTGGTGAGTAATTGTGGACGGAACAGATTTTGTGAAATTTTGACCATTTGATGAGAAGCAGATAAGGAATAATTATTCGTTTAACTACTCAAAATTATTGACGGCTTGATTTTTCAAATGTAAGTCAAATTTGTGAGGCAGATTGTTTGAATGAAATGTAAATTAATAAATATAATCGGTTTCTAAATTTGGCAGTGACGATGAGGTAGTGAATTTTGATTGCATAATTTATCCGCGAAAACTTTTTTCCTGTACAATATTACGTTTTCGAAAGGATTTTCCAGATTCGGGTCTCAGTAAAACAGTAGAACATGCCGAATTTCAAGTGTAGAATAAATTTACATGTGGAAAATACACGGTGTTTTGTTTGTTGGGTAGACTTGCGCTGCTGCTGGTGGTGCTGCTAATACAAATCAATTGAACCAATATTGAAGGGTCGGACGAGGCAGGGCAGCAGTATGTTACGTTACATACTTCCGTCGCAATAATCCCGGTTCGAGGAACCTTATATTCTCTGAAAACCCTGCAGGCTCTGGGCTTAATGGCACGAATTCGTCCATCCAACACTGCACAAAGTAAATGAGTTTAGTATTTTAATTTACATATTAAAAGCCACTTCTTCCTCTGGGTTTCTTAGCTTAATTGATACTACATTCAGTGTTCCGCATTAATTCGCAATTTGTTCCGAGATAATTGCAAATTTCCTGAGCAATGTATCTACTATTTAGATAGACAGCAATAATAATTGTTCCGTCCCCATAAACACGCTTACATAGGCAAAGAACGGGGTATCAATTTCCACGAGGCAAGATGAGACTGCATGGACCTACCTCATACGTTGAAGGACACAAAAATACATAATTTTTGTACATCATTCTCCCCTTTAAAATGACCTGGCTGCTTTATGGAGAGGAGCCTTTATTGCCTCCCTGCTACCTACCTACCAGACTGCGCATTCATTCGAGGAGATTTACTAAAGCCGAGGGAACCAAGTCTTCAAGGGAAAGATTTATTTTCATTCCAACCGAACACAACTTTCAGAGAGAAAGACTTTCGCAGAGAACGTATCCTCGTACACATAGCGTGAGAAATGCTGATCGTGTAAGTAAAGTAAAGGGAATTTCGCAGGGAAGATGAGATTCGTCCACGACCATACCACCAGCACGACTACCACTGCTACCACTACCACGACCATCACCACTTGCACACAGTTTTGTTACATATCAACAAATACGAGAGTTTTAGATGAGCCTTGGCAAGTTCCCGTTGCTTGCTTGCACATCTCTCTCCCGTTCTTCTCATCTCTGCTTCTTCGTCTTCTTGCCTTCTTGTGAAATTATCTTGCAGTTCTTCCTCCACCTTCGTCTCGACCAGGTCGTCTCTCTCCGCTCCTTTCTCCGCAAAATAATAACATCGCCGCCGAATTTGTAGGCATGACGCTGTTTTCCGTGATTGTGATCCCCCCGTTCGTGGGGCGTGAGTAGGGAAAAAGTGGGGCGAATGTCGGGGTGGTGATTTGGATTACATAACTTTTTTTCCCGAGAAGTGAATGGTGATTGAGGAATTCTTCCGTCTCATCATTCGTTACATTCCATTGTTGGAGTGTTTCTGTGAGCGTGTTTCTGGGTGACGAGAAGTGGAGGAGTTTTTTTACTTATTTGAAATACTTAGTTTAGTGGGATGTTTGTGGACGTAAATATTTATTTAATTGGATACGTGAAGGAGCAGGTGAAGTGACGAGCTGCATATTTATTTAGACAATACCGGTGGTCAGTCTCCGGTGGTTAAGAAGAAGAAACTGGAGGAAAAGGCGAGGATTTGAGACGAAGGAGAAGAAGCAACCGTGTGTGAAATCTCATTACTTACTTGATTTAGCTGCTACAGAATTCACTCGACTTTCACCACCGTTCGTGGCAGTAAGTTGGATCATGTCAATTATAAATTTTGCATGGAAAAAGTCAGGGTGTGATTCCGTAAAGGATGAGAAATGTGGTGAGAAGGAGAAGAGTAATCACTTTGATGGGATCGCACCTACGTATTTTTTGCATACCGCTATGTAGTTGGGTTTTATAGCGTAGCAATTTTTTTTAAATCGTGGCTCATTTTGCAGATGTAGGAAAATTGCTGTTTTTTTTTGGTCTCACTAATTTTTGCTGGGAAATTAACTCGAGCTGATTTTATGAGCATTGACAAGTTTAGTTGTACGCATCCTCCATTTTTTCTGTCGAGGTAGACTACTAATTGCCAGACCACAAAGTAAATAATGTTTGAGCATGTTTTACAAAGTTTGGAGACAAAAAGTAGAAACTTTTTTTTAGAAAAAACACAAACGGTTTTTTGTTTCATGATTGTTTCTTCGTATAATTGTTTTTCTATGTAAAATTAGTCGCAAGGATAACAAGCTACTACTTTACATAGTCCTGCTCGATATATGCATATATACAACAATTTAGACGAGGGCATGGTAAAAAACTCATTAAATACACATATTTTCATGCGATTGGAAATTTAAGACTTCTTTTTTCCAAATTGAGTAGAAAAAATCTCGATCGAGAGCAAGAAATCAATATGAAAATGAACTTGTAAACTGAAATATGTGGCAGGCCAGACACGTGTTTAAACATGCACGGTTAAAATTTAAAAACTTGACATGACGAAAAATGAAAAATAATACCACATTATTTTAATTATCATTATCCTTCCTCGCAAATAGAAACAGATACGCGCATAGGCATCCAATGCATGAAACTCCCTCCTCCAATTCCCAAGAAGTGAACAACAATTTAAAATAATGGTTGTTTGTTGACTTTTAGTTTGTTATTGAGCACAATTAGCAAGTTTTCCTTTCCGGGGTATCAACTTACTGTATGTACTAACGACTAAGAGAAAACGTGCCTTTTTTCTTATTTTTACAACAGACCATTAAAAAAAATCCTCTTTCTCCGCCTCGTCACCGTCCTCCTTCCTCCTCGTCGACACCATGTTCAAAGTGGAATCCTCCAGTGCTGCGACGAGCAGCAGCAGCTCGGGCCTGACCATCCCATCCAGCAATTTCGACTTTGAACTGAGCTTCTGTGACGATGGGACGACGGAAGATTTGTTCGACTCCTTCGCCACGTCTCCTTCCGCTATGGACTCCACTTCCGGGCTGGAATCCTCCACCGACAACAATAGTGCAGGGGGCGTGGTGCGAGGGATCAAAATCGAACCTAGCAGTGACGACGATCAGTCCGAAGTCATGTCGACGGAGGTTTCGCCAGCTCCTCCGCCACCCCCGCAGGACAACCTGGTCGTCGTGTCGTCCTCCTCCATCGGGCTGGACGGGAGTAACCCCTCCACCTCGAGCAGCAGCAATAATAAAATAATCATGGGGGGCAGCCTCATCTCCTCGACGCGACAGGGGGGAGAAGACTCGCCCAAAAATATGGACAAGAGTAGTGGCAACAAACTCAACGCCACGAGTTCGTCCGGGAGTATTAGTAATAATAATAATGCGATTGGAAATTCCGTTAAAAAAGGTAATTAATATTTTATCCTGATTAATACATTGAACACGCTGGTTTTATTGCATCTTTTACTTGATCCGCGTGGTCATCATGCTCATTACTTAATTACTTCAGATACATACATTTCCATCCGTTTCATGCCTAAATATTTGAGTAGCGTATGTACGTATGTATCTACATATTCGCGTGATACTGGAGTGAAATTGAATCAATGGGTTCAGACATTTCTTGACTAGAGAAGAAGGTCGTTATTGGAACTGGATACGTTTTGTTTGGTTCAATGACCACAGAGTTCCATGCACAGGACAGGATCAGAGAAGAAGAGTGCGTTTAATGATGAGCATAACATGGCACAACAACAACATACTAATAATAATAATAATAATAATATGTGTGTAATATGGAGGACAGGACATCGTCATACATAAACAGGGACTGAAGAGAAGTAGAGAGTGGAATTATTAGATAGAGAAGAGAAGAGACCCAAGTAATAAATACGTATGTAAATACACACACATTTAATATTCTCACTTAAGATATTTGAGCCTGCATAGTTAATAAATATGCAGAGCGAGGAAATTTGTTAATTTGCCCTTATTGCATCATAGTTTCAGACAGATAGGCAACTCTTGCTTTGGTTGTACTAAATGACACCGAGGGAGTGATAAGTTTCATGTCGGGATCAAAAAATCTGTTCAATTATGGACACCACCACCACCACGATGAATTTAGATATTTATTAGGATGCGATGAAATGAAGTGACATCCAATTTTAGTCTCCAGAAGCAGCAGCAGTAAAGTAACCTCTCGATCCATGCGGTGTGCAAGTGAAGCAGGATTCATTCATCGATGTGATAACGTTACTAATCTGGCTGATCGGATAAAATATGTGTAAAGAATTAGCTGGCCATATTTCCATGCATGCATTACATAGTTGTCTCATAAATGCCTCCGAATTTCTGGGTGCCTTGTGTCAACCCCTAGTTGGACAACGTGGTTTCTTGGCATCATGTCATTGTCACGCAATTATTCCTGCCAACAATGCGAGCTGTGATGATAACACAAGGGATAAAATAAGTAACGTTATCATCATTCTCACATAAATCGTAGAAGTGGCTGTAAATAGTGGCTGGATTGGATTAGGAAATAATCCAAGGAAAGGAAATACAAGATTAAAATATATATTGTACAGCTCACATCATGTTCAACAGATGATGATGACAACGGTCATTCAACCACATGCAGCATTAAGGTGAAATTGGATGACGACATTCCTAACACCCCTATTCAAGTTGGACTCGTCCCGCCCCATAAGCATGCATGTATAGTTTCAATTGTCATCATCTCCTTCATTTCTGCATCAAAATTAGTGAGGTGTGTTGCAATATGAGCTTAATTTATAGGTGAACAAACAAGTGTAGTTGAAATTTGCTAGAAATGAATTTGAGCTGAGATAAATCCTTTCTTAATTTATTAACCTAAGAAAGGATTTATCTCAGCTCAAATTCATTTCTAGCAAATTTCAACTACACTTGTTTGTTCACCTATAAATTAAGCTCATATTGCAACACACCTCACTAATTTTGATGCAGAAATGAAGGAGATGATGACAATTGAAATAGTTTTTATTAATTTTTGTCGAGATTGGGGTAAGCTGACCCTGCCAAGCCCACGGCGGATAAGTCATAATACGTGAGTTTTACTTCATCACGAGGAAGGGGCAGTTTATTGTCATGCCCAGGACTCATTCTAGTTTCTTTATTTCTAGCGTCACAAACAAGTCGATTTCAAATTTCAAATTTTTCAAATTTGACAGAGGTACACCTTCGTATCTGTGTCAAATTTGAACATTTTAAAATTTGAAATCGACTTGTTTGTGAAGCTGAAAATTACATTTTTAAAACATTAATCAAAATTAAAATTAATTCAAAAATGAATGAGTTGATTGCAATTTAATCTGTTTTTTTATCATTTTTTTCCCAAAAATGGGGCAAAATGGTACGCCACGAAGCGTGGTAAATGTGGTTGTCTTCGCTGTTTTTTCCCATCACAACCAAATCTTCATCATCAACTAATCAAGCTTATCACCGAGTTACTCTCCACAAGCTTATCATCTCTCTCCACCAGCTTACCGAGTGGCAAGCTGGTGGAGACACTAAAACCACAAACCGGTAAGAAAGTCTTATCTTGTCACGAAGCAGTGACCACGAACCACGACCCGACTTCCGTTCGTCAAAGAAGTTTTACTCTTTGTTCACATCTGGTAAAGAACATTTATAAATTTCAAGTCAGGAATTTAATAATATTTGAATTACTATATAAGATTGAAGTGTGACGATGGCCGTCCCTGCAAAATTCCTGGTAACCCAGCTCTCTGATGAGAACTATAATTCTTATTTGTGCGAGAAAATTCAAGAAAAATGGGACATTTTAGAGGTGGGTCATCATATTCATCAAGAAGTCATCAAGAAATTTTTAACGAATATTCGTTTGATAAACCGGTGGAGAGTAGCTTGGTTGATAAACAGATAAGCACGAGAAACTCAGGATTTTTTGAATTTCGCGGTGGAAGGGTCCACTTTTTGTAGGGGTGTGGGGCATTGTGTTACATGAACAGTTTAACATTGTGCAAAAGGCCCCTTAAACTGCTGCTGCTGAACTACTACCACACCAAACCACCACGATTGCTGACTACATTAAAGATATTGCATTAAAGATTGGCAACAACTGCAGAGGATTGCATAGAAGAAGAAAACTATGTAATACACCGTTCATAAAAGTTCTCTCGGTAGTAATAATACAGCCCATAAAAAATTCATTTAGCGGTGTTGATAAATTTACCGTTGGCAAAATGAATCCGAGAGGAAAACACTCTTTCTTTACAAATTTGCTTAATTGAGCATTAATTCCACTGTTGGAATCTCCTCATCGGATCTGATCTTGATTTCGTTGTAGAGAAACGATGATGATGATGATGATGAAGAAGGAGATTATTCTGGCGATGATAATGAATGCGGAACGGAGGAACGTTTTAGAAATAATATTGCACGGCGGCCAACTACTTGTTGGGGTGCGTATGGTGGGTTTTTCTTCTCTCATTTTTGGGGGTGTGGTGTCCACTCTGTGTCGAATTGGCCCAAGGTAAACAAAGTCTCAAGGTGTGTTATACATTTATGTGGATCTTATCATCGTCGTCGTCTCAGTTGGTGGTGGTGAAGGAGGAAGCTATAAAAGGGTCATTCAACCAGAGAGCTTAACATGTTGTGGCTGGGCTTGGCCTTGAAAATATCCCGTTAAAATGTTTCCACCACTTTTTGCTCCTCTGCTGTTGCACCGGTTCTCTCCTTTTTTGCTGACCATCATCATCATCAAGCAACATGATCCCCCGTTCCCACAACACAATAACAACAATTCTCGCTAAACTATTAACACAAACTGGGCAGAAAGGCATGTGTGTAAGTACATGTGGACATTATCCTACTCACTTTCTTCGTCTCCGTGGTTGAGAATAGGGAGAAAAAAAATTGGCAAAATTTCCACAACTGTACTTCTTATCGTTGGACAATTTTATTGTGTGTGCATATTAATGACGTGATTAAACCGGGTTAACATTAGCGTTCCCCATGTACGTACATATTTGTAGTCATGTTGTGGTTAACATTTGTAGAGATTTTATGAGAAGAAGAGAGAAAAAAAAACAATAAAGGAAAGTTTAGTTTTTTTGGAAAGGCTCACTTTTTTCTAGTGAAAAGTGGTAGTAAAACTGGTTGGAAGATGGAACGGATTATGTAAATGGATGGATGAATCCGGACCTGGATAATATTTATTTCCTCTTCTTTTTTAATAAGAAGAAGGGATAACGCGGTGGAAGAATGTTGTTGTTATTGAGGCCAAAAATCCATGCATGTATGGAAGACCCACCACTTTTAAGATATTCATTACTGCCTATAGTCCCTTGGGTCAAGGGACATTGTGAAGGTCGTCTGATCAGGATGTGGATGATGACGAAGGGACAATTTATACCGTTACATTTTTCTCCAGCAGAGATTCCTATAACATGAAAGGGTAGTGATTTGAACGCCTTTAAAACAGGACCCAATCTCTTCCGGGTTTCTCAATTTACTTGTTATTTCCTCGGCTCCAGAGTCCCTCAGACGTGGTGGTCTCTACTCCTTCTTCCTGATTATGAGGCATAACAACATAACAATGACATATGACTACGAGGCAGGATAAGAACGGGGGAGGATGAGAAGAAGAAGAAGTGGATTTTCCATGCTACCACCAATCCAATTTTCATTTCCATGATGAATATAACAATACACTTGAATACACCACGATAATGTTGAGAAAGGATGGAAAATATTGCAAACCGTGGTGCATGGACGGATAAGAAGAGAGCGAGTCTCGAATTGAGAAAAGAGATGTGAGATGAGATCATGGAAAAGGCAGTGTACGTACGTAAAAGGGATCGAAGAATGAGGACTCTACTACTTCTTCTTCTTCGTCTCAACCTGACTCACTTATACTCGAACGATCATCGTAGTTTCGTTAAGGAAACCATACATAGTTCGGTCGTCGACCTGCTCCTCAAGGTTCTGTTGATGTGAAATGTGAACTAGTAACTGGTACTGGTAGTAGGAAGGCAAGGACCAAAAGTTGAGCCAAAGAGAGAAGTATAAAGTCTGTGTTAAAAGTACTTGCACGATGAGATGTGAAGCTTGCCTTGTTTACTGCTGGAGTTTTTCGCCTCCTGGAAAGAAATATGTACGTAGAAGAACAACAGCTTATCTCCCTTCATACCGTTAACTGGTTGGTGGATGAAAAAGAATGAAAAAAATAGTAGGAAAATGATGACTCTTAAAGAAAAACAAAGCCGCATTGATGAACGGTCACATCTTATTATTATTGGCGGCAGCGGCGGCCTCCTCCAGTAAGAACTTCTCGTCGTCAAAGTTGTCGTCGTCACTTTGCTTACTTACTTCTGGGCCAGGCCAACGAACTCGGCAGCATGATACGTAAACATATCTCGTCGTATGTAGAAAGAAGGAGGAAGACGATGGAGAAGGAGATTCTTGTCATTATTCCTGGAAATATTTTACACACTGCAAAAAATTATTAATGCCATAATAATCCCTGGCTGGATTTTTGCATTTGCATGCGAACCCAGTTGTTGTGTGTAGTTGTAAAAAAGGAAGGAAGGAAGGAAATGAAGACTTCTCCCACTGTTTTTAAAAGCGACGCTATATGTACACACCTCTGTAATATTTGTCTTATCGACCGACGACGACGGGGACGACGGGGACGTGTGTCCGTGTCGGTGAATGTGGATGGGACATTTAATCTCTCGGAGAATCATATTAGTTTAATGTCAACAAATTTTAAATGGTCGTGTCACGCTGTTGGTTTATGAAATGAGATTTGATTTCCTCCCTTTCCTACCACCAATTTGTGCAACTTTTCCATGGACGGATTTCTTCCATCCAGTCAGACCAGAGCATAGGAGAGAGAGGTCGACATGTGTCGTGACCTTACTTTACAGAATTGTACACATGTACACGTACGTATGGTCGTATGTCCCAAGTATTTATAAGGAGGAGGCAGCAGACCTAGTGTCATTGTTCTAGTTGGATTTATATGAATTTATTTACAATGGATTGTCAACCTCCTCCTCCTAATTTAAAATTCTAGCAGATTGCGTATGTACAATTGGAGGGTGCAAACGCCTCTGTTCACCTTTTCTCCATTGCCCTTCTTGCTCCCATAAAATGAGGTACACGTCGGAAGTTGAGAGTGATGCGGTGATAAGGTTTTGATGATATACATACCTGAACAACATGACGATCCGAATGTTTATGATGTTGGTGATGCTTATCATCCTATTTTCATTCTCAGTTTCTATAATGTCAGAGATTTTCCAATTCCACTCCGGTCTGATCTATTCCAGCAGAATTATCATTTATTGCGAATAATAAGGAGGTATACGTAGGATTATTGAGATTGGCAGTTATTGATCAATTCTCCTCACACAGTGTGCGTACTTGACGAGAAGATTGAGTTGGATGGAAAAGAGGAATTTATAATTCACCAGCAACACCAACTTCTTAACTTATGGGGCCTGTATCCGTTTCAATTTCCATTTTTGCGAGTTTGGTGACCGACGAATGCAACCAACACTTCCTCCTTTGGAATCTATGTATGTATGCATATGAACGTATCTGATAACGTATGTACAACTCATGTCTATATCTATGCGCTTGGTTAAGTTTGGGCCATTAGTATCTATTTGTTAGTCGTTCTTGGTCGTCGTCGACGTCGTTTTCGTCGTTCCTTGTCGTCTTCGTCCATTTAATTTATGTGCATGCAAATCTATCTCCCATTACTTTCCTTTCTCTCTCTCTCTCTTTTCCCATACCTGACTTTTGCGTAATTGATTGCGATATAAATTGCATTAGTTGGCTCTTGTCTTCCACCACCACCAAACTAACGAACTAACTAGCTACATATATATAGCGAATAAGTAAGTGTATCGTATCGGACCAAGAAATGTCGCACAATGTGTAATAATTATTATCCTTATCGCCCTACACATATTTGCATGTAGTATGAATTGCATACTCGCCATTCATCGTACTCCAAGTATAGGAAAAGGTCAATGTCTGAAATGTCTTTTACTTAATGCTGAATATGAAGTTTTATGCAAATATGGACTGGCCAAACCTGAAATACATAGAGAATTAGTGAAATCCTTCTTCTTCTACTGCCCACTCATTCATTCATGCCCGGATTTATAATAAACACTCTCCGAAACCACCATCACCACCACCACCAACAAGCAAACCATAACCATGCATGCACCAGCACCAGCACGGATAAGGATAAGGGATAAGGAAGAAGACGAATAAGACAACTGATCACAAGTTGAGAGATGAGCATTGCATAATTCACTCTGCTACATAGCCAAATAGCAATTACTTGCTTACACACGTTGTTCCCTGAACGTCGTTCTTCTTCAGACTACTAAATACGACTCCTCCACAAGTTTATTAGCCTCCCTCGCCGGCGGATGAATAATTGAATTCATGCAAAATTTAAAATTATGTGTGCAACACACCTAGCTCACTTTATTTTACTTACACTCTTACTTACTCGTATGTACATATGGATTGCTTGGTATGCCCTGCAACCCAAGGAAACCACACCCACAAGGAGATCCTCACGCTTTACTTTCCCGTATGTCATGTAAATGAGTACATTTGTACGTATAGGTGTAGTTAGTTAGTGACTGAGTGTCACCCACCACGGACAACACCACCACCACTAAATTCGGCCATTATTATTCATGAATTGAACCAGTCCATGGTCCGACCACAGACTTATTATTATTCACTCCGCGCACCCCTCGTGTAACTGTTTCTAATTTAATTCAATTCATTCCGCGAGCTATAAATCATCAGAGATCTTCACTCTCTCACACAACAAGTAAGTGCAGTAATCTGCAATTCTGGGTAGGTATGTAATCACCATCTTCCGCATCATAGATTGGGAATCGCGTCGTCCTTGTTTAATCGTTCAAGTTTCCAGAGTTCCTTTAGCAGTGCAAAATTCTCACGGGTAGTTTGTTCCAAAAAATATATAGATAAACATGATGGACATTTAATTGAGTTGATAATTAAAATATTTGATGCCGCACATTCAGTGCCATTGTTTCGCTAAAAGCCTGCAATAAAACAACTATGCCTGTCCCAATTGCACTTTTGCATTAAAATTGCATCCACACCGTGTCAGTCAGTTTTCTCATGCATCATCTTCTTCTTCTTCTTCCGTTCCCATGAATGCATTGCATTCATTGTTTGATAAGTGCCACCACCACCACCACTACAACCACTACTAGCACTGATATGTACATACGTATGTACCTCTGTTACTTTACTACTACTACGGATTACCTGTGCAGTAAAAAAGCAAGAAATGCCTCGAATTCTTCTATCCGGATGTAGTCGTGGCGTCTCTTTGAAAGAAGAAGACGTTAGAACATAACAGTTGTTTCATTCCTATCCAACTAACCCCGTTATGTTGTTGCACGTTATCCTGTGAAATGAAATTATAGAGGTATGCATTGTGTTTTGCGGATGGAAATAGTGGTGGTAATTCTCTCCTCTGATGAATACGGGCATTTTTTTCGCGAATTTTTATCGCAACTCCATTTATTTTCCTATCTATGTACATACGATTTTTACTTTATTTCGCCAAGAGGGTTTTAAAAAAAGTTGATGAGGTTATGCAAAATTGCCAAAATTTAAGCGGTTCTGATTTTTACGCCATTTTTGTACCTTTTGATATAAATCCGGTAAAATTATATATGACACCGAGTAAGATGTCAGTTTAGTTTTATGTCCTCTTCTCACTTGTGATTTTCTCATCGTTTTCTTCTCAATATGGACAGATTTGCCATCATATTTTTACGCCTGCCTGGCACATTACGCGTTGTGCAGCTTTTATCTATCTCGACATGTCATGAAACCCATTATGATGGTCGTATATAAAAATTACAGCGTCTATTTATTTCTTGGCAAGAGATGCGATGAGAATCTTCTTCTTTTCCCATCATGATCGGTAAAAATGCAGGTGTCTATGTAACGTCTCGTCTATCAATTCTTCCTCCTCGTTACTTGTTAGTCCTGCCAAGTGCCATGAGCCAGCAGTGGTCTGCGAAAGGAGCATTGAACGAAGGAAAGAAAACCCCGTTTTTTACCAATTAATTATTTACCATGCCGTTTAAGCCCTGTAAAAGATGTTGTAATAGGAGAATAACTGACTGATTAAGGTAACCGAAAACAGGTTACTTATACACACACACATACACACATGTACACACACATTCTTCTTAGATGATGATGGTAGTAGTAAGTAATAGTACGTAGTACCGGCAGCATGCATGCAGATATGATGATGAGGCGACTAACTGTACACGACAACAATGCAACGCAATCAACTTTTTTATTTCCCTTTTCCTTTCTATTTTAAGTAACGTTTTTTTCTTAATTTTTTCAATTTCAGAAGGTGTATTTGCGGATTCGAATAATAAATCCTTTCATCCATGCCGGGTTTGTGGGGACAAGGCGTCCGGCTATCACTACGGGGTGACTTCGTGCGAGGGGTGTAAAGGCTTCTTTCGACGGAGTATTCAGAAACAGATTGAGTACAGGTAGCAGAAATTGGATGATGGGATTATACATATGGATTCAGCATATTTTATTTATTGTGCGCCATCCATATTTTATCTGGATTACATTTCCGTGTCTTTCTCTTAGATGTTTGAGGGACGGGAAATGTCTGGTGATTCGCCTAAATAGGAATCGATGTCAATATTGTCGATTCAAAAAGTGCCTCGCTGTCGGAATGTCGCGAGATTCGGTGCGTTATGGCCGTGTTCCGAAACGTTCTCGAGAAGTGATAACATCCGCGGAAGCCGACCAATCTTCCTTCGATGGGACGTCGCCCCATTCGGGATCACCTGGCTCGAATAGTGGATCTCCGCCCAGTACCACCACGGAATCCGCGTCCACTACGAATGGTGGCATTGTTGGGAGCACGGTCAATAATAGCACCGTCAATAATAACAATACGAGCCCCACATCGACAGTTGGTGTGTCTGAAAACAATAGCAGTAGCACTAATAGTGGGAAAGTCTCGTCCACATTAAGTCCATTAGCCAGTTTGGTAACCCAGACACATCTCACCCACTGCATTTATACTCAGGAGAAAGTACGCGATGTCACGCCGAGAAAGCTCACCCTCGTAAGTTAAATTGATGAGACGGGAGCATAGCAGTCGATACAATTTCTGAATGTTCTCGTCATGTGTGTCTTACAGGATTTGAAGGAGCACACGGAAACGATACGAGTTTCTCTCTTCTCCGCCCTGTCTCGAGAAATGCTTATATCCGTGCAGAGCGTGGTGGAATTCGCGAAGAGAATACCGGTAAAGACGCCACATTTTTTGCACATATGTACAAATGTCTCGCATGGTCGAAATGACCAATTTTATGGGGATGGGATTGCTTTTATGGTTCCAATCAAAATTAGTGGAAGTATCGATTTGTAGGATTAATAAATACTTGTTAAATTGTTATTCCAGGGGTTCACATCGCTGCCGCAGGATGATCAACTTATTTTGATAAAGACGGGATTTTTCGAAATCTGGGCGGTATACGTGGCCCCAATGACGACAAAGGATTCCGTCACGCTGTCCGATGGACTCACGTTGAATAGGAAGCATCTCGATATTGTGTATGAGGTCGGTTGCACAGAATACCAAAAAATATTCCAATATTTTATGCCACACATGACACGATTTTGACTATAAAATTATATTTCTTCCCCAGAATGAATTCACCATCTCGTTGTTTTCACTGTGGTCAAAAATCTCCAAGTGGACCGACTCGGACCTGGCACTCTTATCCGGAGCTTCTTTGCTCTCCCCGCAACGCCACCTTCTCACCAACCATTCCACCATCGTTTTGACCCATTCGCAAAATCAGATCCTCGACTCTCTCAACAAATCCGACCTTTCCCCCATTCTCAGCGATCTTCGAAGGATTGGAACAGCTCATGGCGAAATATTGGATTGGTTTCGACAACACTGGAACAAACTGGTGTGCGTGCCACCATTGTTCGCAGAGATATTCGACATTCCAAGATCCATCGAGGATGAAAATATGTACAACAGTAGTTAACAAATTTACATGTACAACCAGCAATTAATTCAAGTCTACCCCCATATAATACATACACACCATATTTATATTTACACGCGAAGATGATCTAGTACTCTTATCATGTAAAACGAGCATGTAGGACTGAGAGGAGAAGACAGATAAAAAATAAATCCAGGTATTCACTGCCGTTGTAAATGATATGTAGGTATGTAAGACATCAACGTCAATTTTTACCGTAAAAATAGAATGACAGGAATAAAAAAAGCAGAATAGTTCGGGGGAATTATGGTCTCCGTCGTTATACGACGCCTACTACTACCAGTACCACGCATATATTTTGTGCAGGAGATCACACCCCCGAATAAATATCACTACGAAACCCGATGTCCAATTAACGTGTAGGCTTGCTGGCCTTGAGCTTATGCCATTATCAATGTATCCATTACTACAAAATATTATAAAACTAATTGATATTTCTACAAACAATATTTCTAAATGTTTTACACTTATTATACACTTACATAATAATTAATGTCGTATTTTGATAGTTTTTTTTTCTCTCTCCTTTTCTCTCGGCATGTTGCAATTTATTTATTTATTTAGGTAACAAAGAAATATGTATCATGTAGGAGTTAGTTGACCTGACCTAGCAAATATCAAGTCCATCTACACATTGTTATGTGTGTGAGTTGTATAATTCTACGAAAAAATTGTGATGTTTATATCAATTCCATTATAAACTAGGATTATATTCCGGAAAATATTTCTTATTATTAAATATCGTGGTCGATATTATTATATAGATTTTTGTGTAAGGAGTTTATCGTCGCTCTTTTTTTATGAAGGATATCTTTTTGGCAAGTAAATATATCGTGTACTTACTTACACAGGAACCAGATTTACAGAACAAGTTCAATAATATTACCATCTTTTTTATGAGAGCAGAATTTATATTAAATCGTATACCCAGCATTATTTACAAAAATATTGATTGATTGTGTATTGTGTAACACAAGAAGAAAACTGGAAAATAATACTTTGTTTGAAGTGATACGTGAGGAAATGAGACAACGAGTTTTAATTAATTGTGATGGAGATTTATTGTAAAAAACAAGAGAGATCACATCTCTTGTGTGATGATTTGTCAAAAAATATGTACCTTCACTCTTGTTAAATATCAAAATACTTATCTAGAGGTTGGCTGTGTGCACTATTTAATTCGTATATCCTTGTACACTTAACACAGTAATTGTAGTACATCTAATCACTTAATTATTACCGAAACTCAAAGTTCAAAGGATTTATAATCACTGATGATGATTGCATGCTGCATTTTGATACGAATTTATGTAAGAGCATTACTTACGTGAGGATGCTATTTATTGTGTGAGCGGATATTATATTAAAGTCTGTTTGTTTCTAAAAGGTTAATATTTATTGTAAAATGTGGAGAAGAAGAAGTATAGTTTAAGGTTTATGTATGATGAATTTATGCATGTTGGAGTGTGAACTAGTTATGTAATCGTAGTAAAAAGTAGATATCTATATAGCCTCGTCATACATCCATACTTATTTTGTCGTTGTGTTAAATTAGTTGTCTCTCTCTGGGTGGGTGTGTACGAGTTGCATATTATTAGGTTAGTGACGAAATGATGATTATCAATCAATGAAGAAGCGCTGCATGTGGTGGTGATGATGACGATGACAAAAAGTCTGTGAATGTGTTTGCCAATGTTACAAAAATCCATACATATTGTTGTTATTGTTTCCTTACTAATTGAGTATACATTTTCTAAGTGTTTACACATTTTAGTAGTATAATAAATAATTAAGGAGAGAAAAAAAGTGTACGATGAGACGAGGAAAATGAGATATACATAAGTGTGTACGGATTATTAAAGATGTATGAAAACGTGCTCGTTCTGTGTTCTGTTCTTCTGGTGGCTTTTTTTGTCTCATTCTCACCTGACCTAGATATGTATTCAGACCAAGAATACGTAACAAGTATGAGTTTTAGTATGTACTTCTGTCCATTAAAATGATTTTCTCTTACGCACAACGAAACGTACTTGAGTTGGTTGGAGAGGCATTATTATAATATGAATCGTATGGTGTAAAATTTACACGGTGAATGTTCTGCTTCACGAAATGCATTAAGAGAACGAGTGAGTATTGGCTAATTAACTTTTGTTGGCATTGAATAATTTCTGACATCAGAGGCTGCAATTTATAGTATCAGACTACCAGATATCCCGCCATGCAACTAGGAATATCTGGATGGCGGAGGTTTTTTTGGAGTAGTAAAATCTACGTAATTAGTAAAATGTGCGATAAGGCTGAAAGTTTAAATTGAATGAAAGTTTTAACATGCGAAAGTGAGCGAAAGTGAAAACGGTTCATGAACAATTTTGTCTACCTGCCTGGGGAATTTTTTTACAGGTTGATGATAGTTATCGGTGAATGGTGCCATATTATATTACCTATTATGTAGTTTACTGGTCCAAAGGATGACCTCAGAGAATCGATATAAAACTACAACTTGCTTTACTTATTATGCATTCATCTCTTCGATCACTAAACTTTCGACTGATCTGATTTGATCTGGTCAACATCCATCAGTCAAACTACTCAGCCTGTGACATATTTTCGCTGGAAAATAATTATTTATTATTCATAAACAACTCTACGACGATAAAATACAATTTATATTCAAGCGTATGTATCGTCTTCTTGGAATTTTGTCAACTCGCGAAGAAAAGTAAATGAGAAAAATAAAATGGGTTGCATGCATGCAAATAACCAGTGGCCGCGGAAGCTTGAGGGGACAGAGGGACAATGTCCCCACGGTTGTTGGATGTCCACATCTTATATAAACCGGGCCCTCCCCTATCCTACAATATTAACGTCCCCACAGCTTCCGCGGCCACTGCATATATAAAAAACAATGCACTTGATTTCACATTCACCTCCACCTATAAAACTACACTCGTCGTTCTCCGTTCATTAATGAAAAGGACACGTGTTCACCGAGTGCTGCATAAATGATCTGGGAAATAAATTCATCCCACTTTACTGCAAATTCTACCAAACTTTTTGCATGCATTTGTTCAAAACGACGACTCTCCGCACCGACCAGTGACACAAATATAAATGCCGAAGAAAAAACCATCGTCATCCCCACCGAGTAAAGTACAGTACGAGAAGCCGAGGGTTCAAACAAGGATTTTGTTTCATTTCCTCTGCCAAAAAAACACGCACTCTGGATGAATCCACCTTGTTTAAATGTACTATACTCCACTTTTTAAATATGCTGCAGCTTCTCTTCTCTCTTTCTGTTAATGAGAGAGACCTTCACACGGTTGCATAATTTTAGCAAGAGCAAAGGTTACCATAAAGCGACACGCGAGCCAATACCCATGCAAAAAAGTAGGAGAGAATCTCATCTCACTCACTTTTTCCCATGTGTCTCTCTCCACGATCACGGGACCTTAATATTCCTACTGCATGGATGTATGGATGTACGGTCGTCGTCGTCGTCATCAACGGGGGGGGGATCTCGTGTCCCCCGCACCTCGGTGCGGGTAGAAGGGGTGCAGCGAGGGCCTAAATCCTGCCCTGTCCCACCAGCTCACCTCTCGCCCAAAAACGGCACGGCAAACGGGATGGAATCCGTGTCTGGGGAGAGAGGGCGAGGCGAAGTTGGTGAGATTTTGGGCTGATTTAGCACGAGAGGGATGCTTCGAGGGTGAAATAAAGTGCGAGGTTTGGCCGGGCTGGTGGAACCAGCAGCACGCACGCCGGCAGTGCAGTCAGTACAGGACTTGGGAGTGGCAAGAAGAAGAACTCGTCCATTCCGTTGCCGTCATCCACCGGAGAAGCAAGGACAAGGTTCTGCTGCCGTCTGACTTTTGCTCCCTGACCTGGTAAGTGTGTGGGGATTCGGGGGTATTCCTTTTGGGTGTTAAGTGGTTATCGGGAAAGGGAGGGTGTTTCCATTTCCTCTGGGGGTGGTTCGATAAAGTGAAAAGTCTCGAGTGGAAATTTTTTGGCCACGTCGGCACGAAGGGAAAATTAACATGGCGGCGATATTATAGTGGGTTGTTTGGTAGAGTGGAAAAAATAATTAATTGTTCTTCTCTCTTTTGTGCAGAACAACTTAAAAAACTATCAAGATGCCTGGCGGACTCGCAGATCCAATGTCCTTCATGCAGGACTTTATTGCTGGAGGAATCTCAGCTGCCATCTCCAAAACCGCTGTCGCCCCCATTGAACGAGTCAAGTTGCTCTTGCAAGTTCAACATGTGTCGAAACAAATTGCGGCGGATCAACGATACAAGGGTGAGGAATATGGAATAATAGTATATTGAATATTTAATCGGGATAATTATGAATAGTTGTTTGAGAAGTAGTTAATCATCATGTTTGTCATCTCAATAATTTGTGAATGCCGGTCAAAGGCGGAAACAATTAATAGTTCATTCTCCCTCCCTCCCTCCAAATAGGGAGTAAAGTAGTGCTGGTAGTAGGAGCAATTTATTCGGTGGTCTTGTAACCTAAATTCGCGAGTATATATGTATGAATGCATTATAACTCGTGCTCCTCGCCTGCTGCTGATGTGGGTTTTGAGGTGATGAGCAGGCGCGGAGTGGTAGAGATATAGAGAGAGGCCGGCTAAAGTTATATTGCATTATATGGACTGCTACGGGTTTCGGGTATATAGACCACTTTATTGGCAAGAGTGTGCACAAACGGTGCTATAAATACTTTTTTTTAACCCTTTTCAATTTTACTTTTGAGCTTTTCACTGCCAAACAGTGAATTGTGTGACACTCTTTTTATGCACATGTGTAATAATGGTGAAATGGAAATGATACAGATTATTGGGATGACGATGAGAAAGATGATGGATTTATAAATATGTATGAAGTTCATTAAAAATTAATACTGAATTGGCTTTTATTGTATTGTTTGAACAGGTATTATTGATTGCTTCGTCCGCATCCCAAAAGAACAGGGCGTCCTAGCTTTCTGGCGTGGTAATTTGGCCAATGTGATTCGGTATTTCCCAACCCAGGCGCTCAACTTCGCCTTCAAGGACAAGTAAGTTGATAAATTGACCACGTGGCGTCGTCACATGAGCGGTGGTGTCGTTGAGCCACGAATCAAAAATGTGTGTATAAACTAACATATTTTCTGAATTATATAGGTACAAGCAAGTCTTTTTGGGAGGAGTCAATAAAAATGAGCAATTCGGACGGTATTTCTTGGGTAACTTGGCTTCTGGTGGTGCTGCCGGAGCTACGTCACTGTGCTTCGTCTATCCTTTGGACTTTGCTCGTACTCGGTAAGTTAATTGTAATTATTATTTCTATTTTGATAACATATAATTAATTGTAGCCCACTCATTTGCCTGGCTATTAAAATATTACAATATTTTCTTGTCAATTTCTAGATTGGCCGCCGATGTCGGCAAATCTGGTGCTGAGCGAGAGTTCACTGGATTGGGCAACTGTCTCACGAAAACGTTCAAGTCTGACGGCATTGTTGGGCTGTACAGAGGTTTCGGAGTGTCCGTTCAGGGTATCATCATCTACAGAGCGGCGTACTTCGGCTTCTTCGACACTGCAAAGGGCATGCTTCCCGACCCTAAAAACACTCCCTTCCTCATCTCGTGGGCTATTGCTCAGACCGTAACAACTGTGGCTGGAATCATCAGTTACCCGTTCGACACTGTCCGACGTAAGAGAATGCATTTTTAACATATTGATTGTATTATGTACAAGCCTTGCTTTATCTCGTGTACTAATTTGTCTTGACTCTCCTACAGGACGAATGATGATGCAGTCTGGACGAACTGATAAGCTCTACAAGGTATGTAATTTGATTATTGATCCTACTAACGAGATTTAGAGGTCTTTCTACCAATTGCATAATACACATGCTAATAATTCACTTTCTTGTTTTACCAGAACACGATCGACTGCTGGCGTAAGATTTACCAGACCGAGGGAGGCAATGCATTCTTTAAGGGCGCTTTCTCTAACGTTCTCCGAGGAACTGGTGGTGCCCTCGTACTTGTACTGTACGATGAGATCAAAACCTTCCTTTTCTAAGCCAACGGAGAGTAGGAGCTGCTACTTGTCCCCTTCATCATTAATGTGAACTATAGCAAGCCCAGCCACACACACGTAGACTTATTTCAAAAATCTTAATTATAGAAGGAGATGGTATTCAGAGGTTCCCAACTGTAATAAGATATGTTTTCGGCAACGTTCCAATCCGTGTTATGGATTTTGGGAAAATAAACACCAGATTCATTTAGATTTTCAATTCGACTTGACTATTTTTTTTCATTTCTGCATCCACTACCACCACAAACAACTAATTATTGACTTGACTGCCAGACCGGGACTACATTGATTTATGTGTAGAATGATGATGACAAAGAGTGATACCATAAAAGTAATATATTGCAAAATATAGATGCTTTCTCTCTTCCTTTCTTCTGCATATACATTTTTGATGACAAGGACAATTCTTTAATTAAGACCTTAACCATTATCTACCACGATCTTAACAAGTGCTCCACAACAACACATTAATTAATCAGTATATACCTTCTTAACCATCCATTTCCTTCCGTAATCAATAATACAATACTAAATTGTTCCACACTCATTTAATTTGAATTCAGTGTCCACAATGTTACAAGAAAGATCACAATCTATGCACAACAAGAGCTATGAATGAATTGGTGGTGGTGAAATTTGGGACTGGTTATAAAATACTACCGTTTGCATTGTTTCGAGAAGGGGAAAGCAGACAAGTTGTACAACACACAGGGACGCACATTTTAAGATGATGAATGTATTTTATGCATGGCCAAGAAGAGAAGGAGGACACAATTTACTATAAAATCACTAATAGTCATATTTAGTAGTAAGAGAAAAAACTGTATACCGTAAACTAGACAAAATTTCAAGTTGTCACGTATTGATAGTGGGTGTGGTATGGTAAATACTAAAATTCGGTGATTAAGTATTATGTGTTTATTATTATTGGTTTATCATGATTGATTGTAGAATTAAAAAAGACAGTCAAAGTTATTTTAACAAGTAATAGTCAATTAGTTTGGTCATAGTTTCCAATAATAATTTGAGGACATTCTGATTTTATGTTGTGTTGATCTGATTTAAAATAATAAATAATTGTTCCTTACTTAATTCTTCGTGTTTTTTTCAGTAGTATTTATAAATCTTCTAGAAGATTACAATGTTTAGTCATCAGCATCATCTGCATAAATTCAAAAATTGTGGCAGATGCAGTAAAATGCTTCACTTTACTGCTGACTGTTCGAAAAACTGATCTTTCCGTTCTTCAAGTTGACAACGAGACCATCGGTGAAACCAAAAAAAAGAAAGAAATGTGAATCAGATCACATACTAAATTTGTAGGAGGTCCACATCCACAAATGTATTCGTATTTAATACTAGAATAAAATAGAATAATTTAAAGTACACGTAACCATCAGCCAAATTCTTCTCGGGTGGCCAGAGAATCCTTAAAAGAGCCATTAAATTGAGAGAAAGTGATACGAATGCATTTATTTAATCCATACCAAATAAAATGGCAAGAATCGCGATTTCGTGAAATTATACTTAATTTTAATTACTTAAATTAAAGTTCAACTATTGAGTCATCAAATTCGGTAGGACTCTAGAAAAGTTGCAATATGAGACTCCAACTATAAAATAGAAATGCAATTTGCATGCCTAATGTCAAGTCGAAAGTTTAAACGCTAACAATTAATCTCATATTAAAACAAGCATGCAAAAAACGCAAAACCATTTGATAAGTGCAGTCAGAGATTAATTATTTAAATATGGCCAAACTGTTTAATGGCCACTTAACACAAAGTGGGTATGCCGATTTGCAATGGAATAATAATGAGTCAATTTATGAAAAGTCGATCTATGGATGACTGCATATTACGTGATATCGGATACAATTTATAAATTCATTTCACATGATGACACCACGCCACCGAGCTGTACAAAAAAATTGGTTGAATTTGGTGTCCAATTTTCTTGCACTATATTTAACTTACGTAACTGTGTATAATTTGATTCATTTATTTTACGTCGTCGTCTTTACCAAGATCCGGTTGGTTACTACTCGTAATCTTCTGTATCACTTTTTTCTGCTTGGTCTGACTGGCGACATTTGATTTTGTTCCATGTGGAGTGGAGTGGAATTTAAACCCGTCTTAAATTAAATGGCGAGAAGTAAAAGGGCACGTTTTTTGGTACGCACATTAATAGAAATCTGATTCTGTATGTATAATTTTCCTCCAGAGGAATGCATGATTTTTGTTCATTGACAAAAGTTGTCACTAACTCGATTGAATTCACGTCTTGAGCGAAATGTTTCAGTTGAGAGAAGAAAAAATGGTCTCATTTGATGCCGTGTCTAATTTAGAGCCACATCCGATCTGAACTGAAGATACTTAATAACCGATCCAGTAAAGAGATGAAAAACATCATTTCTTTTTCTCATTTTGACCCGTACAGGATTATTCGACTTCCTTTTACGTCACGTTATTATTATTATTTTCCAACCAATTGTTCCCACAAGACTGCTTTTATGTTTCCGAGAGGATTTTTATTTTCGTAAAGTCATCCAACTTAAACTTGCTGCTTATTGTTTTATAATTGCAGCCAGCCAGAAAGGACCGTGCCATACCTGGCCTGCGAAAGATGGTGTGATGATACACCATTAAAAAAAGTATTTCATTTTCATTGATGTGGTATAATTCTGTCCAAATCGATTAGGAAGTCGTGAACCGGAAGCAGAGAGGAATTGTAGTACGGAAGGAAGTAGCCAAGCCAAGGAACATAATAACCAACGTATGAACGGTATGGCATGGCAGCGGTGGTTTGTTTAACCATGCAGGATTCACCTGGTCGATAATTTTCTGGAGAATAAATTTAAACGGGGAACAAAACCTGGGAAGGAAGACGAGTGCATGCAATCAATTGAGTGCAGGTGATTTTTACCGGTATTTATGTAACCGGTGAAGGTATGAGGAGGGTGAGTTATACAAAAACCGTCTTCTCAACTTTACCGACTCGATGAGAATCCATCGCATCGGTCGGTATCACTAAAGTCTAAATGCATATGTACATCCATCCAGAGACTCGTGTTCATTTGTTCATCATTCATCCCATTGTGGAGCACATAAGTGAATTAAGTGAGAGACGAACCCTTGTGTGTTGAATGACAAACCCAATTACGCTACCTTTCTATTTAACAAATGCTTATGCTTTTTAAGAGTCAAGTAAAGTAAAGTAACCAACTGTCTTGTCTGTCACACACCACCACCCACTGCTGCCACTGCCACTGCCAAGGTAGGAACTTTGGAGGGAAAGGGTCGTCGTCGTGTAAAGGGAAAGAGGTTTTTAAACCCGTCAATTCAGTATCAAGATTACCCTTCACGAACTTCCTCTTATTTAGTTAGCAGTTAGCTTGTCCTTCTACTCTCCCCGTGAAAAAGAGAAAGAAATATAGACCAAACTGTCGGAATAAATGAATTGGGTAGACAGATGAGGGACAATAATGCATGCATGCGTACATGCATGTGTACCTATTTAGGGAGGAATACGAAGAAGAAGACGGAAGAAGGACTGCAGGATCGGATGTGAATTGGGGAGCACACACCTTTTGCCAGTATGTCACGGAAATCATCGCGTCCCCTTCTTCTTCCACATCCACAACAATTTATTTATTGCCTCGTGCCCTTCCTTTCCTTCCAAGTCATCATCATCACCAGACTGGTCGGCATATCTGAGAGAGTGGACAGCGTGTGCCTTATTGCGACCTTCCCTCACTTCTTCTTCCAGTTGACTTCCGCACTTCCGGTAGTGCACCAGAGGACCATAAATTACCCGAGAGAGCCAGGTTCAAGGAACACCACCACCACACACATTTCTTGTCCTTCGTCTTGTACAAAAGGGCACGGGCGGGCAAGCAGGTAATGTGGATTTTACACCATGTCCGCCTTTTCTCCCGACATGTGGACTAGTTTTGAGTATGCAGAGATGCCATGTGTCTCACAGCTCGTCTCACTTTACATAATAGGAGAGAAGACCATAAGAACTGTTTCTCTTTACTGGTCGGTCGCGTGCATAAATAAAAGCAAATGATTGATTCTGGACCATGTATCTACATACTTATGTATGGTGACTTGGTCTGCAATGCAGGCAACCAGACCCGGTAGCATCTGCGGAGAGAGGAAAACTGACAAAACGCGAACCCTTTTTTCATCCAGTCCAGATATTCTATTATACATTTTTCTGGATGCATGGGTATTGCCATAAAAATGTGACGCCACGCCACACCACACCACACGACGACGAGTTCATTGTCATTCGACAGAACAGAGAGAGAGGAGATTTTATTGACATGAGCATGACTCAGATTTGTGGCCGCATATGTAGAATACGTATCAACCAGATAAATACGTGGTGGAGGTAAAGTGAGCCTACCTTTTATTTACTACTACGATCCGAGACCATTATTGCGGACAAGTCGGAATAATACGGAAGGAAGAAGCTTATCAACTCCTCGCTTACTTTACTTTATTCTGGTCTGCGTACCACCATAGTTTGCATAGTTGGACTTCTCTCGTATACATAATCGCACAGACTTTTCTTCGCCTTTCGATTGATTTATTTTACTGTCTCCACTGCTACAAGGACCAGAAGGCAGGCAGGCATATCCTAAATTTCCTATATTGCACCACGACCAGGACCATTTATACCAACCATTTACTCCACGCCGAGCCATATTTCTTTCTTCTTTGTCGTCTGTTAACTTGGTATTCAATTAGTATCAATGCAATAAGAGAGAAATCAACCAGTTTGCATTCTGCAGTGTCGGCTGTAAATCTGTTTCTCGTCACTCAATTCTTTCCGTGAATTGGATAGATTTTCAAAACAGATTTCGCACCAGCTCTTCTTCTTCTTCTTGATCTTTATCTCTCTCCCAAATCCAATTCTCTCAATGTAGTCATCCCATGAGATGAGATGAGATGAGACTTTTTGGACAACATGCTACATACAAAACCCGTACAATATTTTTCCGCATTTCCCCACAATGAGGAAAACAGTTGAACTTTGATGATCCCAAGGAGAGAGAGCATCATTACCAACCAGCAGAATCTCAGTCAAAATAGAAAGAAGACGTTCTTAACGATTCACTTGGTTTTTGTGCACAGACAAGAAATCTGTAGTACGGTTTCCTTGCATGCATTCTTTTTTGAGGAGGATTCGACTCAATGCACTCGCTCTTTTGCTTCTTCTTCATCTTAATTCACTACGCGAGGACGGCATTCGAATGCAATTTTACTACACTCCTCCATCACTTTGATCTAGTTTGATGATATATCAACGCAAATTTAAATCCAGTTTACATGAGTTGAACAGTTTAATTTGAAATGAGAACGGAGAACGGAGAACAGAAATCGCTCTTTTTTGCGAGGATACGTAGATACGTACGAAATAATTCAATTACTGCTTTTTTTCATACGTATGTATGTATGTACATATTTATGTATGTATGCATGTGTGTATTTACATACCGTATAACGTGTCCTGCATCATTGGATTCATTTTTTTACTGATTTTTTTCAACTTTTCTTTCATTGCGCCCTTGTCAGACGGAGGAACAGCAGACCTCACACACCAGAACCCACCCACCCACCATCCAGTTAATGAAGTATGTATGTAAATAGATATGGATATGAGGTGGATGCATATTATGCAATATTATGTGTATATAGGTGCCATCATTTGGGTGCAATTTGGTCCGCCAGCCTTGATGTTGGATAAACAGGGTGGAAATAAATCTGAATCAATTCCTGCTTGGTTAATGGTTATCTAGAATTTTTGGGTAGAAATTTTTGATAACTGATTTTCCTGCGCATATTGTGTCGCGATGTACTATTTACTTGTTTTGTTTTCAAAGAAAAAAATCTTTTAAAGATGTTTTTCAGTCCAATAATAAAATGATTCTGAGATCGAGACCGTCTGCGTGAAAGTAAGTGAGTCCTTTCATCGTTTATTAGCTCGTAGACGTTTGTCCTATATACATAATCTCTGTTTTTCTTCACAAATGCCGATACGGTGGGTGATATTGTTTCCCAGAGATGCATGCAGGCAGATCCCACACATAACAACATCACCACATGCACATATATACATACATATCTAGGGCTGGATAGTTTAGTTACTTGCTTGGCTAGATAGATAGATAGATGTGCGACTCATTTAAAATTAAGATCGGAAATTCTGTCCACACTCTGTCTGGTTTCGAACCTATCTTGTTCCTAGTTTCAGTTCAGTGCGAATGTTGCAAGTAAGTGCAACCCAGAAAATAAAGCCGCCCAGTCACCCACCGTAATATATACATAATAAGAACAATAATAATAAATAAATACACAGTCCGCGTTGTCCCATGAATAAAAAAAGTCTGTCATATCACAAGGTGGAAGTACATCGAGCGAGTATTTGTCTTTGATCAAACTCTGAATGAATTTTGGAATGATATTGATCCAAGTTGTGAATGTGTGTGTGTTGGTGAACAGTAGTGCATGCATACATTTGGAAGCAGTGGTGGTGGTGGTGGGGTCTTCTAGGTAAAGTAATTAATAGTAGTCCCTGCCCCACCAGACGACCAGACCCAACTACCGGAATAAGGAATTGGTATGTATGGGAGAGAGAGAGACAGGTAGTTATCGTAGTATTTTATTTGATTGCTTTGGACTGGTGGTGGTTGGTGGTGGGTGGGTGACCATTGTTATCTTCCAGAAGGAAGTATACGTACGTATAAGGCAGTGACGATGACGACTCTGTCTCTCACCATCCAAACACTTTCCCAGGAAGGGAAATAAGTAAGAGGGGATACCAAGCAATCCCATCATCATCATGAGCACAATTGGACATGTACGCGTTCCTGGGTCAGAAGCATGATTGGAATTGGAGTTCAGGTCACAATAAAAATTGAGCTGCGACTACGGATGGATGGGTCCTCGTCGTCTCAGTTTTTGTGGGGGAACAGTGTGGGTTGAAGTGAAGTGAGAAGAATCGGGCACCTACCTCGATCCGAAACTCACCTCAGTTGGTGGTAATAAGCACGAGTTGAGGAAACTGGACAGTGAACTCGTGAGGTGCACTGCACACCTACATATTATTGTTGGTGTTACTATTGGATTGGTGGGTCGGTTGGTAGTAAAGTGGGTGTCCGTCCAGTGTAAGCCGGTAGTAAAGTTGTGAGTAAAATGTACCGGGTGAAATGCCAGGAGGATCGAGGGTGGACTAGAACGTGAATGGGAATAAGCGGAGCATTGATTGGGCGCAGGTGGGCCTCTTTTTCTAGTGGTGGTGGTATTGTGCTCGTCGTCGTCGTCCTCGTCGTCACTCTCCTAAAGGTTCTCTCTCTGGCTCTGGCACGCTCTCCTCTGCAGTCATTTCCGGTGTGAGGAGCAAGAGTCGGGCAGTTTTCGGAGAGCGAGCCTCCGAGCACATCATCTCTCCCTGCACTTTGTCTCCTCTCCTACCTACCTAAAAACCTAACCTACCTACACAGGCAGGCAGAACGACTCTCTCTCATTATTGCCCACTCCATGAAATCCCAAGCATTAAGAAGAAGCGACCCTTCGCCATCCCGTCTCATTCCTCGTCCTCATCTCAAACGGACCAGAAGAGTCGAGACACCTTGCTCATTCTTCTTCTTATTCTCACAGTCACGCGCGACGACACGATTGCCAATTAGGACTTGGCACACGTGAGACAAAAGCCTTATCAGTCAGGTCGGACGACGAGGAGATTCTCCAAGTGACCAATACATAATAGAAACGTAAGCTAAATAAAAACTCGTCGAGTGTGAGGATGCTGAGGACTTTGAGGAAAAAAAAGAAAAGAGCGACTCCAAAAGTGTCAACTTAGCCGATATCACTACTACATCTCGAGTAAATATAGGGGGACGAAAAAATTTCGCAAAACCATGGGTTAAAATCTGGCCAAAGGGGAGTCTATAACTTTTGATTCGACTACTATTTTCTCGGCTGCCCCATATACGACAAAATATAATCTCATCCACATCATCTCTCCTCCACTTTTTTTATCGTGCCACGACGAGTGTCAAGCGTGAGATTGGGCTGACTCTGCTCTCTCTCTGATGGGGAAAGGCGTCAAATTTCTGCACATCATAATGGACCACACCACCACGACGACTGCCTGCCTGCTTCTTCTTCTTCTTCTTGCACTTGGACCAAGACGATGCACTTGTGTCCTCTCTTCATAAGTAGGACTGAAGTGGAGAGATTTCGGTTCAGTCAGCGTGTGCGGATTGGCTGCAGTGGACATTGATTCGTCATACCAGAGATCAGAGGCGTGTGTGGGGGGTCAAGTGAGACGGGGATGCACTGCTGGCTATAATAAAACTTGTCCGACTTGAGATTGTGTCCCGATGTGAGAGTTTTAAAGTAATAGAATTATTCCCAGTGGCACAAGTGGAAGAAGAAGAAGAAGTTGTTAGCCGTCCTCGTTCGATCGGACTGACTGACCTAGTTCAGACGGTAAAGAAGAAGTTGTGGTGAGGTTTTAGGAGTGTGTAGTAGTGGATGGAAGAAGAAGAAGACTAGATACGAGTGCGAAATAAGAAGAACAAGAAGCTGCATGATTTGGGGGTCGTCTTCTTTTTGTTCTTTCTTCTTCTTCTTCTTCCTCGTCTTTCTGGTCTGGTGTTGGCATCTCGCCTCCTATTTGTGCAAGCTAGAAGAATTTCTAATGAGCCTGGAGAGCCACGACTCCTGCTCCTGCTGGAGTAAGAGAGAGAAAAGGGACAGCTCTTCTCCCAGGAAGAAGCCAGCCAAGTAAGTCGAGAGGAAGAAAGTGTGAGAGAAAGACAAGGATCTCTTCTTCTCCTGCTTTTTCTTCTTCTTCTCCTGACCAGAGAAAGCAGAGAGAAAGAAAGAGAGAGAAAGAGAGAGAGAGGATCATGCCTCTTCCCTATGGACTATTATGCGGTGGTGGTTCTTCTGCTGCTGCTCCGTCTACGACTACGACGACCAGTGGAGAAAGTCAGTGCACGTTCGGACCAATTCTTCTCCACCAGACTTGACTGTCGAGCACGTTCCCCACAATCAAACCAAGCCACAAAATATAAACTAAACCAACCAAGCAACCAACGCGGGTTCCCCCACCTTAAAATTGATACTGGACACATGGTGGTGGGTGGAGTGGGGTCGTTTATGACAAATTATTGAGTGGGGACCAAGTACATTCATAAGTGACTTATTAGGAGAAAGTTAGTGACTGCATACATATTTAGTTGAGACTTTTTTAGTGGTGGGATTCCTCTAACTTAGAAAAAAGCGAGAGGGATAAGGAAGTGGACTTTTGGTACTATGTTGGATGCGGTGCGGTGAAGCCTTGTGCCGCATCTTCATCTCGGACTCTATTATCTCTTTACAACATGTTCTGCATCGCCCTCGTCCTCCTCCTACAGTGTCTCTTCGGCTCCTGCGGATACACTTTTAAAGGTGAAACTCTTTCAGGTGAATTTCTCTTTCTTTCTCTTGTCTCACATATTTCTGCCCATTTCTTGCATGCTCAATTGACCACATTCCCCGGTCGTAACTTAGCTTTGTGGACAGACCACTTTTCCAAGAATTTCTTACTTACTTACTTAGCTGTGTCGACACCAAATAGCACCACGACGACGACACATTTCTTCTTACCTGAACATGCACACCGGCATTTATTCTATTGATTTTCCCCAACGAGAGAGTCATACATAATATAGCCGTGGTGTCAGACTCAAAAACTGCATACCATAAGGCAAACCACGCCAGCAAGAATGGCTCCAAAATGCACAACAAACTCGGTCGGTAGCCAGTACTCACCGGTAGAAAAAGTTGTAGTTGTTGGCGAGAAAGAAAGAAAGAAATCTCTCGTAGGCACCGATTCTTTTTTCATTACTTTCTCTATAAATATCAAATATTGGAGGTGGCTTTTTCGCCGGTTGGTTGGTCGATCGGTGAGAATGAGTCTGCATTTCAGTTCAAACGAGGTCGATACGATATTTATTTACATGGACGAATATTTCACGTAGTGTGACAGGCTTCATGTTCAAATAGGGACAATTTTTACACGAAGAATGTGATGGTACTTACAAACTTTGTCTTTTTTCGACAATTACCAAGTAAGTTGATGATTATTGAGCGGATAATTGCGTGGTGGCGTGAAAAGGATATAACTATTTTTTGCAATTATGTATACCGACATAATGTAGTACATAAGTATCCACAAATATAATAATGATGCTAAATGCCTGACTAAATTGACCGGATTGTAATTTCATATTTAATTTTTTACATTCATTTTCTTCTTTTTTGTTTATCAACGAACGAACGAATAAAATATGTAGTGCCATTATTTTCATGCATACTTACTTCCTTCCTCCTACATCCCAGATATTTCGTATTATATTGCCTGCATGCGTTTCAAATCGATGAGAAATACATGTACAAACGTAGGAAACCACTTCACTTACTTGTTCAATGCATGCATTTTAGTGTAACCTCGCTCACCAACCAGTGCTTAGGAACCACTTTTGGCCCTATAAATAGTAACATTTCGTGTAAAGCTTTCTCATCCACCATGAAATGAAATGAAATTCTATCAATATCTCAAAAATCGATTTATTACATATTGCTTGCATTATAGAAAATTGCCCTTTAAAAATAAGTAAATGGTCACCTTTTAAAAATTCTGGAACAAATAAGACAACGGGAAAAGGTAGGCAGGCAGGCAGGCGTTGGCGGTGTCAAATGTCAAAGTATCGTCATATTCTAGTTATGATGATCCACCTTTCATTGCTATTTTGTGCCGCTATTTAAATAATGAAGCAAATTTATAGTCGAGTTGGTTGGAAGGTTATTGCGCAAACTAGTTTTTTATTAAGCCATCCTCATACTAATTTCATGATATTTTTAACTCCATATTTCTCCGGGTGGTGAAATTTATTAAAGGCGGTGGTCGCCTACTGCACAAATTGAAGTATTTATGAGGACATTTACGTATAAATTTAGATCGTTGACCATGCCTGACTTTTTAGTGACGTGTGTGTGTACATATGCATACATATTTGAACATATTAGTAAAAATAAAAATGTAATAATACCACGAGACGAACAAGGACAGGGAACAATTTTTGTAGGGAAATTTTATTACAAAGTCGGCTTAATACTCGGTCAATACTTGTTATTGGGTTTTCCTGTAGTACGAAATGTGCTACACGGGACGGTAAATGGGATAATAATTGAAAATCTATTCCAAATTTCATACAGCTCGTTGGCTTTAATAGAAAATAAGGAACTCGACTCGTGGTCAAATTTTGTTTAAAATGGGAAAATATGATTATTGGTTGGGTAGTTGGTTGGTTGGTTGTAGGTAAAATATTGAATATCGTTCAGTCTGCTGCTACCTTGTATATTGCATAACTTTCTCCTTCTCTCACGAACCAACATATTCCCCAGAAAACGTGGCTGGCCCTGTACTAATTTCGCCTGACAAAAGGATCCATACCGGACATGGATCGGAGACAATGGAGAAATGTGACTTATTTTTCCATGTCCACGAGTTTGGTCGATAATTAATTTCATCCCGAATAAGTAAAATACATAAACTTACGATGAGTAATACCCGGATTTTGCTTACTTAATGTTACCCCCATGACTTCTGCTTTCTCCATTTCGTACCAAAATCTGGTACCGTTTCATCACGCATACATATTTTTCTTCCAAACCATGCCGAGAGATTTGTTGGGAGAGGGTGGTGCGAGGGAGGGAGGATTCGGATTCCTCCTCCAAGTCAAGGTGGCAATTAGTCCTGGAAACACTAACCACAAAAGTGTAATGGCTCGTGGTGTCCCGCTACATAAAATAGGTTGCGGAATGAATGTTGACAACTTGAAAAAGATCACTATCCGAGACAAAGGACACGATTGTTCTCTCAAACTGTGCACGTACGTACATCCACGCATCGTGTAAATAATAAGTAGTAGGCTCAACCAGCCACTCATCTCGGTGGGAAGGAGGCAGGCAGGGTTGTTGGTCGGACAATGTGGTGATTTGGTCCGTGAGTAATGCAATTAGTGAGACAAATTGAGATGGAGCAACCTCAAACAAAACCAGAGCCGGTCGGTTGGATGATAGCATCAGCCTCTGCTCAAGTGGATGGATGGATGGGTTATGTAATCCGGATAATATTGCTGCTGCTGCTGCTGCTGCTGCTTCCGTGATGAATTGTGCGATGACTGCATCGAAAAGCCCGTATATCTGTGATCTTTATCGTCTCAAGAGTCATACGCACACGTGCCCTGAGAAAGATCATATTTCACCCTTTTTCGTCAACGGGGAGAGGGTGGCAATAAAATGTTGTTAACCTTGCATTTGGCCTAGGTCCGGCATAATCTTATCTCTTTTCAATTAAGGAGGGGAAAAGAAGCGCTTCATCTTTGCACACAGTCTGGTCTTCTCGTCTCGTCTCGTCTCGTCTGGAGGATGATGGGATGAGATGAGATTAATGCGGGTAGGATCGCCGAGGTGAGGCTGGCTGAGACTCACTGGGTGTGTGTAATCCGATCCACTCTCTCCGATCTACCCGCATCATATTTAGTGCCCGGAATGCTGTAATGCATTCCAGTGGTGAGAGTAGCCGTAAGTGGTCCTTGTAGAATGACAGGCATTGTTGAAATTGCTACTCTACTCTGATCTGGATAAGTTTCCGAGGAAAGTTTCCCACCGCACGTACGTCCATCCGTCAGTCCATCCATTTGACTGACTGACTGAGTGAGTGAGTTGGCCAGAGGAGGATGAGATTTTGGGTGAAATAGCTAATAAATGGGGAGAAGAAGAGGTCTACCAAATAAAACTTGCTCAGATCTTCGAGATATTTAAACGAGCCTTTCCTTGGCTCAACAGTTCTTCATCTCGCTCGTGGTCGTGGTAAAAAGGGGTGAAATAGAACGGTTCGTTCGAATATTTGACGACGGTTATAATAAATGATCGACTCTTCTCTTGACGACTTGAGAGAGAGAGAGATGGTGGAAGAGCAATAAGATATTTGCAGTCATCACCATCAGCAGTCGTCTCACTATTTATGAGCTTTCAACACACGGAATCTCAACTTTTGTAGAAATGGGTGCATTAAATTCTCTCTCAAAAAGGAGCAGTATGCATGCATACAAACCTCACTCCTCCATCGACATGATCTTCTTCATCGTCGTCTTGTGGTCCGCCTCGGCTGTTGGGGAAATTCTCTGGAGAGATTATTTGCTACGACGGTTATTCTGGGATATTTCCCTCTGAAACTACACCAATTTTCTCACCAAATAAATAACACGACTTTCCTCTTTTCACATTAGCCAAACTTAAACTAAACTCGGGAAGGAGAAACCGAGATCATTTGTGCCGCAGTGAGTACGTACGGCGGCTGGACCCATGTGCTTTTTTCTGCTTTGTTCACCCTCAAAAAACAACATCCACCACAAACAAATAGCTTGCCAAGGAATAAGGATTTGATAAATAGAAACAGTCACGAATTTCATTCAACTCCTAATAAAATGAGTGCGGTTTCTCCTTTCTCGTTCTTCCTCTCCGCTCCCCAGAAGAAGGAGAAGAATAAGATGAGAATAAGCCTTAAAGAGGAAAGAATGAATACCGCATATCCGACTCACCCGGCTCCGTGAAATATGTAGAAAGTAAACTGCCGACGACTTTGACATGCAAGATTTTGCACCAGATTCGACATTTATTATTTGATATCGTTATTAAACCTCAGAGTCCATTGGGGCATATCTGGGTTTGAACCCTGGTGGATATGGATGTATGTATGTGCCCTAGTAAATGGGGTAGAAATATTCCTTAAACTATACGCTCTCTCCTCTCTAGCACACATAATACCTGGACATCTGCCAAAATCTCTCTTATCTTCATGTCTAGTACGAGTCTGCTGCAACGTGATAAGTTCAAATCCCAAGTGGACCTCGAGCACACCCTCGTAACCAATCACCCACCAAAACAACATCTTCCATCCTTGTCTCTTGTTATTAGTATTTTCCACGATTTTCGACCAAACTAAATTTCCCGAGGATCAAATTCCCCTCAGATTTGCTCATGATGTGAGTTTTTCGAGCAAATTTTGTTTGGCTGCATAAATAAAAAAAGGAAAGATTGCTGGGTGGGTGGATTGGATGGATGGGCCAGCAAAATCGGAAATGTTTGATCAATTTCCTTCCGTATTCATCGGCTTCTTCTTGTTAACTTTGGTTCATTTATTGCTCCCAAGTAACAAGGAAAGTCTCAAGTGAACAGATGTCTCAAGGAGGATCATTCGTCTATGTACATACAAATGTGTCAGCATTTATTCAGCGTATGTGGAGTAAATAAAAGTCCGACTTTGCACGCTATACGGTTATCTATCTGCACTTATTTTACGATGGGAGAAGCGTGAGAAATGCCGACTTTTGGATCGGCTAGAGGAATCAAATTACTCGAAAAATGTTTATTGAACTATTTCTTCAACATTGTTTAAATATTGGACATGGCGATGTGGGCGACATTTGGGACTCAGAATTGAGTATCTAATCGACAATTTCGTCCCAGTCTGTCTGCGCTGTGTGGGTGGTTTAGTCAGTCGTGATCCAATACATAGGGCATGGACGAAGCAGCTTTTTATTGTATTGCAGAATTTTCTGCTAATAAGAAGTAGTCGGAGAGAGAAATGCCTCACGTATTATACGTCCGGATGGTGGTGCAAGTGGCGTGGCGTGGAGTCAGCAAAGTTAGTAATTTCAACATTGATGTCCATTTCTTTTCTTGAATCGACTCTATCCCCTCCTCCACCTCGGCCTACATCAAAAATCGACCCTGTGTCACTAGCATTTCATACTTTTATTGCTAGCAAAATGGAATCGAGTAACTTGACACGATGAGATTTATATAGTTGTCGATGGATGGATGGATTGCATGCAATTCTCTTTAGTATGACACAAAAATGCTCACGGAGCACATTCCTAATACCTTGTCAATTATAGCTCTGGGTGCCAGTGCCACACATGAACATGCCCAGATTTTGATGATGATTGGATAAAAAGTGCTAATTAGAAAGTGTGGATTTTGTGCACACACATCGTTTTCTCGGTGCCTATAAAATATTACGTAACGAGTCTCATCTCTATCTCTCCACGCGGAGCTTTTCTCATGGAAAAAGACGAGGACAGAGTCGTTTTTTTTCAGGTTAAAAAATATCTGCAGAGACGTAATGTTCATTCACCCCAACCAAAAGCATGCTCTCACACTTCCAGTTAAACTTGGACCATCAGCAATAAAGTATTTCTTAGCCTAGTCAGAGAAGATTTCGGATAAAGCGGCGAGGCGACGATGTACGACACGCACGCAGATATTTAGTGAATTGTAGCAGGCCTTAATGGACAGTAACAGGTGAAAGTGGAAAATAGACTTGTTTATCTAGCTCCTTGAGACCAACTCATCCTCATCCAGCCAATTAATCTTGAACACTGTCTCCCACTGACACCACGACGTCTCACCATAGCACTTAGCTCATCATCATCATCGCCTTCTTCCTCTCTCTATCTATGCCATCAGATCGGTGTGAAAAAAAATGTTTTTCACAGATTTTTAACCAACACACTACTAAATTACGAGACGGATTTATTTACGGAGCAGGGATTTATTTACTTCATATTTCGATTGCAAATTTGACTCACATCTCGAACCATGCGTATCTAAGTATTTCAAAAAAAGACCAATTTACCTGAATCCACATCATTTCATTCAAGCCATACATATATTTAGACACACGTAATTGAGAAATCTATGTATGCGACACATTATTTATTTTTGCTGACTCTTTAGTTCCATGATCTCTCCTCCGGTCTGGGTTGCATTGGTTGCTTATCTATCCACGTATCCACGTATCTCTCTGTGAACCTCATCACATCATCATCAGCGCAAGATACATATTTTCCGGTTTCATTCCTCATCCATCCCTCTTGTTGACTCAGGCAAAATACTGGTTCGCTGAATTTGAAACGAATCACATCAGAGCCGCGTCGCTCTTCTTTTTTTTTTATATCCGGCGATATCGTTTACATATTAGGACGAACGAGCATATGAGCGACTTATTATCATAATGAATGAACTGTGGCTGACTGGCTGGTGGTGTAACGCTCTCATCAAAAAATTAGTTTAAACATTGCAATGAGTTCACTGATACTGATGTCAAATATTTGCTTTGTTTTAATAAATGTTGCTGCAAAAAATACCGATGGAGAGTCACACTCGCAGATAATCAGTCATTACTACGTTTGTGAGAGAGAGAGTGAGAGCGAGAAAAAAATTTGCGTCGTCGTTTTGTCGTCGACATGTCCTCCCCACCCACACACCGAAATTGGCGAATTGTTGCTAAAGTTCAAGGTGAAATGGTGGTGAAACATATTTAATAAGTGGTCTCGTCTCGGGTCGCTGGACTCTTTGTTACCGTCCGTGTGGTAACTAAACCAACTTAACGACTTAACGTTGAAGAAAGGGCAGACTGATAAGAAAGCTAAGAAAAGGGAGCAGAATAGCGACACAACGCCACAGGATTGGATCAATCAATAGTTGTGAATTAATTATGTGTCACGTAGTGAAAGGACAAGAAGGGAATTATTATGACAGCTTGGATGACAGTCATTTTCATTCATATTATCCTCATCGCTGCTTATCCCCCTCACTTTGGATTAGGTAATCACAACAATGCCGAGTGTGGGAGTATGAATGTGGAGTAATTCATAAGAATTCGTAGTTATTATGGGCACTGCATGATTTTACTTACTTCTTGTTTGTCTACTACCTGGATGCGTATGTAAATTCTGAGTAAAAATATCTAGTTATGCAATTTGTGAATGAATTATTTTCTTCATTTTTTTACAGTTGGTGGTCAAGAATTTGTCCAAGTGGACCTTTTTGACAGTCTTCATCTCCACAATAGCACATACCAGGGTGTAAAACTAGGGAAAGGAGTTCGATCATTGGGCCCAGGCGTGGTATTCTCAGGTATTTTTGACTTGATGAGATTTTTCCTGGGTTGAATAGAGGTTAATTAATTTGCATAATATGTAATTATTTTATGGCGTGTGCGTGGGTGTGTATTTTTCAGGTGACTTTCGAGACGTCATCATATCCAGCGAGTGGGTGGATCGCATTCGTGGCCATCTCGAAGAAGTGAACGACTTCACCATCTCGGCCAGCGTGAAGCAGAATCCAAACAATGTGGGGACATTGTTAGCATTTTCTAGAGGGTTAATTAGGTTGGTTTTGTCATTTTTATTAGCATCCATGCAGTGCAAATAATGTGGTGGTAGCAAAATTGCAAAATTGTCAAGTGGTGCCAATTTGTTCGCAAATAATTTAAATTTGCTAGAATCGCCTGCACCCTGACAAATGTAAATATATTCCGTTCCCAATTACTGTTACGATTCGGTAACAAATTGTGCAGGCGGTGACAATTTAGCCAGCCCCACATTATTTGCAGCTTGGACTCTGAAATGATAATGAGGTTGAATGACATAATGTTCCCCCAGCGCACTAGAGATTCAGTCCAGCGGTCGAAAAAATGAGCTGAGAGTAATATCGAACTCGATAGTTGAAGCATTCCCATTCCGTTTGGCGGACGGCAGTTGGCATCGACTGGCCATCTCATTTTCTGCCTCACAAGTCGAAATCCTGGTGGACTGCAGGGTCGTGTACAGGCGCGTCCTTCGCTTCGATCCTGCCTCCATGATCCACAATTCTCAAAACATATCCGTCTGGATTGGACAGAAAGCTCCTTCTAATTTCCTTTACCAGGTTAGAGATTGACGGACGTTGAGGCCTGTAATAATGCCATCTTGCAAATGTGAAATATGTGACATGATTTGTTCTGCAGGGTGTAATGCAAGATTTACGACTCACATTTGGACCTTATGGCTATTTGTCACAATGTCCCCAAGTGGACACACAATGCCCGACATGCAGCGAATACAATGCCTTAAAAATGTCTTTTGCCTCGTTGCAGTCTCAAATAGAAATGTTAACGGCGAGGGTAAGTCATCATTATGAAATGCATACTTGACTTTCACCCCCACCCACCCGGCAAACCAGCAGCTTGCTTCTCCTTCTTTTTAAAATCGTGGTACACCCTACGACTAATTTTTCCATTCCAGTTAAGTGTGGCGGAAGCACGGCTGACAAATGTGGAGCAGTGCGAGTGCAAGAAGTCGTGTAAAGTAAATGCCACATCCGTTGTGGGAGATGGATCCAAGTGGCTTCAAGACTGTCAAGAGTGTAGCTGCAAGGTATGTAAAAAATCCATACAAAAAATATGTCTCATCATGTCGTGTTAGCTAGATCATTTCGGAAGAGAAGTGAGTCCTCGGGTGTGAATTTTATGTCTAATTTAGCACGTGAAATTTAAATAGCTCACATATTTCTGGGTGCACATCGAATAATCCGAGTTGTCGAGTGTATGTATCTACCTCTAGCTGTCTGTCACTCCATTTCTGGAAGATCGTTAACTGTTTAATGGCCCAATAAATTTTGAATTATTAGTGATCTTCTGTCTCTCTTTTTTCTTTTCCTTCCCCCAGTTTAATTTTTGTTCACATTTGGATTTTTTTCTCTTTACAGAAAGGTGAAATTCTGTGCCAACACATCCAGTGCCCGGCAATAAACTGCACGAAACCAGTCACTGCTCCTGGCGAATGCTGCCCTACGTGCCTCGGTGAGACGATTAACCTTTCAATAACGGCATTTCTCTCTGTCACACACGGTTCAATTTCGATATCACATACACATCTCGTAATCGGGTTTCTTTTTTATATGCATGGCTATGCAACCACTCATAAAAAACTGTCTTACATAATGCGGGCAGAAATGCCCGCATTATGTAAGACACACGAAACTTATATTTGTGCATTAATTTTTGTGGTGCTTGGCTCTGCAGAAACATGCTACTTCCGAGGAAGGACATACGACCATGGTGAAATAGAGTCTGGTAAGAAGGAGGCAATCCTCATAATTTATTAATCTGAAGGAAAGGACACATTTAAGGAGCGATGCATTTAACGAGTTGGTTTAATAGTTAATTATGCAATTATAATTAATCTGCAGGTATAAACATTCCCATGCCCGAGTGCACCGATTGTGAGTGCATCCATGGGTCCATGAAATGCAATAAGCACGACCCAGACAAAATTTGTCCACCCCTCTCATGCCCCCTCTCCGAGCAGATCGTCGTTCCCGAAAAATGCTGTAAAGTCTGTCCTGGTTCGTCCCCCATATAATAAAATTGTCCAAAATTTCATAATGTTTTTATTATGAAAATAAATATAAAATTCTTCAGGGACGGATTACTGCGCTACGCACAAGAATCAGTGCCATCCAAACGCCACGTGTGTTAATTTGCAGACAACTTTTACTTGTCAATGCAACGAGGGTTACTCCGGAGATGGTGAGTCTCAACTTGTTCCGAGTTTGCTATATGTGTACTTTTTCTGCTTATTTATAAATTTTTGACGAGTTATTTTTTAATTTCTACAGGTCTTAAATCATGTCAAGATGTAAGTTTAGCATAATTACGGATATTTTTGTATCAACCTGTGTATAATTTCTTATCCACGTGTACCTCTAAAATTGTGTCTGCAGCTGGACGAGTGCCTTTTAAAACGTAGTCACTGCGCACGGGACAGTGTGTGTGTAAATCTCGACGGAAGTTATGACTGTAAATGTATCGATGGATTTAGAAAACTAAACAAATTCCAGTGTGAAGATGCAGGTGAGAATATGGGTTTTGGCGAGTTTAGGTTGTAAAAAATGGCCCAGTTTCTGCACTCCAGACAGAGGAAACTTTGTACCCAATTTTCCCATGTTTATGCTAAAAAAGAGAATTATGTGATCCATTTCAGACGAGTGTGCAGATGGTTCTCATAAATGTCATAAGCAGGCTACCTGCACGAATACCAGGGGATCGTATGTTTGCACCTGTAATTCGCAATATGAGGGGAATGGATTCCAATGTTCTCGTGAGTACATAGATTATTCCCGTCTCATTCATCTCTTCCGACGTCTAAATAGACAATTGTCGTCCATGTTTAGCCGTGTGCAATCGAACCTGCGAGAATGGAGGATTCTGCATAGCTCCGAATGTCTGTTCCTGCAGGTCACTACAGAATTTCGGAAATTTATTTCAGAAATACGTAATGACTAGTATTTTAATATGCATTTGGTATTCATTCTGCAGGTCAGGTTGGACGGGAGACCTGTGCCAGATGGATGTCGACGAGTGTTCTAGCAGTAGTAGCAGCCTGCCTACAGGAAATCAAAATATTAATAATAATAATAATGGCAACAACCAAACGATGAGTGGTGATTCAGCGGAGGGAGCCGTTTGTCCAAAATTTGCAATATGTGTAAACAAACCTGGTTGGCATTTATGCCAGTGTAAAGAAGGCTATCAACTCGTACTCAATCAGAACGGGGATGCTCATTGTCAAGGTATGGGAAAAAAATTAATATTTATAGATTATAATTACGTACATGGTTAAAAAAGAGTCTGGTGCACTACGGGGAAGCTGCTGTTGGTCTGATGCATACTAATTTCCCATTGTTTCAAACCTCCTCTGTAGATGTTAATGAGTGTGAAGAGGACAACGTGTGTTCTGACGGCTTGACCTGCATCAATGTCGAGGGAACTTATGAGTGTCGCTGTGAAGAAGGAAATCCTCAATGTTCTGCAGGTAGAGATGCCAAAGTGTATACTTTTCCCCGTAAAAACATGAATCTCATCTTTCTCCTCGTCAATTTCTAATCTCATTCTCATTCATGGCATCCTGATTTCAGGCTGCATCGAGAACGACACCGTTCACCAGCTCGGTAGTAAATGGATGAGTGAAGACTGTCACGTTTGTACTTGTGTATCCCCCGGAACCACGTCCTGTGTATCTGACACGTCCGAGTTTTGTTCACAACATTGCAGTTTGAAATCAGGGATCAGTAGTAGTACCACCACTGGTGGTGGTCACCAATGTTGTTCAAACTGTAATAATTTAAATGCTACGCTACGTTACGAGAGTCACACGAAACTTAAGTCATGTCGGCATCAGGTCTACTCTGAAATTGAGTACCAGTCAGGTAAATACGCGTTTTCTAATGGCTGAACTGTCCCTAAATAAATGGGGTCCCGTTTTTAGGAGATGTTTGGTACTCCAACTGTCAGACGTGCGAATGCCTAAATGGAGAAACAGACTGCTGGTCGATCGACTGTCCTCCGGCGAATTGTCACAATGCCTACTTGCAGCCGGGAGACTGTTGTTATCGGTGTCCAGGGGAGGAGAGGAATCAAGACAAGTGCACCCACTCGCATCGCAATGGGACCTTTTCAGAGTGCCACCTCCTAGAGGAGACCATTCAGTCGGGGACGCGTGTCACACTGCCACAAAATAATTGCATATCCTGCAAATGTCAAGTAAGCAGATGAACCATTTTTTTACCCTCGCGCATACATAATTTCCTCCCCAATTCGAGAGTACAGATCCAAATGGCAGATTATTATTACTCATGCATGGCGTGTGCTATAGAAAAAGTTACAGTTTTTTATGTTAAACATTCTTTATGTGACTAACAGTTAAGCAGCATTATGATTATGATTATTATGAGCATCTATTACCAGTATGAGTGTCAAACTTTAGTGCTTTCCTCGTCGGGTGATTAACAAAAAAGTTATGTAACATTATTCTCTGCCACGTATGTAATATGTACTAATTTCCCCCGATATTAAATTGAGGGGGGTAACAAATCATGACTTAATAGTGAAAGTAATAATCATCGTTCAGTCGGAGTAAAAAATGAGACTGGAATAGAGTCCAATCCTTCCAAGAAGACAGCATGCATGTCAGTTTTGTATGATATTAAGTATCATCATCAGGTCTTAAAGATTTAACAGTTTTGTCAATATCAGGAAGAAAAAGTGCAGCAGCAGGAGGAAGCAAAATTATCATGAATTTTCATTACACTCATAAAATGATTACGTTTAATTTCCTTTAATACGCATCTTGGTTGGTCGTTGGTAGGTTTTAACTCAATTAAATTTTAATGTTGTTATAACCCTATTAACCCAAACAGGTGCCGCTCTGCGCAAAATTGGTGAGCAAAAATGATGGAATTTGTGTGCTTCGGTAATTCACCCTTAATTTATCTCACTTTATAATATTACTTTGCTAATTATAGTCTATTATTTCCTCCCCCTTGAAAAAATTCTCATTTCGTTCCCAAAATCTTTTTATGACATGGACAAGAATTTTTCAATGCTCTTCATTAAAGTATTTCGTGCTAAAAGTAAAACGTATTGTAAAAAGTAAACATGGTCCGTTCGTGATTGACTATTGATTGATAATGTTAGAATTTAGTGTATTTTTTCATTCTTTACTCCCCTCTCTCTCTGCTTTTGTCTGTGACGACGGTCAGAAAGAACTTCTCTAATGGTATGATCCCCTCGTATTGATTTATACACACAGTATTTCACTCGTACCAATTATTTATAGTTTGTTTTTCTCGTTTTAGTTGTAGTTTTTTTCGGGCTTTTTTGACCACACGTGTGCATGCATGTTGATATTTGCATAAAAGCTTTTCTAGACGTTGGCTGGCACGTGAAGTTTGCATGGGTGCATTTGCATGAAGAATTTCGTGTCAAGTTCTACTTTACTTGTTGGCTTTGTGTTGCCGTGGGTGTGGCTCTGGTTTGTTAACACCACTTAAATATATTTTTATCCACAAACCACTTTTCTCTGTTGTATTATGCTTTGTACTTGTCACGACCTTGATGGAAACCGATTTTGATCACCTTTTACCTTCACATGTATAAAATTATATATATTTTTTACACTATTTATTATATCATTCCTTCCCAGGATGGAGAACTCTGCTGCTCTTACGATTATGATTGCGTTCACAAGTCTGAGACTGCTTTTCTGACGCCAAGTTCTAATCTCCGCGTCACGACGACGACGACTAAGACGACAACGACGGGGGACAGCACTACCGTCAGTAGCATCACTCTCGGTGGGAGTGGAAACTCGAGCAGCAGACGACTCTAACGACCGGAAGGCGGTAGTAGAGGTCACCCCGAAAAAGAGGGTCGTCACCAAAGCAATAATTTTCATCGGGTCAGAAATTAGTAACCGGCTACCTCTTGTCCTACTGCTGTTTGGACCATTGTATCAAAACTTATGATCATGGCTACTACTGCACCCAATTAGCTACACGTACACTACTCCTTAGAAAAAAGGACTTTTAGAATTCTGGAAAATTGACTGTTATATCAAAAGTTCATCAAGTACCGGTGATGATAATGATGACGATCCTGATGATAAGTTAGTGGGTGGAGGTCACCATCCACGATCATCGGTCTCATCTGCCTACCCTCAACCCAGTCCAACACCCACTTCAAAAATTGTTCAAAACACGGTAGTTATTGGTTTGAATAATACGACTACTTGTTGGACCCTCCCCCCGTCGAGAGATGATGACAGCACACTAAACGGAAGAAGAAGACCAAAAAGCAAATCGAATGAATGTACCTAAAATATGTTAAACTAATTCACAAGACTCAAAAAACCAGGATGCGACGAGACACTAACTACTACTATTACTAATACTACTACTATTCATATTTGTATAAGTTTAGTAAAAAAAGAAGAGAGAGATAAGAGATCGAGGTCCATTTTCTTCTGCGATACTTACTAAATACATGATCAACAATGAACATAATGATGATTATGACGCCGGTCCTCCTCCTCCTCCTCATTTATATACACACTTACATAAACCATATTCAATTATTCATGCCATAATATGATCGATGGACTGTAACAAACGCAATATATAACAAAAAAGAGAAACCACTACTACTAAATACTACTACATACTACTTACTACCAAGTACAGTATACATACATTGTTGGGAAAATGTCATTATGTATTCAAAAGTATATAAATATCTATCATCTATCATGATTGATTTGGAGACTCACACTTATTGCGCATAATGTTTACTCCTATTATTTATTATGATTATAATTATCACTTTGTTGTCTTGAGAAGTAATTTAGTTTAAATATAAAAAAGTTAAATTACAAGCAAGCCATGTTTTGTTTTAATGTTGTTGTTATGTTCATAATTATTAAATATTTGTGACTTTAATACTTTGTCAACGATTAAATAAATCCTTTCTAGTCCACTAGATCGAGGAATACTAAATGTTCCATGTTTATTGCGTCTATTTGTACGGTTAATTACTTAGTTAATTATACATATGGTAATAAAATTTCATATTTCGATTGGAGTGGAATAGATATAAAAAGATAATACAAGAAAGGATAATACATGTCTGAGATTTCACATTTCATTCGTTTGTGTATAATAATCAATTTATGGCAGTCTTTGCTCAATGTTGTGGAAAACATATAAAATTACAAATATCAAAAACAAGCATATCTCCAGAAATGGAGTTAAGACGAGAAGAAGAAGTATTTTTCTTAAATTACAAGACTCGCTAAATAAATGCATAGCATGACTACATGGCTCAGGAAATTCAAGTCTTTCCATTTTTTCAGATCATCGTTGATTGATTCCAACACGGTGGGAGGTACATCTGTGTCAATGTGACTTTTAGAAATCATAACGCCCAAATAGGCCAAATTAAAAATAGCTAGCAGTCCAAAAATAACGTTGATCATGAAGACTGTAAAGTTATCCGACTTGAACGTGTGTGAACAATTTGCTGGGCATTTACGACTCCGAATGCATGCATTAAAAATAGTGGCCAACTTCTCACGGAGGGTGTGTTCCACATACGTGTACAATCCGAGTGACAAAAGAACAGATGTGAGACCGAAGTTCAACCCGTGAAGCATGGAACTAACGGCAAAGGTCCAGAGTACAGCTTGGAACGTTCCCCATTTTATACTTGGGCGAAATATGTCTGGAAAAAGAGTTTAAGGTCTCAGTTTAATAGCTTCTCAGAAAGAATTCGTCCTATTTCTTTTAGTAGAACTAAAAATTATGTCATAAATTGCTTACAAACTCTTAACCACCGATGCATTGGCTTGTTCCAACATACAACGACATCCACTAAAGACCTCGGCATTTCAATTCTCCACGGCTCGGTCACGGTTATTACAGAGTCATTCGCAATGCCGGTTAGAAGACAGGATAATTCTGACAGATATGAAATAAAGTAGTGGCTAAATCGAACGGCCATAGCGTCTCGAAACGTCAGCAACCATCTAAAATATACACCGCATACCACAACCACATTTACTAAATTCAGTCATAATCATCACTTCTCTGAAGTAAAGAAAACAATCAAACGCTTACCTTGACTGGGTGCCAAGAAATACCCAGTAAAGGAGACAAGAGCTGACTCCAAGACTCAAGAAAGAACAAACTGCTGCCCCAAAAGCCGGCAACACCCACCAGATCGTCTAGTGAAATTCATATTACTTTAAATTATTACCACATTTAACACTTTTTTTGCATCCCAAAATAGTATCATTTTATCGTTCTCCATAAAATATCCTTCTTGACACTGCTGCTGCATAAAATCTCTCATCACCTGAGTTTGTCCCTCAAATAGTCGACAATATACGTCAAAAGGAATCCAAGGTCCAAAGATTAAATTTGCTGGGCAAAATATATAGCCCAAATACTGGTCAAATGATGGGAGTGTGGTTTGATATCCGATCCCCATGTCGAAACAGAGTGAGAGAATTTTCATAACGATGATCATTTGAATTCCTCTCACCTGCTCCCAAGATTCAGGTAGAATGCCAACATACTCTCTGTAAAAGAATAATTAAAAAAGTATGGAAGGACAGTTCATCTTTGGACATCATTTTTTAAGTAATATAATAATGCATTCATACCTTACAACCAAATAGCAGACCAAAACAATTGTAGCGATTTGAGAATGCAAAATTCCCGAAGATTTGGCACAAGTGGATACCATAAAGTATCCCATTACTGCTGGAACAATGGTAAAGATGGCATTTCCCCCCACCACTGACACCAAAGCTACCAATCCTAAACATACTGAGAGAATGTGATCAACCCGCTGGCCCACGTTCACTATTATTTATAGAAAATAAACGCAATTAATTAGTTAAATTAATTATCTCCTTTTTAATTATTTGGTGGCCACTACCACTTACAAATTAAAACTTATAAATTCCACTTATAAATTAAATTAAATTGATACTATTAGTGACGATGTAAACGAATTTGGTTGGATGGTAGCAAAAAATATTGTTAGCTTTGAATTGGCCAAATTTACATACAAAATTATAAATGAATGTGCTCCAACATTTTTTATAAATTACCTAAACCTTGAAGGTCTTAACTTTAATACTAGAAATAATACTTATTGCAAGCCTTTGTCATGTCCAAAAACAACAATTGGAAAGAAATCTTTTCGATATCGTGCTATGCAAGCTTGGCTTAATTTACCAGAGAAAGTGCGATCTTCAGCGAAACATGTTAGCTTTGATGTATTTAAACTACAAACAAAACGTATACTTATGTGAAAGAATGATTGAAATTTTTGATTTGATTGACGATTATGAATTTGAAAATATACTATTATAAATATTTAAATACTTATTTTATACTTTGTAATGTGAATGTATCCTTGAGGTGTAATGTCCTACATAGTAGGGTGCCTTATTGTATGAATAAATTAAATTAAATTAAATTAAATTACAATGATGATTTAACAGTCTTAATGCCAAACAGGCGCACAACATCCAAGCTACTTGACCAAACGCTTCGGTCAACGTGGGTTCCAAACATTGTTTGAAAATATCCGTGATGCTCATGTATGTCGCATCGCCTTCTTCCACGAGCATATCGTCATCCTCGTAGTCTCCGTAGTAGTCAACGTCCTCGTCTGTCATATAGTCCATGGCCATCAAATTAACCTGCAAATTTCCCCAAAAAAACATAATTAATCAAACAGCAGCTTAAAAACTATACTGGAGTGCTTATCAGGGTAAAATTTGACCTGACCTTTGTCCCTCAAGTCGTCCGACCTGCCGGTAGCTAGTTTAAACGTCGACGATGTGTCGTCAACCCGGGACGACGACACCAAACTAAAACAACTAATTCACTTCCGTCTCGTCACCGATTTATTGTTATTGACAGCGTGTAGCCGCAATCCATTTAAAAGGAGAGAGGGGCCTCGTGAGACATTTCCGTCAACTGAACCACGCTCGAATTATTCGACCGACTGGCAGTGATTTTTTAGCAAATTGCATATTAATTAATAATAGAAATTGAATAAAAACTTTACTTTTTTAAGGTTCCAATTTCCAGGTAAGAATCAATATGGTTAGAAGTCGTAATATTGTGATGGATAAGTTTTTCAGATTTTTGCGAGAGGAATGAATAATTCATTATGAATTGACAAATTTCTCATTGGGTTAATTTTTAATTTCTGGTTTAATTTGACTGAAATATAAATTGATAATGATTGGTCATGTTTTTGTTTAGGTGGCTGGAATTGTCAAGATGATACGAAACTTGGCGAAGCGATGTTCCATGATTTATAATGGACTTGGTTCAATTGTCGTCACACCGTCAATCTTGGCTCCGAGGATGATTTCCACAAGTGTTCCTACCCTCATGCCGTACGAACATCAGAGAGGGCCCAAAGACTGGCCCAGATACAACAAGAAAATCTTTCCCCCACAGGAAATTGGCGAGAAACCAAGGCCTGCCGTAAGTCATCCTGGCCGCGGATCATTACTTCGCTTAAAAGGTTTGGTTTAATTTGTACTTTCTCTTTCAGTACGTTTGTCACATGAAGTGTGATATCAAATACTCTCCAGACAAGATGTGGTGGGTGGCATGTCTCGTTAGAGGGATGCCCGTGGACGAAGCCGTTAAACAATTATGTTACGTCAAAAGGAAAGGGGCAGGTTATGTGAAACAAGTCATTCTAGAAGCTCAAGCATTGGCTGTTCGAGACCATAATGTAGAATTTAAGAGTAATCTCTGGGTTGGTAAGTCTTCATTCGACAGGAATTGCACATATTATTCTATTACAAAGGCTTCATCATTAAAAAATTGATAATCTTTCAGCCGAATCATTCGCTTCTAAAGGCTACGTCGTGAAAGGGGTTCGTCGTCACGCCAGGAAGAGGTTTGGACTCGTTGAGTATAAACATTGTCATTATTACGTAAGATTAGAAGAAGGACCGCCACCAGAAAATTATTATCTTCCTAATCAACCCGACGGACCAACTCTTCTTCAAAGATGGATTGAAGGACGACGACAGTTACGCGTTGCTGGTGCCTTATAATAAATAGAATAAGGTAGTTCATTGTTCTCATTGTTCGTAGCGATAAGATATATTGTTATTTATTATCATTGATGTGCTAGCCATTGTTATACATTGAAATGTGTAATTTATAATAAAAATTATAATTATATACATTCAAATGTGTCACTTTTAATAATAATAACTATAATTGTACAATAAAAATTGAAATATTGCACTTTTACCGAACTATACGACTATACTAATAATACAAAAGAAAGATATAACATTTTAAGATATAAATTAACAAAGGAAATTCCACTGTGGTCATAAAACGTACATATGTAAGCGATGTTCGTATAATGGAATTCTTTATCATCCTCAAGCGTCTTATTTATCAGACGTCTTATTTATCAGATTTTCTAATTACTCATTGTCAGTGATATATGTATGTACTTACTCTATCAGTAGCACCTTACGTAGTGAAAGCACGTTATTTTATTATGTCTGGTTGCCTTGAAAAAATGGTGTGATACCTGAGAAACTAGAGGGCTAAATAACTTGGTTGCAGTATAAAGTGGAGTGTATGTATATATGTACTGGACTGAGATTTATATTTAGTAATAATTTGGCAAGCTGTGTAGTAAGTCAGGCATCTTAAGTTTGTACTGGTTATAAACGGTTGCAACTGCCTCGTCAAAATGGAATTTAAGATAATATCATCGATCGATGTAAGGTATGGCATGGTTGGAAACCATTTAAGTTGAAGGAATTGGAGTAAGATGCATCATTATCATTTTCATCATCATGCAACCGGTCCCCAAAACGAGGAAGAATTGCTTCGTCCATGGCGATGCCGATACTGGAGCCGAGTTACACAGATTGGAATGGCACTCACATCGGGACAGGTATTCAAACTTATCTTCAGTATTGTAACATCTATCGGTCGAATGGTCACTCTTTGAATTCAAGCAGTTTCGGCTGAAGTGGTAAATCTCTGGAAAAGGAAGCAAGTTTTATTTAAATAGCTTGCATCATTCGTTTCATTATTAAGAATCCTCGTTGTTGAATATGCATTCGGCCACAAGTCCTACGTATATCTCCAACATTGAAAAGTGACCAAATGCAATGGTAAAAATTAGGGTTTCTGGCCAAATGCATATTCAACGACGACGATATTTATATCTCAAGTGTGGCCTACGCCTACCATCATTCTTGGAATGCCTGTAGGTCACCGCTTCACACCCCTTGGAACAGTTAACGATGGCTGCGTATCCCTCCACGAAATTGTTGTGCGTACAGTTGTCGACCACGCTAAAGTTTCGGGATGGTTTTTGCCAGGAGCAGACGTAACACTGGATCTGGTGACCTTCGACCCCACGCGCAGCCAAGACGACGAGGAGGACAACCCCCCAGCCCAGCAGCACCACGAGTGGAAACAAGCTCCTCTTGACGAGACTCATGTTCAAAGGATTCTTTCCCAACAACAACAACAACAACAAGTCAACTGGATGGTGCAAAGGAGGATAAAATTCGTTTAAATCCCGAGAATTTCTGACAAAAGAAGTGCTTGAAAGTTAAAAAGATTGACAACTGTGGAGGAAGGATTGAATTTGATGGGAACGAGGAGAGGGAGCGGATTTCTCTAGTTTGAAACTTGCAAAAAGGCAGATGGACTGGGTCTGGTGGACATCGATCCGACCGAGTTCTGAGTATTTTAGCACGATGAGAGTCAAGTGAGTGAGAGAGAAGAGAATTCACTCACCAACTTTATGGTTTGTGTAACAAAGATAACCTTCGCGAAGAATACGTAGACTTTTTTTGTCAATCTATGTTAACTCTCAATCCACTTAACTGTGTTAAATTCTGGACAATTAAAGATTCTCATAAGCACGATGAGGGTGGTCCAGGTCCCCACAAAGTATATATACATTCTGAATCCCTTGACAGACCTTAACCCCACTTATGGGGCAATTTGGGACCTTGACCTTTCGACATTTGGACCCCAAAATAAGGTCACGCAGGTCGATTTTGATCTTGATTGTAACTAAATTTTGCAGGTCCACAATGTACCAAAATTTGGGGAAAATTTGTATTTTTATAGAAAAAACACTACTTGTAACAGTTGATGTTATCACTCTAAATAATCCATGATATTTTTAATTAATCCAGAGAGTTTCAAGCCATGGAGTTGGTCTACCCTTTTTACACAAACCATAGTAAACCGTGTCATTTGTGGGCATAAAGAAAGACGTAACAACAACCAAAAAGCACAGAACTTGAGAGAGTACTCGGGACTTGCAAATTATATAAGGTCGGAATTCGGAATGCTTCGCGTTTCATGCGTTATTTGCGGACCCACTAAAACTTCTCCTATGCTTATTACTTACTCTCTGCTGCTCTTTTGAATGATATATGGTCGCCTCGTCTTCTTCTTCTTCTTGTTCTCTTTGTCCCACAGGCTTGCGTTCGTCAAAGTACAATAAAAACATTTACCAGCAATGCCACCACCCACGCTAAACTCGCTCTCCGTTCTGGATGGAGTACAGTACGACATTTAACTTTTTTTTATTAGGAACAAACTAGGTTAAACAATTTGAGACGTTGTCAGCAGCGTGATTTTTACTGTAACTACATTTCATCTCCCCCATTAGTGTTTAGTTCGGGTGACACATTCTTTTGAAATTAAGTGTCATCAGACACTATTGCGCTCAAGGACAGCAGCAATTTAGATGTAACTACTTATGTATACATGCGGGTCTGTCCTGTATTTATGTATCGTGCCACCACGTCACATCTAAATGGGGAACCTCTACAATTTTGAGGTTGTGCAGAAATTGAAAAGTAAACGTATTATTTATTCAGGAGGAGGAGGATGTTGATGAATTCGCTCTCTCTCCCTCTCTGTCTGATGAAAGTAGTAGAATGATGATGACGAACAAAGGAGGCTGCAGAGATAGGATCAAGTTGTTGGAAATGAGATGAAAGCCATTACCCAGCCCACCCAGCAGTGTGGGGAATAATGTGTCAATTGCAGTTATTTCAATGGATGGATGTATGTACATATGTATATAAAAATAACAGCAAAAAGGTCTTCATTCCGTCAAGGGATGTTTATCCGATGAGATGAGATCTCTGCTACCTGCTGCTGATGAAAAGATATGCCACGTACGTATGTACATACGTACACCTCATGTTTACAGGTGCCCGTATGTGATGAGGGATGGACGTGTGTCGGTATTATCGGCATTTGATGATGGAGAAAGTGGCAGTTTGTTAGCAGTTAGTTGGAAAATATGAGCTCAAAGACACGCTGCCTGCGTGGTGAGTCCGTTGGGAAATCATTTTTCTCTAATGACTTGTGTACTTTCCATTTCAAAGCGCTAACATTTCTCCCAAAAAGAATGAATTTCCCATTGTCGACAGGTTGGTTGTGTTATGGCTTCAGAAATCAAACAAAAAGTTTAAATAAACCGTATATAGCCAGCCGTGGAAGGAAGGAAATGACGCCAGTTTTCCACTTTCCCCGTTCTGGGACACCAACCAACCACGCTTATTGCATTGCATCACAATATATTTTTTATGTATATACGAACGAATGTACTACATGTATCAAGCAAATAAAATACTAAATATTGGATCTTTATTATTTTACGTTGTTCTCTCTCATCGTCCTCCTCCCCCTCCGCCCAGCAGTCTCACGAAACCATTTTCATGCTAAATCTCTCTCTCTCTCAACCCCGTCTCTTCTTCATCCCATTCGTCTCAGATACAATCACATTTCAGCATTTTTGACGTTAACCAAGTAATTTTTTTCTACATTTACTTACAGAGAATCTTCTTTTTAGAACAAGCAAAAAGTAGTGACTAAAATTCTCTCTCTGCACGATTTTTTTACTGCTACGTATCATCACCAGCGATCCGTTTACACAAACTTTATCGCTCTCTTACTACATACCATGTTCCTCTAATAAATATCGTAATAGTAAAGAAATCGACGAATAATAACGAAGAAGAAGAAACGCGGATGAATAAATATATACTCAAAGAAGACCAAGTAAATTGTATGCACACAGATATAATAAATTTCTCTAAATTGGTTCCATACTCGGTGTAACAAGAACTTGATGAGAGGGAGAAGAAGATAATTGTTGTAAAGACAACAGAGAAATAATGATGACATTATTATCGTACATAGATATTTCTACTAAATGCTATGCTACATACTACTAATGCTAATAGTAATAGTGATAATAATAGTAGTGATAACATCCATGTGTGGTTTTCTCTTAAATATTTACGCTAAGTACATATACACACAGAGAGAAAGAGAGAGAAATAATATTATTTTAGAATTACATAAACGACCACGGTTACACGCAGAGATTGAGGGACAGAATATACGTGTTAAGCTTGAAATGATTTACTTTTTTTGTGTGGGAGACATACATATTTAGTGCATTTCTTATTAACAATTAGGGATCAGATAGATAAATTTATATGACAGATTTTGATTTCGTTAACTTTTTTTGCTATGAGCCACACTATACTTTTTTTATGTCTATACAGCATGTGCGACTAATAAGTAAGTGATGTGATTAAATTCAGATTTATAATAGGTATGAATTATGAAGTGCAGTTACTAATATTTATTTCTTAGTGTGTGCATGTATTCTACTACACGAGATCACTATTCAAGATTTTAATGCCAATAATAATGTTAATTAAATATGTTGTCCAATTTTGTCTTAATTTTTTGCAACCATTTTACTACACACGTTTACATATTTTTATAATATCGAATTAATAGTTACTCGTAAAAATAAGGTTAATAAGACTACACGGATCTAAATATTCTAGTAGCATAACACGTACTGCTAAGATTATCCTTGTTACCCGATTAACTATTTTAATAAGCTACATATTTTTTTTACAGTCTAGAATAATTTAGAAATTTTGCAATTTTTTTTCACCGTATATGCTCAAATTTTGGGGGGATAGAGATTTTTTCAGGTTAATTTTACCACTACAAAAGTGTGTTACGTATTTATTTATTTAGCCTGTTTTTCCAATTGGGTCCAATTTATTCGTCAAGTCAAGACATCTCTTTCTCTCTTTTGCTACGATTTAATTACAATTTTGGTTTCCGTGTTGTGCAAGAATCCATTTACGTCGTGACAAATGTATGTATTTACCAAAGTGCAACGTACGCGAAATGAATGAAGGAATGAAGGGAATGAACTGCTATGTGCAACAATTACGAGTAATTAATGACCAGATCACGCAGAGAAAGTGAGAGGCTTGTTGTATACTAATTTTATTGAGAAGAAGTGTAAATAAACCCTGGATTATGTAAGAGACCAATTTTGAGGATAAATCAATTAGGTTCTGGTGGGTGGGGGGAAGAAGATACATTTTGGAGCAGGAGGAGGAGGAGGTGGTGGAGGAGAGGTTGCAATCCGGTTGACAGTAATGATGGGTGTTTTATGTATGGTTGGTGGTGTGAGCCGAGGTGAGAAGTGTCCTTTGAGGATAATTCCTACCACGGCATGAGAAGAAAGCACCTGCTTAGTCACGTCATTTCTTGCCCGGCGTCATGTCAGAGCCCAAGTACATCCCTTCATGAATGGCGTCCAGGGTGTCCTTGTAATCACACGAGTGAGACAGGCCAGCGTTGAGTCGACATGTCCGTTTCGCCCTGAAAATTTCAATCCAGCCCGTAAAATAAAATAATAATAGTGCTGCATCACGGGACAAATGTGGGTAAGCTTCGAGACCCAATTCATCACATCTTTGTCCCACCAAATGGCTCCACCCACTCCATTACTCATCATCAAACACGGACCCCACTGTCAGGCAATTTCCTAGAGCTCTCTTGTGTGGCAATGAATTCATTTTCCTCCTCAAAAGCTACACTCTTCTTGGAACGGGGACGAGAACAACAAGATAACAAGAGAAATTTCTCTGAAAACCTGGCCAGACATGAAGAATTTATTTTCGCGAGTAATAAATTTATTTCCCTTCACTCCGTTTCTCTCTCTTCATTTGCAAGCATTAATTAGTATGCAAAACAAATATTAACAATTTAAAACGAAATGTGCACGAGCTGATATTATACAAATGAATGATTCATACGGCATAAACATGAAGAATGAAAAGGAAACGCGAATTTTTTTCTCCTTGGCTTTCTTTGTTGGTACAAAGTGGTTGCGGAATTGCATACTTTTGAGACCCAAGACGCACTCGAGGCGTTCTAGGAAACCGTCGTCGTCATCGTGGTCAAATATTTCTCAAAGGACGATTGAAATATGTATGACTTACACATTTTGCGTTTTTCCGCAACAGGGTAGAAATTCAAAGAACTGCTAAAAAGGCGTACGTACTGTGGCAGCAGGAAAAAGTGGTAGTTTGTGCTCCGCAACCTTTTCACTTTTCTCACAAACCACTAAATACATACGCTGCCCAGCAGGACCATATTCTAGAACACGTTGAAATTTACAAGCTATATTTAAACGGGAGAGAAGGATGAACTGTCACAAACATAAAGTCCTCAACTGCCTCCTTTATTTGTCCAGCGAAGAGTGTAATTGATTCATCTCCACCAGCACCGCATTCGCCATTTTCTCATTTCATCTCTTCATGGTACTTGGTTTCGCATAAATTTCCAGTTTTTGCGCAAACAATGCAAACGTGGTTTGGTTTCTCTGCTTGTGCGGGTATGTGGTAAGAGTGGTCTAAACATAGAAAGCTACATTGCGAAAGTAAAGATACAAGTGGAATGAGACAGAGTTGAGAAATGGGGCAAGTTGAGATTCGTCAAGAATTGGGCAACTTTCTCCATTACTTTTACCCTCATGAAACTAATCGTATTTAAGTGGACCTTCTCAACCAAAAGAAAACATGATATGCAATCAAAATCATACTTGCTACAAATTCCTTGAACGGGCTGGCACGACATTCATTTGTCGCCAAAACCACCCTTCCAGTCCATTGAAAAAGCAGCTTTCTAGCATTATTATCATAACAATGGTAGAAATCCTGACATTGAAAAGCTGTCAAGAATAGGGAAGAAAACGTATGTATGCAGACGCTGATTGCATTATTGCATTAATCGATATTTACTTTATCCTTTTCCCCACCGCGACGGACAGACAGCTAAATGGACGGAATGTTTTTAAAAGAACGGAACAAGAAGCTAAGTAAGAAGCCTGGCCGCCCCACTCCTCGAATCCAATCCAATCCAACAATGCATCCACACAGAAAGAAGAAGAGACGCCGCGTGTCCACGAAATGTAAGATAAGTACGTCTCTCGGAAACCTGTTGGCCTTGGGCAATGTCACTTTCTCAACTTTCTCCTCCAACCATCCGTCCAAAGTGAAAGCTCGTTTAGCCCCAAACATGCGAATCGCTTTGAATTGTTAATGTTTAATGAAGGGAAACCACTTTTCTCTCCTCATGCCACGTCTCACAATAGCTTTTCCACTCGTACATTTTCCTTAATTCAATTGGAAAGAGCTGCTTGTGAGTAATAAGTGTCAATCCGGCAGGGAACCGGGCTACCTACGGCCTACCTGCGTAGTTTGCCCTACTGCTTACGTAAGTAAGTACTCAAGGAAGGACACACGTGTGGTGATGCCATGTGTAAAATGAGCCGCAAACTTCTTATCCACCCAGTTAGCACAACTTTCCACTCGTCGTAATAACGATAATGGTAATAAATAAGCAAACTTACTTTGTCCGGTAGTCGTTTGGGATATTTTGAAGGGCTCCAACATTCTGCAGCCATGAGAGCAGGTAGAGTCTCATCCTGGACAAATTGGAGGAAAAAAAGAGAGATAAAAATTCAGACAAACATTTCCGAGAAGAAAAAAAGTCTTAAAAATGTGATCGGATCGAATTATTTGATTTATTTCGTCTTTAAAACACGCTCCAATTTCACCTTTAGCTGCCTCATTATTAAACTTCGCCCACTGCGGAGTTTCATTTCAGGGAAAAAATCATGCAAAAGTTTGTTTAAACAAACTTGTTATTGTTGATGATCGGAGAAATATGCTTCTTGAGCCGGATTCGTTTTGATTTGATCGTTATAAATCATTTCACACGTCTCTGGATGAATTTAACAAAGCAATAAAATATATACGCCTCTCACTCCACTCCTCTCATGCATCAAATGGGACGATTTTGCTGTATCACTCACACAACAAACTACTCACTCATTCTCGTTACACTTTTCCTCTCTCTTCATTTCAAAACTTTTCCAGCTCACTTTTATCCCCTTTGAAGTTAAAAGTGCTCCAACTTTAGGTCCACATTATTCTGGGTGAATAATTCATATAGAATTTACAACTGCTCCAAAATCCAACCCTGTAATATTTACGGGGGCCGTATGAAATTTTAACTAGTTGGAATTAACAGTAAGTATTGACATGGTATATACTTATGGACGGGGAGAAGAAGCTGGTGCTGACAAGGTCAACTATATGTCACGACGATGGTGGTGGTGGTGACGCTTTCTCCAGAAAATGAAGTGCAAACGTCGATGAAGAAGATGCTTCCAGAGCATTCCTACTTTTTACGTGGGGGCAAAATATGTATGCGATGTCACGCGGAAAGATGTTTGTGGTGGAACTGTTTAAAGTTTTATTATGCGGAAGTACAGAGGAGGAATTATTCATGTGCAAAGTCATTGTTTCATCTCATTCTATTTCCACAACTTTCTTTGTCCATGATACGACTGCGACAAAATTATTAAAATCGGCACCTTCTCTACACCCACCACTCTGTCTTGTCGTGATTCTTCTCTCTCTCGAGGACAGAAGAAGACGGGGGTAGATTTGATTTTTCATTTAAATGAAATTCGAGTCTAAATGAATAAAGTTAAGCTACGAGGGATTTATGTCCTCTATAGATTAATGCATGCACACGAGGAGAGGCTTCCGCGGAAATGTATAAGGAACCACCGCGGTCGGTCGGTAAGTCATTTGGGACGACGGGGAAGGAATATGAATCTATGCAAAACATATTTTCTGAATGTAAACCGGCCGCCATTTCGCCTGCCGGGTACGGAAAAAGTAAGGCAGCCGAATTAGTTGCATGGAACAAAGCAAAGCCCTCCGCTCTCTCGATCGTGACGTTATTGATATAGGAAATTTATGGAGAAAACTCTACAGGTAAATAGATACTGGATTTGGTCTAAATGACGTCGTCGACGGTGGTGGTGGTGGGAGAAGAATGGGATGAGGGACTAATTGGAGTTTGAATATGCGAGAAAGAAAATCCCAGTTTGCTACCACCACCGATCTGCCCAAGCAGACCAACTATTAGGGGAGAGAAAGCCCTGGATTTCGGGAATTGAATACATCTCACAACCACCACCACCACCCTCCGATCTCTCTCTCCTGCTATCTTTGTTTGTACTTCCTCCTCGTCCTAAACTGGATCCGAAGTGGTAATAAAATACAGGCCAACTTTTCCTTGCACCGAGAGAGAAAACCCTCGGAGAAAGTTAATCTTGTTATATCTCCACTTGTAATCCTTGCCGACAGCCAACTTTCCCCCGTCTTCTCCGACCAGGGCCAGGACATTTTACCTTTGCGGATACTTATGCTCACCAACTCACCTGTGTATTCGATACAATGCGATACATACATGCCTTGGTAAAGAAAGAAGAAACCCCCGTTTCCACACTGGTCAACATGTTATTGTTGTTCGGATGAGATGAACTGCTTTCACTAACTTACTGCTTATGACTTTCAAAGAAATCATAAAAGACGACTCGAGGCAACGATGCGATGCTATTCTGCGGTTGTAGTAGTCTTTTGTTCCGCAAAACAAATCACATCATCATTTCATGACTTGGGGCAACTCACCGACCGGCAGAGTATCGCTTACCTTGTAGTGGTCGGAATATGATATGAGATGTATGCCTTCCCCTAATTATACAACCATTAAGCTCCTTATATACTAAATAAATTCCAGATTTTGCAAGATATTGTTCTACAGAGTGGGGTCGTCGTCGCAGACACGAATTATGCATGGATAGGACATGAATCATTCAACGAAATTTGAGCCAGGTACTCATGCAAATTATGCATGGGTGTACTCACCAGTCTCAAGTTGCCTCATATGACTAAAATAACCCTTGGTTTTTCTCTTTTTTTCCTCTCTTTACAACCTCGTTATAAGTTCAATGTCAACAATTGCACCACAATCGCTACGAGGTAGAAAAGTCTTGAAAAAAGAGAGATTGCAATATTGCCCAGCACACCCACCCACCCACGCAAAATAGGTAATCCTGTCCTCATTCTACGCTTTCTCTACCGCGTTCTGATTGATATCGCAAAAGTGAGCAGATAGATATAAGTTATGTCGCACGAATACCTAATCACGGATCTCGACCAACAGGTATATACCTGTGTAAATATACTACATTTTCCATATATCGACTTATCGGACAATAAAAAATATCGGAGTGAAATGAGACCAAAAACGGGTGAAAAAAAGACTCTACCTGGCATCTATATTTGACTGTGGGACGTAGGATGGCTCCTTTCCAATCTCGACCTCGGCATTGGGCTGGAGATGAACGAGGGACGCTTCGTTAGGATCTTGCAGCGGGTAAGGGGCCACGTTCGGGAGGAGGAATGCTGCCAGGACGAAAATCGTCGCTACAAACAGTTGGGTTCCAAAGGTGTCCTTCATGATTTCAGATTTTTTTAGGTTTTTTGAAATTTTAAATTTTAACAAGGTAATCGGCAACTGGTTTCTTCTAGACTCAAAAAAATCCGAATCAAATAGACTACGAGAAAGCTTCCAATCTTTGACTGTGCAAGTGACTGTTCTTTCCGTGGAGTGAGAGCGGAGGTGAAAGTGGACTGAGACTGAAACTCTGCTGCCTGCCTGCCTGTGAGATGAGATGTGATGGGTGGAAGAGTTTTCCAGAGAAAGCGACCGTGTTCCAATTTGTAGCCAGCCTTTTATAGGCGAGGCAGAAAGAGAGGCGACGTCGACGACGACGACGAGTTTTGGTTTGTGTGTGGTCTTGTCGAACGAAACGGACGGCGTCGCTCCAAACGGACGGACGGGGGAAAAAGTACGTAAAAGTATGGACCCACCTGGCGTTAAACGTATCTACGTATGTACTACTGGACTCATTTTAATAACAGTCTGTCGTCGTTCTGTTCTTCATCATGCAGTAACAGCATCAGCATCATCACCATCATCATCTCTTTAATGCTGCCACTGGTACAGATCGCCATCCAACTTTCCAACCCCATCCGCCCCGTTATTATTCACGGGTCAAACAAATTATTATCGTTATTATTGCGAATTTCAGCCTGTGGACATAACTCTTTCGCGTATGCCTACTCTATCTAATCATAATTCTATTATATGAATCATTTTCTCATCAAAGAACACAACATCGGCAGATCAACTTGTTTCGTGGGATGATAGTTTCCCCATTAAATGTTTGGTGGGTGCATCATTCAGAAAACAAACCAAGTTTTTCGTACGTGCTGCATGTGTAAATTAAATACATGCAAGAAAACGGGATACGTAATAAGTAATGCACTGGTGAAAGCACTGGAGGAGCAGGCTCCTCCTCCACCGCATGGCTTGATCGTCATCAGGGTTTAAAATCCCTCTTAAAATCCTTCTTTATTTTGGTACACACTTCTTGGAAAAACGTAAGAGGAGGAATTGCGTTCTTAAAAAACGGCACGTACTCATCATCCGACCTTCCAATCATGCCAACTAATAACGCTCCTGATCAGTCTGATTTCTCCTTCAACTTTCTCAACCACTTGCAAGTTAAATGAAACGTAGGTACTTCACTTGGTTATTCAGTGTTGCCTTGTTTCTCAGGTTAAAAAAACATATTTCCCAGTCACATCCCACCTGGGAAATGAATGGGAATTGTTAGAACTTTGATAAATTGAAAGGTTATTAAACCTTAACAGATACAAGCAAGCTATTTATGGCACATTCTTTTTTGAAAACTGAACAAATCCAATTATAAAATTTTACTCAAATACTTATAACTTTTGTGATTTTCGAAAAATTAAAAACTTATTATCCCCCAGGATAATTTTTTAACATTATTTTTTAATGGGAAACACATTTCTCGGGAGCTTAAATTTGCAAAAGTATAATTTCATCAATTTCACAATATTTCCCAATATTTTTAGCACGGGAAGTATCCACCACTTTGGAACACTGTCGGTATGCATGCATATATATTTTCGAGGAGAAAGAATCTTTCCCGATGAAAAGCAACATAGGAGAAGAAGAACAATGGTGAATTAATTTCTGTTACGGAACAAGGATTTCAATTCATGGCTGGATTATATACTCGAGAATCAATCATATCTCTCATGATTGAATTCCAAATGCTCCTTTTGAACCAAATCCTTCCCTGCGCTGCTATTCAGACATATTATTATTGCATAAAATCCTTGCCCTGATGGTGACCTGGTTCTGGGATGAATTGAAGGATAATTCTTTTTGTCCAGTACCAACAAGACCAACTTGATTGGTTTCTACTTGATATAAATTAAATACAATAATCTCAATAATAAGATGATCATCATTTTATTTCATATTTCATAATTCCTTTCATACGTAGGAATCTGATCTTCTTATTATGTTATGCATGCAAGGCGAGTATTTACTAAGAAAGCGGATCGCTGAACACGTGGCAAATGGAATGACGCTTGTGAATAAGTGCCACACTTGCAGTTCATAAAAAATACCATTGTACAATTTGACTTCTTCTACATATTTGAACCACTTTTAAGACAAAAGAGAACGTGGCATGCTTTCCGATCAAGTACAAAAGCACATGACCCTGATCCTAATAAGCACACCCTTAGCTGAAAAAGCCTCGATTTTTAAGGATCTCAAAGAGTGCTTTATTTTGGCATCACTAGATTCCACAAATCTGCACAATTCATTTTTTTATCCTCTTTTCAAAAATTATTCTCCACACGGGGGAATGAATTAGGTTGAATGAAAAAATCCTTTGTTTCCTTCTCCCAAATTTACTACCACCACGCGTAAAATATTTCTGGTTATTAGTTCGACCTTTCGAAACAAAAGAAACGGAGTACATAACTTTTCGACACGAGGAAGGAACGTATAAAGTGTGACTAATTGGCTTCTATTCTGTTGTGAAAGTCTCACTCAATGTCAGTCAACCTCGAACAAAAGGAAACCCAACCTCATCGTCAACAAAAACAAGAAGAAGGTGAACAAGAACAAGGAAAAGAACAATTCGATTCGAGAAAGTTGTGAGAAATAGGAGCAGTCAGGATGTGGGTGGGGAAAGTGAGACGAGAGAGATACAGAACGCCCAGGCTACAGGTGGTACTTTCACCGTTTTCTCTAAGGAGTATGTACACTGGGGTGGAATGACACAGGTCGAAATTATCTATACTGCTTGTTTTGCATGACATTTCTCTATTGTTGCACTACATTCGCATTATGAACTCATTCGCTCCCCCTCGTTCTCAACAATCGGCCACCAAGGACATTCTGATTTTCAATTGTTGCCGATAGTAAACGTTGCACTGCATGAAAAACAATCTAATGCGTGAGGGCATATAAAGTGCATTCAGTTCGCCATCTGTATGTCCTATCTCTGTGCTACACCAAATCAATGTAATCGTCCTATATTGAACAGAGTAGAGCAATAAGTCCTATACCCTTTATGTATTTGTTGATCTGGTTAAATGTAAAGGGACGCTGAAGGGACGCAAATTTTGAGAATCGATACAGACAGAACCGTGTAATACGTTATACTTATGAAGGTTATGCACTATACATAATGCACATGCTTTTGAAACCTAGCATTACTGAAATGACCCAAAAGAGACCACATTTTACTCACCCTTTCTTCCTTGGACTCAACATACACTATCTCCAGCAGAAGGCAATTCTGTACATCAAACGGCACAAATTGAAAATGGGATATCCTGAAGAAATGGACGTGGTAAGATAATTTTCGCAATTCCGTTTGGTTCCTCTTGTTCAACCTATCGGCATTACTAAATAAAATAAACTAGACTGCTTTACTATGAAAAACCGTGTCAATCACTCTACCGATCTATATTCTCGCCTTATTTACAACTACAAAATTTATTGGGTTTTAATTTATTTTAAGTTAATCGGTCAAGCCGTTTTACCTCTATCGTGTCCCGGACGGACAGACATCACAAATAAATAAGCCCTGACTCGGGCTAAAAATCTGACTACGTTACAAATTACGATATATTAAAAATGCATTTAATTTGAAATAAATTCCGGCATCTGGAAGCATCCCACTGGAGATAACTGTGAAATAAGGCATTTATTTATACAGACATTTAGTGTACACACTCATGTCATCTTAATAGGAATTCACATAGTATTAATATAATGCATGCGGATATATGTATAAGTGGATAGAACTTCTTATTAATTCACCTGTAAATGTAGCATATTCTATATGTTACATTTCATGGAAGAGTACATGAGTGGAAAGATTATGCATGCATGATCAGGTATACTCTTATGGCAATGTATGAAAATTAAGCATAAATTCCAGAAACGAAGTGATTAGAATATTTAGTTTGTGAAAGATGTGTGCAAAAATTTACATCGTAGCCATTTTCCATCTCTGCTAGACGACATTGCAACATTAGTGTTCCGAAGTATTAATTTAATTTAATTAATTTTGAAAGCAAACGCGTCTCGCTATGGATGAACTTAGGAAACGGTTCGATATGGCTTCACTGCTTACTTTGGGTAAACATAGATTTTTAACTTTAATGAAACTTTAGATATAATTTTTAAATAATAATCAAGTAATTGTGGTTTAAGATACTTTACTCACATTCATCGATGGACAAATGAACATCCTCCACCGTCACATTGAGAACGGAACGAAGGAGGTGGAAGGTTAGTAAATGACTTTGTGATGCAATTTACCTTACTTTTATAAGTATCTATATTTATAACATACCGTAGAACATCTCGATAAAGAAGCCAAGAAAATTGATCCTAATAAGAAGAAAAACCCTATGACTTTTGAGAGTGGTAATTTTTTAGATTATTAAAGGTTATTGCATTATCTAAAGTGACGACATGAATTAATTGTCATAATTCATTTCCAGAATTAGAATCTGTTGTTGGACCATTTAATAAAATGCATGGAGCTTTATCTGAGGCTAAAAAAGAGCTTGAATCCACACGTCGAAAATACTTTCCTTAATTTGGATATGAAACTTATATAGATGTCATTCTATTCTAAATTAATAATAATCTGAATTAAATGAACACATTGTTTGTGCAGATATTATCAATTTCGTGTCCTTTGGCATTGCAAAGTTGAACCCTTTTGGTGGCTTGATTTCAGTCGAGAGTTTAGTCTCATGTCCCCATCGCCAGTTACCTACTACATAATGTAAAATGTTTTTCGTAAATGTGACAGGTTTTCCGAAAAACGCTTCATCAAAGTAATAATTGATTCATTCTTCTTCCTCCTCCTTTTCAATTTCCACTTGATTTTGATCCGCCCATACACAAAATTGATATCTTTGTGTCATCTACTTCCAGAAAGGGGTACCTACGTCATCGAGTCGTGTCGAGTAGTGGTAAGCCTCGTCTCGTCAAGCGATATTCCCCGTGACAGACAACAACAACAATATGGATGGATTCGATTAAATGACGAACATGATGGTAGCATTTTCCCGAAACTATCATCCTTCCTGCATTGAAAAGCAAACTAAGCAGAATAACAATATCTTGTTTACTTCTCCTCCTTTCACCCATACTTATTATACTCTCTGGAGTGAAAGTAAAACGGCGGTGAGGATCCAACTGTCCGACCACGGGCTTGTGATGATGATGATGAAATGAAACCTGCAATAGGAACACATATCACCTTTTTCGGTTTAAGAGATACTTCTGTCTCGGGTTTTTTGGTCTGTCTGTCGAGATGATGATGGGATTTATCTCTCTCGCCAATACGTCATTCCTTTACGTATGTATGGACACGTGTGAAAGTGCTGGTCTGAAAAATTTGGTTACGTATGTATTATGGACAGACAGCAGATCAGGATCAAAGTTGGTTTGAATTTTGAGGAGAGATAATTGAAAATAAAATGTTTGTGTTTTATGCAATAGAAAGTAGGTGAGGGATGCGTGGGCAGGTTGTCACCTTGATCAAATCACAAGAGACGGTATGATGGATGAAAGTGTGCATTCGTACCTTGTTTGAGGCAATGAATGAAATTCAACTTTACGCATAATTAACAAGTGTTACAGTTTCCGGTTATCATTAAATTTGTGAAGCAGTTTCATATTGTAGGGGAAGATCAGGAAGATCACTTTCTCCGTGGGCGACGTGCGTGCATCATTAAAAGCGATTTGTACAAATATGTATCATCATCACAACATACGTAATTGGTTAGGTTTGATTTTGTCCTTTATTATTCTACAGAATTATGTAGATATTATCTTTATTTATTAAGGATCACGAGTGACAGTTGGTGGACGTGATGAGTAAACGAGGATGTTTGCCGAATTCATGATAAATTTGTAAAAAAAGACAATTTTCGGTGAATTGTGACATCGTTTTCTCCCTCGCTTACCATTATTTGTGTTATCTCACTTTCCCAAACAGTAGTAATCCTCTTGATACGTGTGCAGGAAGCGATATCCTAAGTACATGGAGATCTGTGCACGTAGGACACGAACCAAGTAGGCGTATAATAACCACCCCCTCCCACACCGACTGCATGCAAAGTTTCATTGACGGACATCATAATCACCAATGGGAGAAGCAGCTACCACTCTTTCGAACTATTTATACCACCCCAAAGTCCTCCTGGAACATGGTTAATTAAGCAAAAGCAATTAGTGACACACTTGCAACTTTTTTATGCAGTGAGTGAGACCCTAATTTGATACTTGGACATGTCCCATCCCATTCTTGATAATCCGGGCTGTCAGGTTTTGCACTGTGTGACACTTGTATTATTTTGAGTACTGCATTATTTCACTCTCACTCATTAGAAGCATGCAATATTTGATGAAGAATGCCTACTCATATATAAGTACTTAAGTTGATGTCTCTACAATTTCGGAGGTATGGCGTGTGAAATAAGCCCCCATTTCAAGAACTAGTACTTAATTACGTATGCACAAAATACCTACTACGTCGTACTTACGGCTTGCGTCTCACTTTCTCTCTTCCGTTTCCAACTGCTTTTCGAATAATAAAGCAAACAAGCAGATTAGACGAATCACAAGGAAAAAGTGGAGAAAGGAAAAGGAAACTTGTTCACATGAATGATTGCTCAAAGAACAAACTATCCTCCAATCACAAATATGCGGAAAATAAATATGTATGTACCCGTGCAAAAAAATCAATCCTCTAGGTATAAAGGTAGGTAAGTTTCTGCACATGTAGGTAACAAAAATTCGCAAACATGTAATCCTTTCAATCAAGCGAATTCTTGGTGAAACAAAAAAAACTTGCAATGTTCCAATAAATTTGGTTCATGTTATGTGTTTTCTATATTACGCAAAAAAATGAATCGCCCCCCAACGGCCCGATGAAATTAGAAACTGTCAGCCACACAGTTCAAAGTCTAGCAGAAGACTTGTGTGATTGATTGATCACACAGAATCCAGAGTTGAAAGTAAAGTTTTTTTTGTTCAATATTTTCCTTATTTTACAACTTTACAGAGCTATCTCCTCCACACGGGTCGGTCGAGGGAGGAAGAAGAATAATCAATCGAGTTCTGAGAAAGTTATATAGTGCGGATTTTTATAATATTAATATTATGTTTCGTCTCGTATATTAGGAGGGTATGCACAAAGTTGGGTTGAGATTTTCCATCAAATCATGCAAATACGAGAGAGAGAGAGAGAGAAAGCTTAGGCCATACTTTCTCTTCACCTTAACAAACTTGTAAACTTTTTTCTGCTGGAAATGCCCTGGTCTGTCTTAGATTAGTGAAGAAGAAAAGGTGCACATTTTAGTGGGGAGGATATTCATATAACCGTGTCGAGAATAATAATATTCGCCATCTACTAATTAAGTACTTTTTAACCGAGCTGTGCGTGACATTGACGGATGACAAAGTAATTATAAAAAGGAGCTCGTGTAGTTATAAAAGATTGATAATTATGCAATTTGTTTCTCTCTTTTAAATACTGCACGTAAGCCGTTTTTGTGAATAAACGGTGATGATGATGGCGACGATGTCCTCTTTAATTTTCGAGTCGTATTGAATTGATGTGAATTATCCAATTTGAACCTTTTATTCGAAACAAATCAAAAACCAGGTTTGATTGACGATGTCCATTAATTAACTTGGTCATAATTAAAATGCCCATAATTAAAAGTGAAACACCCAGTTATTAATTTGTCATGGAAATATTGGAGCTGGAAACTTGCGACGAAATGAGACTTTAGCATTTGAGACAGAGCAAACAAGCAGAAACCACCGACCAACCAATCCATTGATGGAAAGGAAATGTGAACACCACACTCTCGCCACTTTCGTCAGCAATCCAGCTGGACGTCGGAAAAAGCCGGTCCAACGTTTCTCTGTCCTGTTCAACGTTCCTGAAATTTGAAACTGAAATTTAATTGAAGTAAGTTTTTGATTTGAACATTTGCAACAAGGTTTTCGCTATGTTAGAAATATATTGAGTAGATTTGACCTTGTGTCATAGTTTTAGGAAGAGAAACATTTTTCGCTTAAAAATAAACTAAAGGGTAGGAAAAATAATTACTTATAAGTAATGGTAATTGGTAGTATCATCAGGAGAAAGGTCAAGGTCATGTAAAACAGAAAGATTAAACTATTTAAGCCCGGAATTTATAGTTTTCGAGTCATCTGCGTAGATGAACTTACTTTTTTGAGAAGTGTTCGAGGAAAATAGTTGAATAATTTTAGCCCTGTTCTGGTAGACAGATAAGCCAAATATAATGCCCAACTAGGTCATGTTGACAGTTTGATTATAAAATTACTTACACTTGCTGTACTTATTTGATCCTTAGGTCGTTCATCTCCACCCACTGGAGAACAAGGATGGAGCGGAAGAGTAATGTGAAGCTGCTTGCTCTGAAGAAAATCGAACAGGAGGTTCAGGCGAGATGGGAGGAAAACGATCTCTGCAAAAAGGACGCACCAGCGTCCGTCAAAGCCTCGTACATCAGCGTGGACACGGATGGAAATTTTTTCTCTCTCGTGGACCAGGCCAAAGCTAGACGAAAAGCGGCCGATCTGGCTCGTGGGAAGGAGACGAAGGAGGGAGGGAAGAAAAAGAAGTGGAAACAAGAACCAAAACCGAAAAAACCAGAAGTTGTCACGACTTTAGTTGACTACCATCCCGGAAAGAGTAAGTTCTTCGTCTGTTTCCCTTATCCGTACATGAACGGTAGGCTCCACTTGGGCCACACATTCTCTCTTTCGAAATGTGAATTCATGGCGAGATATAAGACCCTGCGAGGTTACGATGTCCTCTTCCCGTTCGGATTCCACTGCACTGGAATGCCCATTAAGGCTTGCGCGGACAAGTTGGAGTATGAAATGAAGACATTTGGAAATCCTCCCAATTTTCCAGAGGAGGGGGAAGAGGAGGAAGTAGTTGTGAAGGAGGATATTGAAACTTTGATGAGTAAGGATAAGTCGAAAGGGAAGAAGAGCAAGGCTGCTGCAAAAACTGGGAGTTCAAAGTGGCAGTGGAACATCATGCTGAGTATGGGTATTCCCAGCGACGAAGTGGCGAAATTTGCAGATCCTCAACACTGGCTGACGTATTTTCCTCCATTGGCGATTCAGGATTTGACCAGGATGGGAATATATGTATGTTTGTAGTTTAACAATTTATTATAGTCGTTCATGTTTCACGTTATAACTTGTATACATTATTTTTTTTAAATAGACTGACTGGCGGAGATCATTCATCACGACTGATTCGAACCCATATTACGATAGCTTTGTTCGATGGCAGTTTAATTTGTTGTACCAGCGAAAGAAGATCGATTATGGGAAGCGCTACTGTATCTACAGTCCTAAAGATGACCAGCCATGTATGGACCATGACCGTTCGACTGGAGAGGGTGTAGCTCCTCAAGAGTACACATTGATAAAACTGAAACTGGAAAATCCGTTCCCTCCATCCCTTCAAAGTTTGGTGGAGACTGGAGTTTTGAAACCGAATGAGGAAGTTCATTTGGTCCCAGCAACACTGCGTCCTGAAACTATGTGAGTCTTGTATATTCTATTTTAAACAAAAGGAGTTATTCCTCATATTCTATGTAGCACTACATACTAATATGACTGATGTATTTTAATTTAGGTACGGACAAACCAACTGCTGGATCCATCCAACTATTCAATACGTTATTATTCGAACGATTTCTCATGGGGTATTTATTTGCTCCAAGCGCAGCGCCAGGAACATGAGTTATCAAGGTTTCTTCGAAAAGCCTGAAGCTGGTAGTGGTGGTGTTCCCACTCTTGGAAATATTTTGGGAGTGGATTTGATCAATTGCATGGTCAGTTCAAAACTCAGCCATTACAAAACCTTTCGCATTCTGCCTCTCCTCTCTATAAAAGAAGATAAGGGAACGGGCGTAGTAACTTCCGTTCCTGCAGAAGCTCCCGATGATTTTGTTGCGTTTGAAGACGTGAAAACTAACAAAGCTTTCTGTGCCAAATACCAAATTGATATGAAGGACTTGGAATCAATAGTGCCGGTAAGGACTAAAGAGAATTCTTCATCTATTTCATGCGGTTTCTAATGTTTCAATACGAATTTAAGTGCTATTTTTATTATAAAAAAACTTAATTTGTAGGTTGCTGTTTGCGAAAGTGAAGAACTGGGAGAATTTCCTGCCGTCAAAGTCTGTACTGAAATGGGAATCACTTCCCCAAATGATAAAGAGCGCCTTACTCTAGCCAAGGAGAAGGTGTATCTGAAGGGATATTATGAAGCAAAGATGTTTGTCGGGGAGTTTAAAGGGGAAAAGGTTCAAGATGTGAAAAAGAAGATTCAGGAGAGCATCATCAAAAATCAAGACGGGGTCAAGTATATGGAACCAGAGAAAGAAGTAATTTCTAGGTATGCAATTTACCTATGACTCAGCAGAGGCAAATTTCGACTTGAATTCTCTTTAACTGGTTTCATTTACTAACTGTTAAAATTTTAATTTATGTTATTGTTTAGGAGTGGTGATGAGTGCGTGGTCGCTTTGTGTGATCAATGGTTTCTCAATTACGGTGATGAGGAATGGAAAAACCAGACTCGAACCCACCTGACCTCGGTGGAACTCTACCATGACGAGGTTCGCAAAAACTTTGAGGCCACCTTGGACTGGCTTCAAGAGCATGCTTGTTCACGAACGTACGGACTCGGAACGAGACTTCCGTGGGACCCAAAGTGGCTCATCGAATCACTTTCTGATTCCACAATCTACATGGCGTATTACACCGTAAAGCATTTGGTTGAAGGAACTTCCATTTTTGAAAGGAACGGTCTCCCGTAAGACACCTATCATCTCATATTAGTTGACAGGATGAAATGCTAACGGTATTTTTTTAGCCTGGAACTTTTGACGGACGAAGTTTGGAGTTATATTTTCTTCTTCGACTCCCCCATCCCCGATAAATGTGGAATTGATTGTATGGTGCTGAATAACATTCGAAACGAGTTTCATTACTGGTATCCGGTGGACTTGCGAGTCTCGGGAAAAGACTTGGTGCAAAACCATTTAACTTATTTTCTGTATAACCATCTTGCAATTTGGCCCAAGGATCCGTCCAAGTGGCCAAAGGGAATCAGGGCAAATGGGCATCTTTTACTCAACTCTGAAAAAGTAAAAACAAAAATTCTATTACACAATCAGCTGCAAGTTTGAAAACTTACATTAATTATGCATTATTTCTTGAATTGTAGATGTCCAAATCAACCGGAAACTTTATGACTTTGTACGAGGCTCTGGATACCTTTGGCGCAGATGCTATGCGATTCTGTTTGGCTGATTCTGGCGACTCTATAGAGGATGCCAACTTCGTATCTTCCATTGCAGACGTCGCCATTCTCCGTCTCACCGCTTTTATCGATTGGGCATCGGCATTTTACGCCGATAAAGAAAAGTACCGGAAAGAAGAAATTGAAGAAGAAGTAGAAGAAAAAGAAATGGAAAAAGAAGAATACAAAGGATTAGTGAAACCAAAACCAAAACCAAAACCAAAAGAACCCGAGTACCTCTTCGCAGATGATTACTTTGAAAAGTAATCCCATATCTTCTTTTCAACTAAAATTAACACATACTTTAGAAACCTTGCAAATGCTAATACATATGTTCTGTTTTGTTGTCATTATTAGCTTAATGCACAAGTTCATTCAAGATACGGCGGCAAATTACGAGAAAATGTTATTTAAAGAAGCCTTGAAGACGGGATTCTTCGAAATGCAAACTGCTCGTGACAAGTACAGAGAGCTGGTTGGTGGCGAAGAGAAGATGTACATGGAGTTAATTGAACAGTTTATTACGTTCCAAGCACAAATTTTGTGCCCAATTTGCCCTCATGTCGCGGAGCATGTTTGGGCAAATATTTTACAGCTCGTAAGTACAGAAACATTTCAAAAATTTTAACAAAACTGCGAAATTTTATTAATAAATTGACACTTTATTATTGCAGGATACCTTTGCGGCAACCTCAATTTGGCCGATGGATAAGTTAGTTAATCAAAGTATTCTCGAAGCTGGAGAGTACGTCTTCTCGTCTGCGCGTTCATTCCGACAACGTTACGGCGCTTATATGAATACACTTGCGAAGAAGAAGGGTAAAGATGGCGTGATGGAGAAACCAACTCACGGTTATATTTGGTACGCCAAGACATATCCCGCATGGCAAGCTACCATTTTGGACCACCTTTCTCAGAGTGTGAAAGACGGAGCACTTCCCGACAACCGAACTATTGCTGTCGAATTGGGAAAGATACCTGAACTCAAAAAGTATCAAAAGAAAGTGATGCCATTCGTTCAATTCGTGAAAGAACGAGTGGAGAAGACAGGAATTGAAATCGGACTGAAACAAGCCTTAGATTTTGATGAAAAGAAAGTCCTCCTGGACAATCGGACATATTTCTTGTCTAACCTCAACGTATGTGTTGGTTTTTTGTCTTTCAGTGTTATTAGAAAGTTTTTGAATGAATTATCAAGATAATAATAAGTTTGCAATTTTTAACATAACTTTTTGCCAAATAAATTTTTACAGCTTGAGCGGATTGAAGTTCTTTCTGCGGAGGATTGTAAAGAAGAGAAAATCAAAGACGAATGTATTCCTGGACAGCCTTATATTACTTACGCCAGCGGATTCAGTAGAAACCTATACTTGACTAATCCCCAGCCTCATTCAGCTCGTCACTCTGGAAGAATCATTATACTCGATGGGGATGATATAAGCCATCTCAAGGCACGCATGGTGTCTACGAAATTAGTTAAACGTAAGAAACCATTCCATAAGATCATAGGACTCTGTGTCTCAATTTAAGGTCTAACAAATAATAATTATTTGCCCAAATCTTTCAGCATCTACTCAAGTCGAATTTTTCCGCTACAAATACCCGGACCTTGGCCCTCGTAAAATCCCCGACGCTCATCTCATGAAATCGGAAGATTGGCTCTGCAAACTGGAAGAGTCTGACAAGATCTCTTTCACTCCGGAAGATGAAACGACCTACGTTACAGTGACGGTCGATGGGAAAGAAACCAAAACGGTACTGGGAGCTCATGCCGTCTATCGCGTCGAACTTATCCATTAATAAGGCATATTTTGTTACTTGTTAAATCCAAAACTAAATTATATGTTAAGGATTTGTTCACTATATCTATATTGATTATAATCTAAATTCTGTATGTATGTATGTAAGTACATATAAAAAATTATTAGTATTGTATGTTTATGTACATGTATGTATACATTGTTTGTACCGGTAAGATGAGCCCTAAAACACTTGAATAAAAATTGAAAAATTAAAACTTTATATTGATGACTATTGTTGCACTTTTTCAATTATTTGCGATTTATTTAACATCGTTCTGCCACTTTTCGCCCGTTACTCGTCAAAAGTCCCTTATCGAATTTTGACAACAATCTTTGACGAATACATTTTATTTTTTCTTCTTGTTCAGTGGGCAAATTAACAAAAATATTGAGGAAGATGGTTTGAAATTGAAATAATATTTGTTACTCTTATGGACAATTTACGAGTCCATCCATAAGGATTGTCGTCATAGATAACATGACAAATTATTAGCAGGGAAAGACAAGTGAGACATTTGACACGTTGAGAAAATGGGAAAAATGAGACGATTGGCCTCAAAAAACCAGCAGGTAGTTGGTTATTAGTTGGTCTCCAGCCCCGGCCTCCCATCTCGTGGCCGCCGTCTAAATCGTGCCCATGCTGCTGCAAGTCTTCTCACTCACAAGCAGCAGTTCTCTCCCTCGATCTACCATTCAGGCCTCCACTCATCCACACTTCTTCAGTTTTTAAATAATCAGTTTTTTGAAAAATTACAAGAAATCCGGAAACATGACGAGGGACACGAATATCCAATCTGTCCAAGTCTTTGGGCGCAAGGTAAGCAGTTATCTTCACTTATCAGTAGGAGGATAAAGTAGTGAAGAAAGAGAGATGATTTTGTATCATCCATGCCGGTAGTGTGCGACACGACTTAATTAGTTTGTTTCTTATTTTCTTTTAGAAAACAGCGACGGCGGTGGCATATTGTAAAGCTGGTCGTGGACTGTTAAAGGTCAATGGGCGACCATTGGAATTGGTAGAGCCAAGGATCCTCCAAGCAAAATTGATGGAACCAATTCTTCTTCTGGGAAAAGTAAGGGCTGTTTAATTTAAGAAAGAGTGGGAGAGGGAAATAATAACTAATGAGCGAATACGTTGTACTAATTAATTGAATGTTTTTTTGTAGGATCGCTTCGCAGACGTTGACATCAGGGTCCGAGTAAATGGTGGTGGTCACGTCGCCCAGATCTATGCTATCCGTCAAGCCATCTCTAAAGCTTTGGTTGCTTACTACCAAAAGTGTAAGTGTGCATAAAAATACTTGCGTCTGTCAGTCTTAATAATTATCTGAGAGATTTTCTGACATTAATTAACATTTGTCCCAATTTTTGCTCTCCAGATGTCGACGAGGCTAGCAAGAAGGAGATCAAAGACATTTTGGCCCAGTACGATCGTAGTCTTTTGGTAGCTGATCCTCGAAGATGCGAACCTAAGAAGTTTGGAGGTCCTGGTGCACGTGCCAGATACCAGAAATCCTACCGTTAATATCTTTATTATCAAATTCCAGGATGTTTGGACTATGACAGCCGACTTTTTGTTGTAATAAATCAAAAATACCTGAAACTTTTGACTTATGAGTTTAATCTTTTTTATGGCATGGTTAGTTTACAGGCAGGTAGAAGTAAAACGTATGTATGTATTTTTTCCGTCAAATATTTTATAAGCAAAAGCGACATACTGAAATTTTTGGTTGCATTGTTCTTATCAAGTTCAGGAATTTAAATATTTGGTAGGAGTAGGAAAGATACATCCATGTCTCTGTCTCTGTTTTCGACGTTATTAGTCATCGTCTTATCGAATAATACTGGTTTTAATGTGACACGCGCAACAACAAGTCGTCTCTCCTCATTTATTTAGCTGGCAATTACATCAAGACGACAAATCTGGGCGATTTATTCCCTGTTGCACAATTGCTGTGCAAATGAAGGACGACGAGACAAATGTGTTTTTTTTCACAATGCTATTCCGCTTTACGCTGCTCGACTTATTTAATGGTGTCTTTTTCTGTTACATTTTTAGCCAAAAAAATCTTGCCGATTCCATTAGTTGTTGCGCATCATGATGGGTAACATTCCTCTGAATGCATTTAATCTGGGATAAAAAAAAACAGAACACGAGGAGTATGGAATTTTTTTATGGAATAGTTCACTTCACTCAAGGTTTCTCCACTTTTCGAATTTTGGCAAGGGTTCATAGTTCATGTGCAAGCATCGTGAGAAGCGGAATTGATGCATTAATTATTTTGTGTAGAGATGGGCACGCAAACATAAATATTCATACATGGACATTGGAATGTTACACAACATTCCAATAAATGAATGTGACCCGTGTCATCTTCATCTCAAAGTTTAGAAATATGTACAATATTATCCAACAAACAAAAAATGATTCGCGTACAATTCAGTCCATTTTCATTACTCGAAATGAAATGAAACTGATTTCAACAACGTTATTGCTGTTACGTATGATCAAGTCATTTTACGGACAAGTGTTCAACAGGACAAAACATTTTAATGAAACTAATTGAATTAATACATTTCCAACCTCAACACTCTACAAGTTGTTGGGAATCAAATTAGTTTGATGGGTGCTAAGAAATAACCAATAAATTTGTTTTGTGTGCGAATTAGTGCGTTATTGTGCTAATTTCACGTGATTGCCAAAACTCACGAGCTAAATGTTAACGCCATATGAATCATAATTCTTCATCGTAGTCTAAAGGTTGGAAAATAATACTTTGTTAACTTTTTTAAATCGCAATAACATAAATATGCATATTGTATGATTTTATAACAACGTACGACACATAAAAAAGTTTGCCTGCTGCTAATCATTCGTCATCCAATCTTTACACTCATAATACTAATAATTAAAATCATTTTCTCAACTGCGGAGTTGTCGTTTGCATGAATTATCCGACACGACGCGAGGGCTAGCTCATCTTCTAGGACGACAACGACGACGCCTGGGTTCATGACAAACGAATGGGGTGAGCTCCTGGTCTGGTCGAAATAACCAAGCAATAATATTGTGTATTATATAAAACGAGCAATCGTGATCATGTTGTGCTTTTGCCACGGTGGTGCATTTCACCTCATTTAATAAACTATGTGCATACATACATAGCTTGCCTTCCATCGTGTCGCAATCGTGGAACGATTCCCTCCCAGCTCCTCAGTTCGACGCTTGCCCTTCTGGGACATTGATCATTGTGTGTGTCTCCTCCTCATCCCGTCGTTTCTTGGCTTTGTTCCCCGAAATCCGGACCGGGCTAACATTTTTTGTGCAGTTCTTCATCGGCGCCAGCAAAATTCTTTCCTCCTCATTGCAGGCAGTGGTTTAGTTGGCATTTATTATCCGGAACAGCGACATGGTGTCCTAATCTGATCTGATTCCTTCGTCGTGAAATTAAAATTGTAAGTTTCCAACAGTGACTTTTTTTTATCTCAGAAGAAAAATTTACAATTGTAAACGAAATCATTTCTGTCTGCGCAATTAGAAAGTTACAGACATACAAATCATTAAGATCATGCAAAATTGGTGTACATGCTAAGTAAAAACAGATAGAGCATATTTTGTCAATGTGCGAATTATACGGAGCTCCGTGCTAAAAACTCGTCTCAGCACCAAAACTACATCGACATTCATTCATTTCGTAATAATAATCTTGAGTCAGTCCGAGAAGCAAAGTTGGAGTGAAAGTGAGTGCATTTGGCATGTGAGCAAAACCCTGGGTTTAGGATTCATTCATTCATTCATAATCTGGTATGAAATTATTTTTAACAGTTTTCTTATTTTAGAATTCATCCTGTTTACTCTCCACATAAATAGAATCAGATAAATTCCGTACAAGTGCATATGCATAAATTCCATATTTTATACGTATGTATAAACTTGTTGCATAATCGTATTGAAAAACGGAAGCGAAATATTTTAGACGGATACAAATCGTCAAAGTTGGAAGTGTCATGCATCACGATTTAATTTATCGTGAGCCAAAAAAAAATGAAATATTTTGCCTGCGTGGGTTGGCAGTTGGATCGGTGGTTATTTAAAAATTGTGCTTATCTGAATTTCGTCCACCCAAACACACCCTCCCACCCACAACAGTCGGCCAGAGTCTCTAATATATCATCTTGGTGCATGACATCCACAATTATATTTATTCAAGTCCCATTCCCATGTGCATAAATATTTCCTGTCATGAAACATTCCAAGAGAAACAAGGTTGACCAACTTTGCCAAAGTTTTTTTTTCTAATGCGGCACAACCAGCATTTTTTTTTATTCATGAAAGAACTGATAAATTTCTATGAGGCTAATTAAACCGTGTTAAGACAGGCTGCTGTTACATAAATCCACATTTTATCCACCAACCATCCATCCATCCATACCTACAATGAACTTTGTGCTACTTGAGCCACCTTTATAGTTATTCTTGCCAACAACATGGTTTCATTTCTATTCAAAGGATTCAAAATTAATGAGAATCGTTCTTTATTGTTGTTTATTCATCCTGTAATTCCGTAAGGTGAGCGAGGATGTGGTTCTTGTCAGGTTGTTATTTATGCATCAGAGTTGTTCCGTTCTTGACTTTTGTTAAATTATGATGACGATGCGAGGATGATCTGAATCAATATTTACTTCTTCTCAACATGACCTTTTTTTCAGGCAGATAATTAATGTAGATAATTCCCTCGATTAATTTCAGTCTTGCATTCTAAACGGACCAATATCTGCATTGCATTACGGTATCCTATTCCAATATATGCGTCACTAATTGTCTGAAAAACTCGATAGGAATCGTTTTCATAATATTCGTGGCATGGAAATCACTAGATATTTCATAATCCTGCCTTTTTATTAAACAGATATCACAATGTCAATTTTTGGTATTAATATCAAAATCTGCATATTAATGATACTTACTTTACGTGCAATGACGTCGGGTCCATGGGGGATAAATTGTATCCGACACTGCGAGATTTATTACAAATCCAGATAGATAATACTTTGGTATATCCTGATAAGTGTGGCATATACGTAGCGTGGAGTCCCTGATATCCATATATTCGTAAACAATTAGAGAGCGATTATAAACATGCTCCTACTTTTAATGACGCAAATTATTATTCTGTAACACGTCTCTCTCTCTCTCGGGCAATGTGTAATAAAAATTCTATTTTATCCGACCATGAAAGGACAGAATTATATACTAATCACCCTCCCACATAATGCATATCAGATCATTGTACTATACATACATTTCAACATATTTATTTATTTATGTATAGAAGAAACAATTATGTATGCAGAAGAAACGACCAAATTAATTCGAACGACCAATCTTTCTGGGAGGTCTGCCAGTTTATTTAATGTAGAATTTGGACACTATTCACTCTCACTCAATGTCAAACAGGGTCGTTTTCATGGTTCAATTTAAATTTGAAAAGTGAAAGCGTTCGTGAATATTCTAAACAGATTTTTTTTAATGAATGGCATGACGAGTTTCAACTTCAATTTTTATGCAATGTTTATGCATTCTGATTAGAATTAGTTACATAAATATGCCCAAAATGCTGGACATTTATTTTCATGTAATTCATTTTACAAAGCTTCAATTATGAGTTAAAATTATCGAAAAGTGGCTATAAAAAAATTCCATGCTAAATTTATAGCTTTTATTAAGGGCACCATAAATACTTTGGTCTGTTAATATGTCTGAGGTCAACGTCAACGGTGCTCATATAAAATGATAACCGATGCATCCACGTATGTACAAATATTGACGCTGTTTTGTCTGCAACTCAGTGGGTAAATTGCATTTCCTTCGTATCATTAAAAACAAGTGATCCTGGTAAAAACGTAGGCTTTACTTATACGTGATTGATAACTGGCCTGAGATAAGATTACAGACGGTGATTCAGCCTTTTGTCATCGATGCGACGGCATGTAAATATCATGTCAACTAATATTTTACAAAAAAAATCTTGACATTTTTATGCAAATTGCTGATAATGGGACATTTCAGTCGCATAAAGTTCTTGTATCGGACCAATTGTAAATCGGGCGTGGTGGTAAATTGGTAAATATCCAACGGCTCAATGGGTGGTGTTTTAAGGTTGCAACCTCTTCTAATTTTGAGCATGCAATTGCAATGACGAGTAAATTGTGATGATGAAGCGATCACGACGTAAGTAGCAAGATAACGTCTCACTTTACCTGGTACGTATTATTACACGGAATAATAATCTCATCAGTCGTAAAAAAACGTGCATCATTATTATTTCTTGGTTATCTGAAAATGCTGCGATTTTTGCAGTAGTGTGGAATCAAAGTAAAATTTTCACACAATTACAACATCATTATTCTTCTTCTTATTCCAGCAAGACGCAGTGTTCACCCACCGTAATTGATAAAAGACATCACTTAACCTTATCGACATGATTATCGTGGACGAGTCGGAACCCATCGGAGGTACTCAATTTGTCTCAATGTAACCTTCCCCCAGTCAACAATTTATCCATTAACACCAAACTTTTCACACTAATTTGTGTTCAGAACTCGCCCCAACATTTGCCTACCGAGACGTCGCCCTCCGTCGCGACACGCCGATACGGGACGCGTACGAACTCCTCAATGAAATTGGCAGGTATCTAAATACGTCTCGCTTGCCCCCAATTTCAATAACGTCCTCGCCTCTATTTCCTAGCTTGTGACTTTGTCAAATACTTATTTATTTATAGCACAACACATTTACGATGGTCATATTACTCATGTTTTCAAGTTAAATGTCACCCCTCTCTTAAATCTTGAGTGGTACAATGTTGACCAAGTTTTCGACAGGCGTGCCAAGAAATGATCCATAATTTATGTATTTTTTTGTCCCGTCCTAGGGGGAAGTTTGGTCGCGTGTACAGGTGCAAAGACCGCGGGACGGGGTTGCTCTTGGCCGCAAAAGTGGTCTGTGTCCCCCGTCGGGCGCGGGAGGAGCGTCAAAATGTGGAGCGAGAGATGGAAATCATGCGACGCCTTCATCATCCCAGAATCATCCAACTCTTCGATGCCATTGAGGACGTGGAGAATTTAGAAATGTGTCTCATCCTTGAAATGTAAGTGTTGTTATTGGAAGGAAGAGAAGGAAATGAACCATTATTCACATTTTTTTACACCACTTATGACAGAAACAATTACAGTTTGTAGAGAAAAACATTTTTTTTGCGTAGTCAACCTTTAAAGGAACCAAACTGCAACAAGTTAACTTAACATGCAATGAACGAATGTGTGTGTGTGTGCAAGGCAATTTCAAACTTAAAATAAATAACTCTGAAAATAACTTAGTGAGGCTTGAACTTCACATTATTATTTTGGATGATGGAAGGAAGCTGGTCGGGTGCCAAGAATAGTAAAATAAGAAACTTTTGGCAATTGAATGAATTCACACCATTCTGCAATCTGCTCCATGTCCTGACCTTTTGTCAGCTCTCCGTCCTTTACTTAACTTTTTATGTATGTGTGTAAAACGGAAGAAGAACGGAAGCAGTGTGTGAGGATGAGATATATGAGATTAGTCGTTAGTTCGTGGTGGATATGTTTGCTTGGTATAAAACACACCTGCTCCCACGACAGGCAGTCATACGAAACAAATATGTTAAATGTTCCATAGTACGTTAAAAGTACGTTAAACTTAAGCTAAGTAAAAACGGATGGTGATGGTGATCAAGAATGAAAAAAATGTCCTCGTTACTAAATTTTTTCAGGGTTGAAGGTGGCGAACTGTTTGATCGGGTCATTCAAGACGAGTTTGTCCTCACGGAGAAATCCTGTTCCATTTTTGTTCGACAGATTTGTGAGGTGTGGAAATATTCGGGATGAAAAATAGTTCTGAAATTCTTGAGCTGTACTAATTGGGGAATGTTTTTTTTCAGGGGGTCGAGTACATACATTCCAAAAATATTGTACATCTCGACATGAAGCCGGAAAATGTCATGTGCGTATCAAAATCTGGAAACCGCATAAAAATCATAGACTTTGGTCTGGCAAGATTTTACGACTCGTCTAAAAAGCTGCAGGTATAAAGATGGTAATTTTTTAGATGGTGTATGTACACATGTCAAGCAATTTTATGGTGTACTTCAGGTTCTCTTTGGCACCCCGGAGTTTGTGGCACCGGAAGTAGTCAATTTTGAAGAGATAAGCTACACGACGGACATGTGGTCTGTCGGCGTCATTACGTACGTCCTCCTCTCCGGCCTCTCACCCTTCATGGGAGAAACAGATGTCGAAACAATGGCCAACGTTACCATTGCAAAGTATGACTTTGACGATGCTTGTTTCGACGATGTATCCGATTACGGGAGAGATTTCATTGAGAAATTGCTGAGGAAGAGTAAGAGGTAGAAAAAATGAAGCAAATATAACCATCTATTTAGAATTAGTAAATAAAAATTTCTGCAACTTATTCCTTATCATTTAGCGAGCGAATGTCAGCCACCGACTGCCTGAAGCACTCGTGGCTTCAAGCATGCACCCACCAAAAGACGACCAATTCAGCGGAGAGTGACGGATCTGAGTGTGAACTGGAACTAATCGTGGACGACCTTGACCTCCCCGACCTGCAAAAGGAGGACGAACTATCAAGCTGTTCTGGAACACCGGACAGCATCCTGCTCTCGACCTCAACCAACCGCGAGCCTTCTCCGCGACCCTCGGCAGCCTACCTGTCCACCAAACGCGCCAGTCTCGACATGTCCAAGGACAACTTGAAAGAGTTTGTCACCCGGTATTCGGACAACCCCTACGTTTTCGACAGTCCGCGAGGAATCATCAGTCACGTGAATGGAGGCGACAGGGCCACCACGCCAAAAAGATTTCACACCTTGAAAACGCCCGAGAGGAGCAACTCGTCGTCTCGATCTCTACTTAAACAAACGTCGCCTCCGCCACTCGCGGAAGGGAAAACTGACGGAATCAACTTGGTAAATCAAATCAGACGTTTCTCCAAACAACTTCATGAAGAGTTGGAAATCATGAAGAAACAATGTCATCAAGACTGCACGGTGAATGGTAACAACAATAATGCTCTGCGCAAGTGCTCCTGGGGAGATGTTTCGGTTAATGCCCACTGAACTGTATTATGAATAAATTGTAGTCTTAGGTTATGGTATATTTATTTATTTCGATAAGAACACATATCTGAATGAATTGTCACAAGGTATTACATCAATGAGACATTATACATAAGTATCGATTTATTACTATATTGTTATTATTATACGTATGATAATTACTGTACAACTTGAACAATTAAATTATAAAATATATATATAATTTGAGAGAATGCAGCTGAACAAAACATTTCAGTTTTTAACGTATTTATAGTCCTATAAATACGACAGTTCTCATTTACATATACTGAATTTCATTATGCCAAAATGTTTCAATATCCCTAACTTTGTTTACTTTATATCAGGAAGGAATGTTAAGTAACACAGATATTTACTGAAATTTCGACACTTTAGAAAATTTTATGAAAATTTCACCCCCGATTTTACAAATCTGCCCAGAACACTTTATCAATTGGTTTGTCATGTTCATCAGTTGGAATATGGTCGACAATCTGTTCACGATAAGCGAGACCAATCGTAACGGGTGGGGTTTTTTGTTGAGATGTGAAACATTTAGCAAGGTATGTATCATAATATCCTTTCCCACGACCTGGTCATACACAGATAGGCTGTGTTATCATCATAATTCGCAATTATTTAAATTACATCCATACCAAGTCGGTGTCCAGTCGCAGAAAATGCTAACCCCGGAACAAGTATTAAGTCCAATCCTCCTTTTAGGTGTGCAAAAAATAAATATTATTATTTTTTCTAGTGCACAATTGACAATTTAGATAGTATTTTTGTTGTGTATGTATCAGAATTTTTCATCAACCTGACGCGAGAGCTTCCACCCTCCCCTCGGTGGCTTCCGGTTGCTTGATATTCCACTTGGTCAGAGGAAGGTTGAGATAATCCTCGTAGGAAAACAGGCTTAACATTTCCATCTCCGTTTTTGTGTACCTATTAGATTTGTGTGAAAAGTTGTTTAATTAAGAGATTATGTAATTAATGACAATTATAAATTTACTCAAAACCTGGGAACGAAACAAGTCTTTCCGGAAGCAAATACATCCTTAAGGATATCGAGAGTGGAGACTTCATCGGACATGCTGAGGTAGAGGCAAACCCTCCCACTTCGCTTATACTCGGGACATGATAACACCTAAATAGAAATAGATAAGCATTGAATGGTTGGTTTGTAACTTGTGCGTTAGTCTTTTCCAGCCCTGAACTCTATATTCAATGTAATTTTAAAATACTGACCAACTTAAATTAAATGGTAAAGTACGTGAAGCATGAAAAAATGTCTCAATTATGTGTAAATCTTTGAAGTTTGAAATAAAACATTGGGAATGATAAACTTTCATGAGCCCACCGTTTACGATAATCAATAACTAATTTTAAAAGTTATAAAAATGAATTGCAATTTGTCATAATTTTATTATTGTTACCTTCTCAGTTACAATGGAAGATTGTCTTGACCTCTCCTGCACCGTCATTGAGCTCAACCTTTGTTTAATTTCTTGTCGCAGTTTAGATTTTGCGACGGAATTAGAGAACATTTTCACGGATAAGTTCTTCGGTCTGCTACAAAATATGTAGTTGCAATATAATCACAGAGACGCCTAAATAAATATCTAATGCTTTCTGAATCAATCTATCTGACTGATTTCTTGGTTGGTATACACTAAGATTACAAATTAATATCAACAGCGTGATGATGATATGGAATTAGTTACTCAGATGTTCGTCTGATAATTTAATATTCATCTGACGAGGATTAAGAATATTTACATACAAGAGCTTTATATGTTTAAGATATATGCATACAAAATTGAGACATCAAACACGTGCATATTTAGACAAAACTGGGCCCAATAAGAGGTTTAGAGGTTGTACATAATTCCACTTGCAGCATAATAAATAACATTCCTGCCTGACTACTTGAAATTTCTGCATGATAAATTTGACACTTTCACCCTGCAACAGATATGCTTTCTCCAAATGAGAAAGAAAGCAGGATGACAAAACCCATGAAAAACCCGACGTTTACATACATGTGGTTAGTATGATGTAACGAGTGATCAGCTGCACAAAGAATTCTTACAAAAGTAACAAGTTTAAAATTTACAAGAACAAAATACTGAAAATTAAACATTCGTTATGAAAAATTAAGAAATCTTCCTTCTTGGAATGTCATGCAGCAACAAAATTTACTAAAGTAAGTAACGCAAATCCTTAACAATTTAAATTGATTTTCGCAATTTATATTATTCCTTATTGTACTTTTATGGCAGGAAATTTTGAGGAACTTGGTGAATTGAAACGTGCCGTTTGAAACTATGTTCTCCACTTACATTCACAATATTGACGAGCAGGCTGTGTAAGCTCGCTAAAAGTTAAACGGACCATGACGAGAGCGCCGGAACAGGTAAAAGAAATGTCGTACCGTGGCCTCTTTGACGGACAGGTAAGCAACGAGTAAAACTTCGCGAGGCCACGGTACGACATTTCTTTTACCTGTTCCGGCGCTCTCGTCATGGTCCGTTTAACTTTTAGCGAGCTTACACAGCCTGTTGACGAGGCCAATGGAAAAATCTGAAAATTCGCAAAATGGAACAACAACATGGAACGAGTCAAAGTAGTCAAACTGCAACTGCAGGCGTAGCTCCGAATAAGTGTACCGTTTATGTCTCCAACTTTTCATACAGTCTGACGAGCAATGATCTACACAAAGTATTCGAAAAAGTGGGCAGGGTTGTCAAGTAGGTTTATTTTCATACATTTAAGTATTTTGGAAAACTTTAATTAAGACCATTTTGCGTCTATTATTACAGGGTCACCATTGTCAAGGACCGTACCACTCGAAAAAGCAAGGGCATCGCTTTCGTTCTATTTCTCCGACAACAGGACGCTATCCAGTGCGTAGATCAATTTCATGAGAGTGAGGTGAGCAAAATAAAGACATAATTACTTAAATTTCCAAGATTAATTAAATTACAGTGGTCAAAATCCTTTGTAGTTATTTGGGAGAACAATAAGTTGCAGAATTGCGAATGACAATGGAAGATCTGCTGAATTTATTACGAAACGCAAGTACCCCGACAAGTCTAGATGTTACGAGTGTGGCGAAATTGGTCTTCATTTGAGCTACGACTGTCCCAAAAATTTACTGGGTCCGAGAAAACCTTTGAAATCCAAGAAACCGAAGAAGAGAAAAGATCGGGATTTTTGTAAAGGCTCAACTAGTACAAAAGAACAGGATAGCATTTCCAATTCATCCAATAATACTGACAGCGACAATGATGGAACGGACGATGAAGATGACGATTCATTAAGTGCAGCCATTAAGATTCAGGTGAGAAACTATAAACCTTGATAGTTTAATTGCAAAAATTTAGGTTAGGATTTTGATGTAATTTAATTTTACAGCAATGTAAAGAGGAACAAGAAGAGTATCGAATGAAAGTTGCGACTGGTAATTATAGTTTGTCGGACTGTGAAATTTCCACCACAAGTAAAAAACGTCGAATCAAACAAAGTGAGTATTTCTCCGACGAAGAAGAAGAAGAGGAAGAAGTGGAAAAATTATGATAGGCGTCGATAAAAACGGGCGCCGATTGGTATTTCATAGATCTCCATCTTCTAAAATTCGGTTATTAAGTATTTATAGAAAAAGCCTAGCATTCCCCACGAATTCAAATCACTTGAAAATAAAGTATATTCATAAAGTTAAACAAGCTTTACGCACAATTAACACCGGTAATCAGTTTGAAACACCATCTTCATATACTTTGATCCAAAAAGTCTTATACACCAAATAAGCAAAAAAAAAAATTATAAAAACTCCGTTACATTAGGAAAGTTTGCCCAGAAATTTTATCGCATCGATGTTGTATTACAAAAAAGTCTCCATCTAAATGAGATGACCTCTCCATGTAATTGTGAAAGTTTAGATTTTTATTACGATTTTAAGCCGTGATTCGACATGGAATACATACATTTCCTTCATTGTCCATTAATCAAACTCGCGTGTGAATTCTTTAAGTGACAGCCAACCTAATTAACCTAATTACTGCATGCACAAACTATCCGCATATATTATCCCCCACAAAAAATGAGCTTATTTTCAAATCAAATTTCCCATTCAACAATTGCATTCAATTCAATTCCAGCTTTAAAAAGCTTTTATGTATTTTCAAACGTCTGCATTTCCATGAAATGAAAAATCTAGCACATTTCTTTGTTCCCATCGTTTGTTCGAATAAGTGTCATGAAATGGTCACAATTGAGCTTAAAACTGACACAAGAAGAAACAATTGCATCCATCCATCCATCCAGACTCTCCTCAACCCACATAGCAAATGCGGAAATGATTATGTGTGCAGTATTATTCCCCTCATCATTTCTGTGTCGAGTTTCCGATGACAGATAGCTCAATAGCTAAACCAACTAACCAAACCAGCAAAGAATATTAAGAAGAAGGCAGCAGCCGCAGCAATCACATTATACATTATTATAGACTCTTCTCACATTAATAAACTAAAATTGCCTGCAAGTTGCAATGCAACCCCGTTTTTTTCTCCTAAATGTAGAACAGCTCACGCCGGATAATCATTCTTTGCATGAGTGACAACATGAAACACAGCACACAATGCCAAAAATGTGGAAACAAATGTAATTTCGAGGCCACCGAATGAAAATGATGACAGAATGAGTAGTACGAAATGAACCAACAGTTTGGTTTAATGCAAATTTATTTTTCTTTGTCGTCGTCATCGTCCTGTTCTAACCATGAAATATGCACACAGGTGCTGCTGTTAGCCCGTGAGGGTACATTTATCATGCCCAAAAATAACACTTAGATATTTATAATAATGCTGCATTAGTTGGAATTGGAATCCTCTTCTTGAATTAGCATGAATTGCATCCAGAGCCGTTTTTATGATGTGAAGTATTTGCTTTGAATTCCGTAAAAATCAGGTAATCACACACACATACGCGATTTCATATTAAATGAGTTCCGGGTTAAATATTTAGCGACTGGTTAACCTTTCTCTGTGACTATTTATTTTATTCAGTTATTTTTTTTCTAACGCTAGTTGTGCTTATGTACTTCCGCAGATAATCTTTTTACTTTTTACGGCTGCAAAAAAAAAATTATGGATGCAGGCACCAGTCTCCAGTTACTTACAGTTAGAGGAAAAAGTTTGCGTACGAGATGTTTCAAGAATTTCAATCCGTTGTCATTTATTCATTTTTTGGAGTATGATGTCCAAATTTTTTGGTAGCATGCTAAATTTATCGTAAAAAATCGTAAAAAAAGTTTCAAAGAAATTATCAGTGGTGGGGCTAAAAATCAATTTCTCCATCAAAATATAAAAGCACGCGGAAAAAGTTTGCGTACGATTTAAAATTAATTTTATCTTCGAAAATGTGATCCACAAAAAAATTAACTTAGTATTTTGTATGTCCTCCATTAGCACTGATAACTTGTTCAAGACGTTTGGGCATCGAAGAAACCAAGTTCCGGATGACTTCCGGGTCTAAATTATCCCATACCTCCCGGATTCGTGTTTTTAGCTCGGATTTATTTTTTACATTGGTTTTGCCGACTTCTCTTTTTGTCACGTCCCAGAGGTGTTCAATGGGATTAAGATCAGGTGATTGTGGACACCAGTCTAACACTTTTACCTTGTTAATTTTAAAAAATTCCTTCGCAACCTTGGATGTGTGCTTGGGATCGTTGTCCTGTTGAAAGGTAAAACGGCGACCAAGTCCAACTTTTCGTCCAGATTCAAAAAGATTCCTGTTCAATATCCCTGTGTAGGATACCCCAGTCATATTTCCCTCAATAAATTCCAAGTTTCCTACGCCTTTAGCACCAAAGCAGCCCCACACCATGACTGATCCGCCGCCATGCTTAACAGTCGGACGGAGATTGCTGTTTTTTAGGGCTTCCTTTGGTCTTCTCCACACTTTTTGGTGTCCATCGGAGCCAAAAATGTTCACCTTTGTCTCATCAGACCAAAGTATTGATGACCAAAAAGAAGGTGGCTTCAATACATACTTCCGGGCAAAAGCTAGTCTTTTCTTCCTGTTTACTTTGCTTAGGTATGGCTTCTTCCGGGGTATTCGGCCATGTAAACCATTTTTGTTTATAATTTTTCGGACTGTGCTGGGATGGAGGGTTTTCCCTGACTCTTGTACAATCTGTGCAGCCAGCTTTGGAGCACTCAGAAATGGATTCCGCTGCACTTTTCTTACGAGCTTGATCTCCTCTCGTGGTGTCAAGATTTTCTTTCTCCCTGTCCTTTTCTTGGTTTGCAATCCACCGGTCTCCCGATAACGCTGAATTGTCCTCTGAACTGTACTCTTTGGGATTTTGAACTTTTCGGAGATTTTTCCCATTGATAACTTCACAGAGCTCTCCCCTTTCCAGTCCTGAATAATTAAATCCCGTAGTTGGACGGGAATTTCTTTCCGGGGTTGACCCATGACTTAAATCAAAAAGTTTTTGTTGTAAACTACAGACAATAATCTAATCCACAATTTATAAAAAAATTGCTTACCGAAAAAAATGGTCGTCGCGAATATTAAAAATTACCCAACTCGTACGCAAACTTTTTCCTCGTGTTTTTCAGCCTTCATGCGGAAATACATTAATGGCGCTAAAAGTGGCAACTTTGTGGGGAAATTTTGTACGTAGTGAGAAACTTAGATAAATTTAGCATGCTACGAAAAAAAATTGGACATCATACTCCAAAAAATGAATAAATGACAACGGATTGAAATTCTTGAAACATCTCGTACGCAAACTTTTTCCTCTAACTGTACACGGCTTGTTCTAGATACTTGAGCTTAAAAATGTAATTGGATATCTTACACAAAAAAAATGTGTTCTGGAGTCAAAACAAGGCCTCTTTTCCAGGTACGAGGCATATGTAGTTACCCTTTTTAGACACAACATCCCACTTCTCTGAATAATATTTAAACATTTACATAAACACAATATACATACGTCAATTCAACTTTTGCATTACAAAAATTCATGTCCAGCTTCAATACAATACAATACACAAGACTTTGTACTATATGACTTTGTAACATATGCACCTCGCCCCAGTTTTGTTCTTATGTATTAAATGTCACACAACTTACTTAAATGTTTGGTATAACAACCTTGTAAAATGAAATTGATAAGAAAATAGTGCTGAGTTTGAGAGATGTAAGCCTAACTCTCTCTCTCTGAGGATGAGCTAGTAGACGCAGGAACAAAAAATATATGTACATACGTGCATGGACCAGTTAAAGACATGCTGTGTCATCACTTTTGTTAAAAATTGACCTGCAGATCCAGACGATAAAAGAATAGTCTTATTGTCTCTCACTTGCAATAATCTCAGCACTTTTTGTCCCCCGAAGTGCTGATGACACGATACTACGATTGCTGCCGATACCAGTTTGAAATCATAACACTGATGACCGGACTTTGGTCTCGGATTTCAATCATCATCGTCGTAAAGGGCAACTCATGGTCACTCTGTTTGATTTATCCTCACATGTGGTTCATGTCCTCGTCTCATCTCTTCTCCTGCTCGCTCGGCATCATGATCTTCTTGTCGGCGAGAGATAGCATTATATTTTTGGTTTGTTGACATTTCATCGTATCGTTACGTACGTTACACAAGAAAAACAACAACACGCGACTTTTCCTTAGCTGGCATATTATTACGTACATGTGGTTGGTTATTATGATTTGGAAAAAAAGCATGGCACACGACGACGATGCATACATACTTTGTGCTGATCAGAATTACACACTCTTGACCTCCCAGCACTAGAAAGGTTTTTGGCATGTTTTGGTTTAGTGGATTGGATGAGAATAGAATTGGCAATCGTCCGACCATTATGTATGTACCGTAGTTTGCATGTCATTATTATAATTATCGATATTATTGAATATAAAAAAACCCAGGAAAAATCGTATCGTAGCGTTACTTTAATTCTGGCGAAATCACACACGTTCATGTATGTTTCGCTTATTTGTTTTCCCAATAGGTACACATTTGCGAATAATAAACTTGTCCTGCCAGCCAGTGCAGTGCAGTGGTTCTTCTGTATGCTCGTGTATATATATATACTTATGTTTGCAAGGGTTGATTATCCTCTTTAAACTTTACTGCGTTGTTGCAAAGAGTTCAACGAAATCCAATCCAGACCCGATCCAACGTATTCATTTCATGCCATGTATTCATGGATATTGGATGGCAGATAAGTGAAAAGATGTACTTTACTTGTATACACATACATACGTGCATATCTTCTTGGTCCCTCGACTTTCGACTGGGCATGTACATATGTACACTCTTCTTGAGTGGTATGAGCTTTATGATAATATTGCATGCATGCATCCTATTTGCACGAGTGGTAAAACGTAAACACTTAACTTTTCGACTTGTGCTAATAAGTAGAAACAACTGTTTTCAATTATCTCTCTCTATGGCAGGAAGGTTAAGAAAGGTGGCAACCTACGGAATATCGTACGATAATTCAATTAGCGAAAACAAACAGACGCTTTGTACTCATCTTTCATGATGATCAATGCAATTCGTCGAGTTTCTTGCTGACGGAGGGAAGGTGACAATAATAAAGTAGTTGAAAAAACGGAAGAGAGAAAGATTGATCTTGCAAGCAGTATCACGTGGATGTGATACTTAACAAATTAATAAAAATG